GTTCCTATTCTTTAGGCCCCTTAGTAGCTCGTAGCTATTGGGGTCGGACCTTGCTGTCCTAAGTGGCCCTTAGCTATTGTGGCTTTACGTTATTATGTCCGTTGTCTCGCTTACGTACCTATAGCTTTATGTTATTACGTTTATTATATTTATGCGCCCGATATCCTAGCTTCCTATACTCGAAGTATAGGTTATTGTCCTTCCGCCGTTTTTCTTCTTCGGTCGGGAGTCTCGCTGCGTTAAGCTCTATTAGTCGTGGTCTATAGGGGTCGCTGTATAACTCCCTCGGCTAGTTTCGTCGTTATCCTCGCCTGTCTTCGTGACGGCGGTATTAGTGTAGTACCGTCCCTCGGTTATCTCCTTATTACTACTCCCGTTACTAGAGTTTGCGTTTATAAAGTCGATTATCGAATTTAACTGCGAGTTTAATTATCTTATAAAGTTCTTCCGGTCAGTTAATCCTTATAAGTTCGTCCTTAACGTCTTCCTTAAGTCCTCGTTTAAAGAGCTAAATATAGGTATCGTCGTCGAAGTTAAGGTACGAAATAATCTATTAGAATTCAGCGGTGTATATATTAGCTGATCTAGTCTATCGTAGCCGATCTAGTTATCTCTCCGCTATTCTTGCGGTATCGATATTACTAAAGGTTTATTCTAATTTTTTCTTAAAAGTTCTATAGGATACGAAGATTTCCGTAGTAACGTCTCCCTAATCCCCTAGGGGTTTATCGTTGAATTCCCGGATATAAGGCTTAAACTATTCGAATGCTTGTCCGCGGAGGTAGGTAGAAGCGTAGATCACTCTATTAGCTTCTTCTATATAATTAATTAAGCGGAGTTATATATCTATCTAAGTTAAGAAGGAACGAAGCTTAGTTCGTTTACTATAATAAAACTTAGGTTTCGGTGGTTTAACTATAGCTAGCGTACGGGTATTACTTACCTATACGAGCTATTCTTATAACTAGGATATCATCTCTATAAGTTACGTATTAGTAGGTACAGCGTTCGATCTACTCGAAACGTTACTTAAGGTGCTATCGTTACCTACTATAATGACTATGCTCTACGGTTTAAAGATAGGGCGATTAATATATTACGCGGTACCGACTAGTCACTATAAGTTAGAGCGGCCGGGTTATACTTACCTAGTTCTAACTACGGATTCTAAGAGTGTCTCGTAACCGTACCGTTACTATGCTTAGCCTTACGTCGGGTTCGGGTCCTATTAAGTATCTTATAGAACGTGCTAGAGGTACGCACTAAGTAGGTCAGTTACTAAGTATTACTACGAAGTGAGCTCCCCTACTTATAGGTTAGGTTATCTTAAAGGTAAACTATAAAGTAGAGTACTAAAGGTAGTAACTAAGTAACAATATATAATTAATCGCGAAAAACTAAATACATAATGCTAAATAAGTGTCCTTATATATCCAGTCCTTCGTAATAGTATAGGTAGTAGATAGTAGAGTGGTAGATGAGTCTTAGTACGATCTACCCGTATACTAATCTACCCTTCTACCACTAGAGGTTACGTGCAGTTTTACCAGTACCTAGCACTTAGGGCGTAATCTGAGTGCGGGTAAAATGGTAGCCGTTTCCTGCGTTACGCTAGCCACCTTATTATATAAGTAGGTGTTGTCCGTAGTAGTTAGCTGCAGGCCGTTTCTGGTTCTCTTTTCGGAACGTCTTAGGGCCTTCCGGGGCATGCCCAAGTATACCGAAACGCACGTAATGACGCTACTCCTTAGCGTCCGTAGGCGATTGGTTCACGGTTGCTCCTCAAATAACTGCGGTCCCCGCGCCTTCTTGAGGTCCGTAACACTAAGAAGCTCCTTAAGACTAAGTTATATAATATATATAATATATAGTATACGAATAATTAGTATATAACTAGGAAGCTTAAGAGACGAAATAGCCTCTTTAAGAGTAATTAGTAATATACTATTATTCGATATATTATTAGTTATAACTATAAGTATATAATTAGTAATTTAATACTTCTTAAGTAGCCTAAGTAGAATATTACTTAGATAGGCGCCTATATAAGAGCTATAGAGAGGTTTAAAACTAAGTAGAATCTTATAATAGTTCTACTTAAGATTAATAAAATAGCTAGTAACTACTATAAATACTTAGCGAAAAGGAGAGGTCTAGTAATCTAATATAATAGAAAGCTTAGTACCCTCTAGGAGTATTTAAAGTAGAGACTCCTAACGTTCTATAACTATCTTCTAAAGATACCGACGGATAGTCCTAGTATTTAGTATTTTAGGGATAGATAGGGTAAAAGAAACTATCTCGATAAAGGCGTAAAATTTAGGATACTTAATAAGCTAAAATAGTAGGCGTATAGTAACGATAAAGGTAGTTAACCTATCTATCTAAGCGTTTACTAAGAAGCCTTTTTTACTAGATAGGTAATTTACCTAGAGATAATTATATAAATTAGTATAAATTAGCCTTATAGATAGTATTTATACCCTATTTAAGATTATCTTTCTAATATCTTATATCTTACTCCTTCCTTTTTAATAGGTAATAGCTTATAAATAATATCTATTTATAGTTAATATTCCTCGGTACCGGTCGGTAGAATAAGTAAAGATATAATTATACTACTTATATATTACCTTAAGAGACCTATTAGAGATAGTAGTAACCTAGTAGAAGTATTCCTAAGTACCTACCTAGCGTTTACCCTTAAAGATATTTTATTCTATTCGGCTTCTATAGTTAGTCCTTCGCTACTAGTCGATAAAATCTTTATTAACTATCTCTATCTAAAGAAGAAACTACTTCTTTCTATATAGACTAATAGGCTTAAGGGTCTCTAGAATTAGGATAGGTATTACTAGTTATATAAAGATTAAGCTAGGAGTTAAAGTTAGTATTTCGTCTTTATCTAGATTAAATAGCCTATCGGATATAAGAAAAGAGAGTATATCTATAGAGTTATCCTTAAAGACTAATAAAAGATAGTTATTAGAGAACTAGGATACCTAGCTCTATAATATATTAATAAGTAGTATATAAGAGAAGGTAGGAAGTAAGGCTAGGGGGTAATAGGAAAGATATATAATTATCTTTTTATTAAGGTAAATAAATAATTAGGGGGATTACTATAAGGGAAAAATTATTAATAGATAATTTAAGATAGAACTAGCTAGATTCTAGATAGTAATTAGCTAATAAGACCTACTTTACTATAGTCCTTACGGTCTAAAATTGTAAAGACCGCTAAAGGACCGCTAAAAGACCTCTAAGACCGCTAAAGGACCGCTAAAGGACCGTAAGGACCGCTAAAGGACCGCTAAAAGACCTTAAGGACTACTAAAAGACCTTAAGGACTACTAAAAAACCGCTACCCTCGCTTAAAAAGCGCTATCTTAGGGATAGCGGATTATATATAGGTTTCTAATAGCTATAATAGCTATTAGAGATCTAGGTTAAGGATATTAATAATATCTTAGTAGATAGCCTATATTTCTAACGGCCGTCAAGTATTTTATAACTAGGGAAATTAATAGTATCTAGGTAGTAGATAGTATTAAATTCTAATAGCTATCGAAATTTCCGACGGCTATCAGAAATTAATACTAAGGATATTAGCTAGCTAATATATATTTCTAACTATAAAACTAATAAAACTCCTACCCCCCCCCCCCTAATCTCTCTACTAGAGTAGTAAAATACTTAAATTTTAGTTAGTTCTTATACTTTAATAAATAAGATTCTAATATATAAGCTTATTTTACCTACTTTATCAATAATTAGGCCTAGTTTATCATGAATATTAGTATATATACTAAAACAGTATTTAATAATAGTAATAAACGCAGCTGAATTATCAGTTTATGCGGCCGAAAATGGAAGGTCTTGGCAGAATTATGAACATGCGGGGGACCGCACGGGGGACCGCAAAGGACTATAGGGGACCGTAGTGCGGTCCTGACTACTTCAAAAAAAGACCAAGGACCGGAGGTCCCGGTCCCGGTCCTAAGATTTGGGACCGGACCCGGTCTTTGCCGAGGTCTAGCCCCACCTTTTCTCCCGTAGTTAAGAGAAAGCCCCTAAATAGAATGCACTGAATTTCACCAATCCCCATAGGACAGCAAAGACGGTTTGAGATACGTTGAACAAGTATTGTGCATAACAAACTAAGTTATAAGAATAGACTCAACGCCACCCAAGTAATCCTAAAGTTAACTGCGGGCACGCGAGCAACTCCTCCCTCTTAGCTTTCAATTCGTCTACGTCCCAGTTCGCCCAGATGAATTTTCCTCTCCAGAAATCTGCTTCAGGGACTAGTCGCCCATATTATGAATGAAGCTGGAAATTCCACTGCGTTTTATATAAGTTTATATTCTTTCTATTTCCCTTGCTCTGTTCTTGGGATATGCATGTGTGAAGATGTAACTTACAATCGTCAAGCTTCGATGTGAAAGCGCGTTTTGGAAGATCCTTTGTTGCTGTCTCAATCATTGCGGTGGGCAGGATACCTGGATGAACGAACATGATGCGAACATTTTGGGTTCTCGTCGAGCCTACTTACGTACCCCTATCAGAGAATTAATCCTGTGGCTCTTTTCCGCTAAACCGTTCTGGATCTTAGTTGTTGGTAATGTGTCGGTTTCGGAAATGCCCGTCATGGATGCTGTTGATACTCTATTAATTGGCAACAGTCTTTATTACTGTATTGATTGATCGAATTAAATGCACTAGTCCAGTAATTATTACTTCACCGCGACGGTCAAAATGACAAACAATGGCGAGCTGTGAAACGGCACGTAAAATTCAATTCGAAGGTCCAAAACAGAAGGTGCAAAAGCGGAGGTTTAAATGAAATTGTAACTTTACTGCCCTATTTGCCCCTGCCCCACCCGGGATTCCCTACCAAAGCAGATCTTAGGTTGACCAAACTCGTCATTCTTCCTCGTACATCCTAGCGTTAAAATTAGCTCGCTCTCCTCATCCGGAACCGGCGCATTTACCGTTCACTACTTTTCCACTTTTCCCCGGAGAAGCGCCAATATTTCTTGGTGGCCGTTGGCTTCGGCGCAAGTAATGGCGGTTATTTCGTCCCCCTCCTGCCATTCCATGTTTGCGCCCCATTTAAGTAACAGCCGCACCATTTCTACATCTCCGTTGCACACCGCAATTAACAAAAGGGATTGGCCATTTTCCGCAGTGACGCTCACGTCCGCCTTGCGCAACAAAAGCAGCTCAGCCACTCGGAGGTGGTTTCGAGGCGTGTAAATATTCTCATGATTGGCAGTGGTATCTCGCTGCATCGACAAAGAATCGCCAATTTTCACTGTGGCAGTCGGATGGGACTCTGGCAACAAGACCTGTTCATCCGCTTGAACATGGTTTCGAGTTAAACTGTCGCGCTTCCTAGGACTATCATATGGTTTTCGCTGCTGGGAGTTCATGACAGCCAGCGCAAGGGGAGTCAGACCGCTCGTATTCTTGACTTCCACGTGGGCTCCCATCATGAGAAGTGTTGTCACAACTTGATACCAGCCTTCATAGGCGGCCTTCCCAAGAGGTGTAAACAGCAAGTTATCCCGGGTCTCGATTCTGGCTCCATGATTGAGCAGATTCCTGGCAAGGGAGTGGAAATTATGCATGCTCGCCAACGCAAGCGCAGTAAATCCCAAATTATCTTTGTGCTCGATGTTTGCTCCATGACGGAGCAAAATCTCCACCGATGGCTCTGCAGTGTAATGGAACATAAATTCCACCCCCGGTTTCTGGCTGCAAGCAATCTGGAGAGGAGTTCGATGCTTCAAGTCAACATGTTCAAGATTTGCCCCGCGCTCTAACAATAAATCTGCACCATAAAATGAGTTGTGGTATACAGCGCGTGATAGTGCTGTTTGGCCGTCGACATTTTCGATCTCAGGATCTGCTCCATTGTCCAGCAAAACCCTCATAGTCTCAAGGCATAGCTTTTTAGTCAACTCATGTTTATCGTCAGGCTCACATCTATAGAAAGATTCCGGTTTTAACGGCCAGAATTCAGCAGAGAGACATAGAGCGCTGCATCCTCGAGGGCCAATGGCATTGACATTGGCGTTACTTTCGAGGAATACTTTGAGCGCACGGGGACGCTTTTTAGCTGCAGCATATAGGAAAGGAGTCATGCCCTTTTTATCCTTGTGGTCCATGTTTGCACCTTTGCTGAGGATCAGCCTGACTAGTGACTCATCGTCGGTCAAAGCTGCCCAGAACAATACAGTTCGGCCGGCTCGATCCTGGTATTCAAGGTTGGCCCCCCAGTCAAGTAATGCTTTTATTATGGAAATGCTTTTCCCGCGGCAAACCGCGTACCACAGAGGCGGATGTCCGTGCTTGTCTTTGCATTCGACTTTAGCTCCATATTCGAGGAGTAGATTGGCTGTTGCCTCATGTCCCTCTGCGGCAGCCAGGGAAAGGGGCGGGGCGCCGTTTTTTTTCCTTGCATTCACATCTGCGCCATGTGTAAGTAGTATTGTGACCATTTCCAGGTCTCCCTTTTGTGCAACCAACGACAGTGCTGTCTGGCCAGATCCACCTTGCGCATTCACAAATCGCAAAGGACAAATACTGTGGTAGTAGGCAACCCCTTTCATTTCATCCAGCAAAGACTTGACTGCGACAGGAATTCCAAGAAGAGAAAAGCGCATCAAGGAATTAGGAATATGTCGAGGATCCTCAGGGAGAGGCTGGGGATTGCCGTGGGATCGATCTTGGTACACAGAAAACCAAAGTTTGTAACGAAATGAAGTGGTGTCACATATGCGGAGAACGAGCCCTGTTAGGACTGAACTTGACCCAGACCGTGCATGACGGTTGTGAGCGATCCAATTGGGGCCGGCGTAAGCTAAAAAGTGGTGCCTCTTCAACCATTCTGGTACATTCAATGGTTGAGTCTCTGTTTGACCAATTGGTACGATGTCGAATTCCCTCGAAATTCAAGAAGGCAATGCACACTTGCGTCAAAATTAACTTGGTCTCTATTGGATCTAGCGAATGCTTCCAAGACCCGGAACCTGGTGGATTTTTCCCGAGCAAGAAATCTTTTGCGGTGTGGTGAATCAGATAGACCTTGTTGTCGATAACACTCACAAACAAGCCACATAAATTTCTGACAGTCATCTCAAAGGTGCTTTCATTCTCTAGATCCAGTTGATCGTAAGATCGGCTGTCTGGTTTCAATGCCAAAGCGACACGCATCTCTCCCAGAGTCAAGGGACGAACGGCAGAAACCACAAGAGTAAGCAGCTTGCGAGCCCGCTCGATATCAGGGCTTCTATTAAGGATTGCATCATAGGCTTTGTCTAGCGAGCTGGGAATAGTTCCAAGGATCCGACGTAGTTTCGTTTCAGTGACAGACAGTTCATTGTGAATCACCTCAAGGATCAATTTTAGCCAGAGGTATGTCCTGTGCGGCACACTGAGGAGCTCCTGTTCCAGAAAGTCTTGTTCTTTTGAACTCAGATAGAACTCTTCGGTGATTTTTGGAATCTCTGATTTGATCACAAGATCAATTTCAACGCTGATTGCCTTCGACTCTTCTTCCCCTTTTAGGTGGATCACGGAGGACTGTTTTGTCATTGGGCGGAAAGACCGTTCAATATCAAAGTAAAGGCGGCTGGTGACCAGAAGTTTCAGTCTAGCTTTCTTTTCTTTATTGTCGTGGTTGTTTTCGAAGAGCTCCGTCAGCCTCCCTATGAATTGGCGACGACTCAGTTCTTCGCATTCATCGAGGGCATCAAGGACACAGACAATTTCGCCTGCCTCGGGATCAGATGAGGCCCTGACCAGTATGTCCCACAACTGAAAGGCCAGTTCCCGTAGGTTTTCCCCTTCCACGGAGTAAGCCGATTGAGCATGCCTGATGAGCGCGGGGTTTTGCGCGAAGAGCTGGTGTAGCAAGGCGCAGAGAGCGACAGTTATAGTACGCTGCCTATCATTGTCTTCTTTGAAGAAGAAATAGCATGTGCTGCGAGAATCGGTGCTCTTCAACTCATTTTCGATCAAAGACCTTGCTAGCACGGATTTCCCACATCCAGGGTCTGCAGACACCCAGAGCAAGCTGTAACCCATTGTACTAGTTTGCCAGTCCTGAAAAACTCTATGCCGTAGAAACCAACTGCATGTCCCAGGCACTCGTTTGCCGTTTCGTGCTTTAAATGTTTCGTAGTCAGTCGTGCGGAGCAGTTCAAGAATTTTCCGACTAGTCTTCTCCTCCAGTTGAAAAATTTTCAGGACCTCTTGGACCCTACACTCTTGCTCTTCCATTAATGATTTCAATGATTGCATCCGGTCGCGTTGATCTTTGATGTCCAAAATGCGCATGATCTTGTCGCATTCGGTCTCAGATGACTTTATCTTCTCAATAATGCCTTTCCAGTTATCTACCGTAACCATATTTCTCACAGTTTGAACCGCAGTGTTTCGGTTGAATTGGCATGAAGATCTGGCCTGGTATTCAAGGACCTGGCGATATAGCTGCACAATCGCGACCTCCAGATCGTGGCCTTCCGAGGTGGGTCTGTCTTGCAAATAAAGCTGTTCAATGTCGACGAAACGGCTGACAACAACGGAGATGTACTCGAGTCCATCTAATGCATCGTTCCGCTGGGTCGTATCGTTCACAAGCAACTTAGGAACCAACCGCTTCGTTAGCCTTTTACTTAGCATCTCAGCTGGTACTAACTTACCGGAAGTAGAACACAAATTCCAGCCCATGGTAATCCCACATGGACAGGATCCAAATTAGCAGCCGCAGACACACAATCTTTTGCTATCATCATGATCTTGACAATCTGGTCAACCATCTCTCGTACCTTCACATCTTTCTGTCCGATTTTGAATCGCCATTTTCGATTGTTCATCTGCTTAATCTTTTCGTTGACTAGGAGCGACAGTCGCTGCTGCCGATTCTGTGGCTGCGTCTCCTGGGCGCTGCTGGATCTGTCCCATTCCTGACTCGCCTGCGATTCTGATGTCATAATGCGTTCAAATGATGCCACCAGATCGGCTTCATCTCTGCGAAGCTCATCATAAGCTTTCTCCCAAAGGGGCTGCTTGTCCTTGGATGAAGACTGCGACGAGGAAGGTGAGACTGCGGGGTTGGGGCCCGCGTCACTTCCCGATCCTCCTGCCTTCTGCCGAGTCGATGTCGGGTGCTGTGGAATCCTCGATTTGTTGGTGCCACTTTTTCTCCATTTAAACTTCAATCCGAAGCGCATTATGGACCACGGTGGATGCTGTCTTCCGGGTAGTAGTGTGGCATAGTGGAAGTCCCGTTCTCTTCCTGCTTGGCACGAGGCACTGGGGCTGAGTAATCCACCAGAAGTAGAATGTGCTTCCCACTAAGTTGAGCAACCCGCTTGCGTGGGCCACCCAAAAACACATAGTAAATGCGAAAAGTTACAATTCCATATCTGAATAGCCAGGCTATATATCAATTTAAATTTTGCTTTATATGCTCTTATAAGCACCAAAAACAGTACATTCAAATCTAAGCCCGTTAAGAATAAGATTTCAACATATTACTAGCATTATGATAAATATCGTATATTGGATCAATATCTATTCTAACATAATATCATAGTGAGACTCAGCTATAAATATAGGACAAATCCCCAGCTAAATAATATAATTATCAAGGTTTCTTAACATCTTTTTCTACTCTTCATCCTGCCTTCACTACCAGTATTCATCTAGCCATCTTATGTTCCTACGCATCCTCTGGCATCCTCAGGCTGTTGTTAACTACTCCTTGAAGTTTCTGGAAGCTGTACATAGTAATAGTAAAGTCTCTAGAGGCCCTAGAGTAGATCTAGTCCTTACTAAGGCTAATTAGTAGCTATTATAGTATTGTGATAGATAAACTAGAACTTTCTAGACTAGTTAAATTGCGCTTTAAGAATTCCGCGGCCTTTGCTTATGCCGCCTTGAATACCAATACTTTGGTCCAGGATTGTGGTTGGGACTTTTGCTCAGACAGTTTCACCAAAAGGAGGGAGAACATAGATATCAGTAAACATACCACCAACATCAACCCTAAGTTGATATCCTTGATTCATGACAGGATTTACTTAGTTTGATGACAATAGGGCAGTGCTGGCTATGGACAAAGAAAGATGTTGCAAAGAGTAAGAATGGATGAGGGGTAAAATAAATATAATACATAATCTGGAAGTAGGGTGGAGTTTGATATATATTACCCCTCGCACCAGATTCTTGACATATGGTAAGATTCTGCCTAGAAGAAAAGTAAGATCAGACAACACAGAGGACCTCGAGGGCCCATGTCCTGCTCATATTCATGTGGTGGGAGTGGGAAATGCCAATCGGTCATCACAGGGTGTGGGCTCGAATAGTGTAGAGTTTATTAACTTTTAGGTCCATACCAGTGCGTACTCTACGGCCCAGCCCATGGGCCATATACCACGGCTCGGGGAACACACCCAAGAGTTCCACATTAGGAGCAATGTGGGCTTTTGGTGGACCCCAGCGGGAAGCGGTGTTGGGCCGAAGCAAGAGGGCCACCAAGTATCGTAGTAGGTAATTCGGGAACCAAAATCTAAGAAACAATGAAAAAAGTGAAGGACAAAAACAATAGAAATAAAAATTGAAAAACCCCTGGAAATGGTACTGTCTCAAACAATTTATAAACAAGCGTGCACATGCACCCCAGTCGATCCACGTGACAAATAGAAAGATGCTAATTATCTTTCCTTCCTGGTTCAGGCTCAGTACGACGAGGATTCCGAAATCCTCAGACCATTCTACAATGCCAGTCAAGGACCAGGGTCCCCTGACTTCTACGGACGCAGAGCACGCAAACATCTCTGACTCTGCCGAAGAATTTGAAGTCTTCAAGAAAACCGCGGACGGTGTCAGTTTTCGCGATGTGGGTCGGTTCAAAGCATGCGTTCTGTTCGTGAAAGTTCTATTCGCTACTGGTGTGCTGTCGCTTCCTTCGGCACTCCTCTCGCTCGGTGCTGTAGGTGGTGCGATTAGCATCGTAGCCTGGGGCGCGTTCAATACATATGCCTTTGTGATTCTGGGCAACTTTCGCCTGCGTCGTCCTCACTGTCACTCCATTGCGGACATGGCCGAGGTAGCAGGTGGAGTTACTGGCAAAGAAATTACTGGCTTTTTGTTCATTGTTGGCTACGTTCTTGTCACAGGTAGTGGGATAGTTGGGGTATCCACTGCCTTGAACGCCCTATCGCACCATGCCGCGTGTACGGTCTGGTGGTCATTTCTAGCCATGGTAGTAGTGATTGCGACGGCTTCAATCCGCAAACTTACTCATGTAGGCTGGCTCACATACGCAGGGTTTATCTCTATTTATGCTGCTGTGCTGATTGTGGTCATTGGTGTCACCAGACGAGATCGACCCGCTGCCGCTCCCCAGACGGGCCCCTACGATCTTGGATATGTCAATATCAACAATCCGGGTTTCACAGCTGGTATGGTTGCCTCTAGCACCATCTTCGTCTCCTCCGCCGACACGAGTGCCTTTCTTCCTGTCATCTCAGAGATGCGGAACCCAAAAGACTACAAGAAAGCCCTGTATCCGTGCATGGTGCTGGCCACGGCATCATATCTTGCCTTCAGCTTGGTTGTTTACCGTTGGTGCGGACAATGGGTCGCTAGTCCGTCATTGGGAGTATGTATATTCACTTACCCTGGAGCCAATCTAACTTCCATTCTGAACTAACCGGCTTCTTCCATAGAGTGCCGGCCAAACAATCAAGATGGTATCCTACGGCGTTGCGCTAGTAGGTCTGATTGTGAGCGCCACGCTCTACCTTCATGTATGAAACTTTTTTATGCCCTTTTCATATGGACCTTTCAACTAAAGCTAGCCTCTAGGTTGGGGCAAAATACCTCTTTGTCAGGATACTTGGCAAGTCCCGTCACTTGCAGGCAAACTCTGCTGTCCATTGGGGGACTTGGCTTGCTTGTACAATTGCGTTAGGCGCCCTCTATTTCAGTCTCGCTGAAGCTATTCCCATTTTCAATTATCTGATTGCATTGGTTGGATCGTTATCCTTTGCTCCACTCGCCATATCCATCCCTGGATTGCTTTGGCTACACGACCATGCCCACTACTTGAAGGGATCTCTTATGCAGAAAGTCAAGTTCCTTCTCCATATCGGAATGGTCCTCCTTGGTATATTCATCCTTGTTGGTACAACCTACGGCGTCATCATCCAGATCATGGCCGCCTACGCTGATGGAACTATCGGTATGTATCGGAGCTTTAGGGCAAGACTTCAACCATTCATTAATCTGTGCTATAGGTTGGACATTCTCCTGTGCCGACAACTCGAATTCCTCCTAAGCAAGACAAGCTGGTGTTTCTGGTAAGGGTCGTCGATTGGCCTGCGAGGTGGAATCTCGTATGATGGTAGCTTTGTCATTTGTTCGAGAGAAATCAGCATGCAAGTGGATAAAGGGAAATATGGTTACAAAATAAATAGAGTTCGGACCCGGCTTCATAAAGGGCGTCCAGTGAGTCCAGCCACAATAGTCCGTCAGTCATTCTTTTGAAGCCCCAGGGTAATGGTTTCCGCTTGATAAGAGATCTTTCCCAAACGTGGGAAAAGTTCTTGGGTTAGCTAGCACGAGGAGTATAACAAAAGTATAACTACCGCAATCGCAAGGTCGACCCGGGCTTGCTAACGCTTGTCTCATCAGATGACCTGCGCACACCCGGGCGAATTTCCTACAGCCCCGCAAGGGTCAAATTAATTCCGCACAGCGTACCACTAAGACACTGGTTGATGAAACACCAGGAAAGCTACAATAGAGATGGCTAGAGGTAAATTCTAATTCTTAAATAATTTGCCATCTTTGATTATGCTTTTTCAAAACTGTACGTTTTCTAGGTAACCCACGGACGGCTAAAATCTTGGTGCTTCAACAACCGAGCATCAGCAATTCGAGAGTTTTTTTTCAGGCTGTCCCCGAATTAACAATCGCACTTCTATGGGAAAGTTGCCGCACTTGATCTCAGTCGACAGGTATGGATACAGTGACGTTCCATATGTTTTCAACACGCATCTCAGATTATGTAATACCTTGTCCATAAAATGACTAGTTATCCATCGCAAACCCGAAATTCCCAACTCCCGCCATTGAACTCCAAGATATTATCGCAAATATTGATTAAATGATCAGGGTAATCATCAAAGTGCCAGATTTCCAGATTTAGGGCAAGATTGCGACTCGAGGAATCTCCAGCGCCCATATACAGTAGGCAGTGATAGCGGGAAACAGGTGGTCCAACGTGCGACAAAAATTAATGGAACTGGACTGTGTTTTTCATACGGTTTCAGCTTTTTTTGACAACAGGCAAGCCCAAGCTGTTTCTCTATCAGTAGGTAAGGATGATGATGCTGACAAACCTCAATTCTGGTCCTACCAAGTTTCGAACAATTGTTTGACGCTCTGCACAGCGTCCCAGGTTGGACAGCCAAGTGTGTCGCGGTCAACAGCAATACCAGGACAACCGAAACCCGTGTTTCTGCCGTCGTCGAATAAACACAGTCCGTGTTGTGCTCGCATGTGTGGACTGCTATTGTACTGTAGAATCAAGATCCCCTGTTGCTCCACCTGAGACAGCACAGGTTCGGGTGAAATGGAACCTTGCAAACTGAAGAAAACCCCGCCTTAACACAGAAACCAAAAATTTGAACTATTGCTTCTTCCCGTCAACAGCCCTGAGTATATATCGTGACCATACCCACATCCTCCACCAGAGTCGATTAAGTTACAGGACCAGCCATTTCTAGCTCACTGTCGGTCTCGGGTGATATCTTGTTAGGGCAAGGCCCGCTTGGCGTTGTTCCGCCCCGGGCGATCCTAGCCCCAACTGGTCCGAACTGGCCACTTCCAAAAATTAAAATGGTAATTTTTGATAGGGGCCAGGAACGGTTGAACTTCGTGATTCCTTCGCCGAACTGAAATTGTTCGCCTTGAACTTTCGGACCGGTGGGATCGGGATCCCCTCTATGATCCACTCTGATTGTGGTAGTCTCCGCCGCGAATATCCCGCAAAGCTGGCACAGACGAACCCAAGTCAATCATTCGTATACGCTGTAGTGAATGAGACTCTTGACCCGCAGCTGGATACCTTGAAGTTATGGTGCCTCTTTCCGCCTCGATCACAGTTTGTTCAGGCACTCTGAGGTGCTGATTCTAATTGGCGGCTCTTATAAATGGTAATAAGGCGATAAAAGAGGTGCAATCAATAACGCTTACGCGTCCATACGAGGGAATTGAGAAGTCTGCACTTCCGTGCTTGGATTTGCTGTACAGTATCTGCAGACTTATCTGAAACAGATGACACCTCATGACAGTATAGTGGCTTGTTTCTCCGTTACTACTGTACTATACAGTGGTATATCTACAGTGGCGTTCGATAAGTTTGCGTCTCTCCGTTTGATTATATAATTTTCTGCTACCCTTTCTGCCATACTAAAACCTCGCATTCTATAACTAGTTAGTTAATAACTAGTATACTATCCACTATTATCAATTACCTGCTTTATACGGTTAGGCATCGTTATAGCTAAAGTATCTAGTATATAAATATCTATCTCTAACTAAGCCTCTTACGTAGTAGCGATCAAAATCGTTAAGGTTTCGTCGTTATTAGGTATACGTTTAATCTCTAGATATATCTTATAGATTTTAGCCTTAAGAAACGCCTAAAAGTTCTTAATTAGGTTAAGGTCTAGCGAATAAGGTAGCTAGGCTATAACTTTAAACGCTTATTCTTTAAGCTAGTCTCTTACGACGTATATAGTATAAATAGAGGCGTTATCTTATTAAAAAATAGTACCCTCGATACTATTAATTAACGTTAGAAGTATATATTAGTATAATTTAAGGATAACCTATCGATTAATACCCCTTTAAGGTAAATCTAGGTCTCCGAAGAGTAGTATAAGCCCTAATCGCCGACTAGCCCTCGAGAAAGCAGCCTAAAATATCTATTTAATACCTTTATATATAGATATTAGCTCGATATCTTATATTGTAATTTAGTCGGCTAGTTAGGTAAAAGTATACTCGTAATACGCTCTTTTATCTCTCTTAATAGTCGATTCGTCGGTCTAAAAGATCTTCTTCTATTAATCCTCGGTATAGCCTTATACTCGTTCGGCCTATTCGAGACGTAACTAGGCGTAGGTTTCGGTAAGCTCCGGTCGTCGAAGTATAAGCTATTTTCGTAGATTCTCCTCATAAAAGAGTCTCTAAATCGTTTATCGTTTAACCTTATAATCGACTATTACGAGAAGGTTATCGTATTTGACTCGTAGGTTCTTATTAATAGCTTCGAGAAGCTTAGCTTTATCCTCTTAATTAAGCTTCTTCGGTACGCTAGATCGAGAGAGTAACTCTTAGGTAGGCCCTCTCTAGCTAGATCTATATACTATCGATTTTATTATAGTAATCGGAAGGTAAAGATAACGCTCCTAGATCTCTTTATATATTTAACCGATCGATTTTAGCTTAACAATCTTAATACGCTTATAAGGGGTAAGCTAGTAGCTAGATCGTTGTATAGTAACGTTTAGGTAGCTATTAGGCGTATTATATTACTACCCTATATGAAGAGGAGGTATTATTAGCGTTTAGATAGCTTTAAATTATATATAATAATAAGAGAGATATATTATACTAAGCGTATCGTAGCGTGGTTAGGGGCGGTTAGCTAAATATAGTAAGCGGTAGAAAAAGGCAGTTAAACGGAGAGACGCAGACTTATTAAACGCTACTATAAACCCTAGTACTTCCTGATAGAATAGGCTGATTCTATATAGGCTAGTATAAAAGTTATCTAATAGGATGAGACATAATTAATCAGATTAATAATGATAGAAAATTAAGGGGATTACCTATTGAATAGCTATCCTCTAGCTGTATAGATATATTTCTATCTATATAGCTAATACTCGGCTATTATAAAGCCTAAGTTTCTCTATAAGCTAGTATTATATATAAAAATATAAGAAACCTAGGTACTTAATAAATAAGCCTATTCTTAGTAATAAGTTACTACTCTATATATTTTAATATATTTTTTTAGTAAGCGGCTAATTTCGCCTAATCTATATATAGCCTATCTTACCTAGGTAGTATATCTTATTCTATAACTATTACTTTTTTTACGAGCTTTTTACTATATATAATTAGCTAACTATTTTCCTCTTTATTAAGGCTAATATTCTAAGATAGAGTATCGATAATATTATTAGATAGTCTAAGATATAGGGCCTACAAGGGCCTACCTATAAGATATATTTGATGTGGTCAAAACGGCTAGATATCTCGGCCAGATATCTCAGCCAGAAATCTTATCATGAATTTACCTCCTGCTACTACATAGCAGCTACCTATATCATAACGATATCATAAGCTACTACATAGCAGCCACCTATATCATAACGATATCATAAGCTATATCATAACCATACAATAGCAACCAATACTATGCAACTGGTGACAACCAGTGGCAACCAGAATCAGATATAAATATCCATCAAATCCCTAGCCAAATAATAATTGAACTAAGCTTCCTTTATATCTTTTCTTCCCCTTCTAAGTATCTTTATTATATCACACCTACCTATATTAACTATCCTAATATAACTTCCTACGCAGCCTTACTGCTTGCTAAGAGAATATCTATATATATAATTACTAAGAGAGCTTTAAAAACCTTACTAAAAATGAATTTACTATTAAAACTAGTAATAGCGACTCTATTATTAAAGGTAGAGGAATAATTATCCTTTAGTTAATAGATCTAAAGATAGGTAAGAAATAAGAGATAGTAATAGAAGTACTATATATATCTAATTTCTATATAAATCTACTATCCCTTAGCTGTATTAGTAAGAAAAGCTTTAAATTCTATAGTAAAATCCCTACTATTATTAAGAATAAAGTATCTATTAGAGCGTTAGAAAAGAGGTATAATCTCTATATTATAGGAAATACCTAAGATAGATAGAAACTACCTAAGAGTACTTTTTTAGTAATAGTAATAGATTACCCTAGATATAGTTAAAAATCTTTTATATCTATTATTATACTAAAATAATAGTATTAATAACTTACCTATATATATAATTAATAGATTAAGAGGCTCTTAGAGATAGTTAATAGTATCGAGATTAAAAGAGATACTATAGATAATATAGAGTATAATCCTAAGAGATATAAAATCTATTAGTATAATATAGCTAAGAGATAGATATCTAGGAGATCTATAGTAAGAGAGTATATCTTTAGAAGATATAGAAGGATTTATTTTAACCTTATTTAGCTTACTATAGCTTATAATAGCTACTACTAGATAACTTATATATATATTAAAGATATCTAGCTATTAATCGGTGATTATATATTTTATTACTATACTAGAGATATAGCTAAAAATAATAATCTAGATATTTAAAAATAACTATAAGAGAGCGTCCGGAAAGATAGTAGACAATTTCTATCTAGATAAAGGTATAATTATCGAGTATAGCGTTATTAGAACGCCGGAAATAAATAGCTATAGTAAATAATCTAAAGGGATAATTATCGGAGTAGCTAGAGGGCTTCTTATAGAATTAGGCCTATCTAGAAATCTCTAGCTAAAAGTAGTTATAGTAATAATTTATATTATTAATAGATTACTTACTAGGCTACCTAATAGTAAATAGATTATTCTATATATTAAAGTAATATACTAAGACTAGAATCAGCTAAAATTCCGCCTAAACCTATTAAACCTCTATATATATAGTTATAGAATATATATATATCGCTAGGACGTCCTAAGGATAGCTAAGATAGAAGATTATATAGAGATTAGCTATCTTATTAGTTATATAGCTTCTAATATATAGTAAATCTAGTTTCTATATAGGGGAGCTATTAAAAAAGCGTATAATATAGTATTTAATAAGAATATTAAATTTAATTCCTAAGAGCTTTAGGTTAGACTATCCGATAATATTATTAATACCCTACCTTAGAATATTAGCCTTAATAAAGAGGAAAATAGTTAGCTAAATATATATAGTAAAAAGCTTATAAAAGAAGTAATAGTTATAGAATAAGATATACTACTAATATAGGATATCTTTTAGCTAAGTATATTAACTAAAGAGATAATAGAAACTTAGAAGGACGGTTAGAAGGATAGATAGATAGTCTATTAGATACTATTCCTTATATTATTAGTAATATAGGAAATATTATAGCTAGTAAGGATCTCTCTATCTCTAATACTAGATATACTACTAAAGGTATTTCTAACTAAATTTTATTAAGAGATCCCTAATAAATAGCTTTAGGATAAGCTCTAAGAATATATAATACTAAGAGTACCTAGAGATATCGATAGGATAGTCTTATAGACTAATATTATTATAGGTACATACTAGAGAAAGGCTCTATAAGGTTATAGCTATCTCGTAATAATATAAGACCCTAATAAAAATTATAATAGAGTATTAGCTATATATATAACTAGCTTAAACCCTCCCTAGCTATATTAATAGCTATACTAGGATAACTTACCTTCTATACCTATAAATTAGCTAGAGATAATAAAATATCTATATTATAATATATTTATTACTATAGTATCGCTAGAAGTTAAAATACTAGACTAAAAAGAGATATACTAAGAGATCGACTACCTAATAGACCGAGGTATCTAGATCTTATTATTAAAATAGATCTTTATATATAAATTTAATAGTAATAGATTCCTAATAAAATATAAAGCTAGAATCTATATATATAGAGACCTCTAAACTATTAGTAATAATAAAAAATATAAAGAGATCTATATAGAACTACCTCTTAGACTATTCTTTTAGGGGAAGAAGAAGAGAGTCTAGAGGCTTATAAAAGCCTTATATAGCCTATAGAAGTCTCCTAGGCTATAGTAATATAAGGCCTCTTAGGTATTTATCTCTCTAGATCTCTATATTATCTAGGAAGATCTTTATCTCTTTATTAGTAATAGAATTATTATATTCTTCTATATCGATAATATTATTACTATTAACTACTCTATAAAATAGATAGCCGTAGATAATCTATAGAAGAAGCTCTATAAGATATAGGAACTAAGGAAGATAGGTAAAATATAGTAGTTCTTAGAGATATATATCCTTAGAGATCGCCGATAGAAGGCGTTTTAGCTATATTAAGATTCCTATATCTTTTTAATAGCTAACTAATATTATCTTACTAAGAGCTATAGATAACTATAATAACCCCCTTCTAAGCAAGCAGTAAGGCTGCGTAGGAAGTTATATTAGGATAGTTGATATAGGTAGGTGTGATATAATAAAGATACTCAGAAGGGGAAGAAAAGATGTGAAGGAAGCTTAGTTCAATTCTTATTTAGTTAGGAATTTTGTGGGTATTTATACCTGAGCTCGGCTGGCTGGCCTTAGGCTATAGTTTATATAATATTGGTTATAATTGCATCATCTCGGCTATAGTTGTATGTAATCGGCTAAGGTTGCCTATGGTTATATCATTATGATGTAGTTATGTTATAGTTATAGTATCATGATATTGGTCTAGATCATTTGTAATTGTATAGTGGTAGCTATAGTCTTGAAGTTGTATGATCTCGGCTATAGTTGCACATTATCGGCTAAAGTTGCCTAATAAGCTGTTATCTTTGATAAGATATCTAGCCGAGATATCTAACCGAAATGCCTCACCAGATTTTATATATCTTATAGGTAGGCCCTGGTGGTAGGTCTTTGTGAGCCCTATTATGAGCCCTATTAGTAGGCCCTGGTAGGCCCTATATCTTAGACCCCTCCCTAAAATAATAATAAAGCTATATAATAGTATAGCTATACTAGAGTAGATTTATTAATACTAATAGAAGGTTAGGTCTACCTAATATACTACTATAATTAGTCGACTAGATATAGCTAAAACTACTAGAGATCTAGCTTAGTTTCTAATAAACCCTAGGCCTAAATACCTCTATACTATTAATCGAGTTATCTCCTATCTCTACTAAATAAAATCTAGGGCTATTATATACTATATATCTTTATATCCATTAAAACTATATAGAGAGATAGCGGAGGTATAGATCTTTAGTAATATATCCTTCGCTAGTAACTATAACTAGAAGAGCTCGGAGGGATATATCTATATAATATATAGTAGACTAATTAATTAGAAAGCTTCTAAATAGATAACTATTACTACTAGTACTACCGAAGCTAAATTATTAGCGATCTTATTAGTAAAGAGATCGCTATATATATAGACTCGCTTATTTAAAGCGATTAATTATCTACTAAGTTAACCTATCGCCTTAAGATATAATAACTAGTAGACTATTAGTCTATTAACTAAAGAAATACCTTAACTACGTACTAAGCTTCGTTATATCGATATATATTACTACTAGCTTCGTTAGGAAGTTTAGGCCGGTAGAATACTAGTATAATAGGTACTAATAGGCGATATAGTAGCAGATAGGCTTACTAAGCTACTACCTAGGTAAAAATATACTAAATTCGTTCGTTTAATAGGTCTAGAGGATATTAAACGGCTATTAGAAGCTTCGTACACCTAGGTAAGATAGGCTACGCGTAGATTAGGCGAAATTGGCCGCTTACTAAAGGGGTATATCGAAATATATAGAGTAGTAACTTACTACTAAGAACGGGCTTATTCATTAAGCGCCTAGGTTTCTTATATTTTTGTATATAATACTAGCTTACAGAGAAACTCAGGCTTTATAACAGCCGAGTATCGGCCGTACGGATAGAAATACGTCCGTACAGCCAGGGGATAGCTATTCAACAGGCAATCCCCCTGATTTTCTATCATCATCAATCTGATCAATTATCTCTCGTCCCATTGGACATCTTTCATACTAGCCCATACAGAATCAGCCCATTCTGTCAACTTGTGGTCAGTCACTGTATGATACACACCAAAAATAGTGTTTTGCACACGGTGGGGCAAGGGTAGTAATTTAGGGGCAAGTCTTGCTCAGCCTCGCTTCACTTCGGAGACCGCCGTCTGGCCGATCTTAGACCTAACCAGGTTCCACTCCCGGAACTAAGTGATTTCTTCGCTGATCTTAGAAATTCCCAAAAGCCAGACCAGGTCAGGACAACCAGGCAATTTTTGCCGCTTTGGATTTCAACATCAAGAAGGTCAATCTCAAGACATTCCTCTAATCCGTACCAAGCGACACTCTAGACCCTCGTTGCAAGATGTTGTTGGAAATATCCTACGGCTTAGGACCCGTTTTCATTCCGGCTAGAGTCTATCCGGAGACTCAATTACCAATTCTTGGTGGAAGCTTCCATGTTGCCTCGGAGTATTATGTTGAACCCTTGCGATAGGTGACCAAGAAACTCGACTTCACGATATTGAAAATCTACAACAATCGCACTGCAACCTGTCGTCCCACCGCCGGTAGGGCTGGTCTCTAACTTCTCACATCATCAATATGTCTTACACACGGTGACTCTTGTAGCACAAGTGTTGTGCATCATTGTCGTTACGATATTTGTGGTCATACGAATTTGGATCAAAGCCCAGTTTCATCACAACCTGAACGCGGAAGACTGTGGGCAAAGCGTCTCGTCAAGATGCTGTGGACTTTGATACTGACCATTACCGCCAACAGATCTGACAGTTGCTGGATGGGTAAGGGTTTCTTAAACTGTCTCTTGCTCTGTTCTAATGCTGAACAATCCAAAGGCGTTATTCATGGGGTTTTGTGTATGCATGCTTTTACGTGCGCGTCCATGTCCCTGGCAAACGATATGAGCATGGCTGATCAAGACATAGTGAATGTCTATGGCGGTGGGTACAATGCTTGGGATGTCACGGAAAACGATTTCATGAAGTTTCAAAAAGTGTGAATCAGTTCAAACCTTATATTTTCAGCACGCTAACAAGGAAATCTAAAACAGGTCTCGTACGCAACCACGCTGATTTATGTTCCGATGGTCTTCGTTATCAAGATCACCCTCTTAGCAGTCATGGCGAGGGTTTTTGCTCCCCACCACCGGAAGGTTGAAGTTATATACATCAGCCTTTTCATCATGCTTTTTTACTATGTCCCAGCACTGTTCATCAAGATATTCTTCTGTGACCCTATCTCTGCATACTGGCTTGGTACTTCCAATGGTGGCAGGTGTCTCGACCAACGGAAGGTAATTATTGCCGACTCAGTCATCAGCATCGCCACCGACTTGTGGATTCTAGTATTGCCAGTCCCATTAATGTGGCCACTTCATATGACAACGTCGAAGAAAATGCGAGTCATGGGAATACTTGGTGCTGGGGGACTTGCCACGGGTTTCAGTATTTGGCGACTGCTGATCATGGTGGTGGAAAGCAAGACCACAAACACGACGTGGTTCTGGATCCACTGTGTGTTAACAGCGTGAGAGATGTCGCCTCTTCCCTCCAAATAGATTGTGAAATCACCACTGATTCCTGAACGTCAATAGCAACGCAGAAGCCGGAATCGGGCTAATCTGTGCCTGTCTACCTGCAATGAACCATTCTTTCAGCTCCGTGAAAAACATGAGAAGCAACAGCGCCTATAATGGCTATGTTAAAGCCAGGAACTGGAAAGTTGGCAGTATCAGTCCAGTCACACCGGCGCCCGGAAAGCCCCGGACAATTGCTTCCTCCCGAACCAAAACGATCAGGCATATCTTATTTCCGCTGCCGCCGGTCCCGAGCATCGCGAGAGCTCCAGTTCCAGCCTACACTCTGAGCCACATACTGCGAAGTACGGGGGGATCAGCAAGAACGTTACCGTGTCGCAAGTTTTTGAGGCTGTGAAATGATGGTATATAGGGTAGCATCGGTGCAGATTATTAGTTCAGGTTGTGGGACAGGACAGATTCTGCATTATTGGAATGTGACACATAAATTTTGATCATTGATCCTTCGGAGGTTCTATTATGATATGGTGAAAAATTGCCACTTGTCTACATTTGAGGCTCAAGTGGATTTGCCAGGCGCGAGGTTTGTCTGAAATGGCAAGATAGGCGAGAGCCGCGATGGTAGATCTCTGTCAATCCTTTCCTCTACCTCGTTGGTAATATTTAGACTAGAGTAGTCTTGGCTGGCTATCTGAGGCAGGAAAAATGTCTCATTGAAGCAGTTGTACAGTGCGTCTCGAAACCGGTGCATCCAGAACACTCTTAGACACTCTTTTTGGCCCCACTGCCAAGACCTTAGCGCAGATCATTTATTGAGGTGGGCGCACTAAGTTGAGGACCTCTACAATGAACATTGATGGTATCGTACCTCCCCCTCGTAAAAATAGATCCTATGCTGTGGATGTAGTGCAAAGTTGGTAGTTACTATACTACAGTAACATGAAAATTGAGTGCTTTTTAGTGGTAGAACTATTACGTACTCTTTTTCCCGGTGTCACTTCACATTACAGTGCCAAAACCTTCTGGAACTGGTCACTCCCAGTCACCTAGAACTATCTAGTGTAGTGGGGGAACCGCTGACGGGTCGGTAGTAGGTTGTTAGCACTGCAGTCCGCCTTAGGTGCTTGGGTCTTCCTTGCATTCTTGGCATACAGCGCTTGTTTCATCTGCGCTTTCTTGCTTGGTTTGTTTGAAGGGCATATCGAGGAGAGGATTTGGGAATGCTTCATGGAAGAGGCAGCGGACCGTTCGTTCGAAGCAGATTGCTCTTCCTAGTCGCTCATCACGCCCAATTAATTAATACTCCTCGCATTCTTTTCTCGAGTACCCTACAAGCTACGGAGCTTTCAGAAGAATAGAGAACTTGCGCGATGAAGCAGTCCTTAGCCAGGTTCTTCTATCTCTTCTGTCCTCTTTGATTCCCGAGCGGCCAAGTCTACTTCCTCTATTTGGTGGTGGATATCCTATTGTGCCTCGACCTGTCTGTTTTGCTCAGACTGCCGTTAGCGCATCCCCCTGTTTACTACTTATTTAAGGCAAACGAAATAGATCCTTACATAGGATTTGGAAGCTCGTGGAGCCGAAGGGCTCATTCCATAAGCCCTGTAGGGCAGTATTATATACATAATTTCCCCCAGAGTCCTTTTCCACAAAGAAATTAGAAAATAGAGGAAGGAATAAAAATGGAGATCATTGACGGCTGCTACGTACGAAATCGTATGAAAGAAACCCGCCCTGATTCGTGTCCTAAGGCAAGTGAATTCCCACTTGTCGCTGAACAGCTAGGCTGAAACTCAGGAGGAAGCCATAGTGCATTTTTGCCGTTCAGGTTTATCCACTGTCCTTGCTCAATGAAGATCGCCAGATTTCTATTGGTTGAATTAGAAGCATGATTTTCGTGTCCGGATTGAACATCGAGGATGCCTAAGTTGGTGATTAGATATGAACCATCTTGCGAGAACTGGAGTTCGGTGACTATTCCCTTAGACTTTAGGGTCTTTTGCAAGGCGCCCGTCGCTATGTCCCAGAGCCACACCATTTGATCTAAAGAGCAGGAAGCCAGCAGCCGGCCGTCCGGCGAGAAGGCCACTGACGTAACCGAGCCCGAATCGTCCTCATACAAGATTGTATCCCTGAGCCGCACCGTCTGATCTAGAGACCCTGTCGCAACCACCCAGCGGCCGGGCGAGAACAACGCTGGCAAATCCGAACCCGAATGGCCTTTGAGAGTCTGTTCTATAGCGCCCGTCGCCGTGTCCCAAAGCCGCACTGTCTGGTTATAGAAGCCGAATGCCAGCAGCCGGCCGTCTGGCGAGAAGGCCACCGACGGAGCAGAGCTTGAATAGGGCTGCGAGTAGCGCATCGGAACCCAGCCCGAATTGACCTCAATAGTCTGCTGCAAGGTGCCCGTCACTGTGTTCCAGAGCCGCACCGTCTGATCATGGGAGCTGGACGCCAGCAGCTGGCCGTCGGGCGAGAAGATCACCGACCGAACCGAACCCGAATGGCCTTTGAGAGTCTGTTGTATGGCGCCCGTCGCCGGGTCCCAGAGCCGCACCGTCTGATCAAGGGAGCCGGACGCTAGCAGCTGGCCGTCGGGCGAGAATGCCACCGACCGAACCGAACCTACATGGCCCTCAAGTGTCTGCTGCAAGCCGCCCGTCACTATGTCCCAGAGCCGCACAGTCAGGTCCAAAGAGCCGGACACCAGCAGCCGGCCGTCGGGCGAGAAGGCCACCGCCTGAACCCAGCGCGAATGGCCTTCCAGAGTCTGCTGCAAGCCGCCCGTCTCCGTGTCCCAGAGCCGCACCGTCTGATCCAAAGAGCCGGACGCCAGCAGCCGGCCATTGGCCGAGAAGCCCACCGACCGAACCCAGCCTAAATGGCCTTCGAGGGTGTGTTGTAGGGCTCCCGTCACCGTGTCCCAGAGCCGCACAGTGCGATCGTCGGAGCCGGATACAAGCAGCCGGCCGTCTGGCGAGAAGGCCACCGACCGAACTACCGAATGGCCCGCGAGCGTCTGCTGTATGGCACCCGTCACTATGTCCCAGAGCCGCACCGCCTGATCCAGAGAGCCGGACGCCAGCAGTCGGCCGTCGGGCGAGAAGGCTACCGACCGAACCGAACCTACATGGCCCTTAAGAGTCTGCTGCAGGCCGCCTGTCGCTGTGTCCCAGAGCCGCACAGTACCATCGTCGGAGCCGGATGCCAGCAGTCGGCCGTCGGGCGAGAAGGCTACCGACCGAACCGCACCTACATGGCCCCTAAGAGTCTGCTGCAGGTCACCAGTCGCTGTGTCCCAGAGCCGCACAGTGCGATCGTCGGAGCCAGATGCCAGCAGCCGGCCGTCTGGCGAGAAGACCACCGACCGAACCGAGCCCGAATAGCCCTTAAGAGTCTGCTGCAAGCCGCCCGTCGCCGTGTCCCAGAGCCGCACCGTCTGATCCAAAGAGCCAGACGCCACCAGCCGGCCGTCGGGCGAGAAGGCTACCGAGTTAACCGAGTCCGAATGGCCCTCGAGAGCTTGCAATTCTGCACTCCAGGTTTCGTTAACTTGTGGGAGCTGGCATATCCAGCTCGGAAGCTCTGACTGGAACTCTCTACGGATTATTGCCGTTCGAGGTGCAAATACCAGCCCTGCGCAATAAATTTGAAGTGGCGCTTCGTCGGCCATCTGGCGATTTTTCAGAACAAAGCGCTTTGCATCATGTAGGAAACTAGACAGTGCGAAATTATTGTCGCCCTATATTTGTTAGCCACGGCCACAAGTAGCGATGTCTTATGTTACTTACTGATATGTATCTATGAAGGAGATCAAGCAGACCCACTACATCCGATAAGAGACCCAGTAGACTCATCACCTCCACCCAGTGCAGAAAATGCTTCTTGAGGAATAGCCGCACATCTTCTATATCAGAAGATACGGCCTGACTCCTTTCGACATAATGTATCCAGTAGCGACAAGAGTATTGTAGCTCAGGTGGTAGATGTTGGCGGATATGTTGAGCGTCGATGTCTGCCGTACACGTACCAGGGCTGTCTAGGTTGCAGATATTTGTCTGTAGGTGGCAAGCCATTGTTTGCAGACAGAACTTTGCAATATCCTTATGCTTTCTCGGCTCATCCACATAAAATTGAGTCCCAGGCTGCACCAGAAAATCCCGGAATGATAGATGCAGAATCCTGATAGGCTCATCGCGGTTATCGGGAATGCTCAAAACTGATCGAAAGAATTTCAATCGAAAGCTGATTTGGTCCGCTCCTATACCAAGAAAAGCGGATAGCCCGTTTATTGAAAGCGGATCAGCAAGTAGGATGATAATACCGACTATGCTTTGGAACTCTTGCAGGATCTGCTGCTGCTCTAAATCGTCGTTTTCCTGTTCGTTGAGTAGATGCGTCAGAATTGGCCGGTAAGTCTTTTCCATTTTCGAAGCATATTTGCGTTGGTCCTTAAGGAGTCCCGCGAGGCGTAATTTGGGTTCCCATGATGAATTCTCGATATACCGGCACACAGTGGCAGCCGCAATAAATAGAGGGATAGATATCCTGAGCAAATCTTGGATGACGTCTTCTCCCGGCCAGTCGTCAGAAATATATTTGTCGAGTTTGATTTTCGCAAATCGATTCCTTAGGAATAAGTGTATATCACGTTCTATCACTTCTTTAGGTATCTCGTGAAGAGCTAGGTCCTGATATTCATGATTCGCAATTTCTAAAAAGCCGAGGTTGATTGGGAGTTCGGGCCTGCTAGTAATAAAGATCCGAAAGCGATACGCTTTTGCCTTCTGGAGAAGCGGCAGTAATCGAATTAAATTTCGGACGTCTTTACCCTGTTCACATTCGTCTAAAGCGTCGATCACTATCACAGTAGTTTGAGATTGTCGGCTGAGTTAGTCAAGATTAAGCAGTGGTTGAAGGAGTAGTTTCTCAAACTGGTCACTGACTGTCTTTGACGCAACGTCAGGCTCATGATCGAGTGCTTTTTGCACTTCAGATCTCAGGCCAGAAATTCTGAGCATCAGTTGCCATGTTATTGTCGGGAAAAAATTCTTCGCGTTACCTCGATCCCCTTCGCCCCTCTTGAAGAAGAAGCTGGCACCTAGATAGTTGGTGTCCTTGAGCGACCTTGCCACAGTCCGAGATATTGTAGATTTTCCTGTCCCAGCCATTCCTTTCAACCAGAAGATACACTTTCCGTGTGGTGACGCAGCCCATTCTTCAATCTCGTTGAGTAGTTCAGTTCTAGTGCCTGGAAGACATTCATCCTCATGTCGGTTCCCAAAAGAGTCAATTGCTGCCTCTTGAATAACTGGCAACCTGCCAAAATCAATCTTCCGGTCCAAACATTCAACCCCTGTCAGAATAATCCTATTCAATGTTAGTGATAGTGCACTTCACCATGATCAACCGAACAGAATACTACTTTTGGGTGTTGTTAAGACTGTTCAATTCCTGACTGACTAGACGTGGTCAGTACACTAGCTCGAACGAAGAATAGAATGCCTAAAAAATATACTATAATATATAATATAAAGGTCACTGAGTCACAAAAAACCATGGAAGCTAGAAAATCAGAATGTAGGTTCCTAACCTTTTTGAAGTTCTTGAGCTACTCGCTCGGTCGCCTCGGCCCAAGGAGGCATGGCATCCACACGTTGCGGCCTTAGAACTAAGAGTAGCTCGCGTGCATATGCAGCAGCAGTGAGCGCAGCATATTTGTGCCAGTCGTCATTTTTGTGAGAGTCACAGTAATCGCAGATTCCGCGTATTACCAGACATGGAATACTATTCATTAGACCCGCGGCTTCCATCTCGAAGCACAGAATGTTCAATTGCGGGTCTTTCGCATATGCATCTCGCACAATAGCGTCCTTGAGCACAGTATTTCCTGACGCGATATTTCCGTAGTGAACATGGAATACACGGTGGTTGCGGCGCTCTGGGCGGACCACTACCGAGTGTGAAGTACTTTCGTTGCAAGTTTTTCCATTCACTGGAGGATATTTGATGGCATATAACTGGTCAACGGCTGGTCGTTGATAATCTTCCATATCATCAAGACGCTGGAGATGTTCTGCGAGTCTGTCTGGCTTCTTTTTATCACTGAATAGTCGACGCAACTCCGGAATCACTCCCAGAAGTTTCTCAGGCGGCGCGTTAAGTTGACCTGTCCTCTGGAACCGACCATCTTTGAACTTGCCCAGATCATACTGTATCACTCCGCCAAATCCATCGCTTGGTTGGCTCACGACAACATCTCCTAATCGGATGTCATTTCGGGCGGTCGGAGCGCCGCCTCCGATTCCCACCATTAGTGCGAACCGTAGATGTGGGAACGTTCGAACCATATCTCGGGCAACACGGGCAGCTGAATTGGTGCCATACCGACCAGCCGGAAGACAACCTATCACCACATAATGCTTCGCAATACGACCGTAGACGTATGTGTTGTCGTCGTTGTCTTCGCTAATCTCTGGCCCCGTGAATTCTTCGTCAAGCATACGGCATGCACAGAAATATTCTTCTTGCAGGGCACAGATCCATGCTACCATGTAGGAGTCTGTTGAATCCGGGTCTCGTTGATGAGGTGGATTCATTATATCAGTAGAGAGATGAACTCCTGTTTTCACTTGTCAAACCAGAAATTGCTGGCTGGATCAAGTTAGACTTGTCTCAAAATAGACGGTAGGACGGTGAAATTAGGTGGAACCAGGGAATGCTTCAGCTTGAAGCTTGAGGAGAAAGAGGGGCAGGCGCCAACAGAGGTGCGGTGTGGGGCTGTTTTGAAGACGCGTTTCTATTGGTGCAATGGCTGGGCGGGCTTTCGGCTGGACTGTCGGCCCGAACCGGCCCAGAACCATCGCTTTTGCCAGCGCCCTTGGGCCACCTCATCAACTTCTTCGGTTGACAGTGCGACAAAGACCATCATGGCGCCTCGATTCGCCCACTCCCAGCTTCTGATAATCCACGACATGATTGACAGCAGATCATTGACTACCTCTCAGGTGACCGAAGAGGCTGGCTGCAGCAAACGTTCAATCATAACTATCAGGAACAATCTACGAATGTTTCGCGATGTCCGAGCGCCCTTGATTCCCGGTGGCTGTCCTCGTGTGATCACACCGTTCATGCTCGAAGCGCTATGCGACCACTTGCTAGGGAAACCGCATTTGTACTTGGACGAAATGGCAAATTAAACATACACATCGAAAAGTCATATAGCAAGTCTGACTATTACAGTATAAAGCTCAGGAAAGCGTCATTATTTAACACAGAATAATGTGTACAGTAGAAGCTCAGAGATCCTCTGTTGATATGTTCAGCAGTGGAAGCGAGTTATGTTCGTCAACTTTACGCGCAGGGCACTGCAAGCCATTTGTACTCCACAACCCATCGCCACATTAAGCAGAATGCTCATGACGTAATGTACACAGGACCATTTATATATGTATAACCAATTCCTGCACTAGCGGCTTGACAGTGGGGCCCAGGAAGACTGGGTGAGTGTAAATTGGTGAAGCTGGTTTTGCACTTCTCCGTGGCTAATGGGCCATTACGGCGGATTATAACCAGTGTGGTGGCGACCTCAATAAATGATCCGCGCTAAGGTCTGGGCAGTGGGGCCAAAAAGAGTGTCTAAGAGTGTCCTGGGTGCACCGGTTTCGAAACGCACTGTATCATCTAGCGTAGGGACTTTTCTACTGAATTGGTTTCTCCTCGAGGTGCTCCTGTTTCACTCTTTGTATTAATTATTAATAAAATTAATGAGAAGATCACTATATTAATAGAGTTAACTTTGTTATAGGATTTACTAACTAAATCTTCTACTAAACTTTCATTAAGAATATTGTTATGTTTTGTTTAAGAGTCTATAGTAGGTACAAAAATGTAATATATATTTCATACATGGAGCTTCGGCACTCCAATGGAAGGAACAACCTAATTTCCGTCAACTCCAAGCTAAAGCTAAATAACAGATGCATTTACGAAGAACCTTGATATACCAGTCAAAAGTTCTTGAGACTTTGGCCTAAAAACTACCACGAAAGTTGGTTTACATATGCAGATGCTCTCAGCCAGCCACCAATTTTTGCACATGGAGCGGTCTCTGCTTGACCCTTTCCGAATCCACTTAGGCGTGAATCTAGGAGAAATTCAGAAAGATGTGGGGCAATAAGCTGAGCCTTATTTTGTCTCCTTGACTCCAAAAAGAAAACTTCTAGAGAAGAATCTCAATATGGAGAAACAGGTCCATATTTGCACACACTTTCTGGGCACCCGACTCTCACAGATATTGTAACTATGATTCTTATTTTTAGGTCTGAATATATATACAACAAACAAATTTGCTAGCTTTTCTCGGTGCATAAAATGGCAAAAGTATGTCTTAGTGCCCAATTATGCACATATAGTTAGGTGGATAGGTGTCCAGGTAGTGCAGTACAGAAAAGTTCTGCAAGATGAATATGTAAGTTGAGCTCGGTCCATTCATATAGAATGTGGTGAATCTTTCATGTGCCTTGATTTTGGGGGCTTCTTCCCTCCTTTTCCAAAATATGGGTATAAAGAGCCTTGGATGCTTGGGTCAAATCGCAGATTCTTCTTCCTCGCGATAATCGCACCACTTTTTCCGCATAAGCGTGATGCCTTTCACTGTATGTAAAATGGACTCCTCCGAAGTGCGGCCCAAAGAGGGCACTATTAGCAGTATCAATCCAAACTATACTGGCTTTGACTACATCAGCTGGTACGTTGGTAATGCACGTCAAGCAGCTACCTACTTTGTCGCCCACTTTGGCTTCAAGATCAATGCCTACTGTGGGCCGGAAACAGGGTCGTACCTGACATCTTCCTATGTTGTCTCCAATGGCAATGCCAGATTTGTGTTTACCTGCCCAATCACTGGGCCCGACAACACATCTGAGACGCGCGCTTCCGAAGATGATCGCAGGTTCTTAAATGAGATATATGCCCATCTAACAAAACATGGTGACGGGGTCAAGGATATCGCCTTCCAGGTCGATGATGTGACGGGCGCATGGGAACATGCTATTGAGAATGGGGCAACTTCTATTCAGAAACCGACATTGATGCATGATGAAGATGGAGCCGTGCTCTGCGCGACAATCAAGACCTACGGAGACACAGCTCATTCATTGATCAACCGTCTTGAGTACCGGGGGGTGTTTCTCCCGGGTTTCCATCCTGTGACGAATATGGACCGTTTGAATGAGCAGTTGCCCAAAGTGGACCTGATTGAAATCGACCACTGCGTGGGAAATCAGCCATGGAACGGGCTGGATGATATGGTGAAATAGTAGGCCTTTGTTTTTTTTTTCTACGAACACATTCCTAGAAGAATTGCTGAGACTTGTTTTCGCAGTTATGAAAATGCCTTGAATTTCCACCGATATTGGTCCGTAGATGACAAAGACATGTGTTCAGAGTACTCTGCCCTGCGCTCTGTTGTGGTCGCTTCACCGAATGAAGTCATCAAAATGCCGATGAACGAGCCAGCAGCAGGTCTGAAAAAGTCCCAGATTGAGGAATTTGTCGAGTACTACAATGGGGCAGGCTGTCAACATATTGCCTTTCGAACGAACAATATCATCGAGGTAGTGGAAAGCCTGATGAAACGTGGAGTAGACTTTCTCTCGGTGCCTGAAAGTTATTACATTGATATTCGCGAACGGTTGGGATCCAAGAGTATCAGTATTGCGGAGGATATCAAGCTTCTGGAGATGTACAACATTCTGATCGATTTTGATGAAGGTGGATATCTTCTGCAAATATTCACAAAACACGTTGTCAATCGTCCCACCGTGTTTATGGAAATCATCCAGAGGGAGAATTTTGATGGATTCGGGGCTGGGAACTTTAAGAGTTTGTTCGAGGCTTTTGAGAGAGAGCAGGCATTGCGTGGTAATTTGTAGAACTACCTGGTCGTTGAACAAACGTAATGAATATTGGCATGTTAGGTGTATCATGCTATGGGTCAATTTTAGTCAAGGGAAACCAATCAGAGTGATACCAATGTTGATTGACCAACTTGAATTGTTTCAACTCAGCACATTCTGGGCTCGAGAATTCCATTTTCCATGAAAATGGCAGTTTTCGAATATGCCATAGAATTCAAGATCTGTATATTGGTTGTTCATTATGGGGCTGTGAATCAAAACCAGCAGCCTTTTCACATTTGACATAGTAGTAATCAAAGGACAAGCTGAGCTTCGCCGATGCACAAATTCCAAGGTTCTCGATACATATGGAGAAAAGGGACCAGCGAACATCCATTTTTTCGGCTGTCTTTGGAAAATATTCAGCCGCGGTAAAATTGGTGACTAATGAATATTCCGAGAGCTAGTGGACTGATGAAGGTGGTTGTAAGGTAGAAGGTTCAGTAACATAACAACAGCTCATGAAACATCCATCGTGAGGATGAGCGGAAAAGTAAACTGGATGAGAGATTCGCCATGCCACTTTGCGCCAGAAGTAGGTTGTACATCAAGGAAATGTTTCAAAGTCCAAGGATGTGAATAGGAAATACTTACTACACCTTTTCAGACATTGTGATCTTTTTACCGACGGAACCTACCTAGGAAATCCAGGTGTCAGCACAATCCCCCCAGGACAACAGCGCACAACGACCGAAATTTGAAGATAAACTACGTTTTTCGGTTACTACTATTGTACGCGATCGGGATTTTGATCATATTCGCCACTCACGTCGCCGATAAGATACTTCGGGGGGTGGGAATATTGGTTATTGCGAGTTAATAAAAGGGGTTTTACAGACGGTTTCAAGTCTTTACTTTCTGTTTGTTGTGGTCGTTGGACATTCGTGTGATCTGAGGAGGCTTTGTTCGTATATAGCTTTTGCTCTCCCTGGAATTTCCCTGGCTTCTAGGGCATCCTGATGACTGGCGTTGCAATTATAGGCATCTCGAACTCTCATAATGGCTTTCGCTGGAGCTAGAGTGGGCTTGGGTTTATGAGGCGTAGATAGGTGTGAGTCGAAGTCGCCAGGCTTTCCACGTGAGTTTAATCAGCATCACTGCAGTGGCTATAAGGTTGAACAGGTGTTGGCAATGATCCTACAGGAGTTGCTGGATAGAGCTGAAATTTAGCCAGCCACCTAGGCTAATCAAACAAGGTCCTCCGCGAGGGATATCATGAATCGTGATATGTGTCAAAAGCCACGCTGTATTGTGGTGTCCCCCCCAACCTGGCAGCTTCTATCTTGTGAAAAGCTTTAGCTTCAATGAAGTGGAGAAGAGAGTAGTGAAGGAGGGTAGGGATTGTAGTAATTAGTAAAAGGTAAGTCTCAAATAAGATAACGGCTCATAACCTGATGGAGCCAGCGGAGAAGGAAGACAGGTTGACGATGGTGGATGTTTAAGAGGGCAGCTCCCAGCTACCTAGAACCAGTGAGCCAGGGGACTGCCATATACGGCTGGGGCATCCGGGTTTCAACATCTCCTAAGCACACTAGCGTTGTGTGGCTAGTGGTTTGAAGCATCCTCAGCAGCTATGCATGTTGACCCATAGAATGGTAAATATATATGTGTAAGCCGGGTGTATGAATCGGGTGCGTTTGAATACTGCCATGCTCTGTCGATTGAGGCACTATTTGGTGCAATGGGTGGTCGATAGGAACACAAATATTAACAGGTCGCCGATGCCATACTTTGATACAGGCGTACGGCGGCCGATAGCGATCACCGGCCAAATGCGCTAAATATGCATATTCTAAGACCGGCAGAAAATTTAGATACCTGAATTACTATTACAGTGCCTATATTAAATCATGTACGTCTATCTCAACGGCCACTTACCTCGCTGTCGCTATAATAATCATATTAAAGCTATTTTTATGGTGTATCTTGGTTTTTTCCGCTGATATAATAATATTGAAGCTATTCTTATAGTGTATCTTGGTCTATATTGCTACCATCGCCGCCGCCTAAGCCGCTGGCTTCGTTGTGATAGAGAAGCTGCTCGCGTCCTCGATGAAGAAAGATACTACGAGAGATATAGTACCCTCTACTATTACTATAGGAGTAGTATCCTCTACTACTACTATAGAAATAGTAGAGGGTACTACTACTATAGAAGTAGTAGAGGATACTATATCGTAGTTAAAGAGCTACTCTATAAATAGCTTATCCTCTTCCTTTTATTATAGCGCTACCTATTCCGAGGCCTATAGGATTATAATATATATCTAATATTTTCCCTTCTCTATCTAGAAACGCTAGTAAAATTTACTAAAACTTCTAAATAGGAAGAGGTTCTACTTAGAGAGAAAATAAGCGATTAACGGCCTTTTCCCTCTACCTTATATAATATTCTCGGCTAAAAGGAACTAATCTTATAGCTTTTTTTAGTATCCTAATTACTAAAGTATATTCTAATCGAGCTTTAAGACGAGGTCTCTCGCGAAAGATAGGATATCGACGAAAGTCTTAGAGGAGAGGGAAATATAAGAAACTAATACTAATTGATAAAAGATAGGTTAGCTAGCTCTTTCTAGTAGTAGTAGTACTTATCCTATAGCCGCTCTATCTCTTTTAGGCTCTCCTAGAGATAGAAGGATATAGAGATATAAATCTCTTATAGTAGCAGCGGTAGTAGTAGTAGAGGATATCTTTCTTATTAATATAGTTATAAATAAGAGCTCTAGGCTATACTTACTATACTAGAAAGTAATAAAAAGTATAAGTTTAGCTACGCTAGTACTATAGTTACTAGTAAAGTAATAGCTATAAGTATTAAAGATATTAGTATTAATAGTATAGATATTAAAGCTACTACTATTAAAGATACTACTATTAAAGCTATTATTAAAGAAGCTACTATTAAAGAGGATAATATAGCTATAATAGTAGTAGCTAGAGCTTCCTATAGGGAGGACTATAGAGATACTATTTCAAAGTACTAGTACTAAAGTTTCGAGATTGATCGAGGCCTTAGATAAGTAGATCGAGGCCTTAGATAAGCTAATCGAGGCCTTTAAGCTTAATATAAGATATTAATTCTATTTTAAACTATATCTTAGCTCTCTACTATTATCTTAGCTATCTCGGCTACTAGTAACTATAAATATATACTATATAGCTTTATATAAATACCTAGGATAGGCTCCTTACTAGATTTATAGTAATATAATATATAAAGCCGAAGCACTTTATATACCGCTCGGTATAGCTAGTCTCTTTCTCTATAGAGCTAAAGTAGTAGATCTTTAGGGATAAAGCTAATACCTATAAGCTACTACCTAATCTACTAAAACTATAAGTAATACTATACTAAGGTTACTAGAGGGAGATATTCTATAGGATCCTATCTTTCTATATCTTACTATAGTCTTTAAAAGAGTTCTTAGTTAAAGGATTACTAATAATGTTAGATAATATCGGGATAGTAATAGTTTATAACTAGCTTCCCTAGGATAGTATTTAGCTAGTAAGACTATTACCGAATTAGATAGATATTCTAAGTATTTATATATAAATATATATAAGCTTAGAGGATAGATATATAGATAGTAAGAAGCGATACCTATTTATATATATATTAGTAGATATAAGCTTAGAGGATAGGTAGGAAGATAGTAATATCTACTCTAGAAGAGACTACTTTAAGAAGATCCTATTATACTATAGTATATAGAAATATTTATAGAAGAGGAAGGCGCTTAACCCTATAAACTATCCCTACTAGGATTTAATCTATTAATTTTTAGTATTTTAGCCGTAGAAAAAGTAGTCTTTTTACTAAAAATCTTTATCTAATACTAATTAGTAAAGAGTAAGATATATATTACTAAATATTACTATTTCTATACCTAGATTAGCGTATATAATATATAGTAGAAAGCCCTTCGAAGCTATATAGTTAAGATATTAATAAAATATACTTACTACTATTTAGGTAGAGATTCTTATATAGATCTATATCATAAATCGAGAGTATTTATTAATAGTAGTATATATCTTAAATCTAAATAGTTCTAACTTTATATAACTATTAATATACTATATCTAGTTTAGCCTAGGATAAGTATAAGCTCCTCTCCGGCGTTAGAGGGCCGACCGATAATACTTAATAGCTTTAGGGTTAATTCTTTAATAGACCTCGTAGATTCTATCTCTAGGGAAAAATAAGTATTAGTAGAGGCTACTTAAAGAGAGAAAATACTTAATAAAAAGAGAAAACACTTACTAAGAATAATAAAAGCCTTAGTTACGAAAGAAGATATATTATAGCCGCCGACTAAAGCCTTTAATATCTCTAATTTAGTCCTCTATAATTAGAATAGCTTTAATCTTAGCTTTCTACTGCTTACGTTCTTTAGGATTATTAACCCGAAGCTATATTCCGAGCTACTTACAAGCTCTACAAAGAGAGATCTTAGATAGAGGTATTATACCCTTTCTTTTAAGCACTTAGAGGATCTCTTAAGTACTTAGAGAGAGAAGGTAAAGCTCCTTAATAAGCTTATCTATTACTTCGATTATCTCGGCCGTATAAGAGGGGTTCGATAGGCAGATATTCTATAACTATAAGCGGTTATTAATTATACTCTTCGAGACGCTAATACCGTAGTTATTAAGCAGGGTAATACGAATAGCTTTAGCAGAGCGCCTAAGTTAGACGAGATCCTCGATCTCCTACCTATACGTATTAAGAGGGATACCAGCTAGCATAGTAGAGGGCGACAGCGAGGGTATTCAGCAATAGCCACAGCGATAGCAACAGCGAGGGTATTCAGCGACGGCCACAGCGAGGGCAACAGCGACGGCCATAGCGAGGGCGACAGCAGCGCAATAGCGAGGGTATTCAGCGACGGCCACAGAGAGGGCGACAGCGAGGGTATTCAACGCCTAGGGATATCGAAAGTTAGCAGATTGTATGGTACGAATAGCTTCACCTTACCACCTGGGATAGCGGCAAGAAATGGCGTCAAATAGTGGGTCAGTAGAAAATGGAGAATCTTATTTTGTATGGGAAAGACAGTGTAAAACACGATTCCTGCGTTACAGAGCGGTCCCTAGGGCGGTCTATAATATGCATATTTAGCGCATTTGGCCGGTGATCGCTATCGGCCGCCGTAGCAGGTGGCTGTCGTATGGACTAATCATCAAGTTACCAAGCTCCAATATGCAGGCAAGGAGCTAGCAAAATATACTCATGCATTATGATACCCCGCCCCTTTTAATTCCCTTAAGGACTTTCAGCAGCACCTCTTCCACATTCCTTACCTTCATCAGCTGTCGATTTCTTTGCTTCTCAAGTAAAATTTCTACCGTCTTGTCACCATGGAGTCCAATGCCAACAGCAAGCCCACAACAAACCGATTTACTAATACCGAAGCGGCCCTCTTAGCCGAACAGAACTTTTCCGCCAAAAATTACCAATCACTCCCTATAGTCTTCGCCCGCGCGCAGGGTGCTTCTGTTTGGGATCCCGAGGGGAATCATTTCCTAGACTTCCACTCTGCCTCAACTGCCCTGAATCATGGTCATTGCCACCCGAAACTCGTCGCCGCGCTTGTTGATCAGGCATCACGATTGACATTGACCTCTCGTGCCTTCCACAACGATGTATATCCCCGATTCGCGGAATTTGTTACCAAGCTCTTTGGCTACGATAGAGTCCTACCGTCGAGCACAGGAGCGGAGGCTTCGGAAACTGCAATCAAGATCGCACGGAAGTGGGCTTATAAGGTCAAAGGTGTCCCACAAGACAAAGCTATTGTTCTTGGTGCTGCAGGTAATCACCATGGACGAACAGTAAGTAGTAAGCTGGCTCGTGAATAAATAACGGGTGTGGATGGATAGTACTGACATCTACATCTTTTCTTATAGTTGGCCTCGATCTCCTTGGCCTCTGATGAGATGTCACGTCGAAACTATGGCCCATTGGTTCCCAATATCAGCTGTTCAATTCCCGGGACTGACAAGTTGATTACCTTCAACGATAAAGGTCTTCTGAGAGAAGCCTTCGAGATGGCGGGTTTCAACCTGGCTGCCTTCGTCATCGAGCCAATTCAAGGGGATGCAGGCGTTATTGTAGCTGATGATGACTATCTCCAAGCGATAAGAGCGCTCTGCGACGAACATAATGTTCTATTTGTCTGTGATGAGATTCAGACTGGCATCGCACGAACTGGAAAACTACTTGGTCACTACTGGAGTGGAATCAGGCCTGATATGGTGCTGCTGGGAAAGACCATTACAGGTGGCATGTATCCTGTCTCTTGTGTTCTAGGAGATGATGACGTGATGCTTACCGTCGAACCTGGAACCCATGGTTCAACCTATGGCGGCAATCCACTCGGCGCTGCGGTTGCCATGCGCGCTCTCCAAGTTATTGAGGAGGACGATCTCATTGAACGCGCAAACGATCTTGGACACGTCCTTCGGAACGGACTGGCCAGTGTCCAGGCTCGGACCCCGGGTCCAGTTATCGAAGTGATTCGTGGCAGGGGGTTGCTTTACGCGATTGTTATTGACCAGTCCAAAACAAATGGACATACGGGCATAGAACTGTGTGAGCTAATGAAGAGGAAGGGACTTTTGGTAAGCAATCTACTGTCTGCTCGACGCATTTGTTTGTCTGGTATTCTTGGCTAAAGTCTCTTGCCTGTAGCTCAAATCTAGCCGGACAGGCGTCATTCGCATCGCGCCTCCCCTTGTCGTGTCTGATTTCCAACTCGGAGAGGGGCTCAGGATCATTGAGGAATCCATCTGGGAACTTCTAGCTCTCCCTGCGGCTATCTAGGACAATGGTATCGTATCTGAAAATGATGGTTGCGAATAGTAGCATCGGAGATTTAGCAATAGAAGACTTCCCATCAACATAGGACAGCTTCTCCTACGACACAAACTATGAACCATTTGAATTCATTTTTGGTAAATTGAGGTGTAGTTGAACAACTCTGGGGATAGGGAACCACTCTGGTAAATGCTTCATGAATTACTCATCACCCCGTTAAGCACCCCAGCCGAACATCTAGCTAGATGTCTCCATCGGAGCTCTCTACCGCATCCCCGACAACTCCCACAACTTTGTGGTCTGCATCTTCATGAAATCACTTACATCCAGAATCTCAGTCTGCTCACCGCAAATTCTGTTCTCGCTGTCGAGCGGGAAAAATACTTTAATCGCTTTCACCATGGCAGTCTTATCCGACCACGTCCGAGGAACCGACTCGTGTTCCCTTAAGACCCTCAGCACAGTTGGCAATTGGTACGCAGGGAGGCCCATATCGGTGGCCAGGTCGTCTCGGATAGACTGCAAATCAAACTTCTTACGATCAGGATAATCGTCATTCTCACAAAAGCGCACAAGGGCCGCTGTCCGTGTGTCACACTGTGGATCAGCCACGGGCATGATATATGCCTCCGAGACATACGGCAGTGCGCTTAGAGCAGCCTCAACATTTCCTCGGGGAACTTTGTAGGTGTAAAATTTGAAAACTTTTATCAGGAAAATTGGTATCAGCAGAGGTGGAAGAATAAAAAAGAACTGGGAATACTGACGATCCATGTTTGCTCTTCCTTTGAAGATATACCGTCCATCTTGGAGGATGGCCAGATCCCCAGTCTTGAAAAATCCTGCGGAATCAAACCGTTTTGCCGTTGCGTCAGGAGAGTTCAAGTAACTGCAGAAGAACATGTGTTAGTGCTTTTTTCTTTCCGAAAAACATAAATCTACATACCCGATGAACAGAGAGGGTGTCTTGACAAGGACCTCTCCTTCGTCGCCTTCAGATAGCTTCATAATCACATTCGGGAGGGGAGTTCCCAAGTCATCCTACTAACAGATATTAGCCATGCTTATGACAGCCTATGGCCAGCGAGGAGCTTTGTCATGGTATCGATTTCTGACCTCTAGACTCCCCACTTCTCCATCGCTGACAGATATCTCCTGCGTCTCCGTAGAGCCATACAATTGCTTAAGCGGTAGACCTCCACACATCTCTCGCCAGAACTTCTTGATACGGCCCGAAGCCATAGCACCTGTTGCGCATGTATCGCGCAGGTACTGTGCCCCCTTTACGTACTCATCAACAACATCCCGGGGAAACTTGACGGAAATATGGGTCTGGAAATAAGTCATCATCCCATACCAAAAAGTCGGAGACAGCACGATTTTGGTAGCCGTTTGCTCCCGCAGCCTCTCCCAGATTAGGTTATAGTTTCGCCCGAAATTATGGACCTCGACACGGATACCTGTCAGTAGCATCTGGAATAGTTTTGTGAAATAGATTGACCAAAAGGCACCGCGTGGTATGATGCAGAGCTCGTCATTTGGCTCGATTGCTTCTTCCTGTCGGGCGTATTTGTTTATTGTCCGGCGGGCGTGTAGGACACCCTTTGGAGGGCCGGTTGTTCCTGATGTGAACAATAGTATACTTGGTGTTTCTTCTGACACTGCGAGGGCCGAGTCCAGGTGATAGCTTGCCAATGGAAGTATATTATCGTCCGCAGTTGCGCTGGCCTCTTCAATAATAAGAGCAGGGATGTTGACTTCATCTTTGATTTTTGCAGCGAGGCTGGCCAGCTCGGAGGTGGCAAGGAGGTATTTTGCATCACATTGCGTAAGAATGTACGATGCTTCCGCAGGGAGTGCGCCTGTTGCTGTTGTTTTATGGACATGCTGTTAACTGTTTGTTTTTTCATTCAAAACCCTTTGAAAACGAAATTCTTACGCATCGGTACGACTATTCCACCGATTGCCAGAACAGCAAGAACCCCTATGATAAATTCATATCCATTCGGGGCCAACAGAGCAATATAGAAGCCACCCGGGGTGTCTAGTGTATACTCGTTGAGGAGTGCTTGTAGCTTTCGTTTCAGCCTGACGGTACCGTCGAGGATTTGAAAATAGTTAAACTGTGTGCCACGACTACAGTCATTGACGATTATCTTCGAACTTCTCCGCGTGGCTATTTTCACCAGTCGAGAAAAGAGAACGTCGTCAGGAAGCGTAGCGGGATGTGGGACTGTCATGGTTGTGAGAGCGTGCAGGTGTAACTATTGAGGTGTGGGGACAGAGGAAATTGGTAGACCCCGGGGAAGGGATTTATTTGAATTTATGAGAAAGGGGGGCTTGCTCCGGCTTAGGCTACGCGGTGGAGTGGGTACCTTTTGATTAAACAGCCGTGAAAATAGTGCACATGTAATATCCTATCCGCAATGGACCGCTGAAGTGCGTTGTAAGATCAATATTTCAATTTTACCAGGCTCTTGAAACACGACTCGGAAATCTCGGCGCGTTAAACCCGTCGTTCTTTAAATCGCGTACCACCACAGCTTCGTTCCAACGTAGTCAATGACATCCTGAGCTTTAATATACAACCTGACGTTAGCTGTTGAAAGAAGAGTGATTGTACTATAGAACGAACAATCACGTACTCGTGGTAAAATCGTTCATATCCTCGTCCGCGACGTATATATCAAACCTCTGAAAAGCCTGTCAACAATAAAACTCTCAAGATATCTTATGGCCGTGGGATATGAACCTCACTGAGGGCCGTTAATATCTGTGTCTTTTTAAGGTCGTCTGTAGCCAGGCCGTCCTTAAGTTTGGTGTCGGCTGTCACCTGAATATCCATCACTTTCAATACCACTATGTGGATTCTACCTACGATCTCAAAAAGACTCATACCTCATGGATGGGCACATCAAATTTTTGTGCGATGATAGCTTTCACATTGTCCTCGTGGTTCGCCATTTGGACGTTCTGGAATGGCCTGCTTGTAGTTGAAGATTTAGCACCCAAGTCAATGGTGGGGGGATGTCGCCGGGGCAAAGAAACTCAGTAGGAACTGTACAGAGTGAGTCCTCCTGATAAAAGAGGATGAGCAACAGTTACAATATGACAATATGGTAATATTTATATGACCTGCTATTGTCCTGTTCCCGAATATTAATATGTATAAATCGTGTAAACCGAGACACAAATGTGACGTTCCTTTTCCTTCACCTTGCAGCAACAGAAGGTGTAACTACTTGTAAGAGAGAAACCGGCCTGCTAAGTAAAGAAATTGGAGTTATGCTCAATGAACGGAAAAGAAACCCCCGGCTTGTCCAATTGGGGATACTACGATCTCTGTACTACAGGTGCTATATCGAAGCTCCACCATCCTCACCAAGTCACAAATCGTGCAAATGATCCTTACAATTTAGAAACCGGAGAAAGAAATCTGTGAAAAACCTTGAACAGAGTTAAGGACTGGACCAGGATTGTTAAGATATCTAAAAAGTTATATTACCACACCCAATTTATTATCTTTGAGATCATGCTGTGAGCATTAGGGTGAGCTCTGATAAACCGTGGTGTGTAATACTAAAACCAGGCTATTCCCATATAGCAAACTACATGTATCCATATCGAAAAAGATGTCGATCTAACACAAGTTACAGATTGCTTATGCAACTGTCTACATAGGAACCACCTCAAAACCATCCTCCCCCACGGCTCGATACCCATTGGCCCCAGGTCCATGAGTTGGGTCATTGTATGTCTGCAGAGATTGGACGGCTGATGTGCAGATGGCATCAATATCCCCATGAATAATGAACGCATTCCAACCCATCTTCTTCCTAAGCTCCACTCCAGAAGGCGAGATACCGAAGCCCATGATGGGAAGATTTCTAGCCTTTGCCGCATCACGAATCCTGCGAAGCGCGGACAGAAATACTGGTTCATCGCCGTCGAGTGACCCGTGAGCTAGTTTCAAACACATGCGCAGATCACCCGTGCCGATAAATAGGCCGTCCACTGCAGGGGCCAGCATCCAGAGTTAGCGTATAAACTGGAGACTCATCTTGAATTTTATTGGATGGTCGGAAGGAAACACCCACCCCCTGGGACTTGACATATCTTTTCGACATTCTCCAGCCCCTCTAAATCTTCAATCTGACAGATCACAGCGGCGTGTTCATTCCACACATCATACGTAGTTTTGCCTTCTGGAGTTTGGTTCTGCTGCTCGCCAATCAAAGCTGCAGGTGGGAAACTGCGCTCCCCTGTTGGTGGAAACCGGCATAGCCGGACCAGTTCCTGTGCCTGTTTTTCATTCTGGACGTGAGGCATGACCACTCCGCCAGCACCCGCACCCAGAGCATAATTGTAAAGCTCGGGTGAGCATTTAGGGATCCGGACGAAGGGAACCATCGAGCCATTGGAGTGATATTGGATTGTTCGGATGAGACTGACGAGGAGCGTTGCATTAAGAGGCGCGTGTTCCTGTCCAAGAATAAGGTCAATCATATAACACCTTAATGCGCGTCCGGCACCTTAGTACTTACCGCGTCCAGAAAACAGAAATGATATGGCGTTGCAGCAACAATTCGCGCGGCCTCTGGATGGGGGATTCGGCATCCAGTACCCCAGAGAAGCTCGCCAGAGTTCAGCATTCCCTTGAAATCTGTGGGCTGAGCCAGACTTAGGGCATTGTAGTTTTTTGTGTTAAGCATTTTCTTTTATTCTTGGAGTATACTTTCTTGGTGAGGATATTCAATCCGTTGGGTATGAAGGGTATTGTCTGAATTTATGTACGCTTCATCCTGTATTGAGACTATCCCAAAAAGCATATTCGATATGCCCCCCTCCTAGTCTGATAGCCATGATTAATTCACAGCTCGAAGCAGTAAGTAACCAGTCTTCCATAATCAGATACGCAATACCCCTCACGATGCTAGAGAGGTATATCTCCAAGGACGGATATGCCGTTGGTCAATAGGCAGCGACAACATAGCATTGATAAATGCCCGCGTAATATGCAATGGTAAGGCGATTTCGGGAATTGGACCAGTAGCCTGCACCGTACTTACCATACTGATCCCTCTAGACCTATAGTGGACCGAATTTCCGAGAGCAGTTGAAACGATCTGTTGTCTAACGAAAGAAACCAGGCGGAGAAGCAATATTTTAAAGCCTGTTTCCCTTCTTGAAATCAAGAGTTAATCTTTTTACCCTACTTCTGTCACAATCTATTGAATTTCTCCTTTTCGATATGGAGCCTTCTATAACCAGACGAGCAGAGCTAAGCTCAATCTCACTAGCCGGCCTGCTGGAAGGCAACGCAGATGCAGTGAACGAGCTCGTGTATGCCTGTAAGACTAACGGATTTTTTTACCTCGATTTCCGGAATGGCTCCACATCCAAGACGTTGGAGCAAGTCGACGAACTTGTGAGCGTAGGAAACTCGGTTTTCAAGCTACCACTTGACGAAAAAGAGGAGTACAGCACCGAGAACCATCTACCGTCAAGACTGCAGGGGTATTTTATGCTTCTACCTACCGTCGACTTGGAATAATGACGTTTTGTGCTAGATATAAACGAGCTGGTTGTTCTGTTGGACCCTTTGATCAGAAGAAAGATGGCTATGAGAGCTTCTCGGTGTGTCCCTTCAATTTCTGCGTCGCAAATTTGACTAATGCAAATTGAAGATTCACAACAACGGCATATTTGGGCAGGATGCCCTGCAGCTCCCCCGGGGTTTCCGGGACATCCTCCCATTGCTGACGGCTTTTATGAGCCAAGTCCACGACTACACCGAATGCATTTTGTCCATCCTGTCAAAGGCCCTCGACCTCCCCTTTGACCTGAAAGATTGTCATCGCAAGGACAAGCCATCTTCCGCGAACATCGCGCTGCTCAAATACCTCCCCTGGAACAGCGACAGTGAGAGGATCGGAAACATGGCACACACCGACATGGGGACGTTGACTGTTGTTTTCACCCAATCCGAGGGATTGCAGGCGTTACTGCCTGGACCGTCCGGAGGAGATGAATGGTCCTATATCCCTCCACGACCCGGACACGCCGTTGTGAATGTGGGCGACTCGCTGCGCTTCTTGTCCAATGGGGCCCTGGCCTCGTCTCTGCATCGCGTCATCCCACCCCCGCCGCCCCATTTCCCTGGCCAAGATAAGTTTTCCTGTATTTATTTCCTGCGGCCGGAATTTGATGCCAAGTTCACGGACAGTTCTGGGAGGCAGGTCAACAGTGTTGAGTGGCATAACCAGAAGTATTCTCTGTTTCGCGAGGCTAGTCTGGACCCAAAGCAGCATGGCGCGATGTTGACTGGGCGCAAGGGATACCTTGGATCGACTGGTCAGACTGTTTAACCTACATTTCCATGCGTTCATTCCTGACCGCAGTATCTGTGCAAAGGTAGTTACTAGTGACAGATGGCTTGAAAGTTTTCTGATTGATGCAAAGAGCCCGAACCAGAATGAAAGCACTATCATGCATGGTCTGCCATGAAAATGAATTCTTAAGCAGCAGATCATCAATATGAGTGGTTCAATATTGCATTAGACTTTCGGTATAATTTGTATTCCAATCCCACTCATTCAATGGCCCCAGTGCATCATTATACCCAGGACTGGACCCTGGCCTTAAATAGGCAGACTGGTTCATATCCATTGTTTGAAGAGGGGTGTTCAAAATTGGTGACCCAGGAATGTCAGTCGTGCTATTTTCGAATGGATCGTTCAATGGGACAGCCCAGTCTTCCGCGATAGAACGGCAGACATCAACACTGGCATGATGATCTAAGGAGCGACGGTTCACGGGGTATTCCAATTCCATTTCCATCTCCAGTGAGGGGAAAATCCTAGTGTCCAAACTGGCAATTAGCGACTCGGGTGGGGTGGGGTTTTGGCCCGGCTGTATAGTGAGGATATGACTCGATAATCCGCTGAAGCCAGGCATCGGACGCGGAGAGTTGCAAGAATCCTGGGGCGTGTCTCCTGAATCAGACATGTAAGCATCATAATATATCCTTCCGGGATTAAAGAGCTTACCAAGCGCTCCCCTAGGCTTCCTGCCTGTCAGATCCCTTAATGTCACTGCAATGTGGTTACCCAATGCTGTAAGTTCAAATTCTATCACAAGGTCCTCAATCCCTAGGCCTTTTAACTCATTGGCGATTGCGTGCATTCGCTCCTTCGTGCATCTTGATGTGTATGCTGAATGAGGCACGTCTAAAGGAAGTGCAATAAGATAGCCCAAGTCGGTTATATTTCGCTTGAAATGGCCGGCCCACTCATGATATTTGCAGCCTTGATCAACCCAGTTCAAGCTCCTATTCGCAGCCTTTTGGTCCCGGAACCGCTGCGGGAACTCCCGACACAGTTTGTTCGCCAGGGTAGTGCGCATATCCCGGATCCAGTGGGTGCCGGTATGATACCCAGCCTCGACAACATGCTTGTAGATGTTGTAGCACTCAAACCTATGGTAGATCTTCATCCGGTCCCGTAGATTAGCATTGTCAACCTTCGTAGCTATTGCAGCCTCCCAGCCTTGCCCCGTTGGGAGCACTGCTCTGGCTTCCCCAATCTCTCGTAAGAATTTTCCCCGGTCTGTCCGACAGCTTTCCAAAAGTATTCTCATATTTGGAGAGAATTTCGGCGTACTCAGGATGGAATCATCATCGGTTGTACTCTGTAGAGGCGTCGTTTCTCTTGTATTCGGCGATGGAGTGGCTGCGTTTGTGTCGATATCCGAACTTGCGGTGCTCTGGCTACTATTACATGGCTCTCCTAGAGTTGGGCTGCCCATTGCTTGATTATGCTGAAAATTGTCCCTTTCAGAAACTGATGACAGAACGTCATGCGACTCTTGTTGGTGGTCGTGGCCAGAGGGCGAAATAGCAGAAGGCTGAGGGTGTCGCGCACGAAATTGCGATCGGCGCGCAGATACCGTCCTCGTGGCCGCAACTAGGAGCCCATTGTTTAGGTTCGTAGATGAAGGATGGCCCAATATAGCAGTGTTCGGGTTCTATCGATCCCAGACAGAGTTAGCGTTTGGATATGGGGCACTCTATACCTGCAAATCAATCGATCTCTGTGCCTGCAAATCGATCGATCGGGAGTAGGGATCTTACTTGTTTGTCCTGGTGCAGAAATAACCTAAATAGGCGGTCGAGAGCCGAAATGTCGCTCGCAGGAAGACAGTCCTGGCATCTCGATACCTGCTCAGCTGAGATGCTGGTTTCGTTTGCCCTGTAGAATCGGGCGAGTTGGGTAAGCAATTCTTGGAGCATTGGTTCCGGCCTCATCCTAAGAGTCTAGGGGACCCCAGCATCACGGTCAGTACCGCCATCTGTTAAATCGATTGCGAGATACGCTCAGACCCTCAACAACACAGACCCTCCACGGGCCGCACCGCACAGCTAGCCACGTTTTCCCCTCACAACCTCACGATCTGGATTCGTCGGTGGATGTGCAACCCCAAGGGGAGCGATCTTCGTTGACCGGGGAGTTACGATTGGCCAGGCATGCATTGAATATGGTATCCGAGCGCGACATCTCCACTTATGCATGATTCTGCCAAAATTTCGCAACGATGTGGGCCTAGAGCGACCGATCGCTGAAAGCCAAGGATCAGTGACGAATTCGATCCGGTTTAACTTACCACCCACATAGTTAATCTGCAGCATTGTCCCAAAGTCTCAGTGACTGTTCAGGAGGTTCGTAGAATTGCCTTTTGTGTTGTTTTCTCCATCAGGCTGGACAAGATCTCCTGGGTCTCTCTAGGTACTGTGCCCTGCCTTGCCTATAACTAACCGGAAATTATCTTACTTTTAACCTACCGGGGTTTGTGTTGAAAGTACAAGTGCCTTGCACATCTTTCATTTACTCCGTCAGTACGAATCTAATAATGGCTCGCAACAAGGACCTGCACGTCTTTGACATTGAGGCTGTTCGCAAGCAATTTCCAGGGCTTGACGCAGGCTCTGTCTGCCTGAACAATGGCTCGGGAGCTTTAGTCTACAGGGGCGCTATTGAGAGGCAAGTCGTTTGCTGCGTGTAGTATTATAGTGAATGATCGATCAAACTGACAACCGAAAATCCGTAGCATCGTTCGCACGATGTCTGCACCCCATATGAATCTCCGTGGTTTGGACTCGAAAAGCTTGGTCGACGTCAGGGAGCGTACTGCCCAATACAAAAAGCTTGCTTCTTTCATGAATGCAGAGCCGGATGAAATTGGTAAGCGATCTTTCATTAGGGGCCACTCAATTCCCCGGTGTTCCTGCCTGATTCAGTTCCTACTAGCATTTGGACCATCCACGACTGGTCTTTCGCGGAGTCTTGCCGCATCCCTCCTCCCAAATCTCAATGCCGACTCGGAGATTATCATATCCGTTCTCTGTCATGAGGCTGACGTAACTGCCTGCGTTGCCATGGCAAAGACTCTGGGCATCTCCATCAAGTGGTGGATTCCAGCTGGCGGTATGGGAAACAACAAAGATCCCAAGCTCAGCCTTGAGACCCTTCGACCTCTCCTGTCCCCAAAGACTCGTCTAGTGTGCTGCGGGCATGTGTCGAATATAACTGGAACCATCGAGAATGTCAAAGAGATTGCAGACCTCGTCCATACAATCCCTGATGCGTTAATATGGGTAGATGGGGTGGCGTGGGCTCCTCATCGGCCAATTGACGTGAAACAACTCGGTGTCGACTTTTATGTTTTTAGCTGGTACAAGGTGTTTGGTCCTCATATTGCGCAAATTTATGCTCGCCGTGATGTTCAGAAACGTTACCTCACCAGCCTAAACCACTACTTCTTTGACCCAACCGCTTTGCATGTGCGTTTGGGATTGGGTAACAGCTGTATTGAGCTTGAACATGCCGTCACGCCCATTATCAATTACCTCGCTGATGACATTGGCTGGGACGCACTCATTGCCCACGAAGAAGTTATCACAGCAGAAATTCTTGGCTATTTGACAGCACATCCGGATCTCTACACTGTGTACGGCTCTCAATCTGCAGACCCGAATGTTCGGGTCTCCTTGATCAGTTTTACCGTGAATGGGATCGCTTCTGACAAAGTGGCGGAAGTGATTCACGAAACTTCAAGCTTTCGGCTTATCACAGGTGACTGCTGGTCTCCTCGGACCGTTCATGATGTCCTGGGGCTTCCGGAGTACGGCATCATCCGAACAAGTCTGGTCCATTATAACACTGTGGATGAGATGAAGGCATTTGTACAAAAGTTGGATGAGGTGGTACATACCATGAAGCAGTAGCTGTACGGATGTATAAATATCAATAAAGGGTCTTCTCAGTTGACTAGATGGTCATTACTAGTTCGTTTTAGTAACCATGAGCCTGTTCTTTCTAGCGTTTGTCAAACTTTCATCCCAAAATTGTCTAAATTGTGTGAGAACTTGCTTTGCTGAAACTAGTCTGGACTGTCCCATTCTCTAGATTGACCGCCACATGCCTTTCCGAACCAATGACGCCCAAGTCTTCCAGTGGCCACAGATCCGGCAAGTAAGCCATTTTGCAGCGATCAATGAAAATCGTATTGAAGAGCTGGTTCCCCTGCTCTCATTTCAGCACGCTCTTCAATGCTCAGATATTGCATATCACCACGCATGTGAGCAGCTCCACCGAACACGATTTCCGAACGCACAATGTAGGTTCCGCGCGGATCATCTAAGTTGTTTGGCACTCGGCAGTGGGATCTAGAGAAACGGTGCCTTCGCTGAGCTAGCTTTCATAGACTCTTTGAACTGGTTCGCGTAGTCGTTAATGGCTGAGACGATTTTGGGAAGGTTTTCGCGCAACCTTTTGAAGTCATTCGTAAAGTAGATGCTATGTGGGAAGTCGGGGAATTTCTATTGTTGTCAACATGAAGGCTGTACCAAAGAGTCAGCTTTATGCTACTCTGAATTAGACAGAAAAATGCTTCGCTAGGTTCTGCTGAGGGCTGGGATTCCTCAGGTTACTGGGCCTAACGCGTTGTCCACACTAATGTAGCTAGCTGCGTCGCTCGTCTTGTTAGCACATATAGATGACCCCTACACACACCAGTCTCTCTCTGCTCGCAGGTGGTGTTTGGCCTGCCAAGCATTCTGTACGAACTCCAGATACACTGTCGTCTACAACAACGGCCAAACGTTAATGGAATTACCAGAAACGCAGTCCAAATTCGTATCCCCACCCCCACGCCATGTGTTCTTGTATGCACTCGGCATAGAGAAAGCTCATCGAACCATGCCACATCTCCCCATGATCTCATTCTGTCCCCACCCCAGGGATAAGTAGAGCCCCAGAGGTTGAAAGTCGATGTTCTTTGAAAAGCATGTTCTCTCCTACTTTTGGATGCGCAAAATTTACCTCCTTCCATCATGACCCACACTTGGGATTTGCCCACGATTCAAAATGGCGGCGGTCAGAAAAGCCTCATCAGGGAACCGCTGAAGCTGAAGGGTCTTCTGGACAATTACAAATCCTTCAACGTCACCCCTGCCATTGGGAAGGAATTCCCTGACGCCGACGTGGTAGAATGGATGAAAGCCCCCAACAGCGATGAGCTCCTGCGCGACTTGGCTATCACGAGTATGCACTTAAAACCCGCCATTCGAGTATAGCTAATGGGTATCAGTCTCTCGTAGAGGTGTTGTTTTCTTCCGCGCCCAAGCTAATTTGACCGATGAACTTCAAAAAGAGTTGGCACATCATCTGGGTGTTCTCTCCGGCAAACCAGCCGATTCAAGACTTCACATTCACCCTTTGACCAAGCATAACCTTGACAAGGACCCCGAACTCAACGTGATTACCACCGATAAAGCCACGAACCCAGCAGAAGACCTGTGGAAAAACAGACCCGCCGACATCAGAAACGCATGGCATACTGATACCGGTTACGAACCAAATCCAGCCGACTACTCGATCTTGAAACTTGTCAAGCTTCCTGAAACAGGCGGAGGTACTCGGATTTTGCACTGACAACTATCTCATGCGATACTGACCGTTTTCATTCAGATACAATCTGGAGCTCATCTTGTGAAATCTATGACAAAATCTCCCCCGCCTATCGCAAATTCCTCGAGGGCCTAACCGCCACGTTTTGCCAGTCCAGACTTCCAATCGCCGCCGCTGCTAAAGGGTTCGAGCTATATGAGGAGCCCCGCGGGTCCCCAAACAATGTTGGCGCTTCCCTCCGCGCTGTCCACCCGGTAGTCCGCAGCAACCCCGTAACCGGATGGAAGAGTCTGTTCGCCGTAGGTAACCACGTCGAACGGATCAACGAATTGACACCCGACGAAAGTAGGCGGCTGCACGACTGGTTCCTACAGATGATTGTAGAGGAGCATGATACTCAATTGAGGCATCGGTGGGAGAATCAGTATGATATCGGTTAGTATGATCCATCGTCCACCCATCCCTTACGTTCAATTTCATTTTATCTTCACATATCAGACAATAATTACCTTGGCCGCAGCTATCTGGGACAACCGCACCGTTTACCACTCGGCCATTTTCGATTTCGCGGGATTGGGAGCTCGTACAGGTCACCGGGCAGTGAGCATCGGCGAGAGGCCCTACTTTGACCCAAACAGCAAGACCCGCCGTGAAGCCCTTGCTGAAGAAGGATTGATGTTCTAGCGGAACAGAAGTTCGAAACTAACTTCACCAACATGCACTCTTCCATTCTTTCCGCACTGCCGATATGCTAGCTTGAGAAATGGGTAGATCTAAGTGGAGCCTGGGTACATTGATACATAAACGCAGATCCCTACCCCTCTAAGCCCCAAGATTTGGCAGCAAAATATACTGTGCCTTCACCTTCACCATTCCGAGCTCCATCTTCGGTCTACCAACCTTCTGCAAGATTATTTGAACCAGGAAACTTTGCAGAGTAGATAGGACGGTACTATTTCAAAGCTTGCTGTACTTGGAAATATATTGGATATCTATATATTTTCATTCTTCTTCAACTTCAACGTTTACGTTTACGTTCCAGGAATGACCCTATGCACTCGTACACCTTATTCCAACGATGTTCAGGCTCGACTCGAGAAAGTGTCCAAGCTACTAGGTATTACCCTATATATTTCTGCCAATTTCGTTTTCCAAATGATTTGAGCTCTAAAAGGAAGTCTTCGATTGGATTCAAGTAGGGTGAGTGCGGTGATAATTATGGCGAACTAACACCAACACTTGAACAACACAGCTTTCTCATCCGTTATGTATTGGGGGAAGAAGCATTGTCCATAATGAGGACGGATTTGGCTCTGGCCATGTACCGCAGTAATGGAGAAGCTGTTAATAAAGCTCTCGAGCATTGTGACATCAGTCGACCCTTGGAAAACTCGCGATATTAATATATCATCCTGGCAGTATGCTAGAATTATGAGATGGGTAAATACAGGTTTAGCTAGGAATGTAGTGCTATTGGCGATATCTGAGAGTGAGCCATCTAGGCATAGGCTGGATGATCCTGAAGAATCCCCTCGGCACAGAAGAATTTGGTACCGCGGATCCCGCTGGAAACACACATGCTGCGGGGACCAGCCAGTTATGCTGAAACCAGCCTGTTTTTTACAGTCTGATTCATCCATGTAAACTAATTGGTATATGCAGAAATCCGATAGATGATAGAGATAGTTCAGATTCGCATCCCGTTCTTCTGCTATCCGTCGAGCCACTTGCCTGGTCCAGCCATGCGATCGAATGGCTTGATTGATAGTGCATGTGGCTATGACCCCCCAAAATTTATTGAACAAGAAGTCCAGGTACAAATCAGGTTTTTCCACGGCCAGCGTACGGAGATGGGCCTGGGTTGGTTCGGGCCGAGTGTTCACCCGGCCAACCAGCCAGGACCATCCATGGACGTACGCGGGTTGTAAGTACCATTTCGTCTCCAAATAAACCCACTTATGCGTGAAAATAAAGGAAAATCAGGTGTATGTGCGACTTAGTCTCACCGCTAACCCTTATATTGGAGTCTAGATTGGGGCAGCAGAAATCGCACAACGCAGACTCATGGATAAAATAAACATTTATATAAAGGGGTAACCTGCAAATAGGGTTCTTGATACCTGTTAGATCACTGTGCCGTCCTTCAAGTTCCTGCGTCGAGTATCGGATTTCCAGTACCAATATGACCTCCGCGAGTTCGACAAAAATACTCACAATCAGCGAGTTGCGCGCAGCAGCATCCTCCAAGTTACCAAAAGAAGTTGGAGGTAAGAAAGCTTAGACTCACAAAGTGCAAACTTTCACTTCCAACTGTTACTCATGGTAAGCGGAATGACTAGAGTACTTCAATGAGGGGGCCGGGGATATGATCACGTATGTTCAAGTGCCATTCGCAGATGTGTAACACATTATCCATGTTAACCTCAAATCTTAGCTTGAGTGACAATGAGAGAGCCTTTGATCGCTTCAAGATTCGACCCCGTATTCTTTGCGATGTGTCCAAGATTGATACCTCGACAACATTTTTAGGTCAAAAGGCAAATTATATCATCCGTTTCCCTAGAATCCAATTAACAAATCCAGGTCTCCTTGCCGATAGGATTTTCTCCAACATGCATACAGTGTCTTGCACATCCCGACGGTGAAGCGGCCACATCCCGAGCAGCAAGTCAATTAAATATCCCAATGGCCCTATCAACATTCTCAACGGTTTCATTGGAAGATGTCATTTCTGAGCGTAAAGAGGGCCAGAATCCATACGCGTTCCAGCCAATTTTCCCCAGGGATCGCAGTAAAACACTTAATTGGATGAAGCGAGCTGAAAGTGAGAGGATTTCTCCTTACGACCAAGCTCATTTTTCTAACAAATCTGCTGTTTCCCTCAATAGAATGTGGTTACAAAGCTATTTTCATCACTGTCGACGCTCCAGTTACGGCAAATCGTCTGAGAAAGAAAAGAAACAGCTTAGAGCTGCCCCCTCACCTTTCCTTCCCTCTCCTGTCGGCCAGTCGGGACAGATCGGATCACGAGTCTGGTCACGATCCGAGTAAAACTTGGGACGACGTTATCCCATGGGTGAAAGCTAATACAAGTTTAGAAGTATGGTTGAAAGGGAGTAAGTGGGACATTTATGCTTTCGAAGAGAAATAAAAGGATGCTGAAATATACCAGTCTCTTGCCCATATGATGTTTCGAAAGCAATTGACTACGGCCTTGACGGCCTGATCATCTCAACCCACGGAGGAAGACAGTTAGATGGTGTTCCAGCAGCCATTGACATCTTGGCAGAATGTGCTCCATTGGCGAATGGTCGCATAAAGGTTGGATTCGACAGTGGAATCCGTCGAGGAGCTGATATATTCCGTGCTTTAGCTTTAGGTGCCGACTTTTGTTTCCTTGGAAGAATTCCCTTATGGGGTCTTGCTGTAAGTGGGTATAAAGAAATTTCCTGACTTGATCTAATAAAATATGTATCCACAGTACGACGGACAAAGTGGAGTTGAGCTAGCGGTGAGAATTCTGGAGGAGGAGCTTCGCAATACTATGGCACATGCAGGGTGGGTAATACATTCAAATGCGAAGTCATGTCACTTCGATACTAACTGTGCACAAGTTGTGCTTCATTAAAGGAAATATCAAGAACACATGTATCAGTGATTGGCGCCAACGGGCTGTTATGTAATGTCTGATTTTGTCAGAACGGGGTGCTGAAACTTTGTGAACCGCCTTGCATGTTCCCTGAATTCTAAACTTTTTAAGGCCTAGCGACAGCGGGTGTTTCAGGAGTGTGGACTCACGCTAGTGCTGCTAGCACGATTTGCTGCGTTGAGACCGTCCTGAATTGGCTGCCCACTAAACCTGATTTGACTCCTACTCCATCTATATAGAGGCTATCCCAGTACATATGAATATTGATAACACAGTAATACCACCAGAGCAAGAGATCCAACCTTGTACGACCTATAAAACTGATGCCACCTCTCCACGAAATGTTTTTGGTAGCTGCGGGCATGAACAGTCAGAGAGGTTGGACTAAAGCAGTGAATCAAACCAAACCTGGTTCATATCACCTGGTCAGATTTTGACTTCCAAGGTTTTCACCCCTACCTTCCTATCAACTACAGTGCTGGGGCCACTTCATCGATGATTCTGTGAGTGGGATGCTCACCAGTATTCAACCAGACGCCTACGCAGCGTACACCCTCCCATCCCCGACTGACAAGCAGGCCAGAGCCCCCCTGCAAATGAGATTGATTCTATAGAACCAAGTATTTAATCCTCTTTACAAGATATTAGTTGAGGTTTCAGGATAGCACTCCTAAAGTGGGTCGATGTCTCCTGCCTTACTGGGGGTCTGAGACTGGACCAGTTGGCGGCTTCTGCAGAACATCTCCTCTCAGTGCATTTCTTCCTCACTACGTACAGTTCAAGGGCAGGATAACTTCCAAGTGATCACCGTCTCATATTCCAGAGATGCGTCGCTGAAAACATCTTGGCTGGCAACCACATCCGCACAGCCCGCACAACGAAAGCCCGATCCACCTCGTGACCGAATTTAATTAGGATCATCCGGGTGAAAAATGAGAGCTCTGAGCTCGATACTCGCCCTAGGTGCCTCATGTTCTGTCGCGGGGTTAACAAAAGCAGTATGCGGCACCCGTCTCGCCCTACCGTCAACCTTAGAATCAAAAAGTTTGATCAAAGTGACCATCTCCGGCGGTTGTTTGTAGCGATAGTACCACTTGATTTTTGGATCAGCTTTAACAGCCCACCCCTCCACCTGTCGATCAGGGAAATGAATCTTGACAGGGAAAAGATCGCTTTCAGGCGTGGAGTGTGCATCCGCGACCGCTAGTGGGTCCTTCAGGATCGTTTGGATCGGACGCCAGACGCTGATCATCTGGTAGCGGTGCTTGAGGAGTTCTGGTGCCTCATGAGGAAAATGGTAGCGGACTCTGGCCGCAGCTCCGGCGTAAGATGAGTCGATGTGGACGCGTTGGACAGGACCACGGGCATCTCTCTCAGTAGTCCAGTCTTTTGAGGCTTGACGGATGGTGTGGTCAAAGACGCAGAAACGAGTGGCACCCGTGCTACACGGTTTAGTTTTATTTCTTGTTCATTCCAGGTCCAAGGGTTTTGGTTTACTTACACGTCTTTGAGCAGTCGCTCCGTCTCTAGATAGTACTCTGCTCTGATCTTCTTCTCATCAAAAAATTCCTTCATTTTGCTTTCGTGGTAATAAAATTGAAATCCATGGCTGTCAAGTGTGTAGTCGAGTTCATGGCCGCTGATATCATGGATAGTTGCAGGAAGGGTGGTGATGGGTCTATTGTAGCTTTCTGGTTTCCCAATGTACATCGCAGGTGGAGCAGAACCGTCTTCGTTTTCTTTGCTGAAGGTCAACGTAGTTCGAACATTTTGAGGGTTCTCAGCGAGAGGGATTTTGAACTTTTCCGAGTCCACAAGATCATGGGACCAGGGCAGATGAACAGCTGTCGAAGCCATACTCCAACGTTGATTTGCGGGTATCCAAGTTTGACGTGATATTCTTCGTTTGCGTGACGGTTCAAGAGCGGAGGGAGAAAGATTATATACGTACGTTGATTCTGCGAGAAGATTGATTTTTCAAAGGACAATACGTAATCTAGAAAGCAAAATGCAGAACTCTTTTGCATATATATGTGGATAATGCTCCGCTGTCTGAGAGGTTGATTCAACGGATAGGATAATGAAGCTCGAGGATAAACGACCATACTAAAATGAGCCGCCTCCTGGCTCCACATTTTGTGACAGGGGGAAATTCTGGTAATAAAAATGGAACAAGCAAAAATTCATTTCGAGCGATTTGAGCTTTGATATCCTCGTAGTGATTATCGGCTTATTTGCCCTCGCTTATTTGAAGGCTTCCAGTTCTTCTTTCGTATCATTTGTGCCACCTTAATTCATGACGGAGGAAGAATTGGGTCCTGGCTTTCTTACGCTTTACTCATAATTGCGTAAGATTATATAGGATTCTGGTCGTGCCCTCGAATTACCCGCTCGTTTAAAATGAAGCTTCCACGGTACTAATTCAACAGATGTCGAACGAATAGGCGCTGACTGACCACTAAAAACACAGTTTCCTAGAAGTATCCTACCCATTTCTCATCTTTGTACATAATCAGGGATAAAGGGCAGTGCTAGACATACTAGCAATAAGCTCTTTTGCCAACACCAGTTGCCACGGCGTTTAATTCAGCAGTGTCTTCGCTCCTCCTGGATACACCATTATCGGGGAATCAATATTTCTCAGTTTTTATCTATTCGATAGCTCCTATACGTATGCAGGTATGTAAATGTTAGCCTGTCCAATTGACCTTAATTAAGGGAGGTGTATCAGCGATCCATGCGGTTTTCAGTACCGCATCATTCCTTTGTTCGGTCATTAGAAGTGAATTCTTCACAGAGCTGACAGGATACGGGCTAAATTGGTTTGGATGCAGGTCTCGAACGGATAAGTGTGTTCGGTATCAAGGTAGCTTGATAACGACTGCTGGCTTCCAGCTAGGACCTCTTAGGAGATACTCTTGTCGTTTCCCCGAACCTTCTCTCTCTTTCCATGCTGCTCTAAGCTGTGGAGATCAAGCATCGACTTGCTGGAGTGTCAACTGAATCGTCTTCCGTTATAATTTTCTTATATTTTGCGCACGGATCCTTTTCCTCAGGCTCGGCAAAAGCAAAGGTAAGCTAAGGCTTGTCCAGATGAAAGCCCCACATAGGCCTTAATTTCTATCAGATTCATGCCTAGGTGGGTTCAGCATGAGATGAGTGGAGATCATGCGCATATGGCCCAATTACCGTGTGTTGGAAGCCGGTCGCTTAGTACTACCGAAATCTGGATTGATTGAAATTCTCATATATGCCAATCCTTGATATTAAGATTTGATCTTCTGAATGACAGAGACAGAGCCAGCTCCTACACCTTCACAAGACCCAGAGCACCGCGTCTAGCGTTGATCGCCATCCCATCAATGTCGTTACCGTCTAACAATCCAGTGTCTGGTTGCATGGCAGCCCTGATTATTTTATCGCCAATGCTGATGTCTTCCGATCGATTTTGCGCCTTCTGTATAACTGTCAAGCAAAAGGCAACCGCCTCGGAAGCATCCTCCGGCGCGGCCTTTCCGGTAGATTCTTCTGCGGACCCCTGGATAACTGCCACCCATGTTAAGTTAGCCAACAGAACTTGCTTCTCGATCAACAAAAATATCATGGCAAGAGCACGTACTAGGACGAATTAATTCAAAAGCATTGTCAAAGTTGCTCTCGCCTTCATCATTGAGAATCGATGCTTCTTTTCCAGTGATCTGCCCATATGTGCTCGCGACCACGAGCAAAAACCTTGCGTACGCTTCGTGGACTCTCTTTGAATGCCAATCCGCCGCAAACTTTTCAGAGCAGTCGCCCCTAATCGAGGAGCAAATAGTTGCTGCGGCCGAGAAAGCTCCAGTGAGCGCAAGGTGAATACCCGATGAAAAGAGTGGGTCAATAAAACACCCAGCATCTCCAACAATCCGGATATTTGTACTTGCATAGGTGGATGCAGTGTAGGACCAGTCGGAAGCACTCTTCACGTCGGAAACAAGAGTGGCCTTTGCAAGAAGAACACTTATCTCAGGCGCCTCTTTGACCTGTGCCAAAAGCCACGTGCGAGAAGAAGGGGACTCCATCAGCTTCTTCTTAGCAGTGGCACTTTTCTGTTCCATGACAACTCCAACAGAGACTCTATTCTCTTCCAGGGGGATGAACCATACCCAGCCCGATCCATCTGTAGTAGTGGTTAGGTTTCTCCCAGTTGAGTGATACGGCAAGTATAAAAGTTAGACATACCTGGAAAGCTTGCAAAATAGGGGCAACCTTCAGCAAATGTGCCGACTCCGTACATTTCAAACCCCTCAAAGTAACCCCAAGTAGCAACGTTTTTCAGCCCTTCATTGAACGTGCGATTTTTCATGTATTTAGTACTGATCAAGCCCGCTCGGCCGGAGGCATCCACCAGGTACCGAAACTTAATGCTGCCGGTGGTCTTGTTTTTGCTAATCCAGGAAGCAGAGACTGGCTTTCCAATATGTGCTTGCTCGCCGCTCTCTTGTCCATCCTGACAACCTGTTGGCAAAAATTCAATAGATTGGACCTTAACTCCGTCGAAGGCCCTCGCGCCACATTCTCGGGCATGTTTAAACATGAGGTCATCGCATTCAGATCGGTCCACATTCCACGCGTGTTGACCATGTTGAAGAAAGTTGGAGTCTATTTGTTCAGTCAGCAACGCTTGGGACGATTGAAACGCAGGTGTTATTCATTACATGCGGCTGGCTTGCTGTTGAATTTAAATGCAGCACCGTTCTTTGTTCACCAGAGGTTAGCTGCCTGTCTCTCAACGACTTCAACCAGTTGAACTGATCTAACCTTTTTTCTGAACCCATGGCTTTCGAATTTGTCATAAGCATCAACAAACTCAAGAAAAGACCCTGTAGTCCGCAATAAACTCTCTCCAATGTGGTATCTGGCTTTACATTTAACCTCTGTAGAGAATGGATTCTTGACGACCTTGGATGATCCGAAGATTTGCCTCGAATAATATTGAGGTGAACTCACCTCGGAAACTCGTCTGCCTCCAGGAGTACCGTATGAATGCCTTCCCTAGCGAGCACCGAAGCAGCATACGAGCCCCCCGGTCCGCCGCCTACTACCAACACCGTACATCTATCAGGGATATCCATTTATTCGTGCTGTTGGGATGATCGGTGTGTGAAGTCTTGCAGGGAGTAGAAAGACAGTATATAAATCAGGGAAAATATCAACTGTCTGCAGTAACTGGCTTGGATTTCTCGTTGTTTATATAGCCTTGGTTTTCTTGGTTTGTGCTGATTTTGTGACGAGCTGTCGTACAAACCTTTGGGGGATAATACCACTAGACTAAAAACGCTCCATGGGCTGCATTCTTAGTCTATACGGTCATTTGTCATTTCGGCACGAGCTTTTTCTGTTGATACCGCAGCATAGAAGGATTTCCCAGAAACCGGAAGCTACAATACCCCAAGGACTCCACGACGTATGAGATGAGCGTAGAGCTGAAAGCCCACAAAGTTGTGCGAACGGGGCCCTAGCGTCAGCAATTCGGAGCTAATGAAACTATTGGCTGACCAATATGTTCCACTTCGCTGTTCCGTTATCTTCCGTGGCTGCCCGTTCCTCAATATTACGTTTACTAAGTTTGCGGTGTCCTCATTGCATTTGCCTCTGTCCCCGTTTTCCCACTCGGTGACTGTCCAGGCGCAAGTCCTTCGTAGAAGGGTTGTTTGTCTCGAATCAAGTCGACCTACTACAAGTAGTATCGACAGTTTGTCTTGATTTTAACTTCTTAGTAACGGATAAGATATGATCTTCGTCAAAGCTTCTGACAATTTTGTTGTTAATTTCTCAGCGGACCATGTTGAACGTTGATCACATGTGATTACAAATAACACCAAGTCATGAAGTTCTCAATCTTTAGTTCCTTGATGCTACCGAAACTTCGGTAAAGATAGTTTGAATGGTTGCAGGTCCCAAAAGCGAAGAGTAATTATTCCTTGCGGGGTTTCATGCCACGAAGAATCTGCAAAATGCACGGGAAGCCTACGGAACTAAAATAAGGGATTCCATGTGTGAAAAGGCTGTACAACCTTTTAATCTCCATGTGGCAATTGAATATCGCGCCGCCCCACGACTACGTATCAATATAGAAAGCCTCAAAGCCCCTCAGCAGCGAACGCCTTTCTAGTCGCCTCCCTCCCACCAACTGCTTCATACAATGCCGTATACCTCGGATACAAACCAGGCATATCAACATCACATCCCAAGCCCCAACGATGAAAAACAAACAAATAAGCATCAACAGCCGTAAAGTCACCACCCACAGCAAACCTCCCATCACCCGCTTCACCCAACCTCTGCTCAATAATCTCAAAACAATCTGTTACGATTGTCATTCCCCTCTTCTTAAGCCCCTCAAACTGTGTCTCATCATCCGTGTACCGGCGGAATCGAAACAACAATCCGAAGCCCTGCCCGTGTAGTGTACCGGAGAGCCAAGCCAACCATTCATAAACACGGACCGTTTCCAATGGCGTCTTTCCGAAAAAGGTTTTCTCAGGTGCCAGGTTGGAGATCGCTTTCATGATGGCCGGGTTCTCGGTTATGATTGTATTGTTTTCGAGGGCAAGGACAGGAATTTTGCCTTTCGGGTTCAAAGCGTAGAGTGCTGCTGTGAATTGGCCAGTTTTCTCTTTGTGGATGGAGAATGGAAGCCCGCTTTCTTGGAGTAGGATGTGGGGCGCTAAGGAACAGGCACCTGGGGAGTAGTAGAGCGTTATTTCGCTCATCTCTTTGTAGTTGGTTTGGATATGAGGGGTAGCTTTTTGTCGAAGCTGTATTTGCTGGTGTTGCTATTCTGGTTATTGGTTGCTACTGAGGAAAATGGAAGCTTTTGTACCCTGGTCATTCCTTCTGAGAATGCGATCGTAGTTGTTTGCTTGCCAACACATGCATTGATTTTTAAGCGGGGGGCGGAAACGATCCATAGGCATTAGTTAACTAACTAGAAGACACATACGATTGGTAATCAAATACCCTTTCGATCTCAAGATGGAAGGTATCAGTGCACGCTGATACTGTATAGCCTAGTATGCGAAGACGACGAATGATATCAAGCGGAACCAATATAGATGAATAATATTGATTGATTTAGTAGAAAGATGGGGGGAGAAGCGCTGTTAAAAACACACACTCAGATACACCGCTATTCGATGTGTCTGATGTCTCCGGTACTCAGCTGTGGAAATGGCTGCATTACAGCTCGGCTCCCTGATTACATAGGAAATACTGTCGAAATATGTGGAGTGGTAACTTACCACTAAGAACGGGCTTATTCATCAAGCGCCTAGGTTTCTTATGTTTTTGTATGTAATACTGGCTTACAGAGAAACTCAGGCTTTGTAACAGCCGAGTATCGGCCGCACGGACAGAAATACGTCCGTACAGCCAGGGGATAGCTATTCAACAGGCGATCCCCCTGATCTTCTATCATCATCAATCTGATCAATTATCTCTCGTCCTATTTGGGCATCTTTTATACTAGCCTATACAGAATTAGCCTATTCTGTTAGTTATGAGCCCGAGTGCACACTGAAGCATCAAGATATAATTAACGAAGACCGTTGCTCTGTATCTTGACAGTGAGAGCCTTCCTATCGCCGAATACCCCTGAACGACTGTGCAAAATCCTGGAAGAGATTAATAAGGACTTAGACTAGAGGAGACACCGTCAGGATCACGGCAAAAGATATATATAAAGATGTCTGATGAGACTGAATCTCAAGCAATTTAACCTATCCTATAGGACTAGCGGTTGAGGACGAAGGCCTAGTAGAGGGTCTGGATTAGTTACTTTGAAACTAAAGCTATCGAAAACGACCTTTAGGAGTATCTTGACCCTGTAAAGATAGATGTAGAGATTAAAGAGCTTCTAAAGAAGGCTCCCCTGCCGCCGGTTAGTAAGATTAATAAGAATGCGACAGACGAAGTCGACCTTACCGATGATGAGTATAAGAAGTATATACGAATTCTTAACAGATACGACCGCGAAGAGGCCGAACGAGCGAGGACTGCCCGAGCCCTTAATAGGTTTAGTGATGCTATATCCCGTTTGTTAGCCGTAGAGTACTATTATATGCTTGTAGGCGTTATCTCTGCTCGTAAGAAGTTAGTGAAGCTAAGGTAGAAGTTCGTATAGAAGGAAGCCGACCGTATAGAAGACCTCCGAAGATAGTGGCGTTAAATGCTAACGTACCCGTCTAATAATATATCTATCGATAAGTGATTAACCGCCTAGACGTCTCTGTACGAAGAAGCTAAAGCTGCGGGTGTACTAGATATCTTATACGGTCTAACGCCTGCTAAATTCGCTATCAGAGACTTCCTCGGAGCTATCCAGGTCTAGGATGATCTCTTCTGTTTAACCTAGAGTGATAGGTTAGAGATAGAGAATCCTACCTTTAGTAAGGTTATATCCGTATACCGTATACGACGAAGTCTGCTAGAGCGTTTAGGAAAGGAAAGGGCTAGAAAGCTAGCTATATTAATACTAGATAGCTAACCGGAGGTAATACCTAAGTAAGGAAACACTAAGGGTTAGTAAGATACTAAAAATCATTAGAAAGACAAGAAAAGGACCCCCTATATATACGGAAGAAACCATCCCTAGAGATTCTACTATTATATCGTCGAAAGTATTAGGCTAGACTACTAGAAGCTACGAGCCGAGACGGAAGAACTAGTCGCGAAGGCTATCAAGAAGCTTAGTAAATTCGACTAAGAGAAGATCGCGAAGATTAAAGAGGATAGAGACACTACCTAGGCTACTGCCTAGCTAGCAGTAACCGAAGAGAAACAGGGATCGATTAGGAGAGTAGCTATATATACAGCCAACATATCCCGTTAGGTTAACCGAATAGCTAAGAGATATCCCCTTAAGGACTCTTAGATACTAGACTTAGGAGCGAACGTCTATATATATAACTACCGAGGGAGCTTTGAAAGCCTTACCGAGGAAGAATTTACTATTAAAACCGGTAATAGCGACTCTATTATCAAGGGCAGAGGAATAGCTATCCTCCGGTTAATAGACCTAAAGATAGGTAAGAAGCGAGAGGCAGTAGTAGAAGCGCTATACGCACCTAATTTCTATACGAATCTACTATCCCTCGGCCGTATTAGTAAGAAAGGCTTCGAATTCTATAGTAGAATCCCCGCTATTATTAAGAACAAAGAGCCTATTAGAGCGTTAGAAAAGAGGTATAACCTCTATATCGTGGGAAATACCTAAGACAGACAGAAACTACCTAAGAGCACTCCCCTAGCGATAGCAATAGATTACCCTAGGCATAGCCAAAAACCCCTTATATCCGTCGCTATACCGAAGCGATAGTATCAACGACTCGTGTATATATATGATTAACGGATCGAGAGGCTCTCGGAGATAGTCGATAGTATCGAGGTTAAGAGAGACACTACAGATAATATAGAGTATAATCCTAAGAGATATAAGGTCTATCAGCGTAATACAGCTAAGAGACAGATATCTAGGAGACCTACAGCAAGAGAGCATGTCTTTAGAAGATATAGAAGGATTCATTTCGACCTTATTCAGCTTACCACGGCCTATAACGGCCACTGCTAGATAACTTATATATATATTAAGGGTATCCGGCTGTATACGACAGTTTCTTACGAAAGAAAGAACGGCTATTAATCGGCGATCATACACTTTATCGCCGTACTAGAGATACAGCTAAAAATAACAATCCGGGTGTTCAAAAGCGACTATAAGAGAGCGTCCGGAAAGACAGTAGACGATTTCTGTCTAGACAGAGGCATAATCATCGAACACAGCGTTATTAGAACGCCGGAAACGAACAGCTACGGTAAACGATCTAGGGGGGTAATCATCGGAGTAGCTAGAGGGCTTCTCATAGAATCAGGCCTACCTAGAAACCTCTAGCCAGAAGCAGTCATAGCAGCGGTTTATATTATTAACAGATCGCCCACTAGGCTACCTAACGGCGAATAGATCATTCTATACGTTGAAGCGATGCACCAAGACCAGAATCGGCCAAAATTCCGCCTAAACCTATCGAACCTCCGTATATACGGTTACAGAGCGTACATACGCCGCCAGGGCGTCCCGAGGATAGCTAAGATAGAAGATCGTACAGAGATCGGCTATCTCGTCGGTTATATAGCTTCCAATATATAGCGAATCTAGTTTCCGCACAGGGGAGCTATCAGGGAAGCGCGCGACGTAGTATTTAATAAGAATATTAAATTTAATCCCCGAGAGCTTTAGGTTAGACCATCCGACGATATCATCGACACCCTACCTTAGAATATTAGCCTTAATAAAGAGGAAGATAGTTAGCTAAATATATATAGTAAAGGGCTCGTAGAAGAAGCAACAGTCGCAGAATAAGACACCCTACTAATATAAGATATCCCTTAGCCGAGTGCGTTAACCGAAGAGACGATAGAAACTCAGAAGGACGGTTAGAAGGATAGACAGGTAGTCTATTAGATACTATCCCCTATACCGTCGGTAACGCAGGAAGCGTCGTAGCCAGCAGAGATCTCTATATCTCTAACACCGGATATACCGCCAGAGGCGAGCCCGCCAGGGGCATTTCTAACTAAATTTCGTCAAGAGACCCCTAATAAACAGCTTCAGGATGAGCTCCAAGAATATATAACACCAAGAGCGCCTAGAGATATCGACGGGACGGTCTTACAGACTAATATCGTCACGGGTACGTACCAGAGAAGGGCTCCGTAGGGTTATAGCTATCTCGCAATAATACAGGACCCTAATGAAAATCACGACGGAGTATTAGCCGTATATATAACTAGCTTGAACCCTCCCTAGCCGTATCAACGGCCACACTAGGATAACTTACCTCCTATACCTACAAATTAGCTAGAGATGATAAAACACCTATACCGTAATATATTCATCGCCGCGGCATCGCTAGAAGTTAAAACGCTAGACAGAAAAGAGATATACTAAGAGATCGACCGCCTAATAGACCGAGGCATCTAGATCTTACTATTAAAATAGGTCTTTACGTATAAATTCGACAGTAATAGATTCCTAGTAAAGTATAAGGCCAGAATCTACGTACGTAGAGACCTCTAAGCCGTTAGCAGTAACGAAAAATACTCAGTAACGTTAGCAGTACGGACAGCGAGGTCCGTCTTTATACTAGTAGCTACATTCGACCTAGATACCTATTAGCACGACGCCGTTAACGCATTTCTGAACAGCCTACTAGATAAAGAGATCTATATAGAACTACCTCCTAGACTATTCCCTTAGGGGAAGAAGAAGAGAGTCTAGAGGCTTATAAAGGCCCTATATAGCCTACGGAAGTCTCCTAGGCTATAGCAGCGTAAGGCCTCTCGGGTACTTACCTCCCTAGGTCTCCGCATTGTCTAGGAAGATCTTTATCTCTTCGTCGGTAACGGAATTATTATATTCTTCTATATCGACGATATTATTACTATTAACTACCCTATAAAACGGATAGCCGCAGATAACCTACGGAAGAAGCTCTATAAGGTATAGGAACTAAGGGAAATAGGTAAAGCGTAGTGGTTCTTAGGGATACGTATCCTTAGAGATCGCCGACAGAAGGCGTTTTGGCTATATTAAGATTCCTATATCTCTTCAATAGCTAACCGATATTATCTTACCGAGAGCCGTAGGTACGATACCCCCCCTCCCCGAGACGACGATAAAGCTATATAACGGTATAGCTATACCAGAGTAGATTCATCAATACTAACAGAAGGTTAGGTCTGCCTAATATACTACTATAATCAGTCGACTAGATATAGCTAAAGCTACTAGAGGTCTAGCTCAGTTTCTAACGAACCCTAGGCCTAAATATCTCTACGCTATCGATCGAGTTATCTCCTACCTCTACCAGACGAAATCTAGGGCTATTATATACCGTACACCCTCGTATCCGTCCGAACTATATAGAGAGATAGCGGAGGTACAGATCTTTAGTAATACATCCTTCGCTAATAACTATAACCGGAAGAGCTCGGAGGGATATATCTATATAATATATAGTAGACCGGTTAATTAGAAGGCTTCTAAATAGACGACCGTCACTACCAGCACCACCGAAGCTGAATTATTAGCGATCTCATCGGTAGGGAGATCGCTATATATATAGACTCGCTTATTTAAAGCGATTAATTACCTACTAAGTCAACCCGTCGCCTTAAGATACGATAACTAGCAGACTATCGGTCTATTAACTAAGGAAACACCTTAACTGCGCACCAAGCTTCGTTACGTCGATATCCACTACTACTAGCTTCGTCAGGAAGTTCAGGCCGGTAGAATACCAGTGCAGTAGGTACCAACAGGCGATATAGTAGCCGATAGGCTTACCAAGCTGCTACCTAGGCAAAAACACACTAAATTCGTTCGTTTAATAGGTCTGGAGGATATTAAACAGCTATTAGAAGCTTCGCACACCTAGGTAAGATAGGCCACGCGCAGATTGGGCGAAATTAGCCGCTTGCTAAGGGGGTATATCGAAATATGTAGAGTAGTAACTTACCACTAAGAACAGGCTTATTCATCAAGCGCCCAGGTTTCTTATATTTTTATATATAATACTAGCTTACAGAGAAACTCAGGCTTTATAACAGCCGAGTATCGGCCGCACGGACAGAAATACGTCCGTACAGCCAGGGGATAGCTATTCAACAGGCGATCCCCCTAATCTTCTATCATCATCAATCTAATCAATTATCTCTCGTCCCATTTAGGCATCTTTCATACTAGCCCATACAGAATCAGCCCATTCTGTCAAATACAGTGGCAGTGCAAAAGTTTGAAACTATTGCTCCTTACCGCCCTACGACCCACCGCCTACACCGCCTACCTCGTAGACGCGTCGCGCCCTCTACCATTGCTATATCGCCCTACTATATTACCTACTACACTACCTACCACACTGCCTAGATGCCTCCTATACGCGTCGGTAGGCGACGGCCTATCGCTAGGCCTAGGCCGGCGGTTACACCACCACAACCTCGTCGGCCAAAGGCTAAGCTTAACGCCTACACACGCACCAAGTTCGTAGAGCTAAAGGATGTAGCTGGTTGGACCTTCCAACAGATTACCGACTACTACACCGACTATTCAATTAGCACAATCAAGACCTCTTACTATCGATCGCGCACACGAAGCAATAACGAGACCTCACCGCGCTCTGGCCGGCCGCGCAAGCTTGATGAATCGGATAAAACTAAGCTTCTTGAGGCTATTAACGAGAACCCTCGCATAACCTACGACGACCTCCTTGCTACGGTCAATAATAAGGTTAAACGACACTCGATCTGGCGTCTTTTACACGAGGAAGGTCGCCGAAAGTAGCTTATTCTTGATCGACCAGGGCTAACACCTTTTCATGCCGCTCAAAGACTTCGGTAGGCAACTACCTATGCGCACTACACACCCGATGATTAGGAGCGTATATTTTGGTCTGACGAATGCACAGTTAAGCGTAGTATTAGCGAGCGCCGCGAGTATACTTTTACTCCCCGACATCGATAGATTAAGGAACGTAATATTCGTAGAGTCGCAACCAAGGGAAAACAAGTAAAACAGATGTTTTGGGCAGCGTTTTCAGGGGCTACGCGTCGTACAGGCTTAATTCCACTCTTTCGAAACCCCGAGGGTACGTCTCGGGGTATTAATACGACCGTTATTCGCGATCTCTACCTTCAAGTTTTACCTACGTTATTTTTCAATCGGGACGGCATTTTTCAACAAGATAACGCGTCTACACATACTACGCGAATCGTCCGACAGGCTTTGGATAAGCTTGGTATTGAATTAATAGAATAGCCTGCAAAATCACCAGATTTAAACCCAATTGAAAACCTCTAGACGTTGCTTAAAAATAAGATCTATAAGATCTGTCCGGAGCTAAAAACGATGCGCAATAACGATACTACGCATGCTATATTGATTAAAAAGGCCCAAGAGGCTTGGGATGCGTTAGATCTTGATATATTAGCTAATTTATCTGCCACAATGCCTCACAGAGTGCAGGCAATTATTGAGGCCGACGGATGGTATACAAAATATTAGTTTTAGGAAGTTTCGAGCTAGCTATATTAGGCAATTTTGACTGGCAGAAAAGTCTTGGCATTGAGGGAAATAGTTTCAAACTTTTGCACTGCCACTGTACTAAACGAATGTGGGCCCATCAGCAACCAATCAGTTGCTAGCGGTAAGTTATCCCTTCATGTGTTGACAGAAGATGTTGCGGTGCACATGCAGTACAACGTGATGTACTATCTTAACTACTTGCCGCCCTCCGGCCTCACCGTATAAGAATCCACAGTTTATGATACCATGACCTTACAGAAGGTGATGACGACGTGGAGTATTACTTCTCGGTTTAAAATGGTACTAGTTAGTAATATTTGCTGACACCCGACGCCTCATGCAGGTTGCCGCAGCTCACCAGTCCACTGAGTATTCCGGAGCTTCCCAGCTACACACATCCAGCATCTTCATCGTGTCTCCCTTCCCCGTAGGCTCCATAAATCTTCTATTAGGACTTTGAGGCAATAATTGTGAATTGTTACACCAATTATATATTCTATTATTTTCATGTCATACTTCAACGAAATTTGGCTGTTTAGATCCTTTTGATCTTTAACGTGTTGAAATACGAGCAGATTGAAAACACTATTTCATGGATTTACATACGCGATCTAAATCGGTCCAGAGAGTATGTTGTCCGCTGCTAGCCGTAGTCTCCAAGGAACGTGGGTACCAAGTACAACATTATGGAGCGTTGGAAATAGATACCGCGAGAGTGGCAATCAAGAGCAGAACGGCGGTGAATAGAAAGGGGATTCCAACCCAGAAGTGCCCCAGCTGCAGTCCCCACTGAAATATGCTCGCCAGTAGTGGCCCTCCGGCCATGTGACCAACAGAATTCGCAGTCGTGACTCCGGTGTTCACAAGGCCTAAATGGTGCGAATCGACCATAGCAGTCAGAAAGCTGTGGGCGGTGACCGTAAAAGAAAATCCAATAGCAAAGAAAATCTGCCCCAGGATGAGAACGGCGGGGGAAGCAGCGAGGAAAATAATAAACGACCCAAGAGCTAGACAAGCGCCACTGATCAGGGTAATATATTTATCGGACTGAGCTTGGCCGCACCTCCCTGAATTGGTAAAAAGTCGTTTGAGAGTTGGTATTAGTGTAACTAGGACGAGCAGATTTATCCCAGAACGAAGAGAAATGAGATATGATGCCTATACTGTATGGTCAGCTCTTGTGCGGCACCGGGCTAATTACCATGTCAAGAAGGCCAACACCTTTGCATATCCCCAATTAAACTTAAACGAGCTGTACTGAAGAAGTATTCCGGAAACTTGTCGGCTCAACTGGCAGCTGAAGAAGGCACCGAGCATCAAGCAGACGTCCATAGTAATCCATTGACAATTATCACCCAATTTGGCCATAGTGTGGCTTAACCGATGCCTGATCTTTCCCGAACGCACGGATTTCGGGCCCTGGATCAGCCTATCGCTTTGAGAAAATCGCGAGCTTTTAGCGGAGTTGGCGAAGTTGGGCGCAAATAACAGCGCGAAACATATTGCTAGGGCCAGGAAGCCCAGAGACCCCAGGACTGGTATCCACGGTTCCAGTGAGATGAGAGAAGAACCAAGTGGAATAGATATCAACTCCGAGATGAGCACAGCAGCGTATAATTGAGAGAAGGCGGCGGTGCTATGCTCGAGCCTGTGTCAGTTCGTCATTCAGAAGTAAAAGGTGGTGCTCACGATACGTACCGCTTCTCAGGAGAACAAACATCACCGATCAGTGTATAACACATGGAAATGACTGATGCGCCACCTCCTCCGATCAGCTGCCATAGACCAGACACCCATACTGCGCGAAGCGGGAAGACCCGTGGGAAACGACCTTGAATTTGTTAGATGGCGTTCTTGAGTAACTGAGGAGAAATGCGTTAACTCAGAACACACAGACTATTGCCACCCAAGTATCACAAAGCAGACATCCGGTGAGGGCAAGGATCAAAACCTTCTTACGTCCAATGCGATCAGCCAAGGCTCCATAAGGAATCGACACCAACAAGGCTGAGAATTCGCAAAGTCAGAAAATGTGAGCTTCAAATTTGGGACCGTTGAGGGGCACGGTCTACCAGGAATCTTTTCAAATGTATCCTTCCATCCATTTATCAGAGCCAATTCGCCCTGAACTGCATTTACTTTGCAGTCCCCCAACCTCGAAATATCCCGCCACGCCGCATAGTGGTTACGACAAATGATGTCCTCGAAAATCACCATTCGAGGTGCCGTTGGAACCGAAGACGCGATGTCCAGTATAAGCATCACCACACAGGCAGTTATAGTAACTGCAAATGCACTTGGAACTGGACCATGCTGAGACCTCTCGTCGGCATCACTTGGCAGTGAGCAACTTGACGGTTGTAAAAATGGGACTCTTTCCGGGTCTTGATTCTCCGCTTCATCAGCTGGTGTGCTGTGGCTCCGATACGTAGCTTTGTTGCATCGTGACTGCGAGGGGATCCACGATGCACTACCCCGCGATCGCTGCTCTTCGGTATGCATCGTTGACATCTCGGGCATACAGGAGGGGAGTTTGGCAACCGTTGATGATGGTTAGAATATGCTCAGGCAGGGCCGCGAATGCGGAGATGTTATGAAACTCGTGATTACGGTCGCACCAGGCGGTTATTTAGAAAACCGAGCCACGTGATCTCTGTTATTCCATTCAGATCTGAGTGGGGCCCATTCCAAGGTTCAACGTTCCCAACGGCCCGTCCCCATCCGACCCTTCACATGGCTCTAGCGAAGATCTTATCTGAAACAAGGCTAGTATAGATGTATATGTAAGCCCAAGATTACGGTGAGGCAGAATGGAGCGCTGGGTTGTTTACCTATCCCTGGCGGTTGCTCCCCTGTGGTACCCCACTGTCTTGCACGTTACTCGCCTGCATTCAGGTGCAGAGGTCGCCTGACAAATGTCTAGTCGTATTTACCCACGTGCAGGGAACACATTATGCTGTCACACGGAGGCCCGCACACGTGCAGCCTAGCAGGAGGAGGATAAAAATAATCTGAGCCTGACGGAAATGACTCAGAGGGTGGAGCCCACCTGTGTAACCCCGGAATAAATCCGGAAGTGAGTTCCACTCGTTACAGTACATACTACGTATGGTGTAATTTTAGATTCTCCGTGACACTTTGAACTTCGAGGTCGCAACGTTACCGCTTGATTAGCTTGTCAAGTTTGCTACGTATCTCACACATTCTTTGCAATAGCGATTGTACTCAAGTAATTGTGTTACAGGCCGAACAATACATGACAAAAAGCGGTGTAGCCGTCGAGGGGTTTAAAATGATCACACATGTTCGCTATAACCAGTCCCCATCTCAAGGACTGGTAATACACGTCCCTTGCAACTTTCCTTGCTACCTAGCAATTTAACCTATATCATGTCACAACCCCGTCGTATGGATGATCGAGATGTGGAGAACCAGGTACAAAATTATCCCCCACCCCCTATCCACCCACTGATGTTGAGATACTAACCCTCACACAATTCTGTCGTAGTTTTCATTGAACTTGAGATCTTCTAATTCGAAGGTGAGCTATACGCAACTGCAAACCTCCCAGAAACATCGGCCAGGGGTTACTGCAATCATACCAAAATCAATAAAGCTCGGCGTTCTCGCTATTCTGTCGCTGTTTTTGATCATCAGTCATCCGCCCAACGCCAATATTTGGCCCTTCAAGACTCTCGAGCAAAATCCCGATACCGACGGTGCGTCGCAGGGCAAATATTCCCCTGGGCAGCTGGGGGCTGTTGCTAGTGAGAGCTCCATCTGCTCTCAACATGGAGTGGATATATTGAAGATGGGCGGTAATGCCGCAGATGTTGTGAGTATACCCCCAAGGCTCGGAGAGAACTATTGGCGACTATGGGTGCTGATACAATTGAATAGTTAGTTGCGAGCGAGCTTTGTGTTGGTGTAGTTGGTAAGAATACATGCGGTCAACCTTTATAAAGATCAGAAATGGCCAACAGAGAATAGCCATGTACCATAGTGGGATCGGCGGAGGTGGGATCATGCTAGTCAGGGCACCGAACAGTAGCTACGAGGTTATTGATTTCAGAGAGACTGCTCCGGCTGCAGCGTTCAAGGATATGTATGAACATAACAAAAATGCATCGCTCTATGGTGGCCTGGCCAGGTAAGATATTAATAAAATTTCCTAAAATATGTGAGCAAAACTAAAAACTGTTCTAGCGGAGTACCCGGTGAGATTCGAGGTCTTGAATACCTTCACAGCAAGTATGGTGTTCTTCCTTGGTCGACTGTCGTACAACCAGCTGTTCAAACAGCCCGTCAAGGGTTTCCTGTCGGAGAGGATCTTATCAGATATATGAATCATGCCACTGGCGACGAGGATTTCTTTACCAAGAACCCTACATGGGCGATTGACTTTGCTCCAGGTGGAACACGACTGAAGCTGGGTGACACAATGACTCGGCACCGATATGCGGATACTCTGGAAGCCATTGCCAAGTCCGGCCCCAGAGCATTCTACTCGGGGCACATCGCAGAGACAATGATCAACGCTCTACAGAATGAGAACGGTACAATGACGCTTGAAGATCTAGAAAGCTACACCGTGGCTATTCGGAATATCTCACAGATCGATTATCGTGGGTATAAGGTCACAAGCACATCGGCTCCTTCTAGCGGAGTTATCGCTTTGTTTATTCTTAAAATTCTAGAGACATATAAGGGTCTCTTCGCGACGGAACATTCTGTGAACCTAAGTACTCATCGTATGAATGAGGCGATGCGATTTGGATATGGTAGAGTAAGGTCCTTGACGGCGAATTCTTTCAGTGCGGAGACTCGCTGATACGGTGCCAGAGAACTTATCTCGGTGATCCGTCATTTATTGATAATATGGCTACGTATGAATCACAGACACTAGGCCAATCTATGATCGATGCCACTCGATCTAAGATCTCGGATCACCGAACTCAGAATATATCGGCTTATGACCCAGCCGGATTAGAAAGTTTGGAGACGTAAGTTCATCATCATATCATATTGCCTTTGATATTTGACTAAACTTCATCTTACTATCAGGCCTGGAACCTCACATATTGTAGCACTTGACAACACTGGCCTTGCAATTTCTTCAATTTCTACCATCAACCAGGTCTTTGGTGCTTATGTTATGGTCCCAGAGACTGGTATTATTATGAACAATCAAATGAATGGTAATCTCTAATAAGCACCCTCAATCAATACAGATTCGCCGCTAGGGGGATTTCCTTTCGTTTTTCCAAAAAAAGAAAAAATCTTTTTCTTCTAACTCTGTCTTTTCCACAGACTTTTCTATTCCTGGATCATCGGATCTGTTTGGATATATTCCCTCCAAGACAAATTACATCTTTCCTGGAAAGCGTGCACTTTCTTCTATTACACCAGTGATAGTAGAACGACCCAACGGTACACTGCTTTTGGTCACCGGATCCGCAGGTGGCAGTCGTATCATTACTGCCACTGTTCAAAATGTTATCCATTCGATTGACCAAGGACTCTCAGCTGCCGACGCACTGGCTAAACCGCGTTTGCATGATCAGCTGGTGCCAAACCAGGTCACCTTCGAGCACAGCTATGACAACGATACCGTTGGCTTCATGAAAAGTCTTGGCCATGAAGTTACTTGGGTTGCACCTGGACAAAGTAATGCTCAACTCGTTAGAGTATTACCCAATGGAACCTTTGATGCTGCCGGTGAGCCGAGACAAGTCAATTCGGCTGGATACTCTATATAGTGTATAGAGGAGGCTAGGATTGCATACTATGGCATATACTACAGCGTCTTACGAAGCATAAACAAGATATAGAAAAAGGGATCAAGTCCTGGCAATGGCATTTACCACATATCGCGACGGGAGTTCCTGAACCAAGGGAAGTGTAGTGAAGCTGAGATATAATTAGCTTTGCTAATAACAAATCTTTTATGGCTGAATTTGAAAACCCACTCAAGACAGAGATTCAGAGTTTTTTAGTAGAGCCTTTCGGTTCATGGAAGTTTTCTATGCTTGTGTTCAGTAGTGATTTCCTTGTAGGCTCTAGGGATCAGGTCATTTATCTGTTATAGAAGATGGTTTCTCTCTTTGGCCTTCTCATCATGCCTGGAGACAAAGGATTTTCAACCCATAGCTGGATATTAATCGTTAGCTTAAAGATAAAAAGCTGTCATTTCGAAGAACTAGAGTGAGTATTGATATAAACAGTGAATGCATGCTGCATTTTCTAGAATTTTGAGAGAGATAAAGTCTCCTTCTCTATTTAGATCACAAAATACTATATGAGAACACAAAGGCCTCTTTAAACTGTATTATCTTGAATAGGATATTCATCTTACCTTTGGCTTAGTTACTTAGGATCGAATGACTCAGCGGTCGCCAAGTAATCACATGACTACTAGTCTGTAGGACACTGACCAGATCACTGAGCATGGGCCCATGCTGAAATTAACTCAGTGAGCCTAAGCCTGATCGCCCTTATAAAAGCAGTGGTAGCGCAGGCAGTAAAGCCCCTCAGCGGAAATTAGCCCGCATATATAGCTACCTACAAGTGTGTTCAGAATCATGTTTCCATGAGCATGCGATATAATGTCCACTGTCGAAACATGGAGTGGTAACTTACCGCTAGGAACTCATTGGCTCTTCATGGGCCCACATTCATTAGGTATTTGTATGTAATTGGGGTACTGTCATGAGATCAGGCTTTGTAATAGCCCAGTATCGGACGCACACAAGGGGATATTCAACATCTCTCCCCCCTGATGATTTTTCTTCAATCAATCACTGTTATTCATTCAAATTGGTTCCACTTGATCTCATTGGTCTCCTTTTCATACTAGGCTATACAGTATCAGCTTGCTTCGATATTCCAATAACTCCAATCAAGTTGATTAGACCCCGCTCAAATTCAGGGAATCAAGGGCCGAAACATGGACGCGGTCTTGAACGTGTAACAATGCCATTGCTAGTACATTTGGTAGCGTGAATGACATGATTTAAATAGCCAAACCTCGGAAGTAGTCAAATAAAGGTCGAATCGTGTAAGTTTGACCGAGACGGATAACATCCTATCCGGGCCAATTGGGGGTCTCCTCTAAAGAGGTGCAAGCGGGTCAAAAATATAATAAAATCTGTACTATTTCCCGTTTCCTCGATACATCTCGAATTCTACATTTACAGTTATAGCTCCATACCTAGCCTCCTTCCCGTGTTCCAACCCCACAAAACCCCCGCAAAAGCCTGTGACCCGCGACGTGCCCCCACAAGCCCTACAGGCGCTTCAATGCCCCACGATACCTTTTAATACTGAATCTTACCTCCGTCAGCTACCTTACCTGCGGTCTTGGCCTTGCACCTCCGGACCCATCCTCCAAGCCCCAGTGTCGTACTACTGTAGGGCAGCGTGTCCACTCTGCACTGCTCGCGTATACTGCCTTAGTCCATCAGGCGTGCAAGTGACTTTGTCCCTTATGTCATGCTTGACAACTTCAGATTGGATGGAGTGCCGAAAGCTAATGCCCCATGGCCCACTGAGGTACAACTCTAGTACCGGAGGCTTGGAACCATCTCCTGAACGGAATTGAAATATATATATGAAGTCAACCCACTTGCCTTCGTATGTTATCATCCGTTTCGCCATTGGAAACGGAGGCCAGCATCCACCCAACTACCTGCTCATCACCATGAAGGCTTATCGCTTTGACAGCGTGGAGGGCGGGCTCCAACTTCAAGATATTGTGAAGCCAAGCCCATCGGCTGGGCAGGTGCAGATCAAAGTGGAGGTTTGTGGCCTCTGCCACTCAGACTGCCATATCATCAATGGGCAAACGACGCAGATCCAGCGGCCCCTTACTCTCGGTCACGAGGCTGCGGGAGTGGTGACTGAGCTAGGTGAGGGTGTCTCGAACTTCAAGATCGGCGACCGAGTCGTCATCGGGCTGGGTGGCCATCCAACGAGACCCGACAAAGTAATCGGTCTCTCCTGCGACGGCGCATACGCGGAATACGCAGTCTCTCCCGCGAGGATGGTCGTTCCGATTCCCGGGAGTCTTAGCTGGGAGCAAGCTGCTGTCGCCACGGATTCGGTCGTGACGGCTTACCATGCTGTGGTGGCGGAAGGGAAGGTGAACCGCTCTATGAAAGTTGCGGTCATCGGTCTAGGTGGTCTGGGATCCATTGGCCTTCAAATCGCGATCCTTCAAGGGGCCGAGGTCTATGCCTTCGACATCGACACTAAGAAGGTGGAAATGGCACGCACTTCTGGGGCCAAAGGTTGCTTCAGGACACTCGACGAGGCCGAGGACGTCAAGTTCGACGTGATCTTAGATTTCGTTGGAATGACCGTCACAATGGCGGCAGCCCTGAACGCGATAGTATACGGTGGCCGTATCGTTATGATCGGCCTCAATGAACCCACAGTGACTTTATCAACCTTTGGCATGGCTTGCAACAACGTCGAAATCAGGGCTGCATTAGGTGGGAGCCTCAAGGAGTTGAGTGTCGTACTCGACCTGCTTGATAAAGGCAAGATAGTTGCGACAGTAGAGGAGGTACCTTTTGACAAGCTCTCGGAAGGACTACATCGGCTGGAGACAGGCAAAGTAGTCGGAAGGCTTTTCACGAGGCCAAACAGGTCTTAGAGGACAGCTCCTCGTCGTTGATGCCTCATTGAACGTTTGAATGATCTGGTGCTGCAGTGGATATACCAGCTGTTGACGCAACCGAGGGGCGCTTTGGCGGCTCTCAAGACGAAAATGGAAGTGATCACACTATGCAGCCTTGCAACCTTGCAGTCTACCAGCCTTATACTTCCAGTGTTTCACGCACAAAATTGATAACATTAAGGGCACTCACACTACTACTACATCTTTCCAGCGCTCGAGAGCTGAGTCTCAAATTCTAAGGGACAGATTACTGTACCTGTACATGTAGCATATTTTCGCCGGTACTCTCATTGACATTGCGTCCACACGAGATCAGCAGATTGCTTGTTGTCCCCGACGAGTATTTTGGGGGCACCTCAACGCCTAGTTCCGTATTGTTGATTGATAACAAGATGATAGAATGCAAGGTATGCGGATGAGGCGCGACAGAGTGCCGTGCTCCACGATGTGGGGGTTTCCCCAGCATGTCGGAATGAAAAGTGCTCTGGTCTCCGCCCGAGTGATCTGATCGCGAACCCACCTACCCCACACCCTACTACCACAGTAGACAGCTTCGGCCTTGGGAATGCGTGCCTGAACTGAGTTAGTGGGCCCCGACGATGAGACGAAGGGTCTGGAGGGATAATGTGAAGGGCACCTAGACGATGCCGAACGCCATGCCGCACAGAAGGACTTGTTTTCTTTGCCTTTCTCCAACAACAGATCCCCCCACATGAGCGATTTAGTCAGAGGTTATCTTGTTGCATCACCATCTGCGGGAAGAACCTCGAAGGTCAGTTCAAATTAGAGTTGCAAGCCTTGTACTGCGGAATATTAATTCGCTCTCTTGTCAATAAGTACCTCTATCATTCTCTCCCATGAATGTTCAACGGTTGATCGCCTTTTATATCCGGAACAATGGTGTACACGATCCCAAACCTCCCTTGCTCTCTTCCCGTCGCTACCATCCCCAGATACACCGACCTTGAGGCAGTCTCTAAAGACATCAACCATTCCCTGGAACTCCTCAGCGGGTCCCACTTTACTTCGAATGCCATATGGCGAGACAGCTTTGCAATGACAGGAACTATGCGGACGTTTTATGGGCCGCACGCGATCGGGAGCGCATGGCAGCAGACATCGAAAGCTACCCAGCCCTCCGCATTTAAGATGCAAGGTGGGCCCAAAGTCGTCCGCATGGGCCCCAATGCCTGGGTAGAGCTTGAATTCACGTTTGAGACCACCGGCCCACCTGCGACAACCTGTTCAGGTATGCTGTCTGTGGTTCCCGGTGAGGACGGGGAATGGAAAATTTGGGTCATGCGAACAATCCTGGAGCAGCTCAAAGGCCAAGGAAATGTGGATATCCTTCAACAAGTTACTCAAGGTGGCCACGCCGACGGTGTCGAGGGAGCCGATGGTGTGAATAGCGCCACTGGTGACAACGGTACCATCGAAGTCAATGCCGTCAATGTTACCAGTGAGCTCAACGGTGCCAATGGCATCTCGAAGGTCAATGGAGTGCACACCGGGGACACACATTTTGATTGTGTAATTGTGGGTGGTGGTCAAGCAGGTCTGAGCACTGGCGGGCGACTGAAGGCTTTGGGGGTGTCGTACGTCATCTTGGAGAAGCAGGCAGAGGTGGGAGACAGCTGGAAATCCAGATACGACTCTACGAAGTGTAAGGATCGCAACTCCGCCCGTCATTTGATCCTTGATCTCGACACTGATGCCGCTGATAGTACATACATGTCGTGAGTTTGGTGAGTCTCTTATCTAGGAAGGCCAGTGTATATTTGTAGCATAGTGCTAAAGTTCCAAAGCACATCTGCCGTTTGAGCGGACATTCCCGGCTTCATACAACGAGTATCTCACAAAGAATGATTTGGCTCGGGGATATCAAGAATGGGTGGCAAAATACGATGTGGTAAGTCATATTTCATGGCACAGTGGATGGCGTTGACACTTGCTGTCCCAGAATGTCTGGCTTTCAACAAAGCTCGAAAAGGGGAAGTGGATTGCGGACCGGGAGATTTGGGAGCTCGAAATCACGAAACAGGGAGAACCAAAATCCATATCCGCCTCCTACATTGTATTCGCCGTTGGCGCGGGCTCACAAGTTCCTGTGATGCCGACGTATGAGAACAGAGTGCGTCACCTTTGTTCACATTCGTTTCTATTGAGACCCCATTCCAACATGATACACTAGGAAGCTTTCAAGGGCATCATCCTCCACTCAGGAGAGTACCATTCTGCAAAAGGATGGGCTGGCAAGCATGGTGTAGTAGTAGGGACAGCTAATACAGGTAAGCGGGAAAATAAATATCCAGATCGCTGAGAAATTAACATTTGACAGGCCACGATGTCGCCGAGGACATGCTTGCAGCTAATCTCGCATCTGTAACAATGATCCAACGATCGAAAACATGTATGTACTCAGAGGCCGCATACAGCCCAGCTCACCTATCTGCTCTCGATTGACTTCTATTGTACGCAGACGTGCTACCAGCAGAGCACTACCGAGAGACTCAAACAAGTAAGTGAACCGGGCATCACAACCAAAGCATGAGTCATTGTGGACAAACTAACGACTTTCAGGACTATACAATAATCGTATACCAACTGAGACAGCCGACCGGCTGTATTTTTCAGGTCCTCTGGCTCTTGGAAGATTGCTGGGCACAAGACATCTGCATGCCATGGCCCGGGCAGACCCAGAGCGTTTTGATGCCCTTGAGAGGGTTGGGTTCAAATTAGATCGCTTCGGCGACATCTTTGCATACCTTTTCGAGCGTTTTGGAGGGCACTATATGGACGTGGGTGCATCGGCGAAGATAGCAAAGGGCCTAGTAAGCTTGTTCCACCTTTTCATTTCCTTTGACTTGGTTGTCTCCTTTTTCGGGGGACCGTGCTGAGATGCCAATCACAACGAGCAGATCAAAATCAAGTCTGACGCTCTGCCGGTCCGTTACACAGAGGACGGCATACAATTTGACAATGGGGACCACTTGAGGGTCGACGTCATCGTCTTCGCAACCGGATTCGTCTTGAACACGAAGCTCCTCGTGGCCAACTTCTTCGGCGCTGAAGTCGCAGCTCAAATTGACGACTTCTGGGGAACAGATGAGGAAGGAGAACTCAAGGGCGCATACAAGACATGTGGACGTCAGTCATACCCCAATCCCTTCCTTTGGGCGTCAAGTTACTGAATTTTAATTTTGTGTAGATCCCGCATTCTGGTTTCATGGAGGGGCTATAGGCCAAGCACGGTACATGGCGCGCTTCATTGCGCTGCAGATTAAAGCGAAACTGCTTGGAACTCCTCTGCCGCTATATGAGGATACTCCTCGGTAGCTCTCTCCACTTTAACAAACTGAAGTCGATTGCGAGGGGATATAGGCCTTGAAGGCTAGAGCTGTGAACAGTTGTCTGTCTGCATTTCCGTCTGCTGGCTGTTGGTAGAGAACTTTTATATAGATGCAATCAAAGTAGGCTACCTACTTCACGAGAGCAGACCAGAATGATCATTTGCAAGAGTGAAGTGCCATGCCATCTCAAGTCTAGTTCCCCCTCGCAAGTCTCCTTTCCGTATGTTAGAATCCAGCATGGGATCAAACTCTAGACCATCTTCGACTGCAATATAGTAGACAGGACACTCATGTTCGACATATGGGCCGAACAACGGGTAAGTCGCCTGAGGCCGAAGCAGGAACTCTCCTCGAAAATCCGACTCCGTTGGCTAAACACCCCTATCCGGTCCGGAGACGCTGAAGGTACTCGCTGCGCTTCCCACGGCCACCAACATGAATGGGAAGCGCAGAAATTCTTGGTATCGGCGCCAATAAGATCAGTAATCAGAACAATCCAGATGAAAAGGGGCGATTTACCAATGCATTTGGAGCACAGGGACGGAACAATTTTAATTGCCTAGCACCAAGCAGTTGGTTGGAGCCACCATTAAAACGATACAGTATCACCAAACAGCCCTCGCGTTTCAGGGACTCAGAAGGGAGAAAGGATATATGGGGCGTCTCAACCGACTAGGCCTGGGGCCAAGGGCCCGGATACCGTTCAGGTGCTGAGAGCATCCTTACAATTGTGAACATCGGAAGGCTTCATTCCCGAGCACCCTTAGGATGACCGTGGGGCCTCCGGACTTTAGAGATTGGTATCTCCTACTGACATTGAGGTGCGAGTATGGGGATGATTCCGGAAGTGGGAACATGGAGATGAAGGGCGGGGATAAGTGCAGGCCCGGGATAAGGTACATATTCTGGCTCGCTGTACGAGTTACAAGGAGGGCGAACCGCGGTCTTCACCCCACTCCACTTGGTTGTCTGTGATTACCAAACCTGCTAGTAATAAAATACAGCAATGTAAGGTGGGGGAATGGGTATACATAGCGTCATATACTGTAGCACAAGCTCAAGCGCTGGCGGTATTACTGTATCCTTCTGAGGAATGTATGTACGTCGGAGTGATCCACCACATTTTCTGCTTGGCGCCTCGTCTCCTCATGGTGCGATGGCGATCATATCTGGTGTGTGTGTTTTCCTTTTGGAACACTGGTCAGCAGCTAAGAGGCGTGTATTACTAATGTAGGGTGCCTTTCTTTCATAACGTATATTGTGCAGTTTGCAGGCAGAATGCACTCCGGCAATTTCGGCTGCCTAAGCTCAGAGTTACGCTGAGCTCTACGTCTCCATTATAGTGGACTGGCAACACGCAAGTCCTAAAAACATCCCCGTCAATAAATGATTCTCGATGCTTGCGAGTACGAGTCTCCACCCCCGGACCCCGCATTTCGCAGCGAATTGGAGGAGGGGGGAGGGGGTTTCTAGTAGTAACATAGTTTCTATGTGGAGAACTGTCAAGCCCCTTCCATTCCGGCCTTCCCCTTGGTACCATTGTTCACTTGAGCTCATTAGGCTTATTATCGCCCGCAAGTCTCCGTTATCTTCAACCGACACGGATCTTGCGCCCATGGACTTCAAACTTTCCTTCCAGAAGCTGAAAATGCCTGACTTCCACGAATACCGCATCACGAATCTCAAGACTTCCCTTGGAGAGCTGCCGCCAGCGGTGCTCGCATTGGCCTGCGTTGGACTCCTGACCAGTCTAATCATACTCCGAACCCTCCTGAGGGCTGTGTTAGACCCATGCCGCTCATTGCCTGGACCCTTTTGGGCGCGGTTTACACGTTTCTGGTTATTCAAACAGACCATAAGTGGAGAATTCAATCACCGAAATATCGCGATGCATAGGAAATATGGTGAGAGACCAACTTTAATCTCAGCGAGCTCAGAAAATTTCTACTCGAAAAGGTCTAACATGAATACGAAGGTCCTATCGTTCGCATTGCACCGGGTTACTACTCCATTGATGACCCCGAGGCCATTAAAGTCATGTACGGGAGTGCAACCAACCTGAAGAAAGGGCCATGGTATGGAACGGTCTCGGATCCCGATGCAGTTATCCCCGACTTGTTCTCCGATAGAAATCAGGCGCGGCATGCGATCAACAGACGCTATGTCGCCGGCTTCTTCTCTCTCACAAACCAGTTGAAAATGGAGGAGCAGGTGCAAAATTGCATAGCTAAGATTGATGGGAAGTTCCGGGAGATCGCAATGTGAGTAATGTTGTATTTTGATAGCGAAGATTACAACACGATGAGATCGGTGGACTTTCGGCTGATATACAGGCAGGGGCGAGCAAGCGGTGAACCTCACTACGTGGCTTCAATGCTATGCATTTGACGTGATCGCTGAGATCACAGTAAGAGCGCCATCTTCCGCCCTGGGTAGCGTCACCCGGCTAACGGTAGCTCTTAGCTGGACAAGCGTTTCGGATTTCTCGAGGACGGCAAAGACAAGCTGAACATGTTCGACAACACGCATAAATCGCTCGTGTACGTGACGTATGTAAGCGCATATTACGAGATCCATCCCGTCGCTTTTGCGATGCTGAAGCGATTCGGGACCAACGGACTGCTTGGAGTTTTCGATTTCACGTGGGCGCATATCAAAGAACGTCTGAAAACGATCGATGGCAATGAGATTGACTCGGACAAGTCGGACTTCTTGACACGGGTCTTGGCGCTTCATAAGAAAGATCCCAAGTTCACGATGGACCACGTTTTTGCCGCGTGTATGCAAAATATTGGAGCCGGCAGTGACACGACAAGTATCTCCCTCAGCGCCATCATGGGCAATCTGATCGAAAACCCAAGGACCCTGGAAAAGGTGAGTAGCAACTTGACTCACGTCGTCCTATGCTCCTTCCTTTCCGAGACCGGTGGCTGATACATGGTGGCAAATAGCTTCGTGCTGAGATTGACGAGAAAGTCGCTGCCGGAGAACTTTCAGATCCCCCCGCCTTCAAGGAAACTCAGAAGATGCCCTACCTTCAAGCTGTCATCCACGAGGCTCTGAGAATTCACTCAGCTGTTGGCTTTCCCGTGGAAAGACTTGTTCCCCAAGGTGGGCTCATGATTTCTAGCCAATTCTTCCCAGAAGGAGTGGGTAGCCTTTCCTACAGTTCGCTTCTTGCCATTCGAACACAATTGCTCACTCAATATTTCAGACTATTGTTGCGACATCTCCATGGGTCTCTGCCTACAATAAGAGCGTCTACGGCGAAGACGTGGAAGTATTCCGGCCGGAGAGATGGATGGTGGATAAGGATCAATACGCAGCTATGGATAGATCCTGGCTTCCGGTATGTTTTTGGTTGGGGTCTTTTCTCCCTCTATCACTCTCATCAGTTCGGGATGATTAATTGACATAACTGATGGTTAACAATAACAGTTCGGCTACGGGCCAAGAAGTTGTCTCGGCAAGAACATCAGCCTCATGGAGATGGGAAAGCTGGTACCACATCTAGTGCGCAAATTCAATTTCGCTCTCGCCAACACAGACACCAAACTTGAGAGCACCTGTATGGGTTTTGTCAAGCATAAGAATTTCATGGTCAAGATCTCGGAGCGGGAAAAGTAGGGGCAGTTTTGAATGGTGAAGGGGGAATAGATGGAGCACATTTGCTTCTTCATTCTTTCCTTGGGAGAGTCCATCAGACAGACACACAGACAGACAGAAATTTGTTCATAGTCCGCATACTTGTGCGAGCGAATAGTAATGCCATGTCATGCCACTCGAGCCTTTCCACGCTTCCGGTATGGATAGATAGACAGATGGACGAGATTGGATAAATATTCATGCATTATGATTTAATGATGACTCCCACTATGTCTTCAATCCTCATTACTATCACACGCACAGTGGTATCTCCTTTATACATAAAATATGCTGAGCTGGCCGTATGCCACGATTCTTTTCCTTTCCAGAGTCTACGAGATCCACAGAGAAACTCACAGAACGCGTGCGAAACCTGGGTGAACCCGTTTAGTATTCCGCTACGGACCGTTAATGTAGTATTCAAGACCAAAAAAGGCTCAGATGTGGGGATGGCGCAGCCTGTGTGGGGGTTCGTTGCTCTTGGTGGCGGGAATACGGGAAAGGTGGAGCGGGGCGGAGTGATTAGAGTTCGGTACCGTGGGTTGTATCTGGGGTTGGGTGGCATGCTGAGCGCCGGTCACGAGTTGTTTGGAGGGGGAAGATGGGTAGGTGGACTGTGTTTTGGATGCGTGAATAGAATGGTCACATTGGTAGTAGGCCCGGTGGTTGTCTTTGGTTGAGTTTGGTGATGTAGAATAGATAATTTGGGAGGGCTTGGATTTTTTAGATCTACTTGTTGAGAGAGAGATTGGAGAACGGTAGGGTGTAAAGTTTATGTATGATTGGCGAGGTCGACAGTCTTTGAACTAATTTGAAAACTATTGCTTCGCTCGCGATTATTGGGATAGAATGTAGATAGATGGCTGGACAGATCGGCAAACAGACAGACAACACCTTAGACGAGCCCATCTTGCAAGAGGTAATCAGAACATGCACGTCACTTCATTTGCGCCGGCAATCCCCTTGCTCCTGTCTCTTCCCTCTTTTTGATCGACGCCTCACTCTCCCCTGACTGCAGCCTCTTCACCAAATCCTCCGGATCAAAATCTGTCCCAATGGGATTCGTTCTGAACTCCGGCGACATCATAAACTCCGTTGCGATATCATTATCGTCAAAATTGTCCACCTGGGTCTCCAGCCGATTACCATCGGGATCTTCATAGTAGATCGAAGTCGTGATGCCATGGTTGACACTCCACGTCGGGGTCATACCCAGCTGTTTCCGCTGACGATACGCCAGCGCGAGGTCTTCGAGAGTCGGGTAGCTGAACGCGATATGTTCGAGGCCGGCGCTGGTCTGCATCTTGTCGGTCGTGCCAGGGATAGCGGCGACAGCGATGCGGTGGTGCTCCTCGTCAAAGCAGATGAAGGAGATCTTGCTGCTCTCAAAGCGGGCTTCGCCGCCGGTGAATTTCTTGTAGAAATCCACCATCTCTTGGAACTTGTTGGTTCGGAGGAAAACATGGGCGAGCGACGAGGGCCGCTTGACCACGTTTCCAGGGGCGTCAAAGTCGACTGTCATGATCGATAGATAGCTGTCTTGAATGATTGGAGTAGTGGCAATGATGGATTGGGATGATGAGTGGGTTTGTTGAGATAGGTAGAGATAGTCTGATTCACAGATGGTACTCGGTAGACTATATAGCGAAGTCTGTACTGCCAGGACGTTGCCGGATTATAAGTTGCTGCCGTAGACGGAATGCATTCCGTCTTACTCGTCAGCGTGCCCAGACGCGAGGGATGTCGGTTCTTTCTTCTCTTTTGCATAATCAAGAGCCGTGTGGAGAGAGCCTCGCCCCGGAGGGATGTAGATTGGCAATCGGCAACAATGCGTATCGACCCCACCTCGGTCTACCCAGAGAACATCCGCTTTTAAGCCGAACAAGGGATAGATAGGCGTGCGTATGTTTTCATTGCCCACATGACCCGTATCATGTGATGTGAAATGGAGCAAGGAATGTTATCTACTTTGAGAAATACATACATGACTGGAGGATGCGCAGGCGGAAAGCTCAGACAAGCCCGTGGTGTTTCCGAAAAGATTGATTGAGTCAGGTTTGCCCTCTCACTACTGTAGGGCCGTCGTCGGAGTAGTGGCGATTATGACGATCAGCACCTTATACTTCTTGCTTACGATACGAGTGTTGGTAGTATTCCGTGACACGATCCCGTAAGGATGACCATCTGTTGGAGCAATGTCATAGCTGCCACCAACAGAAGTTCTCTTGCGAGAATTTGTCCATAGGTAAATATCACGAAGCATATATATGTGTTTCTCGATCATCTATATTCAACTGCCTTTGTGCGGCGCGATCTAGCAGAGATTTCCAATATGAGAAGCTTCCTTGTACTCTCAAAAATAGACAGAACGATCCCAAACCTATTTACCCTGGGCTTTTTGCTGGTATATAGCCTTTTCGAATGTAATGATCATCTGGTTGATCTTCCGATCTCCAGGTGGGATAGCCTCTCCGCCATATATCCCACATACTTGTGCTTCTCTGTCAATGAACTAAAGAAGAGTAACCAGTCAGAGTCTCCAAGCCTTCAAGAATTGGGGTCAGGAGCAGTATAGCATACCCAGAAGGAGTTCAGCGCGCCGCTCCAGGTCAAACAATTCCTTCGTCGATATCCTGGGCCGCATTCATTGACATCCTCCATCGTCAACAAGCCACCCAATCCCCAGCTGTATTTGGTGTCTGGAGGGAAGTACCCAATGCTGCAAGGTCCCGACTGCGGTTGGCTCTTGTACAGCGCTTGAAGCTCGCTGCGACTTTCTTCAGCCAGCTGCGGCGTGAACATCATCGCCGAAGTTTCCTTCTTCAAAAGCTTCTCGTTATCCACAAGAATGCTTTGCAGAATCTTCAGGTACGAGGGCACTGAAGCATAGAGTCCTTGACCTCCCAGTGGCGCTGTAGCTCCAGCAACAAAGCTGGGTCCCTTGAAGGGAACGACGTTTCCGTCGGGTGAACGCACTGAACCAGCCACTCTCTTGGCCTGCACTTGAGCGGACTTACCGGGCCAGAAAGTCATATCAAATATTCCCAGTGGCTCGAAAATGTTTTGCTTGAAATAGGTGTCAAGATCCATTCCGGAGAGTCGCTCGACTACCAGTCCAGCCCAGTCTACGGAACTGCCATAGTGCCAGGATGTTCCGGGCTCAAAGATTAGTGGGGACGCGTATGTCTCCACGACCGATCTGTTGGGCGGCATTGGTGGCAGACCTTTGGACTTGTTGTATTTCTGCAAGACGGGTGCCATGAAGTCATAAGACTTGCCCGATGAATGGGTAAGAAGGTGACTAGAATCATCAGCTTCATTCAGTGCAGCCTAGCATGTGGGTTTTCTCATACCGCAAGGTAATCGGTTGCGTTCGCTTGGTGAACTTGAGATCTCCGTCGGGTGTTTCGGACACAATTTCCAACCTTGCCAACTCCGGCACAACGCAGGCCACGTCATCTTCCAGTGAGATCTTGCCCTGCTCTATCTGCTGCAGGGCAGCAATGGTAGTGATGAGTTTCGTGCAGCTGGCGAGGGCAAATACTGCGCTCTTGTCGAGAGGAGTATGGTCTTCAAGTGAGCTGAACCCAAACGCCTTGCAGTAGGTGAAGCATCCATCTTTGCTGGATGCTGCAAGGACAGCTCCGGGGATGACCCCGTTCGAGCAAGCATCTTCGAATGTCTTTTCAAGTGAGTCCATCTTGGAAATGTGACAGAGCACGATTTACGAGAGGCGAATGTTTCGTCACCCACAGATATAGATTTAATTTTTCTTGGTAGAGATTGAATCCAATCCTACTGGAGGTGGAAAGGCAGAGTCTGAGAAGATACGGAGCCAGCTTGAAGATGACGGCTTGAACTTTGCGAGGGATCGGCAAAAGCTGCTCAGGAACCACCGCAAAGGCCTTGCTTCATGACCATATCGACTGAGGCCGATGAGCCACAGGGGAGAAGAAGCACACGCGCGGTGGGGGAGCGAAACGATGTGGGGGATCAGCGGAGGTCTCCACGCAGGAGCTCGCGCAACTCCACCCTCAACCGACAGGGTGGAGATCGCGAATAACCTCTACTGTGGGGTAGACCACCGCTGCCACCACCGCCATGGCTGCTGGCCACCACCGTCTGGGCCAAGCTGGTCTAAGCAGCATGAGAGTTGAACCGGCCACGATCGCACTTATTTGCTGCGCGGGACTTAGGCTCTCCAAGTCGAAAAACAGCTCCCCGTCACCTTCTCCCACTCTCGCACTTTCCGACGTCACAAAGCGACGAAAACAGACAATTCATTACCATGGCTTTCGAACGGCTCGTAAGATACGAACACAAGGCAGAAGTCACGTTTGGCAATCTGATTGAGACCCTCGACGACGGCTTTAAAGTTTCCAAACTGAATGGCGACCTCACACAAGGCTTCAGCGCCTCTGGCGAGGAGGCCATTACCGTGCAACGGGCAAGACGGACCCCAAACCTTCATCAATTGACCACACCACTAACCAGGGAATAGCTTCTTTGCCCGCTTGAGCGTACTCCCATAGTCCAGTGTGTGGGCGTCAACTACCGCAAACACGCCGAGGAAGCCAAGGTAAAACCGCACCACGGCAGAGCAGACACCAAGGAGTATGGACTGACACTGCAGACGGCTCCATCTCATAGATGAAAGTCCCCACATACCCCGTCATCTTCACCAAACCTGCCGATGCCCTTACGGGGCCGATGGATGACATCCCCATCCACCCGGACTGCCAGGACAAGATGGACTACGAAGGCGAACTGACGGTCGTCATTGGTCGCGACGCCAAAAACGTGACCGAAGCCCACGCCCTAGACTACGTTCTGGGATATTGTATCGGCAATGATGTTTCGTGCCGGACCTTCCAGATGCCCGACGCCTCGGGTGGGCAGTTCTGCTACTGCAAGTCCTTCGACAAGTTCGCGCCGATCGGCCCGGCCATCTGGTCGACAAGCCTTATCTCCGATCCGCAGAAGCTGAAATATGTCACCCGCGTCAACGGGGAGGTCCGGCAGGAGACGGGTACGGACGATATGATTTGGTCGGTGAGGCAGATCATCGCGCATTTGTCAAGGGGCATGACGCTGAGAAAGGGCACCGTCATCATGACGGGGACGCCGGCGGGGATTGGGGCCTTCCAGAAGAAGTTCCTCAAGGATGGCGATGTTGTTGAGGTGGAACTGCTCGGTTTCGGCAAGGTGGTCAATAAGATGTCCTTCTTGTAGACCCTGGCGTCCCACAAGTAGCTGTTCTATCTCCTTCCGCTCGTGTAGTGGGCAGTCTGTTGAGTTGCCCAACTTGCATGATGTGACCCAGCACGCAAGCCGTAGAAATGAAACTAGAGGCCATTCCGCTTTTGAGAAAGAAGCTGTTCAGAAAAAAAATAAAAAAAGTAACAACAAGGGTGTTTGTCTAGATGTATACGAAAGGTGATCCGAACCCAATCGAACAAGGACCCAAAGTCGGAGTATCCCGACGGCTCACCTGTGCTGGTTTTGACTGTATGGCAGTCATACACTCGGCTCCCCGATAAAAGAGTTGACAACCTCGAAGCGGTATTGCTGGAATAAAAAGGTGCATCAAATTCAAACAGACCTGCAGGTCATATTAATTGTGCGCCGACCATGATGCCATAGATAGCAGAGTGGCTGCGAAAGAGCAGGTGAACATGGTGAGATTCGGTCGCACGAATCTCGCTATACGAACACTGCACCCGCGCGTTCCGATATTCCCCGCGTACACATAATTACATACCAAATTCAATACCAAAACAGGGTAACCCGATGCATCAGTCCCAAAGGTCAGGCCCCTAGTGGACCCTCTATTCGACCGGTATTTCAACCGGCCCTCGAGGCGCATGTTGATTTCCTTCACTCACTCCAACTCTTTCACCTCGCATTGGATCCGCTGGATCTCATTCGTTCTGCATGCATACTAGTCCATTCACTATTAGCTTGCTGTGATAGGGACGTTTCAAGCCTGCCGATCTGAATTTTGGTTATTATCAGATATACTCATTGCATATTGAAGTCATCAGCGATCTGTCAGGAATACGAAAACAGAGCAGACGGGCAAATGTCGCGATTGGAGTTCCTGCAGGCGTTTCGGGACCGGGAGAATGAGCCTCAGATCGTTAAAGCGAAATGGTACATCGTGGCTGTATGTGTGAACTGTTTCTCGACGTCTTGGCCCTGCTGACCGAATCGAGGCGACCGCCTTGACAGCTGCTTGCGCAGGGGACCAAGTCCCTGCGCTTTACCACTTGGCCACCGAGGGCCTCACCATAGAGGAGAGGAAGATCGTGCAGCGGAGGATCAAGGAGGCCATACTGAAGGGAGGTATGCTGTACGGGGTGCCTCGCTTAGCGGACGCCCTGGGTCCGTTGGGTAAAGTCATCCCGCCGGACGAGATGGATCATTACGGGCCTAGGTGAGTATCTATGGCAGTATGAGTCGCCTTCCGTTTCGATCGTCGATGGGGTCATACTTCTACTGACACCGCTGATCAGGTCGGAACGGCCCCGTACGAAGGAAGAAGAAGAGAAACGAGCAGCCCGAGGCAAACGGTATTTCGAGACGCTCTGGACGCCCGCTGTGGCCCAAGCAGAGAGTGAGCGCGTCGCGGCAAGTCATCCAGATAACTGTAAGTGATGGATTCACTCTCCTGCCCTTCCTCTCATCCATTGGTGAGGCATTTGGCCCTTCTAATGCATTCGTCAGACTTGTTGAGCCTGAAATTGCATTACGAGTATTGGATCAGTGAGGATGCGATCCTGGGGCCAATAGAGACACAGATGTGCAATGCGGCTCTGCTCATCTGCAACCGATCTCCAGTTCAGGCCATCTGGCATACCCGCGGAGTGGTTCGTCATGGAGGAAGCATGGAGCAGGCACGCTTTGCGCAGGATCTGGGCTTGGCGGTTGCGGAACAGTTCGAGGTCAAGACTGGCGACATCACAATCGTTGACCAGATAGACTTCTGAGGTCGACAATCGAGATCGGTGTTGCAGTGTGGCGGCCAGCGCCAGAGCAACCCATCGCAGCGCTAACGATCCGCCCGCGGGGCATATGCTACTTGACATCTCTAATAAGCCACATAGCTAATGGAATGTGTGGCTCGTGTCGCAGAGAACAATATTCTAGTCCAGGGAATCATTCTACTTGGGAAAATCTTGAGTGGCCAGTGCAACAAAGGGACAGGGATTGGCTGGGCGCTAGTCGTTCTTTTTCGAATGCCCGCGAGTTGAAATGCCGGCTCTGCTAGGTCCTGCCCTAACACCATTCACCTCTCTACGATTACTGCTGCTGCTGTGAAGCATTTTACCACTGCTGTTATTCCGAGCTATTCGAAAGCTGAAAAAGCGTGGTGCAAGACCCGATTTGCTCTCCCTCTAGAGTTGCAGGTTGTGGGACAGTACATAGCAACAACAGTCCCGCCCATTGGCTCATACTCTCCCCACACTTCTCCCCACACTCTCCCCACCTCCACAAGGACTTGGGACGATCCCATTGCAGTACCGCACGGTATGGTAGTTCGCGCGGACCAACCGGCCAACCAAACCCCCTGTTCTACTGCTGAACTGGAGCCCTGGCTTTGCTCCAGCTCCAGATTAAAACCCCGAGGAGAAAAACTATAGAGACGGCGATAATTTAAGTGACAATCGTCTCGCCAACGTTGAGTAGAAGACACCAGAGGCAACCATGCCTATCGATTCCCCCTATCCTCGTCTTGACTTGGTCGAGACAGACATATTCTCTTTCCTCTTTGACCGCAAGGGTCGGCCATTTCCAGACCACAAAGGCAACCACTCCCTCTCTGGACCCTATCCACCCCATAGTTGTGTTCGGGGCAGAGTTATAGACGTGAACACTAACAGACACTTCACAGGCATCTTCCAGGATGCGACCGATTTCTCTCGGAGGTACACCTTCGGCCAGCTTCGCGAACATGCAATTGGATTTGGAAAAGGCCTGAGGAAAAGCTTCGATTTCAAGAAATCGGACGTACTGGGCATTTACGCACCAAACGATGTCGACATGCCTCCTGTCATCTTCGGGACACTGTGGGCCGGCGGCGTGGTCTCACCAGCGAACCCAGCCTACACCGCCACGGAGCTGGCATATCAACTAGGGGACAGCGGCGCTCGAGTGCTCGTTACGCATATCTCGGTCCTTGATACGGCGCGGGAAGCCTGCGCACAGGTTGGCATTCCGGAAGGCAATATCCTTCTCCTGGGCATGGAGAACCAATCACCCTCACATTTCACACATTGGAAAGCGATCAAGGATACCACAGGAGCAAATGCACCTGCGAAGATCTCGCCAAAGGTTGACGTCGCGTTCCTCGTGTATTCGTCGGGGACGACAGGACGACCGAAAGGAGTGTGCCTATCGCACTACAACATGACGTCGAACGTCCAGCAAATTGACGAGATAGAAAAGTATCTCTCGTGGGACGGGTCCAAGTCCTGTCCTGGAATCCCGGATGCACCCCAGGGAGAAGGTGACAAGATTATCGGATGCCTACCATTTTTCCATATCTACGGCCTGACCTCGATGATACACCACCCAGTTCTGACCGGCATCCACTGTTTCGTCATGGCGCGCTTCGACCTCGAGGACTGGTGCCGACTGGTCCAAGACCACAAAGTCACCTTCGGCTACCTGGTGCCACCGATTGTTCTGCTCCTTGCCAAGCATCCCGTGGTGGAAGGCTACGATCTCAGCTCACTGCGAATGTCAAACTCCGGCGCGGCGCCTCTGAAGAAAGAGCTAATCGACGCTGTGTATGCGCGCAAGGGCATCAGAGTCAAGCAAGGCTACGGGCTGAGCGAGACCAGCCCGGGTTTATTCGGTGGGCGATGGGAGGACTGGAATAAGGCCATCGGCTCCGTAGGCAACCTGGTCTCCAACGCGCAGGCGAAGTTCGTCGCCCTTCCGGAGGGAGAAGGCAAATCCGGCTGGACGGACGAGCTACCACAGGGCGAGGCAGGCGAACTCCTCGTCAAGGGACCCAACGTCTTCGCCGGCTACCACCACAACCCCGAGGCCACGGCCGAGTGTCTTCGAGACGGCTGGTTCAAGACCGGCGACGTCGGATATATCGATCCTGAGGGCTTCCTGTACATCACAGACCGCATTAAGGAGCTGATCAAGTACAAAGGTTTCCCTGTCGCGCCGGCAGAGCTGGAAGGCTCCCTAATCGTACATGAGCTTGTTGCTGATGGGGCTGTCGTGGGCGTGGAGTCTGAGGCGCATGGCACGGAGGTCCCTATGGCGTACGTGGTGCGGAAAGGCGGCATGGCGGCTGTGAGGGCCGGCGATGACCAGAAGATCATTGACTATATGAGTACGAAGGTCGCGAACCATAAGCGGTTGAGAGGAGGGATCAAGTTCGTGGAATCGATACCGAGGAATGCTTCTGGCAAGATCTTGCGGAGGGAGTTGCGCATTGAGGCGAATAGGGAGATGAAGGCCCGGGAGAAGGCGACAGGAGGGCCCGTGGCCAAGTTGTGAGAAAAGCGCCGTTCTCCTACCTAGGTACCTCATTTCGTTTAAAGGATCCTGCCGTTAGGGGTATCGTTATCCCTACGTGCATCTGGTCCGGCCCATCCTATAAACAAACGCTTGGGCAAGAGAACTTTAGACAGACAGACGGTTGAGGAGGAATAAAGTATTTGGTCGAACCGCAGGGAAAGATTTCCGGATTAATGATTCAGCGCTTGCTTTGATCCGAATGTAGGTACTTCCCGCTCACGCCGCTCACCCTACCGCCCATGACATATCTAGAAATCAAGCTTATCGATACAGATATAGCCTAAGCGCGAGTGAGCATAATTATATAATCAGATAATTGTTCTAGGCTAGCAAAGTAACTTATGTCTTGTGGCGGTAGGCGGTACGACGTATATGGTAGTATCCAGAGATATATAACCCGTGTTATCCTGGCAGATTTGATCGAATTAAGCCGATAGATGACTACCTACTACCTATGGCTATCAAGAATCAATAGGCACCATTTATCTCTTGTACACGCAGTAGTCGCTAGAATAAAGTGCTTTTGTAGCTACCGTAGGCCAATCTAATCGCTAGTCGAGCTATTCGGCGAGACCTTGAAACGCCCAGTCATGTAGTAGGCCTTGGAACTATTGTAGCCTCAGCAAACCTACTGGCAGGATCGCTCAACTCGATCCAGCACCTAGATAGAAGAACACTGTCTTAATTGGATCAAACTTGTACTGCTGCATCCACATATGCTCTAGTCCGAGCATTTCACTACATTACCTAGTTGTGGTGAAGCCTGTGTCCTTTTCCTTGCCTTTATCTCAAAGACAGATTTTACAGTACATAATACGGTACATGCGTCCAGATACAGTTCATTACAATACCCTGGTAACCTTCCCTCTCGGCGCGCAGCCATCAAGTCTCTGGCGAGACCTAAATAATGCACAGGGAACCCATAACCCTCAGGCGCGTAGGGAGTGGGAATGGGCAGGTCCTTGTTCAGAGTCGCGCCTCGGTATAGCCACGTGGGTTTTTGGGTCGGAGATTCGGCGTTTCAGCAACAGGAAACAAGGGCTACTGTATGGTACCGAGCCCGTCGGACTTCGAAATTACGCGATCCGTTGTATTGTATTGTTATTGTATTGGTTGTGATGGACGGAGGTTCGGTTGTGGTCGTGTGTATGGATGTATGACTTGGTCCACTAGAAGTTGAGGCGCAAGCAATGACACAGAGCAGATAATGGAAGGGAAGAAGGATGAGAGGCAAAAAAGAAAGAAGGAAAGAAAAGAGTATCACTAGTTTTGCTCATTCCGCTCCTGTGTTATCTCCCACTTATCCTTCCGTGTAGCTAGCTATCTTGCTTCCAAATTCACCTTGACACAACGTGGTTCAGACACGTCCACCATGCTTACGATTCTGCCGTCCCATTGCTCCAAAATTTGCCCGTGTCTATATGTGGAGTTCGTGTCTGATTTGAGGAGTTTCAGTATCTCAATAATCTTCCGCGGCAGCCTCCGCCCCCATCCTCTTGATCAACTCAACATGAGCCGGGCTTCGGGGCGTGACCTTCAGCCTGAAGGGTGAGTGGTTATAAGCTTCCCAAGTGGTGTTGTACGAGTCGATGGGGGAGTCCTGGATTGTAGATATTAGCATCAAGGCACCTTGAACCCCCTGCTGAGAGGGGGCCTAATCAATCTTGCACCGTGGTGGAGAACTCACAGGATATTGTTCAAAGTTGAAGCAGTACAGCAAGCAGGCCGTGGCTAGCCACACGTTATTGAAGCCGACGGTGTAGCCGATGCAAACTCTTCGGCCTAGGAGTTGTTTGGTTCGTAGTTAGCGAAAGTCTACTTATCCCTGGACGATTTCCGTTCGAAAACTACCAGGAAGGAACGACATACCTGTTCCAAACCCCCATGTTCCTTTCAACGGGAATTTTAAGTCCTCGTTCAAGAAGCGTTCTGGAATGAAGTCATGCGCCTGGTAGTAGTCGTCCTCATTCAAAGCGATAGCCATTGCGTTCCATGTCACCTGTGTTCCCTTGGGGAACTTGTAGCCCTCGTACTCGTCGTCCTGCGTCAGTTCGTGCGGGACTCCGCTCTGGATAAAAGGGCGCCATCTCAATGTCTCCTTGGTTGCAGCTGAGATGTAGGGTAGCGCCTCCTTGTCGGCGAAGGTGGGTAGGCGTTCCGCGTTCGCGCCGCAGACTTCGTCGAGGAGTCCTTGTGCTTTCTTCACCCACTCGGGGTAGAGAGCTGCGGCCGCGACCATCTGGGTGATGGCCGTGCGAGATGTGTCGCTGCCAGCTTCTAGAAGGGTAGCATAAACGAACAGCTTCTCTTCGTGATCCATTTGGAACTGCTTCTTCTCGGAGCCTTGAATCACATCCAGGGCGAAACAAGGCCGAGCCGTGCCTGCCTCCATCTTTTTCATCAGGTTATCGACTTCGATCTGATAAGTTCTGTAGTAATTCAATGTTGGCATCTCCATTCTTACCCCTTTCACAATTCTAGGGGTTGAAAGGAAGCTTACTCAACAGTGCGTCGGTAATAGTCTTCTCCCCACGGTCTCCACCACTGCATGAACTTCGGGAAACGCGCCATAATCGGGAATATGTCAGGAAGACTTTTCAAAGGGTCGAAGAAGATCTGTGCAAATTCCTCCATCTGGGTCATGATCCTCCGCAGCTGCTTGTCGTCCAGCTTGGCCCGTCGGCCAAACGTGACGCTCATGATGACCGAGTTGGAGAAGCGTTGATTGGCCACGTAGAACTTGTCGGGATTTTCCAAGTAGTCAACTACTAGCTGTTTCGACTCAAGCTCCTGGTAAGGCATGAAGGTCTTGTTGGCATTCGGTCCATTCAGCACTGAATGCATGACCTTGCGTTGGAGCTTCCATCTCTCCGTCGTCGACATCAAGAGAATGCGTCGGCCACCGCTTAGCAGGTCCTGGGCCAGGGGCCGATTAGGACGAGCCGAGTAGATGGCCGCCCGTTTCTCCATCAGATCATTGACGACTCGGGATGAGTTAATGTAGACCCAGAGCCTTCCAGCTAGGTTGCATGTGTACCTACAAGATTGCGAGTATGTCAGGAATAAATTGTCAGGAACAAATTATGCAGTCACACCAGGCTCGTGAGAAAGTGAAGGAAAGTGAAGATAGGAACTTGAAGTTACATACATTTCACCATATTTCATGGCCATCTCGTGTCCCCACATACCAGACGGAATTGGCATATTCAATGTATTCCCAACGATGGGCCATCCAGGAATCGTTGGAGGCAGCTTGTATTTCCGCTTGAATTGGATCTTAGCCACCACTTGACGAATGGCGAATATGGCGAGCATGACGAGTAGAGTGTACACCACTGGTGGGCCCCCCATATTGGCCAGCTAGCTAGCAAGCAAATCAAGTCAAGCCAAGAGAGTAAATGAATCGAGGAAAGGTTAACTCCTGAAATAATAGATGGGCTAAATGCAAATAATAATGCATGCGAAAAGAAATAGAGACTGAATCTTGAGAAAGTCTTCAAACTCAAATAGTGTGGGTGAAGTTACTTTTCAAAAGCAACGTACTGCGGGGAGAGGTGGAGAGAGAGGGGGAGTCTACCAGGCCTAGCCTTTTCTGATCATATATGTAGCGATTTAGCGGGTTGTCCACAACCGGATGGATATTGGTCTGGGGTAAGCAATTGAACGCATACGCAAAGGGATCACTCTCCTCGCTTCGCTATTATGCTAATACTTCGGCAAGGATTGGAATCGAAGGACTTAAATCTTAGCCATCCACCACTTGCTGTCCAGTATTCTTATCCTTGGTGTCAAAGCTCATCATTCAAGGGGGCAGCAAGGATGGGTGAGGGGGAGCTCTGTGCATCACCTTTGGACACAAGTCTATGTGGGGTACTGTGGAGAGAAGGTTTTACCAGTCGACCGACTCGGCTATCTGTCTTGATACTCTTGGTCCTCTATCAGTTGATGGCTTGCAGGGTCGTCTGTAACCCTAAAGTATTGCCCTCATGGACATCTTACGGTTACAAGAGAGAGATTCCGCGTGAAAATTTCTCGATTATGCCAGATCTCATAGCATAACGTTGCCCAAAAAATAAAAAAGAATACAAAACAGAAGCGCATAAATCCATCCAGTAGTCGGAACGAGATCGGCTCTAGGAAGAATCCGTTGGTGTGGCAGGATGATAACCAAACATGTTCGGATTGTGTCTTGTCGGTCTATCGCTAACCCAAGCCCCTAGCTCTACCGGTGCTTCTCTACACCTTTCCAACCCAAAATACTAGCCAAGCCCTGGGAAAGGAGCTCCGGGGCGCCTGGTCCAAAGGACCGCCACGCCACCATGGTATCAGGGCGGACAAGAATCGCACCGCCAGCCCCAAAGTCCTTCACAGATGTCCAATGTGACTCGATGTCGACGTAATCGTCATCGGAGGCAGATTGTCGTGGCTCAACTATCTGTGCAGTAGTGATCCCAACGCCTAACTCTGCGCTGGCCTTCTTTGCAGCCTCAATCCAGGGCTGACCGGCGCCGTCAGTGATGAGAAGAAAGTCGCCCTTGCTGCCCACGAGGTCGTGCGTCGAGCAGATTTTCCCATCTCTGCCGATCCATGCATGTGGTAAACGATGCCCAGGCCGCGTAGTGGGTGTGTATACCTGATGTCGCGGGTGTTCGGGAGGCGGGCTGGTCCCGTCTGACACTATCGAGCCCTGAGGGTAAAAGAAACCCAGGTCCATTTCGTGAGCCCCAAACTCTATTTCTTGTCCGTTTATGATGTATTGAAGCTGCGCACGGGCTGCGCGACCTGTCTCCGAACTCCCATCGAACATATTCGCGAAGTGCGCTTTGTTAGCCTCTGGCTTTCCATCCTGGAGACCCATCGCCGCTGCAATTACAGCATGGCATTTGAACGTGAAAAATGCCCAGTCGCAGTTGCGCTTGCCAATAAGCTGTCTTTCTGGCTCATAAGTGTCAAGGATGGTCGGTTCAGCCTTGCATTTCAGGACGTAGGCCAGCTTCCACGCAAGGTTGTGAGAATCACCGATTGCGGTGTTCAGACCAAGCCCAGTTGTAGGGGGGTGTCTATGTGCTGAGTCGCCTCCGATGAAGACACGGCCCTCTCGATATTTAGTTGCGTGAACTCTCTCCACCACCCAAGTACTCAGACGCATGATTTCCACGTCTAGTTGTGGGAGCTTCAAAAGGTTGCGAACGACACTCGCGGCCGCATCATCATTGAAGAGAGGCTCATCAACCTTTGCCACGAAGTTCATCATCCACTGTTCGGAATGTCGTCCCCATGTCGGCCCAATTGGCAGTATGGACCCACTGCGAAGGCCAGTGCCAAGCTCTGGATTAATGAAATGCGTCATGCAGGTTCGATCGTCCCAGTACTTGGACAGATCTGCCTTGAAATGGATAGAGGAAATCTGCCTGATGCCAGTCGGACCGACCATCTGCACGCCAATTTTCGGGCCAACTGATTTGCCCCCGTCCGCGCCAATAAGGTACTTTGCCCGATACAGCTTGAAGTCTCCCTCCTTGCTCTGGACATTGACCATGACATGATCTCCCTCGTCTTTAAAGTCAGTCACGGTGTGGCCAAAAAGGATTTTTCCAGGGTTTCGTTTCTCAGCAGCGGCGCGAAATATCGGTTCGGAGAAAAGCAGCGGAAGATTTGACGGCATATGAGGAGCGTCACGCCTTTATAGAAGCGTGTTTCAGCATCATTGCACTCCATAGCGTCCACGACTGAGCGTTGTCTAAGAGAGCGTTATGAGACTGTTTGGACTTACCTGTAGGTTGCATATCGTTCAGTGCCAACCTGGCAGCCCCATGTATCCAGAGAGCCTAGGACTTTTCTATCCAGCGGCCCATCCCCAGCTAAGGATGTCTGCCACAGAACCTGACACATCTGTTGCGGCGGCGTCGCCTCCTTCTCAATCGCATCCACCATGCCGTGCTGACGTAGGATCTCCATTGTTCGCTGATTGATGATGTGCGCTTTTGGGAGTATCGATGTGCTCAGGTGTCGCTCACATAGGACATGGTCAACGCCTTGATCTGATAGGAAAGTTGATAGCGTGAGACCGCATGCTGCGCAGTGTTAGTAGCGACATTTGGAGCGACTCGCAGACTCGAAAGGTAGTGCTCACATCCTCCCCCAACAATCAACACTGGAATATCTATTGTGTTCGCCATGTTCACGCCACTGATCTCGTTGAAAGAGCACTTTCCACTGCAGAGATGTGAAGAGTTTGCACAAACGGAATGATGAATAAATTTTACGACAGCGGGCCAACCAAAAACGAGTCCGACAATAATAATAGTTGCCAGTCCAGGACGGAAAAGGTATCGGAGTATGTATCATCGTTCGATGCCCGCTCGAGCAGTACTAACACGACCTGATGCGGGGATGCCAACCTTCGCTCTGCTTAGCTCAAGGTGCAGTGTGGTGGCTTCGATCTTGTCCGTCGGGGAATGATGTGGTAGGGAGGGGCAACATTGTGAACTTGTACAGTACCATACAGTACCGGTCAACATCCAGTGCACCGAGATACGGACGGGGAAGTAAATTTCGTACGACACTCCCGTCTGGGACGATGTGGGGGTAGGTTTACCCCGGACCCACAGAAACAAACTTGTGGGGGAGTGGAGGTTTTCTCGTTCGGAGCTCAGGCTCTGGAGAGGCGACCTGGTGGATGGGCTTCTCTAACTGCATTGATGTTGACGTATTATTATTGATAGAGTGAAATAAGCATGGCTCTTTGTATGTACCGCAGGCAATGGTCACCAGACCAGACACCCTCTTTATCGGTTCAGGTGGGGTCTTCGCTGGTGAGTGTTGGCCTCGAATTGCCCCTCTGATCGTGTTTGGTCACGACTATCTTTTTGGGACAACCTTGGTTCACGCAGGTTGGCAGTTGTCAATGTCCGATCGGTGGAAGACCACTAGCGATACAATAGGACGGGTCTTCGACATTGAAATACGGCCGGGCTGGAGGAGTTCAACCCAGCCAACGAACTAGAAAGGTACAGTACCAAACCCAGAGATTCTGGTGGCCAAGGCATGCTAATATCTTGGAAGTTGTCTAAAATTGGACACAGTCCTCGCAATGACCGGGTCAAAAGTTGCGATAGTCACCGGCGGTGCGGCAGGCATCGGCCTCCAGATGTCCAAACGCCTTCTCAGCAAGGGCTACCGTGTGGTCCTCGCAGATATTGACTCAGCTCGAGGTACAGAATCGCAGAAGCAGCTGGGTGACCAGACACATTTCGTACACTGCAATCTCGCCGATTGGGATTCACAGGCGGCAATGTTCAAAAAGGCATACCAGTGGGCTGGACGGCTCGATGTCTTCATCGCCAACGCCGGAATTGACGAAAAAGAACCTTTCTATGACACACCCAGTGTTGACGATGAACCTCGAAAGCCTAACATGGCTATTATGGATGTTGACCTCAGTGCTGTAATCTACGGACTGCGCCTGTTCCGATATTACGTGCGCAAGAGCGGAACTGGTGAGGTTGCTAAGATGATTGCAACCAGCAGCATAGCCGGCCTCTATTCATTCCATGTCGCGCCCATGTATGCGGCTGCAAAACACGGGGTACGTCCATGTCGAGTGGGAATGCGCCTTTCCTAATTTAAATTTACTGCAGGTAATTGGGATCCTTCGTGCTGCGGCCTTCAGGTTGCGAAAGAAGGAATCCATCACCTTAAACGTGATCTGCCCAGGGCCTGTTTTGACTGAGTTGGGAAATCAGATCCGAGAATTTGTTCCCGACGAGAGCTTTACGCCGATGAGCGTCATTTTGGCTGCATTCGACAAATTTCTTGACGAAGACATCACCGGAAAGGTGGCTGAATGCTCGAACAAGGAAGTTCACATTCGAGAGCCTGTGGACTATCCGAACGAAAACACGAAATGGTTGATCGAGTCCATGAAGGGTCTTTGAGCACCGAGTTTGAGATCTTTCTCCATGGGTGGATAGAAATAGTCGTGTCATAGTTTCAGATCAAGTCAGACGTTAGCAAGAAAAACGTTCCGCATCTGAAGAGAAGTATAGATGGTGCTGCTGAGGGGTTGATATCGTGTCCCATGGACGGTAGGGTACCGAGTCAATGTCATCCAGACTGGACAAGTACTTGTCAAAAAGTCCATCCCGTAGCCAGATTATACGGCTCAAATATGGCATTGTTCAGGTTGCGGGCCTCGAAAGATTTGGTACAGCGATCTATTTCCTACACCCTCTCCTGTCTTTCCTTGAAGACACACGTCACGAACTAGCTCCACCTACTCTAGCTCGCCAGGTGCAGGCAAGTCATTTCCCTCCCCTCCCGACCGACCAAAGTAGAAGGTGATGGTGCAAGAGTGACTGTCGGAATGACCTTTGGGTTCCTCCCCGTATAGTCCTGGGTAGCAGTCGCTGCCGTAAGATAAAGTCCGGTAGCTAGAAGAGAGAGTTTTCCGAATGAGCACAGAGTCATGGACTCGCATAATTCCCTTTAATCATAGTCTTGTTAGGGGCAGAATCTGAGACGGGATTGTGCACTATTTGAGATTTTCTAGGGTTGCTTGGAATTGTATTCGGGCGGGTTTGGGCTAAAGTCCGGGGAGTGCGGAGCCCCGCAAATTGTCGGCTGCTGGAGCCTGTCGGGCGTGCGGGGTATAGCGGGTCTCCAGAAAGGTCACCCAATCAGAGCCCTGGAGTTAGCCAGCCGGGGCTCGTAAGCAGACAGGCTGAGCCTGGACGTAGAGTTGCCCGTTCCCTCCTTGATCACTCCCTGCGTTAAGCTAGCCGCCACACTCTCGGGCCTCTCGCTAGGCGACTCAATGCATGGCCTCAGTTGAGACTCCATCTCATCAAGTCAGATCAACGACTTACCCTACCCTTCTCTACGAATGCAGCCGTTGTTTCTCTCGAATAACGCCGATGTGAGCCGCAAGCGTGCTCCCTGCCAACGAGAGGATATTGCAACCCAGCCGCGGTCCCAGGTCCAACTGACAGGTCCACCGATTGAGCCTCGAGTTTGCCCAGACAACTTGGAGGAGAGCTTACCTCACGACACGCAAAGTGAAGAGCTTCGAAGGCGAAGGTAAGACTTCGCTGAGTCCACCTCGTTCACAATTGGAATCCGAAACCCGACGTTGACATGGTTGCAACCGGTGAGTATCATGCCTTCTTGTCTTCGTTTCTGTGCGTATGTCGGCCAGCCGAACTACCAGTGTCGCTTGACACCTACTTAGCCATCAGTGTTTTGTACAGGAGCTGAAGATGCGACTCATGTAGCACGACCACGCACAAATGGCTCTACTACGGGCACCGAAGGAAAACGTCGCAACCATGCTTGCAAGACTTGTCAAAGAACCTTCGTTCGCTCCGAGCATCTTCAGCGGCACCAAATGTCGCGTGAGTTTCCCGGTGGTCAATCCTGTTCTACCGCCTCTACAAACATTCTGACTGATATTTCGGCAAAGACGAAAACAAGAAACCAAATGTGTGCGAGGCATGTGGTGCGAAATTCGCCCGTGCCGACGCGTTACGCCGTCATACGAGGAAGTGCGCGGAATTTCAACAGATGGGTGAAGCCGCGGAGCAGATGCGAGCACCTTCCCCCAACCGCGATACTGCAGTAGCCGCTGTCCAGTGGTCTGGCCCAGCACCGAAGAATACTGTCCACCAGCTCGGGTAAGATGCACGCCTTTCTGCTTCCTGGTTGGCGAGTGGGAATTGTACTGATGCGAGCTTTTGCTGGACAAAACAGAAGCGCGCACTCGCCGCCTCTCGACCCGACGTCCGCCTCTGTAAACGTTGCAGACCTCCTTGCTAACAATGACTTCAGACAGCGCATGGGTTCGGCAATTGGAGAAGTATGTCCAACTACTCTCATCTAACCCCCAGCATGTCCCACCAGACTAATTGAGCTCAGGCAACTGTTCCTAACGGCAGCGTACTCACAGCTTCTCTTTCTCCTCATTCTGTCCGCACAAACCCACGCTCCGTGGACGGCCAGCTCACGCACATTGACAGCGTTGGGAGCCATGGCCAATCACTCACTGAACAATCGCCTAACCGACAATATCCGTCAGGGATGGTTAATCTGGATCTCAATACTTCTCAGCAATCTCCAGATATGCAAAGAAGGCGACAAGACCTCCAACCTTTCTCGGTGAATGCCTTCGCCAACTCTCATACTTATAGTACGGGGCCGCCAGGCATGATGGTGGGAGATCCAGGGATGCCTTTGTTTGCAGAAGCGGCTGATTTTCAGATTTCAAGTTCGTTCCCTCCTAACATTGAGTTGGATGAGGACATGGCGTTTCTGGAAGAATTTCTTTTTCCGGAGTATACATTCAACCGCAAATCGATTCCGGCCCCAGCACCGGCCCCCGGGATCATCCCGGAGAAGCTTGAAGAGTCTAGTTACGTCCATGCTCTCTTCATCAGTCCCGAAGACGTGGCTGAATTTGAAAAGCATTTCATCGAGGCGGACTCACGTCGCCAACTTACAAACTTCGTATTCCCTAGGCAGTCACGGATTATACGATGTCTCACAGCATATTTCGAGTACTTCGACCCCCATGCACCGATAATCCAGCACGCAACCTTCAGTGTTGCAGGAGCCTCACCGGCTCTAGTGCTCGCGATGTTGGCTTTAGGTGCTCTTTATATCAAAGAGCACAAGTTCGCCACACCAGCTTACGAGGCCGCATGCATCCTGCTTGCAGACTTTGTAGGGGATCAAAACCCGGAGAGAAGATCTACTTTCCAGTTCTGGCCAGTTCAAGCTTCGCTCTTATGCGTACAGTTCGGCGCTTTCAGTGACAACGAGGTCTTTGCTCGTCGTGCTCAACAGCAGTTTGCTTGCGCCACGGAGATGCTTCGAGACGGGTTACAGAAGATGAAAGTCAATGGACCGCGACAAGAAAATGACTGGGCAAGTTGGTCACTTAACGAGACATTCAGCCGTCTCGCGTCGTGGACTTGTGCATTAAGCGCAACCATCCTTGCCAATGACCCGGCGGACAGTTATGTTGCGCCCTACCAATTGTTGGAAATATCGTTGCCCCGCAATGAAGAATACTGGCAGGCTCGTTCGGCTCAAGAGTGGAATTCCGGGAAAAGCGCAGCCATGCGGTACAATAATCTAGACTTCTCTAGCCTGACGAGATCCCTGCTCCGTGGCGAATCGATCTCTGAAAACATCAGCTCCTTCGGCCTGCTTTCCCTCGTCGGCTGGATCCTTTCATCAGTTTGTCACCATGAAAAGCTGATGATGTCTATGGGACCAATAGACGTTTTTGGGAATGATTTCACAATAAAGATAGAGCTTGCTCTCGCCGCGTGGGAAGTCACATTCCGGCGTTATCTGCGGACAGACCAATTCATATTCCGCCCTACCGATCCTCTGTTATCTGACTGTTTTCCACTCCTTGGTTCGGCATATTATCATCTCCTTGTTGGCGACCAGTTACGTACCCTGAAGGGTATGGCGGACAGACCTGCAAGTGTGGAAGCAAGCTCTATGACCTGGGGCACACTCCCTGCTATCCGACCAGTATCATCGGTGCGCAAAGCAGTGCGCTATGCCGCCAACTCCATCCTTATTCGTGCAAGGATGGGCTTGGGTCACTATCAATATATGGGCCCTTTGAACTACGGCGGCTACGTGATTTCGACCATCTGTGAGTCTGGTAAGTTGTTCACTCTTCACATCCAGAACTGTGATAGGAGGCGCAATATCCCCTCCACATCATGCAATCTAGAGCTTGAGAGCCAATAATAACATGACCCGTCTACAATTCAGCGCTCCTACTATCCTGGTGGCTTGTAGTCGCCCAACTGTCGCCGGGTTCCGGGGTATTGAGCGAGGGCGAAGAAGACGAGGCTGGCAACAAATCGTTAGAAGACATCATTGCCGACGTCTTCACCGAGCTCGAGGACCAGGACATTCCCTGCACCGACCCGGTGTCGCGTGTGCTTGCCCCACTTGTGTTCTCCCGGCAAACCATACCTCGATGCATATACGCCTGTAAGTCAGGTTCTTTGTTTTTGAGTTTTCTGCATGCATTGACAACGAGCACATAGACTCGGAGGCTTGGAAGCGCAAACTCGACGCATTCGGTGTTGAACTACGGCGGCGAATACTCCTAGATAGAAGCCAGCAACCGTCCAATGCATTCTAAGCGAGAAGAAACCACTCACCACAGCTTCTCAGAGCAACATCACCCCGCTGCAACGAACGCGCTTCTCTGTGTGAGTATGGGTATATGACGTTGCAGGCACATGCCCTCGAATGAAAGCGCAAAGTCATGATATCTGCTTCGCATCGGTTCGAACGGCTTCAGGGGACTCGGGGATTACTTCGAGATAAGACTATCAATCCTCGACGTGGGTGCCCACGGATATCTGAAGGCGAACGTGTCTGCAAGTTGCCGACTGCACAGATCCCTTCAGACCTTCCACAACTACCATAACGAAACCTGGCTCTTTTCAACTACCGCCTCGGACTCTCGGGTAGGCTCGTTCTCTCCCTATACATAAGGCAAGTAGTACTCGAAACAGGGCAACGGAGATGAAAGCCAGAATCCAATCCCCCAAGCCTAAGCCCGATTCTGCTCACACGGCCGGCACCAGTGGAAATGTTGCATCACGTCTGGAATGCGTGGGCGACGGTGCTGCAGAGAAGGCAGAGCTGGCCGCAATTGATAGCAATTAAGACGGCCGTGGCCGTGGGCCCTCAGATTGGTGACAGCATCTTTTTCGGGCGTGTCAGGGATCGCAACAGGTGCTACCGGGTCGGGATTGCCCCTTGGATTGAGGGCCAGATTTTCCGTCTCATTCTGCAGCCTGCAGCTCTTCCGACGCAGATTCCGACGGTAAAGTCAAGAAAACAGCACCTTCGACACGGTGTACACCATCCAGCGACTGTGCGTCTCGGAGATGGCGGCCACGATCAGGAGATGGAGATGACGAGTGTTGAGAGATTATACTTGTCAGAGCGCGATTCAGGGGTGGCGGCGGGGACCCCCCTGGCGATGATAGAGGACATTGATCTGCGCGAAATGGGTTTCCGTTAGCATGCGTTTCCCTTTTACCTTGTCCTGCTCACTCATCGTGTGTCGTGTCTACTCCATATGCGTCGGGTACGGGATGAATCAAAAATCGGGTATCTTCACGGTATGCATGTCTTAGTCTGTTTGTTTCTCGCGTCCAAACTGACCCAGGCCCATACCCGTGGGCTGGCCGGTAAATTCATTCGAACGCTCGTTCCGCATTGTCCTCGGTGAATTCTTCTGAGCATAACGCCGCTGCATTGAATGAGGGATGAGGCGGTCGGAGCCAGTCCACTCCAGTCCACCCGGGGATTCGATGCGGTACAGAGAGGCAGGCAGTGCGAGGTAGTTATGCGATGGGCCGAGGGGACAGGATCATATCTCAGCTTCCCCACATAATGGAGCGCTTACTTAGCTTACCTGCATGGTACATTATTGACGAACCGGAGATGGGTATGACTAGGGCCAGTCTCGGCTTGCATGGATACGCACTGGCACTTGTTCGTTCACTGGGTGTGTGTTCTGGGACCCATGCTAATATACTTCAGGGACGGTCGGGAAGGCAAGCAGGCGTGTGGGGGACAGGCGGTGGCTTGGGAGTGGCGGGTGGGGTCCAGTTGGAGCATTCGGTCTCCTGCTTCGCACTGGTTGACTGACCTACCTCACTGCTCGTACACGAGGCATCAGGAGGCTAAAAAGGAAATCTATTTAGGGAGTCTGGGCTAGGCGGACTTTCATGCTTGTCTCTGCAGCGGCTTGGTGGAAGTGCAGGCTGGGCTGCTGTTCTGTTTGTTTTGGTAAGATAAAAGAATACACGGATAATCAAGACAGATAAATTAAGTCTGAGAGATTGGGTAGATGGTTATGGACCCTTCGTAGAAGCCTCATTAACTGCGATAGTACAAACTGGGCTGCGGAAACGACACTCAGCGGACTAGAGTATCCTACGACATGGTCTCAATGTGATTGCATATTGAACAGTTCAAGTGTATGGGATAGTATTTGGTGCGTCAAGAACAGGATTCAAGAACGGGATCGTGATACATGATATGGTCCACAAACTCATAGGGAAGACGCACGCATAGTCACACCAGTGGGGTCCCGCGAGGAGCTATCAGGCCCGGATTGCAGAGTCGCAAGCAAAGGAAGCGGATCGGATGGGTCTGAAGCATCTTGCTTCGTGGCGGATGCCACCGCTACAGCTTTGACTCCTGACGAGGCAACACCGCCTTGTCGTGAATACAAGTCGCGCAGACCTTGCCATTGTATATGAGTTCCCCCCTGACATTGGCGGTCCGTTGACCCGCCGCCATTACCTGACATACGACTCTCGCAGTTGCCCCTCGTGGAATGGGTCGTAGGTAAGTCATGGTGATAGTGCGACTGATGTGGTTCCCGTCGAGTAGGCCCGGCTTCGCGATGGTGAAAAGCGCCGTGGATGTCAGGTTGTCCAAGATCGTGCATGCTGCCCCGCCATGAAGCGTTCCCATCTTGTTACATAGGTGCGGGAGAATCTCCACCTCGAACTCGGTCCGGCCGGGGATGGCGGAGAGGAACTTCATGTTATTGCGAAGCGCCAATACGTCAAAGCCGTTGAAAGCTGGGTCGTCGAGAACCTCCTCTTGCGCGATGCGGACACGCTCTTCGATGGGTTCGTCGAGGAAGTCCGGCGCGGTAAAGACGCTCCCTTTCCGTCTCAGTTTCGCCATAGTGGCTAATAGATCCAGGCCAGATTCTGGAAGGGGGCCGGGGAGGGTCAAACTATCGCAGGTGCAGAGGATTGTAAGACAAATCAGGTTGTGAGATGCATGGAGCTGGACTTTAATCGGACAGTGAGGTGCTGCTGGCGAGGGGCAATGCAATGTCGGCAGATCTCGGATTGGGCCAGGGCACGACGATATATTGGAAAAGGCAACCCCTTGGAAGCTGGTGCAGTGGCAAGCAAGTCTTTCAAAGCCTCTAAGTGACTGCCATGCAACCTCCGTCTGATCGTCAAGGTATGGAGTTCTTCACCCAACACAGGCATGTGTGTTCAGGGGCCGATCTTTGACGATTCAATGCAGTAATATAAGGAGCAAGGTGGAGAGTTAATCGGCGCGGGATATCACTACGGCACATTGCTATGATTATATACCCCACACGCTAGGCTGCATACGGATCCCTATTTTGGTCCGGCGGAAGAATTAACGTTGGCGAGGGGTCTGGACAAATGAAATCCTCCATCACTTGTCGACAAACAGAGCCCAAGAAAGCGATGGGGGGAGTGAATGTCTCAGAGCAGGCATATCCAGACAATGGGTCCTTGTGTGGCGGATACAGGTATCACTCCTAAATGGGGGTCTCCAATCTGCTCACGGCGGCTAGAAGATTAACGGATTCCAGAATATCCCTCATTTTTAGCCAAAGTACTGCAAATCAAAGGATATTTATTTATAGGTCTTTAGTGATAAAGCCTTCTATATTAAGGTGCGTCGTGGACCAGCAATATAGAGATGGTCCTTAGCGGTTACCTTCGATGATGAAATCACTCATTGCTCTCAGTAACCGCGAGTATCTTGATCCACGCCACCTACCAAAGTCATCCAGTAAACGCAAATAACTGAATAGTATCTTTCTTGCAGTAATCTCACTACCTCGCTGGACCTCCCCCGCAAACGATACAGGCCCTCCATTTCGTATAAACTTGCGCGCTGACCAGGCTGGGTCGTGTGAATGCTGGGTTTCATTGCCTGGCGTGGCTAAACTGGTCTGTGATGTATTTAGCAAACCCTCCTGACCAAGGTTCGTCCAATCCACATCTCGAAGAAGCTCGAAGGGGGAGCGTTGCAATAACCCTGTTCCCGGCAGGATACAAACAGGTACATGCTAAGCACAAGCGCTGAATTGAACAAGAGAAGATCCGGTCTAGAAATATTAGACTCCTTCAGTCGCGATGAAGACAGGATGTCAAATATTTGAGCTGCATGAAGTGCGGCCCTTCGAGCGCCCGGTGTCTGTGCCCATTTTGAAACCGCCATCAGTGCAGTCCTAGCCAAGTCAGGACCGTCACGTCCAGAGGCAATCTCCAAAAGATCCAGATCCACCGTCAGAGAGAGATTTACATTGTGCCATGCGAATGCGCAGGTTCTGTGCCGTTGTTGGAATAGACTTGGATAGCTTGAAGGCAGCATTAAAAGCGAGGCAATGACGTCCCTTGCTTTGCGGCTTTCCGAAAAGACATCCGGGGGACTGTGCGAGCGGACCTCAAGAGGTACATAATTCCCAATCGGGAGCCTGTGACGAATAGCAGCAATCTGCAAATACCATGCGACAAGGAAAGTTTCGATCGAGAAGTGGTTCAGAGTGGCTGGTGGGTTTGCGTAGAAGGTGTGGAATGAAACCCGCGGCATCATTAGCTGGGTTCCATGCTTCACCAGCTCTAGAAATACAGCTGAAGTTGGGGCATCGAACAGAGCATCGTCGCATGGTTGATAAAGCTCTACCCTGTCAATATCCACAACACCAGCGCTGCCCATCAAACGCGTATATGCCATATCCATCCATAAGAGACAGGAAATCATCCTAAATTGAGATCAGACGTCGGTTACTTAATAGTCACTGTCGAAGCCCGTACCTTTTGATAGATTCGACGCGGACCCACGACTTCCAGGAACCTTGATGGTCAGAGGGGCCCACTTGCAGTTGGGAAACAAGGCTATCATGATCAGAAGCAGCGAAAATCCCGTGCTTTTCCACAACCTGGAGACGACTCAATACAACGGTAACTTTCTTCGACAGGCGTAGAGGTACTTACGTGTAACATTTGTACGCAAAGCATGTGCGCTTGGCACTCGTCCAGGTCCTCCTATCACTCGCAGTCAGCTAAAGAAATATTCTTCTTCGCAACGGAGGGGGTCCATAAATACCAGGTAACCTAATGCCAGGTAAACAACCAGCAAAGTAGAAGCGGTGGATACGAGAAGATCCGATGGCGGGAAACTACCGAGGGCCTTTGACGCCATCTCGCTCCGACAGTACCCCATCAACCTCTAAAAGACGTGTAAGCGACAGATGGCTCACCGGGCCCGGGTGGAGGGAGGGGGAATGAGAGCCAAGATCAACCTTTAGGTACCGAAGAACAAATTGTTTCGATCGTTCTGGGTACAGGGATGAAAGACCAATGAAGTGTATGGGAAGCAATAATGACATCGAAACAGTTTGTGCGTCAAACGTGGCTTTGTGTAGGAAGGGCAAGTGGACGAACTGGAAAAAGACGTCTAAACTAGCTTTAATCAACTCTATACTAGCAAAGCCGTCAGTTGAGGACACGGGCATCAACTGTTCATGTTCTGCATCGGAACTGCTTTCGGGAGAAGTTGAGAGAGGTGTAAAGTCGGCCAAACTGTCAACGTAAATCTCTCTTTCGAGGTCTTTGCAGAAATCAATCATAGCCATCCGACAAGTTTCGTCAATGCCCCAGCCGCAAATGCCATGACTGCCGGAATTTGGCTCCGCGCGACCGTTCTCGGACGGGTCGGGCCGCGAAAAGATACTGTCGGCTTGATGCTGCACAACACTACGCCAGAGTGAAGGGCTAACGCGGACTCCGGGACCTGGCCGATGGCCACGCCATAGGGGGCGCATCCGTTGTACTTGGTGATCAGAAAATAGTATGTCTGGCTTGCCCCCTGTTTCTTTGGCGACATCTGGAGGGGTGGATCCCGGCGTACGAGGTGTTATGAAGTCAAAATGATCCAATATGCCTGGGCTCAGGGAGCTGTAGCCATTGAAATCATTATCAACTATGAAAAGTCCAATATCGGCACTTCCCAGCTGGGTTAACAATGGCATGTGATCAATGGTTGGCAAGGCTGGGACCTCCGAAGGCAGCTGTTGCGCTTGTTCTTGTTCGTGTTGTTCTTGTTGTTGTTGTCCAGATAGATCTTGAACATTGTTTACATTAGTCATTGGCAAGACCGCTGGTTGGTCGCGTATCATCTGCTCAAGAGATGACTGAAATCCAGCAGGCTGTGCACCGGCATTTTCATCAGTTCTGGCATGAATGTTTCCATTAGATGCAACACTGTCGAGCCTGGCACTATCCTCAATGTCGAAGTTTGGGAACGGTGCTAAGATATCTGGGGGCTGGCGACTGGAATCATAGGTCGAGTCATGTGGGATGTTGCCCCGAGGATCCGAAATCGAGGAGTACAGGGCTGGACTCGTTTGACTCCCAGGGCCATTTGCGTACTTCTCGGGTGCGGGGAAAGATCCTTTACCTACGAGCTCATTGTTGTTGAGACTCGATGGTTCAGGTGGTTGTACCGGGGTTACAAGTACTGTCGCTGGTTGAGCGAACCCGATAGCAGGTGTCGGTAACTGGTCGTGGTCGTGATCCGCCAACGGAATAGGTCGATGTTCGGATAGGAAAAGGAGACCTGATTCGGGTTGATTGGGGGCACATCGGAAAGGGGCTTGGTCCCGATGCTCAGTGGCTTTTGGTGAAATGTGATTTACACCGTTGCCGGCAAATTCGTTTGGTCGTGCCGTCTTGGTGATCTCCGATGGATGTGTTTGAAGATGTCGAGCAAGGACGTCACTGCGACCGTATCTTCTGTTGCATTTATGGCATTTGAACGGTTTTTCTCCGGTATGGGATCTCTCATGTCGCTTGAGATGCTCCTCCTTCGTGAATGTGCGATGACAATAAGCGCATGGCTTCTCGTTTTCCTTCGCCCTCGAGCGCATGCGATTACTTGGCATCATGAAACGGTTACCGCGATGTTGACAGCTTTCAGCGAACGACGAGACTGATTCAAAAATCGAGGAAGCACCGTTGTTCCAGACTTATCCTGACTGTTGAGCCTCGATTACAACAGTTGTGAATATCGCGGTCGGCACCCGTATGACCGGTTAGCTATTACTCGAGGCGAAGGGAGTGTTGGCGGGAAGAGAAACTCCCAGCGGGCAGCGGTGGCTGAAGGACCAAGGTTTTTTCAACTCGAGGATAAACCAAGTCGCGGAGTGGCCAAGGATGCGGCACTCTGCGGCAGTGATGAGGGGACTTAGAGACAGCAGGCGAGCGACGACGTGGATCGTCGTGTCCTGGGCTCGGGTTAAGGGTGCTGCAGTCTGGGTGGATTGGCTGCTCGATATGGAGCTTGGAGCTTGGAGCTTGGCCGTGGCAATGCCCTAGCCAGCGAGCGCTCCTAACTTAACCGACGTTCTACGGCGAATGGGAATCAGGTCATGCCAGCCGCCTTATTGACTGGGTTCGAGGCAGCGGCTTCCAATCAATAGGCTCAGCGCAACTGAAACATTCAAAGGTGCGAAGTTTCGAAGATCCGTGCTACGTCTCCAAAATTCCCAATGGCGGTCACTACCATATAATTGGTGTTCATATACCCGCCTTGTCCACTCGACTTGAACTTCTGCCTATAGCATCTGAATTCTCGACTTCTGGCTTTGGGTGGCGTTCCCAGAGCTACAGACCCACGCACCCCCTAATGTTCCAAGCCTTTTTTCCCCCACAGTCAACCCTCCGCTTTCCAAGGCTGATTGTAGTCGCCACGTTGACCAGCAATTGTTTCCTGAGGAAGTCGTGGTGCGTATCACCTTTTGTTGCCAAGGTTGGTCGCTCTTGGATTGTCTGCTCCGATGACGACGTAGTACGAGACCGGGCATTGGTCCCAAAAACACACGCTGTTAGCGGACTGTCCGAAGCACCACCACGCTATGGGTCAAGCATTCTGGTCCTGCGTAATTACCGGGACCCTGAATACGGCCATGGAAGTTTACGACGGCAGGTACAGCTCTTCGTGAACGTGATGGGTATGGACAAGGCTGGCGATCGCCCTCCTGGGCTCGTTACGTGATGACACGCTCCAAGCTTCTGTCGGTAGCGTGGCAACATTCGACACATCATTTAAGACCAATTTGATACATTGAACAACCCCCGATAGCCAGATGTTGGACTCGAATCGGTTTCCACAAGCGCAGCAGAATGCATTGATCTCCAAATGCCATTCTAGCAGACCCGCCTATCTTATGAAGGTGATGAGGCTAAACTGCCCCATGATAGCTATGTCCTTTTTTGGACTGCTTTGCCGCCCCTAATGACAAGATCTGGGACTTCCCCACGCTAACCCATCTCACATTGCGTCTTTGTTGGACGTGGGGTAAAGTCACTCCCCACAAGACCGAAGCTCGGGGTTCGGAAAATCCTCAAGGAGACGCATTCCGGGAGCTCCAGACGGGATTCCGATTCCCCGTGCCCCCACCCACACACGCGGCTCCACCCGTCTTCACAGAAATTCACAATGACCACGATCACGAGCCTGTTGCGCCAATTGCTGTTGCTCGTCGCGTCGATATTAAGGATGAATATCGGCGGAACCTTAGACCTAGGACAAAACGAAAATCAGAAAAATGCTGGTCGAAAATTTGTTGTGAAAGCAAGCTGAAAATGCGTATAGCCTTGTCTGCGTTCGGGACGAATAAGATTAAGCGGGATCAAAGTAAGATGAGTTGGCTGATCCGTTAGAGAGGAAAGGCTTTTGAAAGCGTTTCAATAATTTCCGTAAGGCGATGGACTTCCTCTGCCGGATGGAAGATGTTACTAAGGACCTCCGATCGACGCCCCTAAACGACTGGCAGCACATGTTTAGCTCCCTACGCTGGGAGATCAAGGCTATCAAATCCGCAGTCCCACTACTAGTAAGGCCTACAGTTGGGTCTCTCGCTGAAGTAGCAGCTAGAGCGCTGGGTGCTCGCGCACTGGCTCTCCTCTTATGGCTCCTCTAGCTCCGGTGTTCAGCTAGCAGAAGTTATATATACCCGCGAGGTGGTGGTCTATGTCAGTAACTAGACCTGGGTTGGCGTCTTCCGTTGCCTAGTTAATAACTAGTTACTAGTAGAGCCTACAAAGCGGACGAATGAGGCCAGGCGGACGGCCACTTCGGCGACCAAGATAGAAGTACTCGAGATAGTAATAGTACCAGCCTTAGGATAGTTAAAATCTACAAAGCGATTGATATGAACCGACTATGCATCTTCCTAGCAGGTATCTGAAGAATATAACCTAGAGGCCCAATGCATATTGAGAAGAATTTCCAATGGAATTTCAGCTTCTAGCTGTTGAATGCATTTGTTCGGCCAAACCATCCACATCAACTGGATGAATTGGACGATCGGCCCATTCAGAGATCTTCATAACGGTTTGGAGCACAGCCTTTACGCTGTCAACTGTGTTCTGGATACCCAAAGTCGCTTTTATGTGACTTCTTGCTTGTCTAGTGGCTCCTAATGCAGCGATGGCAGTTACAATAATCAAGTGTGACTCATTGGGCTGAAAGACCTCCTCGTTCGCCTTTGCGATCAAATAGCCCCACGTGACAACTGTGGAGCAGGTAACTGGTACTGGTTAGATATGATCTTTGGGTGGGTTTTTGAAACTGGCCAAACTCACATAAATCTGTGAAGTACTGATCCATTAAACCGAAGATTTGGGAGTTTCCCACTCCGCTATAGATCCGGTCTCGGAGAACTCGACCTCGGTGGACATCATCCTCACCAATGGTATCCTTGCGGAGTACTCTGGTCGATGCGTATTCAGGGCCTTTTCGTTGCACAACGCCGACCATGCCATAGCATGCTGGGATACATGTGGGCATCCCCAGGTAGGGAAAAATGATGGTAATTGCTTCTCGAAGACAAAGAAAAATATTTTCGGAATATTCTGGAGACGCGTCGGTTGTAATGTCGTCGAAAAACCGGCCAACGACATCAGCCCGGCCTACTGCGCAACATGCAGCTGCCTATTGGGAATCAGTGGGCAGCCATGACCTGAAGGTGTCAATTGCAAGTTCGGAGAGTTACACTTACAATAATTGCGTGGCTGAGGGTTTGCAACTCTGGTTGTAATCGGAACAATTCATCATTGAGCTTCAGGAAAAGCCCTCGGTCGTATGGCCTTGCCCCGGGTTTAACATTGGTCGATACGTAGGTCTTGTCCCATTCGGACATGAGTTTATCATTGTCCCAGTCCAACATAATGCCTATTCTGTCAGTGCAACCAAGCCGAAGCCGTATGCATAGGAGAGAATCGTCGAGCAAGATATCACGGTGAGCATCCAGGACACGTGCCCTTGTTATCCCCCACCACATCTTGGGCTGTCGCAAGGCGAGAGCACTGTGGATACTAGAATGCAGTGTGGCCTCAAGAAATCGTATTGGCCCCAAAGTGGGGGGACAGTATTGATGCACGGCAAGTCCAACTTGTACGCAATAGTTGCAAAGTCTGCTGATCAAGCTGGAGTGGGGTAATAACCCTATTGGCCCATGCCGTTAAACTACTACCCCACATTGCTCTAATAAATCCAACTGTTGCAAAAGTTCTATGCATATCATACGAAGAAAGGATTTCCATTACAAAATTACAACGCGAGCTCTTTCAACATATAAAATGAAGTAAGACAAGGATGACCGTGTGTGAGCCTGGTCCCTGAGCTTGTTCAAGCCAGGGAGACATACTGGGTTGTGTGGTTAACCGTACACAATTAATGAAATAGATATTCACTGCGACGGAACTGGGAAACCAATTTGATGATAATTATTATTTGTTCTGTAGGTTTGATACATTAGGCCCCAACATGAACAAATTTTCTGTGTTTGGCTGTTGGCAACGTCTGTGCCCGGGGGCTCATATTGCCAAAGGGAGCTTGAAAATACTTTTCCGCTAGTCATGCAAGATTCGGAAAGCCGTTGACCCGGTGACAGGATGAGAGATTGTGCCGCCGAAATACGACTCTAAGCACGGTTGACCTTTTTTTAACCCGTGATGGCAATAATTTAAGAAAGCTCCGGACATAAATGGTCAGAATGCAGCGGTATATCGATTCAAATCTGACCTAAGCCGCCCTTCCCTAGAGCGCTGGGAGATCATTCAACAAGAAGCCGACAAGGCCACCAAGGAGCTGAGACCACTGGGAGCGTGCAACTTTACCAACGAGAAGATTTTCTTCCAGAAAAGGAGTACATATCGTACCTAGACTTGGCTCATTGATCACAATACTATCTAGATACTGAGGCTGTAGAACATAGAACAAAACGGTAACGAGAAAAGCTTAGTAGATGAATTATAGAAAGAGATTGCAGGAAAATAGACCCATAATCAAAAGAGAGGCATAACGTGTCAGAGAGCTGGCAGATGGATGATTCACTGAAAGATGAGCGTAATAACCTCGACAACTTCCTGGTACTTGAATGACAGCGAACATCCAGAGATCGGAAAGCATGAGTTGCTTCTTTGCTTGGGTATTGTTGGTTGCCAGTCTTTATGCTGAATCGGAAGTGTACACCTCTCAAGGTTACTCAATCATTGGTGTCGAAACCGGAGACCATGATACGTTCTTCGGCAGGTATGAAGGACTTTTCGTGTCCAGGTTCACCAGTCGGAGTGCCTAACACCAGCTGTGCTTTTAACGACCAACTGCCGGGGACATTCCATGCCTCCACAACTCTTTGATCGACGGTGGGATTTACGTGTTGGAGGTTACAACCAAACCCTTCCAAGCAAAGTGCAGTCCATAGATTGAACGTCGACATTGCGTTATTGTGCTCGGAGAATGCTTGCAGATGCCATACAAAACGGGGGAACCTCTTCTGATATTCTCGTATCGTGTCGAGGTCTTCGAATAAGAGGATCTAAAACAAGTTGAGTGACGACTGGCCAGGCAGTTTATCTCATAGCTACTCACTGTTCCGTAGGCCGCCTGGCGGTCGAGTATTTTCATCTCATAGCCTTTGTAGTCTTCGGTTGACAGTGTGACCTTGAAGCATTCTTTTGTTATTTTCCAGAACTTGATATGCTCGTCACCCAGGAGGATGAGATATCTAGTCGACTGGCAATTGAATGAACTCGGGCTGTGCCTGATGACTTCGCTTGCAACCTGCTTGATCCGATCGTCAGTGACAGGTGATTTCGCCTTGATCGAATAGCAAGTTTTGCGCTGCTTAATGAGTTCAAGATATTCGTCGGCCATTTTGGTAGGAGAGATTTTTCCGCCGGGGTGGGTGCGTGGGGTTTCTATCTAAGCCAGAAAACGATTCCAGTTGAAACTGGTGGGTGTTTTCTGTTCTTCTCCAGCAGGACTTCTTGAACTCTTGACTATCATGTAGCGCCTGCTCGCGAAATGGTCCCCACCTGGCTACGCTCTTTTTCCCCTTGGATGTGGGAAATGGAACAGATTGCAGCGCCTCGGCGATATGGGCCCCATCGTTCGGGGCCCCACCTCTGCGCATCAACGCGAGGTGGAATAGCTTTGCCCAAAGTCGTTGTGGGAAGTTTTTTCCTCGCATTATTGGGCGATATGGTAAACATTGCAGGAATATAGAAAGGCCCAGTTCATCAGGGACCGTTACTTTTTCAGCGTTACCTTTTCATTCCGAGAAATCCCCACCCAGAAGTTCAAAAGATTGTGAAATAGTGCAACATTAAGATTGACAATGGGCGAGAAAACGATCTTGGTCCTAGGAGCGACCGGCACCCAGGGTGAGTGCATGAAGGCAGTACTAATAATAGTGATGGTCGTTGATATATGACATTAGGCGGCTCTGTTGCGAAACTGTTGCTCCAGTACCCACACCAGTACACCACGAGATGTCTGACCAGAAACCCAACTTCGGATAAGGCAAAAGCCCTAGCAGAAAGCGGAGCCAAGCTTGTCAAGGCCGACCTCACTGTTCCTTCCTCACTGCCAGAGGCGTTCAAGGGTGTATGGGGTGTCTTCGCTGTCACGGACTTTTATGATACGGTAACAAAACCACTCCTCTGCCCCATTATTCCTCTGAGTCCCAACCACGCAGACTCTCAGTAACATATCATCGTTTAGGCCGTCCTTGAAGATCCTATGAGTGAGGAAACTCAAGGACAAAACATTGTCGCAGCGGCAAAGGAGGCCGGAGTCCAATGTTTCATCTGGAGTACGCTGCCTAGCTCGTATGAAATTTCGGGCGGTAAATTTCTCACGCGGCTTTACGAGGGTATGAATCGCTTCTGATTGTTGGGTTCTGGAAATTTTGACATTGTTGCCACAGGAAAATACGCGGTGGACTCTATGATTCGCGAGGCTGGACTTCCAGCATGCTTTATTCGCACTGGTAACTTTTACGAAAATATGGTTCTTCGAAAATACGCTTCCTACGACAAGGAAAAAGACATCATAAACATGAGCCGCCCCGTTATCGGACCAGATGCTGAGAGTGAGCCACTCGGATGCTCCTATCTGCAGATTGTCGACTTATTCCTGACTCATAATCATAGTTACATCCCTATACGTGGAAAAAGACTTGTCGGCTGTCTGCAAGGCTGTTTTCGACCTCTGGGATACGGATAAGGACAAACTCAATTATAAGAATATGCTGGCAGCCGGAGCACGCGAGACTCCAGGAGATATCTGTGCAGCACTGGAACGAGGTAAGTACCCAAAGTTTCAATGATTGGACGTTTGACCCCATTCGCCTAATGATTCAATATTTCCTTTGTGAATAGTGTCCGGCAAGAAAGTAGTCTACACTACCCGACTAACGACGGGGATCAAGGACCGCGACATAATGCTGCAGCTATACAATTCGTTGGGGATGTATCCGGGAGTAGAAACCCCCAGTCAAGAGGTTATGGATCTCGGGGTGAAGTTCCACACCGCAGAGGATTACATCCGAGAGAGGCTACTGCCTCACCTTGGCCTTCCGGCGGTAAACTAGACAATGTCACTCCTACTGTGCCCTTGATCAGGTTTCAGAATGTTCCATTACGCTGCTACTATTTCTGCTGCGCCGACTTGTTGAGTAGAGAAGGAGCTAGTCTACTAGATCATTTGCTAGGGTTTTGGCGTTGCTCTTGACGTGATATACAATGAAGCTCTGGATATTCAGCAGGTTATCTATATGCACATGTTCCTAAATCTGGCTTGAGTCTTCGCGAACAATCAACCCTGTTATTCAAGTCTTGCTGGATTTGTGTCAGCAGATGAAGGGATATCTTACCGCTAGCAACTGATTGGTTGCTACTGGGTTCACACTCGTTTAGTATTTCGTATGTAATTAGAGATTAGTCAGTAACTCAGGCTTTGTAACAGCCGAGTATCGGCGACACGCCTGTATCACAGGGGATAGTCTACAGCAGCGCTTCCCCCCATTTTCCTTCTCAATCAATCAATGTTATTCATCTATATTGGTTCCGCTTGATATCATTCGTCGTCCCTGCATACCAGGCTATACAGTATCAGCTTGCCCTGATAGTTATGAGCCCGATGGCCCGTTGATATCACCAAGAAAGACACGCATCATAACGCCTGGATCCTTCTGTCAACGTGAGCTTCCAAAAACGATCAGCCCCTGAACTGTCACCCAGCGGTGGTTCATCCAACACCGAGGGACTGCAGGCCTCACTCAAAGAGCCTGTAAATCAGCCTGATTTGTATGCGAATATGACGACCTTTGAGATGACTCAAGCGTCAAATGCGAACCCCTGGGACCAACGGCTCCGGTCGGAGGCTCAGTGGAGAGTATGGATAAGCCATATCGAATCAGCTGCGACAGCTATGAAGGTATGGGGGTATATCAACCCTGAGCTGTCAGACGATGAGGTTAAGAAGCCACCTGTTGAACCAAGGGACACCTTCCCACGACCGAACGAAATCAACAGTGCGGTCGATGACCCCATCCAGCTCAGTAAGGCCGAATATCTTCGTTATACCCGCCTAGTCTCGCTGTTCAAAGAGGAGAGAGCGTTCTGCTATGCTATAGAGAAGAGCCTTGCTCAGATAAACGCTCATATCTACGCGATGACCCATCCTGAAAAGCACCATATCTTGACCGGCAAGCAGACTGCAAGAGAGAAGATGGTCAGATTAGCTCAGGAATTCAAGCCGAAGGGGGCCACACGGAAGCAAAACCTTCGAAATGCATGGAGACATCAAGTGTCTACCCAAATGGGTAAGACGTCGATGAATGAGTGGCTGTCGAACTGGTCTACCCTGTATGATGAGGCCTATGCAGCTAAAGTGCCGGATGTCTGGCGTTGTGCCTGTGTAGCGGATGATCCTGGGGATAATTCAGCTATCAGAGACTTCCTCTAAGCCATCCCTAGCTAGGATAGCTATTTTAGCAACTGGTATAGGGAGAAGCTGGAGAGGGAAACCCTGCGCTTCCAGGACGTCTTGACAGAGTACCGGACATACCGAGAAGTGCAAGACCAGAACAAGAAGGGCCATTCGAGCGCTGCAGCCTTCGCAACGACGCTGCATGGTTATCAACAGCCTGATCAAGGATAGTCAAATACGAAGAGACCACCACGCTGTGTGTGCGGCAGCCCGAAGCATCAGTGGAAAGACTGCTTTCATATTAATCCATCCAAGAGACCTTAGGGCTGGCAGCAATATGAGACCTCTCGCAAGAGGGTCGAAGACAGCATCAAGAAGCTAAGCCTCGCTGAACAGCAAGAAATAGCTAAGATAATGAGCACCGATACCTCATCATCGTCTAAGAAGGCTGTTTAGACAGCTCAGCTTGCAATCACCAGTGGAGACGACGATGATGGCTTCGATGAGATGCCAACCGAATCCATGGGCTTCTTCAGCTTCGATATCACTCCAGCAGTATGTAATGCAGCCCTATCCCTTCCGCTCAGAAACAGCTGGATCATCGACTCCGGAGCCAATATCCACATATGTAACCGTCTGGATCGTTTCGAAGGGGGTCTCGTGGAGGAACGAAGGATGGTCACACTCGGTAGTGGTAAAATTGCTGCAGCTGGCAGGGGAACTGCAAAGGTTATCATCCAGGACCCTACTAGCAAGGTCTTATGGGCAACCTTACCGGATGTGTGGTATATCCCAAGCTTCAAGACCAACGTCCTGTCTGTCTCAGAGATAGCAAAGAACGGCTTCTTCTTTAACAGCCGCCACCCAGCCATCACCAAGGACGACAAGCCAGTGGCTATGTGTGTCAGACGCTTTGGGCTCTATCTCCTAGAGTATTACTAGGGTGATAAGCGTGTCCCGATAGTAAAGGGCCCCCTAGTAGCCTTTCCCACCCTCAAAACGTCTCAGAAACCACTTATATCCGTCGCCTCACCGCAGACATGGCACCGAAGACTTGGCTATATGTACGACCAGCGTGTTGAGACCCTCGCGAAGATGGTTGATGGCATGATCATCAAGGGAGACTTCAAGGACGATCAGCTGTGTAACCCTAAACGATGTGCTGTCTGTCAGCTCACCAAGGCAAAGAAGCAGATCTCTCGGAGGTCAGCGGATAGATCAAAGACATACGGCCGGTTCGGGAGGATTCATTTTGATATGATACAGCTAGAGGAAGCGTATAACGGTCATAAATGGGCCTCTCACATGCTGCTTAAGGGTATTCGTCTTCATATGGTCCAGACACACGAGAAGAAGAGCGGTTGTGTCCGCGCTATTACCATATTCGTTGCCATCTATCGAAATCAGTTCAATATAGAGATCAGAGTGTTCGTTAGTGATAACGAACAGACCCTCGGCTATGTATTCCAAGAATGGTGTAACCGAGAGGGTATCTTGGTCGAATTCAGCGTCGTTGGAACGCCTGAACAGAATGGTTTCATCGAGAGAGCTGGAGGCATCATCATCACTATCGCAAGAGCTCTGATACAGGATGCAGGCTTACCGAAGAAGCTTTGGCCAGAGGCAGTGAACGCAGCGGTCTATTTAATTAACCGGACCCCTACGACACTGCCGGATGGTAGGGTGATTATCCCATGGATCGAAGCTATGCGGAAACCTCACCACCAACAGAATCAACTGCGCCTCAACCTCTCGAATCTTCGGGTATATAGCTACAGAGCGTATGTGCGCCGTCAGGGGATCCCCCAAAAGGACAAGATGGCGCCGCGCGCAGAGATAGGGTATCTAGTCGGATACGTCGCATCGAATATCTAGAAGGTATGGTTACCACATCTTGACACTGTTAGAGCCGTCAGAGATATTATATTCGATGAGAACGTCCGATTCGACCCAAAGGAGTTAGAGAGACCACTACCGATCGATATCCTAGACAAGATGCCATAGACGGTAGGCGAAGAACCAACAGAAATACCTATTACCGACGATAAGAGCCTCGAGATAGCTCTCACGACACCAGAAAGGCAAGGATCAATGCCAGAAAGGCAAGAAGAACGGAGAGAGGCAGAGCAGCGCTCAAGGAAAGAGACCACGCCAAATGCCCTGGTTCCCATGATAATAACACCATCGCCGACGCCCTCCCGTCAACCGACAGTGTTAGAGAGGTCATCAGAAGTTCTAGGAAGCTTTTCTACAGAGCCAGAGCCACTCACACCATCTCCGGAGACCTCGAACCGCCTCGAAGCTGAGGGGGTAAGAGGGTCAGGGCCTGATGAACAGCTTCAAGGAGAGCTTCGAGAAGCATCAGAGCCACTAGAAAGATCACAGATATCACCATCATTATCACCATCATCTCCACCGCCAGGATATCGTGCACACGGATCTCTTGCACTAAGAGACATCAGTGCATCATTCTCGGAAGACAATATCATCGAGGGCAAGCGTACCCGCAAGCGGGCACATTTCGCATCGACAGAGGAAGACGTCACAACGGTAAACGATCAGGAAGACTATCACGAAGGCATTTTGTTAGCGTTCTCTGCAGAAATGAGCTCACCACAGACCTACCAGCGTCCTCACCGTAACGATCTACCCCCGGAACCAACGAACTAGAAGGAAATGATGCAGCACCCTCACCGAGAGGGCTTCGTCGAAGCTGCAACGCAGGAAATCAAGACATTAGACAGAAAGGGCACCTATTAAGAGGTTGACAGACCGACGGACCGCGGCGTCCAGATCTTACCGTTGACATGGGTATTCACCTATAAGTTCGACAGCAACGGACTATTAGTCAAATACAAAGCCAGGATATACGTAAGGGGAGATCTCCAGAAGATGTCGACTGAAGAGAAATATTCAGCGACGCTGGCCGTTCGGACAGCCAGAGCTATCTTCGCTCTCGCAGCAGCTTTTGACCTCGACACCGCTCAATACGACGCTGTCAACGCATTCCTTAACAGCCAGATTGATGAGGAAGTGTATGTAGAACTTCCTCCTAGCCTATACCCCCCGGCACGAAGGATGAGGTGTTGGAAGCTCTTGAAAGCCCTGTACGGCCTAAGGAAATCACCGAGACTCTAGCAGTAGGAAGCATCAAGAGTCCTGACAGCGCTAGGCTTCAGGGTCGTTCATGAAGATATCTGCCTGTTCACCGCAGATAGAATCATCATCATCTTCTACGTTGACGATATCCTTATCTTCAACCACCCATCTATACGCCAGGAAGCTGCGAATGTAGCCAAAAGCCTCAGAGAGACCTAGGAGCTTCGCTCGATAGGCGAAGCGCAGTGGTTTCTGGGCATACGCATCGTGAGAGATCGTCGACAGGGCAAATTATGGCTCTGCCAGGATGCCTATATCTCCACTATGGCCAATAAGTATCATTTGACAACTGGAAAACGCCTTGAAGTCCCTCCAGTTTCCATCGCTGACCTAAAACCATATAGCGAAGTGGCTACCGACGAGCGAAAGCATGAATTCTCTGCTAAGGTCGGCTCAGCACAATATACCACGACGATTACCCGGCCGGACGTAGCGAAGGCCACCTCACATCTCGCTCAGTTCCTATCGAACCCTTCTCCTGATCATATCAACGCAATCAACCAGGTCATCACTTACCTCTACCACACACGGACGAGGGCAGTCTGCTATCGAAAGCTGCCTGATTCAGACCCGACCACCGTGCAGTTCTTCAGTGATGCATCATATGGGGATAACCACGACCGGAAGAGCTCATCGGGCTACGTCTGTCTGATATACGGAGGACCGGTGGACTGGAAGGCCACGAAGCAGAAGACTGTGACAACGAGCACCACTGAGGCTGAATTGCTGGCAATGTCAGACGCTGGCAAGTCTCTATGCATGTGGAATCGTCTGTTCGCGGCTATTATGTTCGCTCCTAGTCACCCAGTCGTCCTGCAATGTGATAACCAGCAGACTATCAACCTATTGACAGGCGAATCACCTCAGCTGCGCACGAAGCTCCGACATATTGACATCCACCAGCACTGGCTGCGGTAGGAAGTTCAGGCCAAACGCATACCGGTGCAGTGGGTCAAGACGTCGGATATGGTGGCTGACGGTCTGACGAAGCTATTACCTCGTCAGAAGTATACCGAATTCGTCAGACAGCTTGGTATGGAAGATATTGGACGTCTATTGGACGGAGAAACGAATGCCTGAGGTTGTCAGATGAAGTGGTGCAGCAAATTGCCACAGACATTTTGCTAAGGGGGTGTGTCAGCAGATGAAGGGATATCTTACCGCTAGCAACTGATTGGTTGCTACTGGGTTCACACTCGTTTAGTATTTCGTATGTAATTAGAGATTAGTCAGTAACTCAGGCTTTGTAACAGCCGAGTATCGGCGACACGCCTGTATCACAGGGGATAGTCTACAGCAGCGCTTCCCCCCATTTTCCTTCTCAATCAATCAATGTTATTCATCTATATTGGTTCCGCTTGATATCATTCGTCGTCCCTGCATACCAGGCTATACAGTATCAGCTTGCCCTGATAATTTGTTACCAGGTAGTAATTATGTACCGAGCGCTGATCTCGTAAGCAGCACTATTGTTGTTTGGGTCTTATATCCTCTGCTCTCCAGTTGGAGGAGGGGGCATAGTGGAGAAGATTTCCGTCGTGGGGACGGCATTTGTGGACCCCGCATCTGGGGCACAACAATACCGGCTGGCCTGTACTCCGTACAAAGTACTCCATGAACGCCACGCAACGGCAATACTCCCCACACTTGCTGCGCAAATCTGGCCCCTCCCCAGACGGGTGTTGCTCACTCTGCAGCAGCATCAGGCGATATTGTAGCCCTTGACAGGGAGAAGAGTACCACAAACCACACAAGCCACGCGTGTAATATACATATACCATGACCTGATACGGTACTCTACCATGATAATCGCCCCACGCTGTTTCCCCACCTTGCTCACCTCTCCAAGTCGCTGCCCGCATCACATTGTGGGTGACGGGGGCCTGTGGGCTGGATGGCATACCCGCCCAAATTATTACCTGTCTAGGTTGGCATAGCTAACGTCCGATTGCACCATGTGGGCCTGAAGCCCTGTAGTTAAATACTTAGCCTAATCAGTTCCCAACGATACATTACCAACTGGCAAAAGATCACTGAATCTAGCGACCACTCGGGGTATGTTAACCTACGTTCATCGTCAAATCAAAGGGACACCGAAAATATGGAGAAAATCAAGCTGAGGTCGACAAATTGGCGCGAATTCATCCCACCACAAGATTGCCAACGAAGCATCGAACTTGCCAAATCAAACACATACGAATGGGCTGATCACCGGTGTCGAGAGCCGTTCGTCATTGGATGGAGGAAAACCTGGGACCAGCTGTACAATGAGCCTTACAAAGGGATCACGACCGGCGGCCAAGTCATTCCAGATGTGCACCACCTAGCACCTGAAAGTGAAGACCTTGGAGCACCGACGGTTGACATGATAAAAGCAGCACAAAACATATTCTCGGCAGCCACCCCGCAACAAAGAAAAGCTTTGGTCCGAGAGATTGATGCAAACGAATGGCGGGCCTGGATTAATCCGGAAATTTACATTTTTCGCCACGGTTTACGCTTGGAAGAGGTTTCCAACGAGATGGTTGACGCAATTCACGGCCTCATGCGCGCAAGCTTGTCTAAAGAGGGATACTACAAGGCATATGGCTGCATGAGGATTAATCACTTCCTCGGCGAGGTAGTGAACGGAAAGGAGGTACTTAACGCCAACTCCTACAACTTCACCATTTTTGGAACACCATCTGAAACCGAGCCTTGGGGCTGGCAAATGTTTGGACATCATTTAGATATCAATTGTTTTGTGGTTGGGAAGCAGATGGTCGTCACGCCGGTTTTTATGGGTGCGGAACCTAATGTTATTGACGACGGGCCATATAAAGGGATCGAACTCTTTACGGACCAGGAACAGACGGCTCTTAAGCTGATCAACGCGATGGACCAGGAAGGTATCAAACGGGTACGAGTTTTTGAGGAGTTACAAGGTCCAGAATATCCTGGATGGCGGTATCACCATGCAGATCAACGGCATCTGGGCGGCGCCTTCCAGGATAACCGGGTGATTCCATACGAGGGCTCTAAAGTCACCACCTTCTCAATTGCGGAACAAGATCTAGTTCGCCAGCTGATTGGTTTAAGTATTAACTACCTCCCTGAAAGAGCCCTGGCTGCGAAGATGAAGGAAATCGAAGCGCAATGGGAGGAAACATATTTCGCCTGGATTGGGGCGTTCAAAAGAGAAAACGGCTTTTACTACAAAGTGCATTCACCAGTAATCATGGTGGAGTTTGATCACCATTCAGGGGTATTTCTGAACAATGCGCTTGCTTTGCCGTTTCACATCCATACCTTGGTGAGAACTCCGAATGGTAACGACTACGGGAAGGAAATACTTCGTCAATACCGTCAGAATAAGGGATCAGCGAATAATCAACAAGGGATCTGAGGGAGTGGCAAGTCGTGGATAAGGAAGATAACAAGGCAAGGCAGAAACCTATAAACAGTCTTCAAGTAAGCGTGTGCTCGTTCGTGATAACTCAGGGAGAAATGCTCATGCCTTAAATTCATGGGGTTTTCTGCGCTATTGTAGGTAAATTACATCTACTGTATACCCGCCCCACGGCCCTCGCCGCTAACACATTCGGGCCCTCCCTAGCTCAATGAAATCCCGATCTAATGAAAATTCTCTACCATTCTTAGCCAAAACTGATACTAATCAACAGCGCCAATCCCTGTCTGTCTAGATGTCTAGACAATAAAGTGGCTCTCCGTCTTCTCCTGTCTCACAGCTAAGCTCTGTCTCCCATTTTTTATTTTCCTGCTCCTTAATTTGGTTCCAGCGAAGTATTTCATTGTGCTGCTGCTGCTTGGCGTTCCCCGCCACTTCCGCTTCCTTCTCTTCCTCTGCAACATCCCGCGAGAGTATGAGGGTATTCTTAGCTCCATCCATTTTCTCTGCCTCTATTCGCTTCTGTACGGTCTGGTATGGTCGATGGCGAGGCGTGCGATGGGGGTTTAGGCCCAATTTTGCCAACGCGTCATGTAGAACCACCACGCGCCAAAATTCCATTCGTACAGCCCCTCGGTGTCCTATGGCGTTGGCAAATCCATTTCATCATCAAGGATTCCTGTGTAAGCAATTAACGCCTTATCTGTGCCAAGGCGCGTTGAACGAGAATTGCGACCGTGAGCGCGTCGTAAGAGTCTCTGGGAGTTCACGCCAAATTCCCGCGCCAAGGGCTGGATTCTGGGCTTTTTGCGATGATTGTAGGCTGGTTGGTTTCTTAACGCGATTCTCGACATCATCAATCATTGTGCTGGTTGGAAAATAGAAGTAGAAGAGAAGTCGTTTGTAGAAAACTTTCATTACGATCGGGATTTCACTTGAACCTTCCAATGATAGTGCTGAGGGCAGCTGGGGCGTGTATATATATGTAGGATATTGAAACGAAACCGGGGCTTTGGTGGCGCTAATATCTAACATCCTGCTTTCTATCGAGAAATAACGTCTTTATAACGTGTCTTTTCCTATTCATGGTGTGCTTATTCTATTCACTAAACTGGTTCGTCGCCTCCTTCCCGCTCCAATGACCAAGCACTTGTTGTAACGCGGATCGTAAGGCCTCAGTAGGCTCATCAGGGCGATCAAATGTCCGCCAGGCAATGTGACGATCAGGGCGTACCAAAATTGCACCACGATCGCCAATCTCACGTAGATTGTACCATTCTCCAAGCACGTCATCGTACGGGCAACGATACCCAATCTTGTAGACCGGTAGTTCGATACCCAGTTCTTGGCTCACTTTTTTTGCGGCATCCACGAAAGGCTCGCCACCGATTCCTACTATGAGCCCAAACCGGCCGTGTTCAAATATGTCCAACGTTGAGATGCGCTGGGTCAGGAACTCTATCCAGGCATGTGGTAGATAAGCTCCAGGATGTGTTGTAGGTTCGTAGAAGAGCACTAGGTCCCGTTGATACCGGGGGAAGGGTGTTCCATCGTATACTATCGCGTCGGAGCCATGATACCGATGACCCAACTGTAGACCAAGAGCGTTGGACCGGCGGTTCTGCAAGTCCACAGCCTCTTTCAGTTCCGCCCGACGTTTTTCAGCTGTCGGAGAGTCCGAAAAGAGGTCTTCCAGTGATTCGTAGCCCTCTTCGGTTGATTGGCCCTGTTTGAAGCCTAAAGCTTGCGGCACTCGTGCAAAATTATAGAGTGACTGGACCGCATGCTGTACTATTTGCTGGGCTATAGGTTGTCTTTCCTGGTTATAGCTCTCTAGCAGTTGATCTGCCGCCTTTCCAGCCACAACCAGCGCGAGTTTCCAGACTAGGTTGTACGCATCTTGTACACAGGTGTTGCTTCCCAGTCCGCTGGCAGGCGGGTGGCGGTGAGCCGCGTCCCCGGCTAAGAAGATGCGTCCGTGGCGAGTCTGGGTCGCATACATATTGTTTACCTGCCATTTGCTGGTTTCTATTACCTTGATCTTCAGATCGGGAATGCCCAAGGCCTTTTGTGCGTACGCAATGATAGCGTTGTCAGATAGGTCTGGCTCCTCGCTGGTGTTATACTGTCGGTTCAGGAGCCATTCGTTGTATGGTTTGACAGCAACCAATGTTCCCGAACCCACCCAGAATGCGTTTCCAGGCTGTGCCATCATGTAAATGCAGGCTGGCCGGTAAGCTGTATATTGCGTGACGTCGGCTTCCAGCCACGAAGTGAGCATGTTGATGAGCCCAGGCTCGCCTTTGAATTCAACGTCAGCTTGCTGAGCTACCACTGACCGGCCGCCATCGGCTCCGATCGCATATTTTGCGCGGACTGTATATTCAGCACCTGTCTGTCGGTTTCGCACTCGGCCGACAACGCCCTCGACTGTTTGTTCAATGCTGATCAATTCGTTGTTGAAACGAACTTCGGCTCCTTTTTCCTGTGCATGTGCCAATAAAATTCGTTCAAGAAAATGCTGTGGTGTATTCATCATTTCCGATGGGCTAGCCGCAGCAAAGTCGGAAAGCTGATGAGAGCCGGCCCCGTAGCAGCTATAACGTGCTATTTCCATGCCTGTCAGACTAGTGCATATGACCCCGTTCCCCAAAAGCCGCAGCGGCGTTGACACCTCCAGCACGCGCCCTTCAATGCCCATATCTCGAAAGACTTCCATGGTCCGTTGATTGGTGACATGGGCTCGTGGCGAGGGCGCTGTTCCACGATGTTTGGCTATTGTGAAAGCTCGCACACCGGCGGTCGCCAGTAACCCTGCGAAGGTAAGTCCGGTGACGCCAGCACCGACAACAAAGACATCGGTTTCGATGTCCTGAGGAGCACTCTCTCTCTTGGCAGACATGTTGAGCATCGATTCACAGTTTCTCGTGGGAACAACAGATTGGTAATCCTTGGTCTCTATATTCGATTGAATGATATCCCCAGGGTGGAGGGGAGTAAGAATGCTCAGAACAAACTATCTGAGGTCAGAGAATGGCAACAAGATGGGATATCGCGACGGTGCTTCCAAAGCCGGGCAGGGTGAAATCTAGCGGCCCACGGAATTTCCAAATGAGAGTGCCCTGGCCCCCACCCGGCGCCAACCAATTGTGGGGACGGTAAATGGTAATTCTGGGGATCTTTACCATTTCTATTAGACATCGCGTGGGGAATATAATCTGCCCCCCAAGTGCCACATAATAATGAAATAGCGGGGAGCACTGGGGTTGACCAATGATGGTCTCTCCCCACAAAATCCAAGTTCCCTTTTGTCGCTCTTGAAACATCGGGGTAGGAGTCTCCAAAATCACTAACTACTTCACTTCCATCAATATTTGGTAATCAAGTTTGATATCGCAAGTCCTCCTTCTTGAACATCTTTACCTAGTATATTCACCTAAGCAGATGTCATCTACGATGCCATTTCAACAAGCACCGGCACCCCCTTACTATTCAGCTGGGCATGGGGAACCAGCCAATCGTAATAAAATTCCACATCCTCGCAAGTCGTCTCGAACAACTCAAAATCAAATCGACGAATCAAAGTCGTAATCATCATATACATCGCTGCATAAGCCAATTGCATCCCCAAACACATCCTCCCCCCACGCCCAAATGCGACGTTATATCTGCTGAGCTGCTTAACACCATCCGAGCCCCGTAGATTTCCCAGCCACCGCTCTGGACGATAAGTTTTCGGATCTGGAAAAACATGCTCGTTGGTGTGCATGTGGTATGTATCTTCCGAGATAGGGGTACCAGGCGGGATGGTATACTTGCCGTAGATGAACGGCGTGGGAGAAATCCGAGGACTTCGTTGCACGGTACCGAATCCAATACGTAGCCCCTCTTCGATCCAAGCAGAAAGATAGGGCAGTTGTTGTAGCTCGGCCCAGGTAAGAATCTGTGATGGGTCGGGTATGGCGGTATGCAGCTCGTCGCGTAGCTTACGATAGGTTTCCGGGTTGGCCAGAACATGGTATGCGATTGTTGCCAGCATCTCACGTGTTGTATCAAATCCTGCTCCGACTATACTCACGGCTTCGTGTTGCAGGCGCGTTTGGGTGAGCTCCTCCGGAGGTAGAGAAGAAGCGAGCAGCACCTCAAATACTGTCGCATTCTTATAACTGGGCTCTTCAGCTGCCTGTCTCTTTTCTTCTGGGTCGAAAAGACGTCTAATCCGCTCATCGAGCGACTAAATAGTCAGGTTGGTTTAATAATTCTGCTTTCATTAAGTTCAAGAAACCGTATGCACTCACCCGGCGAAATTGCACAACTGGCCCAAAAGAAGGTGTTTTCAACAGTATCCATTCCGGAATCGCATTTGCTAGCGGAACCATAAAAGGAAACTGACAGTTCAAGTGGATAGACTTCACCAGAGCATCCATGGCGCACACGAAAGGTGTCTGCCATGTTGGTGTGTTGATGAAACTGGGTTCATCGCCATAAGCCAGCTACAAGATGGAGTCTGCGGAGAAGCAAGCAAAGACATGATTCAGAACAAGGGGTGTCTGATGTTTGACATTTTCTGATTCTAGTCGCTGACAGATCTTGTCAATGAGCTGCTGTAGGAAGGGGAACGCGCTTGAATTCGACTTTTGGTGAAGAACAGGCTTAAGGCCGCTCGACGTTTCTTGTGCACCGCGTGGGCTGCCGTCGAGAAGGCTGCCGTTGGGATGCCGAACCGATTTTCAAACACAGATAACTTATCGAATGAGGCGGACGGGGGATAAATGGTCTCATAAAACTCCGGGTCGTCAATATGGAGTTCCCAAGGGTTTATCCGCACAATGGGGCCATATTTGGCATGCAGCTCCTTAATGTGCCTGGTAAACATGCCCCCTCCACGATACCACATCTCATAGTATGTCACGTACCATTGCGTCGCGGCCGCCAATTTGGGACCGGGGAAATGTCGCAGTGGACTTAGATAAAGCCGATGGATGACTAGACCCAGCAGGTAAAGCCCGCCTGCAAGGGCCGTGTAACTAATCCAGGATAACACTGACAGGGATATCGACATAGCGCTTTCTAATCATCAATTGTGGATTGGTTGCATAGAGGGTTTAGGATACTCGTGCATTTTATCTATTTTAAATGGCGGTTCATTGTGACCATGAGTAGATTGAAGCTTTCATTCTTGCCATTTGCTGACGCCACACCAACGCAGCGAGTATTTACGCATGAGGGTGTATATTATTATCTAGTAGCGTGCTTATCGTGCAGGTGACAATGCAGTAGAGCCATATTCGCCATCGGCACTAGATTCTGCTTATCTTGGATTAGACAGGCATTAGAGATTACCAATTGTGATAGCAACTCTATTAACCTAATATAGCCTAACTCTAGAGATTACCAATGCTCGCAAATCAGATTAATTAATCGCGCTCTGGAGTTGACAATTCCGACATTCAAAGAAACAAATCAAAGTAAACACCAATAATGGAGAATCATGTCAATCAATTATTTAAAAGAAGATGACCATCCTTAAAAGTAGGAAAAAGCATTTATCTGAGCAAAAGTTGCAATATACACCACCCTAGTTTCTCCAAAGTTGAAAACAAAAGCACCACAGTCATCATGTCTACTATCTTGATTTCCGGTGCCAACAAAGGTAATATAAGCCTGCACATTAATTATTCGTCTTACTTTACGTTGACTAACTTTCTCAGGAATTGGCCGCGGTCTTGTCGCCAAGTACGGGGCACGCGATAATGTGACCGTGATCGCAGCCGTCCGCAACCCAAGCTCACCGGAGGCAACTTCTCTCTCTGACTTGCCCACGGGGAAGGGTAGTCGACTGATTATTGTCAAAATCGACGCCAGCTCTGACACCGACGCGAAAGCTGCAGTAGAGTCATTGTCAAGCCAGGGTGTGTCGGCTCTGGACATCGTTATCGCCAATGCGGGTGTCTTCGACACAGACGCTTTCACCACCGTAGCCGATTCTACCATTGCGCAGATCCAAACCCATCTAGATGTCAACACTGTAGGACCTGTACGCCTCTTTCAGGCTACACTCCCTCTCCTCAAAAAGTCGTCCTCTGCTCGCTTCATCCTGAGCAGTAGTCTTATGGCAACGATTGGAGGCATCAAAGACATCCCGATCAAAATTGCTCCTTATGGTGCTAGCAAGGCTGCCGCAAACTTCTTTGTCCGGAAAATTAACTTTGAACATGATGAAATTGCGACCTTGGCTATCCATCCTGGGTATGTGGTTACTTTTGAACTCTTTCTCCTGCGTAGGGCGTTGACTAATAACTTCTATAGGGCCGTCAAGACAGATGCTGGAAATGCCGCTGCCCGAGCTGTGGGTTACCCCAGCGCCTTCGTTGAAGTTGAGGACAGCGTGAATGCAATTGTCACCAAAATCGATGGCTTGACCAAGGAGAACGGAGCGGGAGATTTCTGGGGGTTTGACAACACCCTCATCGGCTGGTAGATACCGGAGGTTGGAGATGGACAGAATGATATATAAACACCTAAATGGGGGTAGAATATACAGTGAGAGAGCAGAAAGTAGAACAATTCTTGTTTTTTCTGTTCTGGTTATACAGTGGCCGTTCATTAATATGTCACTATGGTACTTCCCGAATGCACCGCCTTTTATTATCCATACCTTACTTTATCGTGAGATGAACCCACACTCCTCCCCCATTATTTAAGCAGCGCTGGGACCGAGTTCAATCAAGAAGTCTGCTGACCCAGTTGACAGCATGGAGCTACACGCTTCGTTAAATCGTACAGGAGAGACCATGTTGGTCTTCCAGTACTCTGGATCAGCCTCTCCCCGCATGGGCGAGCCAAGGACGGAGGAGAACAGTTTGACTGCGGATAGGCTGGCCAGAGGTTTCCCGCAATGGGCCTGCAGCAAAGAGATGTACCGGTCACCAATCTCAACCATATACTTAGAGTGATAGGCCAAATTGACCTGTAGCAACCGAGCAAAATGGGTATCTTGTTGGAGCCGGTCTTTGACTTCGTTCAAATGCTCCAGCTTTCCAGAGAGCGTTACGCTAGAGCTGCTATTAAAGCAGGCAATTTGCACCGTATCGGAGTTCGGGCCGATATATCTCACAGCATCTTCTGCGCCCAGGCCAACGGCCATCATTCCGACGCCCGTTTAAGCTGCTGGGGCTCCAGCCAATTCTTTGGCGGCCTGGCCACGGAAGATCGCAATCTTGATCGCATCTTCGGGTGTCAAGAGACCTGCAGCGCAGGCCGCAGCAATCTCCCCGGAGGCATGGCCGACCACGCTTTCGGGTTGAATTCCCCAGGATCTAAGCAGATCAATCAAGACCAGCTGTAATGCAGTTACGAGTGGCTGGGAGAATTCAGGCTGGCGTAAATGCTCTGGGCTTCTGGGTTCCACCAACTCCTGTAGCAATGACCAGGCTGGTGCCTGGGGCAAACTCTGTAGTGCCGAATCTAAGCCTTGGAGAACCTGCTGAGCTTGTGGGAAGAGCTCCACCACGCCTTTGCCCATTTGAGACCACTGGGCACCCTGACCGGTGAACACAAAGCCAATCCGAGGCCTCTCAGGGCTCCTTTTGCCGATTATAAGAGAGAAATCGTCCAGCAGGGGCTGCTCAGTGAGCAGAAAGCCGCGGGTGAAGAGACTACTTCGCTGGGCCAGGGTATGGGCCAGGTCGGATAGCTGAACTTTGACTCGGGGGTCGAGGAGATGCCGTTGAAGGTCCGCAACATATTTCTTCAACGAAATGTCATCATTTGCGGAAAAGGTGAGCAATTGGAGTCGTGTGTTTGGCGTATCCAGGTCGTCGTCAAAGAAGGAGTCAACTTTGGCGAAGGAGGACACATGCGGAGCCTGCTCGTGACCCAAGAAGGAACCGGCATCTTGAATCACCACATGGGCATTTGAACCGCCAGAACCGAAGGAATTTACGGAAGCAATTCGAGAGGCGAAATCCGTGGGCCAGGGCAAAGCCGCACGGGAGGCTTTGACTTTGAGACCCTCAAAATCAATCTTTGGGTTTGGGTCAATAAATGTCGGATTTGCCGGGATGACACCCTTCTCCACCGCCAGCACAGCTTTGATCAATCCGGAGACGCCAGCCGCAGGCTCAGAATGTCCAATGGTACTATTAACTGATCCAATGATCAGAGGTTGATGCGCGAGCCGGGTGGGAGCGAAGACTAAAGCAGCAGCCGCAACCTCAATTGGGTCCCCTGTATGTGTATCAGCATCAGGCCTCTCGGTGAAAGACAGCGTACTGGGAATTCTTACCTGCCAAGGTACCTGTTCCGTGCGCCTCCAAATATCCCACCTCGTTCATATCAGTGATACCCGCGGCAGCAAATGCGGCACGCATGGCGGCGACCTGAGCCTCCCCGTTTGGACTCGCAATCCCTAGTGTCCAGCCATCGCTATTTGTAGCAGTCCCGCGGATTATGGCACGAATCGGATCACGATTTAGCAGGCAGGAGAATATGATGAGTCCACTCGGACGTGGATTTGAACCTGGCCACACTCAGTAGGATAAATAAAGGGATTCTGAGTATGGCAGTCGTGCCATTCTCTACCTGGGAGAGATGACCTATCAGAGGAAATAACCATGATGTCCGTACAGATGAGGAGGTCTTATAAGGCTCTGCTGAACCTTGGCTGGCAGAGATGCTTCAGGAATATGAGAAATATGAAGAGGAGAAACGTTTCATATCGTGAATGTGATTGTGGAATCTGCCGTGGTGATTTAAGGTACTTTAAAGGTCCGGGGCGTAGGCGTCGCAGGAGGATCGAATGGCATTTCAAGAAACCCAGCAGGAAAGACAGACCACTCCAATGAATCTTGGAGCCGACTAGCCGACTCCGGAAATTAAGTGCAAACATTTGGCATGGCGCACGATAAGCGACCAATAAGTCATACCAACAACCACCCTATTATACATCCTTGTAGTTTCCCTCCAACGACGCCAGTTGAGAGGACTCCGATATACCGCGTAATATCTCCAATCGTCATCGAACCATGCAATGCGAGAATGCCTCAAAACGTGCCTATGCGGGGCCATCGTCAATCAGACTTATTCGCACCCCTTCCATGCCCATGGTGGTGGCAAGGCGGTCCATCCAGTCAGAAGTCGGGGGCTGGCGGGTTTCGGGAGTAACTCGTGATTCAATCATCAGATGAGGTCGTCCAGGTGAACCTGGCGGGGTTATTGGAGGAGAGGACTGGTCGAAGCTTTTGCGCGACCCAGACCCTCTTGCAGCCTGCATTCGATGGGTGACGATGCGGTTCTCCGCTTCGGCGGCAGGCCGCTGAGATGGATCTAGGAGGATGATGAGGTAGTTGAGAAGGAGAATACCAGACCGAATGCCCTGCATTGATAGGGTCGAGAACCCGTCAAAGAAATGGTAAGGGATCGGTCCGATGAAATCAGTCTTCGGTTCACGACCGGCCCGCAGGGTCGAAACCGTCATGCTGAACTCGGTGTGAATGCCTCGGAGGGAGGCGCGGGTAGCGAGGATGCCACGCAACAGTACGGGGCGCCTACGTTTCTGCATGTGTAGCGAGGCACCTTGGATGTTGCGCATCTGCTTCACAAAGCCTGGAAGTTTGACAATCTCGCGGAAAGCACGCTCCGTGATATCCGTGTAGACGGAGGAATCCGGTTGTTTGGCGTTTTCCGCTGCAATGTGCTCGTTGAGCGCCTGCCATTTGGGTTCCTCCAAGAAACACTCGTCACCATTCACCAACGCCGAGGTGACCAGAGTATTGCGGAATGCGATATACAACGCGCAACCGAATCCGTCCAAGTGCATTTCCGGCCCTCGAAGCTGCATCAAGGCCCGGATCCCTGCCGCATGATGCATCCACCCATCCTCTGAGGTGCAGGAGTGCATTTCATAGATCGCAAGGGTGATGGCAGTGGCTAGTGTCTCGTCCGATGTTGCCTTGGACACATTGTTCAAAGTACGCGAGAGACCGCGCATCGCACTGCTGTAGAGTTCTCGGCCGGCGTCAAGGTAGTGGGGGTCATTGTGCCGACTGCCAGCGTACATAGTCGTTACACTGCGGACGGCCAAATCGAACGGGTGTTACCGCTATCTCTTGCGGCGACATATTCCACCCAATTGATCGGCACTCGGGTCTCGGTGGCTTTGAAATAGCACGGATACGCGTCTAGAACGAAGTTGATGTACAGTTGGATCTGGCCCGCAGCAGCAGCTTTGGCAACGAGCGAAGGGGTTACATTTTCGTCAATGGGCGAGAGGGTGAGATAACGTGCGTTACTCCGTCCTTCCCGGGAAATCCATAGCAACTTCTGGCTCGACGACCGGTCCGTTGTTGAGAGTGACGTCGACGATGATGTTTCGGACAGAGTTAAATGAAAGCGATAAGGTAGGGCGGGATTGTCCTGGCCTTCGGGCGTGCTACTTTCGACGCGACATCGGAAACGAGAGCTATGGCATCGCAGACAAGGGGATCTCCCGTCACACTGCGAGAGTCAGACAAGGTCCATGTGGTAAAAATGAAGGTGTTTAGTGTGGTTGGGTTGTTGTGGCATCGGCCGTAGTGTTGAGTCAAGAGTCAAATGTTGTCAAACACCAAGTGCCGGGTCCTAGGACGCTAAGCCCAATGGCAGGAAAGGTCGTGAGCTGAAGCTCACATCCTGGTCGGGAGTTGCATAATCAAGACAAAGACGCCTTGCGGCCCCGTAATGCGGAGAGGGGGGGGGGCCAGGGGGGGGCGGGAGGCGGGGAACCCACCTGGACAGAGAGTTGGGCGCATCGCAGACAGCGGCGGGGCGCTGGGACCATGCTGTTCAAGGCATGAAGGGGAACCCAAGGTCGGAAGAGCCGGCCTTGAGGGGTGAAAGGGGGACGGCAATTTCGAAAACTTAGTTCGGAGGGACAGGAACAGGAGTCGTTAGGAGTCGGGCGTGCATCGTAGAGGGGACGATCCGTCGCTAAAAGACCGCATAGCCAATGGGTGGAACGTACGGAGTACTCCATACAGAGTAGAAAGGAAGGGCACGAAAATAGTAGCGATTGGCGGTGGGGGCAGCCGAAACGTTAATCCGGGAAGGTTATGATTGGCAGAAGAATCATGCTGCACCGAGTTTATGCGTGAATCGAACAAACCCATCAATCATGACGAAGCAATGGCTATTTGCAGGCGGCTGAAAAGAGGCTGAAGTGGTGTCACGAGACCGCGTCTACGCGACGGTCTGATAGTCATGTGGTCTGAGACTTCTGAGGGATGAGGTCTCCCAAGAGCCCACCCCCGGGCGGTTGATCCTAGTGCATAGGGGAGTACTCCGTATACTTGGTCGATGTACATGGACGAGAGAGATAGGAACAGGGGGCATCACAGAAACAAGAGACAGACGACAAGGAGCATGAAGCATATGCAAAACTAGATCAATCACGTACCCCAGCCTCCCGTCAAAAAAGAAGAGAAAAGAAAAGAAGAATCACATTTGCGCCGCATTCGCCTCCCCAAAGCGAACTATACCAACCCATCGTACAGCGATAGCGCGGAGACAATAGTCTCGTCGCGCTTGCTGCCCTCCTTGAACTCCTCGATGTCCAGGCTGCCATTCTCATCCTTGTCCATCATCCGGAAGATTTTCCGCACCCGCTTCTCCGGTGTATCCTCGTCCTCCGGGAGCTTCACCATCGATCCCACCTGTGCATACGGTCAGTGATGTTACCAACAATCCGCCATAAGAGACCCCTGAGAGACTCCACCCTTCCCCGGGACATACCATTTTGTAAATCGCCTCGACAATGGCCAGCATCTCGTCGTAAGTAATCTTGCCATCACCGTCAATATCGTACAGTTGGAATGCCCAGTCCAGCTTGTCCTCCATCTTGCCGCGTGAGGTGACCGAGAGCGCGCAGATAAACTCTTTAAAATCAATCATGCCGCTTTCGTCCGAGTCAAACACTCGGAACACATAGTTGGCAAAGGACGATGGGTCACCGAAGGGAAAGAATTGCCGGTAGATCTTTTGGAACTCCTCTTTGGTCAAGGTTCCTGATGGGCAGTCCTTGAGAAATCCTGCAGGTGAAGCGCCCCCGGTCAGACTATCGGCGTTGCGGGATTGCTTGATGATGACAGCCTGTCCGCTCAGGATTCACGTACCCTTGTACCATTGCTGGAGCTCCTTCTTGTCGAAATGGGTTGCTCTCTGCAGCTCCTCGAGCTGCGAGGGCGAGAGCTTCGATTGCCTGCGGAAACCGAGTCAGCACCAATGCAGAGGGATACGAACTACCTAGGGCAGCAGGCGCGCATGGCCTGGTCGTGAATGACCTCCCGGTTCACTCCCACAGAGACATCGCCAATGTCCCAGGGGCTTCCGCCGGGTCCCCGGCGCACCGTCGGAGGTGAGGGGGAGGGTAAGAGAGGGTTCGGTCGGACTTACGACTTGCCCATGGTCAAACACCCAAAACCCAGACTGGTACGGATGGTCGCAAGCGCATGCACGTCGAATACTCGGCGATATCGTCAAGGACGAGAGACTGGGAGGCGAAGGAGAGATAAATATGTGACGCGGGGTAGAAGGGGGGATGGTTGTGTGGCTGAGTCGCTCCGGCGGGGAGTCTACCTAGAGGGAGTGCGGGCGGGATGTGCGCCCAAGATGAAGCGAAAGCAGGGATCGAGGCCGATAGAAATTCGAGGGATCGTAGAATCGCGAGCGAAATTGTGTTGAAGGAACTGCAAGGGGAGGAAACTAACGGAAGTTGGAGTGGCGAGGATGTCCAGACCATCCGGGGGGCTTGGCTTGGCATGACACGACTACGCCGGCATTGCCGCGGACTCCGTTCGACATTATTTACAAGGATGCTTGCTCCTCCCCCAATGATGACAGGAACATCTCTTTTCCCGCCCCACCACCAACAATAACAGACCAGTCTATCCTGTTGCAAAAGAACAACAACAAAAGGGATGCAAATCATTTCCAGCCTATCAAGACACAGGATGACTAGAATGGGTGCCGGGCGCAGGTTACCCCGGATGAAAGCGCGGCTAGATAGAGCAGAACTACAGAGATGAGATTAATCCACCTTGATGGAACCGTAGATGCGGTAGATGAATGCCCAGCTGGCAAAGAAGCCAATAGAGCCTGCGGAGGGGAAATTAGCGGATTCTCGAGTCGGGGGAGTAGGAGGAAGAAAAAACGAAGACCACATACCAGTCAGAATAAAAACAACGAAGCCAATTAGCGCCGAATAACCCACGTAGAGCACTGCGCCTGTCAGGCCGCCGAAGCTGACCCTCGTTGCCCAAAAGGTAAGGGCATTCAGGAAGACGTAGCAACCAGTCATACCGGCACCCGCAAAGGCACGCCAGTGCCACCGGTAATTCTCGGCGCAGAGCAGGAAGTATACAAGTAGGACCGTCGTGGCCGCAGAGGTTATAATCATCAGACCGTAGCACAGGAACAAGAACCCGAACATGTAGTAGATCTTGTTGGTCCAGAGAGAGGTCATGATAAAGTATAGCTCGACGAAGATGGCGCCGAAGGGGAGAATACCAGTCAGGAGGATCGACGGGATGGTGCGCAGGCTGCCTGACATGGGAGGCACCTGTCGGGGGATCTGATTGGTTTTGGTTGGGCCCTCGATTGGCTAGAAAGCATCAGTCAGTATGAAAGAAATAATGCGGAGGACAAAGACCCAAGCAGGCTAGAACATACCGATTGCCTAAATCCAACCCAGCTACCGGCCACACTCAATGGCACACTGATAACGAACCATATCAAGACCAGTGCGACCATGGTGCCAAAAGGTACGGCACCACTGGAACCCTTGGCCCAGACAAACAGGTTGAGCAGGAAAAATGTGCCGAATATGACCCCGGGAAGCAAGAGGGGGGTCATGATAATGTTGCGCTTCCAAGATTCGCCGCCAAACGACTTATACACGCGAGCCGAGACGTAACCTCCAATGGCACCGAAGAGAGCGGAAATCAGGAGGATGGCAGTGGCCAAGAAGCCACGGTTAGCGGGAGAGAGAAGGCCGAGAAGGGCGAATGCTGCATGGCACGGTCAGATGGACCTGGAGAACAAACAAGTCGAATTGAATCACTTACCAACAGTCACACCGGTCATCATGAAAAGCTGAGCACCGTTGCCTAGCATCACACTCAGCAGCAGTGGTGACTTCGGGCAACGGAAGACATCGCCGTGGACCAGCTTCCATCCTGAATCCTCCTGAATGCCATCCTCAATCGCAGCCGAAGTGCCATCCAAATCATCCAAGCTGATCTGGTCCAGCCGGTTGTAGCGAGCAATGTCCTTCTTGAGCGCACGCACAAGGATCATGCTGACCATCCCCACCAGGAAAACGACAAAGACGGCCGAGTTGATGAGGGAAAACCAGTGAATCTTCGGGTCGTAGACGTGCAGATACTTGTCCCAGCGGGTGGCCCATGCTGTAGGCGACTCCTTCCAGTAAACGCTGTATGTCCAGGTTACTGGCGTCTCTCCATCTTCACTCAATCTGAGGATATTCCCTTGGGTGCCGCACTCGGCGGTCCCATCGTCCAGAATCCGCGAATCGAGCCGGGACTCGGGCTGCACGAGCACCCCAACAACCCGGTACTTGTCCTTTCCGCTGAAACCCACACGGTGGTAGTCGATTACGATATCGAAGTGATTGTTGAGCACGGATTGGCCATTCTCATCTAAGTCGCCCAGCGAGAATCCTGGGTTGTAGAACTGGGTGTTTGTGTTTCCGTCGTAGTTTAGCTGCGCCGCTGGCAGTCCGTCCACGATCCAGTTGATATTATATCCTTGCGAGATTCGGCGATTGGTGAACTTGGCGCTCCGATCGTCAAATGTTACCTCCCCGCAGACCGCTTTACAGGTCTCATTCTTGGCCATGTGCAGCTCCAGCGGGGATGTACGGATCCGGTCGCCGAACAGAATACTTCCCAAAGATTCCCTAACATCCTGGGCACCTCCCTCCGGCCGGCAGAAGTGGAATGCTGGGTGATAGTAGTCGTATGAGAAGACAGAATGAAGCTGGTCGTCGCGCGACAGCCCGGGCGTCAGATGGTTGACAAAGAGGGGGACGGATTGGCCTTGGTCGTAAGAAGTCGGAGCGACACCGGGAAGGTAAAAGGCCGAGGATAGCGAGGGAATTGAAAGGAGGACCGAGGTGAGGAGGGGGGGCTCGGTCGGTGAACCGCATGGTGACCGTAGAGCGTTTGAGCGGGTTGCTCAGCCTAGCTTCATGTGTTTTGACGGCTGGCTATGTAATTTGGGTTTCGGGGCAGCGCCTGTGAATCTGACCACTTATCCCACAATCCGGAACAAATACAATTCCAAGCTCACGGGGAGTGCACTTGTGTCGTCATGCGTGCTGCAATAGAGCGAAGGAAATCGTGGCTGCGAAAGGACAGAATGGCCCCCGGAGACAGGAACGATCCGCGAGGCGGCCTTGAGATACACGTGACATTGTATTACGGTCAAATCACGTGGTGATAAGGCACGTCGAAGAAAAAAACCCAGCGGAGGGCTTCATCGCGGAATAGTTCCAAATATACGCAACCACCATGGCTTCAGCAGAGACTGCGCCTGCGCGCGCTCAGACTCTATCCACACTTCTTGAGGGTCTTACGTCTTGTCTCACCAGCGCTAGCTCCTCCCTCCCAGCCCCTCGGAAAGATGCGCCCACCGACGTATCGATCGCGCCTCCGCAAGACGGCATCTCGCTTCTTGACACGAAGAGCGAAATTCTTCTTTCTTACCTTCACAACCTCGTTTTTCTGATAATTCTACAACTACGACAATCATCGTTGAATTCAAAGTCAGACGCGCCCGAAGATGCGGCCGACAGCTCTCTCCGGGATGAGGCAGTGAAAAAGCTGGTCGAGCTCCGGGTTTTTCTGGATCGCGGCGTTCGTCCTTTGGAAGGACGGCTCAAGTACCAGGTCGACAAAGTTGTCAAAGCAGCGGAGGATGCAGAGCGGGTGGAGAGCTCCGCTCAACCCAAAAAATCAAAGAAGAAGGTCGCCAGCCATGGGAAGTCCGAGGACGATGACGAGGCAAGCGATAGCGAGGCGGATGATTCCGAGGAAGATGATATGGATGAGATGGCATATCGGCCTAACGTCGCAGCCTTCTCCAAAGGCAAGGTGGAGCAGAAGCAACCTGAGGCCAAGGCGACCAGAGAGGAGCCTAGCGATGGCATCTACCGCCCACCAAAGATCATGCCCACTGCTCTACCCACCACTGAGCGTCGCGAACGGCAGGATCGTCGACCGCGGCGGTCTAATGTCATTGACGAATTCGTCAGTGCTGAGATGTCCGCCGCCCCCATGGCCGAACCCAGCATCGGTAGCACCATCATTGACGGTGGTCGCCAGACAAAGTCCAAGAAAGACCGTGAGCATGAAGCGGAGCGAACTCGATACGAAGAGACCAACTTCGTCCGTCTCCCCAAGGAAACCAAGAAGGAACTGGCCAAGCGAGGTGGCGGCCGCGATACTACATACGGTGGAGATGAATGGAAGGGCCTCACCGAGGGAGCGGATCGAATTGAACGCCTTACCCGTCGGTCGAAGAACAGTGGGTCTGCTCTCGAGAAGAGTCGGAAGCGCAGAAACGAGGATGGGCAGCGCGGTGACGGTGTGGGGATGGGCGAGATCTTTGACAAACGTCGGAAGAAGGTTGACAGCTGGAAGCGGTAGATTTACGATGCGATCCTTTTCTGGTTTCTTTCTTGGTCCTGCGACAGGCGGCGGGCCTTGATCATCACCCCGGAGTTGGTATGGCAAAATAGGGCTTTTTTTTGTATGTAATTGCACACCACTATATCTGCATTGTAGCATCCAATTCGACACAATTGGCCGCAATCGGCATTGGCTCACCATGTAGCTTCTTTCAGGCTAACCGTCCACCTCTCTGCTCGGGATGCCGAGTCCTGCACCAGAGTGGCTGGGTTGGCTCCAGCAGAGTGTCGATTACCGACAGCGTGCCCGCGGGTGTTTCTTGGCGGGCAGCCTCGATCTCACTTGACGCAATGCACTTGAGCGAATCGAATCCTTGCCGAGCGCTGTCCCAAGCCAGCCCGGCGCATTCACATGTCCGAACGGGCCATGATGTCATCGTCCCCAACTCTTGATCGATATCTTCTCCAAGCTCTTCTGTTAACATTCAACTTCACCATTGCAACCGCTGCTCACAAAAATCATGGAGAATCCTGGTAAGCCGGACCATCTAACATATCCTCCCATTTTCAGCGCTGAACCGGTTTGTCTTTAGTGGCCGAAATCCCGACGGTGATTCGTCTTCTTACTCAGTCCACCCCATCTTTGCAACACAAGGTTCTGGAGCGATTTTACACCCCCAATGCCGCCTTTGTACATCCCTTCTGTCGAGTACCCAGCTTTAGGGAAAGTCGCTGGTGGGTGACGAAGATCTTCCAGTGGTATAAGATTCTATCACCTCGGATTGAGATGCAGATTCATTCTGTCGGTCAGTAGCTCTCATTCCGATCGACCGATCCGCGTGCTGATACCTCCATAGCGTTTGACGAGACCCACCTGAAGCTCTATGTCCACATGTCCCAGATTTTTTCCATTTGGATAGTGCCTTTTTACGTCGCACCGGTGACACTGACAACGGTCCTGGATCTGACCACAGACCAGGCCCAGAGCAACGCGCCAACCAATGGTAACCGCACGCTGTATTACATTGCCAAGCAGGAAGATCTATATCAAACTTCCGAGTTTGTAAAGTTCGTCCTTCCCCACGTCGGATATTGGCTGGTCCTCGTCTGGCACTTAATTGCAACGTTCTTCTGCGTCCTCGGTGTGACTGTTCTGTGGCCTATGCTGTGGCTGGAGGAGAACGGCTACCTCCCCAGTCGAATTGCGCGGGGGGAAATCTGGCTTACAACATCGAGAACAAGATCCCGGAGATCAAGGATCAGTGATTGCGAGGGAGTTACCGTCTGGCCTTTTTTTCCTTCCTTTACAGGATGGTTACAAATTGAACCTTGTAGTGCCCGATTCAAAGGGCTGGAACGTTTTGGTACAAGCGTATCATTCACTGCTTCTTATTTTTGGCTTTGGTGCACATCAAGGAAGCAAGTTGCAGGATTGATGCTAATAGGTTATCATCATAGAAATGCAACGCTCGTGCCACACATGCATCCTGTGCCCCATGTTCTGATCAGAAGTCAGCTCCTTGCGGCGCGCTATCGTCATTACTGAGTCTTGCCAGCGTTGCGCTGCTTGCGCAATTCCTTGCGAAATTGGTTCTCTTGTCCCACCACCGTCAAAGGCAAGGTCCGTCCAAGACCGAAGAACACGAACAGGGCCCACTTCCACCGGAATGGGTTGATGATCAGGACGAAGATGTACCAGTAAATGAGCTCGGCATATGTGAAAAAGTCAAAGGCCCCCGTAGGCGCCAATCGCTTCATGAACCGCGTAAAATCAATCCAGGTTTTCATCCACTGCTCAGTCGGGCGAGTCAATGGGTCGGTCATAAACATGATCAGAAATCGCGTATAGATGCCGATGTGCATGTTCCCCACCGTACCGATAGCGTTGATGTACGTGCTGTTGTTCGCGCAGATGTCTGGATACTTGGGTGGGAAGACTTGCAGGTACCAATTAGGGGGACCGTATGGCTCTTCGAAAACCTCTTCCGGCAGAAAAGACAGCGAAGGTCGTTTAAACCCAGTTGCCATGACGACGATGTCGCTCTCGACGAGGCGCTCCCTGCCGGGGCCTCCCTTTGGTACTCCCTGGGCTCTGTGATTGAAGAGCACACCCCTCTCCTCCATGGAAACAATATCACCTCGAAACCAGTGCGCCTTACCCTCACGGATTTGATTGAACAGCTCCGAGTTGGCCATGGGGGTTTGGGTAAAGATTCCATCATCGGTGGGAGCAATATCCTGAAGATCGCGATAGAAGAATTTGCGTAGGAGCCACTCGGGGATCCATGAAAACGAGGTTTCCATGCCGAAGATATTAACGGCCAGCAAGGATTGAACCAGCACATTTCGGGGGATGATCCATTTGTCGGAGCGCGACAGGACATCAATCTCTGCGGCTCCCGATTTGACCGCGAACTCTAGAGCCTCGATCGCACTGGCACCGCCACCCACAATCACGATTTTCTTGCCCTTGGCGTCTTTGCCGTCCAGATTAGACGAGTGGTAAATCTGGCCCTTGAACTTCTCTTGGTCGGGCAGGGTCGGCATTTGCGGGTCTCCACAGACACCGACAGCTGCGACCACGCCATCGAATCGACCGTATTGCTCTTCGTCATTGTTGATGATCCATTGGCCATTATGGGTTTTCTTGACCGAGGTCACCCGCGTGTCAAACACCGTGCGTCTCTCGAGATCGTAACGTTTCCAAAGCTCGACGATCTGCTCACGGATCTGTTTCTGGCTGGGATAGGCACTGTCATAGTGGACCGAGGGATGGAATCGGTACATCAAGCTGTGCACCTGGAGGGCGGAGGTGGAATTGACTCGCTACGCCCAGTCAGCATTTTGGCGTTGGTGTGTTTTGGGGGTGAATCATGGGCAGCTCACACTCCAGATACCCCCCAGGCCTGCATCTTGGGGTCTCGACTCAAAGATCTGCACATCGAATCCATACCCCACGCAATGAGCCGCCGATGAAACACCTGTCAGGCCGGCGCCGATCACAGCGACCCTCTTTCGGGGAATGTTTGCGGTGTTTGTGGTCGGGGGAGGAGGGACCGGCGAAAAGATATACCTGAGCACCGCTTGGAGAATGAGATAGAGCCAGGTAAAGGTCTGGACGAACGGGTGCCTGATTAGGGCGAGGATAGACGATTGGGAGGCCGCCATAGCGATTGGAATTGACGAAGAGAACCAAACTCGGCCAGGCAGGGCTTTGTTGAGATTTTTGTATCTGGGCCATGGCAGTGACGTGATGAGCGGAGCAATGAAATCCCACTTCCCATGTGATTGTGCTAGTCATCACGAATTGATCTGTTCACTTGGTGGGCTTAACTAGTTATTGTGGAACGGTGCATGATGTCATCTCCCCGGAGCCCGGTTTACGCTGCATGACGGTTGAGCGTTGAGCTTTACATGGAAAAACTTCCAAAGTGTCCGATGTACAGTATTTCGTTGTGGGTCTCATACTTGCGCACGCAGCGCACCCCCGAGAATTGCTTTTTGACTAGGCGTGATTTGTCTTATTAGCGTGCCAATTGAGCTATGTATGTACTTGGCAGTTTTGAGAAAACAGCAAAGTCCTCCACATACCCACCACGTCTCCTCTGTAAACACCATCGATGGTACCAACCCAATAATCCTAAAAGAAGGTAAAATTAGAGCATAGGATTGGAAATTGCTGATTTGATACGCTAATCGCACCCTAATCCCTAGAATACCTCGGGTGGGACGGTGGACACCATCTGAGGAACCAGGAACCAATACCGGCAGGCGGTCAGGATGAGGCATGATTCTGCCGACGGCTTGGGTGGTCGGCCGTTGCCTTTTGTTGCGCTCGAGGACCATTTGCTCCAGTCCACTCCAATTGACACAGCGCATGACTGAGGACTGTGTGCTGGCTGAGTCTCGCCTCACCATGGTTGTGTCTTCTCAAATAACTTTCTAATCATTCGACCACTCCATTGTCTTGTTTCCGAACCCGTCTCCGCCTCGCCTCGTCATGGCCACCCCAACTCCCATTCTGGACCAATTTCTGGGTGGTGTGGCCGAGCTGGTCCAGAATCGCGATGGCGCCAAGCTGCAGGACTTTCTCCAGATCGAGCCTCCGCTCTCGGAGAACTACTTGCGCATGATCCAGGAGCTCCGAGGAGGATATCCTGCGGGTGGCCCGCAGAGCGACGCGGGCCTGTTACAGCGATGTGAGGCGTTGGTCCCGCGCACCAAGGGTGGTTCGTCGTGGACAGCCTTTCCAACCTTCATGAAGCTCTATTTTACTTTCTTGCGCGATGTCAATACCGACAATCTCCTCGACACATACAATCAGCTCAAGGGATTGCTGAAGTAAGTTGCGATTCCCGGATTGGAAGCTCTGCCACCGCCAGGCACATCGGACAGAGGCCTCATAAACCGCGTGAGGTGAATGGCTAATGAGGGTCCTTTTCCAACTGTAGTCAATGCGTTTTAGCCCTCGGAGACAGCCAGATGGGTGTCGTCGTCCTCCCTACCGTCCTCTATCTGTCCAAAGTGCTGGCTAAACTAGCAATGGGGTTAGACCGCCGGCCGGAACTAATCGCACATATATTGCGCATGGAAGGGGGTGCAGACAATGACGATAGCATCGAGAAAGTGACATTGGTGGAACAGTCGGCAAACGTGGTGCGCGAAGCCTTCATCAAATGTTTGACGGATCGCACCGGCACTGCCGGCACGCATGGAAAGCCCGAGGGCAAGCGTGTGGGAATCTATCTCATGGCCAATCTGTGCCTTAAGCTCTTGTTCCAGGTATGCGCCCTGAGCGGGAGGGTTCCTTCCCCTCGGGACTGAAGAGCCGCTCCAACTGACTCGTTGATTTAGTGCGGCAAGTTGCGCAATGCCGAACAGATGTTTGCCAGCATCAGTGCCCAATCTCCTCCTTTAGCCCATTTTCCTGCCGCGCAGCGGGTCACATATCTCTACTACCTTGGCCGTTATCTATTCTCGAACAACCTTTTTTATCCCGCCCTCATCGCCCTACAGGCTGCCTATGACCAATGCCATCGTCAAGCGCTCAGTCAACGACAATTGATTCTCACCTATCTGATCCCGTGTAATATCATCATGGGACGCTTCCCATCTGGAGAACTTCTACAACGGCCCGAGGCAAATGGCTTGGTGGAGAAATTTGAACCCTTGTGCCGACTAATTGTTCGTGGAGACTACATTGCGTTTCGAGAACATCTCTCCCCCAACTCGCCCGCTGCTGAGTGGTTTTCCCGCAAGGGTATCTTGCTGACCCTCCGCAACCGATGTGAAATTATGGTATGGCGATCATTCTGCCGGAAGGTGTTTATTCACGGTGGATTCCATGGGGACCCGCAGGCGCAGGCGCAGCGTGGACCCCCGCCTTACCTCTACCTTCAGAAGTTGGCTGTGGCCACTCGATGGCTTCAGTCACAGCACCAGCAGACGAAGCTGACGACCTATGTCAATCACGCGACACCGAATTTCCATTTCTATGGGTCTCAGATCATTTCGGAGTCAACCGATCCTGATTTCGTCGGTCTCGGAAGCCCCGATACCCCGACTGCCCGGCAACTGTTAGAGAAATATGGCGATTATCTCGCACCTGACGGATTTTTCGACGAAGGAGGCAACTGGCAGCACAATGTGCCTGGTCAGTTGATTGGGGGCAACCCAGGTGCGGATTATGATGGGTTCGAATTGGATCCCTATGCCGATGCCACTGAGGATGGCCCAGAAGCAAACAAGCAGTCGCTCCTCATGGATGAGATTGAATCCATTCTCGCCTCTCTTCTCACACAGGGATTGATGCGCGGCTACCTGACCCATCGCAACCCCCGTTTTGCCATCCCTGGGGCTCGACTCCGAGGGGCTTTGCCGACAGGATTCCCCAATATCTGGGAAACGATCTCCACCCGTGAAAAGGAAGATCCAAGTGTCCCTGGGTGGGTTCGGCCTCCGCCGACCACCTTTGGGGCTCCTGCCCTCGGCGGCAGTGGTGGGCGAGTGGTTAATCTGTCAGGTGCGCGACCGGTTGGCGTGCAGTGAGGCCCCATGTTGCCTGACTCTCTTCTTCATGATATTCGATCCTGTGCTAGCGATACCTATACTTCATGCACAATAGAGAAGTACTTGATGAAACAAGCGTGGCTTGTGATTTATGTTTTCTTTTTCTCTGTACTGATACGCGTAAAACTACAAAGCTGCATAGCAAGCGCCAAACAGGATATTGTGGTGCTAACAAGAAGCACAGGATATCTGTGTACCTGCAAGAATCCAAGTAACCTCATCATAGCTTGGACTTGTTCCACCAGATGTCTGGCCGCCACATCTCATTCAAGAGTCGGCTGGCGTTGACCCTACCGGGCCTGACTGCTCGCTTGCTCGACTCCGTAAGAGGCCATCGATCGGCGAGACTAGCTCTTCGCCCGTCGGCTACCAACCACTTCCTGTCGCGAGCCGATCGGCTAGCTGCTGGTGTTCCACCTTAGCGCTTCCATGTCCGGCCGATTATTGGTGGAATCGCTGGCCTTACTCAGAACGGGTCAGGACCGGCGGCTTCCTCCCCACAACACCCACAGCATCCACGCCACTACCAGGGGGAGTACCAGGGGCCGCTGCCAGCCCGTTGCCCGGCGAGGCTGCAATCCGGGGGTTCCAAACCCCGCCGAATTACCCCAGTCGGTCGGTCCTCTCCCGAAACGTGAATGCGACGAAGCTCGTGGCCTTGAAATATCCTGCGTGGCGCCACTTGTATGTCCCAACTGGCTTCATTGCCTATCAGGCGGACACTGCGGAAATCAAACCAGCACCAGCATGGGCTTCCGAGCCGCCGAGGATCGGCCGACCCCCAAGGAGGTCTACAACTGGCGGTTGTATTCCGAAGCCATCGTCATCGCCACCGGATCGTTACTGTAAGGTGGATAGCCGTCGGAGGCAGAGAATATCGTGCTAAATCGGTATAGTTTTGGCTACGACTCGGCCTTTGTGGGCACGACCATCGCGCGAAAGAGCTTCCTAGCCGACTTTCATATCACCAAGGCCAACAGCAGCGCCATTTCCAGTAATATCACCTCAATCTTTCAGGCGGGCGCCTTTTTTGGTGCTCTTTTCTGCTTTTTTTGTCAGTCAAGTTCCGTGGTCTTCTTCCGACCGAAATAATAACCCGACTTCTAGTTACCGAACGCTTCGGTCGAAAATGGACGCTGCAACTCAATGTTGTGGTCTTCATCATCGGTGCAGTGATGATGACCGCAGCCACCCATCAGTTGGGCCTGATCTGTAAGAATTGATTCCGACGTGTACCGTTTCTTGTCTGCGCTCCTAACAGACAGCGCTGCAGACGCCGGTCGCGTGTTGACGGGAATCGGCTGTGGTGCAATCACGGCCACCGTGCCTAGCTATATCGCCGAGTTGTCGATTCCTTCCATTCGAGGAATCTTGACGGGCTTTTTCGAGTGCGCCTATCAGATTGGTTCGGTCATCGGGTTCTGGATCAACTATGGCATTACAGAGAACATGTCCGCCACCGCGTCGATTAGTTGGCGAATTCCCATGGCAGTGCAACTGATCCCCGCGGTGCTGCTGCTGATGGGCGGGTTCTTCCTCCATGAGTCTCCCCTCTGGCTGATGCGCAAAGGGCGCCACGCCGAGGCTTATCGGGCCCTCGAAACATTGCGCAAATTGCCAGCGGAACATCCGTATCTCCAGCAGGAGGTCCAGCTAATTCAGAACCGTTTAAATGAAGAAGCCGGAGTGGCGAGCAAGTATGGCGTGGGGTCATGGGCCTTCTTCCGCGGAGCAATGGACGAGTTCTCGCGGCGGGGCATGCGAAATCGGGTGTTTCTCGTATTTTGTGCTTTTGCGTTGGCCAATCTGTCCGGCGCTTCTGGTATGGAATCAATCCTCCCTTGATCTGAATTTCACAAGCATCTCATTCTCAGCTACAGCTATCAACTATTACTCGCCAACTCTCTTTGCATCTATTGGGATCAAGGACACGGCCTTATACACGGGCATTTATGGCCTCGTCAAGGCGATTGCTTCACTGATCTTCTATATTGGCTTCGTCGACAAGGTTGGCCGTCGTCGCCCAGTCGTGCTATCCTCAATCGCCTGCTCCTGCTGCCTCTGGTATGTCGGCGCCTATGTCAAGATTGCCAACCCTGCCGCCGTCGTTTCCGATGGAGGTACACTGTCGGACTCTACGTCTCGAGGTGGTCACGCAGCGACTGCAATGATCATGATCTACGCCGTTTTCTGGTCATTCGGTCTGAATGGTATCCCCTGGATTGTCTCGGCGGAAATCTTCCCCGGTGCTTTACGAAACTTCTCTGGCACCTGGGCGGCCCTTGTCCAATGGGCCACACAATTCCCAATCAGCAAGTGCCTCCCATATATTTTCAACGCGTTTGGATATGGGACCTGGTTTTTCTTTGCGAGTTTCTTGGTCGTTGCGACGGTCTGGTCCTACTTCCTACTCCCAGAAACAAAGGGCCTGACGATTGATCAAATGGATATACTCTTGTATGTGCAGCTTCACACCATTTGATAGACATCTTGCTAATATTTATAGCGGTTATCATCAACCTGGGCACCGCGGCATTCCTCATACTCGTGTTACGAGGGATCACTTGGCGGCGTTAAATTCGAATGGCCCTGAGAAGACTGGCCAGACTACGCACTATGAGGTCGTTTGAAAAGGACTTACTATCTTTAGGTCTCGACCCACGCGAGCGGTTACTAGAGCTACACCCTTGATAATAAGGAGCGCGCTGCAGATTTGACTCGGGATGATTTCACGCGATCTCAGGGTTTGTATCTATTTATTGGACATTTTATCGACCAATGAATCAATGTCTGCCTGTGGACATGTGAAATGAGCAAGTATCCTATGATGGATGTTTTGCAATTTTCTATAAGCTTGACGGCATGAGCCGGTGATCTGCGCCCCCGGTCATCCATCTTTTGCTTGACCATCACCCTTGTGCACTATGCTAGCGAAGATAATCATCTTCTTTGCGTATTACTTTATTGAACCCCCTTCTCCCCTTCTGGGTCGCTTCTTCCATGTTCAAACTGTCTCCGTTTTTCGCGCCTATGAGTCCGGGGTACGCCCTCGGGGAAATGCATGACTTGCATGCCTGCGTGATCGGAAATGGCCGCTGCCCTACGATCCAGGGCTTCTCTTATCTTTAACTTCATATGAACAATTAAGAAAGGCACGAAAATGATTCAATATCACGTGAAACCTGATATTTAGATCACAAGTAGCAACAGAAATGATCATAAAAAAGAACACAGCTCCCGTCAATCATCAAGATCAAAAACACCGTTCAATCAACTTATCTCCGGCCCATCTAGGCCATTGCCATCAAGGTAGTGGGACCTTGACTAGAAGCTGCAATGTGCTGTTAGAGGATAGTCTCCAAGACGCCAGAGTCAAGAAGCATACAGCATCATCATCTTCTCAGCGTTCATGTGCTCTGGTTGCCTGTCACCGCGCATGGGCGAGGCGACTTTCATAGTGGCCGACGGAGTGGCCATAGAGGTGGGAGTTGCTTGCGTCGTCGGCATCGACATCGACATTGACATAGATGTTGTCGCTGGGCGTTCGATTTCCTGGTGATGCTATGAGGTATTCGATTAGTCTTGACCCGTTGCATGTTAGTAAAGAGAAAAACCAACCTGTTCGCTTCCGCCGCGGGGCAGGGCACTGGCGACCGCCGCAAACAGAACGAAGACGATTTCGAAGCGCATGACGGAAATAGTGAAGGTAGAAGAATATGTTTTAGAACAATGTAAATCGGTTGATCGGATTTGGTCAATGTTTGAGACCGATCGAGGACGTGCGTGTTGATGGAAGAGGCCATTTCTGTCGAAAAGCTCAAGCCCTTTTATATGGTGTCTGGGAGCTACACAGTCAGTCTGGTGACGGCATCATTGCTAGAAGGGAAGGCTCTATTACGAGGCCTCGCGAGGTTCACGCACATCAGATCACCGCCAAATGGGGAAAACAAACTCCCAGGACGTCACTGCCAGACCGGCTATGTGCATAATGCCGGTTCCTGCAGACTAAGGCTGATGTCAGTGGAATGCGGAAAGCAACGCAGCCTCATACCGGGTGACACGCATCTCCTGCCGACTCCCACGCCCGTTGATCCGCATGGCAACATGGATCAAAGCCAGGCATAGTCAGTCGTTCGAGAAAACCCCAAGAAACACAACGACAAAGAGGCTGTATTGGTTCTCCTCTGTTTTGCTTCTGTCCCACAGTTATTGTTTCTGTGGAAAACAATCCCGTATCCGGACTGCGGATCAAGTATATACATGCTTCTCCTGGACGGCATGGTGCCACCGCCAACTCATCCACTTGAAGCAAATGCACACCACAAGACCCAATCCCGCGAGGCCAATGCACAAGTATAGGGCGCCTTGACATGCCTGCAAAACATGACGACCTGCGTCATCCACATGCGACTCCACGGTACCCGCAAATCCGAGGCCCATGGAAATGGAGTAGTCGACCGTTGTGGCCACAAGGGATGCAGCCAGCCCTTGATGGTGGCAATGCATCGCGTTACTAAGGATGATCGTTCTCGAGGGGAAGGACATGTCCCTGCGAGGGCGACACGGTTCGCATATGAAGAGATGGGGGTTGAACACACGTACATTCCCCAGGAGGTGATCAGGCTATCAACAAAGGCGCCCAGCACCGTGGCGAAGATGGATAAGCCGGTTGTGAACAAGGCCATTGCACAGAGCATGATGACACTGGGTGGCCAGCGACCCAGCAGGAATCCAGTGACGAGCCAGGCAATGGCGTAGGGGGCCGCCGTGGCCAGCAACGGGGAGTCCCCTTTGATCACCTCCACGAACTGGTAGAAGTAGTAGATGATAATTTTGAAGCTGGACCATCCGGCCGCGACACGCCCAACCGCCCACGCCAGATCTCCCGTGAAGACTGCCCGCGGCAACGGGCATAATGGCCGGCGCTCCACGACGGCGAAGACGCCGAGACAAAGGAAACCCACGCTCAGGAGTGTATACGTGTAGGGGTTCCTCTAGCCCAAACGCGCGACCTCGTTCTAGGCAAAGTTGATCAGCATGAGCCCTGCAATGCCGGCTCCCTCCAGCAGATCCAGCCGCTCCCAGGAGGGCAAACTAGTGTTGAACTTGGGCTGCGGGCTATAGGGGATGATCAGGCGGCCGGCAATGGCGAGCAATGCCCAAAGGATGCCCATCACCCAGCACCCCCACGGCCACCAGACCAATTGGGCAAAGATGGATCAAAACAGGCCACCGATGAACGCCCCCGGGGGCCATCGCCCCGAAGAGAGTGAAGGTCATCTCTTCCCGAACACCCGGCGGTTCGCCCTAGGATGGCAAGGGCATTGGGGAGCAGCGGCCAACGCTATGTCCCGAGGCGATGGACATGCCGAGCCCGGCAGGGCTCACGAATTGAGCCATGCATACCATGCCGATGAAGAGGATTTCCCGAGACAAGAACTCTGACGGGAACATCTGTGATTGCGATCCCGAGGCAAGGCCTCGGGATCCCGGCCTCGCCGCGTGGGATTGCGTAGATCGACTGACTGGCTGATCATGGACGTGGCGTCCAGCGTCCCCGATGGAGAAGAAAAGCCGCGGAATATGGAATGGAAGAGAGGATAGGATCATTCTGAAGGTTCTTTCTTTTTCTCTTTGGTCTCTCCGATGCTTTATCTGATCCGACGCAGTGGAGCCGGGCCATCGCCCATCTCGCAACCGTCGGGCCGGCACCCGCCGGAAGTAACACACTGGGGCGCCATGGTTCTAGTGGGGGTTCGTCATTCGAGATTATAGGTCGGCCCGTCTTGGAAATCTGGTCGATCTTCTTTCGTGCCAGTCCCGCGGCAGCGATAGTTCAAGAGGCCGTGCATTGGTGATCATCTATATATCCTGTCCCAGTGCCCGGCCGCGGGCAATCGGGGCGTAACTCCACGTCATCATACCTCCGAGGAGAGGGCAGAGACGAAAGCCATTCTGTCCACCATCTCATCAGATATGCAATGGCAGTGGATGCGAGGGTGACTTATGTTGAAAGGCAGAATGTTCTCTCTATCCTTTCGTCAGTACAGTCTTACTGTGTAGTCCCTGGAAGTTATGAGGAGGGCCGAGGCTTGCGGTTTCTGCCAGGTGGAGGGGCAGTTACATAAGCATCACATGTCACCCTTTTTCTCTCGTGAATTGATATTGTTTTCTGTTTTTCGATCGCAACCCCGCGGCTCTCCAGCGCTGCATCCTGCCTGGCCATGTTGCGTTGAGCTCCCTGGAGCTTCTGTGACCGGCGTCTGTCGCTGCTGCTGTCGCTGTTGGAGACGTCGACGGCCTTGGTGAAGCCTCCACCACCGCCCTCCTCGCTCACCCTTTCTTTGTTCCGCTAGCCTCGATGACGGAGGCTCCGCCTATTGTCTTCATTGCCCGGTATGTAATGGTTTTTCTTGGAACACCGCGTATCTAATTCTGACTCGCCAAGGCACGGCGCGCGTCTCGACGCGGCCGACAAGGACTGGCATTTGACCTCCCCCACCCCATACGATCCTCCTCTTTCCTATGGTGGCTGGAACCAGGCGCGAGCGCTTGGTGTACGCATTGCCAGTCTCCTACGAGCCCCGGAGTTCACAGGGAACAAACCAGGGGCTGATCGTCTCCAGTCTCCGGCCTCGGATACCCCGACAACAAGCCTGCTCCCGCCCCCCGCATCCTCAGACTTGTACAACCAATACAACGTCATCATCCACACCTCCCCATATCTACGATGTATACAAACAGCCATCGGGGTCAGCGCAGGCCTCCAGCACTATCGGCCAGGTGCTGAATCGCCAGATTCATCGGGTCCCACGCCTGTCTCCCAGGCGGAGGGGATGAGCCATGACCCACGGCCCTTATTACGCGTCGACGCGTTCCTGGGAGAGTGGCTATCACCGGACTACTTCGACCAGATAGTCCCGCCACCCGCTTCCGACAGGATGGTTGCCTCAGCCAAAGCCGAGCTGCTCCGTCGCGGCGAAGTGATTCCGGTGGCGCGGGAGGGAACAAGGGCGTTATCGGGAAACTTCCCAGGTGGATGGGGCAGTCAGTCTCATCCCACCTCCCCGAACGAGGATGAGGACCGCTGTCTACCATCGCAGATGTCATCGACCACCTCTGCCCAGCAACCCCAGCGACAGCGGGCTAGCACCTTCGATACTCCCCAGAACGCTCTCTCGACCGGCTGCCCTCCCAAAGCCCTGGGTCGCTTGAACACCGATCGCCCACCGATTGTGGATGCGGCTTATGTGCCTCCGACTCCGGGGTATGCGGTTTCTCCCTCGGACCCCATCCCCGCCGGTTATGTGGCGCATGCACGGGACGCATGCACCAAAATCGATTACCAATGGGATAGCATGCGAGCACCATACTGGGGCACGGGCGGCGAGTACGGTGAGGAGTGGAGTAGCATGCATGAAAGGGTGCATACTGGATTCCGGCACATGGTGGACTGGTATCGGCAGCAGAGCGATGCCCACCCCGACCGTTCGAGGGCCATGTTTAATGGCACGGCGCGCAAGCACGGTCCCGCCCAGACTGTGCTCATTATCATCACTCATGGCGCGGATTGCAATGCTTTGGTGAGCTGTCTGGCCGGGCGCCCGGTGCTTTTAGACATTGGCACCGCGTCGGTCACTCTGGCGGTGCAACGGGACCGGGTAGAGAAGTGCACGACCCCAGACTCCGACCGTACTCCCGACCCCCCCGTCAATTCCTCCTCGCCCGGCAGTCGAAATGACCAGTCAGTCTCCCAAGAATACACACTGCAGCTCATCGCCTCGAGCGACCATCTGCGTGCGGGGGTGAACCCCTCTCAGCTCACATCGCTGGCATCTCCCTTGGCTCCACCGCCGCTCCCACCGCCGCCTCCGATCCCGAGCTATCGTAATCGCCTCGGCTCTCGCGCATCAGCATCGACCCTGCAGGGCTCCTTCATGATTGACCCCACCCCCAAAGGGGGAACCAGCTCTCGTAGTTGGTCCACGACTTCTCGCCCATCCCCGTCCGCGACATTTCCGCGAGGCAGCTCCGGTCTTTGGGGCTCCATCTCGTCTCCAGTCGTGAAGGATGACGAGGAGGCGGAAGACGACTTTGTACCCAACTTTGGAGACCCACGCCCCGTGAGTCACGGCTCGTCTCATTCAGATGCAGTCATTGACCGGTCGGGCTGGACGAAGCAGTTACCACAGCGGACGCTCTCGCAGCGTGGGCTGTGGGGCAGTGCGCCATCCTTGGAGGATCACGACGCGGCCTCGAGGCGGCGATGGACTGTGGCAGAGCAGAAACTGTGAAGCGGATCTATCTTTCATGAATTTTGCGTACCTTTGAGTTTTTTGGTTCTTCATCTAGGATACCTCTTTGCATGGCGCCGGGCGTTGAGCAACTGCATCTGATCTTTTGGTCATCGAATAAATCCACTTTTCCCTCGGCAGCCATCAAATTCAGGCACTCCGGCACCCCTCCGTGGCGGTTCCCCGGATTTCGCTTTGTTCCACCTTCCCTGCCCTCGTAACAGTACTCTTCTCTCTTCACGTTTCTACTTTCCTCCTGCTTGCACAGTTGCTTTGCTGCTTTTCAACCTCATCGGAATCCCATTTCGTCGGGCTTTCCATGTCCAGCCTCGAGTCCGACGGTCTCTCCGTCACGTATGCCTCAGATCGTACCGGCTTGCCCGATCTGCGGCTGATTCACTACAATGATGTCTATCACGTCGAGTATGAACTCTTACGGCCCTCGGATCCACTAGGAATAGAACAGCGCTAACTGAAGCTTTTCAGATCAGGATCTGCGGAACCTGTTGGTGGTGTCCCCCGCTTCCAATCCCTCGTGAACTACTACCGCTCCGCCCCGCGGTTTGCCGGCAATCCTGACATCCTTACCTTCTTTTCCGGCGATGCGTTCAATCCCAGCCTCGAGAGCACCGTAACAAAGGGTCGTCATATGGTACCCTTCCTCAACAAAGTCGGGACCGACGTGGCATGTGTGGGCGTGAGTGCGGGGCTTCATTCGATTTTGGGCGGGGACACTGCTGACACGGTCAGAATCATGATCTGGATTTCGGTGTGGCTCAATTTCGGCACCTGTCGAGTCAATGTCATTTTCCGTGGTTGCTGGCCAATGTTCTTGATCCAGCGCTCGGCGAGGGCGTTCCAATCGCCAATTGCAGGAAGACATGCATGTTGACCTCGTCCAATGGGATCAAGATCGGTGTGATCGGTCTAGGCGAGAGAGAATGGTACGAACTCTTGGCAATGCCCCCTGTCCCTGTCTCTCTTCCACGCATACTTATCGCGTCCTAGGCTTGGTACCATTAACTCGCTTCCGCCCGACTTGATTTACAAATCTGCATCCCAGACGGCAAAAGAACTGGCACCGCTGCTTCGAGAACAGGGCGCGGAGCTGATCGTCGTCGTGTCCCACCAACGTGAACCAAATGACCATAAGCTCGCCAAAAGCCTGCCTCCGGGGCTGGTGGACCTTATCCTCGGCGGCCATGACCACTACTACGCCCACACCATAGTCAATGAGACTCATGTCCTGCGATCTGGGACCGATTTCAGGCAGCTGAGTTACATCGAAGCTTTCCGTAAACCCGGTGAAAAATCAGGGTGGAACTTCAACATTATGCGTCGTGATGTCGTACGGTCCATTCCGGAGGATTCGGCGACTGTTGCCATGGTTGATCGGCTAACCTCCAGCCTCAAGGCGAAGTTAGAGAAACCAGTAGGATACACAGTCACTCCCCTGGATGGCCGGTTCTCCACGGTTCGTCAGCGCGAGTCCAACTTGGGCAACTTTGTCTGCGACCTGATGCGTTTCTACCACGCGGCTGACTGTGCGATGATGGCTGGTGGGACCATCCGCGGCGATCAGATCTATCCCCCTGGCGTCTTGCGACTAAAAGATCTGCTGAACTGTTTCCCTTTCGAAGACCCGGTGGTCCTGTTGCGTGTTCGCGGCCAGGCTTTGCTGAATGCTTTAGAAAACGGGGTCAGCCAACTCCCGGCTCTTGAGGGTCGTTTCACGCAAGTGTCCAACATCTCCTTCGCCTTCAAACTGGATGCCCCATCAGGTTCGCGTATCACCTTCGCACGGGTTGGTGGTGAACCTATTGACCTTCAACGAGAGTATGTCGTTGCCACGCGAGGTTATATGGCTCGCGGCAAGGATGGATTCACATCGCTGCTGGTGAAATCCGAGGGCGGTGAAGTTGAAGAACTCGTGTGCGAGGAAAATGGAGTCCTCATCAGCACCATCCTGCGCCAGTATTTCTTGAGTCTCAAGATTCTCGGGAAATGGAGTCGCTGGAGTGTCAGCCTTCGTCGACACTGGGGCTCGGTGCACCGCAATCTGCATAGCGGTGGATGGCTAAAGCCACCCTCTACGACGCCATCGCCGGTGACAGAGAAAGCGCCCGCTCATCGGTTGGATCCGCGACCGACGCTTCAACGAACCAGTCGGGAAGCTTACTATTATGGGCGTTTCCCCCAAGAGGTTGAACAGGAGCAAATGGTGGCCAATGGAACGAACAGTGATGCCATGGATTCGGACTCTGATGAAGACCCCGAGATTCTCACATCACCTCGGTCCACGAGTAACTACGTGACGCACCCCGCGAAGTCCTCTGCGGACGAAGATCATCGCCTGCAACTCGCACGGCGTGTTGTTCGCAAATGGATGCGACATGCTGGTCTAGAACCATCGGCCATCAATACCGTGGACGGTGAGTGGGAGTTTACACCCGCCTGGACGTCTGGCATCTGCCCTCGGCTCGAGGGACGTATCATAGTGGAGTAAGGTCTGCCAATAGACCGGATATCCTTTCGGAACTTCGCATTGCTTTTTTTCCCGCTTCTCATTTGGCAATCTCTTCTCGAACTATTCTGCATCTTTGCTGTACAAGGTCTACCGGCGTTGTGGGTTCAGGCAGGATGAAATGCATCAATGGCTACGACATCATGAAGACTACTGCTACATATAGATCAGACGCTGTCCATGGCAGTTACAATGAATGCCACGTACTTTCCGGATTCGACACTTATGTTCATTCTCCATGCCAATTTGGAAACATCTAACAGTGTGGGCGTGTGCCGAGTACCTCGTCAAGTAATACTGTGGCTCCTCTTACGAGCATATCGCATTGCACTGGCCATTTCAAGTTTCCTAATTGCTCGAGTCGGATTTCTTTTCCTTTGAAGCAACACTCATATCATTCAATTTTTATCATGGTATATCTATATAGGAGTCAAAATCAATGTTGTACAATGCGCTCACACGGCCGCCTCGACTGCACCCCATCCACCACCGCCGGCGGTCATGATAACCACGCGGTCATGTGTCTTCACCGAGACAGTATTCTTGCCGCCAATATTGATCCGTCGCTCTTCGCCAGTCTCAGTGTCCTTTGTGATCCACTGGTTCAGACCCGGTTGTGCATCTTCGCCGCCTTCCAATCCGTAAGGCCGGTGTACACGCCGCTCGGACAGAATAGAGCACTGCATTGGAGCGAGGAATTCGATATCACGCACTACGCCCTCTCCACCGGGGTTTTTGCCTCGACCACCAGATCCGTCCCGCAGCGTGAACTGGCGGAGCAGGGTCGGATAGCGTTTCTCGAGAATTTCGGGGTCCGTGATGCGGGTGTTGGTCATATGGACCTGAACACCAGACTCACCCCGCCAGGAGGGGCCAGCACCGCTGCCACCTGCAATAGTCTCGTAGTATCCGAATCCTGGAGTGATCACTTCTCCTGTACTAGGATCAAGCTTGGGGTTGGTGCCAAAGGTCAAATTATTGCAGCAACCCTGGGATGCAGCACAGGCCCGGAAAGCTTTGAAGACAACATCGGTGATGCGCTGCGAGGTGACTACATTGCCTCCCACAACGGCTGCCGTTTTAGTTGGTGACAGGATGCTGGGTGAAGGGACCTGGATATCAATAGGGGCCAGGCAGCCCTGGTTCAAAGGAACATCGGCGTTGATCATGCACCGCAGGCAATAGATGATGGCCGAGTGGGTAATGGCGATGGGGGCATTCCAGCTGCCATACACTTCGGGGCCGGTGCCCTCAAAATCGAAGATAGCGGATCCATTGGAGCCATCAATGGTGACCTTGAGGCAAATGGGTGTACCGTCGTCCATGTAATCCACCGCTTTCAGGGGCTGGCCACCAAATTTCTGGTACAGCCCCTTAAGGAGATTTCGGACAGCCGTCTCAGCAGTAGCCTGGATGGCGTACATATACTTTTGAACTGTTTCAACTCCATACTCGGCGAAGAGGGCCTGGATCAAGCTGATGCCTCGAGTGTTGGCGGCAATCTGTGCCTTGAGATCAGACAAATTGTCACTGATGCAGCGTGCACCAGAACAACCAGGATGTTGAGAGGGTTTGGTAACTAGCAATTCGATCAGGCGCGCTTCATCAAAAACTCCGTTGCTGACGATCTTGTCGCCTTCGATGGCAGCACCCTCTTGCCACAACTCGGTTGACTTGGGAGGCATGGAACCAGGCAGGATGCCGCCAATATCGGCATGATGCCCACGCGATGCGACGTAGAACATGATCTCAGTACCACCAGGCCGATCAAAGACGGGAGTAATAACCTATCGTAATGGTATCAGCTTGAATAGTTCCTGTAAATTGAAAGAAGCAATCTCTTACCGTGATATCAGGCAAATGGGTGCCGCCACAGCTAGGGTGATTAGCCACCAGCACGTCTCCATCCTTCAAATTACCCAGCCACTTCTGATGCTGGTAGCGCACAGCGAACTGCATCGATCCCAAGTGCACCGGGACGTGTGGGGCATTTGCCACAAGCCCTCCATCAGGAGAAAATAGAGCGCAAGAGAAATCCAATCGCTCTTTGATGTTAGTGGACACGGAGGTCTTTTGGAGAGTTCGTCCCATCTGCTCAGCAATGGACATGAACCGGTGACCAAAGATACTGAGACGAATGGGGTCAATCTCCGAAGTGATTTGGGTCTCCGATGTAGAGACGGTCGGCTTGTCCTGGAGGTCGATGACAATGCAGGTTTCCAGCAGGTTTGCAACTGCATCAGGGGCAACAACGATCGTTTGTGTCTGGTCAATGATGACGGCGGGTCCGATGATGCGACTGTACTTCTTCAATTGATCAAGCAGATACACGGGGGTGTCGATACGCTTGGAGAATCCATCGAAATAAGCAGGGGTCGAGTTGGCTGGCTTCGTCGTCACATCGTGCATACTGGCTTCCTTGAGCTGGAAGAGAGGGCTGCGCTCCGTGCGGACTTTGGAAGAAGCGATAGTGCGCACACGAATGTCATCAACAAGAACGGCTCGTTCGGAGTTGAAATTGAATTCGCGGCGGTGGCGCTCTCGGAATTCAGCTAGGAAGTCAGACGATCCTTCTGGCCGTAAGACCATTAAACTTGTGTCTGAACCTTCGTACCGCATGTTCAGGTACTGCTCATGCCGCACTTGGCTAGATGGGAATCCCTGTTCTTGCATCTCTGTTGTTGCAGCCGCGGCCATATCATCAAATCGTTGAAGGAGGTCCGAATGAGAGGAAAGATAGTCTGCAGACACCGGCTCCTGTGACTCTTTGACAACTTCCGCCAGGGCCAACCCATATGCGGATAAAACCGAGGAATATTTGTGAATGATAATGCGCGAGATGCCTAGAGAGGCCGCAACTGAGCACGCATGCTGGCCACCAGCGCCTCCAAAGCAGGCCAAGTGGTGAGATGCGGTCTCGAAGCCTCGAGCTTCTGTGAGATTACGAATTGGCCGAGCCATAGACTCGTCTGCGACCTTGAGGAACCCCAGGGCAACTTCCTCTGCGGTATATTCTGGCTGGAAATGGTGGCGGCGCTCCACATTGATCTTTTGGGTCAGCTCGTGGAACATCTGTGCTGTAGTCTCGGTGTCCAGCGGCTGGTCCTCGTTGGGACCGAAGATGTGCGGGAAGTACTCGGGCAGTAGTCGACCCAGAAACAGATTGGCATCCGTCACAGTCAAAGGGCCACCTTTCCGGTAGCACGCTGGCCCAGGGTGGGCACTGGCTGATTCGGGTCCAACGTAGAAGAGGCCATTGCGCCATGTGAGAATAGAGCCACCGCCGGCAGCGACCGTGTTGATATCAAGCTGGGGAGATTGGATCAGAACACCAGCGACTTTGGATCCGAAGACGTGTTCCAAGTGACCATCGAACCGAGAGACATCAGTGGATGTGCCACCCATGTCGAAGCCAATAACGGGGATTTTCTCGGCGGAATCCCAGCTCGTTGCCGCAAAACCCACCACTCCAGCAGCAGGTCCGGATAGGATTGCCTTCAGGCCACTGAATTTGCGGAAGTCGACTAGTCCACCGTCTGATTGCATAAATTCAAACCGACAGGCTTGCTGGCTTTCCAACCCACCTTCAAAACTGGCCGAAATGGAGTCGATATAAGTCTTAATGACAGGGGTCAGGTATGCATCGGCTGCGGCGGACATGCCGCGGGGCACAATCTTGATCATGGGCTGCAGTTTGGAAGATAATGTAACAGAAAAGCCCATCTGCTCCGCAAGCTCTCCAATCTTGCGTTCGTGATCGGGATAGGCAAACGAATGTACTAGAGCCACGGAGAGGGACTGGTAGCCTTGCTCCTTGAGGCGCTGGAGCTCTGTCTGCACCTGGGCAAGGTCCAACTCCTGCACTACGCGGAACTTCTCGCCAGTAACCCCCTCCACAAGGCGGGCTCCAGAGAAGCAGTCCTTGTCAGCAGAAGGATGGCATGGAACCACTCGCTCGTTGACTTCAACAACGCCCTCTGGCAGCACTCCCGGTCGGGCCATGGACAGGTCAAAGATGGCCGGGCGGGACTGGTCGCCGATTTTGAGCAGATCCCGGAATCCTTTGGTGGTTAATAGTACTGATCGAGCACCCTTGCGCTCAAGTAATGCATTGGTGGCAACAGTCGTGCCCATTCGGAGGCAGCCAATGCGGTCGAGCTTCAATGGTTGGCCACGGGGGTGTGGCTCGCCTGTGGCGAGCTCCAAAATTTGACGAATGCCTTCTGTGGGTGCATCCTGATAGTGAGAAGGGTCGACTGATAGGAGCTTCAAGATGATATCCGAACGGCCAGGCACAATGGCGTGAACGTCGGTGAAAGTACCCCCGCGGTCGATGGAGATGGTGATCTTCCCGGAGTCGGCCATCGTGTGTATATGGACGCTGGGAGTGCGGGGGGAAAGGGTAAGGATGAGTGATTGGGAGAGAATAGAGGGATACTCAGTGGACTCATATACCAACAACGCCTCTCAATTTCCTCGGACTGCTCCAATTATGACCTGCTCGTCGCCTTCTATGATGGTCACGTGTCGGGCCGATGGGCGGGTCGGTCGGTATCGTCGGGCCGATGGGTTGCGGGCGATAAGCAAATGGACGAGAGGGTGGGGAATGGAGGGGAACGGCGAGGAAGATCGGAGATTTGTGCGATATATGGAGTGGCTCGGGCTCCAATTTGATAATATCTATCTATGGTTGAGGGCAAAGGAACAAGATGAATGGGAACCCTGCACCGGTGCAGTGGGTGCACCACAGCGCTATCGGTAAGACTGACAATCCAGGTATCTTCTTTAAATGTAGGCGGGAAGAAGCAGTCACATTCATTGATATAGTGCTATACAGTGCTATCGTTTCAAAGTATTCTCAATCCAGTCCGTATCCATGTCGATGTCGATCTGGTTCAATGCGCCCTCCCAAAGCGCCGAATCGTCATTGAGATCAAATTGGAAGGAGATGTCTCGCAACAACGAAAGATCGGGAGGCTGCGGCCAGTCCCCGGCAAGTACAGGGGGTGAATTTGGGTCAAGGGCATCCATGCCTGAAACAGGTGGTCGATCGCTCCTAGGCGAGTCAGGGACGTTTGGAGCAGGGCTCAGGCGATCAATATCGCGTTGGACGGGTTTAGGGCCGATGGCCGCCCGTAGCTCTAGAAGCAGGGAGTGGCGGGAGCCCAAATAGGCATTTCCCCTGTCAGCCATGCTCCGAAGGAGATTCAGCGCCGTCTCCATCGACCGTGCGTTGGTTTCATTGTGTGGAAAGGCGGCGTTCACCATCACAAGCAGCAGTGCTGCAGAGAAAATATACTCGCCATCAAGGTAGCCGTAGGTAGCTGAGGGTTCAAAGGTCAGTCTGAATTTGGCGCAAACAGAAAAGAGAATGAAGGGTTATACCAATGAGATTTTGCCTGGCGGCCGCGTCCATAATCAACGTTGTAGCGCGGGCAGCCGTGATGCAGCTTTCGATGACAGCGACAGTGTTCGGAGCCAGGCCCTCTTTCCAATCTGCAGCTGAAGTCTCAAGGATACCTGCATCGAGCCGTCTTTGGATGATATAAAACACAAGGGGACGTGCAGTCATGTTCACACACGAGTAAAAGTGCAGGTTAATCGACACAGTCTCACGGTTTATGTGTGTCTCGAGTGTAGTGAAATCGATTCGAAGGCGATCTGGGATCGATCGGAGCCAGCTGGAAAGATCATTGGTGATGCTCTGTACAGACATGATCAGATTGGATCCGGAGCGGGGCTTCTTTCGATAAATCTCTGTAGTATGCGGTCAGTGTCATGCAATACGCGGTTTGAGAAGATGAAAAAAAGCGTTCTCACCCTCGCCAATTCTTCCCAATATACGGGAGAGTTGTGTGTAGTGAGTCAGGACAATAGATGGCCAGGGATCTGAAGTTGACCCATCCTAGAAAACAAGTTAGAACAGGTCGCCAAATGGGGGTATCTGTGCCGCATACTAGCGCAGCTGGCCATGTTGTGCCAATATCTTCATCATGAATTGTAATGGGGTTACCGGATTTGACCGAGAGAACGCTGTTCAAGGACATTAATATCAATTGCTTCCAAAAGGGTGGAGGGGGGGTTCATTCTACCGGTCTAGACTGTATACAGACCACCAAGCTCGGCGGCGGCGGTTTCGGTCTGTCTCACTAATTCCTGGATCTGAGACCTCTTGGTGGAGTCCGAGGGAGATAGCCATTCGAAGCGCGAGGCCGATCTATCGTTCATTAGTTGCTTGTGGTCTGCTCCCCAAAAGAAAGGTCATCCGGAGCATACATATATGAACGCTGCGTCCCGTCGATTGAGATTCTGCATGTAATATGCCACATAGCACAGCACTTCGACGAAGAATATCGAGCCTTCTTCGTGAATATCCGGCAAGAATCGCAAGGCATGTTTGAAGTATTTGAAGCCCGGGGGTCCCTCATCGCCTGACCACTGGTTGACCGAGTACATGAGCCCAAATGCAATGACCAGCAAGGCCTGGCAGTAGATCAGGCATGTTTCACGGTGTGAGAAGTCGGGTGGCTGATGATAGACAAAATCTAGCCGATCTTCAAATTGCCGAGGGTGGATCAAAGAGAAGATGGTGCCGATGTAGGCGTATTGCACCCAGAAGAGTCGTTTTGCAAACTCAAAGGGTGGTAGTTGAGGCAAGGATCCTGCTACGGGCCGTCGCAAGGATGTGGGGTCATCGTAGAGAGGGCGCACATCCCATGCCAGGTTCGTTGAACCCGGGTTGAGGCGCTTAGCCAGATGGGTGGTGGAGGATGCACCCACAAAATCTTGGGGGGCGGGTCAGTTACAAGCAATTATTTCTTCTCTGATGAACTAGTGAGTGGGTGGATGAATCCATACGATGTTCTCCCGATCGGTTCAGTAGCAGGTTGTCGGCACCCTTATACCACCAGTCGTCTCGCTCCAACGGCACCTCGCCTTCTGAATAGCGGGTCACTATAGACGGTGTGCTCGAAGGGATACTAGAAGGGGTAGGTCGATCGCTCTCTGTAATGGATGAATCGCGTGGTGCTCGGGCTTGCATGGGTGACTGCGACTCTGCGTGTGACTGCGACTGCGACTGTAGTTGGCGATAGTAACTTTTTTACCGCATCAGCCTTCAGCTTCTGCATGTCACAACTGGGGCCCTGTTTGAACCCTCACCTTTCAGTGATCGATATGCGCTTCTCCGCCTCAGAATACACGCATGCCTGGCCAACATCGACGCACGCAGCGCAAGGGAGAGGCGGGTTGCCGGCACAGCGGGTCTTCCGGCTACGGCATCGGTTGCAGCTGGTTTTGAGATCAGTTTCGTTATCTTCAACATTTCGGGGTTATACTATGTTCACTCACGCTACCATGGACCGTCTAGCCGACCGGTCCTGCGACCGTCGGACGATGCCTTTGCCATGGACCATTGCCGGGGTCTCACGCGGTGCGAGCAGAAAGTAAGCAGGTTTAGTGGGGAACGATACTCGGTGGATGGATGTTATCTGGGGTTATCAGGATGTTATCGATATCGGGGGTTAGGGGGTTTATCAGGTTATCGGAGGCTTCTTCCACACTTTTGGCTCTTATCTCTTTGCTTTTGTCGGTCCGACGTGAACTTGGAACTTTCCGCCCTCGGGACTCCATCTGACTCCATCTGACGACTCCAGAGGCCTGTGGAGGTATTTCGTGCCGACTGCCGGCCGCTCGCCATTGGACGGGTGATTGATTTCATACGCGACTGACGGCTACCCCGGTATATACAGAAATATCTTGAACCGCTTGTGATACACTCGGCATACTCAGCCCACGCATAATCAAAAGATGGCTACGCCATTCGGTGGACTGGCAACCCCGCCAGGCACTTTCAACGGGACGCTGCTGAAAAAGAAGCTATAGCGGCCCCTCTGGCGACACTCCCAACCAAGTCGCTCCAAATCGAACAATTCCCCGATGGGAACGCCCCAGCCCGCCAGCAACCACTCGTGCAGGAAGAATTCCGCGTTCTGGCAGGGGTACGCCTCGAAACTTGGCATGTCACCCGCCACGGCCGCGAAACTATTCTCCCAGATCCACTGCAGCATCTCCTCCGACGATTGAACTCCGATCACGGGCGGTGCTTGATAGTTGGCCAGCTGCTGACGCTCTGCCACCGACAGTTGCTCGTACGCGCGTGTCCAACCGGTTCGAATGAACAGAATGTCTCCGGGTCGAAAAGTGATTTTTTGGCTGGCGGCCACCTCCTGAAGCTCGGAGAGGGGGATGGGTTGGGTCTGGAAGCAATTTACGGGAATGCCATTAGCTTCAGCCCAGGCCCCGTAATCGAGAAGCACCCCCCGTCCAACAATGCCGCCATTCTCCACCCAAGCTACGCGATGAAGATGGTCAGATCAATTAGCCTCGTTGGAAGGGAACCGACCCTCTGTGGGGTTGCATCTATCCGCCTACCTTGGATACCATTGCGCGTCGAGGTCTGGATATCCTTCAGCGAACACCCGTTGAAGTAAGTTCCCTCCTTGGATCCGTAGTGGCGAAAACCGTCCCATTGGGAGCTACTCTGGGTGTTGAAGGTCAAGATATCGTCATTCACCGGCCGAGGTGCCTTGTTCTTGACGGTATGCTCGAAGGCCGACCGCCCAAAGCATGGGAAGGCCATACTGTCGAGAGCCCAGTCTGTCGACACCCGCACCCCCTCAACGATTTCCTTCGCTGCCATCGCTGTGTTTTCGGGGGTGAGCAGATTGAGCATGCCCATCTGGTCTTGCTCGCCAAAGAGACCCCATGCATTACCCCGCGGTCCCTCTGGGTGAAGAGGCAGGGTCTGGAATGCGGGCTTCTGGACTGGCATGCTGGAAGGCGAGGCAGTTAGGTCGGGTGGGTTCGATGGTAGGGCTCGTGATGCTAGTATTCTCTCGCCTCATTATGGCATCCATTACAGCGGATTGTGACTATATATATATTCTCCCCGATTCCGTTGGATAGGTCCCCTCTGTATCTCTCCAAGTTACCCCGCAAACCGGGGAATTTGCCCGCGATGACCTCGGCCGACGGCTGTTCAAGCTGATGGTACCCTGGAGTGCATAGTGTCGCCTGCCGGCGAGCCCGGACACACAAGGAACAGACATCATAGAACTGCCCCAAATGCCACGGTCGCTCTGCAGATAAATCAAGACTGATTCAGCCGTCAATTCAAGTGTGTATTGGAAATGAGGTCATCCTCTTCAATTAACTTGCTTTCGTACTTGGAAGCTGTCCGTCTCGCTGGGAAGTCCGGCCGTTGCGCTATGTTCTCGGACGAGCTCCGACCCCAGTCAGGCCGTCCCGCAAGGCGCAGCGGCATACTTCGAAATACCCCAAAGAAGCCGGGAGTCTGACTGCGAACTGGGCTCGTCCACTGGAAGAGAGAGAGAGAGAGATCTACGCGAGAAGAAGCACACAGAGGAGGATGGAGACGAAAGTGAAGAAGAAGAAGAAGAAGAATGGAAGGCTTGACTCGTGAGATAGGGGTCGGCGGGGCGTATAATAGGCAATCCCCATACCTACTTGTGTACCTACATCTACTTGTGTACCTACATTCGATCTCTAGCTTCCGGGGCTACATGAGTACCTTGTAAGGAGTGGTATGTTAGATTATAATCATGCTACGTTTTACGGTTTTGGGAGAAACTACAGCAACCCACATAAACTGCAAATATTGATATGTATATTTTCTGCATCCGGCCTACTCCGGTTGAACTGTCATCCATGGATACTGACTATTGACTGCCGGCATTAAGTTAGATGCAGTCCTCGGGACAAAGGTACCCCCCTGGATATTGTTCTGCATACATATGATGGGCCTTTATCGTTACCTACACCGCATACGTACTAGTTGCCTACTCCTACTTCTTTAGGGGTCCAGTTGTACCTGGACCCGGGAATGGTCGCCTTGACGCCTGAGGCCGCCAAAACACCTGGGCCATCGGCGTCCCACGTGACCCGCACATTACTTTCCAGTCCACTACTGTAAATCGCCAAAAAAAAAGAGCCTCTACCATCATCCAATCATAACCGCTTCAAAGTGGATCCGCTATGGATCCGCAGTGGCGCCGTCGCGACATGGCGGACGTCGAATCAGCCCCTGCGGGCGACACAGCCGATCATTTCCTTCCGCCCGTTGTCGTCATTGCCCGGCACTTTCGGCGCCCCGGCCGCCACACAGCGATGATCAGGTCTTGGCCGCCTCCTTCAGATGCTGAAACCCTGCGGCTGCGGAGCGCCTGTGGGTGGCCGGTGTGTGGGTGCCAATGTGTCTGTGTGGAGGTGTGTGAGTGGACAGTGAAGTCCCCCCAGAACGCTTCTCCTGCGCTGTGAGAAAGGGATAGGCGCCTATGAAGGCGATCGAGGCTTGTGATGGGTCTCCAGCAGGCATCTCGGCCAATGTGAAGTCGCGTTGCGTTGTCGACCCCGCCGACTGTCTCATCATGGACGAGTAAAGTCTCGCGCAATCAAAGATGGAGGGCCAGCGTCCATCGCGCATCCGTGGTACACACTGTACTCCGTACACACACACATGGGAGAGGAGATTGGAGACATGGGGATTCTGCTTTCCATTGAGATGCGCCCACTTCCTTTCAATGGCCGATCCATGGATGATCTCGGCCAGTCGCCAGTCGCCAGTCGCCAGCACCGCTCTTTACCTGCGGCCTGTGTGGCCGGCGCAGGGGAAACGGTTGCCAGCCCGGCGTGTCTTAGGACGCGGATCCATCTGTGTGGAGTCGCAAAGGCACCAGATGACGAACGACAGTTGCAGATGCCTCTGCGCGCCTCCACTGCCTTCATCGCCCTTCATTGAGCACCGCCTGCGCCTCCAATCACAATCTGCTGTACCAAAAATATCTTCTATTCCCGGGCCAGTGCATCCAAGCCCCAGGCTACCCAAAGAATTCCATACGTCCCTATCCTATCTTTAGCTCCTCAAAGCTACAGTAAGTGGACTTTTCATTGTCAACCAGAATTTCAGTGTCTTCCATGCGAATTTTTTTTTGTGGCATCGTGTGCTGCCAGTCTTTCTGATCCGCCCCAGCCCGCTTAGAACGGATCGTCCGGACATGAGCCTGGCAAGGCTACGACGTGTTCCAAAGATCTGGCATTATTATTGACTCTTTGTCTTCTCCCTGGATGTTCTAGCGTCTTACCCGACTAGGACCTTGATTTTCCTCTCTCCCATCCTCTCTCCCTCTCTCCTACCCTGTCGTCTCTCTCGTTCCTTGTCGACTAGATCCGCTGTCCGGTACCTTCTAGTCATTGCTGTTGAGATTTTCAAGCTCTATTTGACTTGACAACCGATCGTCTTTCCCAAAACCCGTTGATCGGGGAGCTGTGCACAATGGGTACCCCCATGCCGACGTCTCCCCATTCCCCCCTTCACCAACCCCATCTCCTTCGCCTCAGCCAGATGAGAGTAGCCCGTACTCTCACAATGTTATCGGTAGCGTGAGTGATGAAGACGAGCCCCAGCGAAGCTAATGAATACTGCGGGGAGGGAAGTGGCTAACATAGTGTTGTCGAACTAGCACGGATATGGCTATGAAGATAAGACCGAGCACCCCGATAGCCAACAGTCCCTCCTCTACCGGAACCAACCGAGCCCCTTAAATGCGCCGTTCGACGACCCCTACACCTCCACCGAGTCTCTACGGCGCTACACCCTGCAAGACCCTGGTGTAACCATCTTTCCCGATGGACCCTACCAGGATCCTGCCGTCTCGTCGGGGCTCAGCCACCGGTCGGGCGTGCAGTCTCCCATGTCGGAGACTCCATCGGAGGCCTGGCAGCAACGACAGGCACCTGCTGCGGGTCTGCGCCGCTATGCGACCCGAAAGATTAAGCTGGTGCAAGGCTCCGTGCTGAGTGTGGATTACCCGGTTCCCAGTGCCATCCAAAACGCCATCCAGCGAGAGTACCGCGAATCGGAAGAGGGATTTCCAGAAGAATTTTCCCACCTGCGCTGTGAGTACTTTTAGCAACTGTAGGTTCCCTTGCAGAGGAGCAAAAAAGCTGACTTGAAGGATCAGATACGGCCGCCACTTGTGATCCCGACGAATTCACCCTGCGGAACGGATACAATCTTCGTCCAGCCATGTACAACCGACACACCGAGTTGCTGATTGCGATCACCTACTACAACGAAGACAAGGTCCTCACAGCCCGAACCATGCACGGTATTATGCAGAACATCCGGGACATTGTGAATTTGAAGAGATCAGAGTTCTGGAACAAGGGTGGCCCGGCCTGGCAGAAGATTGTGTGTACCTTGGTATTCGATGGTATCGATCCTTGCGACAAGAATACCCTGGATATGCTGGCCACAATCGGTATCTACCAGGACGGTATCATGAAGCGGTCCGTTGATGGTAGAGAAACTGTTGCGCACATCGTGAGTTATTCCTATATAAATTTGCTATTCTGACCAGGCCTGTTTTGTATGGCCGTATTCAGGATCTAAGAATCCCCTCCGTATGCTGATAATGCTTCTTAGTTCGAGTACACTACGCAGCTCTCCGTTACAGCCAGCCAGCAGTTGATTCGGCCTCAAGGGGATGAGTCGACCAACCTCCCGCCAGTACAGATGATTTTTTGCCTCAAGCAGAAGAACAGCAAGAAGATCAACTCCCACCGCTGGCTATTTAACGGCTTTTGCCGTATTTTGAACCCCGAAGTGGTTATTCTAATTGATGCTGGTACAAAACCGGGCAAGAAGTCTTTGCTCGCTCTATGGGAGTCGTTCTATAATGACAAAAACCTCGGTGGATCCTGTGGTGAGATCCACGCCATGCTGGGAAAAGGTTGGAAGAACCTATTGAACCCTCTTGTTGCCGCGCAAAATTTCGAGTATAAGATCTCGAATATTCTCGATAAGCCCCTTGAGTCTGCCTTTGGATACGTGAGTGTGTTGCCGGGTGCCTTCTCGGCCTACCGTTACCGGGCTATCATGGGTCGGCCTCTTGAACAGTACTTCCACGGTGACCATACGCTCTCGAAACAACTCGGAAAGAAGGGTATTGAGGGTATGAACATCTTCAAGAAGAACATGTTCCTCGCCGAGGATCGTATTCTTTGCTTCGAACTGGTGGCCAAGGCTGGTTTCAAGTGGCATCTGACCTATGTCAAAGCCTCTAAGGGTGAGACCGATGTTCCAGAGGGCGCTGCCGAATTCATCGGCCAGCGACGTCGCTGGCTGAACGGTTCATTTGCCGCCAGTTTGTATGCCATGATGCATTTCGGCCGAATCTACAAGAGTGGACATAACATCATTCGACTCTTCTTCCTTCACATACAGATGGTTTACAACTTTGCGGGTCTTGTTATGACTTGGTTCTCTCTTGGTATGTGGAGGAACTCCATCTCTATTTGGACGTCTTTAGAGTCACCTCTGACTGCTGTTTGATAGCTTCTTTCTGGTTGACTACTTCGGTTATCATGGATCTTGTCGGAACTCCGAGTGGTGCCAACAAGTTTAAGGGCTGGCCCTTTGGTGATCATGCTACGCCGATTGTGAACAACTTCCTGAAATACGGCTATGTGTTCTTCCTGATGCTGCAGTTCATTCTGGCTCTGGGTAACCGACCTAAAGGGTATGTGTTTTGTGAGCCCGGATTGTGGGTCACGCGTATGCTAACAGCCATAGTTCTCGCCTGGCCTATACCCTCTCTTTTATTTACTTTAGCATTGTGCAGTGTTACATTCTGGTCTGTTCATTCTACCTGGTCAAAAATGCCTTTAGTGGAGGAACCTTGGATTTCAATATGCACCAAGGCATTGGCCAGTTTATGTCATCATTCTTCAGCTCCAATGGTGCTGGTATCGTCTTGATTGCCTTGGTGTCTACCTACGGTATCTATTTCCTTGCCAGTTTCCTGTACATGGATCCGTGGCATATGTTCACATCCTCTTGGGCCTACTTTGGCGGCATGACGTGCTCGATCAACATTTTGATGGTGTATGCATTCTGCAACTGGCATGACGTTTCCTGGGGTACCAAGGGATCAGACAAGAGTGAGGCACTGCCAGAGGCTCAGACCAAGAAGGACGATGCCAAGTCCAACTTTATTGAGGAAGTGGACAAACCGCAAGCCGATATCGACAGTCAATTTGAGGCGACTGTCAAGCGTGCGCTGGCGCCGTACGTGGAACCGGATGAGAAGGAGGAGAAGAGCATGGACGACTCCTATAAGGCCTTCCGGACTAATCTGGTGCTGCTGTGGATTTTCAGCAACCTGATTCTCGTGCTGTGCATCACCAGCGAGGGCGTCAACCGGTTCTGTTTGACGGTAAACATTTCTCTTCTCTTCACCCTGGTGGTGGTCGTGACTAGCAGAACACTGATCCGTCTCCTTAGAACACGTCGACCCTCCGGACATCCCACTACTTCTCGGCCATTCTGTGGACAACGGCCGGCTTGTGCGTCTTCCGTTTTATGGGCTCGCTCTACTTCTTGGGCAAGTCCGGTATCCTGTGCTGCGTGTCCCGACGCTAAGCTGCCTCGGGCGGGGTGGCGGGCGCCACCGAGCCGATCACGTCTGTATATAACATCGTCCAAGTGTGTGGCTTGTGCCGATAATGATGTCTTCTTTGGGGATCTTTGTGCGATAAAAAAAATTTGATAGATGGTCTCGTTCACGTTCGGATTTTACGGTTTACTTCCTGCACGGCTGCATCATCGGGGTGGCATCTGTGCGTTGGATTATTGGTGATTTATCTGTATGATCTGAATCTTTGGGGGAAACAATATTTTTCTTTACCGGCGGTGTATTTTGGTGCCGCCCTGGCCAACGAATTTCATTTTGTATGTTGCAGAGACTTGCTGAAATAGATCGGGTTGTCATGATTCTTTTCATCCCTCCGGACTCCTCCCTCTGATTTCTATCTTCTCCGCACTTCTGGGGTATCCTGCCTGTGCAGTCTGGGGGATCGACTCCCCACCAAGCCATGGTATTGGAGGTCATCAAGACCAAAAAGAGGGCAAGGTGGGCCCTTCCCCCGGGGGAAGCATCGTGATATTTTGGGAGGCGCGATGATCGATGCACCCCGAGGGCTAGCAACCGCAGGTTGACGAGAGCGCAGACTCCCTAGAATATGCTCGGTTCACACCATGGTGGACCTGCTCCACCGCCCGTCGGACGACTAACGAACTAGCCCGAGAGTACTCCTTAGTCTGATGCACTCGTGCATTCATGCATTCATGGCCAGGCCCACGTCTCTTCCAGCTATCTTGCGCTCGGGCGTTGCAACGACAAACCATCACACCCTCTTTGCACCGCCGAAGGACTCGGAGTACAGGGATCCGACACCCTCAATGCTCCAAGACCGCCCGATGGCGCCCGCGGGGCCAATGGGAACTGCTCGCTCGGACGGAAGATCAGCGCCCTCAGCACGCATCAACACGGCGGCTTGAAGCAGCTCAATCCCGCACGGGACAGTGCTTCATCAGTCATCGCATCGGCTGGGCCGCTTCTCCTTGTTCCCCGTAGATGGGAACAGTCCTGAGGCTACCTGAGATGCACTGCCCCGGCTGGACCGCATACACGGCCGATGCACATTATCGTCATTGCCCGTGTCCCCGCATCGTCCGGTGCCGATCGCCTGTGACTCGGCGGATCCCTGAGAATGAGTCGAGCTGCTCTCTGATTCCGTTGATTTGCCGTCGGCCTGCTCCTCAATGCAGTTTCATGGAGCTAATGCTTTCTTAGCGGCGGTTGGCTGGGGTACCGGCTCCTCCATTCTCTACCCCCCACCGCACACAGCGCGTCGCATCAGACGAAGCCATGGTTGTCCCGAACTCGCGTGGCACAGGCGACAATGATGCTATGCTGTCCTCGGAACCGATTTTTGGACCGGCATACTCTTTGATTCTGAGGCATTTTCCCCTCAGCCCCTTCGGCCTAGCTGCGACAATGAAACGCAAGATAGAAAACTATATAAACCTCGCTTTTCACCTGGCCTTGCGGGATGTCTCTTTCCCGCATTTCTCCTGCCATTAGTTTTGATTCATTCCCCGTTGACCCACTCTTCCGTCGACCTGGTCCCTATACCCGATGTCGCAGTACGTTCCCCAGTTTTCTTCCGAATCCCTCGAGGACAAGGTGATTCTCATTACTGGTAAGCTTTTGCGCTTCTATCCCCACTTCACCCCCTGTTTGTAATTGTATTATTTCTGGGCCGTCTTGTGCTCACCTGTTCGATCCCAGGAGGTGCCAATGGCATTGGCGCCAGTCTAGTGCAACAATGCCTTGAAAGCGGCGCGAACGTGTGCTTTGGTGACCTGGACAACATTACCGGCGAGCGTCTGCTGAAGAAATGCACCGAGGAGCACAAGCCCACCGAAGCCCGTCATCTTCCACGGGCAATCTTCCAGACTACCGACGTAACCAACTATCAATCGGTGCTGGCCCTATTTGATCTGGCTTTCAAAACATACAAGCGGATCGATCACGTTGTCTCTGCAGCTGGCATCGTAGAGATCGGCAATTCGTTTGATTTCGGACTCACCCTGCAGACAGTCCGCCAGGTAAGAGTGATGGAGTGCCTTCCTTCGCCAATTCGTAGAAGTCGGAAAATAACCGTCTTCCTTAAAAAAAAAAAAGACTCCCACCCACAAAGTCCTCGACGTCAATCTCCTCGGTTCTATGTACGTCTCTCGCATTGCCTCTGTCTATCTGCGTCACAACCGCGGCCCTGGCGCCGACCGCTCCATCTTGCTTTTCTCCTCGGTCTCTGGTTTCAAGGAGAGCCCATCCCTCTTTATCTATCAGGCCTCCAAGCATGGCGTGATTGGCCTGATGCGATCCTTGCGCAACTACATCTCTTCCCCGGATAAGCACTATCTCCGTATCAACACCATCTGCCCCTGGATGACTGAGACCGAAACTATGAGGAAGATCGAACAGCAATGGAAGCAAGCCAGCCTGCCGACCAACACCGTTCGTGAGGTCTCACATGTAGCTACTGGTATCTTGGCGGATCAGTCTCTGAATGGCACGTCCATGTTTGTCGAGGGTGGGCGCGCCTGGGAAATTGAGGGCAACATTGAGCGCCTGGAAGCCCAATGGCTTGGCGAAGCCCCCTCGAAGGCTCTTGCAGCCGGTCAGGAACTACTGGATGATGGTGCGATCTGGACCGCGGCTCCTCGTAAAAGGAGCAGCATCTCGAACGGCATCCCCCCTGGCGTTCCTCTCGAGAAGCTCCAAGGTATCCAGCTGAATGAAACCGAGAAGAAAGCTGCCAGCGGTCTCGCCAACGGCCACACACACGGGTTTACAAATGGAACCATCAATGTCATCACGAATGGTGTGCACTAGGCGTGCGTCGCATATGATTTCCACTTTGATACGAAGATGTTTGGCGACGGCAGGCTTGGGGGAAGGGTTCACACATAGAGTGAAGATAATGATACACTGCATGTTAGATGAGATATGTGAGAATATCCTACGGCTAGGAGAACAACGATCAATCGTTTTCTTAGCATAGATTGACCTCAAGTGAACAGTTCGCCAGGGTGCCAACTTTCTCCTTCTCCCATTCAACGAGATTTTGATCGCCCTGTAGATGCAGGGTGCGCTAATCCACGCCCCGCAAGTGGATCATCCTGTGGGTAAAATCACGATTGCCGTTCGCGTGCGATATTTCCAGAATGATACGCAGGAGGGGAGTCTTCAATGTCATTGACTTTGGATGGAGCGACCTGTCTAAAATATGTATAAGGAACCCCCAAAGAATAGGTATCTCGTGGCGCTGATAATTATGAAAACCCCACAAAAAAAAAAAGATTATAACATTATTTCTATCGAGTTGGAAGCCCCATAGACAAAAGAAAAACACCTAGACCTATGCAGTGAATGAACCTTGAGCAGGTGTCGCAATTAGAGTCGAGTTCCCTTTTCGCAACGCCCCATAAAGGGCTTTCTCTATTTGAACGACTCGCGAGTGTGCACGCGGTCAATATTGTAGGGATTGCCCTCGTAGGTGGGAACGCGCCGAACTTGCGCGATATCAGTGGATCCAAGCGAGAGGGAGCGATGCATTGAGGAGATATCCTCGGTGCTCTCGTCTTGCAAAGTGTGCGACGTGATTGCTGCCTCTTTCTCTTGGGGAGACGGCTGATCGGGCTGGGAAGGCTCCACTGGGGCCACAGCTTTCTCCCCGACGGAGTGAAGCAGACTTTGAACAAAGGCCTCGGACTGCGCTGAGAACTTGCAGTACTTGCGAATCGACAGGCCCCTGTGGTAGAGCACAAAGGGGAAGGGAACACAAGCCAGGGCCAGGAAGGCCGGGACACAAGAGGCCCAATGAATGCCCAGGTTTTCATACATATAGGTCGTGAATAGCGGGAAGGCAAAGCCGAACAGTGACCGCAGCAGCGAAGTGGCCGCGAGAACAGAAGCCGCGAAGATTGTGTAGGCATCGATCAGGTAGTTGAAGACACTCAGGAAAACGAGCACCATGCCAAAGCCGAAGGGAACACCGGCCGCAACACTGACTAGCCAGTGGGTGGATGGGGCGTTGGTCCAGGCAAACCAGAAGAGGCCGGCGGGCAGGGCAATCGAGGCGATCATACAGGGCGGAAGTCGACTTTCCGGGGGGGAGTATCCGCCGTTCTTCTCCAGCAGCTTCCCGTAGCGAGTATTCTCTGGGATCGAGTAGGCAATCGCCATCAACATCCCCACCATAACGCCCAGGAAGGCCAGGGCGGAGATGCCCTGGTTCCACCCACGGTGGATTTCGTACACAATCGGGAATGCGCCGAAAAGCATATAGAGTGTCCCGTAGATGATCGACAGGTAGATCGAGAGGAGCAGGACGATAGGCTCGCGGAACAAGAGCAGAAATGGACGGGAGAGCGCGATTTTCAAAGCCTCTTTGAGGATGGGACGACCTTGATCGATATCGAGCTTACTGACATAGACCTTGCCGGTGAGCTTGGACAGTGTCTTTGCGCGCTGGCGGAGCAGCACCGGCGCATATGTTTCCGGCTTCAAGGCAGCGCCGACGCACCACATCACGCCGCATAGGATAGCCAACAGGCCCATCACCCATTTCCATCCGGCATCCATGCCAAGGAATCCACCGACAATCGGCCCAATGACCGGCCCTAGGAACGGCGCCAGCGCAAAGGCCGATATGGCCAGCCCTCTCTCCCGGGCCGCAAACATATCGGCGATCACGCCCCCAGAGTTGGTGAAGGGCGAGGACCCAAAGGCGCCTGCCAGGAAGCGGAAGATCAGTAAGGTGGCCATGTGCTTGGCCCCGGTGGTCGCGGCACAGAAGATGGTCAAGCCGCAGTAGGTACTGATGAACACCACCTGACGACCGAAGAGCTCACTCATCGGAGCCCACAACAGAGGGCCCAGCGCGAAGCCCAGCACGTACAGCGAGACTCCCAGCGTGGCTATCTCGGTCGTCGTGGAAAATTGCTCTTCAATCTGGACGATCCCTCCGGTATATGCGGAGCTCACCAACGCGACCACCAAGGTTTCTAGCGCCGCGATCATCGTGATCGACCATTTCATCGGAAGGCTCAGCTGCAGCGGGTTGCGAAAGTCCTTTGGCAGCCATTGCACCACGAACGGGTCCTCCTCCGTCCCGGAGCCGGCATAGGGATGATCCAACACCTCCTGAGTGATTGCTCCGGGCTGGGTGACCAGTCGCCAGAAGGGGATTGATCGAGGCAGAGGCGATGGGCTGACTGTGGCCTCTGTGGCAGGCGTCTCCGTGGCCATCTGATCCAGTTGCCGACAATGCCCCTTGGCAAACCGAACCCGGCACCGACAAATCCTGAGCCCGAAACTGCAAATGCCCTTTGACGTTAGCACTTGCTTTGGCCCAGGAGAGACTGAATAAAGTTCAACGAGGCTACTGCGATCTGCAGGGAAGTGGTGGTGGTGGTGGTGGTGGGTGTTTCTTGTGGTCTCTTCTCAAGAAAAAAGTCGCCAGCCCCAGGCAGGCCCGACCGGTTTTGTTTCCTCTCGCCCGGGACTCATAACTGAGGGCTTCCGCTGGCCACGATTACTCAACAGAAAGCGGTTTGCCGGAGGACATACTGTATCGGGGATATTTTTCGGAGTGGGTCCAGGGCCGAGGGGGGGCCAACAAGCCTGCCGGCCAGCAGGATGGAGAGATACCCTCACGGCAGCCCCCGTCTCGTTGGACCCGGCCTCACTGTCTCGGTCATCGCGGTGGGCCCGTGAACGGTCGGGAAGAGGTCGAAGCCCGACAGCCTGGCAGCATCGTCGTCTATCGCCGAAATAACGGTATCTCGTCGTTAATCCGGCTGAACTGTTCCCCCGATCTCCTGATCGCATCGCCTGCCCCTTTTGGCTCCATTGGCCTCGGGCGGAACCCGCCGCATAAAAGCCACTCCCCTACCCACTTACCGAGGCTCAATGCTGTAATTGGCGTGTGGAATTGTGTGGCGGACGCAGGATTCCTATTGACCGCTGGACGAAAGAGCGCCAACTGGCACCAAAGCCGGAGGCCTCGTGGCGGCCGGACCATGCTTTTGTATTGTATCGCTCCAAGAATGTCGAGAGGACAGGAGGACTCGCCGTTCGGAGCGCAGCTACTGTAGTATGGATTATGGATATGGATATAGATACTGCCGTTCTGGCCAGGGCCCATCAGGACCGTTCGGGCTCGCAATACTCCGTACCGACCTGCTAACAGATCCTTCGTCGCCGTCGGGATCCCCCCGGGCACGATGCGACAAACCACAATTTCAGCCCGAGTGGGTCGGCAGGATTGGACGGAGAACCTCCTTTGGGCGGATTCTCGTTCTGTCTCGAGTCAATCCCGCCACGGCGAGCGAACCTAATCGGAATCAACAGACCACATCGGGAATGTGGAGGCTCTATCCGCGAACCACTCACCACTTGCCGTGACGCTGCCACAATGTCTCACCTATCCCTCTTGATGTCTGCGCGAGGGGGAACGACATGTTTTGCCTCTTCCGGGATGGTGCAGGCGATCCGTGCAGCATTCGCTGAGCTGCCAGAGGACCCTGCCGAGGATGTGATTTCCTCGTTTCCCCAGGACCGCGAATCACAATCGCCCCCGGCTACAGTAGCTACAGTGCTTTGCACGATGCGGGGCAATTCGATATCGGGAATGCTTGGACCATCTAACGCGTCGCTTGACATCGTGCTCGGTCTATCAGGCTCGTTATGACATGCTTTTTTCCAGTTCTCCCACTTCCGCCATCACCTCCCGAACGGCCTGTTTGGCCAGCTCCCCGGCGGGCTCATATGGATGCCGCGGCCGCAACTTCTCCTCAGCACCGGAAATCCCGGCCAAAGCAGCCGAATAGCAAGCGACCGCATATTTGGTGGAGGCGATGCCGCTCTTGATGGGACTTTCCGCCAAGGCGGCCTTGGCCTGCAGCTTCATGGCCTCCTCCGTCCGGCCCTTCTGGTATAGCGCATAGATGCGCGACGTGGTCTTGGGAAACACGTTGGCAAACGCGGCAATGCAGCCGGCACTACCTGCAGCGAGACCGCCGATGAGGAAGTCGGATTGCCCGCCAAACGTCGCGAACTCCTCGGGCGGGAAGGTGGCGGACAACCGGGTGATCTTGCCCACCGAACCGCAGGTAAGCTTGACGCCCACGACATTCGACTGACCATTCGCATTCGATGCGGCCGAGTCACGCGTGATGGCGGTGATGGTCTCCGAATCCATATCGACTCCGTTACACACCCCCGGGAAATTGTACAAGACCACCGGGATCGGGCATTTCGCCGCGACTTCGGAGAAGAACCGTTGCACGACATTCATAGTGGTTGTTTTGCCGAAATACGCCGGGGGGAGGACCAGGACATAGTTGGCCCCGGCCGCCGCGGCGTCCTGGGCGAGTTCCAGCGTCTGCTTCGTCGAGTGCGCACCCACGCCGGCCATCAAGGGGAAGTCGGGCCCCACGGCGGCGCGGGCAGTCGAGATGAGCGTCGCCCGTTCCTCGCGCGTGAGCAGAAAGGCCTCCGAGTTGGTGCCTAGAATCACCAAGCCCGCGAGGCCCGTTCGAGACAGATAGGCGAAGTACTGTGACTGCGCCGCCAGGTCGACCGTGTCCGTCGCGGAGTCGAAAAAGGTGACGGCGGGGCACCACACCCCCGCGGGGGGAACATGGGGCTGAGGGGAGACGGTTGCATGAGCGCCCATGTTCGCGAGCTGGCACGGGTTTCGATTTTTCTTTTCCCGCGAGAAGCACTAGGTGTACAGCGAGTCCAGCGGCAGGGGATGGTGGGAGGAAGAAGAAGGATGGGCTTCGAGCGTGGCCGATCTATGAGGGTTCGAACTATAAACCCTCCCCCCGCTTGCCACCACTTTCGCGGCAGAATTGGGAAGAGGGGGAAAAGGGGGAGCGGTGAATATGCTATCCAGCTATCCACTCGCAAGGCAATCAACAGAGTCAGACTTCATCGCGGACTCCTGCACGCACCGGGCGGGGGCTCGGGTCGCCGACCCGATCAGTGGGCACTCGGGACGGCGACCCGATCGATCCGCTTCCACGGGACTGCCCCGATAAGCGCGAGAGACCGGCTCCATGCTCCTGAGTCGCTGCCATATCGGAGAGGGTCGCCGAGACAATACCACAGAGGCTGCTGTGCACACTCTGTCGATAATGGAGATGCTTCGGCGGTCGGGGTTTCTAACCCCCTTGCATTTTGGGGCAAAGATTGCGAGCCAGGTGATGAGCATGGAGGGATCGAGGAGGATGTGGTTCGCAGAGATGGCCATGAGCGGTCAAGTTCAATCCATAAGGCAAGCGCTGTGCGAACATCCGGTCTATTTCGGTGAATGTGACCGCATTGAGGCTGTTATAGGAATCGAGCTCTTTGACGTCAGTAGCTGCACCGGGGTCCTATGAACGTCTGATTCACCAATCAGTGATGTTTGGATTCCTGGGGCTGTCCCCGGAGGTCGGCTTGAAGCTGAACGGTTTTTGTTTAATGCGTTTCTACCAAAGCAGATGCTCGGGATGCTGACTCGCTACTGGTGAACAGTTGAATACCATGTCTACATGGTAGCCAATTCTCGGATCTCAATAGATGACCTGAACCCAGGAAATGTGAAATATGTTGCTCACTCGATCACCCAGTGTCGTCTCCAGGGGTAGGCGAGTCAGACGCCGAACCCTGCGTGGTTGCTGCTCACGAGACAGAGCATTCCATCGAAACCTCCATCGCACGACTTCAAGAAGCAGCCACTTTTCAAGATCTCCCACGGGAGCGTGACCCATCTGAACGTGGATAGTATATTACGGAGGCTACCGGGTTGAGGCGTGCCGCTCGCGCTGATCCAGACCCGTCTCTGCGAGGCCCGACGACGAGGGCTGCTGCTGACCACGGCCAGCACTCGTGTTGGGGACGGCGGGTACCCGCAATGCAGAACGGGCGGGTCTGCGTGTTGCATCCAACACCACTATCCTCACTCGGCTGGGGCGTCGCTTCTGGAGCGGACGATGGCCGGGGCATCATCCCGCCCACGGGAATAGCGAGTCGCAGACTAGTTGGGTTAATCTGACTGGTTGGCATATATGATTTTTTGTCAATCTTTGGATGGACTCCAGGTCATGGAGGAATTGAAACGGCCTCTGCAGATGCCCCCTTACCTCTTCTCCGATTCACCCCATTTTTCTTGAGCGGGTACAGTCTAGCCCTGGCGGTTAGCAAAGTGCTAGCACAGTTGAGGAAGTAGTAGTATTCGCATGATCGGGCATGCCGATAGCACCCATGTTGTTCTCCTGTCTCTGTTCCCTTGTCCAAATAAGTAACCCCTGTTTTTACCGGCCCTTGCCTGGCCTTCAGCTGTCCTCTGGCGTCCGTGTTCCCCAGCACCTTCGTGTTTTAAGTTGTCTCCCAGCCCCAGAATCTCCGACGTTTCCCCCTCGTAAGGCGGCCCCAAGAACTCCACCGGTGGAACAAGATGGAGAATTGGAGGATTAAGCACAACCGATCCGATGCATGCATGTAGCCAATACGACGATCAGGCTTTGACGCGTCTTCAGTACCCCGAATTTCCCCTACCCCAACCCTCAAAAATGGCGCAGTTCCCGATGCTTCGAAACGGATCCTCCGGCGACCACAACAAATCACGGAAGCGCGCCTGCCCACGGCTAAGTTGACTCCCCTGGCGCGGCCCGGACTGACTAGGCTCGATGGCGTTGGTGGCGCTCCGCCCTCCCCGCCCTCCCCGCCCTCTCCAGGCTCACGGATCAGCCCAACCAACACGGGGGAAGTCGGGGAAATGAACATTTTGGGAGTGAGTGAGCAGGAGAAAAGGATAATTGCACAAAGGTGCCGATTCCTGGTGCCAGTGGCTGGCAAGATAGTCCAACATGCTGCGTGTACTGAGTATACTTCGCGGTCTGGCTGTTTCCGGCCGCCCACGTGACCTCAACCTCCCGCCGCCAAAATCTTGACTTTGCGCCAACTCTCACTCCTGGCCATGTCATTGGGTCATACACTGCTCGGCCAGCGCCAGCCGAGCAAGGATCGGTCGCTTGTGGCGTGCAGCGTCCGCGATGCTGATGACACTTCCGTGCTTTTGATATCCTGGTTTTCGCAACACCCATCTTCTCTCCTCCCCGCATTATTTTCTCATAACGCGGGGGGCTCCATCGGATGACATCTCGTACCCTTGCTGGAACCCAATGTCACATTTCTTTTACCTAAAAACCGAAACCTTCTTATCGCATGATCAGCAACTGGGCGTATCGGGGCGCAGGCTGCATCTCGCCCAGCGGGCTGGCAGTGGACCCCAAGGGCTTCAATGGAACCACTTGCTGCTGCTTGCGGGCATTTTGTTGGGCGGCCGATCACTTGGGTGGAGCAGCGTCGTACTCCACGTGTTGGAGGCCACCAAGCAGCGCTCACAAAATGCTGTTAGTCACCGAAATCCGCATTTTGCCCTTTGCCCTCGAGTGATGAGCGTGGCTAGAGATAATGCCGGATCCGAGGGCAAAATTTCTGGCCTGTGTGCCTTCATTTATATCGTCGTGTGTCGCCTCTTCCCCCTTTCCTCCTCTCCTCCAGTTTGATATCCCCTTTCCCTAATCTCTACTTCCTCCCTCCCCCTCTCTCCCATTCCAGTGGCACGATGGGGTTCGACGACATCTCCAATGGTCATGATTCCGGCAAGGTCATCGATTCCGATGGCGAGAAGGTCTACGCCGCCCCGCCGCCATTTGAGGGGGATATGGTGGGCGAGATGAGCGAGGCCGAGCGCAACATCTACGACCATGGCATCAAGAGATTTAGTCGTCTGGGTTGGAAGCGACTCACCGTGGTGCTCATCGTTGAGGCCATTGCGCTAGGTAGTCTGTCCATCCCTTCGACCTTCGCCGCGCTAGGCATGGTGGCCGGCGTCATTAGCTGTGTGGGTCTGGGTCTGGTAGCCATCTATACCAGTTACATCGTCGGTCAGGTCAAGCTGGTGTTCCCCCAGGTGGCCAATTATGCGGATGCGGGTCGCCTGATGTGGGGTCGCTTTGGCTATGAGCTCATCAACCTGATGCTCGCGCTACAGCTCATCTTCCTTACGGGGTCCCACTGTCTGACGGGAACGATTGCCTTCATGAACATCACCGAGAGTGGTATCTGCTCGGTGGTCTTTGCGGTTGTGTCTGCGATCATTCTGCTCTTGCTGGCGATACCGCCCAGTTTCACTGAGGTTGCGATTCTCGGCTATGTGGATTTCGCATCGATTGTCATTGCGATTGGTATCACCATTATCGGGACCGGTGTGGATGCGACCAACGCGCCGGGTGGCCTCGCGGCCGTGAACTGGTCCGCGTGGCCGAAACCCGACCTCACCTTCACCGACGCGTTCATTGCGGTCTCCAACATTATCTTCGCCTATAGCTTCGCGATGTGCCAGTTTTCCTTTATGGATGAAATGCACACCCCGGGCGATTTCGTCAAGTCGATCTGGACCCTCGGTATCACCGAAATCATTATCTACACGGTGACAGGTGCGACCATCTACGCGTTTGTGGGCCAGGATGTGAAGAGCCCGGCGCTCCTCTCGGCGGGAAGCCTTCTGAGCCGAGTTGCATTCGGCGTTGCCCTACCCGTGATCTTTATCAGTGGGTCGATCAATACCGTGGTCTTCGGACGTCTAGTTCACGGTCGGATTTTTGCCAACTCGCCCATTCGGTTCATCAACACCCGGATGGGCTGGATCACCTGGTTGGCCGTCATTACCGCGGCCACGATCATCGCCTTCATCATCGCGGAGGTGATTCCCTTCTTTAACGATTTGCTGTCGATCTCCTCCGCCTTGTTCATCTCGGGCTTTACCTTCTACTTCCCCGCGCTGATGTGGTTCCTCCTTCTCCGCAAGGGCGGCTGGACCGAAGGCCGGAACCTGATTCTGGCCATCATCAACGGCTTTATCCTGATTATTGGCCTGGTGATTCTGGTGGCCGGCACCTATTCGAGTATCGACGACATTGTGAGTGATCCTTTCCTGCGCTCCGCGCTCCTCCCGGCGAGGAAGCCCAGTTGCTAATCCAAAATGTGGTCTAGATCAACAACTACAAGAGTGGCTCCGTGCGGGGTGTTTTCACCTGTGCGGCCCCGGAATAGACGGACGACCGGCTCTTTCTGATTTTCTCTTTTGGGGGTGTCCTGGTTGACCTGCACGATCCTCCTGGTGGGGGCTGGCATATGGCAGGTTCGTCATGGGCGTGGACTCGATAGATATGGCGCAGGATTGCATCGCATTGTCACGATAAGAGGTCCGAGGCTGGCATTCGACCAGCGAGCGGGCTTTGTATATATATCTATACCGCATTTAGCTTCATCCTCCCTTGCCCGCAGGAGCGTTGACTCGCATACATACTGTCATCCTGATGGACCGGCAATAGATTCGCCTGTCACCTTTTGTATCCCGTGAGTTGCCTGGCCGTGCGCACCATAGGTACACACGTAAAAAGCCCACGACAACCTCACGTCAGGAGAGACGTGGTCCAACCCCATCGGAGCGCCGCGGCCGCTTCTAGGTTGTCGAGCACGGAACCAATCCGATTTAAATTGGGAATGGGGGTCATGGATGGTGACTGACCACTCCAGTGACCGGTCGGTTTTATCCAGCTTATTACGGCAGCGCGGAGGGCGCGGCTGCTCGACGCCGAGGCTGATGCGCGGCAGCTGCAGACGTACAGCGTGTGCGGCCCACGTAGCATGGAGGGCGTGAATGGAGTGTCATTCTCCTTCTCCATCTCCATCTCCAGTTCCATTCTCCATCGCCTTCTCATGGTGGACCCTGGGCAGATTGCTTCTCGAAGGGCCCCGCCGGGCTCCAGTCGGCGATAAGCCGTGGGCGCGTTCCCCGACCAACTGCTGCCCCTCGAAGGCTCAAGCCACCAATGCGTGACGGCCACCAGCCCATCTCCATCACCTCTCACCTTGAGTCTGCTCATTGCCTTGATGGCGCGCGAGTATGTATGCGATGAGCGTGGATGTGGGAAGACCTTTCTCCGACCCGAGCACCTCTCGCGCCATCGCCTGAACCGTACGGCTCCAACGATGATGATGACGTCTTGCGTGGGCAGACATTGACCGCTCGCTAGATCGCCCCAAGCAGATCTTCCAATGCACGACGTGCCCGAAACGATTCGTCCGAAATGATCTGCTGCGGAGGCACCAGAAACGCCATGAACGGGGCATGTGGTTTCGCAACAGTGGCGGGTTTAGACAGGAGGAAGAGGCGCCGAAGCCGCGCCCCGCGCATACTCGGTCCTCAGAGCCCGCGGCTCCCAGCGTCACTGCGGACGATGGCAGCGAGCTGCCCGCCATTCAGACCGACGCGCGAGACGGTCCCGATCCGCCGGTTCCAAACATCCGTCCTTGCGCCGCAGGGCACGCCCCGACGGTGGACTCGCTCCATCCCCCCGACGTCGCGCCGGAAGGAAATGTCACTTCCCTATTCTTAGATCCGTATTTCAGTGCTCCGGACCCCTTGTTGGACTTTGACTGGTTGTTTGAGAATGTACCCACGGGCTTCAGTACGACCGACAAGGCCCGTCTGGACATGATATCTCCAGCCCGAACCGCCAGCACATCGGACCTGTCACCGCCATCTTTCCCCATGGTGGCCCAGTCCATTCGATTTCCCATGCCATCGGATTCATCCTCCTTGGCCCCCTGGGCTGTCGTACAAGGGAGGCTATTCGACGCTCTCCGTACCCTCCCCCAAGCGATTCTGACGTCGCAATTCTTTTTCCCGTCGAATTTGTCTCATTTCTTTGACTTATACTTCGAGAACTATCACCCCCATTTCCCCATCTTGCATAGACCAACCCTGGATCCGACGGCCGTGCCGGCGTTGCTGATCGCTGCAATCGTGACGTTGGGGTCGACGCTTTCGACCGATGCAAGCCACTTCGAAACGTCAGTTCAGATCCATGACTCCCTTCGTTACATTATCTTTACTGTGAGTCTGCATCGTACGGAGAGGAGGAACCGTGCCGCCCAAAGACTGATCACATGTAGACCCCCGACTTTGAACCACCGGCGTCGTTATGGTGCGTGCAGACACTTCTTCTCATTCAAGCCCACGAGAAGATGTTCTCGACCCGAAAACATCATCAATTGGCACATATATTTCACGGGGCAATCATTACGGTAAGTGTTGCTGTTGCTACACAATGTGGTTCCATCTCACCGCAGCGCGAGACCCTTGATCTTTCCTACAGCTCCCATGGTTGACCGTTGATGTTGATTAGCTGATGAAACGGGGGGTATCGTATGTCAACTCCTATGAAGGGGCGGACGTTGTGGAACAGTCATGGTGGCAATGGATTGAAGTTCAGTCATCGAACCGCACCGCCTTCTTTGGCTTCATTATGGACGCACAGCATAGCTTTATGTTCGGACATACGTGCGTACTCTCCGTGCAAGACGTTCGACTTCCACTCCCATGCCCTGATTACCTGTGGGAATGTGGGAATGCTTTGCATTGGAACCGAATGTTGGGCAAGATTCCCGAACCGCCTGGCTTTCTTCCCGTTCTCAAGCGACTCATCGCGCGCGCTCCCATCCCACCTGATTGTACTGCGTACGGCCGACTGATTCTTCTTCATGGTCTCTTCAGCGTGACGGCCCATCTGAAAGCCAGAGACGCCGTCACGCTGGGCGTTGGTGGCACCTTGTCCGGGAGCTCTCCTTTAGCGACGGCGGAGAGTTGGAGAGACACATTGGAACGAGCAATGGATACCTGGTCGTTTTGTCTTGTGTCCCGAAGCTCTTCGCTGGCCCTTGAAGCGTCCAAACCCCTACACCGAATGGCTTATGTTGCGATATATACAGACATCACGGACATGCATATCCTGGCGGGCGCTCCATCTCTACTGGGTAATCTGCTCTCCGAGGCCGATCTCGCCGGGGCCACCACGCGAGTGCGGGCGTGGAGTGGGAAGCAAGAGGCCAGAAGAGCCCTGTACCACTGCCTGTTGTTGGTTCAGGAGATCCTGTTTACTGGAAGGCAGTACCACGCCTATCAAGATAATCTGGCGCTTCGACCCTGGTCTCTGTATCACGCTGCCCTCATTCTATGGGCCTATGGATTCATGGCGAAGAGCAGAGCCCCTGCCTCCAAGCTGGACACGTCCGTGACTGCCGAAGAGTATCTGGTGCGCATGTTGATGCTGCTTAGAAGCGATGAGGATATCAATATTGTATCTCAACGGACCGGCGAGTTACTCAAGGCGGTTCGGGAGAGCCTTGAAGGTTCTCGGTGGGAGCTCTTACAAGAGGCATATGACACTCTTGGTCGCCTCATTGATAGTTCGTGAATCCATCAATATACCGAGTACAATTGGTTCGTGAAAGTGGGAAAAAATGCTGTTTACGAGGTTTTTCCCCTATGATTGTACTGCTCCCCTGGGGTCCAGTCCGACATTGGTAAACTGCTACGGTCTTGCACTGTTGTAGATTACCATCACGGTCTGGCCCAGGCTCTTCGCGGTAAGCCCGAGGCTCGGGTCTCGATCGTGATTGGCCATGTACACCATTTGACCCGTTGATGGCGAAGTAATCTGCAGCAGACTGGGCCAAGAATTCTTCAACTGTATTGTGTGGTGACAAATCTATCGTGAACGGTGGTGGGTCTGACGTGCACTAAGCTGCCGGATCAGCTGCATCATTGCTGCAAGATCAGCCAAAATTCCTAACGCTGACACGCCGACGCCTCGTAATCAGCAGGCTAACCATATTCATGTTAGCTTAACCGGTCAACGAGCTGGCCATATGAGCGAACCGGCCACCCCAAACACATAGTGAATGTAATATCTTACAACTTTTTGCTACAGCCACTTTATCTCTACAAGATAGAAACCCTGGTGGATCATATTTCTCGTTCACTGGTGAGATTCAGGCTTAAGACTATTCGCTAGGCAGCGGCATATTGGATGTGGTAGTTGGTGGAAGAAGTCGTTCGAGTAAGTATTAGATGACTAGGGGTGGCGGACAAAGGCTTTTATACTTGCATTCGACATGTGGCCGAGCGCTTGGTCTGAATCATGGGCTGATCTTATGCGCTTGGCAGAGATGAGATCTTCGAGGGTGGTCACGATGGCTTGTCGTCTACTATCGCCTGTGCTGACGCCCTCACATTAGTGAGTTTGTGTCCGCTTCACTTCTTCCTCGGTTTGCTTGCAAACCGCCCATAGCGCTTTCCCGGAAGCAGTGTCTCTTAGATATCTCCTCGTTATCCGACCTGGGAAAATAGCGTTTTTGCCCCTGGATGTTTTTGCGGACGCCGTGCAGATGCCTGAGCGGCCGTAATTTCCAGCTGGTAACTTGGGCGCAGGGTTGAGCCCTTCCGCACTAATCAACCATGATAGATTAGGAGCCACGGGAAGATGTGTGGTCCAAAGGTCTTGTTGGACATCCACATCACCCAATATACTATATCGAGATTGGTTTATTAGAGTAATAAACTCCTCACAAATATTCAGGCCTATTTGTGCGCTTTTTTCTGGTCTAACTCTCAGGGCTTGGTTCACTGATGGGAGTGAGCCGCCGGCCCAGGTGAGAGTTTAGAGGGTGAGCCGCTTTAGCGTCGCGGGACACACACACTGGCCCTCTCAGCTAAAGTAGAGCTACAACGATTGGGGAACCTCCCTCCACCTGAAACGTTGGTCTCTTCGCATCTGCACACAGCCACTCCTTCGGATTTGCTTCGGTGGTTCCAAGCACTTTGATTGTTTATTATTACCTAACACCGAATAACGTAGTTCCCAAGCGGGTGGGCCATCATATCCTACACTATATCTTCAAAATAAAGTTTCACGACGAAAACGGCATCATTTATCTCAAATAAGCTCTTTATACATATATTAATTTTATGCTTAGTCTTTCTGTATCCGCTACACCTCGGTGTCGCCCTCCTGCTGGCCGAGCCAGCTGGGTAGCCGGTAGAACAGCTGGTAGCGGTGGTCTTTGAACGCAATCTATAGCCGTGTAGGAAGTTATAGGATGTGCAAGGCCTAGAGCCTGTTATAATGCCTTCATACGCCATTTGCGGAGCAGACCTATTACCTGGTCGAACAAAAGAAAGCAGTGTCCAAAGACTGAGTTAAATAAGTCGTTGGTGAAGGAGACTGATCGGTTAGAAGTTCACTCATTCTTACAATATACGTAAACTGTCGAGCTCTAATTCACCGATGAGAAGCGGTCTGGCAGCAATAATCATATGTTTTGACAAGTCAGAACTCCACTGCCCGGCGCAACGCCAGCAGGTAGTACTTCCCGCGGGGAAATATGGCATTGGTAGGAGACATATTTGAGAATCAGTAATCAGTAAACAATATCCATTTCGAAGGTTACCAAAAGGCTAGCCACAAAAATAGTATGTTCTTGGTAGCTCACTACCACGAACATGATGATTACCATGTGCCCGCTTCTCCTCACCAAGGTTTTGTATCCGATCCTGGATTGCCCATGAGCTCGAGCGTTGTAACCGTCAAGTATCGGCCACATTGACATGCGGACGCTCTCCTTAGCGACTCGTCGTTGTTTTACCACCATGATCTATTAATATGATTACTAACTCTAGTCCAATTGGGTTTATCTCAAAAGATTACAACGGGGTAGATGAAGAGAATTCAAAATTTTACGTATCAGGCTCTGCCTATGCCCCCACTTCTGTAGCCTCTCGATATTTGCTGCATATTTTGACCCTAACGTTCAACAGGTCAATGAGCCATTTCTTGCCCCTTCAGATGGTGAAGGGATCAACGTTCGAATACATGATTACAATTATGCGAAGGGTTGATTATAAATTAGCTGTATTCCGACGCTCTATTGCCGGGTTGAAGAGCGAAACATATCAGAAGCAAAAACCATGTATGTGATTTAATGTGCAGTACACATTGCAACTGCCTGTACAGCTGAAATCGGAAGGGCCTTATGTCATTGGTATTCTGGGCCTCCTGAACACTGCCCATGTAGACATCGGCAACGTATTGTCCACACTTGTGGTGTCATCTTCAGCGAGCACAGCTTGAAGAGGGCCCCTTCCGTGAAGGTAGAAGAAGGGACCGGTATATTCATCCTGGTAGGGATCAGTGAGAAGATCTTTGTGTTTGAGTTAGTTGGTGATGATCGTAGACCTCGGAGTACTAATCCCTATTTGGCCACTCCGCTCGGACTTGTTCGGGACCCCACACACCTACAAAATCCACTAGACTCCTGTGAGCGCTAGCGCCTCATGGGTTAACCTTCATGAATGCACTACTCGGGCGCCACAATCCTACACTGGCCAGGGGCTGTTTGCTCTTACTCCATAAAAGGGCAGTTTGATATGTGTGACTACATTAGTTGCTTCGCGTTGATTGTGTCCTGTTGAGAAATATAGGAAAAGGCCCGGTGGCACAAGCTGCTTAGTTAGCTCTAGACTCGTAAATATAATACCGCTAGTTTATGATTACGCAGCTATTCCTCTCAAACCTGGCGTCCGGGGCCCCGCATCTCTAGTCAAATCTACCAGACTAGTGTGGGAGCTAGCGCTCCTTCACGAGTGCACTACTCAGGCGCCACAATGCTACGCTGGCCAGGGACTGTCTCATTTTACCCCAATAATAGGGCAGCGTGTGATGCTTAGCTACATTTATTACCTCGGTTAATTAAGCCCTGTGGATGAAATATAGGAAAAAGCCCGGTGGCACAAGCTACTTCGTTAGTCCTAGACGCGTATGTGAAAACCGACCTTTTCACCATTAAATCATTTCCATATTACCTACCCTCTTGCGGGGTGCATATGAAGCGGCCCAGATAATCCCGTCGGAACGGAGCCATTGCTCTCTAGCTTTGCGTGAACAACATCCCGTGACACAGTAAGGCTGCTTCACGCAAGCATTAGAAGTGGAAGAAAAAGTTCCGTCCAACCTAATCACCTGGGCCAAGGAGTCTAAAATTCAATATCCGGTCACATGGGACTGATTAATATACAAATTAGCCGACCCTTCAACTAGTGCTGCCGGGTCGGCGTATTGCCGTGGGCCTGCCAGTTCAACATCAGACCCTTCCAACAACCCCGCAAACGTACATGAATGAGATTTCTGAAGACTTTTCAAGCTTTCTATAACAAGCAAAAGTGACACGTTCTCCCTGTCTCAAGTTACAATCAATGCTTTAGTCCGTCTGCTTCAGGTAGTCCGTTTGACCCCAATTCCCTTGGTAAGTTCAATTGTCAAAAATTTTCGCCAGACCAATCTACTGTAAATCTGCCAGGATGTAGCACGAACCTTCATCTCATAACAAATTTTCTCAATTTTTAAGAAATGGCAACCCCCCTAATTTACAAATCTCAATTGCTTTAATATCATAGTATATTGATGATCCCTTGTATCTTGACGCTCTCATTTACCTTCACTAAAAGAGGAAATAGATTGGTTATATAGCACCACAAGCTAAATTATGTAATGTTTCCGATATGTTCACTAAATCCAGGTCGTTGAATTTACTTACTAAACGCCTTAAATCATGAGTTATATAGCCTGAAACGTTGTGTCGCTTAGATATCTTATTGAATCTTCTTGTGGTATTAACCGAGCTTCTGAAGGCTAACATTCGCTTATATTATTAAGCATATATTTATACTCCCCCCATGTTCATTGGAGGAAAATCCTCAGCACTCTTGATCTCGAAAGATCTCTAGACAGAGTAAATGGAAATTATAAAAAGGTGGGCACTGCGCGGGTTATTACCCCACGAAGTATCAGTCTACATCAGTGGTCATTGAAACATCGCGTCGCTGTTTCCAATCCACCCACAGGCGTGCTAGTTCTGCACTTTCATCAACAAATGTGGTCAAATATGTCCTCACGATTAAATATCCAACGCGCCCGCGTACTTGCTCTGAGCCTCGTTGCCACCTGCTCCCTGGTCGCCGCCGGGCCCTGTGACATCTACGCCTCTGGTAATACGCCCTGCGTTGCCGCGCACAGCACCACTCGCGCCCTATATAGTGCCTACACTGGCGCACTGTACCAGGTGAAACGCGGTTCTGACGGTGCCACAACCACCATTGCACCGCTTTCCGCCGGTGGTGTCGCAAATGCAGCCACCCAAGACTCCTTCTGTGCTGGCACGACATGTCTCATCACGATCGTTTATGACCAGTCCGGCCGCGGTAATCACCTCACACAGGCTCCACCAGGCGGATTCAGCGGTCCGGAATCCAATGGCTACGACAACTTGGCCGGTGCCATTGGCGCACCGGTCACGCTGAACGGTCAGAAGGCGTACGGCGTCTTCATCTCGCCCGGCACCGGCTACAGGAACAACGCCGCCAGTGGCACAGCTACAGGTGACGCGGCGGAGGGTATGTACGCAGTCCTTGATGGGACCCACTACAACAGTGCCTGCTGTTTCGACTACGGCAACGCCGAGACTAGCAGTAAGGATACGGGCAACGGCCACATGGAGGCTATTTACTTTGGTGACAATACCGTCTGGGGCACCGGTTCTGGCAGTGGCCCTTGGGTCATGGCCGATCTCGAGAACGGCCTGTTCTCTGGCTCCAGCGCTAGCAACAATGCAGGCGACCCATCGGTCTCCTATCGGTTCCTCACTACCGTTGTGAAGGGGGAACCAAACCAGTGGTCAATCCGCGGCGCCAACGCAGCGTCGGGCTCGCTATCGACATACTATAGTGGCGCGCGCCCAAGCGTGTCTGGATACAACCCGATGAGCAAAGAAGGCGCCATTATTCTTGGCATCGGCGGCGATAACAGCAATGGTGCCCAGGGAACGTTCTATGAGGGCGTGATGACCTCCGGCTATCCATCCGATGCCACCGAAAACTCGGTCCAGGCGAACATCGTAGCTGCCAAATACGCCATCACATCACTGACCAGCGGCCCGGTGCTTACTGTCGGCTCCTCGATCTCGCTGCGGGCCACCACGGCCGGCTACACGACGCGCTACATCGCACATAGCGGCTCTACCATCAACACCCAGGTTGTCTCGTCATCCAGCACCACAACTCTCAAACAGCAGGCCAGCTGGATAGTTCGTACCGGTCTTGCCAATAGCGCCTGTTTCTCGTTCGAGTCCTACGATACCCCGGGAAGCTTCATACGGCACTATAACTTCGAGCTCCTGCTCAACGCCAACGCCGGGACAAAGCAGTTTTACGAAGACGCCACATTCTGTCCTCTGAGCGGCCTCAACGGACAGGGCAACTCGATTCGGTCCTGGAGCTATCCTACCCGCTATTTCCGCCACTACAACAACGTGCTCTACGCCGCAAGCAATGGCGGTGTTCACACGTTCGACGCCGCAACCTCGTTCACCAATGACGTGAGCTGGGTGATCAGCGCCGGGTTTGCTTAAGTTCTGACCTAACCCCGAGGCACTTTGTAGAAGTAAATTCTACTCGCTCCACATTTTCTGCCGAATGACTGTTACCAGTGCGGTTGACGATCCGCCAGGGCGGTGCATCACATACATATATCCTCCACTTGTGGTCAACACTGCTGCGGGGGTTGGGAGGGGGGGGGGAGGGGAGGCTGCTTCTTTCAGGGCTCTCCGGCGACTGAATATGCCCAACATTTATGCATGCTACACTTTCAGATCTCCTTAATTTTAGGTAGTGTCTCTGGCGCATCATACAAGATATATGAACATTTCACCAAAGGTTGCTCTCGGCTTAAAATGAATATGGTTAATTTATTGCGTAGGACCTGTGCGATTAACAATCTAACTAAGGCAATTTTGTAGACTGGATCTCTATTATATGCAATCTAGAATATTGAATTTTTTTTAGAGCTAGGCACGACGCATATTTGGAAATTACCAAACGCCTGAATGCCTATCGGTCTTTGTAAATATATCGACTACCCGGTATCTGGCGAAATGAGCTACACCAGAATCACAATGCGCCAGTCTCGTGGTGGGCGTCCTTTTCGTGACCCATGGAGCCATGTTGAGCTCATGGGCAAAGATTCTCCTCCCTTATCAAAGGAATGGCTTGATAGGTTCCTGAGTATCAGGCACCACAAACTCAGGAGTAAGAATCCGCATTCAATTTCATTGGCTACGTTCTTATTATCATGTTCTTTTTTTTTGATTGACAGACGGGTCTTTGCAGGGTTGCACAATGTGTCAAAATTTATCGAAGTTTAAATATTATGGGAGGACCATGCCGTCATTTAATCCTGGGGTAAGCCACCGGATGTACTGTATATATAATGACGTTTAGTTTGCGGCTGTTGGGAAGCTACAGTAGAAAGTGATTTCCGGCACGTGTCTGAAGATCTCTGGGTTACCCACCAGCGACCGCAACATCGGTACCTCACGACAAGACACCTGACTTACAACAATTGTTGACCAAGGGATCTCTCACATCATTGATTGTGTAGGAAAAGGCTCTGGGAGTGATTAATGTCGTTTTAATTCTCTGGTGGCAAATGGCTATCGAATGTGGAGTTCCGACGATAGGAAATAACTTGCACGTGTTCAATCGACAGCTGCTGATCATCCTACAACAGGCATGGCATTGTAGCAGCGCCATCCTTGCAATGCCACTAGTTGATCGAGAGCTGAGGTTCGTCGAGGCGGTAGAAGTAGAATACGACGGAACAAAAATCTCTCTAAAAATATTGCGCACTACCGGAATCGAACCGGTGGTCTCTTGATTTTTCTGAGGAAGAATCTTTCAATACCAGAAAGAATCTTTCCATACGAATTCTAGGTAATTTATATACGGTTTACTAATATATTTTATAATACGAGTAAAGTTTTGTTACTATCTGACAGACTATGCACCATTAATATAGGCTGGTATAGGAGATGTCCAATGGGATAAGATAATTGATCAGATTGATGATGATATTAGAAAAATCAGGCTGTACAGACGTATTTCTGTCCGTGCGGCTGATACTCGGCTGTTACAAAGCCTGGAGTTTCCCTGTAAGCCAGAATTACATACAAAAACATAATAGTTAAATGTGGGCATTTGATGAATAAGCCCGTACTTAACAGTGGTAAGTTACCACTCCACATCTTTCGACACTATCTTTCTCGTGATAAAGGGGGGCCTTAATAAAATGTAGCAAAAGAGAAAACCTATCTGCTCGCGGTCGGGGTCGAACCGACAACTCTCCGTTTCAACGGATCTTAAAAACCTATTAATATTTAATCAAAAGAAAAATTATTTATTTAAGTTTATTTATTATTAAAATTTTAAGAAAACACAAGCTGTTTATTATACGAGCGGACGGAGAGCTACTAGAAAGTGAAAAAAAGAAAGGATCATTGCTCGCGGTTAAGGTCAAACCGACGAATCTTTCTGTTTCTTATGTATTTGATACTATCTATCCTTATTTATACTTATATCCACGAGAATCTGTTCTATGGCAAGAGTTATTTATATATATCCTCAATCACGTCTTATATCTTAAGGTTTATATGTAGTAAGTAAGGTCTTGCCTACTTCTATATATACGATAATCGAGGGCTAAGGTGTCGAGGCGGTAGAAGTAGAATACGACGGAACAAAAATCTCTCTAAAAATATTGCGCACTGCCGGAATCGAACCGGCGATCTCTTGATTTCTGAGAAGAATCTTTCAATACAAGAAAGAATCTTACCATACGAGTCAAGCGCCTTACTGCTTGGCCAAGCGCGCTCTTATTGATTCAATGAGGGTGGCAAAAGCTTTTATGGATATGATGATGATGATGAATTCATACTCGGCCCTGTCACCATGCCCCTTCTTGTTAGTAGTTACATACTGTGGTCGCCCATAAAGCAGATCATGTCCTCTGCATCCTGATCTAACTGCAACGCCTGGGCGACGTGGCTGCCGGACTATAGAGGATTGTGCATGTTGAAATCCCCCACTACGACGTGGTGATCATTCCCCATGCCTAGCTGCTCGCGTAGCTGTCGGAGCGTCCTTCTCGCGGCCGCTACATTCCTGGCTCTCGTTATAGCGTCTGCACTAAAGGCCTTCCCTGCCACATACACGTTATGCATATGGATTTGGCCCATTGATGTCTTTACCGTCACTCTTCTATAGTCTCTGGAGTGGTGCTTGATATACCACGTCTTCGGGTCGATACCCTTGCTAATGTATGTGCACACACGACGGCGGCCTTTCTCCCCTGCGCTGTTAGGCTTGGCCTCATCAGCACGTGGAAGCGGCCACCTAGCGTTTGCGAATACACTCGCATCATCTCGCCGCCGACGCCGTCGTCGAAATCCCACACCTGCGGTTCCTGCACAGCCAAGATCTCTATCTCTTGCACCTCCTTCTCACCAAAGAGGTACATCATCACCTTATCTTTCGACCTCATTGTGTTCGCCTGTAATATCCGAAGCGTTGTGTCTAACATTTCGGCTGTGACGCGCTGTGAGACGCACTATTACTGCGAGTGATAACGTTGCGGACGATGGCGGGGGGCGGCTAGTACTCCTGGCTTTCGAGACTGAGCTCATCGTCCGACTCGTCTAGCACGCGCCGGCTCTTGCCTCGGCGGATACTGCCCGTTCGCTTTAGGGCCTGGCCGTCGAGAGACGCGGCGTCGTGCCGGTCTTCCGTCGGCTGGTCGCCTGTCGGCTGGTCATCTATCGGTTGTACTGTAAGATCGATCGTTGGCGGGGCTGTGAGTAGCAGCTGGATATCGCCGATTCTGTCAGCGGCAGGCTGAGTAGCGGCCTCGGCTTGCCGGAGCTGAAGGTCGATGTCCATCTCCTCCTCTCCAGCGGAGTCCTCAACGGCCTTTCGCTTATACCGGCGCTCATCGTCCTTGCTTTTATGAGAGACCACGACAGCCTTTGTCTTGGCTAGAGCCCTGTTGATCTCTACGGCCTCCGGTGCCGTCTGTTACGCTGCCCCGGCGTGTCTGGTGGTGCTTCTCGCTTTGGCGGATTCGGCAGGTGTGGGATGCGTCTCTGCGATGGGAATCGATGGGGACGAATTACTGCTTGGTCCAACGCTGGACCATAGGGGTTCTTGGTAGAGCTTAGGCCCCTGGCTGCGGTGGTTAGAGACTGTCGCGATAGCTTCGCCTCTCACCGGGCACTCCCGATCGAAAGCGACGTGATTCAGCTTAGGTCTGTTATGTTTGATACACATAGCATACTTTGCCCGGCGACGGTCGCGGGCATGCGTGCAATCCTAAGTATCATGGCCTTGCGCATAGTATGCGCACTGGGCCTCGCGCTTGCAGTTGCGGGCGATGTAGCCATAATCCTGGCAGCGGAAAAACTGCTGCAGGCGATGGCTGCTATCGAAATACCGGCAGTCGTGGGGCTCACTATGTAGGGAGAGCCCCTGGCGAATTGCGCAGTTCGCCGCTTTAGCATTGTTGAATTGGACGAGCAGTGTAGCGTACTGCGGCTTCGTTTCTTCCATCTTACTTCTCGGCATCAGCTAGCCGACTCTGACAATCTCTGCGTCCGGCGGCAAACGTCCGACATTGGCCGCCCGGATCGTTGCCTTCGCCCTAGTGTCTTTGTACGGGTCGAAGCTAGCGTAGCGCACTCCGTTCATGGTCACCGCATGGGTAGCCTGCCGGATACGCGCGTTAGCGCCAAAGACCTTGCACCATCGTTCGTTCTCATGTAGAGTCCTAACGTCTTCGAGCCTGTCAACCTGTATTAGAATGTCTCCGCTAGGGAGCCCCGGTACCTGTCTCCGTTGGATGACGTTGATTCCAACGACCGCATAGCAGTTTTGGCTGCTATTACCGAGCTCGACACCATGAAGGATCGCCTGGACTTCAACCGTCGGGCGTCGGTTCGTAGGCTGACGGAACTTGTGGCAGCGGAAGTCGCGCGGATCAACCAGACCTGGGATAATGCGCTTGGAGGGTAGTGGAGTGATGGACTCTGGTTGTATGGCGTCGGCGCCATACTGGTTTAGTTTATCCGAATGAATCTTTTGACCGATTCCATTCCCTTCGTAGTCGTTGCTGTCGTTTTGTGCGTCTCCACTTTCCACGACATCTAAGTTCGGCAATCAGTGGCTTTCAGTGCAATCGCACATTGCTTGCAACGAACCGTTCTCTTACCTCGGATTGTGACAATCACTTGCTGTGAGGCTCCTCTTGGCTTCATCCCAATGAAGGGACTACTGCACTCCAGCACCACGTTGAGGTGGGAGCCATCGTCGCTGGAGGTCTAAGAATGTCAGTATAACAATAAAACACGACGTCATTACCACTATAACTGCGTCTTCTTAATCATATTTAGATCAGCGGACGCTAAGAGAGTACTGTACTCATCAGCCAAAAAAGACAACATTCTTGACGGGAGACTTAGTAATGATCACGAGCCAACGCTTGGAGGCTCCCCATCCACCCTGCCAAGGTACACACATCTCGACAGCCATTGAAGGCCACGATCGTGCTGGTCTTGAACGGCCTTAGATACCGACGTCCGCAAGGTGGGCAAGACCAGCTGATGGTCTTTATCGTAATGCCGACGCAAATGGGTCTGTCTCTCTATTCCCCGTGTGTACTGACACCCGGGGTAGCGGCAGAATCGCTCGCCTCGATAGATAACAGGCGCGTCGGGATCGATTCTCGGCAACCTTAGAACTTCATCCACGTCCAATAGCCGGTACTCCTTGACGGCCCCCTGGACAACGGGAACAGTTGTCGGATCGACGGGGCGACGATACCGGCTAGTAGGCTTGGATTGAGATGGACCGGTCTCACGGTCCGGGTTGTCCGAGCAAATCTTTTCATGTCGACTTCGGGTATCAATTCGAGCGAGCAATTTCCCACAAAAGCCGCAGGTTCTCGCTCTTATATCCCTCGCAATCGCTTCCTCCGTCACCGGTGGCCGATGCTTCACTGACTGATGCTTATCGCGCGATCCAGCCGTGAAAAACTCCTCGTTACACCCTGTGAACCCACACTTGTGGCGCGGGCCTGCCCAGCGATGGACATTCCGTTCATGGGTGTACCGGTGGAGCTATAATCGAACTTAGGTTAATCACTTATACTTCAGCATGATGTTGAAGAAGTTAGTACTGACCTCAAGATAATCCTTAGACAGGTTCATCTTGCTCGTGGCGATTGCAGGGACGAATTTGAGGTATAATTCAGTCGACCAGTTAAACTTGACGTCCGGATCCTCCTGGTCAAGGTCTCCCGCCCAAACGGCGCAAACCTGGTGGATATCGACGTCATATAAACAGGGTGGAGGAACATTTTCCTCCAAACGCTCATGATTCACGGAAAGAATTCGTAGATGAACAGAGACACTCTCCGGTCGAAGCACGAAAAGCTTCTGGAATGCTCCTTGGTTCGTAGTAAGGCCATCCCAACCACTCACGATAAGCAGGATATCCCGATCCTGTTGCTGGGCCCGGGTGAAGAGGCCATAGAAGAAGCTCATAACGTCTCCGGTTTGTCTGAATGGAGAATTCGACGATTGGATGAACACGAACTTTTCGATGGAACTACCATCGAACACGCCTGGGAAGGACCCAGCATATTGCCTACTCTCACCTCACTCCCCACATTGACATTACCCATCCAATTCTCTTTCTTCTAGGAATGCAACTTCTTCTTTAAAAAAATCCAAACCCTCATCAACATGACCACTGAGACCAGAAACAGTGGCGCCGCCGGTAATGGCGGCCGTAAGCCGGGCCCGGGTGGTGTTTCGAAGGTAACGTACTGATATTCCCCTAATCCAAGTTGCTCTGCTGCTCTGCTCTGCTCTTCTCTGCTGCTCTGTTCTTTGAATCTTTGAACAGACGGACCTTGAAATATTTTGTATTTGTACTGACTGTTTGAGATGTAGAAAAAAAATCGCCGTACACACAAATGCCACGTTTGTGGACAGCGGGGTCATTTGATGGCAAACTGCTTTGATGTCTACTTAATGGACATTTCCCGAAGAATGGTTGCTGCAGTAAGTAAAGACATGCGGTAATCTCAAGTCTAAGAGCATCTGTATTGACGTATTTATAGGGCATGAATCCTACAGATCCGGTTAGTCGAACGCTCTGTCCTTTACGGTCCCTCGCTCTGACCACGGAAAAAGATGGGTAGTCGTCCCCGTCCCTCCGCGCGTGTGCGCTCCCCGGCCCCCGAGGCCGGCGAAGACCCCGCGGCGCCTACACAGCAAGAGCTAGATGCAAGATTTCTAATTTTTGACAACTGAGAGACCAGACTCGGTATTATTCCGAGTAGTCATTTTTTGATAAAACATGGATTTGAATATGTGATGCGCGCTTGGCCAAGCGGTAAGAGTCTTTTGAATTGTCTTTTGAATTGTCTTCCCAAAATAGCCCAAGCAATATATCTCTCCACCCCGTGTCTTTTCCCTGTGCGCCTTCTTGTACGTAGGTGTAGAGAGACGTGCGTGGTGTATTTTCGATAGCTTGCAGTAAAGCAGAAACTAGGATTCTACATCTCTACAGAAAACTTTGAAGAGACTCAGACCAACGAATTTTTGTTGATATCATAGCTGTTGGTTCTAAAAATGAATATGGTCGTAAACGTGCCCCTTAAGAGATAGAGATAGGGCAAGATAAGGGGGGGAGAGGGGGGAGGGGGGGCAGAAGGGAGGGGGAGGGGAGAAGGAAGAGGGGGAGGGGAGAAGGGAAAGAGGGACGAGAGAAAAGTGCCGAAGAGACTAGGCTTCTGCCTTTGGGTCCGGACGGGTACTACTATTCATCAGTTTCGCCACGAGCAGCATCGGGGTAGGTTGACTAGGATGAGAGGGGAGGGATAGAAGGGGAAGCTGATGTGTCTTTGTCAAGACGGCAAAGCGTAGGGATGATAACAAGTTCATGCGCTCTGAGAGGACTTGAAGAGTAGTAGCCGCAAGTAGCCCATATCGAGAGCTCCAAGAAGAACAGAGTGCTGGAGGTGAAATAAAAGTGCAACAGGGAGTCTTCACTAGAGGAGTAGGACCCAAGGGCAGTAAACAAAGGGCCAGCACACAACAGAGCAGCACACGACGGGGCAGCACACGACAGGGCAGCACACGACAGGGCAGCACACGACAGGGCAGCACACGACAGGGCAGCAGGAGTGGTAGAGTGATTGCACACGTATTACTTACACACGGCTCTCCAACGAGGGCTCGTCATACCCCGGCGTACTTGAGATATCCAATAGGGGTAGTAGGTGTTAGGTTAAGAGACCAACTCACAAGATCTATGATAATCCACGGCTTAAGTCCAGAGAGAATGACGCATTCAGGAACCAGTATTAGGTGACATAGCGGGAACCCGCTGATAAGGGTTTTTCATCATAAGTTCATCGAGGTCGTAGCTAATTTTACGTTGAAATCGAGGTGAAATGGATAATATTTGTGTACAGGAAACATTCGACCTATTTATTCAAACATCTTCCCACTGTCTTGTGGCGGCCGACTTGTAGAAAGCTTCGATTGTCTTGAAGATGTCCACATTCATTCGTAAATCACAGCACCCGTCTGGCGGGAGTTTCACTTCGCGAACTCTCGAACCCAAAGTTTCTAGTTGTTCACGATAGCATCTTGGAATGTTGGAGATTCCGTGGGGGTGTTCCGTCGCCATCTTGGTCTCACCAGCCACGAACTCACCCCTCTCCGTGCGTAGGTATAATGTGGCAACTGGAAAATCGGGAATAGCATGCAATGATCCATTGGTTCCGTATATATCAATTGCCCACTCGTTGCACCATTCTGTCGGCTCCCAGGCTGTTAGATCCAGAACAATTGTCTTGTCAGGATACTCCAGGATCCCAGAGCAGACATCCTCATAGAGTAGGGTCCCCACCCCAAACTCGCCTGTTTCGACAGTCCCGGTGAAGATATCGGGAATCCAGCCGACAACGGGATGAGGGGGTCTCGCTGGTAGCTTTCGAATCGAGGACACCACTCGATCGGGTGCTCCAAACAAATCCAGAACATTTTCCAGTGTATGACAGCCTGCCGTTTGCATGATCCCCCCGAGATCCTCGGGAATCGACTGCCAAAGATCCATGCCAGCTCCCGACGGGCAGCCACCGTGGAATCGCGCGGTGGTAATGTCGCCCAAAACGCCGTCACGAATCACTTTTCGCGCGAATCGAAGCGACTCGGAATAGTGTAGTTCATAGCCCAATTCCACCGCCAGGTGGGGTCTCTTCTGCTGAATCTCGTGGGCAAGGTTATAAAAGTCCTGCGGTCTGGCAGCCCCGGGTTTTTCGAGAAAAAGACCCTTGAATGACGCCGGGTGGTCAATCGCGAATCGGGCCCACCGCGGTACATCCGGATCCAAGGCGTGAATCATCACAATGTCCGGGTTGGTATCTAGCAAAGCGCTGGGTGTGCTGAAACGGATCAGCTGTGGAAGCCTTTCCGCGAGCCCCGCAGCGATCTCACCGTTTTCCTCGTAGAACCCGGCGCACTCGAACCCCCGGAGCTTTTCGAGGATCGCAAACCGGTACATCACATGAGGGTGACGGGTTCCCAAGAATGCGATTTTCAAGGGGGCATGTTGAGCACCTTGGGGAAAGCTCCCCCGATCGAAATTAAGATCGAGTTTCCGCACGTCCATTGTTGTGTCGACGGCAATGAGCACGGGCAGATCTATTGGTCAATCTGGCTCTTGTCCATATGCAGCTGCATAACACAGCCGCGTGGCACTGAGAACGACTGGCGCGAGTGGACGGAAAGAGGAAAAACCGCCACAAAGGTGCCACCGCCACGCGGGGGTGCCACATTCGGTCCGCCGGTCCCACGCAGATGGCGGCCCACGTAAGGCTCCCGTCATTATCGCCTTCGCTCACCTGGTTGTACGGAGTATATAGAGGTAAGTCCCGCAAAGGTTGATGCAACAGCCATGGCACAAACCCAAGCAAGCTCTGGGAGTTCCTCGAGCGTGGAGGCGTTGCCGCAAACGCACCACCCGCCTCACGATGGAGCCTCCAAGGCCATTATGACCGGTCGGGAAAGCCCCACACCGTCCGAACGCCGGGCGCCATGTTCGTCGAAGATATAGATCCGGCCGACTTTGACCCGGGCTTCTTTAACATATCGACTGCTGATGCCATCGCTATTGACCCTCAGCAGCGGCAGCTACTCGAAGTGGTCTATGAGGCGATGGAGAACACCGTATTGTCGTTGGAGTCCCTCAACAGAGCCCCCGACGGCTGTTTTGTGGGATCATATGCAGTCGATTATCAAGACATGCAAATGCGTGATCCTGAGGACCGAGTCGATGGGATGACGATTGGAGTAGGCCGAGCGATTTTGAGTAACCGTATCAGCCACTTCCTGAACCTCAGTGGAGCTAGTATGACTATCGATACCGCATGCTCGGGGAGTCTAGTTAGTGTTGATGTTGCCTGCCGATGCCTTCAAACCGGCCAGGTGGAAGGCGCGATTGTGGCCGGAGCGAACCTCTACCTCAGCCCCGACCAGAGCCGAGACATGGGAGCCATGCGTACCGCCTCGTCAGCTAGCGGCCGCTGTCATACTTTTGACGCAAAAGCAGATGGCTATTGTAAAGGTGAGGCCAACTGTAAATGATAGGTTATGGGGGGAAGTGAAGGGTGTCTGTTCGTTCCGACTGTGAAGTCGTGGAGATTATATCGTTGCAGGTCAGCCACATAAAATACCAGTCTTGCATACTTCAAGGTGGAAATATAAACATCAGCGCTTTTAATATACCTTCTCACGCGAAATATAGGCAAAAGGCGGTGCGAGGGGGAAAATCCATCCGGCGCTCGGATGTACCTACAGGATTGAAGTTTAGTTCGAATAAACTTAGCCTGGGCTTTTGTAGAAAAATTGCATGATACTTCGGCTCCGATGCTGAAGATCTAACAACCAAGGCCAGCTTGGTTGTCGAGATTCTCGACTCTCATCACCGTTTGATTCGCAGAAGCAAGTTGAATCAACTCCATACTCCCTTTCAGCTTCTCCAAACATCACTTCATATCTCGTTCCTCGGTCCTCAGTCCTCATTTTCCAGAATCCCATGCCCCGGCCAGCCGGGTCGAGGGTAACGATGTTCCGCGTCCAGTCCACAAGATTCCAGAAATTCATCAAAATTCATGTTCCCTCGGCTCAAATTCATATGGCCATCATGTGCATTTCGCCCCTTCACCCGGCCGTATAGCAGTCCTTTGGTAGAAGGATCTTCCACGTCGCTCAGGAGTTTGGTCGCTTGCTCATCATCGGGATGCCAGAAGAAATGATCAATGTCCACCATGATAACGGTCTGATCCACACCGGACTGCTCATCAATGAAGAAGATCGGCATCTCGCAAGATGTACATCGTCGCATATCCCAAAAGATGCTCCAAATGTCGTGAATAGTCCCATCGGGTGCATTTGGATCCCCATCTTCCCAAGGGACAAAACAGCACGCCTTTTGGTGATCAAGGAGCTCCTTATCCGTGAGCAACTCTGCCTTCAACGCCCGAATTTGATCGTCCGAGAGCTTGTTGGTCAGATAGAACACGGCAATGGAGATGAGTCCTTCTCCATCAACGGGCTCCCACAAGGGAGGATTATAGTAGAAAGGATCATCCGGTCCGATCAAAAACTCCACCTCGCTCGAGTCGGGCAAGGTGCCCTCTCTTACCTTCTGCTGGAGTTGTGCAATCTTACCGAGCTCGCCGTTGGGGTAGTTCAGTTTGGTTTTGGCCATGTGGTCAAGAGTGTTGCGAGCCATGAGGACAAATCCATCATTACTATGATAGATCGATCCAAATTGGGCTTCTCCGAGGGCCTGTCGCTGCCGAAGGGAGGACTCGATGGGCGCCAAAAGGTAGTTCAATGGACAGAGGGCCGGATCATGCACTTCTTTCCAATGGTACTCCAAGTCCCGGCGGGTCGCATGGCGCTTGTGCTCCCATGGAACCAGTTGGACGTTTATTTGCTGGTGGTCGTCATCTCGTTTTCTTTTCGCTGGACGTCCGGTCCTCTTCCCAACGCACCTTTGTACCTCCCGCTGGATCCCAAATTGCAAATGTTGCCTCTCATCCTCCGTGGTTGGGAATGCAAGAAAAATGACTAGATTCTCCTTCTCCACCGATGGGGGAACGAAATCCGACTGGCAGCGATGATCCATGCATGAGACAATGCTGGTGACCAGCTCGGCCGGCAGGGGTGTTGAATCTAATAACGCGGCTTTGGTATCGCGCTCGAACTTCTCGCGTCCGGTGGCCGTCGTATCAGAGATGAAGACTCCGTGGTCCGGATCATGAAGCTCAAGGCCGTACTCGCATAACCGGGTCGTGATATCGATACTGCTACCTCCCAGAAAGGTATACGAAAGGTCGAAGGATCCGAGAAGGTTAGGTATAGACTCGTTCTCGTGCTCTACTGGGTGTATGGTGTATCGCTTAGCAATGACCCGAACGTGTTCGCTCTGGGCGTCCTCCTCAGAGCTAAACCGGGTTCGCAAAGGTGGTCGAATGCCAACCATCACCAGCGACAATACAGGACTTTCGCCCGGTCGCGGATCACCGGTGAGTTGACGCTTGGTCAACCGGTCTGCGACAAGGAAGCTCGACTGCCCCGTCCGAAGGGCCAGAACTGCAAGGCCGTAGATGTTGGCCTTGGTATCGCGGCGGTCTTTTTTCTTCGATAGTGGCTGGGGTAAGCCGACTTTGGGAGGATGCCATATCTGCACGCAATAACCGTCTCCGAATGTGTGTTGCAATGTCTGGATGAGTCGCGCTTCGTCCACGGGACCAAACTCGGTCAACGATGCCACCAACACCGAACCCCTCCCCTCGGGCGATGGGATGCCGTACACCATCCCGCTAGTGTAGAGGGATGGGGAATGCTTCGTACTTGGTGCAGAACCACGGAGACTAAGAGCACCAAGATGTGCTACGGCTGAAAATGCAACGCGCCAGGCATCCGTCGGCCCCCACAAGAAGACACGAGGGCTATGTCGATCTTTTCAGCCTCACGCAGAGCCGCACCGATGACGTTGGGGGAGTCCCCGAATCAAATGATGGCCACGGTGGTTGGCCTGATCGCCCGGCCGTGGCGAGGCTGAGGGGATAAGAGGCCACAGGTAAGTGTGAGGTAGTAGGTGGACGCGCAAAGATCTATCAGAGGCCGATGCTGGAACTTCCAAGAAAATCCTGGGACTACAGTTATCATTGACAGTGTTGCGTATATAACATAACACCCTTCCTCCTTCTCCTCCTCCTCCTCCTCCTCCTCCACCTGCACTGATGATCAGATAATTAGGTCAAGCCATCGCTGCCATGGATTACCTATCAGCTCCACTGCATTCTATCTGGGTTTGATGTACAAAGGGTATCAGCAAGATCCACAAACCACCCCCGGCATGCAGGGCGCGATCTAATGTACTATAAAAGAAAGACAAAAAGAACACGAAATAGTCAACGTCACAGACGACAACAGCCAGGGTTTCCTCTGGCCTAGAGAGGGGGGTTGCAGTCCAATTAGGGACATGAACAAAATAAATGAGGAGAGATGAGACTCGTGGGACGGCGTTAGGGAGAGATCAGATTGAGCTGAAGGCCCGCGACAAGAGGACCAGCTGAAAAAAGTCCGGCTTCCACGGCAGACAACCATCAAGGTTCAAGAGGAGCATTGCCACGGACGAGCAACCCGTCGGAAGGAGCCGCCGGGTCATTTACGGTCGAAGAAACCAGCTCGAGCGCTTGCCCGACGCCTCTTGCGACTGCACGCCCGCGACGTTCGCATTCGCCGGTGCGTCCGACCCGCCCCCGCCACGCAACGGCTTCGCGATGCGGGAGCCTCCGAAGCTGAAACCCCCACTCCCATCCATGGCAGGGAGGCCTCGGGTGGAGCCTTGCTTGGCAGCCTCCAGGCGCTCTTTGACAGCCGTGAGCTGAGCTTCGAATCTATCATGGTGGTCAGAATCAGCAAGAACTTCGAGCACACTTATTCCGAGGTGTAATGGAAATCCTACCGGTGGTTGGCTTGGGTTAATTTCTCCTGGCTGTCCTGAAGCAAGCTCTCCAGGCTGGCAATGCGCTCGTTTCGTGCAATGAGCTTCCGCTCTGCAATGGCAACTTCCTTCTTCAGGCTGCCGTTTTGTTCGACCAACTGACGCTGGACATGCGTCAACTGCTCCAGGTTGCGCTCCAGGAAGGCCATCTTCTTCTGCTGGGCACGGTTGTTGGAGGAACGCAGTACATTGTTGTACTGCTCCCGTGCGTCATCCAGAGAAATTTCGAGCTCAACAACCCGCTCGCAGCGGTTCTGGAGATCTCGCATGAGGGACTTCTTCATGGCATCGAATTCGGTAATCTGCTGCTGCAGCGTCTTGGTAGCGACGCCGTTCGTGGAGGATCTTGACTCGGTGTCGGAAAGCGATTGCCGCAGCCTGTTCAGTTCCTCATCCTTTCGAGTGATATCGGCTCGAAGTTCATCGACAGCGGCGGTTTCAACGTCCTTCCGGCTGATGAAGGCCTGTTCCAACCGTTCGCGGATCTCCTCAACGTCACCCTCGCCCAGGTTACGGGTAAGAAGGCCCTCGTATTCCCGTTGGACTTGACCCAATTTCTTCTCCAGCTCGACCCGGCGGCTGTCCTGCAGCTCGCCAAGCTCCCCTCGATCATTCATTGTCAGCTCGGCCTGCCGAATGAATCCCTGCGTCTCCAGAAGACTGGCACGCAGTTCAAGAACGTCATCGGGCGCGATGGTTTCCCCAGCGGCGCTGATCTCATGCAATGCATCAACACGTGCGATCAAATCCTGTAACTTACGCTCATTGTTTGAGAACACATCGTCACCGAGATCAAAGCCTGCCATCATCTTGGCCATCTTCTCCGCCTTCTTCTTCTCCTTCTCATCCAGCGCCGCCGTGGTCTCCTTAGCCTTCATGCGGACATCAAGAAGTTGCTGCTTCACCTCGTCCAGCTCGCCGGTCAGCTCTGAGTTGGCTTCCCGTAGGCCGTCCATGGTAATGGCCGCCTCCTTGCTCTCGTATGACACCTTCTCCAGCTGCATACGCATTTCATTGATTTCGGTGTTGAGACGCTCGTTGTCTTTGCCTGACCGTCCTGCATTCTCTCTCATCGACTTGAGCTCCTCTCGAGCGTCACGGAGGCTGCGCTCGACATTGGCAATATGGGTTTCCTTTTCGGCAATCTGGTCCTGCAGCTCATTCTCGCGGCGGAGGAACTCCTCGCGCTCATCCTTCTCCAGCACCAGGCTGGGTGTGCTTGAGCGATCACCCACCCGGGAATCAGGGCGGGGGGTTTCCGAGCGAGCAGTTTCCTGCAGACGAGATGGGGTGCCCGGTCGAGGTGCGCGGGCTTCGGCCTTTGCAGCGCTGACAATCTCATTACCACGAGCCGGGGTCCATTGATCTTTAGGGACGCTGTCTCCACTGCGCCACGAGCTGACTTCGGTCTCCAGAGCCGAGATGTAGGTCTCGAAGCTGGTAACTTGAGTCTGGGCCTTGCGCAAAAGTTGCTTGAGCTCCGAAGGGCTGAGCTCGGCATTGACCTTCGCCTTGTTCTTGATAGCCTTCGCACGAACACCGAAGCGAAGAGTGGAAATGGTTTCTGCGTCGTTATAACTGCTGGGCGAGCAGTTGATAATCAGTGTGGTACGCGAGTTACCACCCAGGGATTCTTGCAGGATTCGAGTGAGTTTAGAGTCACGATACGGGACGTGGCTCGATTTGCCGTCTGTGAGGGCGTTGATGACCATGCCGAGTGCGCTCAAACTCTTGTTGATCTTCTTGGCTTCTTCCAGAGTCTGGCCACTGGCTCCCGTTTTGCCGACCTTCTCACTACCAGCCAAATCAACCAAGAACAGCTGGCCGCTCTTGGCCGATCCAGTCTCGACGTTCTTCTGACTGACGGTAATGACAAAAATCGAATGCGAACGAGATGACTCCTGGTTCATGTTGGTCGCGGCCACAGCTCGTGCATTTCCACCCCGGCGCATCACTTCATAGACCTCTTGCACACTGGACACATAAACTTCCAACAATCCCTTGACGTAAACTCCACGGGACTTCTCCTCATGAACTGGCAAGTTGTCGTTCTGCGGAACCAGCAGATCGCGAATACGCTCCATGTAGATCTCCATGTAACTAACTCGCACAGTGTATTCGATGTTGCTCGGACTCGTCAGGATACTGGCGAAGATTTGTTCCACGATTCGCGGAATCACACCTTTGCCAACGTCGTCATCAATATCAGAACCCATCATAGTATACGATTTCCCCGCGCCAGTTTGACCGTACGCAAATACCGTTCCATTATAGCCATTCAAAATATCGTCGACGGTGGGGCGAATCGAGAAGTCGAAGATGTCGCTCTGGGCGGTATCCATCGGGAATACACGGTCGAAGGTGAAGGATCCCATACCCTCATTTGACTAGGCATGCTCGTTAGCATACTCCCTATTCCTTATTCGCTCCGTCTTGGGTCGTCCGCTCACGTTGATAATACATGATTCTTCGCTTTCGAATTCGACGACTGGTTTGCCACCAGAAGACAATTCAATCTTGTTCTGGGGTCGGAATCTGGCAACCACTGCACACGTTGGGGGGTTAGCTGGGCTCTCCGTGCCATTTCTTGTCATCCCACGTGGTGCGTACCCTTAATGGTGTTCGACCCCGAGGACCTATAGTTTAAGTCAGTAAGGCCAGAGAGAATAGTCTATTGCATATGCCATGTACTTACGCCATCCTGGCGGTTAGCAAGCTCGCTCCTGGAAAGAAACAGACCGCAAAGAGGGGCAGACAGATCCCGGGGGTCGGGGTGTTTCACGCTGCCTCGAGGGACCAGGGTCAGGGGCTCCACGTACGCACGGCAAGAGGGCCGTGGAGGAACAGACGAAAAGAATCAATATGCAAGAAAAAAAGGCAATGAACCCAGCACGCCAGGCGAATTTTTGGGAGGGGGGGCGGAGGGAGGGGAGGGAACGAAACGGTTCGGAGGAGAGTGGGAGTGGATTTGTTGACAGACGCCCCGTTTAGGATTCTTGGCCGACCGCCCCGGACTGGAGGGTTGCGCTCCGTACAGAACGGACTATACTGCACACTATACCGCCAGTAGATCGGAACGAAACGAGCAGCACCACTAGAGCCGGGGTTTTTTTGGGACAAAAATTTTCAATTAAATATGAGGGGTAGATTGGGGTCCAGGTGCAATGTGGGAAAGGCTGATGCAGTGAACTATGGAACGGGGAATGAAACGGCGACAGATGCACGGGAAAATATAATCCAGAACAGAATACAGAACGAAAAGAAGAAAAACAAGAACCAAGCGCCCAAACCCCACGCTGTGCAGATCAAACGGCCCGTCCGAATGTGATACTCGACCCGCATACTTTCATCCCCGGACCTCGTTTCGGCCCCAACGTTGGATAAACAGAAAATGAAAATGACTGGCTTCGAGCAGAACTTAAACCCCGGTTTTACCACCATCACTATTCAATCTTCCCAACTTTTTTCCACCGTTTCGCGCACTCGCTTGATGTATTCCTTGCGGTTGTCCTTGTAAAGATTCGATGCTTCCACATTGGCCGGAGAGGAGGTGTTGGGGTCGTTGAGGAGACTAGAAACCACCATGCAAGTTAGCATTTCCAAATCTCTGCTGTCATCTCATCTGCAGTAGCCCACGGATCTGAGTGGTCCATACCTCTGAATACTCGTCAAGATGGCAGCCACATCGTATGTTGGGCTCCAGCGGTTCTGGAGAATATCGAGACAAAGCTCACCGGTGCCGTAGACATTGGGGTGAAACATCTGGCTGATAAACTTGACGCCCGGTGGTTTGTTAGGGTACTGCTCCTCGAAGTTCATCACCAAGCGGAACGTGCCATCCTCAAACGGAGTGTCGGCCGGGCCGATAATGACGGCATTCCTGAGAACTCATCAACCGAGTGCGCCGCTGGCCGGAGTCTATCTGCACATACCAAGTCATGACATTGTCGGCGACAGGAGATGCGGAAACGCCCGCGGGGGGATCGGTTTGCATGCGCTGTGATCAAAGAAGCTCGTGGTTAGTGGAGGGGCAAATAACTTGGAGAAGAGGATCTTTGGCGTGGGATAGAGGGGGGTCCGTGGGAGGGCAGGAAGCTCGAGGATTTTCATTGAGGGGTCTCTCATCAAATCCGGCTGAGGCTTTGGATGGAGGCCCGACGCCGGACTCTCAATTTCATTGTGTTGGCCGCCGTACATACCTTGAAGTCCCGCATGAGACGACGGCGGGCAGAGGTCGACATGATGATGGTGAATGCAGATAGAAGAAGCTGGCGAGATTGGAGCTTAGCGACCCTGCTGCCAGAGAAGAGAAATAGAGATAGTAGGAAGAAAGCTGAGGGATATTGCTGCACGAGGTGATTATGCTCATCACTTGGGAGAGCAGGAGGAGGGGAGCCGGGCTAAATATCCTAATGGAGAAATACTCCATGTTAGGATACCTGACTAGCTCCATTATGTCATATCATGTGATCTGTAACAACCTCGGTCCAGGCGGTTAGCGGCGGCGGGCAGGCGGGTGGCATGCTGGATGCGGCGGCCGGGCTCTTCCATTCCTTTTCCTTTCTTTCTCCGCTTGTCGTTCTTGTGATCAGCCAGTTTCATTCACTTTTCGAATCAACTCCATTCTACACCATGATCACCGCCACAGGGCTGCCTGCCCGTCTCTCGAAGCGGGCCACCATCCCCGCATTCCGTGCTCAGCGGCACTTCAGCTCCGCACGCCCAGCGTTGAAGGAGATCCAGGATGCCTACATTCTTAGCGCCTCTCGCACACCAACAGGCAAGGTAAGTTACTACCTCTGGGACATTGGCACCTGACACCCGAGAAACCACCACTCACCATCTCTGGCCAGTTTAACGGTGCCTTCACCTCCGTGTCGGCTCCCGAGCTGGGTGCAGTTGCCATCAAGTCTGCCCTGAGCAAGAGCAAGGTTCCTGTGGAGAAGATCACCGACGTTTATATGGGAAATGTGCTCCAGGGATCGGTTGGCCAGGCTCCCGCCCGCCAGGCGTCTATTTTCGCTGGCCTATCCTCGAGCGTGGAGTCCTTGACCGTCAATAAAGTGTGTGCATCCGGTCTGAAGGCGGTTGCGCTGGCAGCTCAGAACATCCAACTGGGTTTGGCTGAGGCTCAGGTGGCGGGTGGTATGGAGAGCATGACCCGTGTGCCTTACTACCTGCCCCGCTCCAGCCAGCTGCCTCCCTTTGGTGAAATCAAACTGGAGGACGGCCTCATCAAGGATGGCCTCTGGGATGTGTTCAATCAGTTCCACATGGGTATCTGTGCGGAGCAAACTGCGAAGAAGTACGAGGTCACGCGCAAGGACCAGGATGAGTATGCCATCCGCTCCTATGAGCGGGCCCAGCAGGCGTGGAAGGAGAACAAGTTTGCGGAAGAAATTGCCCCCGTCACGGTGAAGAGCAAGAAGGGCGAGACCGTCATTGAGCGGGATGAGGGTTATGAGAACCTTCGCATCGACAAATTGACGACTCTGAAGCCTGCCTTCTTGCGGGATGGAACTGGCACGATCACCGCTGCCAATGCCTCCTCCATGAACGATGGTGCGTCCGCCCTTGTTCTGGTTAACCGAGATCTTGCGCGGGAATTCGGCAATGGTGGTCGTGCGCTGGCACGTATTGTGTCCTCGGCCGATGCTGCCATCGATCCCATCGACTTCTCTGTGGCCCCATCCAAGGCGGTCCCGATAGCCCTGGAGCGTGCGGGTATCACCAAGGATCAGGTGGCAGTGTGGGAGTTTAATGAGGCCTTTGCCGCGGTGATCAAGGCTAACGAGAAGGTGAGGACATTGATCTCTCAGAATGACATCCCAACAATCATCAAGATTGTGCTAACTCAGATACTGCCTAGATCCTCGGCCTGCAAGATGCCAAGGTCAACATGTTGGGCGGCGCTATCTCTCTCGGCCACGCTTTGGGCAGCTCCGGTTCCCGCATCCTCGTCACCTTGCTCCACCAGCTACAACCCGGTGAGTATGGTGTGGCTGCCATCTGCAACGGCGGTGGTGCCGCGACGGCGATGGTTGTGCAGAAGCTGGACCGTGTGGACTAGAGTCCAATGCTGCCCCAAAACATCTTGATGATACCCTCGCATATCCACGCTGGATGCAGTGGTTCTTGCCCTTGTATATATTTTGCGAGCTCCCCCCCCCACGACCAAATTGAAGCAACTTTTACCGGTTAATCAGATCAGCAATGCCTATAAATATTAGAAGTAATCAGTAGCGTAGCTCTGATACTACTCATTACTGGATCACACGTCCTTTGATATAATTCCTTTCAGCAGAGAACCAAGTAATAATGGACGAACCACCGTAGAAAGTAGCGCGGCTGCGCCAGTCTGGCAAGAATGTAAGTAAAGGCGCTAGGCCCGATTGGGTCGGTTCAAGACATCGCGCTTAGCGCTGCGCACGTTCCCCTTCACCTCCTTGATGTATGCCAAAGATGCAAGCTTAAACAGCAAATGCAACAGATTGTTTGCTTCTAGCAAGATGCTGAGCCCTGTGGAATTGTCTCTCTCCGCCTCCTGTTTCGACGCACTCGCATGGTCGCCAGATGGCGACCTTGCTGTGGCGGCTGGTGAGCATGTCCAAATCTTGGTGCGTACACAGCCACAAATGAACTCGGGGCAGTGGACAAAGGCTGACTTGCTCTAAGACGTTAAAGAATACTGGTCAAAGGTCTCCAGTACCTCAAGGCCAGGATCAGTGGAACATTACTCGCATCCGCGTCAATCTCTTCACCAATACCGAGTGGCAGCCTATCAAACCACAGAATCGAGATGACTTCTCGATTGCGGCAGAGCAGTCAACCAGTACGGTGGTGGGCATAGCCTGGTCTCCACCAGGGCTTGGGTGTTTTCGCCGAAGCGTGCTGGCTGTGTTGACGTCGAATCTCCTCTTGTCTTTGTGGGAGCCAGTTGGCGTTAAAGGTCAATGGACCAGAGTCGCCATCGTAAACCATGCTTTCCATCTTGATCCTTCTGCCCCAGGGAAACTTGATGGCCTGGAACTTCGCAGATCAAACATCAGATCATTCCAATGGTGCCCCCCGTTACACGCTCCGCCTTCCCCAAGTTCGAATTCAGCACCCGGGCCTGAGACTCGCTGGGGGGTCCACTTTCTCATGGCAACTAATGATTCCAACGAAATTCTTCTTCTGCGCATCCGCAGGCTGATTAGTGCACAAAACCCATCCCTGCCTTACTCCATTGAAAAGCTGGCACTTTACCCGGTGGACGATGACCAACGGCGTTATCCTGCGGCTTGCTCTGGATCACTTCTTCAGAGTGCCCTTCACTCTAAAGCACGCGTCTTATCTGTCTCTTGTGGTCCGTGGCTTGAGCCATCCCAGCCGACCAAAGACAGTGCTTCTTCTGCAGTTGCAATGGTTGCCGCCGTATTTGGAACCCTCCCGAGGGTTTTCAAGATTACCGTCGCATTGCATGCCTCGGATCGGGTTGATGGCGATGCTCCGAAATTTGAGGCCAGAGCTAATTTTTCTGACCACCCATTGGGCCAGTTCGCCCCAGAGTGGACTACTCGCTGCGTTAATGGGCCGCTCAAATGGGCACCTGCGCCAGTATGTCCAAGTCCCCCAAATTGGGTCAATCCCTGCTGACCTTGGACCAACTCTAGAACCACTCAGGTTCAATTGTTCTTTTCGTTGCTACCAACATTGGGCTTCTTACCGTCTCCATTCCTCGTGGTGTGTATGATGGTAGCGCGACTCAGCCTGATCAGTTCGACAATCGAGAGTGGCCTTTATCGACTTTAGCCAAAGAGGATGGCGAAGGTCCCAAAAGGTTTCTGGATCCTATTTCAGGTAGGTGACAGTGTCACAAACCACGAGCAGCCGTGCGATTAACGATCTGTTATAGCCATGACTGCATTGTGTGATGAAACGTGCGGGGCTTGGAGCCTTCACATGGGCACAACGGGTGGGCTCGGTGCCGTTCTTAATATGGATGACCTTGAGACGGACGACGCTCAGAAATTTCCACGATGGAGTAAACTCATGGAGGATCGCCTTGAGCAATTCGACTTAAATCATGATCTGGGAGGACAGAGCGTCGCCCGAGTCTGGGGATTGGCGTCCCGTCGCGGTGTGATCGCAGTGCTCTTCTCGAAACATCCAACAGACATGATCGAGTATCGAATTACATCCGACGACAAGTCCACCATTGTATTTGCCTCTGAGGATCCAGATTACTCGCCTGATGTGCAGACACTATTTGCTCCCAATAGCTCCGCTACAGAGTCCTGGTCCGCTCAGGACCAGCGCGAGGCAGTAATAGTTTTTCTACTGTCTAGCACAGGCCAAATCGATAAGGATGACAAGGAGAGCCAGAGGCTCATTTATGCCTCAGCTTGTTGTGCCATTGTTGATCAACAGGGTGCATCTATACGCTCTCAAGCTCGACAATCGTTTGAACAACTGGCAAACTTGACAGGCGCAGACTTGAACGAGGAGATCTCGAAATGCAGTGATGACTCTGTCACGATATCCGCCAAATCAATTGATCAGCTCAGCGGACCCGGTGCACACCTGTTTGAGAGGTGCGAGATTTGTGAGGCAGGGATTGCCTGGGCCTCTGCCACAGAGGCCCAATGCGCAGGAGGCCATCTTTTTGGTATATCCCACGAACAACTCCACCAAATTCGAGTTTGCACTGACACTTTTTCCACGCAGCGCGCTGCGGACTGACCTTTCTGGCCATCCAAGAACCTGGGATATCCAAATACTGCTCCCTCTGCCAGAAGGAATACATAAACGAAGAGATAGTTGCTCGATCGCGTGAAGGCAGCCTGAGCTCCACATACAGAAGTCTCTTTGAGGCTTTTGATACTTGCCTCTACTGCAGGGGCAAATTCCAGGCTGGCATCTAGAGTCTGCCCTCATTCACTTTTGATGAGAATACCTGGGTTCACACAGCCCCAAGACAAGAGAACCAAGAGACTTACGATCGACAACTGTCTTTTGCTGAATACGCTTTATTTACACTGATTTGATATTTGAGAGCTGCTACGTCAAGCCAAGCAAAGCTCCTGCAATGGGATCCCATTCATCATCCCACCGTCGGGCGCTTTCGGTTTGAGCCCCCGCACGGAGATGATCCAGTTTCCGATTGTCACCAAAGAGCTCGACCAACCGATCTGTTAGCTCGTCTGAACTTCCAAAGCCCATCCCGTTGACACCCTCCGTCACCAGCTCAGGCCATGCCTCAAACCGATCCCAGCCTATGACTGGTAGACCCGTACCAAACATATCAACAACTTTCATCGGGAGGTCCACTCCGCTGCTGCTGGTATGCAGGCTGATACCCAGAGAGGCCGATGCCAATAATTGCGCATAGTCTGGTACAGTCAACCATGCCGTACGTATGGTGACTTTTTCCAACTTCCCCGCAGCTTCCAAAGTAGTGATTTGCTTCAAATACATGTCCTTTTGCGGGCCCTTCCCGGTAATAATGGCTAGGACTTCAGGCAGGTGTGGCTGGGCCTTGGCCAATTCGGAGTACTTCAACAAAGCCTCAATGAGCACCGAAAAATCCTCATCCGGGGTCCAGGATGTGGAGCTGACCAGGACGCGAAGGGTTCCTGATGCCAACAAGGGACGAACGGATTCTGTCTCTGGAAGAGTCGCGAGAAATTTAGCACGCTCTTGCGGGCTGAAAATGGGCTGGAAGTGACTGGCAGGCCGATCGTGCAAGGGCAGAATGGGTGCTCGAAGCTGGAAGTCCTTCTTCAGAACGGAACCCATCGCATCTGTTACGCACAGGTGGGCCGAAGCTGATCTGCAGAAGGTCTTTTCATACCAAATCGATAGCTTCACAAGTGGATGGTTCTGGCCAAGCTTCAGTGCGAGAATCGAGTACCCAAAGTTATGCCAATCAATAATTAGTCGTGTTTGCCGTAGGAAGCAGGACAAAGATGCCACCGCCAGAGTGGGAATTGAGGGTGGGTTCTATCAAACTAAGCATGAATCTGTGACTGCCCTGTCATGGTGAAGTATATTTACCTGCACTAGAAGCCAGCGGGCTGGAGTAGTTGTGTATGCAAGGCATTTCCAGAGGCTCGCGATCTGGAAGAGAACTTTCAATGGCCCCAGGATTGTAAATAGAAGTTTATTGCTGGTTTGTAGGATAGATGGGTGAGGATGCAGGGGAACAATTGTGATATTGGGGCTGGACACGATATCGGGATGCGGATCGGACTCTGTCGAGCGGAGTTTTGTGATTAGCCATTTCCCTCTTCCTAGTGGACGATCGGGGGAAAACCCACCTTTGTATCCAATGATAACCACCTCCCCGCCCTTCCTGGCAATGCTCAGGGCATGGTATTGCATGCGCGGGCTCCGGCCTATGTCTCCCAGGACGAGGATCTGCACGCTCGGCTTCGGTTTCTCCGCCTGCCCAGTTGATGAACGGGGTGGTTCATACTGAGAGGGCAGCAGCAGGATCACGACAGTCAGGGCACTGAGCAGGTAGAATGCAATGCTAATGAGTATTTCGATCATGTTGGGGAGCGCAAATCCACCATTCCGGCTCTGCTTCGTGGTTCGCGTGTCCAAAGCACCGCGCCGCTATCAGCGCCCGATAAGAGTCACGTGGCGGGCTCCAAGGTCCGCGGCGCTACTCTCCGCACGGTCTACGCCGTACTTGGGAGCCCTCTGCGCGCCTCCGTTGCCTCCCTTGGCTTCCTCGTGTCCAACCTTTCCTATTGGCAAAATAGTGATTGGTGCGCTTCTATAGATTGTCCAACTGCGCCATGCTGTGGGCTTCCTCGACACTAAACCATTCGATCTGAGCTTTGTACGCTCCACTACCCCCCGGGTTCTTGGCGCCGCCCCTGTTCTGTCCGCCGCTCCAGTCTCCTTTTTAGCTACGCATCAATACCAAGGAGACAATGTCAACGGGGGCGCTGCCCTCGAGCGCGAATTTCGCTGCTCCACCGAATGGACATTCGCATGGCCACAGCCGTGGTCGCGGTCACGGTCACAATCGATCCGCTCGCTGGGCGCAACCGCCACTTCCCCCTCGTCGGGGAACCCAAGTGCCAGCAGCTCACCACCTGTGGAGCGGACCGACACCATGAACGCAAGCTATTCTTACAGTCATGCATCACAGCCATCGCTGTCTCATTATCACCCTTCGGATTCCTCCCACTCGATCGCGCAACATAATCACACCCACAGCGTGTCGTCGATCCATCATGATGCGCCGCATCTCCACACCCATAATCATGTCCACGACCTGGAACCGGAATCTCCCATGCAAGCGGAGTACAAAACGGAGCAGATGTATGTGGATAGTTCTCAATCGCAAAGCGAGAGCTAATATTGAATCTTAGACATGAGCTGCTCACGGGCGCCCTCATCGCATTGCCTTGGATCGCCCTCTCTTGGTACCTGCGAAAATGCGCGCAGGGAGAGACTTCTGGAACACAGGCAACTGCATCCACTGGGACAATTGCAATTGGGCAAGTTGGACAAAAGGCTTGTTTTTTGACCGCAACAATTTTACTCGTCTTTGGTTGTTGTCAAATTGCGCGCGTGAACTACCAGCAAGGTGGACCTATACGCTACTCTTCCATCAAATTCCCAGCAGCCACCCCGAAAACAGTCCAAGCGGCTCTTATGCAAGTGTGTTCCGTCGGTCTTCCAATCTACGCTGCCTTGAAGCTTGGAGGATTTTTGGTTGCTTTCGCTCTCCTTCTTACAGCGGCCTCTGGATTGCCGAACGTGGTTGGCACAGAGCTACGCAGTGGGCCTTCTGAGCGATATAGTAAAAAGACCTTTACTATTGCCAGTCTGGGAGGGGTTGTGCTTTTAAGCTTGGTTGGTATGAATCAGCCGTGGGATGCTTCACCGCTAATGGGATACGCGGCGCTTCTCATTTCCGTCTTTGTTATTTCTCCTCCTTTTCCTGCGCTGCGTCGCCAAGGACCTATCTCAGAGCCGGGTCTCGTTGCTGAGTCTATGGCTCAGCGGGGCAAGGTCCACGCTGCAAGCCAATCATCTGTTGTTGTTACGACTGATGCGCCTCTCGCGCTCATCACCGGAGCTTCTCTCGCTGGTCTTACCTTGCTTTTTTCTCGTGGCTTGCCATTCGCCATTTCAGATCTGATCTATCTTCTGCCTTCGGTCGGGCTTTTCGCAGCATCGCTAATGATGTCGTTTCCCTCGGGTCTTCGTTCCTCTAATAAAGTCGGTCTCGCCGCCTGCACTGGAGCTGCGGCGCTTCTCTGCTCGCCTCATATCAAAGATGATTTCTTGGTTGTTTACGCCTCACGTGGTATCCTCGTTGCTGTCTCTTTCTTCGCTGCCAGAATGGATGATAGCCACCTACGTCTGGACGCCCATTCGCACACTCACGCCCATCATAGCCACCACCATGGCCATTCTCATGGCACTGCAGAATTGTCACGAGTGACAAAGTGGCTTCTCCACCGCAGTGAGAAATATCCATTGTTACATAGCATTCTCAAGGAGAAGGATTCTCGCAGTATATTTTACTTTATGTGGTAAGCTGTCCCTGTCCATGATGTTCTATTGTCAAAATCTCTTGCTCACATTTCTAGCCTAAACTTCACATTCATGCTCGTTCAATTATCATACGGTTTTGTGACCGGTTCCCTCGGTCTCCTCAGCGATAGTATTCACATGTTCTTCGACTGCCTTGCTCTGGTTGTCGGGCTTTGTGCGGCTGTCATGAGTAAATGGCCTCCAAATGCACGGTTTCCTTACGGCTATGGCAAGGTAGATACCTTGTCTGGATTTGCCAATGGTATTTTCCTCATGTGAGCACCCCTACTCAACAGGGGCCAAAGATGAGTGTTCTAACCATTACCAGGATCATAAGCGTGGAGATTATCTACGAAGCGGTGGAACGTTTGTCATCGGGAAGTCAAATGCATCGCATCGGTGAATTACTAGCTGTCAGTATTGCTGGCCTGCTTGTCAATCTTGTTGGCATTTTCAGCTTCGAGCACGGCCATCACCATCACGGCCATGATCATGGCCATGACCATTCTCACGGCAATGAGAACATGCATGGAATTTTCCTGCATATTCTCGCTGATACACTTGGCTCGGTGGCTGTGGTTATCTCGACCATTCTCGTGCACTACTCGGGCTGGGCGGGCTATGACCCTCTAGGGTCATGCTTCATCGCCATTTTGATCTTTGCTTCGGCTGTGCCGTTGGTCAGTAGCACGGCGAAAACCTTGCTTCTAACTCTACCGGCGGATACTGAGTATAATGTTCGTGAAACCCTGGCCGGGGTGAGTACCTTGCGGGGAGTTGTGAGCTACAGCGTTCCCAAATTCTGGCTTGACGATACCAGCTCATCGTCCTCGGATCATGACCATAGCCATGGACACACTGGCCATGGTGATTGTGATCACAGCCATAGCCATAGCCAGAGTCAGAGCCATAGTCATCATCACCATGACCATCAACATGATCACGACCACGATCATGACCCCAGTCACAGCCACAGCCACAACCACGGTCATGATCATGACCATGATCATGCCCATGCCCATGAGCACAAGAACCAGAAGGTCCTCGGAGTGATTCACGTGGTTGCCTCTCGTGGTTCAGACCTCGAAGATGTTCGCCAGCGGACGGTAAACTACCTCCGCGAAAAGGACATGGATATTGTGGTTCAGGTGGAGCGCGATGGAGAAGGCCGTTGCTGGTGCGGAGGCGGAAACAAGAGTCCTTGAATGGCATAAGCCGATTTCCTACCAAGCGGCCAAATTCAAACCTAGCTCACAAGCAGCATTTTGCTGCTCGGCATATTTCTATCTTCTTGACCACCCAAGTGGTCTCCGGTTCGACGCATATACATGGGCGTTGCCCTCAGGCGACCAGCCGGATTCGCCAATCAGCAGCACATATCAAGTCTCGATCAATACTACATACTTCGACGGTCTTCTGTCGACTCTACAGCAATCTTTATCTGTGTCACATGTAAGCGCAACAAGCGTTCCTAGGATCATTGTAGCATCTGTGCTACCAGTCTTTATAGTCACCGGTATTAGCCGCCCTCTCCTGCAGACCCTTTGTCACAGAGCCTGGACCCAGATCCAGTATCTGGGGGGTCTTAACATTCCTACATAGTCGTACAAAGTCCATCCAACCTCGGCTGCACATGGCTGGAAAGCCGGATGAAGCTGAGGTATCATTCAATTTGGCCGCGACACAGAATGAAGCCAAGAGAGAATATGAGGTTGTATACGTCTTACCCAGCCCGAGCCCGCCGCCAACTATTGGGTAACTCATAGAATATTAGATACGAAGAGTACTGGCATCTTTTCACAGGATACATGCTAGAGTCACCATGAATCGTTGTCCTACCAAACCAGCGCCAGGGGCCCGGATTTTTAAGTAGCATTACATTGCCAATATATCGCCCATATTCCCAGATGGGAATCATGGGAATCCTACAACTCCTTGATGGTGCCCAGTCATTCCAGGCAAGACCACGAAAGCCAAACTCAACCCTTCAATAGCCCTGGGCATTTCGCAAGCTCCCCCAATGTCATCGCTCCCAACCCCAACCCCATCCCATGTCGATCGGATCCTTCGGGGAGGATATGAAAACCTATTCGAGAGACACACGGTTTTCCTGACCGGAAGCACTGGTTCTTTAGGAGGCTGTCTCTTGTATAAATTGGCACTTCAGCTGCCTACACGAAAAATCTATGCCTTGATCCGTGGCACGCCCGAACAGGCGATTGAAAGATGGAAGAAAGCGATGCCCAGTCATACGTCCGCAATCCTGGCGTCAAAGAAAGTGGAATTCGTCATTGGCGACATCACGACAGTGGATTTCGGTCTTCAGCCCGCTGTTTTGGAGAAGTTGCAAAACCAAGTTACTCTGGTTATACACACGGCAGCGAAGATCAGCCTGGATGCCAGTCTCCACGATGCCTTTGAGAATAATTGTCTCCCCTCGCTCGAGATGGCCCGAATTTCTTCACGATTCCGACATCTGAAGCTTCTCATTCAAATTTCAACAGCCTATGCCAACAGCTTCCTCCCCGATGGACCGGTCCTAGAGCGACCATACACACTATCCGACGAAGACCCAGAGGAAGAATTGTCCTCGATTCTGTCGCTGGGCCAGTCCGCACACGCCGCGCGCTTCTCTTCGACCTATGCACAAGCCAAGTATCTGATGGAACGACTTCTGCCAACGCGCTTCCCACTTTTACCCATCCTACTTGTACGCCCAACTATTTTCGGCCAGGCACTCCGGTCTCCCTATCCGCTCTATGGCCTGGAAAACTCAACGCCCATGAACAAGTTTTTCCAGCTCTTCATGGCCGACCGCGGCGCAACGCAGGTCTGGCATGCGGCGGAAGGCTACAAGACCGGTGCAAACATCATTGATGAAATCCCGGTCGACTTTGTAGCGAATGCATGTCTGCTGCACGCGGCGGCCGGCACGATAGGCATTGTCCAGATCGGCTCGGAGCTGTACGAACCCATTACGTTTGACGAGTACCTTGAACTCGCCATCGCCAACGCCCCGCCAGCGATTCGCCGTGAACTGCCTCAGATAGTCTTCACCGAAGATCGGAATGCACCCCAATGCTTCTTGGCCGAATTGGTGCAGGTTGCATCCCGCAATTGGCTATTTGATTGCGGTCGGTCCTATTGGCTCAAACAAGTGAGTGGGCCGCTGAGTCTACGGTCGAGCAAGTATGAAGTGGATGAAGTGAATAAGAAGCGGATTCGTCAGATCTACCGTCGTAGTGCAGAGAAGGCCCGGATTTAAGAAAAGTGAGGGTCTGGAGGTCTGGATTGTGGTATAGCGGTATGCAGGATATTTTGAAATAGCTGGCATTTCCATCTTCTGCTCTTTCCCAAGGTAGATAGCCTTTTGTATGTAAGCCGAGGCCACGGATAGCTGAGGCTAAGCGATGCCAAGCAGCTTGTCGCTTTCTAGATAGGATGGGCCGTAAAAAAGAAAGCCTCCGGTAGGTGAGTTCACCGGCCATCTGAGGCCACGATGATGGAACTGCCAATGTCTTCTGCCCGTAGAGAGAACCACTCTCGGGATTGTTGTGCTGACTCTTAGACGGTGCGACCAGAGACATATCTGGACGTGTATCCGTAAGCGTTGCTCGAGGAACAGTGCTCACTGGGACAGCCACGGTAATAAGCTTGGTCTGATCACTGGCCATAGCTTGGATCACGGTGAGCCGTGTGAGCCAAGCATACGTTGAAACTGTTTGGTCCATCCCAAGTGCAGATATCATAGGCCCATTTTTTCTTGGGGCCACGACAGCGACTCAGTCCACCGAGTATCCCCCGGGCGCAGGACTTGTAGCAGCTCCAAGACCAAGGCCTTGCCCGAGTTTCGAGCCCACCACCACCGGCCATCGAGCTCGCCCAGTAACACACCCCAGTGCATGAGGACCAGCAGTGCCAGCGGCTGGCGGCGCCTCACGTTATCTACAAACTCTTTGTCGACGGCCGCGAGCCATGCGAGCACGTTCGCTGGATCCTGGGAGTTCACATACAACGTGTAGCAGTGACGGAGATGCTCAATGACATCTTTATTGATGCGGTACTGATCGGTGTCAATACTAGCCAATGTCGCCTCATTCAACAGAGCGAGCCGGTCGAAAGCCGTCGATGCGTCCGTGTCCAATTCAGTCGGGCCGGACGGAGAAAGAGCCTTCTGACGCGACCACAGGTGGATCTTGATCCAGGGGCGGCCGATGTGGATGATCCTTTTCACCCCTTGAAGAAGCTCAAACACTATGGAAATGTTCTCGGTCATGTTCGAATTCTCATCGCGCGGGGCAGTGACCCGGGGCAGGGCGATGCCAATCACCGTTGTGACGATGGACTGCGCCAGTACGGCCTCACAATTCTGCGGAGTGAGATTATCGATGGCGGCACGGAACGGTGCAAATGACAGATTGTGATACTGGAGGGCAGTGTCGACGTAAGCCAAGGAGGTGGGCGGCTCGGTGGTGGTGGCTAGGTGCAGGGACGCCAATGCCAGGATCCCGTTCATCAGAAAATCATACTGGAGCGCCAGGCGCGGAATGACCAGTTGCCAGACATCGTATTCGGATTCCGCAGTACACAGGCTGCTAAATGTCTCCGTGGCGAATTTATGCATCAATTCGAGGTCCCGCACCCCGGAGATGGCGGATGGGGTGGAGGCCGGACTGATGGGTGCCAATGGCCGGGGGGTCCCCAGCTCTCTGGCTGGGGCCGGATCGTGTTGTCGTATACCTGGCGCATTGCGCGGCGGGGCTCTCAGGTACGTACAGTTGATCTCCCGCGAAATACAATTCGAGCAAGGAGGACCCTGTTCGTCACACTGCGTTTGCGTTAGCCTATCAGCCGGAGTAGGGATGATTCCGGTGGACCGCACTCACCTTGACCCGACGCCGCTTGCACTGGTCGCAGCCATTGCGAGACTTTGTATGCGCCCGGCGAGGCGGCATATCGACCACGCGCAAGTTGACGAAGCGGGCGTCGCTGCGCGACGTAAAAAGGCCGAGGGTCACGTGGCATGGTTGGGGCAAGCTTGGATCGCGTTGCTTCTGGCAGGTTATCTCCGGAGCTTGCACCCCTCACCAGGCTGCTAACCCCAGGCCCATTCGTGTGAGTCCTGAGTTTTGACCGAGAAATAGAGGCCCAGAGAGGGTCCCGATGGTTCGGTCCGAACTGATTCACCTCGGGCTCAGCCCTGGCGTGCGAACAGAGCCTCCAAAAAACAGCTCAAGCAGTGCACATTCCCGATTTGTTATGTCGTGGGCGACCACGATTTCCGGTGGATCGGTGGATTTGGTGGATTTGGTGGATTTGGTGGATCGTTGGGCACGGACTTAATGCAAGCGAAGGCGGGTGCGAGAACGAGAACGACCGCGACCGCGAGGCCCAATCGGCGCGGCGGACGAGGTCGTTTCATACATGGCGGCTCCACCCAGTTGGCAGCTTGGCGTCGGCGTCACCCTTAGCAAGCTTAGCAAGTGCTCACTCTTCGTCTGACGGGTTTAAAGGGTGCAGAGATCAGCATGGGAGGTTTTTTTTCTCTCTCGGCGGGAGATTGTCAACGCCTGCAATTGTGAGTGAGCGACCTGGTCTTTTACAACCTCCCTGAGCTCTGAGCGGCCCGTTGCTCGTTACTCTACCTGCGTTGCCCTCCTCCAACGTGTTGCGCCCATAAAATGCCAAGCTACGCTGATTGTACGGCTGTCAGCCCGTTGTGCCCTGTGGAGGCTACCACCTACGGCTACTATCCCAACTTTGGCGGCAATGTCTTCTTCGCGGTGTTTTTCGGTGTTTTGGGTGTGTTCCAGATCGGCTTTGGAATCTACTTTCGGACCTGGTCCTTCATGGTCGCCTTGGGCGTTGGCGCCCTGATGGAAATGGCTGGATATATCGGCCGAGTTCTGATGAATGCCAACCCTTGGAACGAGGGTGCCTTCAAGTTGCAGATTGTGTGTCTGGTGCTGGCACCGACCTTTATCGCAGCAGGTGTCTATCTCACTCTCAAGCATATCGTGTTGAACCTGGGATCGGAGCACTCCAAATTGAAGCCGCGTCTATTCACCTGGATTTTCATCAGCTGCGATGTGGGATCATTGATTCTGCAGGCGGCGGGTGGCGGCGTTGCGGCGGCCGCTGGGAAGGATGAACGGCGCCTGCTGAAGGCGGGTGACAACATCATCATCACGGGTATCGCATTCCAGGTGGCCACCATGGCAGTTTGTGGTCTACTGGGCCTCCACTTCTTCTGGCGCGTCTTCCGCAGCGGCAATGGCTTGGTGGGCGAGAAGTCCCTGGACGATCCTACGCCAGCGATTCCTCCCCAGCGGATGCGACTCGTGATCGTTGCGGAAATTGTGGCCTACCTAACAATTCTGATTCGATGCATATATCGGTAGGAATCCAACCAGGTCTCCAGGCAGATTTATCCGGCTAACTGTGCGTTCTAGTATTCCCGAAATGGCTGGAGGCTGGGGTAGCGCGCTGATGCAGATGGAGGACGAGTTCCTCGTTCTGGATGGAATGTAAGTATAACCTGTATTACCCGGAAGGTGTCACTTTGGCTGATGAATGCAGGATGATTGCTCTGGCTTGTCTATCCTTCACCCTCGTCCACCCGGGTCTTTCCATTCCTTCGATGCGCTCTGGACACAAGAACCGCGCCTAGACGAGGAGATTGAATATCTCCTCGCCCATACGTTCCCCAATCATAATTGTTCTTTTTAGCATTTTGGCTCTTGCTGGTCCCAGTTCGCATTTGATTTTGCATTTGATAGAATTGGACCCGTCGTGATATTACCCTGACCACAGCATGAAGACACACTGGATGGCTTTGAGAGCACACTCTTCGCATCCTAGAAAATATAAACCAACGTGGAATCAAATCTGCTAAACCCATTTCCGTTCATTGTTGAGCACAAGCTTTGGTCCCCATGCTGCCAACATTATGCTACGAGATTACGCCCGGAGAGGGAGAGAAAGCATAGTTTCAGCCAATGAACGAAACAAAGGAAAGGGGAGAAAGAGTCCAAACAAGAGTCCAATAGCCCACAATAGAACAAAAAGTTGAACTCCAGGCACCCAGATTCGTGCAAGTCACATAAAATATAATACCCCCCTCCCCTCCCCAACCTTCCGTCCAATAAAAGGTCCCAATAAGCGCTCGCTCTATCATGCAATCAGGAGAACAACACCACGAGCAAGCAAAAGCAAAGAATCCTAGAGATAGAAACCCCGGAGTAAATCCAGAGCGAAGAGGGAAAATAATAATAAGACAACATGACCCGACGCAACCCAGCAAAATGCACCATGGAAGAGGGGGGAGAGAGAGAGAGAGAGAGAGGGAGAGGGAGAGCGAGGAAGAGAGATAGCTTTAGAAATTCATTTAATCCTCCCCCAGACTCTCCCGCACGCAACGGCGAACGCGCTTCTTGAACTCGGCCGGGTCCTCACGCCACAACCGGGCGGCTTCCACGTTGGCGGGGCTCTCGTCGTTGGGGCTCGATAGCATGGAAATGACGGACAGCAGGATGGTCTCAGGGGTCTGCACGGGCGACCAGCGCTCAGCGGCAGACTCATAGCCGAACTTGTCCTCCTCAGGTGGGTGCAGGATGGAGATGCAGACGTCACCGTTCTCGTAGACTACCGCGATGTATTCATTAGCTTGATGTATTCGGGCATAGATTCAGTCGGTCGGTCGGGACTCTGCCGGGCGATCGAATATCAACTGGTCCCTCGAGTCCACGAGGCATCGGAATGACGATTACTTACTGTTCGGGTGGAAGAGAGGCGACTCGAACTTCATCTTGGGCGGCATGTGGGGGTACTCCGTTGGGAACGAGAGGCGAGCGCGGAAGAAGCCACCTGCACTCGAAGAAAGAAACATTAGCAATCCGATCTATACTCTTGCCCTCATGCCTGCTCCACCGAGAAGATTTCGCACCGTCCCGACAAGGACCGAGGGCAGAAACAGGGAGCGACCACCACCATAGACACTCGGGGAATGGGGGAAAAAGGTCGAGCCATACCGCCATATAACTTCACATCGTCCGAGATCATCAGCATGACCTCCCATTCGAAGACGTTGTTGTCGACCAAACCACAGCTGATCCCGGGAATGTCCTTATCGGACTGCATCTGCTGCAGCTGGCGGGAGAGCATGCGGCCGGCGGGAGAGGTCGCCATGGTGGAGGGTCGATGGAGAAATGGAGGCAAGGGTTCAGCAATATAGGTGAGAGGGCGTCCAAGGAGCAAAAGCAAATTGTCGTGGAGGATCAAAGGAGGCGCAGGTGAGGGGGGAGAACCTTCGCAGGCCCAAGAAAGACATGAAGGCGGTGAGGAGGGGGGGGGGGGCGAAGAGCCGGCGGGGAGGGGAGCGGGGCGGTTGGGCGGAGCAGTTCGATCGACGGATTGGTTTTTGGCAAGTTAAAAACTGTTGATGTTCAACTACAGTAGTTGAGGGCAGTCCAGTAGTCTCATACATAATCCATTACTAGATATCCAGAAGCAGACAGGTTTTAGGTGACCATTCATCTCCTAGTTCATGTCTCTCAGACACTCTCGCCGAGACGGGACGAAAAGTATACGGCAAATAGGGCATCACAAAACGCGTGCATATTCATCCGAACAAACGATCAAAAACAGGGGCTATGGTCAAGACAGGAAAGAGAAAGCGCAGAAGGAGAAAGGGATCCGTAAAGGAAGAGACAGTCCCCGAGAATTTCTTCTACGAGTACCATCCGTCAATGAATGACACAACAGTCACAACGATCGGATTCAAAGAGAAATTGGTTTACGCGGGAGAGGGCTCTGCAGAGCCCTCGCCTTGGTGGACCGCGCTGGGAGCCATGGTGAAGATCTGGACGGCCAGCAGGATCCCGGCCAGCAGGCCCAGAGCAAGCTCGATAGCCAGCGTCTTGCCCATCACCTTGGCGAAGCGAACCCGGGCGGCCCAGTCAAAGGTGGTCCAGGCCTCCAGGAGACCAATCTTGCCGCTCCCGCCCACAATCTGGGGCTGGACCTTGCCGCCGAAGGAGCGGTCAAAGGGCACAATAGTCTCGTCCTCCTCGGGCAACATCGAGGCAGCGACACGGGTGAAGATGACGCGGGCGGGAATGGAGATCAGGAAGGCGAGCAGTGCCGGGATGGCAGACACGGCCAAGAAGCGGCACATGCCCATCATCGTGTTCTCCTGGCCCTGGACAGTCTCCATCCAGCCGGCAAAGCCGGCGATCGCCATGGGGAAGAAGAAGGCAGCCGCCGTCAGGATATCCCCCAGGGCCGCGGCGGGAGCAATCTTGATCCAGGTACGGAAGCTGGGGATCCGCTGGTAGAAGCGCTTGGGAGAAGGCTCGGAGATGACGATGTGGACCCAGGCCATCTGCCAGGTGGCCAGGAGAAGGCTGACCAGGGACTGCGCGAAGAACTGGCCGATGAACGAGCTGGTGGGGATGGGCATGAAGCCCGAAATGATGGCCCGGGCCAGACCGTAGGTCAGGTACATGGCCAGGCCACGGAAACGGGACCAGAAGCCCGCACGGGCACGCAGATGCTTGACGGCAGTGCGCAGGCCGCTGGTGATGGGCCGGGGACGAGGGACATCGGCGTGTTCGGGCTCATTGGGGTCGAATGGCTTGATGGGATCCTCTTCGGAGGTGTTGTCGATCCGAACATAGACATCCGGGTTGGAGTCCTCGATGGCCGCGAGGGTGGCCACGACATTGCCGTATGTGTATTCCACCTAGCGATGTGGTCAGTCTCGATCATGCAGAACCAGCCCGTCGTAGCTGGGAGATCTCCCCAAACCCCGAAAAGGAGAAAATGAAAAAGAAATGAAAGCACGTACAGCCCACATGGCACATGCAAAGACCAGGATGGTCACCACCATGAGGGCCATCAGGGCCCCCGACATCTGCTGAGGCTGCTCCTCGGGGTTCTTCAACTGGGTGGAGGCAAACTCCGCGCCCCGGCGCGCGAGATGGCCAACGATGGACGACATGGTGGAAGCCAGCAACCTGGATGATAAACTGGATAGAAATCCGATGAAAACCCCGACGGTCAGGAGAGGTGGAGGGAGATGACCAAAGAGGGGCGGAGGCTGCTTTTAAATAAGACGAGGCTGCGACTAAAAGCGAAAACGACCAATTGCCAAAGCAGGCAGCACCGCCCTGGGCGATGTGGCGGCTCCTTTCGCATCTCCACTTTTCCCTGCAGGGAGTCCCTCTGCTCGGCTCTGAATTCATTGTCATTCTTGTCATTCTTGTCATTCTTGTCCGGTAAACTGAGGTACATATTGTTATTGTGCGGCAACAAGTATCCTGTGAACCCTCGATCACCCTCTCCCCAAATCATACGGAGTGAAGGCATTCTTCTGCTTCTGTTTAGCCCGAGTAAAAAAAAAAAAAAAAAGTAAATATAGAAGCCCCCCTAACCGTCGGCGTTGGTCGTCTCCGACCGTCCCGACCAGATAGATGGCTCTCAAGTGGGGGCCAATCCGGAGCACTCGAGCCATCTGGCTGTCTGGCCGTCTGGCAGCCTGGCACCACACGCCTCGGCGCTTATCCCAAGCCAGCGCAGGGCCCTGACTGCAGTGCGCCACCGTGGCCCCAGCCAATCGTGGGCCGTGCGGGCTGCCCCCAAAGGCAATGGGCGGTTCCTTCCGTCTATCCTCCGGAACCATCGCGAGAACCCAGTCCTCGATGAACCCTTCCCCACTTTCGATCTATCCATCTTTTAGCCGAACAAAATGTCTCGTTAGGGATTAGCCCGAGTCAGGCCGGATCAGCAACCCGCCTCCTCATCATGACGTGCGATCGGGGAAATCATCTGCATAGCTCTATGGTACTCCGGAAACAAGGACAGAAAAGAACTACCTCGCCTAAACCCCCAGGGCACGTTCGAATTGGATGCAATCACAGATTGGTATATGAAACCCGATCTATACAACAGACAAAAGAATCCCGGACACAAACGAAACCTCGGGTGTATCTCTGACCCGGAAATCGCACCCAAAAAAGATCCATGCAAGCCAATCGGCCGGTCCTCTCAACCATCGCGGCCGTCCATCCGCGGACGAGAACCAACGCTGCAAAGAAACCCACAAAACAAGGAGATATATACACACAAGAAACAAGAAAACAAAGGTCAGGGTCTAGTCGAAGAGCTTCTTCATGAACTTGTGGGCAAGTTCGACACCCAGGCTAGAAAGAGAAAATTTCGTCAGTTTCAGGGAATCGTTAATATTGCGCAGGGATACGGGGGAGAAACGTACAAGGTGGCCGCATTGGCAGGCACGGCACGGCACAGCGCGGGGCCGAAACCAGGGAAGAAAGCCTTGAAACCACCGCTGGCATACACCGAGCGGATAGTGCCCCCGATGGTCGGCTTGCCCGGTGCGCTCTGCAGACGGGACTTGATCGTGTCGACAGGGAAAACGGGGATCCACATGGCGATACCGGCCGCACCACCAGCAGTCACCACGGCGGTCAGGGACAGCTCGCCAGTCACATTGCCATTCTCGTCCTTGGGGGTCAGCGTCCGCTTGATGTACTCGTAGGCCGCGAAGTACGCGGCCGAGCCGGGGCCATCACGGGCCAGCGTCATGGCGCTGCCGCGGAACACACTGCGGATACCCCCCTCCTTGTACAGCTGGCGCACAACATCCACACCACCGGAATACTTGGGCTTCTGGCCGGGTGGGGGTGGGTTCTGACCCTGGATCTGAAGCAGAACCTTGACCCGCTCGAAGGGGGCGGTGATCAGGGTCATGGGGACGGCGGAGAAGAACCCAGCGGTGGAGATCTGGGCAATCGAGTACTGCGGAGTGTTGTTGACCACCGGCACAGTCGAAAACTTCTCGACCAGGCCCTTGCCCACATCGTAACCCTAGTGGTTGCGTTAGAAATCAGCGCACGCTCGTCTCGGTCATCGAGACCCGACTGTTCACGACATACCCAGAAGCTAACAGCAACTATACCGGAAGGTAGGTTAGCACATCGTTCGACCAGGCCGCCCGCTGGAAAGCCATTGGAGTTGATCTGGATTTACTTACACATCGGAGTCACACCCACAAGCGGGGCAGACACACCGGCATACAAGCCCTACATCATGCGCCAGTTAGCGTCACTCTCCTCTGCCACCCTCCTGGGGATAGATATCCTACCCGGGCCAATCCCTCGCGGGCCACAGTCTTGCGCACAACATCCATTGCGCCCGCATAGACCCCCTTCTCCGCGGTCTGCAAGCGGACTTTGACCAGGTCGAAGGGATGTCCCACGACCACGGCGCAGAGACCACCCGCGGCACCCGCGGCCAGCGAGCGGATCTGCTGGATGGTCTGGTTCACCGTCTTCGCCTCAAGGGCCTTGATCTCCTCCTTGAGCTCCTGTGCGGGGGAAGTGGAGGTCGACATGGTAGCGTGGCGGTCGGGCGGTCACGCGGGGGAGTTTTCGAGATCCCGAGTTCAACGGGCGCGGGGGGTGGTGGGGAGGCGGAGAGGGAGAGGAAGGAGGGTTGGGCGGAGGTGAGATGGTAGAAGAAGGGGTAAGAGAATTGACGTGGTGGAGAGTCAGAATGGAAAAATGATCAAAAAAGAGGACGCAAGATCGGCCTAGCGATGCGGACCGAAGCCGAGCGGCGGCTCCCTCTTGCCTTGGGCCTTGGGATTCCCCGGACAACTGCGATGTGCCTCGGCTCGGAAGCGGAGAAACCAGATGGCCGCTGCTGGATCGATCCACCATTGATGTGCCCGACACTGGTATGTCCTTTCTGGCTCAGGCAGTTTGGAGGCGGGCTTGGGCGCTTTTTAGAGCGTGTCGAGGTGTTCATGCTGCAGACAATGTGCGCCTCATTTGTCGGACGGCGCCACTCCGGATGAACGGGAAAGTCAGCCCTGACGCTGCCGCTTCCCCGCCGGAAAGATGGAAAGTGTTCATTGGGGGCCGCTGCGTCATGTCTTACGGTCCCATGGACCACGTCTGAATTAGAGTATGCACTACTACAGGCTACTATACAAGTTGCTCGCATATGCAGTAACCACAGCCTCCCGCCATAAAAAAAGGGGTCCGCAATCACATGCGTGAGACCCCAGCACGTGCCAGGGTGGAGCATGACTTCATTATATCGACATTACACAGTTAACTACCGTATATCATAGAGGACTCCGTAGCAGAGTACGAGTCGTAGTCCATAACCCACATTGAAAATACACTGGCCGCCCGGTCGGTCCAGGCGACCATAACATCCCAGCCGATGCTTACAGCACCAGGAAGGCAGCCAGCCCCATAGCGCCAACGACACCGCTGCCAACAGTGGCCATGGGGTGGGCAGCGCCGGTGCTGGTGGAGGGAGCGGCTGAGCTCGAGTCCGTGGAGGTGCTTCCAGAGCCGGAGCCAGAGCCAGAGCCAGAGCCAGATTCCGTGGACGAGCCCGACCCTGAGCCGGAAGTAGTCTCAGTCGCAGAAGAGCCGGAGCCAGTAGTGGTGGTGGTCACCATGGTGGAAGCACCGGTGCCAATAGCGTTAGTGCCGGTCATCTATCACTTCATTAGCAGGCCGAATCAAGAGTCAAGCAATCCAATTGGGTGCTCACGGTGCCGCTGCCGCTGCCAGTGGAGTTGGTGCCGGTCGCAGCGCTGCCAGTGCCAGTGCTCTCACTGCCGGAGCCGGTGGTGGTCGCACTGCTGCCGGAGCCAGTGCCAGTGCTTTCACTGCTGGATCCAGTGGTGGTCTCCGAGCCCGAGGCCGAGCCCGAGGAGGTGCTGGAGCTGGAGCTAGAGCCAGAGCCAGAGCCGCCTGCAGCAACATGGTCAGCGATATAATTCATTTCCTACCCTGAGAGCGAGGTGTCAGGGTGACATACTAGGGCACTGGGCGAGGGCCATCTGGACAACAGTAGCGGCATCGTCTTTGGGGCAGGCTTGCGCAGTGCAGTCGCGAATACCGTACTGGTAGTTCTCGCTGTTGCACAGGCAAGCCATGTCGCCGGACGTGCAGTTCAGATCGCCGGCCTTGGCGTTCATGTTGTTGATGCACATTTGCTTTACCGTCACCACATATTAGTACGGCCTCTTCACATGATCTAGGTCCAGATCAATGGCGACGCAGGGCAGGTAAGACGTACAGCGCAGTCCGAGGCCGAGATGTCGGCAGCAGCGACCATGCTGGTAGCAGCCAGCAAAGCCAGAGCAACGTTCGAGAAGGACCTCATCGTGATGGATGGTATGAATTAGGAAGATATTCCAAGTTATCTCAGGAATGCAGGTGGGTATCAAGGGTAAAGGGGATGGGGACAAGAGAAGAGGGAGGGAGGAGAAAGGCGGATCACTTGCAGGGCTCGGCACAGGGTCTTATATAAAGCACCTAGGGGTGCGGGCAGATGAAGATCTGGTACAGGAGGAACCCTAGCTCAGAACCAAACAATCAATCTGCAAGAAGCCTATCAGACCGGCCAAGGGGAGCGAGTTGCGGCAGCAAGTGGGCACTGGCCAAGGACACTAGCACGACTCTGAGTCTGCTTTGCACCTCGGTCAGGAAGCCATTCGAAATGGAAGGAGGATTGGGGCAAGCGAAGCTCGCGCCCAACCCCCCCCCCCCAAAAATCCCCTACGGTCGAACAGCTGTGTGGATTGCCTTCTCTGGCGGTGACTGCTGGCGCTGTTTTGCTTCTGCTGGCTGCTACTCCTGCATTAGTGCTACCCAGCCAACGTGGCTGGGACCAGCATTCAAGGGCCCGGCGACCAAGGAGGCTGCGAACCTCCATGAAGTCATCGTGTTGCAGGGGTCCCCGAGGATGAGCGAGTGCTGGGGAAGCACCGAGATCTGAAAGCTCGATCAGGGATAGATCGGCCAGCGGAGATGAATTTCACGCCCTAGTTGCGTCCTCGCGGTCGATCCTTGTCGATCTGATAGGCTCGTCCGATGGAGCCAGGGCCCCAGTGGAGTCGCGAAGTCCCTTGGGGTTCGGGATTTGACTTTGGAGGGTTTCCCAGGGTGTGGGGGGGAGGAGCACGAAAGCTGGAACCTTGGGCGAGACGAGTATGATTCCAATTTCCCAGTGGATATATCGCGCAGGACGCAGGACGAGGTACAGCAAAGCGAGCCTTTCAGCATTGGGGCAATCGCGGGCAGGGCAGTGCTCAGTGCGCGCGTTGCTGGGTCTGATTGGCCTACCCCAGGAATCGCCGCGAAAATTGATTGCAGGCCGTCATGGTGGAATGTCCGCCGGAGTGACGGAGCTGGAGTGCCTCGTCATAAGTCACAAAAGGAAGAGAGAAAACCAGGCACAGGGTGGCGCTGGGTGATCGACCACTCCATCCCCAAAGGGTCCAAGTCCCGAACCCAAGACCGAATAGTCGCTGGAGACCTCCCGATCGCGCTATTGAATTCTGTGATGAATTGGGACTGCCCTCGTCACTTATTTCCCGGAGTCACCGCCAGTGTGGCTGAGGTTAGCCACACCGTAAAGAGTAAAGAAAGCAGGTCAATGAGTGGAGACCGCACGGCTAATGTGGGCTGGTGGGCTGGTGGGTTGAAGAGCTGAAGAGCTGAAGAGCTGAAGAGCTCGGGTCCGAGGTGCTGCTACGTTGCCACCCTCTATACTGCTCCGGCGACATCATACAGTAGCCTACAGTAGCCTACAGTATTAATGAATACCCAATGCCCAGGCAACAAGCTCGGAATACACGACGTACTCGAAGGCTTGTTTACCTCCCCAGAAAACGCGGCTGACATGCAGGTTCATTTGTTGTCTGTCTCACCTTGGTTGACATTAAGTCTGGTTTTATTCGTTGCTTCGCTGCCCTCGCAGCAGGGAATTTGCTGTTTTGTCCTGCTGTGTTGCCCTATACTTCCTACACCGTATTCCGATCCTCCATCTCGCTGGAGGAACCAGCCCACCATCCATCACCGATCCATCCCGTGTACCCTAAAGGTCCGCCACGCGTCAAATGGCCTGCAACGCGTGCGTCTAGACTCAGACTAGATGCATCTACTCGCACCCGTGCACGCGCTGTGTTCGGCGGTTGCCTGCAACGACGTCTCCCAACCCTCTGGCTCTGACGCGCAGCTGTCACACCCCATCGGTCAAGGCAGTTAGGTTACCAGGGCAGGGAAAAGGACAGCTACCTTGCATGGCTGGTTGGCAGCAACACCAGACCCCTGGGCGTTTCAGCTGTCCCGCCGTCGACAACTCCTGCTTCCACGGACGCGGTCCAACCTCTAGACGCGCCACGACCCACGCAAGGAGTAGTTGGCGGGATCATTTCCGCAACGACCGAGGTGGGCCCGTTCGCCTCTGGCGACTCACGGCCCGCTGGAGACTCGAGGAAGCTCGATGCGAGCTGCTGCGCGAGCGCGATCGAGACTCTCGGGGGGGGCTCACTTCTTATAGCACGCGATGGACGTGAAGTGCCAGAGAGAGCATCATCGAGGCGTGCTACCCCTCCTATCTGTGCATGCAGCAATCCGGTGCTTTCCATGCGGTGCTCGTATACTCCGCACAGGATCCTCCAGTGGCGGGGCCTCTCATATTGGTCTCATTTATCATGACAGCAGCCGAAGCCGGAAAGCCAGCGAGGGAACCGAAGTAAATTAAGCCAATCGAGGATTTCTACAGAATGAATGGACGAGGAAAAAAGGGGAAGGAGAAGTCACAATAGGCGATGTGAGACATCACATGCGAGGCCAGAAATATCCCAAAAATGAAGGCACCAGCTCCTCCATCAAATCTAGATAGTTTGGCGCTGATATGCAGCAAGCCGCCTTCTATGCGTATAACCCCTTTGTCGGAATTTCTGAGTCTGTCCCTTCGGATGTGAAATTAGTCGGTATTCATGTACGCAGGCTCATCAGTCCGGTAGCGTTGCGGTATCGATTCCACCCAAGTCTTTATAAATCTGCTCCACAATACCGTCCGGGAGGAATGTCAGCGACACCATTGAATCTAAAGCCGGCCACAGGGAGGTACTGTATCCCACTGGATGCCGGGATAGACATAGTATGCAGTCCACCAGTATACTTCGCCATATTGACTCCACCGAAAAGAATAGTTCCTTCGGTCCCCGTCGGCCCGTCCACCCATGGACTATATGCAGCTGATTTGATGTACCCGCTCTCGATCAAGGCTTGAAGAATCGCTGCCGGCACATCTGATGTCTTGCCTGCAATATAGCCCAGGCCAAGAATATGATCAGGGAGTAAGCCGAAATTAACGGCCAGGTCCATAGCTGATAGTGTAACACCTTCTATCGTCACATTGTCATTTCCAAAGTCTCCAGTGAAAACATCAGCCCAGGTGGATGTGGCATTGAAATTCTCGTTGCCGAACTGGTACGTTGAAGAGGTATTGACCTCAAAAAAGACTGTTTGCACCATGTTGCATTGGTGGCCGTGATCTCGAGATACCCGCTACTTGCATCCAACTCAACTTGGGTCTCGTGGGGTGGGTTACCAATAGTCAGATTGGAATAATATAACGGCAGGAATCCTGCATCCTATGAGACTTCGACTTTGTTCATCAAGAGCTCTAGCAAAGAAACCGTACTGACACCTCAAATGCTCCCGAGAAGAGATGGGATTCGAAATAGTTTTCAAGGTCATGTGCCTTTTTAAAATGAAAAAAATGAAAAAATCCAAAGCCTCCGTGGCGGCGCTCTCAAGATGGTGTATTTCTGCCTTCCTCCAGAAGCGGCTGCTGAAATATGCCTTTCAATCCATGCAATCGATACTAGTCGATACCGCACTCGCAGCCTCCAGCCGTCACTGCCCTGGAGGAGGCCCTACGGCGTGTTAGCTGCGGGCTATGTCAGTGCTTGTATCAAATGGGCCGTCGCATGTCGCCGAAACAATTTCCTGGTGGTGGTATAGCTCTTCGGAGATTTCAAATTTGAGCTCGGCTGTCGGACGGAAGGATCCAGGTGGGTTCTTGAGGTTACTGTGATTGAAAATGACCAAAATCCGATGTTTGACGGACTATGGACGGCTTGGAATGGCCTCAACTAATCCCGGGTGGTGGCGAGGGCGACACTACAAAACGGAGTCAACGTCTTCACATGAACAGTTTGAAAGCTACATTTCCTTCACTCACTCTCTTTTAAGTCATTACTCTCATTGTTATATTCATTCCTTGAATTTTACTTTCTCAGACCGCCATGCGGTCCATTTCGCTTCGCTTTTGGGGCAGGCCACCGCGACGGCCAGTGATGCAGGATATGATCCGGTCAGCTGGATGCTTATCATTCTGTGCAAGACTTGCTCTTTGCAATCAGACGATGCTTCTGGATTTCAGCTTGTACAATTCTCTTGGGGATCATTCTATCATACCAGTATTTGTTTCGGTACAGCGGACCGTCAGAATGACTTGAATGCCTTGGTGGAGAAGCAGGAAACCGCAACCTTTTCGACCGGGATTACTGTTCCCGTAACGCAGTCCGTGGTCACGTCGCAGTGAGCCTGGATTGACTCAGCCACCAAGAGCTCAATCTCCGATGTAGGCACTGCTCTCCAGCAAATTGGTGAGTTTTTGAATCAACAATCGACTCAGAAAGAGGGTGTTTCTTGTGCTTGGTCTGGAGAAACTATCGTTGGCCTCGCTGACTCTCTGGTTCAATAGCCGGGTCTCCTTTTGCGTTACGTCCTTCAGCGGGTTGTCGTCGTGGAAATCGATCACACTCGCCGTCCCGTCTATCCCAGCATCATCCAGCAACTCCACCATCAGCCCCGCTCATACGACCAATATTACATCGAGGACCATCAGTGCCCTTCATCCGCGTAATGTAGAGGCAAAAGAAAAAAGAGTCATGGCACCTTTATTTGATAATCATAACAGACTTCAGTCCATAGGCAAGAAAAGACACCTCGCGGTCCAGCGCTGATCGAGGCTGTATGCAGGCCTACAGCATCACGATACCAACACCTCCCATCCTCTTCTCATCCGGGAGATTCTTTTCGTTGATACCGCCGGCAATAGGGGTCGTCCGGTAGTTGTACAGGTAGAAGTGGAGCTGGCTAATACCTGCGCCGAACTTGAGCTGTTCGAGGAAGAGAGGGTTGTCCTGGGTGGTGAGTGCGTTGAAGACGTCGAAGTGGGCCTGACAGACACAGGAGGTGATTAGTATCGACAAATAAGGCGAGCAGTGGACTCTAATGAATAAGATAAGTGGGCTTACCCGCTTAGCAAGAATAAGTGCATCGTTCATCAGCATAAGGAGCCGGTCCTTGTGAGCCTTCATGTCGTTGGTGAAGGCGGTTTCGGAGGCGTAGTAGTGTAGGTATGCAGCGCGCACTTCCTGGTGTTTCGGGTGCTGGATCACAGTGGACGGAAGGCTATAAAAGGAGAAGAAGTCGGTGATATTATGCGTTTCAGCATCCTCCACCACGTACGACCACACCACCTGCTCCTTCCCGGAGCTCTCTTGGTGCACCAGCCAGTGGACGACTTCCTCTTTCGTGAACGCCGGGTTCATATCGTAGCGGCGCAGGTAGCGCTCTAGCAGATCATGAATAGCGTCGATGTCCTTAGGTTCCATAGGACGAAGCCGCGGGGTCGACGTACTACTCGGGAGATGGTTCTTGGTAACTTGGCGGGCCTTGGTTGAGCCGTAGGGGAGCGACGAGAAGCCGACCTCGTACAGCTTCAGCCAGTCCAGGGAACGGTGATAGTAGCGGCAGGAGCTCACCGGGGTGGGCAGAAGTACACCGGCAGTGTAGACAGCCTGGTAGATTCCATTCAGGTAGCAGCGACGGGTGATCTCCTTGATCAGAACGGGGGCCAACCGCTTGGACCGCAGCTTCTTGTGGATGCAAAGGAAGTTGATCTCTATGACCTTCAGCTTCTGGCCCCGGACGCGGACCTCCGTAGGCACTCCACAGATGGACGCGACTAGCTTGCGAGACTTGGTCGCACGCACGCCGACGTGCCATTCCTTTTTCCAGCCGGGAGACATCAAAGCCCTATATGTATAAGCATGCGTACCATGGTTTGATCTTCACTTCCCCCCTGATACGGGGACCACGGTAGCACCATCAACTCCCGCCAACGTACCAGTGTAGAAACGACTGAGAGTATCTGAAGCGGAACATGGCGTCATCGTCTTCCACATAGTGATAGGTCAGCAGATCCCACAGCTCCTGGAGCTGCGTCTCGTTCGTCAAGTCAAGGGTCGCCCACTCGAAACCGTCGATGAGCGAATCGGGCTTCTTTGATACCTTCTCGGAGTCAATTATCTTGATCGGTCCATCGCTGACCCCGTCAGACTCGTCGAAGCGAGGCACCGGCTGCGTCTGCCAAAACTTGAATGAAGCCATGTCTTTCTGGTTCGTTCCCCCCACCCCTGGTCCGGTCAATAGATGGGTGGTATCTATCTTGCGAGACGTGGCATTGTCCTTGTCTATCGCGCCCAGCACGTTCTTTAAGGCGGGGCTGCTCTTCAGCAGCGCTTCCGCGATTTTCGGGGTGCTCTCCTTACCAGACAATTTGGTTGCTTTTGCATTGTCGATATCGGAGGCCTGTGTTTTGCTCTTGCCATTGAGATCCCCAAGGTTGGACATCGTGGTGGGCGATTAGCATGGGGGGAGAAGAGGGAGCGGAAGAGGGGAGAAAATTGGGCCCTAGGTATGGAAATGATTCAATCGCGAGTGCGATAAGATTCTCTAGTGTAAAAAATCCTACATCTCCTTATCTCTTCCTAGTTCCTTAGGTATGAGTTAGTCTTTATTCTAGATTAACTAGTTATACTAGTTCCTCCTTACATAATCGATAGGCCATCTCGTTACCCTGCAAGTAGATACTGTAAGACCTCCCCAGGGTAGGAATAACTTTATATAAGGAGATAGGCATTTCGGAATACTAGATAATAAAGATAAGAGTAAAATATCTATATCCCAATATTAATTTTTAACTATAAAACTAATAAAATACTTATCCCTCCCCTCCCTAATCTCCTTACTAGACTATTGATGTACTCGAATTTATAGTGGGATTATATATTTTAGTGTACAAGGTTTTAATATAAGCTTATTTACCTATTTTATCAATAGCAATATAGAAACTAAAATAGTATTTACTAATCTTAAAAAATATAGCTAAACTATTGATTTATATAGCTAAAAAAGGAAGGTCTTTGTATAATTATAAACTATAGGGAACAGGTTCTGAAAGTTAGGACCGGACCCAGTCCTTACCGAGGGCTAGACTAGCAATCATTCTCTTTACGGCTTGGGTAAGCGGTAAGCTGTCAGGTCAGATGATACCTTCCATATAGCCTTACAGTAGGCAGCAAAATTAAGTCAAGCAACCAAATTACCGGACCGAGCGACGCGGCCAAAGTCAACCACCCCGATCGCGCAGTTTTTAACATTGCGATTGAAATGGGCAAAACCAAAGCGCGTACAAATTTTTTTTTGGGAACCACCAACGCTTAATGGGTGCGACGTGGGTCACCACTCAATCGACCCCGCCAAGGACGCAATATCCCCCCATCTCATTTCCATGAAGGTTTTCTTTTGACAGTAGTGACACAGGAAACTTTAATTTGCCCAATTTTCATGCTCTACACAGTATCCACTGGGTCGCTATTGTGTTCTATCGCGCGCGGGCTTAATCGTGTTCCACACCGAACCCCTGGGTTGGACCAACCCACGAGACAATGCAACAGTCACTGTTACAGCACGAGATCGACGAGCGCATACATACTCTGTCGAAGCTTTATGGGTGTGCTGCTAGTCGACTTGGCGTGCGGCGGGTCTGGCAACCCCCCACAGGCCGAGTCTGCTCAATGTCTTGGCTCTCTACTACTCAAGCGAGATGAGACATCACTGGGCTAGGGTGGTATCGAGGTGCTAAAATAAGCATGATCCACACAGGCTACTATCGAAAAGAAAGTCAGACAATGCTTAATACCGGTGAGACATCTCAAGTCGGTTTAGGGGCTATCTGCCTCCGATGGGGCCTGGTGGGTCGTCTGATCCGTTCGGACCGAGGACAGAAAAAATTCGGGTTGCCCACCATCCCACCTATCAGTGAGCCGAGTCCAGAGAGCCAAAAAATTGACCGACGCAGGGGTCGAACCTGCAATCTCTTGATTCGTAGTCAAGCGCCTTGCCATTGGGCCAGCCGGCCTTGCTTGTGAGATAGGGCGTTTGATGGCTACATGGATGCATGAGAGTGGATGTGGGGTATCGGAAGTGTGATTTGGATCTGGTTACGCGCATGTGCCTCAGGACAAGGTCTTGCCCGTGCCCATGCAAAAAAAAAAAAAAGTTCTTTTGATACAGAGAATGGGAAGAGACAAGAAAAGAAAGGGACAAAAAGAAAAGTGATGGTAGTCATGCATGGGAATGCGCCGGAATAAAATCAAATCGGAAAAAAACCCCCCAGCCCTTGCGCCGCGCCTGAAATGTCACGCTTTTGCCGTCAATCTAAGCATCCGAATCGGAATCTGTCACGTAGATCTCCGGGACCACGAGGCTAGATTTCTCTCCGCGCGTCCCATCTTCCACGTACCCGGACCCGGACCGGCGGTGTTGCCTCTTCTTGCGGAGGCCGAGACGGACGGAGAGGGACATGCATAGATGACCGATCAGGAAGCCCAGCAAGCAGGCGACTAGGCCCGCAGCGGCCCCCAGGACGGCGGGCAGGATGACGGGGCGCATCAGGCGCATAAAACTATGGTCGCGGTGATGAGGGCGGCCGTGGCGGTGGCCGGGGTGCGAGTAGGCCGAGGGCGACCAGTAGGGAGAGAAGATGAAGCCGACCTGGGTTTCTTCCTCACTGCCATCGTCTGTCTGGGCGGCGCCGGTCGGCCGCGACTGCGTCGAGTCTTCCGTCGCATTGTGCGCGTGCTGGGCGGCCGAGGCCGGCTGGTTCTCCGGGTGCTTTTTGTTGTAGTTGACGATGGCTGCCATCTGGGTCTGCCAGAACTTCATGTGCCAGGGGCGGTCATGGCCGGCGCGATGGCCTTGCCCTGGCTCCATCCGGATGCGCGTAATACGCTGGCTGCCGTCGGGATGGGCGAGCAGATCCAAGACGACCGCGTTCGGCGTGACCGGCGCTCCTTGGGGGTCCATCAGGTCCACGCGCACGCGGACAATCTGGGAGGTCGCCCCAACTTCCTCGGAAGAAAGCGGCCGGGCCGACAGCGCATACAAGAGCACCAGGTCATCGTCACCTACGCGCGACTGGGCCTGGCCTCTGAATTGAGGCGCATGGAGTTGCATCGACATTGTCGGCGGGAAGATTTGATCCTCGTTGGCATAGAGGGAGCCGTTGGTCACGGCCCAGGTGAGAGACTGGATAGGACGTTAGTGCCCCGATCTCCGGCGGCAGGGACAGAATGGACAACATACCAGATAGGTATCGGCATCGTGTTCGGGGCTGAGCGACGGAAGATAGGGGCAGATGGAGCTCGTGAGAGCTGGAGAGGGGGATCGACGATGCAATCGCACCGACCACGGAGAGGGTCGACCACGAATGCAGCCGCATGATGAACCAGGCCCAGACCGATCGGAAAAGGGAAAATGAAAGAGAGGCGTGGCACAGAAAAAGAGAAGGGGCGAGCGTGGATGAAATGGGACGATCGAGCGAGCAGACTGAAGGCGTGTAGGTTGGTTGAGGGCGCTCGAGGCGGGGCGGAGCCAGACGGAGGGTAGAATGAGGAGAAATGGGTCGAGGTAGAATGGAGGAGAGCCGAGGGGAAGCCTCGCTGTAATAAGCAGGGGGGAAAGGAAGAAGAATCAGCAAGTCGGACGAGGAATCATGCAAATAATATACGGCAAAGAGGAGTAAGCCTTGAGACCGGAACAAGGACTCTGGGCGGTTGGGGGCAGTGCTTTGTGATTGGAGCCCCGCTGTGCAGCTAGCTTTGGTCCGAACAATGGCGGAGAATAGCGTGGAAAGAGGTTAAAGGGGGCCCTACAAGGCGGAATGTGGATGCCTGGCAGTGTAGACGGGGAGACTGTACAGAGGCACAGTCCCCGTGTTCAGTGGATTTGGTACGAAGTATGGCTAGGGAAGGACTCCTCCAGGCTGAACCATCATTCTATCATCATCTGTCACACTATTTCCGGCCAATGTTCCCGTCGCTAGAATTGGGCAAGCTTTTCCTCCCGAGCGCGGGGGGCGGTGATTGGTGGGCCTCGCAGTGACTTTGGGCAAACCACTTCGCGCTGGTTGGTCGGGCGGGTTTGGGGGGGCGTGTTTCTGGGACTTGGGCGGGCTCCAACTCTGGATCACTGGGGAATACGCTGGTTTCACGGCCAGCTGTGGGAAACCGAGCTAATGATTGGTACCTCTACGCTGGATCAATCTATACCCAATATCAATATATCATCTCTCGCCCGAACCCTTCTGGGATGGCTTCACCGGGCTCTGGCTCCACGCCTCATCCTGATGCCCGCTCATGACGATTTCGATTTCGATTTCGATTTCGATTTCGATTTCGATTTCGATTTCGATTTCGATTTCGATTTCGATTTCGATTTCGATTTCGATTTCGATTTCATTCCTGGCCCTTTCCCTCGCCCCGCAGAGGTTCGCTCCTCTCGCTGGGTTCGTGGCCCGAGACCGAAAGCCCATAGAGGATGCAGTATGCATCCCCTGGGGGGATCGGCGTTGCGGCTGTGCTCGCAGTGGGTCATCCCCAACCGCCGAGACTTTCATGTCTTACTCGGCTGGCGCCCAAACGGTTGCAACCGATGCCCCCGGACGAACCCGACAAGCTCTGGCACAAGAGATCGCCGGAAAGCCTTGGCCGAAGCATCCACCATGGCGTGCTGCGTCATCCCCGTCTCCTCCGCAGGAATAAGGTTCCTTGGTGCAGAGACGCTGCTAATTGCAGAGTTTGTGCCCCCCTCAACCCTGCAGATAGGGCTTCTCGAGTCGATTGGGTATGTTTAGCATGCCATGTCTGTTGCGGAGATGGTCCTCCTCGACCGTTTCCCCCTTTCTAGCCCCGATTTTGGGAGGCGACGCGGACCGCTGAAGATTGCGAGACAGATAAATGAGAGAGGCCCGTCTTGACACTATCCAACGTTGCTCCCTTGACCTCGTTGGGGCCGACCGATGATCAACCAGAGGGGGCCATTGGACCCTTTCTCGATGTGAGATGGGGCAGCGCGGCCCTCTCGTCTTTCACGGCCCCAGTAGTATTTGCCCGAAACTGTCAGTGTCACACCGGTTCATCACGGATCACGGATCACGCATCCCCCGTGGAGAGAAGAAGAGGAGAAAATGAGATAGCTTGGTGCATCCACAGAGAACAGAGACGCGGTGGGGCGGTGAGACAGCCGGCGAGCTTCCCACCAGAGGCTGCTGGCTTCGGCTGCCCTGGCCCGCCAAACGAACCGCCAATCGCTTCCCTCAACCGTTACATCCGATCAAAGCAGATCGAGGGTGAGCTTAAAGGGTACCATCAGCTGGTGACGGGATCTTCTGGCTCGTATCTCCTTTCCCCAGCTGCGCCGACAAACTAGAACGAACCAGTAGGAGGACGACGATCTGCACGCCCGGCCCCGAAAATGGGGCCGAGGATGCAGGCGATCGATTCCATGCTATGAATAAATCCCCGACAGGACCTGCCATCCCGTGGACCACCAGTTCCAAGAAGAGATAGTGTCAACATGTCACGAGGAAGGTATCGCGACTGGGGACTACGACTACTGGTCCCCCAGCGATTTCTCACTGCCCCGGCTGGCCCCAGACTGTGCATCCCATGAACCCATGGTGATGAACTGCTAGATGAAGTGGATTAGGCCGTCTCCGGTCCAACTATCCATATCTTCAGGGGCGAATGAGAATTACTTTCCATTTGTGGCCTCCATTTGTGGCCCCCAAACGCCGTGACAAGGCTGAGGAGGGTGCAACGGCGGCTCGTGGTGGAAGCCCAGCCTCGACTAGTGCATTACTCGGTCGTGAGCTCTATTGACCGTGTTTTGGAAAGCCCATAATTCATTTCATTGGTCCGTTCGCATCTCTCGCCAAATCCCTACATACAAAACTATGGAGGACTCTAGGCGAAAGGCGCAGTCTGCCAAAACCGACAGCGTGGGTTGTCAGTCGGGTCCCGCTCCGGGCTAATGGTGTGGTTCCCGATGTTCATGAGCGAGCCTTGCTGGCCATACGAGTAGAAGGTGGGGCCAAGGGGGAGCTGGGCCGGCCCGACTGGGCGAAGCTGGTGAAGTAGTCCTGCATGACCTGCGCGACGGTGGCGTTGCTCACACTCACCAGGCTCGCCGCGGCCGCGCTGGAGCCTTTGTTGTAGAAGGTGTACTGGGTGTCCTGGCCATGCAGGGCGGGCGCGATGCTGAACTCGTACGCGTACGTCTGGTTGTGGTAGGCCCGGTTGAAGTAGTCGGTGTTGCAGACGAAGATGGCATCGGAGATCACCAGCGCCGTGCGAGTGAGCGGGCTGGTATACCCATAGGAGCCGTCGTATGTGGGTGGATAGAGGACGGCCGAGATCTGCTCGCGAACCGTCTGCTTCATTTTGGGGAATTGCGCCTGGAGCACAACATCCAGCCCCGTGCTGCTCCGGCTATCGGGCGAGGTGAATTCCAGCCCCTCGTCAGCATTGTGGCCCACCATGATGTTGAGGTTGTGGTCGAAATTTCCCTGCGCGAGAAGCTGTCCAGGCATGGCAGGGACGAAACTACCATCGACGACCGGGCCATACGTGAAGCCGCCATAGACGGATTGGGTCGCGACCTGATATGCGTTGGCAGCGATCAATTTCGCGGAGGAGAGGTTCCGTGCTTCTTCGATGGTGCTGACATTCAAGATGCCCAAGAACTGCTGCAGAGTCTTCTCGGTCTGTTCGTCGTCCATGATCGGAACCCATCCCGGGCTCTGTAGGATGGCCTGCTGAAATGGCGAGGGTCCGGCATTACCTCCGTAGGCAGTGACTTGATGCATAATGGAGCCTCCGCCCGCGGACTCGCCCATGACGGTGACCCGGGTGGGATCGCCACCAAACAGGTGAATATTCTTGTATACCCAATCCAGAGCAAACCGTTGATCATGAAGAGCCGCATTGGCAGTCCCATTCTTGATGATTGTTTCACCCCCGAGCCAGCCAAACGCACCGAGCTGTGGTTGAAAACAAGACGTTAGACCCGATGGAGATCATCCCGACCATCTCCCAGACTTACTCGATAGTTAATCGCAACATATACAATGCCGTCACCAACAACCATGCTTCGCTCGATCAGGCCAGTCGCGTTCTCCGAGCTCTTCTCGCCCGCCACGTACCCTCCACCATAAATCCACACCAGGACCGGGGCCAGGTTGCGCTTTGGCACCAAGGGCGTGTGCTGCGCAGTGTCAAATATTTTCTTGGGAACCACTACATCGAGGAATAGGCAGTCCTCGGTGGTCCGAGGGTCCATCTTGGCCGGCACATAGGGATACGAGGAGATATTCGTGGACTGATTGAATGCGGTGCCCGACAGCAAGCTCAGGAGGAAGGCAGTTTCAATATCACTTTCCCACAGGGGGGTTGCCTGAGGGCATATCCGACCCACTTCACCAGTTTGAACCTCAGTGCGGTTCTGCTTGGGCATTACAGGTGCACGGAAGCGCAGGTTGCCCACTGGAGGGGCAGCATATCGGATGTTGCTGAAGTTATACAGGCCGGAGGTGTTCTGCCATCGCTGGTCAGGTCTGTGCGACCCTTATAAAAATGTGGAAAGCGTGCTTACGCTCAACGAGATTGCCTGGTGCAATTCATATCCTAGGTCGACAATGGGCAGACGAGAGGCATAGCAGGCCGACACCAACGTCAGCAGGGTGAAGATGACCGTCATATTGACTGTGGGCCGTACTCGTCGCAGAATGCTGGGGAACAGGAAGTCATCTCCGCTGGTCGGGTGTTCGGGATTCTATATAAAAGCCGTGCCTGGCACAAACTCCTCATCCTGGGCCGGGGTACGCAGGACACTTGGCAGGGGACCATCAACATTCAACCGAACTTGTGCCGATTTTGTAAAATCCCCGCAGGGCGCCTAAGGCTGCGGGGGGCTGAAGGTGACCAATTTGACTGGGGAATGCTAAGCTATCCATCGCCGTCAGCCTGGAGGGATCCGAGCTAATGCCTCCGCTATGCGGAAAATACTCCGTACTGATCCCGGAGGACGTAATGGCGGCATTCCAGGCCCAGGATTGCAGCCGGATGATGTAACTATCCCGCTTCTTGTCTAGGCCAAGCACACAGACCGCGGGGTTACTGTAGCCACCACGCAAGGAACGCAAGAAAAGAGAGTTTAACTCGCCAAGTGGTTTGAACACGTTAATCCAGTCGGACCCTTGGACGCAACGCTGATGACCGGACAAAAGGACCAGCGGTCGCGGCACGTGGGGAGGGGAGGCCAGTGCATTTTCTCTGCGCAAGGCTGTCAGCAGGAGATGCATTAGACTGTCTCCACCGAGGCGAAGGCGGCGGCCATCCACGCAACGTTGTACAGCCGGGGGTGTTCAATTCAGATAAATGTGATGTAAAGGAAAAAAGCCAAAACAAAACAAAAAGACAAGCAATACTATTCCATAGTTCCCCGAAAGCCCAGGAACCAACAAAGCTTATCAAAGGAGGCTATTTAAAATTAGAAACCCTTTCACCGATCCTCCACTTCCCGAATTGCATAGTTGAACATCTCGTTCGACGGCACCTGGTGCTCATTCTGTAGTTTCTGGGCAGACTCGACCCCCGCCGCCGGCACGCGGTATTCGAATCGGTTCCCCGCCGCCGGCACCCGCCCGTCAGGCAGGGCATACGGGAACGGGAGATATTCGGGCATCAGACCCAGCTGCACCAGCACAGTCGCCTGATCCCACGCAATATGCTCATGATATAAGCGATCACCCCGAATATTGACTACCGATGTGAAGGGAATGCGAAGTTGTTGGCCGGTTGGAGGCACTCCGGGGAGTCTAGGGGGACCTGACGTGAGACGTTGTTCCTATATGCATGCGCCTATATGCGTGCATACCCACGTCACAGGGGGGCGGTTTACTCACAGCCAGTCAACCTGCTTCACGTGGGTGAGGCAGAAGATAAATTCGTCCACAATGCGATCGGTCCCTACTGTGCGGCTGATCAGCTCGAGGGCTGTGTCGTCCGGGTTGCTGAAGATGAAGTGGTTGAGGTAAAAATGGCTCAGACGAGCTCGGCCAATACCGCCCGTCATCTAATAGCTTCGACTTAGTATTCTGCATTCCGTGCACACACTCGAGAAGGACCTGCTCTCGTACCGTGGGGATGTGGTTAACGTATGGTTCCTGGACCATGGTGGCCATGGTCTTCTCAACAGACCGATCGCCGAACTCATAGTAGGTATGCTCCTCCCAGATCTGCTCCAGATCAAAATAGGGCCCACCCAGGTGCTTTTTGAGAAACGCGAGGGTGCGAGTATGGGCTACCCCGGCCGTCGAGATCACAAAATCGGGATGACCAGGAATCACGAAGCCCGGGGAAATAGCATCAGCATAACTATGCTTTGTCTGACTATCCTTCTTGGGAATCTTGTCGCCGTGAGCCCCTGGTGCATGCAGTATAGATGGCTTGTTATCGCCAAGGTCCCAGCTATCGTAATAGACAGCGGCAGCCACCTGATGGGTATCGGCTACTGCCTCCTGTAAGGAGACTTTGAACCCGGGGAGATAGTCAGTTGGAGAGCCGTAGACTAATACGAAGGGTCAGGATCATTGTCCGATGTCAGCGTTGTTTGTTTGGAGCCAACCTATCAGGCCCAACGGGGAATCAGTCTCGCATTCACGTAATGCTTGGAGCCCGTCTTCTGCAACCTTGATCGCATCTCGTAGACTGGCGGTATTTTGACCAGCATCGAAGGTAATCTGCACCACCGAGAAACTCTCTTCTGCCCATTTCTGAAGAGGTTCTGGGTCCAGACTTGTGTTGTACTGCTGGCATCCTGCGTAACGAGCAGGTCGGACAAGGATCAGTCCGGGACCACGCCCACAGCGCGAGAGGGGAGGCTGCAAGACGACATCAGGCCGCAGCTCAATACATATCGCACATGGTAATCCAGAGTCATTAGACATAGTGATGGTGTCTGTGGGGGGACTTGTTTTGCTTGGAATCCAAGAGATGTGATCTAGGTTAACTGCCAAGGTTTTGATCTGTGTAGGCCGACAACCTTCATGATAGCCTGCAACCCCACTCGATGACAGCGTGCCAGCCACTCCCGGCGATCGGATATCCAAGCTTGCCCGTCTCGACGCTGGCTTTTCAAAATGGCCATCAACTAACCTAGCACATAATTTGATCATTCAATGACCAGTCGTTTTCAGCCCCGTCCTGCTCCTGCGGACTATATGCCCACGTGACCGGCCTGTTTGGCCGACTCCCCACAGCTCCGCTCGAGCTGCCGCACCGCGTTGTGTGCTGCCTTGAATTGCGCTGCCATCTGGCAACCTGGACGAAAACCGATCGTGAGCGCCAAAGTGCCTATTACTGCCGACACTGAACAGACTCGCATTCCATCACTCTCCCCTTTCTCCCTGTCGACACACCAACCGGAGCTTGGAGGCGGCGCGTCTCTTTCCCCGCACATCTCCAAAATGAATGCGCTTGTGCAGTCCTCCCTGACCGATGTTGAGTCAAAGCTCAATACTCTCTTGAAGCACCTCACAACCTCCCCGGGTGCAGCTGGAGCGCCGGCCGCGGCGGTTGCCCTGCTGGAGGCTGACGACACTCTATCCTCATCCATCGAGATTCTTCGACGCCACCAAGAGAATTACGCGAAGCTCCTTCAACTGCGGTCCGAGGCGGAGCAATTAGAGGAGCGTGTCAAGATTATTGTGAGGGATCTTGAAGGGTTCGACAAGGAGATCCGAACGGTTTGCGACGACGACGACGACGAAGAGATTGACAGCGACCTGAATTCGGAAGACGAAGGCGAGGCGGCAAAGAGCCAGGCAGCCACTCGCAAAGAGATTGACTACCGACTGCTCCTGGACTTTGCGCGTCGCATCAGCAAATACAACCAGGAAGCCGCGGCAGATGCTGCCAATGGTACCGAAATGCGGCATCGCCAGGAATCGCGACCGCAGATCGCGGACAAGGATGTGACGATGACCGGGCTCAATGGGGAGCCGAGCGCAGAGGAAGACGCGGAGCCAGTCTCATCGGTCACAAAGAATGCGACACAGTGGCTGGACGATTCGGCAAACGTCACGCGTGAGGTGAACATGTTGCCATACCCGATGGAGGAACGGATACGGTTGGGCTTGATGGGTCGGATTCAGCTCGCCGCAGGCAATGACCCTGAAAAGGAGGTGGAACGGTTGATACGCGAGGCAGAGGGCCTTGGAGTAGTCACAGAAGCGCCGGCACCCGTTCAACCAACAGATACGAGGCAGGACGAGGCCGCGAAAGCTGCAGCCCAAGCCGGCTCCTCTGCTGCAGGTCCGATAATGCCATCGAGGACAGCACCAGGAGCAGCGCCAGCGCCAGCACCGAAGCCTAAACCGAAGGCCACTCTGGACCTCGACCTTTATGATCCCGACGATGACGATTTTTGAGCATTTCCGCGGCGGACCGGACCATGCAATTATTTATTATGATACCAAAAGAAGGTGACTAGCTCAACTGTTCAAAAATGAAGCAGAAAATACAGAAGAGGCATACATTGATACTATAATGTCCATTCTCCCATATAATTGGCGCGTCTCTGTGCACGCGTCTCCTGGCCATTCCTCATTCCTACATCTTATGTACCCAGGACTTGGCGGTCCACCCTCTGAACTTCTTCCCATAGAAGTAAAATGGAATAGCACAGAGACACCACAGGGTAGCCAAGCACATATTTAACATAATGGGCTTGATAAACCCGCTCTCCTCAACCCACGGGGTGATGAACTTGCTGAAGCCGTATCCCCAGAGATTCTTATTGACGGTGATGGAAACAAAGATCGAGCCTGCGACAGGCTTATAGCTGTCAACCGCGTAGGTGCTTGCGATGGCTGGCAGGGCAGCGACTTGAAGGCCCGCCGCAGTGTAGCCGATGAGGACAATTACCTGCTGAGGTTAGCTTGGGGCTCACATCTCTTTCTCGGAGTATATAGCAACCTACCCGCCAATCCCATTTATACTCGTACCCGAACGCAACCACAAAGTTTCCGATAATCATGATGACAACATAGATCGCCATTGCGGGCAATCGCATCTCCGGTTCACGAATACCTCGGTTCTTACGGGTAGCCCTCATGGAGATCCAATCCGAGAAGGGGCCATTAGTGGCTAAGCCGATGAAGGCACCGACCAGAATGGCAAAGTTGAAGAAGCCGATAGTCTGGCTGTTGAAGTTGTAGGGGGGCTCCGCAAAGGCCTGGCTCTGAGTGAGGTTCAACGTCAAGAAACAACTGGCCGACCAAGACACAATGAAGGCAGCGAACTCGACAATGGGGAAGGCTAATAGCTTCCACGGGATCCAGAAGCTGAGAAGGACGGTCTTCAAATTATGTCCATCCAGCTGCCAGAGCTTGAACTGCTTCTTGGAAGGGCGGCCTCGATGCAAGTACGGGTCTCGTTCAGCGGCGTCTTCCACGTTTACCGTCTCTTGCTGAGAGACCTCGATTGGTTTCTCAGATGCTGAGTCGTTGACCGCCGGGTTTGGGTCCTGCCCTTCGGGGGTAATCTCATCCGGGTGAGATCGGTGCCACTTTGTCTCGGGGAAGAGAAAGATCTGGAAGAGCAGCACGATGCCTAGGATACCAACGTTCAACCAGAAGAAACTGCGCCAGCCCACATGCTCTGCCATTGGCCCAGCAATAATCGGGCCAACCTATCGAGATGTCAGTAATGATTTCGTCCCAGATGACTGAGCCTTCTCACCATCAGAGACCCGAAGTAGGCGGTAAAATATAGTGTATTATAGGCTCCTCGTTCATGAAGGAACATGATATCCGTGATGATCTCGGGCTGAGAGGTCTCCGCTGGACCAGCGCCCAATCCATTGAGGACACATGCGCCCATATAGCTTCCATATGTAGTTGCGACCGCACGCCAGATATTGCTGACAAGGCAAATCAATGTGGAAAAGATCAAGACGGGTCGTCGGCCGTAAGAAGCTTGAATGGGGATCCTATGCAGACGTCAGGTAAATGAGGTAGTCTGGCACCGGAGAAAATGGGTAGCCTACCAAAAGAAATTGCTGAATCCCAGGACTAAAATACAAACACCGGTGAATTGCACCACACTGGCAAGATCCGAATTGAAGGACTCCATCAATTGTGGGAACATGGGTGCCAGAGCAAGAGGCCCTAGACCTTGACTAAACGAGGTTGCGGTCGCGATAGCCATGGCGCTCATTTTCCAGAAGCGGTTCCAATTCTACGTCGTACATGATTGTCAGTAATTTGAATCTCTTGACTGGTTGACAAAGCAGCAACACTGACCAGAGGGTCTTGAGGATCTTGCGATGGCTGAGGTACCAACACCCGTTCGGACGCGGCCGAGGACTTCACGAAATGATGTGTTCCTACATCAGCCATGATCTCCGTTCCCGGATAGATGGTCGTGCCCAGCTCTTCCTCAATTCTAGAAATAAGCATTAGCGCATGGCTGATCATCAACGGGTTGGACATTCCTACTGATGAAGAGCCTGGAGGGCAAGAGCTGTTAGTGACAATGTTCTGATGGTGTTGGTGCGAGAACGCCTACCCTTTCATCATAGTTCATTTCCATGCTGAGCTGATTTCACACTAAAAGGCGTAACTCGACAGTGAGGATGCGTGCCAGTCTTGAGTGGAATTGTTCAGGCCAGGCCGAGGAACTAGTTCTACCAACTTGCCAGCGATTCCATCGAACCAACCGGGAAACTGTTATGTTAAGTACCCACGCGCCCAAGCTCTCATAGAGCCCTGCAGGTGCGGAATCAGGCCGGCAATACCGATTTGACAATTACCGACAGCTCGGAGGGGCCATGCAGAGCATAAAACCATGCCTAGCCAGGCCACAGCGTGTGGCGTGATGAAGAGCCCCTTTTGCCCTAGAAAAGTCAGCCACTGGACACCCTGCCTAAGACCTAAGGGGTGCGAAATTCCCAGCTGCTTCGTTTGGACTAGAGTACAATAATGAAGGGATGGTTTGGTCAATAGTAATGGTGACTATGTCCCGGGTGCTCCACATTGACCCCAGATTTCTCCCCCACACACCCACTTATCTCCTTGAGCGACCCTCCCTTCGCGACAAATCTAAGTTTGAGGAGTCGCCTATCATTGCCACAAAATGTACCCCACTATGTCCCGCGGTATTAGGCCGCGTTTAGTGAGATAGGATGGAAAAAACGTTCTCGGGCGAAAAAGCTGGTACTTGATGGGGTGAGAACCCTTAGAATGGTGTCGTCATCCCAGCGCATGATCTGTTAGCTTTCCTTGTGGCTTCGGTGCCATGATTCATAGCAAATATGGCCAGAGGCCAGATCGAAATCGCGATATAGCTGCTCGGGATATTGCGGTGCATGAGCTGCCGAAACGTGTACTAACGGCTGTTGATGATGCCGAAAACTTGCTTTTCGACCATTCAATAATCATTGGCAATAGCCTACAGAGGTAAGGCAGGAAAAATCAACATCCAATGATACCAAAGGAATTTTATTCGCTAAATACCTGGGAGTCCCAAGCGCGCCTGGTGATGGCCAGGAGTCGAGCTTAGTATACACACTAAACGGAGATGTTCCGCAGACTGCATCGTAGCAGCTTGCTTGTATTCTAAGCATTATAACTAATCGTAGGCTGGCATGGTGGCCTTACACTGAGCATGCGACAGATAAACTGAATGTTGGATTGCCAACCTCATCGATTCCATGAAGATTGGAGTTTCTCAACCGCGTATTCGGTGGCCCAGCCCAGGTCCGCTTCCACGCCCCGCAAAAGATCCACAATAATTTGATGCTCATCCGCACTCTCCAAACACTGCCCCACCGCAAATAAAAGTGGGATCATGTATACTCGGACTTCGCCCTGGGGCCGTCCTACGGCAATGCCGCATACTTCCCGACAGCGGTACTCGACCTCCTTCGTCACTTCTCGGTAGCTTTGCAAACGGTCAAATGCTGTGCTTGGCCCACTTATGACGTCCTGTGGACGATTCAACAACAACGCAATTCTGCCAAAATGGTAATGTTGCATGGCAGCTGCACATGTCGCTAAGCTGTGGAAGACTTCGGGAAAAGGAAACTGGCTACCATTGGGTGGCCTCGACACATCTCTGGGGTGTTCGATGCGGACACATGGGCGAACTGTCTCGGGGACGCCCTCGAACCAAGTTTGAAACTCAAAGCATAGGTCTAACCAGGTGTTTGTGCCAGGATAGGCCTGTTGAATGGGACTAACTGGCACGTCTTGGGCTCCAGATAGATTATCTGGTGGTGATCCTGTCCACTGGGCAATCTGCGACTGTTTGGATTTGGCGAGGAAATTCACGACCTTGGAGACAAGCCAAGAAAGACCATTGAATGTTTTATCTTCCCGAGATAGGTTTATAGACCAGTCTTCGATGATCTGGAACTTCCCTTGGTCGTCGATTGATATTCCGGCGGCCCGCCATAGAGGCAAATTTGTGGTATCAAGATGCGTGGCTGAACGAATATAGTATGCACCGAGATAGTCTTGGCGAACGAAATTCCAGAAAGAAGCGCGGATTCCATGGGGAAACGATATCGACTGCATTTGCTTCATCTGAAGGAGAGCATCGAAAACGGAACGGATGCCCGTGAGGTACCTGTACCCCAATTAGGAAAGAAAGTAAAATTTTGGAGCGGCAAAGAAACATACGCGTGCCACTCCTCCCCTTTTGCGTCCAATAATTTGAATAATGACAGAAGTGTGATCGTTGCCAGAATCTCTTCGGTCTTTCGGATGAAAGGGCCGTCATCAAAGTTCTGGCTGGTCCCTTGTGTCGCCTGTGTGTTCAGCCACCGAGCGACCATTTCAATGGGTGAGTTGAGAACGGATGATGTGGATAGGATGGAATAGCCGTCTGACGTGGATGTAGTCAGATCCGACACAGCCAGATAGTAGTAGTTAGCAGCCTTCAAGAACCAGTCGACTTGTCCAGAATTTGGATACAACTCAGTCGAAGAAGGACTGGTGTAGATCCCTCCCCCAATGCTTGATTTGGAACCTTTCACCCGACCAAGTTGTTTCGCCGCCAGAGCTGCGATGGAATACTTGAGAGATGAACAATTGAGAGCTCTGATCGGAACATAAACCGAGAAGAACTTCCCAGCATCGGATAAGTCCAACCTAGCCGACTGTCAGTACTGAAGAGGGTGTATGAATGAAGTTTAAAGACAAACCATACCATGGGCCCAGGATTTCTGCAAAATGGCGGGTAAGGAATGCAATCTCATGCTCAGTGCCAGTCACGAGATCTGAGAAAATCTCCTGGAATTCTTCTTTCTCGCTTCTTTGCGACAAGCTTTCCGAGGAGAGCAGTCTTTGGTAATGCGGAAGGTCGGTTGGCAGGTTGTTGTGTATATTTTCAAGAGTTGAAGGTAGTCCCAAGGTGGCGTGTGGTGATACTTCCGAGCTTTGCATGGGGCTTCTTGGCGACCTCCCACTGTCTCCAAAGCCAGAGAAACGAGTGAGGTCCGACCCATAATGAGCCCCTGTTGCATTGGGGCTGCGTAACTGAGCTGCGGGGGCTGTGATACCCGATTGGCTTGGGAGACCCGGAGGCTGTGCCATTTGCATGTCGGTTCTAGATGCTGGCCTTATTTCTTCCAATTGGAAGCTAAATGTAGAGGCGCCTTTCCTGATATCAATTAAGTCTTGACCAGGCCGCTCCTGAGTCATCCCCACTTGGCCTTCATGCTGCGCTTGGCTAGGCGCATGTTCACTCCCCTATTCGACATGGTCAGTTCCCAACCAAATAAATAGATTGGGCAACACAGACTTGATCAGCATTGATTGGGGCGCTTGGTTTTGCATGTTTCTCCTGATATGGAGCATACCGGCGCCTCACTGTGGCGCCTTGGTCGATAAATTTACGGGTCTGGACATAACCCGGGCAGTCCACCCCAGCGGTGGTACACCGCTGGCAGTGAGGTCGCGTCTCGTCACACTGAGCATCATTAGTCTGAGCTCCCAAAAACGAAGAAGCTTAGAAACTTTCTGGTGATAACAAACCTTCAAATGCCTTTTCTTACACCGCTCGCATGCCTTATTAGAGGGAACCCCCGGCATGGTGTGTTCAGCGCAAAGAGGGTGTCTTCACCAACCACACGTTTCGGAGGCTGTGCACTGTGTTCCCTCGGAGCACATAAGGAATCCCAGCCGTGTGTTCTTGATCTTACATACCGGGAATCCAGACAATGGAGCTACGGCTGTATCGAATTGCACGGAGAAGGAAATTCATCATGAATGATGCTCATCAAGGGATCATATTATGTAAGCCGGAGAAGTTTCGGCCGGGAACCGGGGATTGGCCCACTTGTCACGTGAGCTAAAGCTGGCCGGTTGTTCTTTCGCGTCGTTAGGGGATCATTTCCCAAGTCCTCTACTTCTCACGGCTCCCCAAGGGTGATCATGCTTCGCGCATCTCGCGAACTATTTTTGAGTAATGATGTCCAAAGAATCCCGCACCAGTCGTAAGACCATCAATAGAAACGGACCCAGTGCATCCAACTTCCAAAGTGGGGCATGGCGATCATTTTCAAAAAGGGGGTCTGTCCGAGCATGAGCAGAGCCGAATATATCTTGGCTGGATCAGTATGATATTTCCCTGCTATCTTTATCTCTGTGTTTATATCAATTGCCATAGATGCTGGAAGAAAACATGTCTTCGTCTGCTTGGCATGCTACCTCTCGGAGAACTTGATCGGTTGTGGGAGATGCTGTAGATCCTAACACACAATGTTTGCCAAATACCGCACTTCAAACACCCTCTGATGGCTCCGATGGCTTTCATTTCCCATCATGCAGAGAGAAGGGCTGAGATCAGAACCCCCCTTTGCTACCTGGGTCTTTTTCAGCTTCAACCACCCTTCGGAATGTCACTCCGACTGCACTACCAGGATTAAGATCACTGTATGGAGATGCCCCGGCAGTGTTTGTGGTTCCCCATCGATCCCTAGGCATAGCATGCCGGATTTTCCTTTAGCATCAGCATTTATGTCAGAGAGAGCTGATGCCGCACAGTATGATCATCCCTCGACCAATCTACGACCGTTCTCAAACATGTATTCCCATATCCTAGCCTAATTATCCCAGCCAGATACCCAGAACTTCAACCATAATCCAGAGTTCGTACGTCAGCTGGATCTGATGATAAAAGATGTCCAGGCACGCCAGTCGCTGCTCCAGAAAATAGCAACACTTCGGGAGCAGTTTTCGAGAGTTCAGATCGAGAAAATTCAGATCCGAACGTACCTCAATTCCAGGATCCCCCTCTGGAAGGGAACCCGCTCCTCCACCCCAAAGATCTCACCCATCCCAAGGTCAACAACAGGTACTAGCGGGCAATCCTAGGATAGCATTGTTTTGGATCTCATATAAAGTCAAGCGGGCGATTCAACCTGGGAGAAATGGCATTTGTTGCTTCCCACACGAGCGCTCATTCCGCTAAACCCGTAAGCTCGACTGTGCCCAGTCTTGGATTCATGACGCCCGAGGTTGAGGGAGCTTTTGGCTCGAAATTAAGTTTTGTTCCGGTACTACAGCTCGGGGTCGCTGTTTTAGTGTATAACCTGCAATATGTACATGCGGGATGGCAGGGAGAGTAAATGTTGGTTGACTGATTCTAGAAAAGCTCCAAGCATGAGGTGAGCTAACTAATACAGTTGGAGAGGCGTATTTGAATTACTAGCTGCTCTGTTTATCCTCTTCTTCATGCTTTCAGTGGCGCGATAGCGTGCTTGCTAACCGTGCGTATTTAGTGCTTGGCCTTCGAGGGACTTGGCTGGGTGCCTGCAGATCAGCGTTCCGTCACCGACCCCGTGTACATCCTCCGCCATCCTCCATCCCCAACCCTCTCTGGAGTTTCGATGTTTGCCCCCGATGTAGCGTACGGAGGTTACATGTGCGACAAGCACCGGGTGAATGCCCATTCCCCACCCGATGGAGAACCCATGACTCTCGCACAACGGGGGATCCGCGTTCCCCGCAGCTTGGGGGGATCATTCGCCCATCCCGCCCGGAAGTCAACAAGGATCGGCACGCGACGAGGAAACCTAGAAGTCGCATTTCCCTGCCGCTATTAAATTTCCTGGTCGAGTTACTGTTTCCAGTATGAAAACTGCCCATCACTGCGGTCACTGCCGCTCTGCGGGGTGTGCTTTGGGCGTGGGGAAAGCACGCGCCCATTGCAGTATGATCCGCCCGCTGTGTTGGTAATGGCTGGATTTTTGCCGATTGCCGGAGATTGTAGATGTCACACCATGCAGCAGCGGATGCGACGTGCGTCGCTCTTGCGTTCTGGCCAAGTCCCCGAATTCTCGTGGAGTTTCAATAGTTTGGCTGGCCTAAAAAGGGGCTCCAGCCCTGTCAATCGAGGCGCGTGGAATGCGCTCCCCGCATAAATAAGGGAGCTTGGGTCCTGCGTGCAACCCATTCTCCTGCTAAAATTGTGACACTGTTTCATCCGCTGATTGTGTGCTGATTGTGTACAATTATTGGCGCGCCGGTGTACTTCCTACTCGAGATCGCCATGTTGTTGCAAATCGTTCGGCCCCGTACTGCACTTACCACGGCAATCTATGGCTCTGTTGTCTTAGCTACTTTGGCTTCTTCGGCGGATAGCTTTGATGTTTTGAACTATGTCGACCCTCTGATAGGGACGGCAAATGGAGGTGCGATATGGTAGAACAGCTTTCGTTGACTCCGTTTGGGCAGCTAATGGGTGCTTTCGCCAGGCCATGTATTCCCTGGCGCAACCTTGCCATTTGGTAAGCACTGGAACGCTCTCCTTGGGCCCATGGCTAACAGGCATAGGAATGGCAAAGGCTGTCGCCGATACAGTAGGCGAGAATCAAGCGGGATTTGCATTTGATACCAACGTCGTCACTGGGTTCTCTCATATGCATGATTCTGGCACCGGTGGTGTAGGTCCCTCTTTCAACCTTGAGGTATTAAACACAACTAACCCTCGCAGTCCCCCTCCATGGGAAACTTTCCGATATTTGCCCAACCTTCTTGTCCAAATGATGATATCAATCAATGCAAGTGGCGGCTCAACGACAGAGCGGTGGCCTGGGACAAGAACTCGGTCAACGCTCGTCCGGGATATTTTAGCATCTCGCTGGCAAACGGCGTGCAGGCGGAGATGACTACCACTAATAGATCTGCGTTGTATCGTTTCACCTTTGACGAGTCATCATCCAGCTCGCTGAGCCCAGTTGTTCTGGTGGACTTGATAGATTTGCCCCAATCGCGCACCAACGGAACTGCCGATGTTGACTCTGCCACTGGACGCCTGAGCGGTAATGGTACGTTCAGTCCCAGTTTCGGTATTGGAAGCTATAATCTCCATTTCTGTGTCGACTTCAAGGGTGCTGAGCTCCGTGATACCGGTACTTGGACCAAGAATCAAGCGAATGTCACAAGGAAAACTGTATCTGTGCAAGCTGATGGGACAAACACCCCCGGCGGTACATTTGCTCGATTTCACAGTCCCCAGGACAACATAATTCTGGCTCGCGTTGGTGTAAGCTTCATGAATGTTGAGCAAGCATGTTCCAATGCCGAGCGTGAGCAGCCGAACTTTGACTTTGACGGCACTAGATCCGCGGCCGAAGTTGCCTGGAGGAAGAAGCTGAATGTTATGTCTATTGACGCGGATGAAGTCTCGAATGACCTGCAAGCGGTCTTCTGGAGCGGAGCATACCGGTCCTTGATTAGCCCTCAAGACTATACTGGGGAAAATCCCCTATGGGAAAGTGACGAGCCGTACTATGACAGCTACTACTGGCAAGAAAACCCTGTATCTGCAAAACTTGCGTGACCGGATTTGACTAACCCATCTTAGCATTTGGGACTCCTACCGAAGCATCCATCCCTTATTGACATTGGTGGATCCTTTATCGCAGTCTCGGATGATGCGCAGCCTCCTCGATATTTACCGCTTTGAAGGATACCTACCCGACTGCCGGATGTCTCTCTGTAAGGGACTTACCCAAGGAGGCTCTAATGCCGATGTTCTCATGGCAGATGCGTATCTGAAGAATGTCGAAGGTATTGATTGGGACACTGCCTATGAGGCTGTTGTGAAGGATGCAGAGGTTGAGCCTGCGAACTGGGATGTCGAAGGACGCGGTGGCCTACAGAGTTGGAAGACCCTTGGATACATCCCGAAGGATGATTATGATCCATATGGCGCAGGTACCCATACTCGCAGCATATCGCGGACTGTGGAATATGCGTACAATGACTTTTGTATTGCTGAGATGGCGCAAGGAATGGGCAAGCAAGCGGACTACGAGAAGTATACCACTCGCTCGGGCAACTGGGCCCACATGTTCAAGGCGGATCAAAAGTCCAGTATCAAGGGGGTTGACACCAATTTCACTGGATTTTTGCAGCCTCGCTATACGAATGGTAGCTGGGCTTATCAAGACCCGATCTTCTGCAGCCCCTTGCTGAGTTTCACCTCCTGCTATCTCAACCCCAGTGGCCACGAGACTTATGAAGGAAGTTCTTGGCTCTATACCTTGTGAGCATTAACGTGTTACCGGTTGTCAATTAATGCGCTAACACTGGTCCTATAGCTATGCTCCACATGATATGGGTGCACTCATCCAAACTCTTGGTGGTGCAGAGCAATTCACCTCCCGCTTGGAGTTCCTTCACCAATCTGGACTTCTCTATGTGGGGGATGAACAAGCATTTTTGACCGTGTTCCAGTTTCACTATGCCGGACGGCCCGCTCTTTCGGCAAAGTACAGCCATTTCTACATCCCGTCCCAGTTTAACACCACGACCGCCGGTATCCCAGGCAATGACGATAGCGGTGCGATGGGCTCCTTTGTGGTGCTGAGTATGATGGGTCTCTGGCCCGTTCCTGGACAGAATGTTTACCTCATCACGCCGCCCTACTTTAAAGAAATAAGCATCGAGAATGCTGTCACTGGTAAAACGGCTACTGTTCGCAACATCAACTTTGACTCCAATTATGAGTCGATCTATATTCAGAGTGCCAAGCTAGATGGCCAGGCATGGACAAAGAACTGGGTCTCTCATGATTTCTTCGCCGAGGGAGGTATTCTGGAGCTAGAGCTGGGCCCGACCGAAAGCAAATGGGGAACTCAGACGGAGGATCTGCCTCCCAGTATGAGCAGCTATCAGTGAAAGCATCAGCTATAAGAGTTGATTAACATTGACATCTTTCCTTTTTAATAGCACAGATTCTTACTGTGTCATATATTGTGGTTGTCGTGTGTCGATCTCTTCTGCTTTCTATATTCACTATTACTTAAGTAATGAGCTCCCTCTTTGAGCATGTTTTGGACTGTATATCCGCACGCACCAACCACAAGCCGTACTTCTTGCCTGTGCGCCCAGTTTGGAAAATGGCCCCACAGTCTCATGGTTGCATATACGCCCGGCTTCATGTAATTCAACCGGACGCCGCGCATTGAGATTACAACTTCCAATTATTTTACCTGGATTTCAATTCACAATGTTGATATATACGCAGCCCCCCTGTTCCCCCTTCTACCACATGCCAATATCTCCATTCTTTGCGGATTCGTACGGTAGCCATTCACTAGCCCAGGCAGTCACCTCTTGGCCATGAGACCGACGGTATCGAAGACATAGACTTGGGTCATCTGGAGTAATCTCGACATTTATAGAGTCAATACGAGATTCCTCGGGAATCAGGTCTTCGGGTGTTAGCCCGTCTGTCTCAATCTCAATCACCCGCTTTAAAACAAGAGCGGTTGCGCAGGTGGACCAAATTCCTTCCTGTCGCTGCCATTGGCGAAGTAACAGTAGCGCCTCCTGCCGAACCAGCCAGTCACGGCATTTGAAAACACAAAAGAAGAGGGGCGGGATTACCCCCATATTGACGGAGAATGCTGGCAGAGGATTCTGGCTTGAGTCTGATGCCAGGAGTTTCTTAGCCAATTCAACAGCCTTCTGGAATCGTGGTAAATATTCATCGTATCTTGTTTCCCGGGGTAGCGGACCGTTCTCCACAAAGAGGATGATGTAAAGAATCTCACTCCATATCTCTAGGAGGGTCAGTGTGTCGAGGTCGCGCTGCGACAAACGATCATTATGAAGTATGAGTGACCCTTTAATCTGGCTTCTCCACACACGCAGTTTACTTAATACCGCATAGGGTTCCCCTCCAAGGTCGGAGCTCGCGGGACCCACGCTAAATCCCCGTGGATGACGGCGTAACACCATTCGAGCCAGGATCACCAAGAAATTGCCCGCTTTCTCGATGTTGTCCACAGTTTCAGGTAGCGCTTTGGGAACGAAGAAGGGAAAGGTCCGGTCTTCGTTCTCTGTGAATGAGTCAGGGTTGGTAAAGGTCGACCAGACCAAATGTATCCCGGCGAAGGCCTGAGCAACGGCCCGACTTGTCGAACTTCGATGGGCATCATCTCTCAGATATTCTCCCAGCAGCTTATAACCGGATCGCAGATGACGACCAGCTGACTCGGCATCCTCTTGGAACAGGATGATGGAAACCAGGACGATGCAGGTTATCAACGCAATCTCCACACGTAAGCGACCCAGGCGGTTGTCCATTAGGTTCTGTCGGAGACACGCAATGGCTTTGTTACACTGCTGCAGAGAAAAGGACCTATCCAGAGGGCCCTGACTCTCCCCTTTTCGGAGCTGGACGAATCTATAGTTCAGGGACCCCATGCCAATGACCGCATGGCAAACTGCAGGCTGGACCTCGCTGACCTGATGGACTAAGCGCTGCCAGAACTCGTCGTAGAAGTAGCCCGCGCACTGCAAGGAGGTACTTTTCCGAAAAAAGTCCAGATACCATCGCTCATCTGGAGTCAAATCTACCTGGCCTGTATACACTAAGTGGGCGGTCGGGCCGAGCTGACCATCAAGGAAGTTTCCAGCTGGTCCGGTCTCCCCTGAGGGTAAACTGTTGCGAGAAACGCGCACGACTTTGTCGCCCATGCGCGCAGCCCTTGTGCGACGGTCCGGGGTCTCGATATATTGACATTTCCTGCCTGAGCTAGTGCACATGGAGCAAGATGGGCGGCCTTCGTCACATTTCTTGTGTCGGGTCCTACCGCGCTATAAGTGCCTGTCTTGCCCCGCAGGAGAGCGGGCTAGAGGAGAGAGCTTACTTGCAGGTCACACAGCCGGTGCGCACCTTTGGGCGACTGGCTCGCTTCCTCCTCTCCTTTTCCTGTTGCTCACTCGACATCGATTGGGTCATTGCGGCTCTTCTGGAACCCTTAATCTGTCGCCGGAAAAATAATGATGCAAGAGGGTGAACATAGGGCTGGCACGGAGGTTCTCCATTCGTTTCTTGGCCCCAGCCAGCCTGATCTGCGCAGCCTGTTGACCATCCAATCACATGTGGGCGTTGCCAAGTGCTTTTGCGGAGCGTGTTACACAGCATCTGGTAATGTTTGTCAGCGAGTTGGGCATTTCTCAGGACTTCTGAATTGGCAGAGAGAGTTATAGGAGGCTTGACCTGAGCTAGCAACCAAGCTACGTAGAACGACGGTCTCCGCCATAGCCGGTCTGTTAACTGTCTTCAGTTGCATAGTGACAAGGACTCTCACGATTGCGATGCGGACAGGAGTTCAAGTGATTTGCCCTGGACATGCACAGGTCCGGCCTGACATTCCTTATCCGCGTGACCGCCCAGACTATGTGATTGCGGAGACCAGAGCGTTCGCCCTCAATCCAACCGACAACCACCATATCGACTTTTTGGCAGGCAGGGGGCCAATCATTGGCTGCGATTGGTCGGGAATCGTACGAAAGGTGGGGGAATAAGTTAGTCGATTCAAGCCTGGGGATGCGGTCTACGGAGTTTGCCATGGAGGTATGACGCTTCTCAATTCTTGTGTTTTGCTATAGCGGCCCGGACAGGGTTGATGAAGCCAAAAAGGCAATTCAGTCGAGCCGGAAGATGGCACCTATGCAGATATCATTGCCGGCAAAGAACACACCACGATGCACAATCCAGAATTCTTGAGCTTTGAAGAGTCTGCATCGCTGGGGGTTTGGCTGGCGACGGTTGTACAGGTACTTTACCCTGTGATGAAGCTTCCATTGCCATCTCCACATATCCTCGCCAATTCGGGCCCCGCCCTGCTCGTTTACGGCGGAAGCTCTGCTACGGGAACGATCGCGATTCAGGTGGCCAAATTGTATGTTCTGGTGTCGATACTGAGGGCACATGGCTAACAGGTCCTGGCTAGATCGGGATGCCGTGTTTATGCTACTTGCTCGGCCGCAAACAACGACCTTGTTATGTCTCGCGGTGCAGAAAAGTGGTTTGACTATAATCAGCTAGACTTTGTCGAGCAAATAGAGGCCGCCGGGTTGTCAATCACGCATATCGTGGATTGCATTGGAACGGAGGAGTCGGGTATCGCTTGCAGCAAGATTCTTGCGCTCGCAGGGGGGCACTATCACTCGATTAGGGTCCCCTGTCCCGAGTCCTTCAAGGAAAGGAGACCAGAGGATACCGCACTTGCAACCACGGCTTTGGGATATACAATGTTCGGCGAGAGGTTCGAATTCCCTGGTGTAGCAGAGTACCCTGCCGAGCCCGCGATGGAGGAATTTGCCAAAAAATGGGTCCTCGTCGCCGAAGAACTCGTCAAGACCGGAAAGGTCCAGCCGCATCCGCTTGATATACGCGGAGGAGGCCTGGAGGGACTACTACAGGGTCTCCAGGAAATGAGGACACAAGCACCTCGAGGAAAAAAGATTGTATACTCGCGAGAGTGGGGTCTTATAGAAGCAGACGCCGGACTACCCATCGAAAGTGTGACTGAAAAAGTCGTATGTCTCCCAGTAGCGATCAATGCAGTTGACAGAAGTACTTTTACTTAATGTGCGGATCTCCATGGGAGTTTGAGTGGACCAGAGATTGAATGTTTCAAAGATAGGTGGGAAACATGCATCGCGGTAGTAGGCATCCATTGACGAATTGGGCAGTATTTGCGTTGTGGAGATGGCCCAGTTATGACCGGTCTGTAGCATTTTAAGCCCATAGGGGACTAGACCTTCTCTACATTAACTGGTCTCAGGCAAAAGCGAGGAGCCTAAGTTTGGGAGAGCCGTGGAAAAGCAATATGTACAGTACAATTCTCGATTGCGGGAAGGGGATATCATCTATGTACGAGGAATAAGCAAACAAAGACAAGGCTCAAAACAAAGTCGACACACCGGAAAGTGTGTTCCACAAAAAAAAGAAGCTGCGCTCGCGAAGCCAATCACATTAAGGCCACAAGAAATTGCGCTCCATCCGTCTTTCATGACGGGGACTCATTGCTGGCAGGCGTGGCTCGTCGGCCCCACCCACTAAAGAAGCCACCGCCTCCAGCACCGATGTTACTGGAAGTTCCCGGGGACTTGGCCGGCTCGGTGGGTGACTTTAATACGCTAGCTCGGGATGGTGAGCTGCCAATGAAGGAATTGCGACTTTCGAGACTTGGGCTAGACTGGGAGTGGGTTGCGCTGATCATCTTTCGCAGAGAATCGAGTTTGCCCTTCACTTCCTCCAGCTCCTGCTTGGCGATTGCTTCTGCTGTCTTCGAGTTGACCAGCTCTAGTAGCAGCGTCTCCTCGGCAACAGGTTTGTTGTTCTCGGTAGCCAGCACGCTCTGAAGGCCCAAGCTACTAGCGCGCTTGCTGAAGGTAGGGCTCTTTTGCGAGTGCGAGTTAGTGCGGACCAACCTAAGTTCCCGAAGCCCAGTGGGAGAGGTCGATTCGGAATCAGTTGATGTGGAGACACTCTCGGAAGGTGTAGTTGATTCAGGCGTCTTGAGTGCGCGCAATTCTTTGTTCATTCGCTCCAATCGCTGTCGGTCGCGGTATCCGTCTTGGATTCGACCACGCGCTTCGCGCAGCTGCTCCTTCAGGGAAGCGTTCTCCTGCTCAAAGTCATCCATCCGCCGGGTGAGGTCCAGGCAACGGCGCGCTTCCACCTGATGCATTTCCTTCCATCGGGTCATATCATCGTGAAGCTGATGTTTTGTTTGAGTGATCGATGCATCTTTGGGCTCGCCCGCTACAAACCGAGCTTGCGCTTTTGAGACCAATTCTGCAGGTTGCTCTTCGGCTGGCAGCTCGAGGATGTGGTTGAGCATTTGCTTCGCCAACGTGCGGTCCTCCTCGCGTTCCTCCCGTTCTTGTTGGAGTTCGCGTGTCAGGTCTGCTTGTTGACGTTGAAGATCACTCAGTGCCATCAGCAGGTCCTCGATCTGGGTGTGAAGGTCACGGTCCTTGTGATGCGTGGACATGTTTGATTTGCGTGACTTTTGGTCACTGTTTGTGGCAGCTGACAGCTCGGTAGGTGCGGTGCTCGCGTCAGACACGGACTCCACAGAATTGAGCGTAGAAGTCATGCTTTGTTTGGAGGTAGAGCGACGAAGAATGCTCGTAGGACGCGAAGATGTCGGGTTGGGGTTGAGAGACTTTACCGAGTTGTGAGAGTTGGAGCCCGCCCAAAGGCGTCCGAGGAAGCGTGAAGCTGTCGCCTGCATCTGTGGGAATGAAATGCCGGTGGGCATGCCCTGGGATTGGTTGTAGCTGGCTTCAAGAGCCTGGAGGCTCTCAATGGTGACGAGGGAAGTCAGTGAGACAAAGTCATTGACGAGATCATCTGCGTTAAACGCGTATCTAGACCGACGCGTCAGCATGTTGACATTTTGCGAGGAAGAAAACAAAGCACAACTTACGTGTCCCACAAGCTGCGCGACAATAGCAGCTGCATCACATCCTCGAACTCAGAGCAAGCCAATATCCGCTTCTCGTTGCGCTGCATCAGGGAGAGTGCAACACGCATCAAAGTTTCACAGGCGCCCTCCAGGAAAATGACGTCGTAAATTCGAAGGAGCATTGGCAGAGGGCAAGCCACCGCGAAGAAAGACAAGAACCACTGTGACACGTATATCGGCTCAACATTCAATGACTCCAAGTGTTCGAAGAGCTCCGGGCGATGTCGCGCCAGGAGATTTTGGAACTGATAGACATGAAGATGTAGGCCTGACAAATCTGGAAGATAGCACGTTCGAAGGTTGTAATGATCCATGAGTCTAGTAAATCCCGTTAGTTTTTGCTCCGACAGCCTCCATCATCGTGGAATCTTACCGAACAAGCACACAGAACGCTTCTGCATCCGACATGTGCATCAGCAGCGGGCCGACCACAAACCCAAGACCTTGACAGTAGCCAATCTTGGCATCGTACAAGCTGAAGCACCTCAACACACGAGCCAGCATCTGCTGACCCTCACCATTGGGGTCTCGGAACATCTCCACATTTGGAAAGCTGCGACCAATGTCCTTCCCAATAAGACCATCATAAGGACTGCTCTCGCCGGAGAGTCGCTGGAACTCTTCCAAGAGAGTTGGGTCACGGGCACCTGCTAAGCTGGGCCACACCACGCCTCTGAGTGGTGGAGGAACGCCTTGTTGGATTTTATTGGAGGTGAGAGTCGGCAGGCGCTGAGCGGTTTGCGGATAATCTGCAACCAGTGCAGCCCAGAACTCCAGCTCGGTCATTGGAGGTGGTTGAAGCTGCGAGTAGCGCAATTCCGACCGTGCTGGCTCGTTGATCAATTTCTTGATCTGAACGAGCGACTCCGAGCGGGACTGCCGTTGGTGTCTTTGGGTGCGAGGGGCACTGGATAAGGCCGATTTAGGGTTGGTGGCTAGCGCATTATTCTCTTGCTCCAGGCGAGCGAGCAGTAGAGCGGTCGACTAGATCAGGAAAGAAGTGTCAATCTCACATTCCACGGCTACCGCACGGTCCATTGGGGGAGGTGGGGAGGGGTTCGCCTGTCAACCTACATTGTCAGATCCCTCTCCACGCGGCTCCTGTTCCTCTGTTCTATCCAGATTCTCCCAGTCCACCTCGTTGTCGGCCTCTTCTTCTGTCTGTCTGGCATTTGTTTGTCCGGCTTCCGCTAATGTCGGGGTCGGGGGCTCGTCAACGGGGGTGGGAGTCGTCCTGGCGGCATCCTGGAGGGCCATCGGGCCAAAAGACTCAGTCTTGGTCTTGTTATCCTCCTTGCAATGGGTCGCCTGGACGGGTGTGGGCGGGATGTCGAGAGTCCGCCAGTCGGGTTGTGTGTGCTCCGAATTGGACTGGATGTCGGAGAGCGCAACGGTCACCATAGAGTCGTGGTTGGGGCCGTGGGGCGCGCCCGGCGATGCGGGCTCGGGGCTCTCCATCATGCTCGGATGTGGTGGAAATCTCGAAATACAAAGTCAAGTCACCGAGATAAGTCAATCAGACTCCGGAACAAAGTCACAGGGCGGGTGGTGAGGAGATAGGCAAGACTAGCTTCATCTCTGGCAGGTAAATGAGATCAGTACCAACGTAGCGGCGAGTGCGAGGGCAAGGGACGCAGACGAACCTGTCGGTGGTCCAGCACCATCAAGGACGACGACACGCTTTGTATGGAATCGAAGGCGCGAAAGGCTGGAAAAAGAAGAAAGGAGTCGAAATGCACACTATTTCGCTAGCCCCTTTAGCCTTTTCAGGCTTTCCCCTCCAGGAGTCTCGCCCCCGTCGATCGCCCATACACCGACTGTCTGACGGGTGCACCACCACTGTTTAACCATTTCCTAGATCTTGGCATGTGCAGTATTAGTATTATCATTGGTCTTTTACAGAGCAAATCACTAGTTCCCCACGACGGAGAGGTTCTTTCTACAGGTGGTTTGCTCGGCTCCCCTTTACTACGCGCCTCGCCGCGTCCCTCCGATCGCCGTCCCATGGGAGGAGTGCGATCCCGTGGATCCCCCACAGTTCACCTCAACTTCAGCTAGATTACCGGGTGCAGGGTGGGCGATGATTTCGAGTCGCTTGTTGTGATAGAAATAATCGAGCTCGCCAAATCGGAATAATATGCAACTGAAACCTCTGCCCTTTATCCTGCAGGTACAACCGCCCAGATTGGAGGGGGGGCTGCGCGGTATCCTCCGTGGTACTGGAAGTACGGTAGGATATACTAGCGTAATTTATTTCACTTTCTATTGGATCAGTAATATCCTTCCGTTCAGCCATTGGATGGTCTTCAAGATCGACTGAGGAAATGATGAAACCTCGTTACCAGCCCCTGGCTGCCCTGTTTCAGCTGGTCCAGCCTCTGTGGTGCATGGCGCGGGGGAGACTAAGGGGCGTGATAAGGAAGGGGAGAAGAGAAAAGAAGCTGGCAAGCCTACGCAGGAGGTACAGCCCCTCTAATTTGTATTAGCGGAGGGCCCCGTACGGATTACGAGTGGGGAGAGTGGAGGGTACCACACTGTGATCACATGTCAGTGGGGCCCCACTGAGAGTTCAGTAGGGTGCGCAACCTTAGGCACCAATTCCACCCACTTTCATTTCAAACGCTTACCTTACCTTACACCTCTCTACGCATCTCCTCCACCCACTAATACCAGTTTTTACCTGGTTTTTTACACATCTACATCTACTTCCTAACTGGGAAGTATCTAGTTCTCTGCTTCTTTAAATCCCCGACCGACAGGCGTTGGCAAGATGGCCAAAGTTAAAAAGAATGTGAGTTAACTAGTTCTAGACTTATTTGGGGACTCCAAAGCTGACAGATTTGCAGCTTAACTACTAGCGTTACCTAGACCTTAGTAAGGCTGACCTAGAGCTCCCTTCCCTAAAGGAAGACGTTAGTTAACTAGTTCAGAACTTATTTTGTAGCTTAGAAACTGAGAGATTATATAGGATAAGGGGTACTATACTGTTAAGGTTAGGGAGTGTTACTGTCGCGTAGAGGGCTGTGTTAATAAGGTGAATTCCTACTTTTCTTTTACTTTTCTTTGTTCTAAACTAGTTACTAACTAATCCTAGACTCGTTTTATCTCTGCTAATAACCTCCGTAAGTATATCTATAAGTAGTATCCTTTAGTGTATCTAACTAGGGAGGACTCCGGTAGCCGCCCTACCTAGGGTGAGGAGGCTTAGGCTATAAGTAAGTGAATTAATACTAATTATTAACTAGTCCTTAACTAGTTAACTGAATTAGGGTTTTATTTTATTTCTTTATTATTTTATTATTTTTCGAACTAGTTACTAACTAGTTTATAGAGTTCTATAATGCCCTTATAAAGGCCTACGACGATCGCGAGGTAGAGAAGGAGGAGGTTTTGCCTCCTCTCTCTCTTAAGTATGATAGATCCGTAATTATTAATCCTTAATTAGTTTCTAACTAGTTCTTTGACTAATAATTTTAGGTATATATTACTAGAATACGTTACGCTATTCGTACCCTAAAACTTCCTGTTCCTTACGAGGTCTGTAAGGATAACGGTACTCCTCGGCGTAAGTACTCTAAAATACTATAATTACTTATTACTAACTAGTTTAGAATGCTACTATAACGAGGTTATCGATACTTACGAGTATTTCGATATGTTCGTCGACCCTTGTGTAGAGGTTGATAAGGAGGATAAGCCTAAGGATAAGAAGGGTAAGGGCGAGGCTGAGGCTAATAATAGGGACGATATATAGCGTAAGAACCTAGTTTATGACTAGTTTTCGACTAGTTTTCCCGGCGGTTTTATTTTCTTCTACGATAGATTTTACGAACTAGCCCTTAACTAGTTCTTAACTAGTTCTAGGCTTAGCTAAGAACTTTATAAATATAATATTAGTTAATAAGTAAAATGATAAATTTATAACTAGTAAAGTACTAGTAATTCCTACTTTTTATTCTATATGCTTTCTAACTCTAGCTATATCTTTCTTATCTCGAGCTCTTTTTACTATATTTCTAACTCTATTCGTCGATTCTTAAGCCGTATCCTCTTATCTTACGTAGGGGTAGTATAGTTTTACTAATAAAGGTTTATCGATATAGTATAATAAAGACTAGGAGATTCTCGCTATAATAAAGAGGGTATTCTAAAGTACTAGTTATTAACTAGTATCTTACTAGTAAAGTAGCTTTACTTACGTTATACCGCTTGCCGAACTACTCGTTAAACGGCTGCGTAAAGAAGGAGTTTGATTACTTCTTCTTTTTAGTCTTTTTGATCGTATACGTTAGATTATATAATCTAAGGAGCTAAATTTATAAAGCTCTTGATCCTCTAGGTCTACTTCGTTAAGATTATCTTAGTAGGCTTAGTAACGTCGTTAGCGTTTAGTTTCCTCCCGGTATAGGCTTCTCTTAAATCGTGTCTCTATATTATCTATATAATAGGAATGGCGAATATTAAACTAATTCCGGTAGAGATATTAATTAATATTACGATGATTAAGAAGCTTAGACCTAATACTAGTTAGTAACTAGTATTCTACTAGTAGCCTGACCTACTTTAGAACCGCTTAAAGTAAAGAGTCCTAGGTATCTATATAATAGGATTTATAGTAACTCTGCTCTATAGCGTTTATATATCGTCTCGCTTCTTTAAAGAACTTAGACTGTATTAGTAAGTAAGCGTTATAAAGACTAGCTATAATTATATTAATTTACTTATAGTTAACCTATCTAGTAAGATCGGGATTATATTCTAAATAATACTAGTAAGTAACTAGTTAAATACTAGTAATTTAGATCTTTATCTTTAATTAGGTCTGTTAGTTTTATATAATTAGCTTTAGTCTAATATTCTATTAAAGCTAGTAGTCGACTTTGTGCTTCGTAGTATATTATATTATTAGGATCTCCGCTCTCTGGTATTAATTTATAGACTATACGAGTGAAATAGATCTTATAGAATATAAGGATATTTATAGTATACTATCTCTAGCCTAGATCTTAACGACTAGTATTTTAAAGCACTCTTCTAAGCCCTATTACTAGTTAGTTACTAGTAGTAGACTAGTAAGAATATTAGAAACTTACCTATTATCTGCTTTAGGTATATATCGTAGACGATTAACTTTATCCTACTACTATATAGATAGTGAAACTTAATATTATAGCCTATATATTTTTTAATAAGGTTAAAGGTCCGGGTAAAGAGAAATTTATATCCTTTAGTGGTCTCTTAGTCGGTAAATACTCGAAGTAAAGTTATGACTAGGGAGAACTAGTTAGTTACTAGTATCTACCTAGTATCTTTATTAACTAAGCTTACCTTTTCTATGCTCTAGGATAAATCTTATAAATATCACCTCGTTAAAGATACCTTTTACTCGTTTATATAATATATTAACTTCGAAGGATTCGAGAGAGGCGAGATATTAAAGCTATTTATTAAGTATATAAAATATAAAGGTACTATAATCATTTTCTGTAATATCGTATATATAGGCCTAAGAGTTTTATTAGTAGCTTACTAGTAAGTTACTAGTTTAATAGACTTACCTTTAAGGTTAGATCTCGTTCTATTTTATGATAAATCCCTAAAAGCTATCTACTATATAGATATACTAGCGCTCGTTATTTTATAATAATTATAGAGAACCGCTTAGTATTAGTAAAGCTTTAGTATAGTCCCGATAGTGTTTTACTGCTATATTAGCGGTAAAATATTCGAAGCTCGTTACTACGAAGGAAGATACCTAATACTAGTTAGCTACTAGTAAGGTACTAGTATAATATATATATACTAAGTATTATATTAGGTGTTTATATATGAATAAGTAGATTTGAAATCTCTTAGATAAGCTCGTATAGTAGCCGGTTAGGTAGCGGTAGCGGGTAATTATGAATTCTACGAGAGTAGAAAATAGCGTATAGATACCTTTCTAAATCGAGTAGAATAAACGTTCGAAATCGTACTTAATAACCTAGGAATTATTTAATGATTTTACTACGCCCCTAGGGGTAAATAGTATCTTTTTATTAGTTAGTAACTAGTAATATACTAGTAAAATTGAAGGTCTTACCGTATTTTACTGCCCGACTATTTATTTAATAGATTAAATTATATAACTCTATAATCTCTTTAGAAAGGCCTTTATTAATAAGGTATCTTAGAAGAGATATATTAAGAGTAGACTGTCTAGCTATTAGACTGTTATAGAAATGCTACGGACGATTATCTTTTATAGTATTGATGTATATAATATATAGAAGATCTTAACTAGCGATACTCTACTAACTAGTTAGTTACTAGTAATCTACTAGTTTAGTATTTTATCGGGCTTACCGGGTAGGGATATTTACTATATATAAGCTTATAGGTTACGTTAGCGCTTATATATACTTTTTAGTCTCGAAATCTCTATTAAAGAGCTTCGTATATCCTAAATACTTATTAGATACTAGTTAAGTACTAGTAGAAGTAATTACTTACGCTATAGAAGCTCGCTGGCGCTGTCTAAACTGATATAACTACTTATTTTGCTGTCTAAATGTAAAAATCTTGCCGACTAGATCACTATCGATTACTAAATGCTATATAGTCTTAAGATAGCTATTAAGGTATTCATAATACTTAATCCTAGAGTATATATATCCTTGTTTTTGAACGTTATAGCCGAGAAATGAGTAGAAAATGACCTTTAATAAACTATCGCGTAAGCGAGAGTATTAGACCTAGTAGGATATTAGTAAATAACTAGTACTCGACTAGTAAAGATATTAACTTACTACGCCGAGCGTTTCCTTCTTCTCTGCTAATATTATATAGCGGAGATTTACTATATATATATACCTAGCTAGATAAGTACTTAGATACTCTAGGAGTAGCGGTATAAAGTCGATTTCTGTAGCAGAAATTGTATCTCGGGTCGTATCTATCAACGGAGTTACTATATACTCGTTATGCTAGAAAATCTACTAGTTAGGTACTAGTTATATACTAGTAAAAGCTTTACGTTATAGTTAAGATATATATTTACCTAAGATATATTGCGCTTATAGAAGATACGATCATCAGTTGAATTAAAAAGTTCTACGTTAACCTCCCGTAGAGGATCCTGCTTAAGAGAAAAAGGCGCAGTATTAATAAGATCTGAAATCTTAGTAGATCGATGCTGCTACTAAGTCGATACGTATTGCGCTATAATGCTGTAGGAGAGGGTTAACTAGTAGGTAAGTAGTAGAAAACTAGTAAAACGTTTATAGGAGATGGTAAGAACTAAATACCGGGTAAACAAAACAGGGCTAATTCAGGAATATAACTGCATAGATACCACATATTTCATACCATTACCGAGCTTACATAATCGAATATAGGGGGCGCCCTGCTGAGCATTGACCGTCGCACCCTACTAAGGGCTCAGTGGGGCCCCAGTGACCGAAGTTCTGTACCACACTTCCCTGCCTCCGTCGGTGCCTAGTTTCCTGAGAGGCCGGTGACGGGACGCTCTCCCCTTTCTTGGTGGATCTATCCGCTGGTCTATGCGGTCCGTCGCCGAGATTAACCTCCGAGGCGTCAACAGTGGGCCATAGGTAATTGATCGCTCTCAGGATTGCTATCATGGATTACCGAGTTAAAAAGATAGTGGTCAGCCGTTGGGCCTAGAAGCTGCTCCCCCACCCCATTATGTATTTTTAGGTATACGATGTGCGTGTTCAACTTCGGCGTCGAAGAGATCTCCTGTTTTGTATGTTCTCTCCAGTGGAGCGTCACACTTGTCCGATCTTATTCTCCGAATTGGGCGACATGCAAGGGCTAGCGAAGAAGAGCTGCACGCCTACAGCGCGCTATTACATGCCTACCTCTCGCTCCATCGATCGGGGTGTAGCTAGAAGACGCGATGTGCTATAAGGTCACTTGCTGGTCAAGTGCTTGTCTACAAAATGTGGGGAGTACTCTGAGTAAAGTTGCCATAAAACAATGCTCAGTACCCATCCAACCTTGATCATCATCTGCTACGACTGGACCTAGCTGAAGCAGTTGGGGCGGAACAGAGTACAATTACTCCGTGAAGTACATACACCTACAGATGTTGGAACGCACTTGGTTATCATTCAGAGTTATCTACGCATTACACTCGCCCAGCTTGGTGTTTCCGTGGTGGATTGTGATGTAATGGGCACAAGAGATTGTACCTTCAGAGCTCATCGTACAAGCAACTACTTAGTCCTGCCTCGCTAGGCTTATGTATTGCCTCTCATTTAGTCGCTACCTGCCATTGCCGATATCTCAGAACCTGCTAGCAGGTCAGGTCTGTTTATCAACCTAGGGGTGATACTTCGAATGAAAACTCTTCACGGTGCCTATTAGTTTTTGTCAATTGACGGATGCTTTACTCGGGAGACAGCGGAGGGCTATTCAGACTAGTTCTATTTATATCCCGGCCACCCACGCGAGGACACCCCCACCATATATCAATTTGGCCTTACTACGGCGTTAAATATGTGACGAAGAGTGATAGAGCCACAAGTACAACTGGCTGCGCCAAATCGAGATGCCGGTTCATACGATAGTTGTCGAAGTCATCTTGGCAGGTTCGCACCTGCCTTGAATGTGCTGATGATTATTGGGGGCGCGCTTGACCGCTTGCGACCGTTTGTTTGGGAATTGCCTTTTTGGATTGCGGGCGGCACGGGCGGTGGGGAAGAATAATGATCCGAGTGGCCACAGCACTCACCGCCCTAGTTGCGCTGGCAGTCGCGTTTCTCGTTTGAAAACAAAGCGTTAAAGAATCGAAGCCGTCCCCTCCTTCATCATTCCCTCCCAGCACCGCCATGCTGGGCTTCTGACCAACTCGGCACCAAGTCTCATTTTCTTCCCGACCTCACTGATCCTGTCATTCGTTTACTTTCGGGCCTGAAACCGGTCTTCTCGGTTTTTCAGCGCCAACCCGCCGACTCTCATTCGCCATGGACGACTCCATCATGGATGACGACTCGATCTTTAACATCAGCGATGGTGGCAGCTCTGACTTCGTACCCGAAAAGCCGGCACCGGTTCGTTCTGCCCCTCTCACTTTGGTGGAAGCTACTGACTCCTTCGCGTCTTCACAGAAAGCCAAGGCCAAGGCTGCTCCCAAGAAAGCTGCGACTGCCAAACCTGCGGCCAAAAAGACTACCCAGACCACACTCAAGCCCAAGCCCAAGTCAGCTGCGGCAAAGAAGAAGGCCCAGGCTGACAGTGAAGGAGAGATGTCTGACGTCCAAATGTCCGCTGATGAAGACTCGCTGCTCTCGCACACTCCTCCCAAGGCGAAGAAGACTGCCGCGCCCAAGAGGGCCGGCTCGAAGCCTCTCGCTGATGTGGAGAATGAGTCTTTCGGAGGTGATGCTTCCTCCGAGACGCCTAAGGAGAAGGGCAACGCATCAGAGAAATACCAGAAAGTGAGTAGCGCGCGAAGAAATGTTGCCGATGTTACGGGCGAGGTTACTGACGATGATTCCCTTAGCTTACGCAACTTGAACACATTGTCAAACGTCCCGATACATACATTGGTTCGATTGAACGCACCACTCAGCCGATGTGGGTTTACAACTCCGAATCCGAGTTAATGGAGTTCCGCCCCGTCTCCTACGTTCCCGGTCTTTACAAAATTTTCGACGAAATCATGGTCAATGCCGCCGACAACAAGCAGAACGACAAGAACATGAGCGAGATTCGGGTGACAATCAGCCGCGAGGAGGGCGAGATCAGTGTGTGGAACAACGGACGTGGTATTCCCATTGAAATCCACTCTAAGGAGAAGATTTACGTTCCAGAGCTCATTTTCGGTCACCTGCTCACCTCGTCCAACTATGATGATGCTCAAGCGAAGGTCACCGGTGGTCGAAATGGTTTCGGTGCTAAGCTCTGTAATGTGTTTTCCACCGAATTCTCCATTGAGACTCAAGATTCGCGCCAGAAGAAGAAGTACAGACAAACTTGGACGGAAAACATGACTAAGATGGGCAAGGCAAAGATCACCGATGCCAAAGGTGATGACTACACCAAGGTCACATTCAAGCCCGATTTTGCCAAATTCGGTATGGATGGTATCGACGATGATTTCGAGGCCCTTGCGAAGCGCCGTATCTACGATTTGGCGGGTACATCAGGCGTTGCCGTTAAGCTCAACGGCAGCCGCATTCCCATTCGGAACTTCCGGAAGTACATGGAGATGTACACCAAGGCCATCCGCAAGGAGCGTGGTGACGAGGGTCCTGCCGCGAAGGATGAGATCATCACTTGCAGCCCTGATCCCCGGTGGGAGATTGGTTTTGCAGTCTCGGACGGTGCTTTCCAACAGGTCTCGTTCGTCAACTCCATCGCCACCACCTCTGGCGGTACTCATGTCAACTACATCGCCGATCAGATCTGTAATCGTTTGGCTGACCAGGTGAAGAAGAAGAACAAGACCGGTGCCACTCTGAAACCAGCCCAGATCCGTAACCACATCTTCATTTTCGTGAACGCTCTCATTGTCAACCCGGCCTTCAATTCCCAGACCAAGGACCAGTTGACTACAAAGACTAGCCAGTTTGGCAGCAAGTGTATTCTCGAGGAAGATTTCTACAAGAAGGTCCTCAAGACTGATGTCATGAACAATATCCTGCATTTTGCCGCACAGAAGGCAGACCAGATTTTGAAGAAGGGGGATGTTGGGCGTCGCACTCGCATGAACAACCCCAAGCTGGTGGAGGCTAACAAGGCTGGAACCCGGGACGGTCATCACTGTACTTTGATTCTGACCGAGGGTGACTCCGCCAAGGGTTTGGCCATGGCTGGACGTTCTGTTGTTGGTCCCGATCTTTTTGGCGTTTTCCCTTTGCGTGGAAAGCTGCTCAACGTCCGTGATGCATCTTTTGATCAAATATCCAAAAATCAAGAGATCCAGAACATCAAGAACTTCATTGGTCTACAACACAAGAAGGAGTACTCTGAGACCAAGGGCCTTCGGTATGGCCATCTCATGATCATGACTGATCAGGATCATGACGGTAGTCACATCAAGGGTCTACTCATCAACTTCCTTCAGGCGCAATTCCCCAGCTTACTGAAAATTCCTGAGTTCCTCATCGAATTCATTACCCCCATCATCAAGGTCTGGAAGGGTGACCCAAAAAATCCGACCAAATCACGATCCTTTTTCACCATGCCCGAATATGAAGCGTGGAAAGAGGAGCACAAGGAGGAGCGCGGATGGGAGCACAAGTACTATAAGGGTCTGGGAACCAGTTCCACAGAGGATGCCCAAATCTACTTCCGCGATCTTGATCGCCATCTCAAGGAGTTCCACACCATGCAGGATGGCGAGGCAGAGCTCATTGAACTTGCCTTCTCGAAGAAGAAGGCCGATGAGCGAAAGGAGTGGCTGCGTCAATTCAAGCCCGGCACATACCTCGACCATTCCATGTCAAAGATCTCCTACACGGACTTCATCAACAAGGAGCTGATTCTGTTCAGTATGGCCGACAATATGCGTTCCATCCCTTCCGTGGTCGATGGTCTGAAGCCAGGTCAGCGCAAAGTTTTGTATGCTTGTTTCCGTCGTAATCTGAAGAAGGATATGAAGGTTGTCGAGCTGGCAGGTCTTGTGTCCGGGATGACCGGCTACCACCACGGTGAGAGCTCGCTTCAACAGACCATTGTCGGTTTGGCTCAGACTTTCGTCGGCTCCAACAATATCAACACGCTAGAGCCTAGTGGTAATTTCGGTAGTCGACTTCAAGGCGGCGGCGACTGTGCCAGTGCTCGTTACATCTACACTCGGTTGTCGCCCTTCGCTCGGAGGGTGTTCCACCCAGCCGATGAGCCGCTGCTGACTTACAACGAGGATGATGGCAAGAAGATTGAGCCCGAAACCTATATGCCTGTGGTCCCCATGATTTTGATCAACGGTGCGGATGGTATTGGAACGGGATGGAGTTCTTCTATTCCTAATTACAATCCCGAGGATATTGTGGCCAATCTGAATCGTCTGATGGATGGCGAGGAGGTTGTGCCGATGCAGCCCTGGTTCCGTGGGTTCACTGGTGAGGTTGTCGCAATAGGCGGAGATCGCTACAAGTTCAGCGGAATCATCAAGGAGACGGGAGACAAGGAGGTTGAGATTACCGAATTGCCTATCCGTACCTGGACTCAGGACTTCAAGGACAAACTGGAGGATATCATCAAGGCCGAGAAGGTGCCTTCCTTTATCAAGGACTATAAGGACTACAACACTCACAACAAGGTCCATTTCGTGATTCAGCTTGACGAGAAGAATATGAAGGCGTCCGTGTCCGAGGGTTTGGAGGAGAAGTTCAAGCTTTCCAAGACCATTGCGACGACCAACCTGGTTGCCTTCGACCCCGAGGGTCGCATCACGAAGTATGCCACTGTCGATGACATTCTCAAGGAGTTCTTCACCGTGCGGCTCAAGTATTATGAACGGCGCAAGCAGCATCAGCTGTCCGAGCTTCAGAAGGAGCTGGAGAAGCTGAGCAATCAAGCCCGCTTCATTCAAATGATCATTGACGGCTCCCTGGTCATCTCTAAGAAGAAGAAGACTGTACTGATTGCTGAGCTAAAGCAAAAGGGTTTCAAGCCGATTGCCAAGGTTGCCGACGCCTCTAAAATGGGCGAGGATGAACCCGTGGTTGAGGAAGGCGAAGAGGCTGACGACAAGCAAATCGAAGTGTTGTCCAGCTCCTATGACTACCTTCTTGGTATGCCGATGTGGTCGCTGACCCAGGAGCGTGTGGAGAAGCTCCGTCACCAAATCGGTGACCGTGAGATGGAAGTCGACGCTCTGATCAAGCTGTCCAAGGAGGACATCTGGAAGAAAGACCTGGACGATTTCATCAACGAGTGGCGCTTCCAGCTGGAAGATGAAGCCCGCCGTTTGCGTAAGGTGCAGAATATGGGCCGCCGGGCTTCGTCTAAACTCATGACTGGCGCAGGTCGCGCCACCGCAGCCTCGCGTAAACGTAAGGCTGCGACTGGGGACGATCCCGACGACGAAGACTTTGCAGCACCGAAATCCAAGAAGACGGCTGCGGCCAAGAAAAAGGAACAGCCGGTCAACAGCCTGGCTAATTTCCTTAACAATACATCGGCCAAGGCGCCTACTCCAACGATCGACGGAGCTGGCGATTCAGATGATGATTTTGACTTTGACATGGAAGTCCTTCCCACGAAGAGTCGTGGCGCAGCCAAGCCAAAACCAAAGCCCAAGGCCAAGGAAGAAGACCACGATATCGACATTGAAGACGTGCCCGCAAACAGCTCTTCCCGCGCGTCAGCACAGCCTGCCGCTGATCCTATGGATCTCGTTAAAAACGAACCTGCTCCGAAGACGAAGCCGGCAGCGAAACGTGGTCCCAAGCCCAAGGCAAAGCCCGCTGAAGATTCCGGTGATGACTTCCTTGAGATTGCAAAGACTGAGGCCTCCTCCAAGAATGCTGCCTCGAATAGCCGCGCTCGCAAGCCTGTCAAGTACACCGCACTCAGCGACTCGGACAGCGACAATGGCGATGATCTTCTGGGAGACGTCAGCCAGATGGTGAGAGGTATTGGTGACGATGACTCGAATACTCGACCGCTCATCTCGGAGCGTTCTCGTGCCGGCAGCAGTGCCAGTCTCATGGCGCCAGCCAAGTCCAAGATAAGCGATTTTGACGCCGATGAGACTGACTACAGCAAGCTTGTGCCGCAGAAGTCCCCGCGCCGCTCACTTCTGGTCAAGCCTAAGGACGTGTCAAGAATCGAGGATGATGAAGATGATGAGGAAGATTCCCCTGTCAAGCCTGCCACGAAAGCGAAGGCTGCGCCCAAGACCAAGGCTGCTACTTCCGCTCCCAAGTCTCGTGGTCGCCCAAAGAAGGATGCCGCAAAGCCTGCTGGTCCAGCTGCTCTCTCTCCGGCAGCCAAGGCCTATGCCTCTAAACAAGCCAAGACCACCAAGAAGAAACCTGCGGATGACTTCTCAGAAGATGACATCGATGCCATGGCCAACGATATTTTGGATTCTCCAGCTGGCAAGGTGGACCTCTCTGATGATGAGCCTGCGCCTCGCCGCGCTGCTGCCAGTCGTCCGTCTCGTCGCACCGCTGCATCGGCTAAGAGGAGCTATGTGATCGAGGATGATAGCGAAGATGAGGTGTCCGCTGATGATTTTGAGGAGGATGAGAGTGACTAAATAGCACCTACTTGGGCGTTGAGGTGTATTCTTTCCCTTTGCAGAGATTCGATCTGGCCTTTTTATTTATTTTCTCGAACCATTTTTCCTTGATTCTTTTATGTTTTCACTGCACATCTCTTCTGTTGTGATCGGACAGAGCCGGCCAGGGTGTGCTAAGATGCGAACTTTGATAGTTTGTATCCTTGAGTTTTTAGACTTTAAATACTATATCTTGCCTCCTGTTCTAATTCATCTATCTATACCCCGGACAAAGACCTCTTCCCTAGGTTCCTCCTTTTTGCTCGTACCTCTTTGGGCAGCCTGGATACCAAAAATTATTAAAATTTGCCAAGTTAGCTCTTATTGACTTTTTTGGCCATCATGCACTACGCTCTTCGAGCCAATATTGGTCAAAAACTATTCGGCCGGCGAAGCTTTCTTATTCATGAGAAAAAGTCCCTATTGACCTCTTCGACTAAAGTCCACCGAGAAGCACATTCAAAATGGCAACGGAACAGACTTTAGATCCAAATCCAGATTTCCACAACCATTTCCCTAGCAATGCCCACCCAGTCTAACCTAGGAACCATCTTGATGCATGTGATAGAAAAGGTCAATATTGCCCGCCAGAAACATCCGCTAGCCTCACATCCGAGGCTGTTAATTCTTATCACAGAGAGGCACGGCGTCTTTTGCGGTCTTCCGGCACAAGGCATCCGAATAGAGGGCCAAGAATTGGCTCCCCCATCGTCTCGTCGCCATCAGCATCCTTGAATGAAGCCCTCTGCATGTGTAAATGGAGCAAGGCATGGGCTGCTTTGACCTCTTTGGCAAAATGGCCGGAAGCTGGGGTTCGCTCGCCATTTTTGACCTTGGCCGAGCGGGAGGAATTCTTCTTGGGTTTAGGCTTGCCATGGGTGAGTTCAATGCTAGGCAGACTCTTGGAGCCGGTCTCGCAGTATTCCTCGTCATCTACATTGTCGGACATAGAACCTTCCCCAGAGGAAGATATGTCAGACTCGTTAATCTCCGATTCTGTATCCGCAGAAACACGCTCACCCTCATAGAGTGGCGGAAAGATCGACGTCTGGCGAAGATCTGAACAGGGCGTCAACGATAAGTCGGTTTCCGAGTCACTCCCATCATTCTTTTCCAGCAGTCCGCTCTTTCGTAACTCGGTCGCTTCTTTGAGGAAATCATATGGCGAACGAGGGGTTGGATGCGAGCTGGGAGGCCTGTTGATAGGAAGGAAGCCTCTGTATGTCGGACTTTGAGGCGAGCCGCAGTAGGGCTCTGAGGACGAACCTCGAGCACTGCTGATACTATCAGCATAGCTGCGCCGCTGCAGCTTTGGGGGCATTTGAGGATGTGGCGGAACTTGTTGCGTCGGATATCCTCCTTTGTTTCCCGGATCCTGGGAATGGCAAGAGCTCGTGGAAACATTGTCGTGACTCAGGGGACGTTCCAGGCGCTCGAGGGAACGGTAGTAGTGTGCAGTCTCCGCTGCTCTATTCAAGATAGCAGGGTCTATGACCATACGAGCGAAGCGGCCTCGGTCTGATGGGGGGATGCACATCCCCGGAAAGTCGGTTCCGAACAGCGGCGTCAACAGGTAGCGGATCTCCCAGCAGAACGTGGTGGCAACGGCTTTGGCGGCCTCGAAGGGCATCCAGTATCCTAAGTAAACAACAGTCAATGTGGATACGTAAGGGTATATGCGGAACATCCTCCAGTCTTACCTTGAGCTGCAAGCGCTCCCCCGGTGATGCTGTGACTGATCTCGCGCAAACCAGTATTGGAATTCAATACCTTGCCGGGGGTGGTCTATCATGATAAAATCAGATATTATGCACACCCAACCAGTTTTGACAGGAAGCATACCTTGGAATAGCCCATGCATTTGAACAGGTGAGTCGTGCGGACAAGCCCAATGTTGTAGTCCCACGTTATGGTCCACGGCTCCACATCCACACCCTTCCTCTGGAAAGTGTATTGGAACACTATCGAGAATCAATCATTAGTCCTAGGCAAAGGATAGGACAGCCAATTTCGGTATTGACTAACCATGGAAGCTATCCCGTCCAGTCTTTTCGTGAAAGGACTTCTTGTCACTCTGATAGGGGATGTGGCGTGGGAACTCGGCAATATTCCCGAAGGGCTTCAAATCGGCTTTGCGATGCTCCTCCTCCAGCAGCTGATCGCGCTGCTCACATGGGGGATAGCGAAGCTCCCCTTGGACAGGTCCAGGGCGAAATACAGCACCATCTTTGGCTATCTTCGATCTTCTCGGGCGCTCTGAAGACGTCGGACTGCTCGTTGCTGGCCGTATGCTGGACATGATAGGCCCGAAAAGGCCCGAGGTTACCCCGGGGAGCGGATTAAGGAGGTCGCGAATGGAGCCCATGAATAAAAGGTACGAGGTTCGGATTCCCCAAGCCAATTGACAAGGGAAGGAGAGGTATTCGACGGATGGGAGGATGGAGAGAACGACGACAAGGGGGAGGGTAGAAGCAGCTCGGCCCAAAGTAGAAGTAAAGGTAAAAGTTAGTAGAAGGAGAAGCAGGCAAAGCAGATCTAGCAATTCTAGTGTTGGAACAAAAGACGTTTTCCAGAAGCTTTGAGAAGCGAAACCTGAATGTCCACCCTCAATCGTGGCTGAAGCATCAAGCGAGACAGTGCCAGGCTTTGTTCAGATGTTTGTTCCAGGCGGTTTGATTTCTCGTCTTTTTTTGGTTTTACCAAATCGGAGCGTGATTACAGCTTAAGTTTACCTGTTTGGGCAAGTATACAGCCAGTGGCGTGATGAGTTGGAATGATGATTGGGAACAGACAATAGAGAAGAGCAGATAGAGGACAGTTGGAAGAAAATGGCGACGCATTAAAAGAAGCAGCACGTAGCGGTGTAATTCATGCAACCGCCAAAGGTCAACCAAAAGTTAACCAAAACAACCACGCTCACTCGAATTGGCACGTATCTTACGGGTGCATCGTGGCTTCCTCGGGGATGGATCCTCTTCACCTTCACCGGTTCCTCGCGGGGCATCACGAGGCCGGTGAAGTCGGATGAGTCTCCCCGGGCTCGGGCCTGTTTGTCGCTCTCCACAAAGCCGGATGCGAGATGGGCAGAAGCCCCGAACAATAAGGCCCGTTCCCCTCTCGCGAAGATCTTCAATCTGGACTGACCTGCAGTGTCCATGTTGTCATCTCTGACCGTTATTGAAGCCCCTGGAGGGACAGGCCGGGGGTCAGCGTCAGAGGCACGGAAGTATAGAACCCATGTCTCCAAGCTTCGAGGGCCTCGCCGGTTGCACTACCGCTGTGGGCACCCAAGTTGTGAAAGCCCAGAAGACAGAGGAATCCAACGACTGGTCTGCAGTGCTTCCTCTGGGACCATGTGGATATCCTGTCTCGCTGATAGGCAGAGGTGAGGCCGCTCCAGATCATCGACGCATGCAAACAGGCAACGGTGGCAGTCACCGGTATGGCGGTATAGTCAAACATCTACCCTCGTTACATGATTAGGGTTTAGCCTTACTTCTCCCACGCCACCTTAGATCCCATCCCCGAGCGCCCGCTTCGCTGCAAGTCCTATGAAATATATGGAGTTCGGCACGTTGATCGTCACCCTTGACGCCAGTCAGACTGTCAACAGGCCGATGGAACAACCGGAGAATTTAGAGGGCGATCTGAGCACCAATCAGTGGTCTTTCATGGGGCCGCTCAACGATACGAGCCTACGGGCATCAAAGAGGCCAGAGGCCCGCGGCAAGCTGCAGAGGGACTTCTTTCCTGGACGGGAGGCGGCATGGCCTGCTGGCAGTTGACTCTGAGTTTCTCGGCTCTGCTGTGAAAGCTATGCAGAAACTGAGATAAAATGTTGGACCCGATCAAAGATACTCGTCCATGTAGGGACCAAAGCATAAAGAGAAATGCAATGCGACTCCGGCTCTCATAGACATCTCCGTCCAATTGACTCCGTCTGGGTTTGATCCCCTGTCCATTTCAGTGAAACAGCTATACCTACAGGAAAGACATCCGTCTCGGCTACCGTCAGCGCCTATCCATAAAGCCTCAAGACATATCCGAGGTGACGGCCCTTTCAGTCCCTGTATCAAATCTGAACCACCGTGGATCTCCCACTGGACACAACACCGGCAGGAAACACCAGAGAACCTTCCATGCATGCTTCTCTGCAGAGGTCCTACATGTTGGCGGTTATACACCTCCCTCTTCCATTTCTGTTTCGGGCTCAGGTTGTCGATCCCAGCAGGCCACACTGACTCTCCGCTTCAGCCCATTCTCTAAGACCTCGGCCGTATACTTCCATCATGCATGCGTGGGTACATTTTTCCGACAGACACATTGTGGAGCATTCCACCAATACATGATACACGCGGTGGCATTCCCAGCACACCGCATACATGATGCAAGCATCATGGGGGACAGGACGCATGAAGAAGTCTTCTAGAGGCACGGCCATACCATATTGCTGAAGCTAAAGCGGGGTGTCTCCTTCCAGGTAATCTTCACAATTAGATTTCTCCAGACCAGGCCATCCATGCTGACAGAAGTGCTAGGGCTGTCCTCTATTCGGTCTGCAGCCCAATGGTACGAGTCTGAGACTAAGGCAGGCTGGGATCTCAATGTCTAAGACAGCACGGTCATGGTGGCTGGTATGTCGGATCTCAAACAGCGGTAAACCTGAGTATCGGTCGTTCCTTGCGATGGAGGGTCTCTGTTCTACTTGGCTTCTGGAAAAGGGGGATGAAAGTGGGAGGTCTCATTTGGGATCCTTGCTACAAAGGGCTCGCCTTGGGGGGTCCCAGTCTTGACTACCCCCAGGCTCATACTCATATTTGGACCCGGGATCGGAGAGGTCTCAAATATCACTTCTCGGGACAAGCACGGGGCCATATTCTTTACCTCTGGTTCGAAGCCACAGCTCGCATATAACCCCTCGCATGAATCGACCGGAATCATAGTAGTATCAACGTCATATCAGCACGAAATAAAGTACGCCGAGACTCGATACCACAACTGCCACCGCAAAGCACCTGAAATGTCGAGAAACAGCCCACAACTGACCGAAGAGGGGGCCAAAGTCCCGATCAACCCCAGAAAAGACGAGTCTCGCTCTCGGCAAGGAAGATGGCCAGAAGAGGACAGCAGATTAACCACCAGCCGGCCCAGACCGCGATGCGGGGAATTAGAGGCCTGGCAGACCGGGATGAAACTTAACGGCCGCCTCGCACGGCGTAGAGGCCGGTTACTCATGCGGGAGCGCGAAGCACTACGGGGCCTATGCGCGAGGCCGCTGGCAGGCCCCGAAGACAACAACTGCCCAAGCGGGTTGAGTCGATGTTCCAGCGCATCGATTTACCACCCATTGGCCATTTTGGCACACGACCGAGGGCTCTCATTGTTATTAAATGAGCATCGGGCCTTGTACAGGGCACAATGGTCTAGACCTCAAGGGTGCTTGCCAGGGCACTCCAGGACCGGAATGTTACATCAAAATCGGGTTGAGAGCGAAAGGGCTCCGGGTCTAAGGGGGACCCGGCCAAACGTCAAGAGTCATGAATTTATGATAGCACAGTTGCATTAAAAAAAATATGAACCCGAAACGAAGTTAACAGGGGGATGTGGAAGAAGACAGGATCAACAAAATGGGGGTTAAGCAGGTACAAGGGGAAGAAACGAAGTAAAGAAAAGGACAGACGCGAGACGTGAACATCAATTCAGCGTCTGGGCGTTTCCACGTAGTTTTTGGTGTGTCGTCATCGGTACGAGAATAGTGCTGGAGCCCAGTATACAATCCATCCCAGCGTTAACCCGGAGAGCAAATGGAAGGACTCCGCCATCAATCCTGCGTGCCTTCAAAACATATCCGGGGAGAAAGAAATCAATCATCCGAAGCATAGTCCATATTTCAGTTCTCGTCGAATTGGGTGTAGTTGACAAGCGTCCAGGCCCGAGAATAGTGGCACTTGCTCATTTAGAGCGCCAGAAGGGGCTCCTTCTCCACGACTGCGGGTGCGGGCTCCGCCGACTCCACCAACTGCGCAACGGGCTCAATCTTGGGGGCTTCAGGGAAGTCCTCGGTCTTAATTGTGGGTTCTGGCGCAGCCTCGGTCTTCACAGGGGCCGGAGCCTTGGTCATCTCGGGGGATGCGGACCGGCGGCCAATGTACTCCTGGGCCTTGTGGCTGTACTCGCCGACATACTGCTTCATGACACCGGTGGCGTGGGAAGTGCGCTCACCGGCAAGGTCCTTCAGCTGGTTGGTCTGCGAGCTGACGATCTCTTGAAGGTTGGCAATCTGCTCATCAATGATTTCACGGTTGCTGATGTACACGAGGGGTCCAAGGTAGGCGACGGTCACGGAAATCACGGCCAGGCCCCAGAGCGGAACGAAGCGGACGAGCCAGTAGCAAGTGAAGGCAGCAGTGAAGGCCTAGAAATTGATCAGGGTCTTCCTTCTATTCAGGTCGCAGGGGAACATACGGCAACAGTGTGGACGACATTCTCGGCAAAAAGAATGCGCTGGAATTCAATCAGGAAGAAGTCCAGCAGCTGCGAAAGGTCCTCCAGAATAGCCTCGTGGGTCTCTTTAGGGATGGTATAGTAGCGGCGAGGACGGAAAGAGCTGGCAATGCCCTGCTTGAGGATGACCTGACCGGCAATTTCAAAGGCGGCGGTCACTACAACGCGGGTCAGTGGTTTCGCGCCAAGTACCACGGGTCACGCGACCAACTCACATCCCAGCGACATATACAGGAACTTGAAGGCCCAGCGGAGAAGAGGCAGATAACGGGCGGCAAAAATGAAACCGATCACGCTGGCATAGGAAACGGCGGTCGCGCGCGGTTGTTCCCACTGTCAACAAAAAAAAAAAGGAGGGGTCAGCAAAACCACAAGGGGATCACGACTCAAATGGGAATCGATAGAACTCACGCTCAGAAGGCTGTACAGCAGCGAGTGGTAGTCTATCTGTGCATCAGCGTCTATTCCACCCATATCATATGCACTACCTCAATTAGACGGCACGTACGGGTCAACGGCTGGCCATTGGTAGTGGTGGTCGAAGGAGTGACCCGGGCGTTCTTCAGGTCGCGGAACTCATCGGAGGTCTTGGAAGCCTCAGACTTGATGTTATCGATGACGGGGCCTGAAAAAAGCAAATATTAGACGGATATGGTCTGAGGAAAGCGATTCCAGGTACACCCAGTGGAGGGCACCCATTACCCTTTGTCACAACATCGCGAAGGTCTAAACCCAGCAGAATCCAGGGTCAGTCGCCGTCATTTCGGGGAGCGGTCGGAGTATGAGGAATTAGGGGAAGGAAGTTACTGCAAGAAATGGGCTGGGTCAGCATCACGCTACAGCAGCAGACGGGAGGAGTCGGTTGTTCTGGAACGTACCTTACTGCCCGGGTTCGGGTAGCTCACGTCACCAGAGTCGGCCATGGCAAATTCAGGAGATGAGAAAGAAGATCACTGTCAGGGAACAAAGGCAGGGGAGGAAGCTGAAGCTTCAGGAGCAGCGTTGGAATGGTGGGGAGAGGAGTAGTAGAAAAAAGGAGCGATAAGAGCAGGGAACAGAATTGTTTTGGTGTGATGCAACTGCCGACTGTCATGTGCGGGCGCCAAGTGTTTCCGGCCGACCAACAACTGATGATGTCAAGGGCTGACCAAGTACCGCATGGACTCAAAGCTTGGAAATGGAAAGGAAAGGCGGTTTCTCCCATCGGTCTTTGAATTGGTCCTTGATCATGCAATCCCTCAAAAAGAGCTGGCTGTGGTGCTGTTCCCTACCCTGCCTTTTTCCCTTATCTTGTTAGAGCACTTCCATGAATCTCCGCGGACTTTACCATCTCTCCCTGGCCAGGGCATGTCCAAAGTACGGTATTGGTTGGAACTACTAGCTGCTCTCGTGTCGTTTTTATGAACTAAATTAACACATCTATAGGATTTTTCCCGGCAAATCTTGAAAGTATGCAACCCACAGTTTAGTAGCCACCATATCTACAGGAGAAAGCTTGGGTATGAGTGGACCAACAGACCGACTACTAGGTACTCATTGCTCTATCTCTTTTTTTCCTGCCTTATTTGTGGTTCATACATTCTCAGGGCCATAGACTGTAGATAGTTAGGATTGATTGAAAGTGGCGCAAGAGACACGCAATCATCTTATCCGGGGGAATCACTAGGGCCGAACGCGAGGAAACAACATGATGCTAAATCCTTCTTGGGGCCTCTCCCTTCTACGGGCGACTACAATAATGCTTCCTGGTCCCTGTGGAGGCAGGTGGAACCCACTTTTCCTTGCGGATAGACTGCTTATTCTTCGCTTCTGTCTGGCTTTGTCAATACCGATTTCCCAAGACGATTAAGCTCAAATAAGCTGACCAGTGATATGAGGGCTAGAATGATACCTGGCTCAGGCGCTGCCAATGCACACACCGTATTCACTAAATGGCCAATAGTCGACTACACACCGAAGTAGAGAATAGCGGCAATATCCCCCGGTCCAACCAGAATCTCGCCATATAATAACAACCAACTCCTAAAGAGGACCCCGACGAAAGCCCCTTCTTCCCCTGCGTGATTTGGTTGGCTGATCCCCGCCCGCGTGTGGCCCGAGCAGGCAGCATCGCCCGGGTTTTCAGCCTCATTTCCTACGGCCACGGTGGGGTCGAAAAGAGTCATAACAAGCATCCCTTCACGGCTCCCTCCATCCACTTCATAGAAGTTTCCCTTTCACCATGTCTCAACCAAATGTCAACCCGACAAGTTTCACATCATATGACGAGCAAACGCAAAGCAGCCTCTTCGCTGTCTTACCGCCCGAGATCCGCTATGAAATCTTTTCCCAGGCGCTGACAAGCACGCCAGACTTTACGGAGACATTCGACCAAGAAGGATATTCGACGCGACCAGGATATGAAACCCGCCATCGAACCTGGACCGAGCTACTGCGAACATGCAAGAAGGTCTACCGGGAAGCGTGGTTCATGCCATTCATGGGCTCAGAGCATGCATTCTACTTGGCATGGACTACGCGGTCACCCCGCCGACAGATGACAGTCCAAAAGATGCAGCAATATCTCGACCTGATTTATCAGCGGCATGGTGATATCCATGGAGGTCGCATCCGAATCTTTGCCCAACAATGCGAACTCCATGCCCCCTTTAAAGGAATATTCAAAATGCAACATTTCCACCCCACGTCTGTTACTGTCACTCTCCGGTATACCGACACCTGGAATTGGGAGAGTGATAGAGCTCTCGACATTGGAGCAAGCTGGTGCAAGGATATGATTCTACCGGCCAGCGTGACTAGCTTCACCCTCGACGTTGAAAGTCTGGAGCGGCGCAGCTATGAAGTGGATTGGGTTTCACAGCAAGCCATGGAGAAATGGCACTTTGCGCGTGATGACGGCGTTCTCCTCTTTTCTTGTCCGGAAGACATCGCCATCTCCCACTGGACGGGCAGTTCTGTGCTGGGCCAGGAACGCTGGATACGCGATGAAGAACAGGAGCGGCCCGGTAAACTCAGCTATTATGTTGGCTCCATAACATGGCGGCCTTCAAAGGAATCTCTCAATGACCGTCCCGTGCAAAATCCAGGTCTAAGATATCAGGGTGACCGTGTCAGACCTGCGCAGAGGGCTTACAATCACATTGATTGGAGGAATTTAGAGGTAGCCAATATATCACTCGATATCCCACCGGATGAAGTTTGCGAGCTATATCTTCGATGGATGGAGGTGGGAGAACCGATTGACGATGAGGAGGAGGATCTAAGGGAGGATTCTGACCGTGGTGTGGATAATGATGGGCACAGCGACGACTACAGTGAAGATGGTGAAGGGAGTGAGTATGAGCCCAGTGGTGATGACATGGATTGAGGGAGCCCCGGGAGAGCCAGGTGGGACATGTGTCCATATAGCCGGAGAAGGGATGGAAGAGAGTGGGTGTTTGGGGACAGGAAGTGTTGAGAAAGTTGCCAGGAGTTATAAAGATCTTGCACTTTGAACTCAAGGAGGCCTCATATGATGAGATAAGTGCACGGAGGCTAGAGCGTAGTATGGGTGTGCAGACGGTCTACGTTAGTTGCGTATCTACAGAATGGAAAAGGTCACTGGCCCGTCTTGCTATGCACGTGACTAGGCATCACCACGCGTTTCCCCGTCGGGATGTCTGTTTTGATCTCAAACCCACTTTCATTCTCGACAACCCAAAACCCAACACCGGCACCTTCCACCACCTAATTACGACCCAATGGGTGTTTTTCCAGCGCTAATTTGACCTTCAACCTGCAGATTCTATCTTTTTTATTGCGCCATTCGACCCTTTTAGCCCCGAGGCCCGCAGCGCGTTGTTTACATCATGGCCACGACTGGCGCGAGGGCTCAGAAGCCCGTCGGCTCTGCTGCATGGATCCAAGCAGAGAAAGAAAATATGGCAGAGCTGGTCGAGCAGGAGTTGGAGGAAGTGGAATACCCAGTTCGCCATGAAATGGACTGGCTGAATGAACATATGACGGAGATCTTCTCCAAGGGCCAAGCGTGAGTCGCGACCGGTCGATCTTGCGGGCATTCGCTTCAATGCTGACTCGTGGCCTAGAAACTTCACAGATGTGTTTAAAACCCCAGGCAAGATGCGAGGCAAGACTCCTCGCACGGCGCGGAAGCGTAACGTGGAAGAGAATCGAGTGGTGAGTTGCTGTGGATCTACCGTGATGAACGCCACCATCGCCGACCTAACCACCTCTTCCTTAGCCACTGAGCGAGATCTTCTCTTCCGCTCATAAAACCGTGGAGAGCAAAGGGATGCCCAGCCCCAGTCCTTTTATTCATCGTGTAGTCTCGAAACCCACTACACTGGCAACCGGGCCCGCATCCTCGGCCACCACTCGCTCCAAGGGTGCAGACAAGGGGTCGCAACCACAATACCCGGATCTCACTCAGAACCTGAACTCTTTCTCGCATTTTAACACAGACTCGGGTTACCATGGGATGGAGGATGATAACGGCCTGCCGGATACACAGCCAGCGACCCAGACATCCACACAGCCTTTTGAGGCGGACGAGCCTATGGGATTGAGTTCTCAGGTGGATGTGTCGATTGACCAGCAACCGACGGAGGATTCATTTCACTCTGCGCAAGAGAACGTCCTCGCGCGAGGAGAGACTGTTGAGCCTATGAACATGGATTCAACCCCAACACAGGAGCGAAAAATGCACCCAGCAGAGTCGGCCACAAATGATCTGCAACCAGAGGCGAACTCTACACCGAAGGCCAAGACGCAGCCTGAGCTCACTATGAATGTGGCTTCTCGGGAGCAGCAAGAGTGCCCAGCTCCTCAAGAGGAACCCGAACCGTCAGAGGATGACGAACCTATGTCGAAGGTCGACTCTTCGCAGGAGAAGCTGGAAGCCACACGGTCTTCAAAGGATCAAGAACATCAGAGTCACGACGAGGAGGTGGAAGATATAACCAAAGAAGACACGGTTCTCGACAACAATTTTGATGATATCGGGTCTCCATCGGATGGTTCTACCCCTGAACGACTACCAATGCGAAAGAGCAGCTTGACCTTTGCTTCTCTACCAGCGCGAGAGCCTCTGAAACGCCTCTCCCGCACCTCCCATATCGACATTCCGAGGCTAAACAGTGCAGCCCGGTCCAGTCTCTTGGGCAGGCAAGTCGCGGGCCGCCGAGCAACACAAGTGGCACCGGAGGATGATATGGCCGACGCTTCGGTGATGAATATCGACGATGAGCAGGAATCTGAGGAGACTATGGACATGGGCCAGGCCAGCAAGTTGCATAGCAAGAAGTCGACCCAGAGCCTCCATGAAAGGATCAGTATGCTCGGGAAACTTCAGCCATCCCGACCTAAGAAATCAATTGCGTCGATCCCTAGTTTGTCTGCTGGCCAAGTTGCCTACCCGGAGCTTCCTGCAGCGAAAGCAGAGTCAAACCCCGAACCTTCAAGCCAGAAGACACGCGAGACTCCCGCTCTGGAGCCAACTTCAATGGATGAGGCTGACTGGATTAAGCCTCTGAGCTCGCCTCAACGACCGAACCTTACGAAAAACAAGACCGCAGACGTGATGGAGAAGATCTTCGATGTTGATAAATCAACCGGCAAAAAGGATGGGGCCAACGTCCCAGAGCAGCATTCTACTGAACCAGAACGTCCCAAATCGGCATACTCCATTTTCTCTTCTCCACGCCCACACGGTCACCAACAAAGTGCCTCAGCGTCCCACATTGCCGCGGAAGCTTCAACCACTCCTACTGGATCTCCCAGACGTTTCGATGGACCACTTAGTGCCTCAAAGATGAGGTTGCAATCCATTATGAAATCCGCCAAGGGATTATTTACAAGCACTGGCAGCTCAATGAGAATTGAGAATTCGTCTCCCGAGCAACCTCGTGTTCAGCCCCAAGAACGGGCCAGTGCTGAGGTAGATCACAAGGACGACCAGCCTGCTCCCCAGCCCCGCCAGATCTCTAGCCCATCACGACAAGAAGGTCGCCGAACGCGGAGTTCCACAGAAAAGGAAGAGAAGCGTCGACAGAAAGAGCGGAATGATCGTCAGCAAGAAGAAGAAACCCGACAGGAAAAAGCACGGGAGAAGGAGAAGCAGCGAGCTATACAACTCAAGTCTGCTCAAGACAAATCATCGGTTGAACCGGAAGAGCTGGTAAGCACCACCGCCCAGAGGCCAGTGCAGTTGCAGCACCAGCAGTCGCGTGAGCCAGAGTCGGTTCATGAGGGATCAAGGTTTGGGCTTCTCCAGCCGAAGCAAAGCGATCGGCGTCCCAAACCACCAACCCGCGAGCCTGCACAAAAGCCCAACCCACGGCCGGTCTCGATTCGTGTTGGAAGCACTCTTTCCCGTCCAATGCCTATTGCCTCCTCGGTTACTCCTAACGTCCAGGAGCCTGCTGTCTCCGCTCCCACCCCCGCTCCCACTTCAAAGACAGCAACTTTGAAAAAGAAGGGTAGCAACCAATCTCTACACACATCTTCATCAGCGAGCAGCTTCAAAAGCTCTGTCTCAAGCCAAACACAAGCACAGCGAAAAAAGCGGGAACAGGAAGAGCGGGAGACCCGCCGAAAGGAGGACCAGAAGCGTGAGGTGGAACGCAAACGGGCTTTGCAGAAGCAACAGCAGCAGGAGGAAGAGGCTCGTCGACAGGCTGAGGCTGAGCGAGAACGTCGGGAGCGCTCTGCTCAGGAAGATGCCAAGAAGAGTGCACATATGCGGGCAATAGAAAGGCGACGACAAGAAAATAATGCCCGAAAACATGAGCGCCAGGGTAGTCAGCAGGCAATCAGCGAGGTAGAGAGGCTTAATGACAACCGTTCTGAGTATCCTGCTAACAGAAGCCAGGCTCCCATGCTCCAGCACGAGAAAGCCGCCTCACAGTCCTCTCAGCGAAGTGACCTGGGCGGGACAAGGCCACCATCTCGCTTGGGCTACGGTCGTCCTATCAACCCCCCTGCACCGAACCCTGCCAAACCGCCCAAGAGAAACATGGACGAGGAAGCTGGCCATCGTGCTGCAGTCACCAACCCTAGCAACGTCCAACCTTCCGGCGAGGCCAAGCGACGCAAGACGGAAGATGAGCACAATCCCATGCAGCCGATCCGACCTACTATGGCACCTCCAATCCGCCAATCAAATATCCGCAAGGTATGTCCAAGATTGTCCATACAGGTCGATAAATCGCACTGGAATTCTAAGAGTTTGCACAACAGCCTTCTACGTTTGGACAGTCTGGATCTTCAATCTTCAAGACCGGTCAGCCCCAACGACCCGCCCACCCAATGGACATGGCGAAGTATACAAACGGCAAAATTCCATTCGCTGAGCCCAACCACGCACCACCTCAGGCTGTGCACAAGCCCGCTGCACCTGGCTCTGCTCAGCGACCGGCTGCCCAGGTCAAGTCATCTCCTAAGTACCCGAACGGGGAGAACATACATCTACCAGAGATTGCCACAGATAGTGAAGATGAGGATGACTCGGACTCTGAGATATTCCCAGTCCCTAAATGGGCCCAATCTAAGGAATTGGAGGATCTGCTGCGGCGGCAGGATGGAATGGAAGTTGACTCCATTTTCGGTCCCATTGCACCGTTCTCCCTGGAGGAGACATTCAAGGCGGACAAGAAGATCAGGAAGTACCGTGACCGCACCAGCAGTGCCAACTGGAATGGTCCTGATGGCCTGACCCAAGAGGAGATCCGCAAGGATCGCGCCGAGCGGCAAAAGCTGAGGCTCAATGGCGGATGGTCCTTCCAGCAATAGACGGCCGTGCTGTCTATGGACCGTTGGACAATTAGCTGGGCTATCAGTGTCTTATATTGAAATACAGGAGAAGTTGGGAACTAATTTTGTATCAGCTCGGTGTTTGGAGCGTTGGGACGGTGTAATTCATTGGCGTGGCTTAGTTTTATTTAGTCTGCTGATGGAGAAGGCTCAAATCTGGAACCCTTAGGACTACATTGGCATACGAAGCATGCATCGGTTTGGATATGGTCATTAATTGAATATTGTTCGATTATTCCGCCGCGGATATTCCTCCCAAGTGTTGGTGGCGAAGAAGGCTTTTGGCAGGCACAACAGGTCTCTGCGAGGTGGTAAGAGACAGAATTATAGTGGCAGCGTTGAGATTATTATTGCTGTGGAAGTCATTTAGCTATTAGATTTTATATCCAGCTCCCTAACAAGAACTAGCATCATTGGTCTAGTGGTAGAATTCGTCGTTGCCATCGACGAGGCCCGTGTTCGATTCACGGATGATGCACAAAAATTATCTTTTTCTTTCCTTCATTTCATTCACGTCTTCTGCAAATACTTGGAATTTTTTTTCCCTTTATCTTGCTTTTGTTCACAATGACTACCTAGTCATTGTAGTCTAGATTATCATATCGCCGCCCGAAATAGTATCTAATCTCCAATTTGACTCCTGAAAGTTATTTGACGTAAGTATATCCTATTCCCGTGGTGGATGCGTCCGCTATATATATCGTCGCTTGAATGGATAGAATGGGGGTAAAATTGAGTTGAATTATAGAACCACACCACCTTGACGTTAAAGATTGAATCCCGACAATGTTAGTGGATTCACGACGAGCAAAGAGACTCTCAGTACCCATCCTAGATACTGTAACCTTTAGAAGCTGTATTTTAGTACAAGACCATACATATCCGGTTGTAGATTACAATGTATTTTTAGATTATTAATATAGATTTATGCTAACTAGCACCAGGGAAAGTTTACGTTCAAAATGGGCCAAATGGGCAGCCCATGGGCAGGGGGTACCCGCCCATCTGACAGGTCCAGCAGTTGGCCATCCACCCAACTATTAAAGCAGGTGATATTCAAAGATAGACATGGTCTAAAATCACAAGGAACCGCGCTTCATCCATCGAGAGTGAAGGGAGCTGTTGCTGCGCGCTTGACAAGTAGCCTGATAACCATTTCTATGACCGATCAAATGCCCAGACAGCCTGGAAGCAATGCGTATCCACCTGGGCTTTCTGGTTACTGGCCTGGGCATTGTACGAGCTGTAGGCTGGGAAGAGACCGATGATGTTGTAGAAGTAGGCCTCGTGAGGTGTCAGCATCTCATCGGCAATCTACTCAGGCCGTAGCAAAGAATTAATTAGGAAACTCACGTCAACGGCACTTTGCAAGATGCGAATTTCGAAAGGAACTTTGTTCTTGGTTGTTTGGTCGATGGATTTCAGCTGCGCTGCGCTGCTCGATAAAGCGTCCATGAGTTCGAGGAGGGATTGTACGAACTATCATAATTGAGTATAGATGACTCTGAGTGACTTCTCTTTTGTCATCAACCTACATTTGAGTATCCCTCATAGACGTCCTGCTCCTCCGCCTGATCGGTAATTATCGGCGTGTTCGTCATAAAGTTTACATCTGTTAGAACCACAGCGACCATCGTGTCCATCTCAGTGTAGATGTCCTGAATTTCATTATGAGCTGTCGTCATTCATGGGACTAAAAAAACCGACTTACCGGAATTGGACCAGCGTCCGCAGTGGAATCGATTTCCAATACGAGATCCTTGGCGGCGAACCCTTGCTGTGCTAGTTCGTTGAGAGAGTTGGCAATTTCAGCCGAGGTCAAAGCAGCGACCGCCCAGCGCGTGTACAGGCAGAGGCCCACGACGACCGATAAAAAAGGGCGATACATTGGATGAGAACGAGAGACTGGTAAATGCACGGAAAGAATGTATTAAAAGAATGGATTAAAAGAATGGAATAGAAGAATGGAATAGAAGAATGGATGAGTGTCGTGTTATCTTGAAAAGAGTGGCAGGAATAACAACTCGAGCAGATGCAGTTTGCAAAAACAAGTAAGGACTATCACGATAATATATGCCTGGTTACTCACAAGGGGGCTCGGAACAACCAGTTCCCCTGACTAGCCCTAAAATGGACCCTTGCACAATTATAGGTACCAATCAGGCTAGCCCCTGTCGCCCTAGTCTTATATTGGCGTAGGCTGTACTGTTCCATATTTGTTGATTTTCTCGCGATCGGGACGCGCCGCCGGGCTTGACAGAAAATTCAATTAAATGGGAAACGTTGCTCAATGAAGTCCAAACGAGGGAAACGGCTTCAAGGTAAAGATTAATGAATTTGATTTGAGACTGGAAGCATCGCTACCTATCTAGTATCATATGAACATGAATATTAAGTTTCGACACCTAAAGAACTTGTAAAACAGTAGTCTTTGTATACCATATACAAATCCAGAACATGGGGGCGACATTTACCAAGTCTATCGCGCCCCAGCAAATGCAATTCACTATATTATAATTAATCCCTTAATCACAGTACCTACGCCGCAAAATGTCAAGTGGATGCAAAACAGAGCAAAAGAAAAGAAAACGCTAGTCAAGATTGGAACAGCGATCAAGGTTTCGCGAGTTGTTCCTTGCGATAGAAGATAACGCAGAGCACGTTGATGGATAGTATGAAGAGCAGGCAGACCCAGAAGTCTGCCTTTCCCAAGCCGGCTGCGACGCCAGCGGAGAAATCAGGGAAAACATCACCAGGGCCTAACTTATTCGGTGCTGTCGCGCGGGCGAGGATAGTGGCAATGGAACCGACTACCTGTGCGGCTAGAAGTGTGAAGGTGATATGAAATCGAGTCATTGTGTTGAGGAGGATCATTCCAAACCCTGTATTGGCGTGAATCAGTTTGTGTTACGTTTTATTCGCTGCGAGAGGCAACTTACCGACACCCTGAAGGGAATCCAAAACTCCTAGCCAGAGCCACAGTGCTCTACCAAGCATAGCTCCGGCTACGGGACCACCGGCCCAGGGGATGTACGTAGCTGTGTTGGAGGTTGCCCACAACATCTGGGCCCATCGAGGAGCACCAAGACCGACGGCAAAGATCGGGATGAACCAAGCGTGTCTCTTGGAGAAGACGTGAAAGACCCAGAGGGCTGCCGCCCAGACAACGATGAAAAAGAGGAGGACAAGGAGCACGATTTGCCACGCGTGTGCATGCTTGCTAGACCAGAGATAGAGCCAGTTTCGTCCGTAAGGTGCCGAGAGCCAGTAGTTTGATATGAACGCCATGTAGAAAAACCACTGCAAAATACAGCGTCAGAATCAAGATTAGCTTGAGGGAGAACTGGAAGAGACATACAAGAATGATGCGACGGCGGAAGAGCGATAGGTAGAATGTGGGCACTTGACCTGGTGCTTGGCTGTAATATGCAGGAAGTCCAAAGAAGACCAGGGCTCCCAAAAGCCACAGAAGACAGGCAAGTCCGAGTCCGATCCCGAGCAAAGCACCTGAATCGGTCATGGCAAGGCTGAATTGTGTGTTACCTTTTTGATTGAGAGTTGCCATCCAGCTACCCCAGTACCAAACGAAACTGATAAACAACTGCTGAGTGCCCTGGATGACAGTGGCTCTATAAATCCAAGACCTCAGAGGCGCTCCACCTGGACAAGAATGTCAGATAACTTCCATACTTCCTAAGAGAATTGTTGCATACCTTCATCTCCAAAGTTGAGGGCGAAGAAAATCGAACCACTCGAAGATGCAAACGAATACAAGCCTGTTCCCACGTTTTGTAGCCATGTCTGAGTCGTGCTGTTGTGGATGGGCCCGGCAAGACCGACAAACAGAAAGGCAAACCCGTATATCTGCGCGTAGTTAGCTTGCAACCCCGTAAGCCAGATAGAGGAACGTGAACGTACAAAGAATGGAATCGTCAACACATAGACTGAGGGGATTAGACGGAAGACCATCCACCATATGATCGAAGAGGCAAGATAGATGGATGCTAGAATATATAGCTTTTCGGCCGTCTCTCCAATCTCACCGTTCAGGAGTGTGATCTGGTACGAGTTCAAGGCAAGGATTTGGCCCTAAAGGAATGCTGTCAACATCTGTTATGAAAGTTTTGGTAGGTTCCAACTCACAATAGCGAGGAAGATGGAGTACACAGGCCAATCACCCAGCTTCATCAACATGAAACGCTTTAGACCCGTGGGAGTAACATAGTTATTTGGGAGAAGGAATTGCCCGGCAATTGGGTCTGAAACTGGACCAGTAATTGGCGGGGTCTCTGGCCCATCGGTCTCATGAACCTTGAAGCGAAAGACAGAGGGAGCAGGAGATGGCAAGGGGGACTTGCCCAGTTTGACATCGCGGTATCGATTGAACCAGTCTTTCTCACTCTTCTCGAGAAACTCCTCGATGCACAGCTGGTCTTCGGAGTTCTTGCTGTTCAGATCCGCAAGCTTCTTCTCAAACTTATCCGCGTACTCCTTATTCACATCCGTGAAAAATGGATCAACTTTCTGGAGGTTGTAGTCTAGTTTCTCCTTGATTATATTATCAACGCTGACCAGACTCATCAAGGATACCCTTGCGTCGCTTCGCCCCAGCAGACTGTCTTCTGGTCCTGCACCGAGAACTGGTGTGCTGGCACCGGATTGAGCAAAATAGACAGTAGGTGTCCCAAATGGCGATGGACGAACACTGCCATCCTCTTGGAGGGCCCCAGAAATGAGCTCGAGATCTTCTCCATCGATTGCCGCAGAGTAAACGATTCGTGAGTCTGCGAGAGGGTTGGAGGACAAGGGCCTGCGTCTTGGGTCTGTGTCAGAATCGGGCTCGTTGTTGGACATGTTTAGATTGAAAGACGGATTTGTCGGCGAGAGGACGTGGTCAACGCCTGGTCGAAGTCCAGACAGTCTCATATCAGCCGTAACCGGCCTGCTCGGCGGGACAGACACGATAGAGCTGCGTGATCGACTCTGTTCGCGGCTATTGTCTGAGCTCGACGAGATTTTGCGAGTGCTTTCTGGGACAAGGGTGCTGCCACGGAAAATCCTCCATGAACTACGATCGTGGCGTTTAGAGTACTTGGCGTGCATTTCGATCGAGGTGGTTTGTAGGATTTCCAAATCCTCAACCCACTGTAATACGGGGAAGCGCTGCTTGCCGGATCGTGCACGCATGAGCGCTCGTGTCTCCTGGGATGATTTCAGAGCGTCGTTGATGGCCATCTTGAACTGTTGGAGAAGATGTTTGGTTGTCATAGACTCGCTAGAATGGGTTAGTCTGAACAGATCGTGAGAGAAGGGAACTCACATTGTGTACCACCATCCTGGCATCTGTCCAAGGCCACCAACACTAAAGAAACATAGGTTAGCACTGGTGGTAGATTCAAGCCAAGTCAGTCTTACCGTGATCCCACGCCCAACGCTCCTTTCCGTCCGAATTCCACGGCCACCAGACCGAACGGTTCATCACGCGAAGGAATCAAGGCGAATTCAGCGCCACTGAAAATGAAGGGCGGTAGTGCAGTGAACTCTGGTCTGGAAAACACCCGCCCAGGGTAGAGCTCGATGAGTCGATTCAGTTTTAAGGCGGCAAACCTTCCATAGAGATCAATGACTGGACCAATGCACATCAACTGGACCTTTGGGTGAGCGTCTAGAATGGAGGGGAAGATGTCTGCAATCAGATCAACGCCTTTTTGCATGGACCAACGACCGACAAACACAAACAGCTGGGCCTCTGGGTCAACTTCGAGCCCTGCCCATTCTTGTGCTTGTCTTTTGAGCGGGGCACGTCTGGCTTCAAACTCTGTATCGATGATAACGTCTTCGAGATTGTTGTTTGCGTTATGATCCCAGTCGGCGATGTCAGATGGATCGGGGTTTGGCAGCGCTCCAATATTCTTGAGACCCCAGAAAATAGGATATCTGGCGTACGATCTCTTGCCATATTTCTTGGAGACACCGACAGCGCCGAAGCCATTTTGGTGGATTTTCAGATAGTTGGCAGCTCCATGAAGAAGGTTGAACACCTCACCGAATTGTATATACTTCATCACCAATGCATGGTCAAGGTTATAGACACTGCAAACCTCTTGATTTTGCTGTGGAGTTTTCATTGGCCAGAGTCCTTGGAATTCGGCATTATGCAGAGACACGCAACATGGAATTGTGCGAGGTAGAAGATAGAGAGGGGCAGCGGCGCCATGGTAATCATTGATGTGATAGAGGTCGATAGCCGGAAATCTCCTGATAGCTTCAGCAATACACTGATTCCAACTAGAATAGAATATTGCCGAGTTCATGTCATCCATGCGGGCAGGGTACGGCTCTGATTGGGACTGAGCTCGGAACACAGGCGCGTCTAACAAGACGTATGTGATGTTGTGCAGCCGATGATACTGGATATCCACTTGGTATTTATTCCCAAGGACGGTGATCACCATCGGCTCACCGGGGTCGGCCTTGGGGTAGTCAACTCCCCCAACACAAGGGACCACCCATATGAGGTCCTGCTGGGTCAGATGTTTCCCCATCAGCTGGGCCATCACACCGAGCCCACCGATCTTGATCTTGATGCCCCAGTCTTCAATATCGTACTCCATCGTTGCAATGAGCACGGTTCGTCGGCGGGTGTTTACCATGGCACCGACGACGCCTCCACTTTCAGATGGGAAGGGGCCCACATTGGTTAGAGCAAGTCCGGGATTGGAGTCCCTGTCCTTAGATCGATGGGCCACCTTTTGAAAGACGCTCACCAGTGGAGCGAAGCCTGATCTTTTCTCAGTGACACCGATTTGGTTGAATTTGACCTGGTAAAATGCCTTCAGGTAAACATACACCGCACTGACAGCGGTGGCGACAGGCACAATCGCTAGCACAATGAAGATGGCCAGCTGAACCCACCTGGATCCTGTGGGCGTAGCGTAGACCCTAAGATCGCCGTCATCCACAGACAGCTTGAAGGAAAGATAGGGTGAAGGGGGTGGGATGGTGATGTTGAATCGATTGCTCAGCAGCGTGACTGGAGGGACCTGATCCAGAACGTTGTCTCCATTGATGTCCCCAAATACCTGTGTTTGATCGGGCAGGCCGTCTTCGTTTAATCCCCAGGCGTTGAACGCAACCTGCGCGGGCCACTCGCTCATGAAGTGAATTTCCCACAGGCCAGTGATGTTGCTAAGAGCCATTTTGTTGGAATAGCCAGCGTCATATCCGAACTGGTTGAACTCGCCTTCGATGAAGAGGTTTGGGAAGCGACGGGGGGGATTGTATGCCCATTGCGTGTCTCCATGCTGCCAGTGAGCACTACTTCCGGTCAATTTGTTCCAGTATTGGGCAAGGATGTGTTCTCCTTCCCAGGCCTGCTTCGCAGTGCCGGTCCAATTTTTCCCGGGGATCGACGTGTTGAAGCCAGTGTATGTCATCCAGGCACTGAATGTAGCTCCAAAATCCAGCGAGTAACGCCACATGTCTGCACCAGGAGCCTGTGGCATTACTGATAAGGGGTCAGTTTCAGACGACGGGTTGTCGAACAGTAGCGTTCTACTGTAGTTGGCCAACTGTGGCCAGACCATCGGATTGTTCATCTGTCCGATACGGAAAAGAAAGTGGTCGACGGACTGCGCGACTCGATCAGTATTGTGACTTTCTCGACCTGTATAGCGAGGAATATACTCACACCTGTGGATTGATTTCCATCTGCTGTAGTCACGTTGCTAAGCGTGACTCTGTGGACCCCTGGAAAGACATTGTCCAAATCTATCTCGTAGCTGAAAATGCTAGTGAATGCTCCCGGCCATGTCACGACATCAGTCTCTTCAATACGTTTACAAGAGACCGAGGTCGTGTCAAGCTGCGGGCTCTCGTCGCCAAGCGCTTTGGACGTGATCGTCAGCGAGTTGATGATATCCTCGCAATCCATCTCCTGAGAGAATTCGAAGCCAATTCGTACCGTCTCCCCACTTGTTCCCTGGGGCACAAGTCGAGCGTCATGCCCTGGGGAGAAGCGTGTTATATATGGGGAAGGGTGCACGAATTTATCTTTCGGAACAAAGGCTTTGAAACCCCAGGCCGGCATAGTAAGGTTGGGATAACATCCGTTGGGAACGTCAGACCCTTCAAATCTACTCATTGTCAGTAACAGGAATCAATTTCAGAGCAGCAATAATACCCAAGCGTGATCGAACTGTTGGCCAGGGTAAATTCCTCGAACGGTGGAAAAAGGTTCTTGACCGTTGTTCCCGTGGGAAATGGCGAGATCAAAGCGTCCTTACTGCTGCAGTTGAACTGGTGTTCGACGGTTTTGTTGTCATTAGAATACACCAGCCAGACGCTCTGATTTCCCTGGCCTTGGCCATCAAGATTCTGCGCCTCCACAAAGCGTGATCTTATGACACTCCACATCCCAATCTCGGTCGCCGTCCCATTACTGCCTGGAAGGTAGATATCGAACGTCTGGTTGGACAATTGTTGCAGGTACCAGCCATCATTCAGAGCGGGATAGTTTTGACGCATCTCAAACATCATCTTGATGAGGCCTCGCACTGGGTGAGAGGGATCGCGGTGATCGAGACTGACGGAATCATCTCCACACCCGGTCAGGGAGCGGTCGAGCGGGAAATCAACGTATTTCGATGACCCCAGCTTGTAGCATCCGTGCAGCTGCCATGCCTGAGCAGATGACATGGGTCCACGACCGAAGACATAGTTGTCAGCCTGGTTGTCCAGAACGTAAAAATCCTGTTCCTCGCCCCAGGAGAGGATGGGGATTCCAGGCATGAGCAACGAAGCGACGTACAGACCCAGATTCTGCTTTCGGGTCCCGTTTGTGATCCCTGGCCACCTGAAGATATCCTGATTTGTGACACCAAACAGGTGGCGAGGATCGAACTTACCAGTGTTCGTGTTGACCATATCGTTGGTCTTCACAAGACCATTCCAGGTCTCCACAAAGTTGACTGGCGGGTCGCCTTCGGCAGTGTAGGTACCGTCTAGACTGAAAGGGACGATGTTAGCTTGAGCAAACTGAAAGTGGTGAGCGGGAGAAACTAACCCTAGAAACCGGCACAGACCACGATATAACGTATAGTGGAACGCGGCCCCGTCCAACGCGGACCTCTCCGCGGGTCTCAGGAAGAGATCCTCATCTGACTTGTCTGTCGTGTTCGTCATCATAAACGCTTCCGTCATATTGGAGATGGTTTGATTTGTCTGGCGACCACGACCGATATAAAGCGAGCCAAAAGCGTTTCCCGCCACAATCTCTCCGGGTAGGTAGAAATTGTCCTTTCCCACCTGCTTGGCGCAATCCCGCATATACTCGGACCATTCTCCAAGAGAGTCAAGGGTAACTTGTAGAGCTTTGTCAACGCGAAATCCGTCGATATCAAGCATGGTGATGGTTAGACACGAAAAGTGTTTGATCTTGGCAAGTACGTCCGGCCGCCATCCGCGTAGACGATCCTGCACAAATGCGAATTTGGCTATCTGCCCTTGCCATTCGGTGTAGTTTCCAAAGGCGGCAACTTCTCCATACTGTAGAGATCAGTCATGCTCCATATCGAAAGAAAGGGAATGTTACCTGATCAAATTCACTATTCCGACATGAAGGACCAAGGGTTGTGGTGGTCAAACCGGTCCCGTCATCATCCCAGAACCGAGGATGCTCCCAGGGACATTCACTCTCAACTTCATTTCCAGGCTGAAAGTCCCAGTATCGACGGTCATCCTTCCAAACATAGTCGTACTCGTTGGGATTGATCGGCGCGGACGTGTTCAAGAAACCCTGGAAACCGATAAGATCGCCCATTCTATCCACAATCAGCAGACGACATTAGAGGTTGCACAGATGGATCTCACATACGTTGCAAAGGTATTATCGAAAAGAACATATATCCCCCGTCGATGCGCCTCAGATATCATTGTGCGCCACTCCTCGATCGTACCAAAGTGATGGTCTAGCAGAGTCAGGTCAAGCGGGGAGTATCCATCCGCGGCCCAAGGGAAGTTGATATACGGTGTTCCAGCGAGATAGACGCCCTGGATATGGTCAATATATTTTCCACATCCAGTCTTCCTGAAGCAACAAACGCACCTTGATCCCCATCCCCTGAAGATAATCAAACGTATCGACCAACCCAAGAACGTCGCCGCCATGGCGGAACTCGTTGGAGGTCAAGATATGTTCCCACTGTGTGCCATTTGCATTATCGTTACTCGGATCACCATTCACAAATCTGTCGAGGAATATCGTGTAAAAGGGGAATCGCCAATTCTCTGGCGAGGGGTTGTATGTGTGGCCATCCCACTGACCCGAGTAGTCGAGAGGGTGTGTCGCTGTCTGATTTTGATTGAGATTCCAGTCTGCTTCCTCTGGGAGATATGGCAGGGATTGTGCAAAGCGTATAGATAATGCAACAATGGCAAGGTAATGAGTGATGGAAGTGAGCAACTTCATTCTGCACAGTGAATGCCACTATGGTGACATTCACAGAACACGCTGTTCGAGCCTCGACTGCAAAAGAACAGCCACAAAGTGCTTCCCAAGGAAGAAAGGGATATATCGCTCATAGAAACAGAGACACTGAACGATTCATAGAGTGCAGATGCGCAAGAGAAGCATGTAAAAGATAATGAATACCCCGGAGCCGCCCAGGCCAATGCAAGAGTTGATTCCGAGCGCGTGAATACCAATTCACTGTTTTGTAAGTCAGCCTAGGTGCGGGAATCAGACTAACCGCTGGAGACACGAGCCAGCCTTGCTGTACAGCCTCAATCCACAGCAAAGCATCTCCATACGATAAGTGGCTGAATGCTCCTAATTTTGGACGATGGATCTCAGGCTGACATACGCCATATTTGGTGGGCGTTGGGATATATCTTTTCCTGGCCAATCAATCCAATTCGAACTTGAAATTATGTTAAAAAATAAGTTCACCGCATTGTTCGGGCATCTAGACCAGGTTCCAGGCCCAAGCCGGAAGTATCATGTCTCATAGAACTGGAGACAATCTGACATGCATCGATATAGGGCCTTCGGAGTGGTCTACAGGACTGAGCCAGTATACGAAGTGGGTCTTTGCTCGATAGCTTGCTGAGATGGTGGAGAATGGTTCATACGGGTTCGTTGCAAAGTTATACGAGGTTTCAAGACGAGTAGATAGAACACGTCATACCTGATACAGGGCTGACCTATGAGACAGGGTGGGGGTGGATATGATGATAAGGGTGTGACTCGTCGTGCGTCTCGTTCCTGTCTCCTACTTTTTTTGCTTTTGTTCCCGGCCACTCTGTCCCTGGCATGGCCGTTCTTGATGGTCGGCAATTTGTGCACTTTGAGCTAGACTTCGCTTGGCTGAAACTGCCAATGTTTTGCTATCAAAGCCAGTAAGGGCCAACAGATCAAACAGTCTGCGGGAAGACCGAACCTCTCCTTATCTGACCCCACTGATGCTGTCCAGACCCAAATGGAACAAATCTCAGTCATATTTGGATCCCCATGTGAACCCGATCAAGATATCTCGTCATGGAGAAATGTATCATCACGGAGTGACAGGAAACCACAGAGTATAGGGGAACGGGAAATAACCCAAGGATTGCTGCGACTCTACTACGCGAATGTCCAAGAAATCGGGCCGGATTGCAATCAACCACGCGGCTTTTCCACTCCGAGGCCAGCACACCAAAGCAACATGTCAGCTATCAGGTTCAACCAGGCTAGCGTGGCCCCAACCGAGACGAGTCACTCGCGAACCAACCAGGGCCTGATCAGTGCCCTCGATCGGGATGAGTGGTTCGAGGCGGGATTTTTTAGGGGCCAGCGAAGCCGACCGATCGGGCCGACACAATACATGACAGGAACTGTAGGAACAGATCAATATTACGGTATATGTATTTCAAATACAATATGATACACACGTACATACATCTCACCATAGATCATTTTCATCAGCATATATGACATTGTCAATTAATTTAAGTAGCCTTTTCATTGTCGTTGGCTCCATCCGACATTTAATTCTCCTTCGACCTGTCAGCAAACGCCACCGACAATGTGGTGGTGGAAGGTTTTGGTGGTTGCTGCCATTGGGACAGTACATGCGGCTTCCCGAGACCAATGGCTCGGTCGGTCGGTCTACCAAGTGGTCACCGATCGCTTCGCTCGATCCGATAACTCAACCACCGCTTCTTGTGATGCAGCACTGGGAGAGTACTGTGGAGGGAGTTTACAGGGCATCATCAATAAGCTGGATTATATTCAGGAACTCGGGTTCGATGCAGTTTGGATCTCTCCAGTGCAAAGCCAGGAGTCAACTCGCACGGCGGATCTCTCAGGTATGGTCATCTTCACTGTCAGCGGATATGGACAACTAACGATTGATGGATGATAGCATACCATGGGTATTGGCCAAACGACCTCTATTCTATCAACTCCCATTTTGGCACTTCCGACGACCTTCAAGCGTTATCCGCAGCTTTGCACGCGCTTGGCATGGTGAGTCGCCGGCTGCCATGTCTACTCACGAAACTGACATGAAAAATAGTACTTGATGCTGGACATTGTCGTTGGTGACATGGCCTGGGCCGGAAATGCCTCCACTGTCGACTACAGCACGTTCAATCCATTCAATGATAGGAAGTATTTTCACGACTACAAGCTACTTTCTGTGGACCCCGCAAATGACACATGTGTTCTGGATGTAAGTCTGTCATCGCGTATTATGAGGGCATTGCTAAGCCTTCATCAGTGTTGGATGGGAGACAACACCATATCGCTTCCAGATCTGCGAAACGAGGATCAGGAGGTTCAGCAGATTCTGGGCAACTGGGTTTCGCAGTTGGTTTCGAACTACTCCAGTATGTCTATACGTTTCCTATCTCTCCAACGGATTGATTAACATTTGTCTTTTGTAGTTGATGGCTTGCGAATTGACAGTGTCTTGAACATTCCTCCCGTCTTCTTCTCCAATTTCAGCAAGTCAGCGGGTGTTTTCACTATGGGCGAAGGTGCCACAAGAGACGCGTCCGGTTACTGTCCTCTACAGCCCAGTCTAAGCGGACTTTTGAATTATCCGTTGTGAGTAGTTCATCGAAATGAACAGAGGGCTTGCTAACACTTTTTTAGGTATTACGTCCTCTCAGAGGCCTTCAATACGACCAACGGAGACTTGAACAGGATCGTACAGTCTATTGACTACATCAGGACACAATGTGAGGACGTACTACCCCTGGGAACGTTCACATCGAATCAGGATGTCCCTCGCTTTGGCTCGTATACTTCAGACATATCGGTAAGTTGAGTGCATCGAGAATTTTGTCAGCACGTATTGAGTTTTGTCACTCCTGATTAGCTGGCTCGCAACATTCTCACAACCAGCATGCTCGCTGACGGTATCCCCATCCGTATGTTGCTCCCCCACAAATAGAAACGAAAGCCAAAGAGACTTATAAAAAGAATACAGTCTACTACGGGGAAGAACAGCACCTGTCAGGTGGATTCAACCCTGTCAACCGGGAGGCCCTATGGCTTACCAAATACTCGGTTAACTCGACCTCCCTACCTTTGCTAGTCCAATCATTGAATCGCATTCGATCATACGCGAGCGGCGACGGAGAAAAGTCCACGGTCGCCCCGAAGTCAGGGAGCGACTATCTATCGTACCTCTCATTGCCAATCTACAACACAACAAATATCTTGGCCATGCGCAAGGGATTTACCGGTAACCAGGTTGTGAGCGTCGTGTCCAACCTGGGAGCCAAGCCAGCCACCAAAGCCACCACCAAAATCACGCTTAGCTCCGACGGCACGGGATTTTCATCCGGACAAAATGTGACTGAGCTCTTATCTTGCAAAACATTTGTGACTGATTCAAGCGGAAATCTCAATGTGGACCTCAGCTCGGATGGAGGCCCTCGGGTGTTCTATCCTACTGAAAGCCTGAACCGAAGCACCAATATTTGTGGAGATCACACCCAAACATCGACAACCTCCTCAGCAAGTCCAAAGACTTCCACTGGCGCTGAGATACCTTCATTCAGTTTGTCGTGGGAGATGAAATCATTGATAGTCACGACTGTATTGACCACATCCTACGTTTCTATCTAAATTTTAGACCGCCATTCCTTCTGTTTTGATCATGTTTCGTATACTTCGTATACTTCGTATTAGTTTTCGATTTTGTTTGTTGACGTTCTTTTCGATAGTCTCTGTAGTGGTTTTACTATAGACGAGATACCCCGTACAATTAATTCTATTACTTTCATATTATATCTCGTGAATTACCACAGAAAATAGGAGATATACTAAGTAACTAGAAACTCCGTACTCAGAGCAGAATTCCGATAGTCGCTCTTGACTATTACAGTAGGCATACACAGTAGAACGGTAACGTAATTCACTACCGGGCCGGACACGGTCGGCCCGGACACCTAAAAAATCATACGCGGGTGCAGGCAAAGAACTCTCTCTCCGTCCACAGACTCGGGTAATGAAGGAAAGCGGTGGCTTCTAATATCAGCTGTGCAGATTACGTGGTCTTATATCGATCATGAGATCTTGCAGAGACTGTCAGATAGTATGCCTAGGCGTGTGCTGGCGATTATTGAGGCAGAAGGCTGGTATACTACATACTAAGAGATGCGTATATATTAGTATAGCCAATATACAGTGGCGTTCGATAAGTTTGAAACACCCTCTTTGACCGCCTTTCACTACCGCCCACCATACTTAGCTAACCGCTGCCAAACGCGCTTTAACACGCTTTTTATATGTATATCCCTCTGTTGTTTATGCTATTTAAAGCTATTTAGATACTCAAAATGCCTCTATGTCCTAGTATTTAATGTGGAATACGAGGTTTTAGCGAGCAGAAAATGTGGCAGAAAGTTATGTAATCAATGAGTGTGTTTCAAACTTATCGAACGCCACTGTAGCTACTGTACCATGGCAACTTTTGCTGGCAGAATTTTAAATTACTAAGCAGTGGGGTGTTCGGACTTGCTTGTACCGACCGTGTACAGACCTACAGTACATATTTAATCCCTAGTACCTTTTTTTCTGACCGCCTTACTTACACCGCCTACCACTACGCCCTACTCGATCAAAAATAATATTGAACATTTTGACGCGTTGCTCTCTGCCTATAGCTTTCTTGTACACTACACACACAAACACACGAAAAGATGCCTAGAGGTCGTGTAAATACTAGAGATGAATGGAAGAGATTAGAGGTTTCTGCTGGCAGAAATATTAGTAAGCTAGGCGGGCCAAAGTAGAGGGGATGGAGGACTTTTGGGCCGCCACTGTACTGTAGCTTATCTGGTAAATGTTACCAGTTATGACCGGTATTCATTCACGGCTGTAAGAAACGATATAATACTGTATAACTACAATAGATTTCTAATTATAGTACTGTATGATAATCTCGATTTCCAAGCCCTATCGGTATTTAATGCACCTCTCAACGCTAACCTAGCGCTGACATGATAGTAGCGCTTTGCTAGAAGTTTAATCCTTTGTTAGCACGGACCGTAGGTCAAAATGCGTTTTGGAAACTATTGGAAAGATAAGGTGCAATGCTCACTTTGATGGACCCAGTCGCTGACGCAGAGGTGCAGTGCCCCTTCGTTGTTACCCTACGTGGGCACCAGAATGACCTCTGGATTTTTTTCAGTCTCTCCATAAGAGGCGCAGTTCATGTTAGAGATCATATTCTGGTTCTGTGCAAGGCTTGGACTATCTCGTATTCTCAATGCGCTCGGCTTCAGCTGAAAGTTACTGATTTCTGTATATAGATCTTTCAACAATCTAGTCCCCAGTCTATCGATCAAATATATATAGCCTTTTCCTGGGAAATAGTGGGACATTCCCCTAGCGTGCTCTCTAGTGATTCAATAATTCTATTCAATCAAATGCGCTATTCATTCACCGTCACCGCCTTGAGCCTCCTCTCATCGGCTTTTGCCATCACCGTCACCACTCCATCATCGGGCACGGTGTGGGATTTCTCTACTGCCAAAACTATCAAATTCACTAGCGAGTCTGGTGATCCTTCAGTAATCAGCATCATCCTTCGAACTCAGGATGGCTCCTTCCAGACCAAATTGGCGGATAACGTCAAGACCTCTGACGGCGAATACACGACCCAGCCTAACCCTAGCATCTCCAGCGGGTATGTAGAAGATAGAGTGGGTGAATAAAGAAGAACGACACTAATACCATTCTTTCATGGCTTAGAAACGACTATGAGATCCAGATAATTGATTCTGCTGGCCAGCTCGCCATCAGTGACATTTTTACTGTCAAGAAGGGCGCTTCGGATGATGGTACCACATCCTCATCTTCTTCCACCTCGTCTTCTACCTCCTCTTCTTCCACCACCACCTCCTCCTCCACTTCTTCTTCCGCGACATCTAGTGCGACCACTTCTACATCCGTCACTTCCACCCTTACATCCTCGGTGTCTTCAACTCCCACGTCGTCGACTAGTCCTTTGTCTTCCTCAGGCATGATGCAACTCCACACAATGTTACAAGGCGATGATACTAATACACCTTTTCCATCACAGGCTCCACCACCACCGCATCCTCTTCTATCTCTTCTTTCACGACCACCTCTTCCACGTCTTCCGAAACTTCATCCACCAGTGCCTCTGCCTCCGCTCCACAGTCCGCTGGTGCTGGGTCGTCTCAGTTCAGCGCTCCTAAGGGAGCTATGGCTCTACTCGGTGCTGCTTTCGCGCTCTTCTACGTCTAGATCATGTCCATCAGACAGTATTGTGCCTGAAGCGTGTATACAATCTCCTTTCGAAATAAGCAGAATCAAGGAAAACACGTGTCATTATTTTGTTGGATTCTCTTATTCTTGAAAGCTTGTGTCGAGTTGGAGCGAAAGCGTATATCCTAGTACGGCATAATCTAATTGTGAGAGGGTTATATCTATATACTAAGTCGAGTTGAGCGATCCTGCTAGTTCGCAGAGACTAGTTATATGGCCCGTACGGAAGCTTACGTCTTAACTATATACAAGGATAGGGTTGGTTCTAGGACTTTGAGGGAGTCAGGGTGTGGTCAGTGTGTGCTCAGGAAGGCTCAGGGCGGCACAACTTAAAAGTAAACTGAAATGAAATACCCCGAGCTCCCCCATTTTTTTGTCATATTTGGTAAATGGTACCGCCCGCACCATTCTGCAGTACAGTATGTACTCGGTGAAACTTTTAATTAACTTAATTTACTATAAGATCCAGACATATCAACCTAATATACCTAGTACTTGACGAGGGTCTGCCTTCGACGTCGCGCGACCGGGGTAAGAAGGGTGAGAAGGGTGAGTGCGCCATAAACAAAGTGAGAATCTAGGTTAGATCCCCCGTCGCGTGACTGACCCTCAGCTGAGATTTAGCATACTCCAATTGGTTATCTTGAATCTTCTGAAAGCGTTACAAACCCTCGGCCACTTGGCATCTGCACATAGCCACAAACCGCCATCACCTCCTTGAACGATCGAGCTTAACGGAGTTCAGATTCATCTTCCTGGTCTCAAGGAGCTTCAGAATAGCCTCTTCCCTGGAGAGCTTCATTTAAAGGCTCCGATTTTTGAAAGGAGTTGTTGAAAAGCACATGATCAGCTTGGGGCCCCAAGCTCCGCTGGGCCTATCAACAAAACCCTCTCCTCATTTACTACGCTCGGCTATCTCAAAAATTTCAATTATATTTGTCCATTGCGCTAGGTGCTTTTTTGGGGAGACGGTGATCTGGCTGAACCCCCGACATGCACGAGTGGTGCTCATGCTCGGGCTTCAGCCGCTAACCAGTTGAATGATGTTGATCCAGATCTGAGTTAGGAAGCTCTCTATATAGTTAGAAACTGGTCCTAGAGGAAGACCGCTTTTGAACTTAGTTGTAGCAACCGTAGCTCTAGAACTGCAGATGAATCTCATATTATTGTAACCTAATTGGAACCAAGTGAGAATACAGCGGTCTTGACTCCCACCTCTCTCAATCATTACAATTCTGTCAGTGTATAAAATGCCTACAATTCCAAGCCAAGCCTCAAGGGGCATGCACAAGGAGATACAAACCCTGGAGGAGAGTCATGATGTGTGACAGGAAAATCACATCCAGCAATCTTACAATGAAGGGTCATGAAGTGCTCTAAGAGAAAACTGTTGCCGGTTCCAGAGGATGGCGCTAGAGTCTAGAGCGAACTGGAACTTGCAGCGAAAAGATAGTATGTGGCTTTTCCATTCTGTATATTTAAGTGCATTCATGATAAAAACAGGTCTCTTCGCCATATCAAAATCCAAAATCCAAAATCCCCATCACCGCAATGCCTCCGTCATTTTGGCGGCCAGCTCTTTCACACCGGGGTTTCTCATCATCGTGAAATGATCGCCAGGAATCACTGCACATGTCACGGGCACTCCTGAAACTAAACTGTCCCAGCCGTTGGGCCCGGCATTTTTTCGTGGGTCCAAGATCCAATCTTCGGCTTGGTTGCGGCGAATGCGGGCTAGATCTTGGAATTGAGACATCTTCGCTTCGCCCACTGTTTCCCAGACTCCATTTTGCGCCCACAGGGCCGTGATGGACTTGGGTCCTTGGCTCGAGATGGGGATTGGCTTGGGTTTGTAGGTTTTCAGTGCCTTAATTGAGCCAATGAAGTGTTCACGGACTCTCTGAGGAATTGAGCTCTGCTTCGTTGGGGACAAGCCGTTGCGCTTGTCGTTCTTCAGGCCGTTGAACGCCCCAATTGTTTCGAGGAGGTCGACTGTCTCAATTGGGAGGGGTGGGTACACACTCGGACACGGGGCGTCGATTAGGATCAGCGACTCGATTGTTTCGCCGTGCTTTTGGATCAACTGCGACGCGACCTCGAATGCAAAAGATCCGCCGATCGACCATCCACCCAAGCGATAGGGCCCGAGTGGCTGGACGCGTTGGATCTCGTGGACGTACATGGCGGCGACTTCTGGGATCGAGCAGTCGAAGGAAGACGGCGATTTTAGGAATGGGCTGTTCAACCCATAAATTGGACCGGGGGCATTTAGCGAGGGCAGCCCAACATAGCTGCTGGCACTGCCCGAGCCATCAGGTAGCATAAACAGCGATGCACCGTGGGAGACCGAAAGAGATCCCTGAAGCAGAACCGCTTCAGCCTTGTATTCGGATGATGCTGAGCTGGGTCGATCTTGAATCTCCTCGAGGGCCTTTGCAAGCTGAGGGGATGACACCACGGGTGCAGTCCTACGGCCATCAATAGCAACTTCGATCTCTGCCAGGGTTGGGTGGTCGATCAGGAAGCTGGACGGCAACACCCTGCCGGTTTGGGTCTTGATGGTGCTGATGATCGAGATTGAGAGCAGGCTGTCTACGCCGAGTTCCGCCAGAGGGATGTGCTCATCGATCTCAGCCACGTCAATCTCCAGTTCATTGGCGATGATCTTTCTAATATAATCGGTGGAGCTCACGCCCTCGTTAGCGGGAGATGCTGCCTCAGTAATCGGAGTGTCCAGGCTGGAGTCTTCGTCACTGCTGGAGGGTTCGTTACTGCTGTCGCTGCTGTCACTCGAAGGCGCGGGCGCAGTCTTGGCTGAGGCGGAGAAATACCCACAAAGCTCTCGAACTGACGGGAAATTCACGAAGAGCGAGCTTGGGATCTCCTGGTTGAGCTCGCTGCTCAGTCGAGCAGTGATGCTGATTGTGAGAAGACTGTCGATACCCAAGTCCGCAAACATAACATCGTCTGCAAGCTCAGACACATCGATACCAACCTCGGAGGCAATGATATGGAGCACATTGCTGTGATGTGGCACGGCGGTAACTGTATTCGTCTTGATAACGATTGTTGATTGCTGCTTAACAGTTTGAGCGAACTTCGCCTCGACCCCGGCGGGGGGAGTCGCCAGAGCGGGAGGCAGCAAGTGGTCGAGAATCGCGCGCTTGATACGTTGGAACTTGAGCTCTTGGCAGACAGCGACCACTTCACCGTCATCCAAAAAGAATACATCACCGGACAAAACACCCTTTGTCCTAGTCTGCTGCATGCGTACATAACTCTGGTAGCTTTTTTTCTCAGAGAGCTCCCCAACGATCTTCATGCTCTTCCACCCGTGCGAAATGTACACACTGTCGGCAGGCGTAGTATCGGCACCGTTCAACACGAAACCAGACAGATGCGCCAGACTGTCGATCCAATACGGGCTGTAGGTGAAGGTGCCATCTTCTGGTGTGGTGCGGAAGCGGACCTTGGCAGTAGCCTCCAAGAGATCGCTGTCCATGTAGACCTCCTGCAAGCCCTGGTACTTGTCGTCGTAGTCGACTAGAGCAGCGAACAGCTTGTATACCATCGGTCGTAGGATTTTGTGAACATATCCACTGCTTGAGTCCTTAATAAGCTGGCTCATCCGGGATTTGACAAGGTAGCTTGTCCGGGTCCATTCGGACTTCCACACGTCAGCCTCGCCGCGATGGACACGGCAATGGGCATGGTCCTGGAGAGCGCCGCCATCCTCAGAAGAGAACTTCACCATGATGGCATGACTGGAAGGCTCCAATGTGGCAGTGACCCGAATGATCTGCTTCGTTGCGCCTGGTTTAATCAAAAGGGGCTTGTGCACTTCCATGTCTCGGACATCCATGGGAGCAACCGGCGCCGACGGATTCAAGACGCTTTGGATGTAGCCAGCCGCCGTGAATGCCATGTCGGCATAGACTGAGCTAGGGCACAGACCAGCACCATTAACAAGGTGGCCTCGCAATGCCTTGTTCAACTTAGGTTCAGCTGCCTCGGACGCAAATGTGACCGAAATGCCCGTCTCGCCATCGCGGACAAGACTCTCAATGCGATGAAGTCCACTTGTGGAGAAGGTAGGCGGCAAACTCTTGATCGGTGCCTGGCTAGTCTCAGATGAGGCGCCCTTTCGAATGGCCCAGTCACCCTCGTACTGCAACCAGTAGTTCCTGAGATCAAACGCATAGCTGGGCAGATCAAGGAGATGCAGATCTTGCTCGTATGGACGATGCACTTCCCTCCAGTCGATGTTCACACCCGCATCGTACGCCAATGCAATGGATTGAGTCATGGTCTTCCAATCGTCCTCGTCTCGTTTCAAGGACGGCAGAAGAACCTGGTCCTTGCCTGCGATGTTGCGGATCATACCCAGGCAAAGCGGACTCGGTCCGATTTCTATCCAGACTGGCGAGGCTCTATTACCTGCGTGCAGGGACTCAAGCGCCTGCACGGCCTGGGTGAATTGGACTCTTTGGCGGGTCTGGCGTTTCAGATACTGTGAGTCAATAATGTCGCCTGTTGTAACTACTGTTCCCAACTGGGTAGATGCGAATGGTATAGAAGGCGTCGCAAAATGAACGGTCTTGGAAAATCTCACGAGGTCGTCGAGAAGGGGCTCCATCTGAGCTGAGTGGAATGCGTATTCAACCTCGAGGTGAGTAGACTTCTTCTTCTCCGCCTGTAGAAGCGCGTGTAGAGAAGCGATTTGATCAATTGGGCCGCTGACCACGGTGGAGATTGGTCCGTTGACGCACGCAATCTCGCACCCAGACAGGTTGTCATTGTTGCTCAGAATGTCCTCGAGGTTGCCTTGGGTCTCCTGGACTGCCAGCATGGAGTGCGAGGCAGCTTGGCACTTTTCCAACATGAGGGAGGCTCTGACTCCGACGAGATAGAGACAGTCGTTGACGGAAAGGACTCCTGCAACGCACAAGGCAGCATATTCTCCCAGGCTATGACCGATCACAGCAGTGGGCACCACACCCATTGATCGCCACAACTCCGCCAGGGCAAGCTCGACAGCGATAATAGACAACTGAGCCTGAACGGGGGTTGCAGACTTAGCACTCATTGTAGGATCAATGATTATTGGCAAGAACGACGGGAAACCATGAGCAGTTGACATCCTATCACAGTCCAGAATCGTTCCGCGGAAGCTAGGCTGGGTCATGAACAGATCCTTTGCCATGCCAGCACGCAGCGACCCTTGGCCAGTGAAGGTGAAGACTACTGGCCGATTGTTCGCAGGCTTGGCCCACTGTGAGCCATCTGCGGTCTGTTTTTCCAGCTTGGCGACAAGATCATCGACTGATGAGGCTACAAGCGCACAGCGAACATTGTAGTGCATTCGGCGAGCGGTCGTTGTATAGGAAATATCTTGTAGACGGACCCCGAGCTTGGTGCTCTGCTTCAAGTGAGCCAGCAATTGACGCAGGTTGTTGATAGCTGATGTTGGGGTCTTCGCGGAAACCGCGACTATATGGTGGCTTCTGGGATCAAGGAGGGGAGAATCAGCGGAGGTGGACCGCGCAGGGGGATCTTCTATGAGCATGCTAGTGTTTCCACCAGCCGCATCGAAGTTGTTGATCAAGATCCGTCGCTTCCCGTCGCCAACTGTTCTGGAAAAGAAGGGAGTTTTCCCGAACGAGATGTGAGTATTGAGTTCGGCGAATTGGGGCAACTTCTGGTTGATGCGACCTTTGATGCCAACGTGCGGAGGAATCATGTTCTTCCTCAGCATCATGATCGCCTTGATCAGCGAGGTGACTCCACTGGCAGCTTCTCCGTGGCCCAAGTTGGGCTTGACGGTTCCAATGTATAGGGGATTGGAAGCAGTCCGACCGCGTGCCAGGACATTTGTCACGGATCTTGACTCAATCGCGTCGCCCGCCTGGGTGCCAGTTCCGTGCAGCTCAGCATAGTCGACATTGTGAGGCAGGACACCGGCCTTGTCCAAAACTGTCATAAACAAGCGCTCTTGGGTCTCTGCGTGGGGATGAGTGATGGAGACAGCCTCGGCGGAATGATTGGTGGCGGTCGCCCTAATAACAGCTAGGATGTTGTCACGCTCGGCCACCGCATCCGACAAGCGCTTCAACACAACAACACCCACGGCATCTGCTCGGACATAACCATCGGCATCATGGTCGAACGTCTTGCAGCCACCGGTCTTAGACAAGAAACTTCCTCTGCTCAGACCGGCGAACAGATCAGACGCAGTGAGCAAATTGGCGCCTCCGCCCACAGCTGTGTCGCATTCGCGAGCAAGCAACGCCGAGCAAGCTAGCTGTATGGCCGCAGCACTTGACGAGCAGGCCGTGTCTAACGAGTAGCTGGGCCCCTCCCAGCCGAAGTGGTAGTTGAGTCGACCGGGTCCAAAAGCGCGGATACCGCCTGTGATGAAGTAGGTGTCGACATTCTGGCTAGCATTGACCTCTCGCCAGTCGTCACTTGTCTGACCAATCCAGGAGCCAATTCGACGAGTATTGGTCGAAGGGCTGCCGTTGGGCGTGTATCCAGCCATCTCCAGCGCCTCATATGTCGTCAGAAGCAGCATTCGCTGCTGGGGATCTGTCTGGGCCGCTTCACGAGGGGACATGTTGAACAGACGCGTATCGAAATATCCTGGTCGGTCAATGAACACTCCGTATGGAGTCAAGGTCGTGTTTTTGATCTTGCCGGTAGGGTCACAATGCGTGTCAACATCGAACCGGTCTGCACGGATCTTTTCATGGAGATCCCGTCCTTGCTCCAACACCTTCCAGAACTCCTCGAGAGTTTCACTACCTGGAAGACGTACTGACATGCCGACAATTGCAATGGCGTTTTTGGTATCAGGCTCGTCCGCGGGTGTTTTGAAAGTCGCTATGCTTTTGTCGTCCACTTCAATACCGGTCATTGCTTTTAAAGAAGTGATGATCGTCTTATTGGAGCTGTTCGCGCCAAAGGAGAGGAGTGAGATCGACGGGCTAGCCAGGCTTGCCACCCCCTTGACGGCTTTCTCAAAGATAATGGGCTGTTGCAGAATGTCGTCGACGACCTGGATCAGTAGCTCGGAGAGGTTATCGGCAGCATAAGGCAGACCGGAGCTCGGTGAGATCAATGGTATGTTTGGCCTGAATGTCTTAAAGAGCGCATCGATGCAGGTCTGAGTGAGTTTCTTCCAGGGTACTGCATTGAGATGCTCTGCGTGGAAGGCGGCGGCGATTGGCAACGGGATCGTCTTTCGTCCTTGAAAGACTGACTCTTGCCGGAGCAGCTCTCTCGTGTATGATGGCGGACCGCTAATGGTTACTGAAGATGCACTTTGTGCGCTGATATACACCTTTTGGCTACACTTTGAGGGCATCTGAGCGTTGAATGAGGCCACAGCCTTACGAACATCTTCCACCGAGACATTGCTCACAAGAGTAGCCCAGCTACCCCTGATCTTCGAGATTGTGGAGGGCTGAATGTACTCTGATCGTCGAGATGCTTCCAGCCCGAGCTGGAAGGCCAAGGCCACTGCGTGATGTGCGATACGGACTAGCTCAGTAATGTTTCGAGAGCAGGAAAAGACAGAGGCTGCGATTGAGCCGGTACAGAGTCCCAGAACGGCATCGTGGCCAGGTGTAGATGAAGAGCCAAATTCCATGGCTCTCGGAAACTGTTCAAGATACCTAGCCAGGGTGGCTTTGTTAGCGACCTCCATACATTGCATAATTTGCGCAGATTATAAGATCGTTGGATCACTAACAAGATAACATGGCCCAGTTGAGAGACGCAGCAAATGGCAGCCTTCAACGCAGGGCAATGGGCAGCATCGCATTCAACGGCAGTAGCAAGGTCCGTCAGAGAATCCCATGAAGGAAATCTCTGTCTCTCACTGAAGGATGCTTGATATATCGCCTTGCGCAGACTATCCGTTGAAGAGCGCAGGAAGCGACGCAGTCCGTCCGAGTTAGCGGCGCATCGACTGAGGTCTTGGAGGCATGGAAGAGCATCGGCAATTTGGTCTCCAAAGAGATATAGAACGGAAGACTTGGTTGCGATCATTGTGGAAGATAATGCTTGGTTTTTAGTTCTCTGGATTGCTGATCAAGGCATTCATGATGGGTTCTTATAATTCTCATTGTTCGTATACAATCTATACGCCCCATCCGACAAGAAAATTATACTTTTAGGCCCCAATTATCCGATACCTTAGTTTGAATTAGCGCCCTGTCAGCAAAATGTTTGTATTTTTACAGTATTAAACACTGGATATCACTACACACCAATTCAACTACTATTTCAACACCGATTTGAACACCAATTCTGAGAACATTCGAAGAAAGTGGTAAATTATATATGCTAAGCCAGGCAGCTTAAGAGCTTAATAACTTCTTTGAATAATACAAGTAGTCAAGGATCTGGGAGTTAGAAAAGATATTAACCAGAAAATTAGAAGTAATTAGGGTCTGTTTAGAAGTAGCGTTTACTATAGACACTGGGTCGATAATAGCTATTTTGCCTGTTCTAATCTTTATACTGCTATTTTCGGTAGCTGATTCTATAGGGGTGGAAGAAGAGAGATGACCAGATATTGTGATCTGGGCTGGTAAATTGATACCGATAAGGTATTACGATCTGAGCCAGGGTGTTGTTGGACAGAGGCTGTATGCAATTTATCTTTAGCGGTCAGGTCACGTTCTGCCACGAGGCTTCCATGCAAGTATCGGAGAAACACGTCCGCTTGTAGGCCCAACTGGCTCGATTCAGCCTTCCTGTTGCCTGCTATGCCATTAGAGCATCAAAATTGCATGATGAATTGGCCTTCAATTACCAAGAGGGGGTCCCTTAACGAGAGAAATCGCGATCCTTCCGTTTAGCCTTCCTAATGTCTCAGACAAGGTTTCCGTTGATCCTCCAAACCTAGTTCCAGTTCTCCAACTCGAACAGACTGAAACGCAATCCCATCCTTCGCCCGTTGACCCTCCAAACCTAGTTCCAGTTCTCCAACCCGAACTAGACTGAAACGCAATCCCATCCTTCGCCCCTCTTTTGGCTCTCTTCCAAATAGAACCAGAGCGGTTCCAGGTCGTCTGTCACTATGCGTGCGCTTCTTAAATATCTTGGGTTTCAGCCTACGCCAACTTACTTGTCTTCCCAGTTTCTACGTTTCTAGCAAATCATAGCTAATGAAGGATTTTGCGATGCCCCTCGCCTTCACCTCCGGCTCGCTCTATAACGAGCGCAGCTTTTGCAATGCCATTCTATTTCTCTTCGGTGTCCTCACCTTGTGGCTCTACCGTACCTGGAAGAAGCAGTCGCATGTTCCTGGGCCATTCATGGCTTCTATTTCGAACATCTCACGTTTAATTTGGGCGCGCTCGGGCAGGGCACATGAGACTCACATTCATCTTCACGAGAAGTATGGGTCACTCGTCAGGCTCGGCCCGAATTCCGTTAGTGTGGGAGATCCTCGCGAAATCTCCAAGATGTACGGTATTCGCTCGAATTTCGGGAAGGTCAGTTGCGCACACCCGTTAATTCCCTGTTGGCGACCAAGAGACGATATGATCTGACCGTAGTCTAGTCTGACTATTACAAAGCTCTCCAGCCGATGTCGAAGGGCAAAATCATTCAGGGTCTTTTCAACACGCAGGATGACCAACTGCACCGTTCCATGAAGAAACCCATTGCGGGGATCTACTCCATGAGCAACCTCGTCAGCTTCGAGCCTTACGTCGACTCCACCATCAGCTTTTTCTTGGAGCGTCTTGAGGACGCGCAAGGAGAAGCGAATGGGCGAATAGATCTAGGTACCTGGTTGCAGTGGTTCGCATTTGATGTGATGGGCGAAATCACATTCAGTAAGCGACTGGGCTTTCTGGACGAAGCCAAGGATGTGGATGGTATCATGCGTTCTATCTGGAAATTGTTCCGGTATTCCTGCTGGGTGAGTGAGACTTCATCGCCCAGTTGGCGGCTTTTCGTGACCGTCGCTAATCACACTGATACATCGGTAACAGGTTGGCCAAATGCCATGGCTGGATAAGATCTGGGCCAAGAATTCATTTGTGAGTCGCTTACTGCCGGCGAAGAACTCACCAGTCGTCATGTTTGCTCTCGAGCGAGCACAGGAAAGAATAGCCGAGAAGCTGTTGCAGGGTTCTGACAGCCAGGAAGCGGCTTCTTCGTCAGGGTATAATTCGAACGATTTCATGTCGCGCTTCCTGGCCACCCGAGTGAAAGACCCGAGCATTCCCGAGTGGTTCGTGACCGCATGGACGACATCGAATGTGCTGGCTGGCAGCGATACGACCGCGATCATGCTCCGAGCTATAATCTACTTCCTGATCACGAACTCGGCCAGCCTCCAAAAGCTCGAACGCGAGCTGGGGCAAGCCCGGAGCCAGGGTCAATTATCTGACATCGCCACATGGAAGGAATCCCGCAACCTGAGGTACCTGAATGCCTGCGTGAAGGAAGCAGGACGGCTGCATCCAGCCATCGGGCTGACGTTGGAGCGGGTGGTGCCGCGTGGCGGCGCCACGATCTGTGGGCAATTCTTTGAAGAGGGGACCAACATTGGCATGAACCCTTGGGTAATACATCGAAACAAGGAGGTTTTTGGTGCCGACGCCAACCATTGGAACCCGGATCGCTGGTTGGACACCGATGCGGAGCGGGTGACGCTCATGGAGAATTGTCTTCTGACGGTGAGTACTCGGTGGCGCTTTGGGCTTGTCCGCAGATTTGAGACTAAGAGGTCCCTAATCCACAGTTTGGATCCGGGAGTCGGACGTGCATCGGGAAGAATATCTCGTATCTGGAGATCTATAAGCTCATTCCGACTATGTTTGCGCGATATGAGGTAAGGACTTCCGTTGCCTGAGATTTGCTGTCGTACTTTGGGCTTTGGGCTTACCATGGGGACTAACTCGATCTAGATTCAACTATGGGACCCGACACGGGAGTGGAAAATCGAGAACTCGTGGTTGGTGGTTCAGAGCGACTTCTTCATAAAGCTGGAGCGACGAAAACCTCATCTGTGATGGCGCGGACCTTTAAACCTGTCAGACAACGACTGCCGTACATACCACGGAAGCACCGAGTCTAGATGACACAGTCATACAATTACATATTTATTCAATATTGAAACATGGATACCTGTCCTTCTCGTACGTGGACTCGGACTCGAAATGCCTCCTTTCCGTGTCGATACATCTTGTCCAAAGTAGACCACAATTCAATATCCACACAAACCCAAGACCCAGAGCTCTACGCCAACGTGTTTATAGATTCGAAATCTTATAGAGCGACACAGCCCTCAAGATGGCATGGCTGGGGAGGTAGGTGCACGCCCCCTCCGCTAACCCTCCGCCAGATCGTCAAAGTGTTCGAACACAGACCAAATGAGAGGTGCACATGCACTGTCCTCAAGCTATCAAGCCTTGATGGACAGTAAACACTAGATAAACACTTCAATCATTCAAGCTTGCCTGATGGAATCTTGATTAGTAATGTATATACTACGCCTTCCCCCTTGAAACTAGAGGGGTGTACATCTACACCCACCCCACCAGACGAACAAAGTAATATTCCCAATGCGACAATGTCAGTCTGTCGGGCACGAAACGGGAGCGAGGCTCATCCCCGATTAAAAATTATTTTCTGCTTTCCTTCACTTAGCGAGTGATATGATGAGAAGGAAGGTAATCCATGAATTCTCGCAGAGGCCTCAAGGCAATAAGGAATATAAATCAAACAGCCAATCTCCTCCCGAATTCTTGTCATGTTTCGTAGAAATTGCTCCTCATGAGCACAGGACTCTGATAGTTTGACTGCCGGCCGCAAATAAAAAGTAAGAATTACCCGTTTATTCTTTTTATCTTCTCAACTGGCTTCGTGGGTCTAGATACAGGGTAAATTCATAGTCCTTGGTTATTTTCCAATCATGGCAGGGACGTGTCTTCTGCTTTCTCTCGCAATATTTGCCCAAATGCGTCAGCCTGCGCAGAGAATTTGCAACCTTTCCGAATGGCAGACCCATACTTGAAAAATATGAAAGGAAATGGGACACACGCAAGGGCGAGGAAAGCAGGAATCGATGATGCCCAGTGTATACCAAGACTCTGATACATATAACTCGTAAACAATGGGAAGACTGCACCAAACAGGGAGCGAAGGACTGCGCTCGCAGCCAATACTGAAGCGGCATAAATGGTGTACGAATCAATGAGATAATTCACCACGCTGAGAAACACAAGAACCATACCAAATCCAAATGGAGCCCCTGCTGCAATAGACGATATCCAATGAATCGATGGGCTGTTGGTCCAAGCAAACCATAGTAGACCAATAGGAATAGTAATTCCCCCAATCATTGAAGGAAGTAGACGGGTTTCTGGAGGGGCAAATCCACCAAGTCTCGCCTGAACGCGAATATATCGACTGTTTTCTGGGATCATTGCTGCAACTGCTAATATCATGCCCACCAAGACGCCTAGGAAGGCCAGACTTCCAATGCCTTCACTCCAACCACGATTTTCTTGATAGACAATTGGAAATGCGGCGAATAGCATATAAAGTGTCCCATAAATAATGGCCATATAAACAGACAGTAGCAAGACAATAGGTTCTCGGAAAAGCAATATCCAAGGACGTGACAAGGCCGCTTTAAAAGCCTTTCCTAGCGAAGGGCTAGTTTCCATGTCTGCTCTATTTTGGTAGACAAATCCGGTTATCTTTGACAATCTTGTGGCTCTTTGGCGAAGGATCACAGGGGCATATGTCTCTGGAATGATAAGTCTGCCTATAACCCAAATCGCACCCACAAAAATGGCAAGGGCCCTTTCAACCCATCTCCAGCCTTCGCTTTCTGCCAGAAAACCTCCAACAATTGGGCCGAGAATTGGCCCGAGAAAAGGGGAGGCGGCGTAAAGACTCATAGCTAGACCTCTCTCCGAGGAGGGGAACATATCAGCAATAGTTCACCTGCATTTGTAATTACAGATGAGCCAAAGGAGCCACTTAAGACGAAGAATGACCAAAGTCTGGATATTTCGTGAGCCGGCGGTACCGGCAGTCAACGCAGTCAAGGCAGCAAAAGTACCAATGAATAGCTTTTGACGACCGAAAACTTCACTCATTGGGCCCCAAAGGAGAGGACCAATAGCGAAACATAGAACAAAGAGCGACGTCCCAAGAGTGGCTACCTCATCGCCAACGCGGAACTGACTGAGGATCTGCTGTATACCACCACTGTAGGCAGAAGAAATGAGAGTAACCGCGAGAGTTCCCATGGAGGCCGCACCTGTGATGCCCCATTTTTGGATTCGGCTGAAGTTCATCGGGTCGCGAGAATCATTGTGGATCCAAGAGACTAAAAATGGACTCTCATCTGTTCCTGACCCTACATATGAATGGCGGAGAACCTCCTTGGTCAAGCCAGCCTGGTCGTATATCAAGAGCCAGTGTGGGAGTCTGGATGCACGCAATACCTTGTTTGCATCGCGATTTGTTTCCATCTGTAAAATGTGAAAGGCGGCGTTTGAGATCCAAAGAGATGCGGTAGTAAAAGGAAATCAAGGATATCGTTCCTCAAGGAAGGAGAGAGGCAATCCAAGGTATCCTGTGTATGGAAGGATAGTCTTGAATGTGGCCTTGAGTTTGAAAGCTGTAAAGTCGTATCACGGGATGAATTGCACAGTGGAAGGAAGGGAGCCGGCGACAGTTTGTAGGGGGTGAAATTTGGGAAAACGGAACAACAATACTGAGAAGTGTGAATAGTAAGAAGTTAAGCAAGGAGATACATGAAGCCAAAATATATTAACGAAGAAGGTGTATTAGGAGCCGCAAGAAAATTTTAGGATCAGTGTTTGCAAAGATCCTACAGTAAATCCGCTATGTCCAGAACATACCCCACCCAGTTATACGGAAGAAATATTAGCCAGGAAATACAGAAAGGAGACGTGTGTCCTCAGACTGTGGGCTTTTGCCTTTTTCCCCACTTGGAAAGTAAACACATGGCTTCTAACCTTGGGACTTTAATAGCGCGTTTGATCCATAAGCGTATAGAGGATAGGAGCAAAAGGTAGTTTCGAGTGGATAGGGTTGGCCCGTGATCGCGAGGGATCCTGCCAAGCCCTCCTACCTCAGGTCACAAGAAAAGTGGAGTGTCATCATGTTAGAAATTGGATCGGTTATAACTGTTATCTCCGTCTAACAGAAAAAACAAAACAAAGAAAAAGAATGATTGAATACGCAAAGCTCAAATAGCGAACTTTGCTCCTTATACTCAAGCACAAGTGGGACTGTGTTTGTGCCCTTAAATTGATTCTCTCTTAAATTCAGGAATTAGCGGACATATTTGTTTAGTCCCGCCGAATTGGTTCGACTATTCCTGGAACTTTGCCGAACTTCAACCGGAATGAACTCAGAATAGCATAGAACTACCACATTTTTCTACTGTGTATCTATACGTAGAGGGGTCACCGGCTAAACTTCGGACAATATCCATGACTGGACAAAAGATATATGCTCCCTGCCCCATACTACCGAGAATTCTGCCGGCTGAAGTCCTCATACAGTATATTATATATGGTGTATACCACCTACCAGACCTTATAACAGCTTCCACGCTAAAACATCATCTCCAAGAGGTGCTCCAAATGCCTTATTTATCACATGTTTGCTCATCAGTAGCTCTTAAAGCCCTCTTATTTAGATATTCATTCAGCATATGAACTAGATATAGACGAAAATATCTTTTGGCTTACAGTAATGCCCAGGGATTTTGAATATCAGTTGAACAACGAGGCTACTCCATGACCTCAATCTACATCTCAGCTAAGGCATCTCGGAGCGACAAATACAGTTCATGTTAGAGCATAAATATGCTAGAACATTGTTATGATCCGGGTGGACATGGACGCTCCGTGAGGACCAGGTAGGCCTTCTGAGTCACACACCTTTAGTTGCCTTTTTGGAAGGCCAGATCAGGCCTTCGAAAAGTATATCCTCTAGTTATTTTCTTCTTTTTTATAACAGTGTAGCCGCGCGCGAGGGACGGCATATCATATGCACCTATATATGATGGTCCGGTCCAGTATTGTGAGGGAATCAGGCATGATCGTAACAGATGCGTACAAAATACTGGTGAGCTAACTTCGGCCGGTAGGAGTCCCGTCACGGATGGTTTTGTCGCCTGCACAATATAGTGGAGGAGCCTCCTCTTGCAAATGGGGATGTCAGTAATTTGACTAGACTTAGACTTTCGCCAAGTTCCGTGGTTCCATAGAAGTTGTTCTCAGCAAGGGTTTTACGTAATATGCTCATCGACGTCAATATCTGTCATCAACTACTCCGTACCATGGAGATAACTGGAGATAATACGGGCTTAAATAATTCTCTCTTTTCTTCAATTGGGATCAGAAAGATTTAAGTATTTGATTTTCGGAAACAAATTGATTTCCCTTTTTTATTGACATCCGATCATTTCTTTTTCAACACATCATTTTTCAACGCCCAACATGGGATTCCCACCCTTCACTTCACAACATCATACTGCTCCCTACCCTGGGATTGATCCCGCCAGCCAGCTGTGAGCGCCGCCGGCAAAACAATTCTCATCACTGGCGGCGGATCTGGAATTGGGCCTCGTATTGCTGAAGCGTTTGCAATTGCAGGAAGCAAGCAAATTGCACTTCTCGGACGGACCAAATCAACCCTTGAAAAGACCAAATCAACCCTGGAGTCGACACATAGCGGATTGAAGGTCTTTATTTTCGTGGCGGACATCACCGATGCTTCGGCCGTCAACGCTGCCTTCCAGGGCACGAGAGCAACGTTCGGGCCCATTGACATCTTTATCTCAAACGCGGCATACCTACCGGATACGGTGCCACTGAAGGATATGGCCATCTCCGATTTTGCGAAGGGACTGACCACTAATGTTGTGGGCAATCTTATCACTACACAGGCCTTTCTTGCAACCGCCGCTCCATCCAATGCCGTGCTCATCAACGTCACCACCGGCGCCGTTCATCTCCCCTCCATGCCCAACTATTCGGGTTATCAAACAAGTAAGACTGCGGCGCTGAAATTTTTCGAAGCGGTACAGGCGGAAAACCCAAGTGTGCGGGTCATGAATGTGCATCCAGGCTATCTTCCAACGGATATGAATGTCAAGTCTGCCAAGGGGGGACTTGGCAGTGACAACTCCATTCCATTTTGATGACCTCGACTTGCCAGGCCATTTCATGGTGTGGGCTGCTAGTCCGGAGGCAGCTTTCCTAAAGGGAAAGGTCATTTGGAGTAACTGGGACGTGGATGAGCTGAAGGAGCGAAAGGAGGAGCTCCAAGGTGGGGACAAGCTGACCATGGTGTTGAATGGATGGCCACGGAAGGATTGAACACGCTTTGTTCCACAGAGCGCTGGTGCCATCCTTTTTGGATCAATTTACTCGTCGCATGAAGGTATTTTCATCGCAGAGTATTTTTGGGGTCAATTGAACCGTTTGTAGAATTTAACAGTCAAATCCGGCCACCTACTGCACACCTACCCTCCAAGCAAATTCTGTGCACAGCCCGGATGAGTGCATAGACGTCATTTGGGCGGCCAATTATGGGCTCTTGACTCTTAGGCCACCAGAATACGGAGTTGCATACCGTTAATACAGAGATTCATTCACAAAGGTCTATATTACAACAAATCAATCGGTAATATTTAGAGTTTTAGGCAGGTCGAGGTTGGCTCGCCCATTGTCGCAAGAACAAATTGCGGACTAGGTTTCCGGTCACTTTGCTTACTTTACTGGCTAGGCTAAATAAGTTATCCGGAGGGTTGTGGATTGGAGATGATATAGTACTATGGTAATTTCTCTACCTAGTTCTATAATTGCTACTAATATGTTTATATAGCCCTATCTACTGCATAATATTAGTACCTACCGAATCTACCATAAATACCTAGTAATATCAATATCAATTATAATAGTGATAACGCGTAAGAGGTTTTGGTATCTACTACTTTCCTAAGGACCTTACGATTAGTGACCGCGAAAATACTATATGTCTTAGTTTAGACAATTCCACGCACGATAGAATACAAGGAAGAATAGGTCCCTAGAGCTCCTATTTACTTAGTTTCTTACTAATCTTTTTATTATCTAGACATTTTTCTAGGAAGATTTGTCTTTTTATAAACGCTATATCCTCCTACGAATACTTATAGAAGACTGCCTACAACCACCCCACCAGACGAACATACTATTCCCAATGCGGCAGTGTAAGTCCGTCGGACATGAAACGGGAGCGCCCCGATCAGCCCTATCCACTTCCCCTTTAGGTAACTAAACTCCGGATCGTGCACTTCCCGATGGGGTAATCTGCTGGAGAGATTCCAGATCCGTTAATGTGGTGCTTGTGCCTCCTGGTGATTGGGTATTGCGAATCGGCCAGATGTAGTTTGATTAGGGCCATTTGGTCAGTTTGGCCAGTTTGGTTGGGGTGATTGGTTTTGTGGATTAGAAGCTCGCTCAAGCAAACTATTTTAGCGCACCGTCAGTTGTTGTCAATTTCTTCCCAAGGTCCATGTTGGTGGTAGGATAACTTGAACATCTTCATTGATATTTTCATCACCCTAGTCTTCGGCGCTTTCAACTTCGACCTCAGTTCGATCCTATACCACCTCCCAATGCCATCTTCCCAACCGTCTCCCATGTTCGGAAAGGACGTCGAGTCCGACACAACGACCGTCAACAGCCAGGTCACGACAGAGTTAGTAGCAGCAGAACTATCAAAGCCCGCAGGGCCCCCTCCGCCACCTAATGGAGGCACGAAAGCATGGCTCCAAGTCCTCGGGGCCTTTTTTTTGAACTTCAACACTTGGGGTCTCTTGAATACTTTCGGCACATTCCAGTCTGAATATAGTACGGGCTTGCTAAGAGACTCGTCGCAGTCTTCAATTGCTTGGATTGGATCACTGCAGGCATTTCTGATGCTGGTTATTGGAGTTCTGTGTGGACGCGCTCTTGATGCCGGGTATTTCTACACGGATATCACTCTGGGAGTCTTTCTTGAGGTGTTCGGCATGATGAGTGAGTTTTGCCACCTATTTACAACGAGAGAAATGCTAACCCAACAGTGACTTCCATTTGCAAGGAGTACTGGCAGGTTATCCTGGCCCAGGGCCTGTGTGTCGGCATAGGCGCTGGAATGTCATTCATCCCCAGTGTTGCCATCGTGGGCACGTATTTCTCGACGCGACGATCCACTGCGCTGGGTCTGGCTGCCACCGGCTCAAGCATTGGAGGCATCATATATCCCGTCGTGCTGAGGCGTCTGATCCTCCAGATTGGATTGCCCTGGGCGGTCCGAGTGATGGCGTTCATCATGTTGGTTACGCTTCTCATCTCGGTCGCTGTTATGAAGCCTCGCCTTCCGCCTCGCAAGTCAGGCCCGCTGATCAACATCGAGTCGCTCCGGGACCCCGTCTTCGCCCTTTGGCTCTTCGCTGCATTCTTTATCTTCATCGGTCTCTACATTCCATTCTTCTATGTCGAGCAGCATGCTATCAGCCTCGGCATGTCGCGGGACATGTCCTTCTATATGCTGATCATCATGAATGCGGGCTCGGTCCCCGGCCGTGTCATGCCATCCATCATCGCTGACAAGATTGGTAACTTGTCGGTCATGATCCCATCCGTCTTGCTCACTGGTATTTTGATGCTCGCATGGATCAGCGTGGGATCTCAGTCGGGTCTGATCGCCATTTCGGTCTTTGTCGGCTTGACAAGCGGCTCTATCCAGGCTGTGCTTCCCGCGACGGTCGCCTTCCTCTGTCCTGATCTGTCTAAACTAGGAACCAACATTGGAATGACCCTCTTTGCGTCGGGTCTGGGATTGTTGATCGGTAGTCCTGTAGCGGGTGCGATTCTAGACCACCAGCGAACCTCTAGGGGAGATGTCTTCTGGGGTACGCTGACCTTTTCCGCGCTCTTCATCTTGACGGGAGGTGTGTGCTTGACCATTGCTCGCGTGGTCAAGGTGGGATTCGCTTTGAAGAAGGCTTGAGATTCTGTATAAGACGGGCACACGCTGAACTTGTCAGCATATCTGAGGCAAGATCAGATCATAACTGTGATAGAGAAGGCAATGAAAAATGTAAAGTGATGGCTAATCTCTATTCTTTATTTATGTGTAGGTGAAGAAAATTATGTGCCTGCGGATTCGAATTTACATATCTTCCCACAAAAGGTCAGGCCTGGACTGAATCGTCGAAACTGATTCGGATGGCGCCATGGAATATGGTAAAAATAGATCGGACTGCATACCCAGACCCGGAGAATCTGATTCTGGGTAGAAGTCGCAGTCGCTCGGAAACAACGTCTGAATTAAGGGATCTGGAACTTGTGCATGGTCCGTCCAATTCGCCGCAAGAGGAGTGGGGGCACTTGGTGGAGCTGACGTCCTTGCGTTATTGAATCCCAGCAAGGCGAGTGTTGAGTCTTGGTATTCTCTTTTCAGAGAAAGCGCCATCTCGGTTACAACCTCCTCAGCAGCTGTAATACCGACCTGAAAGAACTTGGAATCCTGTTGTGAGCCGCCAAAGTCGCTGATTAGGCTTGATGTGATAGCTGTTGCGACAGCAAGGACGAGTCTCGTCTTCGCTGCAACCGGTCCGAGGTGGTATCTTCCCACTAGAATCTCCGAGAAAGCGTCTAGATATTTCAGCAAAAGCTGTTGGAACATGACCAGCGTGGGCGGGGGCCCATTGGAGACGGCTGTGCTCAGATTGATGCCAAGCAGGCGACCAATTACCAAACATGCAGTCAATGCTGCGCGGGCAAGGTCAGTCCAGAGTAGATGATAAGCAACGCTAGACAGCTCAAAGCCGCTCTGTAAGACCTCCTGCAACTGATAGAGAATGGATACCGAATTGTCCCATGATTCATAAAGATCGCCCCGCTCTGGATTATGAGACGGAACTCCTAGGACAGAATTGAGTGTGATGATGATCATGAAGCTATGCACGTGCACTGATAATAAGGCTTGCTGAAGCTTTTCAATTGGACTGCACGACAAAGCTCCCTCTTGCAGATTCGGAGGCAATTCACGCAGGATCTTGTGGAAGGAGGCGCGCATTCGATCGCGTACCTCGCTTGACAATTGAGGAGTGGTGGAGCAAAGCCGCTGGTGTAATGGAGCTCTCACTATAGCAAGCTTCATTGCAGCAATATTAAAAGCTTGGTCCGTTGCTTCCTGGGCTTGGTTCAACAAGGTACCTGACTCCATCATGTTTCCCGGGTTAAGGGTCAGAAGGTCGATAGGGCTCGGGAGAGGACAGTCCACATCTTCCAGTCGAAGACCAAAGTGGGATCCACTCCGGATGCAATATTCGAGGTTCAATCGGAAGAAGCACGACCATAATCGTTTCCGAACTTCTGCGTAGTAAGGAGTGACACCGGGGAAAAAGGCCGGATCCCGGTGCAAGCCCATGCTCAGCGCCAATTGCGTAGTCAGCCCCACGATACCCATGAGGCTATAAATCTTGTCAGTATCAGAGGCAGTGATGGTCTTCATGATGATCATCAACAACAAAGCCTGCACGACGCCGATACAAGGTTTTTGGAACCATGTCGATGTATGAATACGGCTCTCCGTTTCTTGCAGTAGCAGACGCCCGTGTAGTCGCTCTGACTTGTCGGTCTGCATGGCAATCGCAATGACTAACAGAATCTTGAGAGTATGCACTTCATTGGCGTCGACGGATGCGATCGATATTTCCTCCAGCTCAGTGATCAGGCAGTTCTGGTCGATCACATGGTAGATTCTACCGTATGTTTCGCAAAATCGCCTGATCCACTTTTTGCAGGTCGATCGATCGGGAAGGAGATGCAGTAGCTTCTTACCATCTCCATTCGCCCTGGCTGGTACCGAATTTGCGACGCGAAGGAGAGACTTGACTTCCCCGAAAGTTCTCCACATCGGTTGAAAAACAACGGTTTTCTCCAGCATGGCCCCTATGACGGGCAAATCATTGCACACGGCCATCCAATGGGTGCCGCTAATCAACCTTGTTTTGAAGTTCGACCCTTTAAAGGCACTATTGGCATGATTAACGGTGGTCTGCTTGTGGGGCAGGACCGATCGTAGATCGAGGTTCTCGCCATCGGAGGAGCGGGGTGTCGCCTGTTGCAGCGCGTGTAGATCGATCTCTGTGCTTCGAGGGGATACTATTGGTCTGGCAGATTCCAAGTCTGCTGGACTTTTGGAACGGGAGTACGTGCACTGTGTGTCCATTCCACGATCTTGGCACGGCTTGCATGGTGACTTGCGATCGCAGCGCACTTTGGATTTTCGACAAGAATCGCATGCCACGGGCTCCCGAACGCGGGGTCTTTTTCGACCGTTGTTTTTCTTGGGGTTCTCAAATGCGTCTGCATTCAGATGGCTGAACGTCAGCGACATCTTGTCGCCGCCAGCTCTTCAGGGTAATGATCGGGATAAAGAATAAAAAAAAAAGTTTGACAAAGAACGAGGGTCAGCCTACGGCGGACGATAGCGATCACTGGGAAAATGGATAATTATGCATATTCAAGACCGCCCTAGGGACCGCTCTGTAACGCAGGAATAGTGTTTTACACTGACTTTCCTATACAAAAATAGATTCTCCACTTTCTACTGGCCCCCATCTTGACCGCTATTTCTCACCGCTAATCCTAGGTGGTAAGGTGAAGCTATTCATAACATATAATCCGTCAACTCTCTATATCCCTAGGCGTTGAATACCCTCGCTGTCGCCCTCGCTGTCGCCCTCGCTGTCGCCCTCGCTGTCGCCCTCGTCGAACACCCTCTGGTGTCGCTCGCAGCTTCAGCAGATTGGGTAGTAGCTTGTGGACGTTAGCTTTGACCCTGAAGATCCACTACTTCGGCTCTATAGGGAAGAGACTAGCTATACCGAACGGTATATAAAGCACTTCGGCTTCGTGTATTATACCACCACGAATCAGGTGAGGAGCCTATCCTAGGCGTATGTATGAAGCCGCATAGTGCTTATTTATGGTCGCTAGTAGCCGAGACAGTCCAAAATAGAATTTACGTACTCCGTACATAATTTAATATAGGCACTGTAATAGTAATTCAGGTATCCAAACTTTCTGCCGGTCTTGAGAATATGCATAATTATCCATTTTCCCAGTGATCGCTATCGTCCGCCGTAGTCAGCCGCTTTGAACGGGAATTAGGGAAACGCCGCTAGTGGATGGCTAATCATAGTTGGGAGTAAACCGGTTAGCACGGCCAGCAGGGATGTGATATGCAGGCTCTTTGTCATTGGATGGAGTGATTTGTAAAGACTAGGCCGCGGCTTAAGTACGGCTGAGAGGACGGGAAGCCCTTCCAGGGTTTTATGCCGGTTTTTGTATATATTAAGCGACCACAATTTGTGTCTAGCGACCTTCTTCTTGGACTTGTACAAGGGCATACCGCTCTTTTGATCGATATTAGGGCAGATTTGGCGAAATATGAGCTATTCAACAGAGAGAAATACTATTACAATAGAAAGAAGCTATTTGAAAAAGCCTATTTTTCGGAATATAACGGCCGATAGGTCTCAAGATATCCCTCTCAAGAATAAAAACTTAAATTATCATCTTTACCTAATTTTTGACACGGCTAGATATATTGAGATCCTGATAATATATATTTCAAGACGAAATCTAGCCAAATAGGTTAAAAATAACGATTTCCTTAAATATAGTCTAGCTAGTAGCACTTAATATAGAAAGTATAGCTCCGCGCTAATCTCCCAAATTCTAGGACAACAAGACATAAAAATATTCCTAGAGCACTACTAAGCCCACTACTCCTCTATAGATATAGTCTTAGCTATGATTTGTACGGAAGTTCAAACAAAATATATTAATTACTTCCAAGGCTACGGCTAATTTTGTCAGCTAGACCTCTTGAATTACCTACTCACATAAAGCAGAGTATTTCGATACTACCCGAAATAGTGGAAATAAGAGCAGACATCCAAATTACTGAAGTACGCAATGACCAATAGAACCTTTAGGCCATGAAGTGGGAATATAGAGAGGCATTGGCTCGGCAACGTCGAGCTAACCTAAAGAAATACCAACATTTATGGATTTGAGATCAAAACATCCTGAATTAGGAAAAGGGGAAGCCTATAAAAGTGATAAAGGACATTTGCACACGTGCTCAATACCTGATCATGCCAGAGCTTGCACGAATCGCAACGGCCATGTCTTGTACAACTAAGCTGATCTTTGAAGAGACTTTCTTTTTGGAGAACCGCCATACCCTCGCTCACGCCAAGATGATGTTATTTATCTTCCCAATGAACAGCCATGGCGAAAGAAGCAACAAAAGATCGCATTGAGCCTTCACAGAGCGCACGCTACGATGGACAGGCAAAGGGTAAGGCTTGTGGGCCTTGGGATTAATACAATATTGAGGACTCCATGGAAAGATTGGAACAACGATGTGATGATGCGTGGTGTGAATGACCACATGGTTCTTGACCGAAATGATTATTGGGTCGACTCCCCTCAGAAGATAGTATGTAAACGCCTCTTGTTCACCGTTGCAAGCATTTTGTGAAAAAAGAGCGGACAACAGGGCATGAGAAGCCCGCATGAACAAACAACGCACTTACCGAATGATTTCATATGCCAGTAAAATTGAGCATTGTCTAGCTAAGGGTTTTAATCAAAAGTCACATCAAGCTCGTAGTTGCTTATTGAAACTTGTAAGCTGAGGGTCGTGTGTTTTTGCTATTGACCATTGAAAGACTGTAATAATGATAATGAACGGGCTATCATCCACAGTCAACATCAACTAAAGCTTCGACTCTGGATCTGAGCTCCAATGTTCAGGCATCGGAGGGACAATTGCCATAAGCTCTTTTGTCTCCTTTATCGATTTATCAAGACGAGCTTTCCATGCCTCAGTTTTTGCATAAAGCTCACGTTCTCTCTCCGCTTTTTTGAGGTCTTCCATACGACGTCCCTATGAGAAAGTAAGATTTTCTGACTGGTTATTATTATCCAATTGCAGAGACTTACCGTGATCTATTTCTTCCAAGAAGTCTCCAATCTCTTCCTCTCTGCTTCATTCCTCGCCTTTTCCTATTTTTCCCTGGCCAGTTCAAATTTCTTCGAACTCCAACCGACCGGCATCTCAGGGACCTTTGCCATCGAATCTTTTACCTCCTTTAGTCTGCCATCTATATAGGAGCTTTCTGCCCCAGAAGGTAGATCACGACGCATTCCCTCCAATTCCTTGATTTCTTGGTTGTGACGTTCCTATAAGAAAGTAAGTCCTCTGACTTCTTATTATCATTCAATCGCAGAGACATACCAGCCACTCCTCCCTAAAATCAGGCTGTAACCCCTTTCTTTCTGCTTCTTTCTTCGCCTTATCCGCTTCTGTCCAGACTAGTCGAACTGCAAGTCCCTTTGGACTCAAACCCCCCTATATTTATAAAATTCTTAGACTCCAAGCAATGAATTCAGGTCAAGATGGGCCAAATCTTACCAGGTGAAAAAACCACGCCATCCTCATTCATGAGGTCATGGAGCGTTACGGTTCGCCATATTGGGCCCTTAGGCCCATGACCATATGCTATCAGATCAAGCTTTCTATTCATCATGACGACCCTAGGATGAGGAGACACAAGTTCGAAGATAAGGTATCTGGTCGGTAGCTAGGAATAGTGTGATACGAAATGCCATCTAATCCAAATCAGTGTTGAATTTCTTAAAAAATGATAGTGGATGCTCACCTGTTCCAAATTTGACATTTTCATCGAGAAGAAACCTACTTTTCTTCCAATTGCCATTTAAATCTTGAGCATCACACTCGAGGTAAGTTTTGCGCTATGATAAGTCATCGAAATTTTCAGTAACGCAGCGAAAGGTTCGGCAAGTGTCAGGCAGAGACTTCCACGTGTGCCGAAAAGGCGCTGTAGCTTCTCTAATGGACGACATGGTGCGAATGCGCGCAGATGTTGTTTCAAGGATTCTTATGGGTTGTAAAAAGATTAATTGTCAAGAGGAAGAATAAGATAGGACTCTGAGGAAATATTTATACCCAGTCTGCAAGTGCAGGATGGGCGGTTGACCCACAATAAGTGAAGCTGAGAACAGAGAGTGTCGAAGATCAGTATTGGCGTATGTCTAGCTTTCCGAACGTGGTTAAGATCAGATGTGGATCTGCGGGGCCGTGGTAGAAATGACGGAGTTTGTGTAATATACTGAACCTATGAGAACTCAAATTTAGCTAAAGGTAGTCAAACATGTCACTTCCTTCAATAACCTTTCATACAAAGAGGGGTATTTCAAAAGTGAGTGGGTGGCAAAAGTAAGGAGGATGTCTAGTGCCAACCTAATGGTCGTTGCTGGCTGAACTGTGGCGCGAGTTTGGAGTTGACAGAACCATGATAGGCGAGATTAGGACAAATGGAGATACACACTACTGACTACTGTAGTTGATATCTGAAAGTAGTACAATCCGTATATGCACCAAAATCGCGCAAATATGCCGAATTACGATCTCGATGTTGGCATGCGCGCCAAAGAGGAGAAAACTACTCTGTCAAAGTCTCGAAAGTAAACAGTCTCACGGAGTACTGCGCGCGGAAATGTCATTCTCCAATATTGCCATTGCTAATGTCAACGTCATTACTTTGACCGATTCTTGGAAGCTGGACGGGAACGGATCGAGCGGCGGAAATCAGTACCAACCCCCTTCGTTTTCACACGAACATGCGAACCCACAGGTCAAGATCTAGAATAACGGGATACATACTGTAGCTCGAGATAGTGCAGTCAGTACGTGTTTATGAGTGGAGAACGGAAACATGGACCTATTAGGAGCTCGGGTCTACAGGATCCACTGTTCGTCTGGTAGGCAACTAGCGTGATCGCCTCAGTGCCAAGTCACTAGATTCACACCAGTGTTTTATAATTGGTCTATCGCTATTGTAAGGTTTATTTTTCAGATTTTCAGATTTTTGATTGCCTGACATGTTCATTGAGGTCTTCAGTAGCTTGGATGGCCACTTATTTGATCTTCACTTTCTTGGGAGGCGTGAATCCTTGGCTTCACCCTCAGTCAGGTATTGCTCTTGAAACTGCGACATATCGCCACCGTTTCTTAGCAATATACAAATTGCGTCTCTTTTCACTGTCATCACGATCTTTTAAGTGTTCGGTGGTGCGCTTTACTACTTGAGGACATATACTCTCGAGGGCCATTCGGCTCTTGTTAACTCGGTGGCCTTATCTCCAGGCGACCGGATTGGCGTCTAGCTCCGATAACAGTGCGGCTCTGGGACCCTGCGACGGGCACCCTGCAACAGACTTGAAGTGTTGAGGAACTGCCAGAATTGCCACTCTTCTTTAATTTTCTCCGGTGGCTCATATTTACGGACTAACTAGCGCTCCCTCGAATTCAGTTTAGGTGTAATGATCATAATCCTTGCCCACCTCACGTGTATCTGGAAGTTATCGAGCAGGGGCAGTAAATAGCATTGAACGGTGACAGGGTACTATGTCTGCCTTCTGAGTCTCAGCCTAGCCGTTCCTCGATTAATGGTAGTATAATTGCCCAAGGGCATGCATCAGGGCGGATTTCATAAGATTTCGTGTATAGCAGATATCAATGCCTCTCATTTCATTCCTTCCTCAATTTCCTAATATCTTTGACAAAAGGGGAGGGGGGATTGGGAGAGAAAAAGACAATGTATACGGGTCTATTACGCTCATGGAATGTGCCACTAAATTCTGCAGAACTGACAGGTGATACTTGCCACTAGTTACGCCTATTATTACCTATACTCTCATCACCAGTGTCTACCCAAACCCCCATATGCCTTGCATGGTAAATCCGCTCAATTCTGAATACCAGTGTCGTAATATGCCAATACTAATCTCCCAGGCTACTACTGTTTGACACTTTCACAACAGCGACCTCCTTGAGAATCAACCAATGATGTCAATTAGCTACCTGAATACTACAGTAGGGTGAACAGGTTTCCAATGATCCGACAGATTCCGAAAACCATAATTACCAAGGATTGGCTATACCGCTACGAGATATGCATCATTGAATAATGTACCCCCGGGACGCGTTGTGCTTTATGTCAGACGTCCGACGTGACGCCTTCATAAGAAAAACAGGATTCCACTTTAACGCCTAGCTTGATGACAACTGAAACTTGAGTGCATATGTGGCCTCGACCATTGTACTGAAACTTAGTCCTACCATCTACCATCATTAGTCCAAATTCTATTTAATAGTGGCGCAGCAGGTTCTACCGTGGAGTCGTATAGTACCGATTATTGCATGGATATGTACTATACTGTAGATTTGGACCCACTGTGGACCAAAATTACGAATTCTCCGTGCCACAACGAACGGTTATTCGTTGCATTACTGACGATCCGCTTGTACCGAATGGTATCAAAGATCCCTGTCATATTTTTATACCCCGCAGAACTACAACAACAGAGAAAGGGCAAATGGCATCAGCGGTGTACCCCCAGTAAGACTTCATGAATGGCCTCAAAAGGCACCGATCTCCAGCCAAATATCTCGTGACAATACGAGCAAGATCGCTCGAGTCTTGACTTTTACTCAGTGAGCCTGAGCCTGAGCCTGAACGCCCTCATAAAAGTGGCGGCAGCTTCAAAGCCCGGTTGGCAGAGGAAATCCACTACGTCGAGAGTTTGACGCTACTCCGACCGAAACACGATGGACCGGGCATGGGCTGTTTCAGCCTATTCCGGCACTGAGATCAGCTAGATCATTCATGTATGTTGATACTTTTATCTTAAAGACATAGCTGATGGCTGCAGTACATGTTTTATCAAAGACCACGCCATATACAAGGAGATCTCAGTTCCAAAGCACCGCGACAAAGAAGCCTGAACCCTAACCTCACCGCTCGCGCCATCGACACCGAATATTATACAATAGTAGCCACTCCAGGAGACCGTGTTCACGTCTAGAGAAACTTAGGAGGAACGTATTACTCCATGTCAGGCTCCATGTCGCTGTCACCACCCTCAGCGCCCTCGTCCATAGCGTCGGGGTTCAGATTCACAGCATCTGGGGATGCGCCTAGCCCTCCCTTGGATGTGTCGTGGGAGATGGTGCGCCAGCCGGCAGGAACGGCCGGGTCCTTGATGTATTCGGACATGGGGAACTGGCAAATTTATTATTAGCAAGGCGGACTCGCAAATACCCAGAGTTACGAGGTAACTCACGTAATGATCGTTCTTCTTCATGGTAACCACCCACGGAACGTTGTCGAATGTCACCGCGCGCAGGCGGAAGTAGGTGTTGTCGGGAACCTTGCGGACTTGCTCGACAAAGGCGTCAAGATCCGGGGTTGCAACGCCATTGACAGCGGTGATGAAGTTGGTAGGGGCAAGGCCGTAGTGGTAAGCGGGAGAACCGCGGCTCTGCATGTAGTGTTAGTTACAGACAGATAAGTCTTTGATAAACAAGATATACTTACCCTAGCGCTCACATAGACCTCGCTGTGGAGCTTGGAGATTTGCTGCCGCACGGCATGATGGGGCTTTTGCAGGACAGCGCCGCAGAAGACAACGGCGCGATCAGTCTCAAGATCTTCAGTAGGAACAGTTGGGACACGGATGCGCATCTCCTGGCCATTCCGAACAATCAAAGCGTCTAGAACCTCCTTCTCATACATGACATCTAGCTCCGACACACGAGTGATGAGCTGGTTGTCCAAGGTGAGGATGATGTCAGCTTCCTGGAAGCTGTCGACACCGGCGATTAAAGTCGACGGTGGGCAATCGACCTTGCGAACCATGAAGAGTTGATGGCGGGAAGGATTGGCCTGCGCAACTTTTTGAATCCACTCCTCAGTTACACCCATGATGCGCGCCTGGCTCATCTGCACGACGTAGCTCTCCATATTCAGGATGCGCAGCTTGGGGGTGACACCTTGCTGAATTTTGGAAGTAACCGGGAGCAGAGACGGGGTAGCAAACCCGAGGTGGTACTCAACGTCCTTGTGAGAACTGGGGGTGCGCTCGCCGAGGTAGTTGAGCCACAGAGCCTGCACAACGCCATCCTCGCCGATCAATACACCGTTGGTGCACTGGCCACTCAATCCAGTATCCACAGTGATGGCATCTAAGTTGATGGCGCGGTACCGGGGAGCGGAGGCGTTAGCAGGAATCGACACGGTGGTGATATCAGTAACCGCCGTCTTGGCTACGACGATGCGGAAATTCTGATTGAAACCAACAAATATAGTGTCCTGTCCCTGTTTGATATACTCGGAGCTGAGACGAGCGCTCTGCACAGGCGCCTGCACAAGGCTGGGGTCGTATTGAATGATGGTGTAGTTCTGTAGGGGGTGAAGGAAAACGACCTTGGCACTGAGGATGACCGAGTCGGCGACTGTGATGTTAATATCACAAAGGTCATAGGGCACAATGGCCCTTGAGACGACAACCAGACCCTTCGCAGCATCAATAACCAGACCAAAGCCGGTCTTTTTGGCCTGTGGGTAGCCATCAAGCTTCAAGGGCATTGTGCATGACACACGCACGAAGCTGCGCACAATCTCTGCGGCAGCAGGTTGGCTCACACCATCCAGCTGGATGAAATCTGCCTTACGTGGAACAGGAGTCTCAGCAGGAATAGGATCAGACAGGTCCGAAAAGTCCCAGATGCCTGTCTCATCATTGCGGACCGCTAGACGCATCTTTGGATGCCAGTGACGGTCCACATAGATGATACTTGTGCCCTTGGTATGCAGATCCCGAATGTGGCGATAAGAGATGACCACACGGGAGCGGTCCGGGATGGACTTCATCACCTCTACGAACTCATCCAGGTTGCGAGTCGGCCGCTTGTCAACCGAATCGATGATCCATCCAGACAGAGTGTTCTCAAGTTTGAATGAGCCCGCAGCCTCGCACACATATACTCCGCGGGTGGCAATGGCATAGAGTCGGGATTGTTGGTATGACAGGTCGTGGAATGTACCCCCAGCAACCGTCACAAATCGATCGGGTGTGATAGCATGGAGGTCACCGACTTCACACTCCACCTCGAGGTCTTCACCTCCTCGTTGAACGAGCAACCGGACGGTTTTGCCCACACTGGAGTCCAGAATATCGTCCAGACGAACGAATTGGGTGAGAAGCTCACCATTCACCTGTAGCAGCACATCTCCCTCCTGCAATTTTCCATCCGCAGGTCCTTCAGGTAAGATGATCTCGGCCGCAAGCATGTTGGTCTCGGCGGGAGCGGCCTTGCGAACAGCCGCTTCCCACTCAGGTGTAAGACCAAGGCGGCGGCATTCATCGAAAGGCTTGAGGATCCACTGGGTTTGGATGGTGCCGCGGGTGATAGGCTTGCCTTGGCGGATACATTCCAATGCACGGAGCGGGCGGTCCAGAGGCAAGAAGTAATCCGTTGCAGCCCCATCAGCACGTCCGCCTGCTTGCAGAGCGACAGCATGACCATCGATATTGACTACAGGACTTCCGGAACTACCACCACTGGCTGCGGCTGCAGCTTGAATGTAGTTTGTGTTGAAGTCACTGTAGCCCTCGCCGTACTCCGGAGCGTTCCGGTCCAAACGACTGATCACACCAGACAGAATGCTCAGCTTTTCACCCGCATCGTTACCAACCACTCGAATCTCGACACCTACTCGAGCTCCCTCGGGCTGGAGCTTGAGCTCAGTGAGCTTCATGTAGCGAATGGCTTTCGGATCAAATTTGAGGATGCCGAAATCGTGCACGGGGTCTCGATATACGGGGCGAACGTCACACTATCAATATAAAAAAAGTTAGCATCCAGACATCCAAACGAAGATGTTAAGTGGTTTCTTCGCAAATAAGCCTACCTCTTCATGGTTGTCGAAAATACAGTATCCCCAGAACGGACCCGCGCAGACCACATGCCGGTTGGTCAGAATGTATCCTCGCTCGGCATCGACCACAAAACCTGTTGCTTGACTGCTCATAGAAAGCTCTGTATCAAACGAACACGTCTGGCAAAAGTGGATGGACACCACACTCTTCACGACTGTTTCAATAGTCGCCTGCCACTCCGGCGAATCCGCCTGCGCAGGACCAACGGCTAGCATACGTCCAGTGTCATCTTCCTCTTCCACATCGTATACGGTCCCATTGGCCGGGGTAGAGTCGCCGGGGGTTAAGACTGAGCCTTCAGGCTTGAGATGTTTGGCAGGCCGCTCCACGGCGCCAGCGATGGCGCTGCGCTTGCGCTTCGCACCAATGTCACCATTCGCATCCATGATACTCGCCGACAGCGACAAAGGGCGATGGACGAGACCGGTAGGGGCTTGAAAGGACTGCAGCAAGGGAATTTGGTGGAAAAGAGCGATGGAGCGAAACGGCTGGAGCCAGCGCGGACAAAGGTGGCGCGCAGATGACGGATCAGGTGAAAGCCGAGGGGGGATGAAGGGCCAATGCACGACAGAAGCAGCAGAAGCAGTAGCAGCAAAGACCAAGAGACTTTGAGGGCTATGTACGCTTTGTCTGCAGCGCAGCAGCAGAGACATTCGCGTTGGAAAAGAGGCGGAGTGAAGGAAGGGAGCTGATTGGGCGGGCAGGGCACACGATACGATCCCATGGCCGAACCACGCGCCTAACGAGCGCCGATCCTTGCAGGGTAGCTGTGCGTCGTAAGTTGACTAATAGAATTTAGTATGGCATTTAGTACGCGGTAGGCTACGTTATCGGACATCTGACACACATTTGGTGTATCGCGGGCATTTCTGGCGCTCCAGAATCGAGATCCATGGTCTATTAGTTCGCTAAAGTGTGTTCTGATCGGTTTCATTCAAAGATTGTAGATATCTCTAAACATAACTAGAATACATGGGATAGAAGAGGACCTCCAAATTCCTCCGGACGGTGGTGCGTGAGGTAGCAAAGATAGCATAGCAAAGAAATTTTGGGGTAGTCTTGAGTACTCGTTCAAAAAAAAATTTACTATCACCTCCATTTGAGGCAGCTCTTTCTCGAATTCTTGCTTGCATGTCTGCTTGAAAGGAGGGAGTTCTCAAGCGGCTGGGTGCGCTAACACATCCCACACAATAAGACAACAGGGTTCTGTCCACCTCCTCGAAGGTATAGAGCAGGGCGCCTCTCACTCAGGTGGTGCAAACAGGACGGGCAACCGGATGGACGGGAGCTGCCGTTCCGAGATCCTCACCCTCCGGGGTGGGGGGAAGCAACAGATATGGACAGGGTGTAAAGAAGGCCTAGATCTTGATTTACCCGTTCTTGGATAGGCAGATTCGGGAATGAAGATCAGTCTAGCACCAAAGGAGGGAAAACTTGCCCACAAGGACAACCTGGCTCGCTCCTCTTCAGACCACTGATTCCGAGACTGGTGACGGACTGGGCCCGCCATTACCCTGCATCGTTCCTGGACTGAGCTTCTGAGGGGTAGAGGCCTTGCCCGATCGTGGGAACAACTCATTCAGTTTAGTATAAAGGTCATGGACCGCAGGCAGGAGAGGAGGCGGGGTCATGATGGCCGGAGCCTGGGGAGCAACGCCGCCTGACTTTTTTGCGCGGTCGGCTATCGTCGCGAGGTAAGCCAGATTGGCCTGCAATCGGCGCATACACTCAATATACTCCTGGCTCGGCTTGGAGCCGGCCTTGGCGATCTCTCCACCCTGATCCGTAGGGGACGCACTGGCCTCCCCGCCTGCCCTCCCAGATGCCTGTAGATTGACCACTTCCTGTAATAATGCTGAATTGATATCGAGCAAGGTTGCGACGCGGGCCTTCTCACGGGCCGCCATGTGAGCTTGTGCCTGCGCTTGGGCCTGAGCTTGTGCTGGGGACTGGGCTTGGGCCGGAGTCCCGGGTTGGGTCGTTTGGGGAGAGCTCATCTGGGGAGGCTTCGGCTGGTTGACAAGTAGATTGTTTTGCTGGATCGACGCCATGTTCTGATTGAAGGCCTGCTGAACGGCCGAGGGCCCGTTGGGTACAGTGCCTGGTTGGGAGAATGGGGTCATATTGGCAGGGACGGGGGGCTGGGTGAACGGCGCGGAGAACGCGTCCATCGAGACTGCTGTTATGTTAGCAGTCAGATCCACATCAATCCAAGTTAGGCTGGACACCCGAGAACCCTCGTCGGGAGATAGGACATGATTGCACGAGTCGTAGCGTCCATGCTTGCCAAGGAACCGTTGATGCGACAGCTGGGGCTGGCACTATCAATGATATCCATCACAACTGCAGGGTCTCCAGGGGAAGGGAAGGAGGGGTGGCAAGGAGGGGTGGCGACGCGCCGTCCAGGAGGGAGGGGAAATGAAAGACAGCTCAACGCTAGATTAACCCCCAAAGCGGATCTAGCTGTCGTTTCCCGGAACGTTCTGGGGCGACAGGTCGACCCCGCCAGGGAAGGCGAAGGGTGTGTCGGGCTAATCATAATGAAGGGACAGAATAAGGGGGTGAGAATCGACCACGTACCGGATGACTGATGGGGAAAATTAGTGGACATCATAGCTCCTCCGGGGCCGCCTGGCTGCATGGGCATCGCGCCAAAGGAATGCTGTTGCTGCTGCTGCTGCTGCTGCTGCTGGACAGGTTGTATAGGTGTCTTGGACAGGGGGTACTGGGGAATCGAATTCGGGTAGAAAGACATTTGGTTCGGGGGGCTTTGAGTCGGCACGGGAAAGCCAGCAGGATAACCAGCATTGGGGTCCATTGTGTAATAAGGGACCATATCACGGCCCCGAGCTATTGGTGTGAGGAGAGAGGGGCCGCGGGATCAGTATAGGCCCGCTATATTAACCCTTTTTCCCTTCGTGTCTTCTTGGATCTCGGGAAGCCACTGGGAGGGTGGGAAGCGCCGTTGATTACGCACGCCGCACGGACTGGAGGTGAGCGAAGGGGAGGCGGACGGAGGACCTCACTTGCGGGAATCCAGGGATAGGGCGGGCTCGGGAGAGTCGAAGGAAGCGGCTGAAAGGGCCTGGACGACAGAGAGATCTCGAAAGAAAAACAAATAAAAGGGCGTTAATGATTGGCCCTCAGGCAGAGAGGCAGGCAGGGGGGTGGTGTTTTGGTGGTGTTGTTGTTTGCTGGACCGCGATCGACCTCTCCTTTGACAGAGCTGGCCTCGGAGCCACGACAGAATTTTGGTGGGTTGCGGTCCGGATTCAGAGCGATCGGCCGTGGGCGGTCGGGCTAATGCAGCGGAGCCTTTTCCGTTGGTGTGGGGACACGGACCCCGATGGCTTGAATGGATGAAGTAGGAAGTGGGAAGTGGTTCTCGGTGAATTTCGATCGGGGGATGTTGTTTCGCAGGGGAGATCGAGATTCTGCGCGCCAACTTGGAAGGCCGAACGGCCTGGGGTCGGCGGGAAGAAGACGACTGGATGAGGGGGGAGTCACGAGACCACCAAAGACAGCCTGTTTTTGGAGGTGTATTGATACCGAGAGGGATGAGGTCGCTAGTGACGGTGCAGGCATCGTAACAACGTATAACAGCCGTATTAGAGATTACAGTGCCAAGCACCGGGCCTAGCATGTGATAATACGCTAGTCCAAACCAAGACAGTTCGCCATAAATAGTTCACTAACGTGAATATGTCTGCCTCAGGCGGACATGCTGACAGGGACGGGGGGTTCGGCGGAAATCCACGAACGGCTCCCTTAGTGAATCTTCTTGCTGCGATGGCTAATGGCTAGGTGACTGGAATGGGACGCACGAGTCGCCAGCAGTACGGAGTACTACGGAGTACTCGGAGTACACCGTACTCCGTACACCCTTTTGCAGTAGTAGCTGAGTTTGCTCATCGCCCATGGCCTCAGCCGCAATGCATCTGCTGCGCCACATAAAGTGGATCCGCTGTGGCGCAAGAGACCATTCTTGGGCCCGACACTGGCACTTCATTGGCTTCAATCAGCAGGCTGACCTCCAGGATTGATTGCGGCTAGGCAGAACCCAATCTGGAAGAGACGATCCCATGCGGTGAGTAAGGATTGAAATAGTATTTCACAGATCTTCTGACCTCTCAATTTTTTTCCGAAAGGAGATAAAGGTACGGCGGGAAAGAGGTTCCTGCGAATGCAAGCATTATTTGTCAGATGTGAATAGACAAGGCGTGGAGATAAGATAGCTTGACTGGGTCAATTCGCGCTCGAGACAAGTATATACGGTGAAGTCGTCATCCACCGGTGAGTACAAGGTCGAGGCCATGTGGAATGCCTGCAATGAAGGCCCCGCTCGATTGGCTTCCCCTCTGAACCACGGTAGAGTCGATGGGTCCATCGTCTGGGCAAGTCAACGGTAACTCCGAACCTCGGAGCGGATCAAATGAGACAATGCGACCGCCAAGTGTTCAAGGCCGTGCCCGAGAGGACCAGTGCCCTGGGTAGGATCTACGAAGTCGAGGTAGATGACGTCAACTACGAGGACAGACAGGACCTGAAAAAAGGAGAATGGTGGACAAGGCGCTCATGCCGCGGTGGTTTCGATTTCAAATCGCCCCACCGTCTTAGGAGGAGGTTATCTGGAACGGGCAACCTGCAGCCCGCTAAGGGAGGGAGGTGCAGGTGGAGCAGGAGGTATCGCCCCGACGCCACAGGGCGATTTTAGAGGGATCCAGTTTTTCCCAGTTTCCAGGAAATGCAAGTTGGAGATCCTTTCCTCGCGTGAACGGACTACGGACTATGGTGTTGTGACAGCCAAATGGGGGAGGACTAAGAACAAATGACAGCCTCCCGTTCAGCCAGCCACTGTGGCTTCGAACCGACGGAGATGGATTTCCGCACAGGCACAGGCCCGCGTCTGTTGCCTCGAACTGGGGTAGCCCACCTGCTGTCGAGGAGGCAACTGGTGCTGTGCAGCAGCCGAGCATGTCAAGGGGAGAGAAGATGCATCTCCGCATGCACTCACGGAATGTACTTACATTGAGCGACAGTAGGGAAATCAGTGATCCCGGTGCTCGGTACAGCAATGCATGAACTAGCCTAGCCCTATTGATGCTGTGAAAAACAAAAGCGAAACCGAAGGCATCTTATACGTCTCGAGTACGGAGTACACGACACTAGTTCATGAATACCTAATATGTTATATGTAGGACTCGCTCCAAACTCAATCTGCTGCCTTATGGCGATAAGCTCCCGTGGACTATTATAGTATGTATTAAACGAAGTACTCCATGCTTATTCCGCTCTGTCTGCACCAGGGTGACGAGGGACCCCGCCCTGCACAGGAATTTGTCAACCCTAAATCGGGGTTGAATGGCGCACATCGTGTGCATGACTTGCAGCCCGGATAACTCTGATTAGTGTTCTCCGTTACGGTATGGCTTTGACACAGCAAGGCTCGGTACCACGGGGACTCCGAAATATGCCAGGAAGGCCCCCTCCAAGCATCCAAGCTGGGTCATCTGGGACCGCTTGCGCAATGAATGAATGACTTACAGGCGCCACTACCTCCTTTGAGGCTGGAATTTAAACCTATTGGGGAAAGATCTCACCGGTCTTCCATTCCTAGTGATAGGAACGGGCCCCTGGGAGAGGAACTACGGGCCGAACCATAGATCGAGCCCTTGGCGACCCTGAGTTTCTCCGACATGGAAAGACATTGTAGGTGTGCATCGATCGACAGACAGACTGTCACCAATCTACGGATATCGGTGGGGTGCTGACGTTCGGGATTTGGTCTTTCCAGCACGCCAGTGGGTCGCCCGGTCCAGACTGTTCACGGCTGTTTGGCATCCATCATCCATATCCTTCATAGAAGAGTAAAGGGTGCGACGCGCTGCGAAAAGGGAGACAGGAACTTTGAACGGTGATTAGTATACCGGACTTGAAGAATCATCCTTCGCTTGATGTTTGGGCCGAGTTGGGGCCGCGCCGGCCGAAGCTGGTCGTGGTCCAGCCCCGTCCCGGGTGGCAAAACCTATACGATAGCTTAATGACATCCCCACAGAGAAAAGCAATGTGGCCCTATCGTGCACCCACCGGGTGATGGTGTTGCATTGACTCTCAAGTTTCAGCTCCCCTCGCGGGGGAGATCCCTTCGTCCGATGTTCACGGTAATGATCATCTCTCCTCTCAGGGATAAGCGTGCTCGGCGACAGCTAACTCAGCCACAGAGTGGCGTATGAATGCATTATTGACTTTGGGATCTGGCTGTCCGGTAAAAAAAAAAAAAAAAAAAAGGAAAACCCGCCTTCCCCACCCAAAAATGCAAGTCCGAAATGAGGTACGAAGAGACGTCCATTTCTGACCGGGATACCCATGGTAAGATGATCGAGGATCTTCACGCGCGTATCGCCCGTATTCAGATCTGCCACAATTGCATACACGTGCAGCGACGAGTCCGAGGGCAGTTTACTGTGTATAGAAAAGCCTCCTGAGGGGGAATGTTTCTTACTGGCGGTTCTATTGGATACTTTGATCCTTACCGTTCACTTTTGCTTCTGCTGTTGTGCACTTGATAGATCGTCTCGGCTGGTCCCCGGGAAGCAGTGCCCGTAAAAGTCCAGTCTCGAGGCGATAAGATGCGATTTGTCACGGACTTTGAGAGAGTTGGGAGGTTCACAACTGACAACCCATGCACCCTCAGGCTTATCCCCGCTTGAAAAAAAAAAGGTCATCGTGCAGGTGCCAGCGGGTTAACCGGTAGTCAGCCTGCGGGTAGAGGCCGTTAAAGGACGAGAATTGATGCAGGAGTGACTGGGGAATTCCGGCGGTGAATAGTGATAGCACACGGAGACACTGCTATGCTGCACGAAAGCATTCCTCAACCAATTTCAGCCACAATCGATGGCTTGCTCGGGTGGCTCTTCGCTTCAAACCGCACTGGGAAACATCCCACGGCACTGGTTCTGGTCGCTGACCCTTACAGATTAGTTCAGAACAAGCCACAAATCGTCCCGATTACCCTTTTGATATTTAGGGGCCGAAAAAAGAGGCGGAAAAGAAAATTGAGGGAAAAAAGCCATCGCTCGCCCCACACAAGCCTCGGCCATGTGGACGGGTATCGTACATACACAGAGATCCGATCTTCATGCATTGGGGGACGCGGCCCGGCGCAAAGGAGGGCAGTTGTGGGCCTTGTGCCCCAACACTCGCCAGCCGATCTTCATCCTGGGTCCTGACTAGACGAACGCCACACTGGCACTTTCGAGGTTGAGACTGCTCGGACCTGATTGGGTGCTCAACACCTCACACCCTTCATCCCCAGCTGAGAATCCCTGGCCGGACACCAGTGACGATGTGGTGCTTGAAGCCCTACGCTACAGCTGCTTATCCTAGGGTGTGGGCTCGCAGCGGATAGCCGGCGGTTTTCTACTATTTCGGGTGCCTGGCGTCCATCTCGACGCATGGAACCCAAAAAAGCAACCCAGAAGATCCTAGAATCTCGACAGAGCACATGAGGTAGAAGATCCGTACTTCTGTCACAAACGGCTGGCACGGATCTGCATTCCAAAACCCGGTACAGACCAGAATCCGTCGTAATCAGCTCGACCTAACCTTGCTTCAGAGCTGGAACAGCGCGTAGTCGTGGGTCTATTTAGGGCTACCATCTACTTTGATCGATAGACTGCCGCTGACCCCCAATGAGGATCATTAGGAGCGCCCTGAACACTTGCCTTGTCTCCTAGTGCCATCTGACGGGGTCTCTGGTACTCTGTACGATCACCCCATCACCTTAAAAGTACCATAGTCTGCAATTGGTCTGGCATGCACCAGGAGGATCACTGGATAGTACAGCAGAAACACGCGGTGTGTGGAGAGCGAGAATCCTCGGCAGTCATCGACCTTGCCAAAATTCCTGGAGCTGCAGAGAAGCACCCGAAAGAGGAACTAAACGAACTGGTTGCAGAATCTCGCAGTATACGGTTATACAGTTATACAGCTTTACAGCTTTACAGTAGGCTAACGGTAAGGAAAATACCTCCGGGAAACGGTTCGGCCATAGTGCATCCGCCTAGCGGCCCAACCTCGGGGGCGCGGTTCATCACTGTATCTCTGGGCTGTCCGTGCTTTTTTCTCTTCCCATCTCGCACAGCTTCTCCTCCTACCTAGGAGGTTGGCTTTCTCCACACTTTCTGCTTGTCTGCCCCTATGGTGCGCCACAGTGAGGGCGGCCGGTGGCTGAGGAGATCGTCTATAAATCTCCGGATCCCAAGTGTCCCTCCCCTCTCGGTGGGACCCCCGTTAGCGACCTTTTATTATCTTCTTTGTGCCCTTACCAATGCTGCTGTGTGATTCTCACTTTATCAGACATGATCCCTGGCTGTAAGCCTCCCTTTTCTTCTATTCCTTTCTGCGGCTGGAGTGCCTTCAGCCTAGACAACCATCAGGCCAAGTGTGCATCCAAATCCCCGTCGATGAGCCTGTGCTCCATGGTATTGTCTTTGTACCCTACCTTGCAACATAGGGAATGAAGAGGCAGACTGACGAGTAACATAGGTCCCACCAACCATGTCGAGGCAGAACCAGCAGGACGAGCTGGAGTTTCCGCACTTTGCCCTGATCTACATCGATCGGGACGGCAATCTCCGCCACGAAGCCTCCCGCTCCATTGCCGACAGCCGCGAAGCCATTCTATCCCCCCGAGTCACAAATGCATTTCTGCAAGCTGTGGCGCGGTCGAATGAGGCTGTCCCGTCACATTCCACATGTAAGTGTCACATACCCCGTCAAATCCAGAACGGGGAAATTGATTGACTGTAGTTGAACTTGGAGCCCCAACGCCATCACCACCTCAAAGAACACCCAGTGGACAGATCCCTCTCCGACCACAACTAAATCGTGTTGTCAATATCCCAGAGGCCCCCGGGCCGGAAGGGCACGAGCGTATTCCTGTGACCCCCGGGTCTACAATTCAGCCGGCTATGTGGCCGCCGCCGCCGCCAGCCCAGCAAGGACTGTGGCCTGCCTGGTCTAGACAGGGCACGCAACACCAGCAGCACCAGCAACACCAGCAACACCAACAAAGCAGGCAAAGATCCTGGAATGAAGAGCCCAGTATGAGGAGCAACCAGAAGGCTGTAATCTCAATCCGAGACAAAGACTTCCTGCGCCAGTACTATGAGAAAGTTTTCCAAAACTTACAACAGACAAATTGTCGAGTCCTGGCAAAGGCCTACATCAAGCTTGTCGAGCCCCGCAAGCAGGTCAACTACCCCTACAACGGGCGAAAGATCGTTGCTGGTCGGACCCAACAGTTGGAGCCGGACGAGACCAAGCCGCCGTGGTGGCCCTCAGGAGTAAGCCATCGCGAGCCCGACCATCTCCCCAAGGCCGGTAGGAGAGCACCATTTCAAAACGGACGTCTGGCCGACCACTAATGAGATAAAAAGAACGCATCAGACTCCTAGTGCATATCCTATGCGAGTTACGCACCAGCCATGGAGTCACTGCCCGCAGACTCAAAGAAGCAGACCAACCGATTCGTCGCCAAATCTCTCCGCTCGAGCGATTACAAATACTGGACGAGGTCTACCAAGTTAGAGAAGAAGAGGAGAAGTTTCAGGAGGGAGCGACCGGTAGATATGCCCACATTCACTCTGCGCATGCATGGAAACTGACCAGCTCTAGACGGGAAAGCCCTAGTGTCGATTTCGCGAGCGAATCTGCCCGATACAGTCGAGGTCAATTTGAGCCCCGAGGAACGCAGCAGGAAAGGTTCCCCAACCGAAGAGCCTTTCACACACGATCGAGAAACGATAGCAGAAACCATGGTTGTTCGCAGCGGCCCTGTCCGTGCCACTACGGCTACCCAAACCGCATTTACGCCTGGCGAAATCCCCCCGAACTTAATCCCGACGAACTCTCGCCCTCCCTCCCATAGCCCGAGCCAATATATCAACCAAGATCTACCTATACAGCCCGTCTTCGATCCCACAGCCTCTACATCGGTGTCGCAGCAGGAACTGAAGAGAAAACGCCAATGCGTGGAGCCTGGTCCCCCTACCGCTACAAGCCCTGACGCCGTGGGATATTTCCCACCCATGTTTGTTGGCTCTCAACCATTCATGCCCGAGTCGTACGAAGAGCTCCGAAGCTTCCCGGCCCAAGGCGTTCCGACCACAGTCCCGCCCGACGCTGAACCATATGGGGAGAATATGGATAGCTATGCGTTTCCATACTATTTTGATAACTAATGGGCAGCATCTATTGTTTTGAAGCTTTCATCTCACAATAACGAGTTTCCTTGATTTATGGCATTGATGAATGGGAGCAGCTAGTTCGGCTTATCTGCTACATCCTTTATCTTGACTATTGGAGCGAGCATTGATTTGAGAAACAAAAGGGTGGAGTTTTCACGGGTTAGCTATTGACGAAGAATCAATGACTGAAGCATACTTTTCACACAGTATATAAGAGATGAGAATCACTTAATGTGCTGGTAGCGTATCTGAGATTCAAAGCTTGTGACAAAAGGTTGCTGCAAGTAGCAGCGCGCCTCAGGAGAGATCATAAGCTCCAAGATTCCGAACATGAAAAGAATCAAGAGGTACTCCATAAATCCTGCTTTCGCGGGGAATTGATGATATAGAGAGAAAAGACCCCGAAGAAGAGTTTGAAGAATGTATTGAACCGAGAATTAGAATCTCAGCCTAGCATTTGACATAGCAATCTGGAAAAAATGGTTGGGCAACCTGGCCTACGATACTGATGATCGAATCATAGACATAAAGCCGGCTACTTCTTATATTGATAGGTATGATACGGGCCATATCATTCCATCCTGCTTAATGTTCCGCCCCGAATGATCTGCCAAGGTTGTACACGCCCTTATAGACACTGCGAGTACCAGGAATTGGCGTATGTGCAGGTATACCCACTAGCACAACTTGTCGCCCCGGTCCAGCCGGAGCCACCGCACTGGCCATAATGAGCGGCGACGCTTGTAGATGTGCTCGAAATGGACGTGGTCGACATGGTGGAAGTGGTCCAAGTTCCTGTCGCCGTTGTAGCACCTCCCAGAGCAGTGAGGATACCAGTGTATGCAGGCTTCTTCACCAAATTTTCATCCCAGGGGCACGCATCACCTTGACCCGAGAAAGTGCTCGGAACCCAGGAATACTTGTCCGTCCAGTCCCAGATGGTGATGCCTACACAGCCCTCAGTTTCGACACATGCGCCGACAGTATTGCTGTAGTCGGTCTGCTGCTGCGAGAGCAATGCCTGGGTTGAGGGGAGTGTCATCCGGATATCCAGCTCAGTAATAGCAACTTCCACTCCTAGAGCTGTATACGCCGCCATTGTGCTTGCCTGGGAGCTCTTGCTAGGCGTACTGCCGACAATGAAATGAGCTTGTAGACCGACACCGTCAATCTTAACACCGTAAGATTGCACCAGTTTGACGATATTTTGCGCACCAGTTGCCTTGGCACCAGAGTATTCGATATTGTAATCGTTATAGTAGAGCTTGACATCTGAGTCGGCAGCTGCGGCGGTTGCGAATGCGATGGGGAGGTAGGCTTCGCCGATTGTCGTGTACCACAGGCTTTCGCGGTATGTTCCGTCCTCGTTAAGAGCTATACAAAATTAGACATGTAGTAGATAGAAACTCAGACTCCACGCGAACTACCTTCGTTCACGACATCCCACGCGTAGCACTGTCCCTTGTAGTGGGTAACAACCTTGGTGATGTGATTCTTCAGTGCCGCCACCAGCGTCTCATTCGTCCAAGTACCACTGGTAACTAGTGTATTATAAGCAAGAAGATCTCCGAGTAGGCGAGCATGGCTCTTACCCCAGTTGGGTAGCTGGTTGTGCCACACCAAATTATGGCATCGCAGCTTTTGACCATTGGCTTCTGCCAGGTCAGCAATGACGTCCCCATTAGTGAAAGTGAAAGTATTCTGTGTCGGCTCCGTTGCGTCCCACTATCCAGCAACTGTCAGTAACGGTAACTGAATCAGGATAGGCAGTCGTCGCCTAGGCCCACCTTTTGTGAGTTTCCGGGTGTGATTTGACCGAAGTCCGCTGTGTTGTTTAGCTGCGTGACGTAGGCAGTGTCCGTCAGCTCGGGGTTGTCGGTGCCTGTTCCAAAATAAGTCTTTCTAATGGCCACAGCAGCAGTATTCAGGCCATCTCCATATGCGCTGAGGTCGGAAAAATTAGCACCCATCATCTCAATATGGCACTTCCCCCGCATGGACGTACAGCTGAGGTAGGATACAGGCAGCGAATAGCAGAGAGCTTGCGGATAAGTGCATCATCTTGAAATCAAGCCTAGATTTTAGCTAGTGATATGGTCTACCTGACTGACAGTTAGGTTACAGCAAAGAAATAGACTTGTGTGGCGTTGTCTGGCTTTTATAAGAGAGAGGAGTGGGCTTCGAAGTCCCTGAAATGATTTCTCCAACCGCTAGAAGCCCACTACTACTCCCCTGCATGCTAAATTCGGACCCAGTGCCCGTGGCGTACTAGTCACGGCTATTCCGAAGACAACAAGGCATTTACCTCATCTCATGTTGGCGAGACGCTATGACTGACCCTTTCGCCTGTGACTCACTTCCTCAATTTGACAATTTTAGACATCAGATGGTAAGCTTTGAACAAAATTCTTAGGCTGAGCAAGTCTCCCCTTAGAGGGAAAAGAGGATATGACAAAGAAGAAGGGGTTTGCGCGGGCCTTGGAGGTTCCCGGTGTTTGGCCGCAAGCCCCCCGGTTTCAAGTTTGATGAAGGCCGACGGGGTTGTTTCGAGCAAGTTGACTAAGAAATCTCCGTTTACAATTTTGTATTCCACAAAATCTGTGTATTTCCGAGGGAACTTACAAATGAAAAGTATTAGGTTACTTGAGTGCTCCGCAAGAGAGAGAAAGCGCTGATGGCGGAGCAACCTCCGTCTTGACATGCCGGCAAAAGTGCCAAAACAGGCCCCTGCAGATGTTTATCCCCGCATTCCTCACAACTTAAAAGGCTAAATGGATCGCCCAACATGGTATCAACATGGTATTTCGGATAAATGTGGTGAATATTGACGTTTGGCCCTGTCGCTCATGTCCGGGGAAATTATGGACCACTTGCTGATTGGCGTCTCCGTGTGGCTGCGGCATCGCTGGCATCGCATCACGCAGGTTCCGATGGCCATACGATCACTTAGCCTGGAGAACGAACAACCCCTACATGGATGGCTTGTGGGTTCTCGGCTGAATACTTTCGTCTTGAGCGAACCACCATGCCCGCGTCAGACCCGGACACGAGCCCCTCTGACTCGGGTGTGGCGGGCAGGAATTCCTCCAGCCCAGGGCAGCTGCCACGAGCAAAACTCGCAGCTCGTAAGCATCCTACCAATCGGCGGAGACTGCGCTGCTCTCCCTGTAGAGAACACAAGCTTCGCTGCGACCGGCATGTTCCCTCTCACACACACGGTACCGCCGAGAAGGCCTAAGCGAGTGATTATCATACACAGGACTCGCTAGTGGAAGAGATGGCCTCCGTTTTTGGAGGTGAACAGCCGGCTGGCAAGTACTTACGATGCTGTGAGGTTGGATATGTTCTGAAAAAACTCCAGTACGAGTCTTGATCCACCGCATGCTGCTGACATAGATGGCCAAGGTGACCATAAAAGTGGAGTGGCAAAGTCGAGATCAAAGCCTGGGAAATTCTGGACTGAGTATGACCAGCCGGGTTTACTGTTTACTGCATGACGATGTTCAACTCACGTTGGACATGTTGAGCTCTGACCAATGGTTGGATCTTTTGTTTCCAGATGGGTCTTTCCCGTTTCAATGAGATGTATCTATATAGAATCTAAAGACATCGTCTATGTACCACATATGACTAATTTAAACAGGGGTATCAAGTATGCCATAGCAGCATACCTTTTGAGATGAACACAGCACAGAAGCTTAGGCCATTGTGCTGCCGAAAGAAACAATCCAATCCAGTAGTGTGACATGGGTCCATCGAAATGTGAGGCTGATGTTTTAGATGGAGACGTGGCTGCCTGCCCGATCAGGGGAGCTGTCTTGATGCTTCATAACACGGAAGGAAGGGGGAGGGGGTCCAAATGGGAGCTGAGGGATCTGTATTTCCCAATGAGAGTAGTGCAGAAGACTTGAAAGTGGCCATACCGAGCACCGGAATCACGATCTCAGCCCTCCTTCCGTGCCTTCATCTCAGCGATGAAAGCGCCAGTTTTGGAAAGAGGGACAACGAAGATTTTGACAAGCTCGTCGACAATCTCAACCTTGCCGCCAGAGAGAATCTGCAACAAGGGCAGCTTCTTGCCAGCTTTGATTAGACCACCCGAGACAGTCTCCATGAAGCACTCAACGTTGTTGATCGAGTACTCCTTCTTGGTGTCCCACGGCAGCGGGAAGATATAGTCCAGGTGATCCACAATCGAATGCAGCTCGGAGAACGCTTTGATGAAGTCGGACTGGGCCTCCATGGGATAAAGGAAGACAGCCGGGAATTCTACCGAGCTCTCTGGCGAGAGGGGATCGGGAACCAGGCGGATCCTGGTGTCTTCCATGTCTGGAGGCTGATCAGTCCTGCGAGTGCGGATCTGCCGGGCACGAAGAGCCGTGCTTAGAACCAGGTTCTGCTTGCGTACGAGCTCTTCTTCAGCCTTCCGCTTGGCCACGACGCGCTCCACCTGAGCCTTGCGATCGGCAATCTTGGATGCAGCGGTCTGAAGGGCTTTGTTCTCGGAGTCGATAGCCAGACCACGCGAAGCAGCGTCCTCAGCCTCAGCTACCTTATCCAACTTCAGCAGAGCCATTGACGAACGGTAGAAGGCCTTGACATTCTTGGGGTTGACTCTAAGAACAGCAGCGCAGTCGAGGGTGCAAGAGCGGTAGTTGCCTGCGAGAAAAATGAATAAGCAGGAAATTCAAGACAAACCAGCAGATTCAGAAACATACCAAGCTCAAGGTGGCACAATGCGCGGTTGATATGCGAGAGTTCCTCCATCTGACGTAGCAGTTTCTCTTCCGCCTTGGGATCCTCAGGCTTTTCCCACTTGTCCTCCTTGGCGAAGATAACGGCAATACTCTTGGTATACATTTCCTTGGCATCGATCCATCGCTTCTCTTGCACAGCTTCGTTGCCTTGTTCCTTGAAACTCTGGGCGACCTCGGCTCGGCTTCCCTCATTCTGAAGAGCGTGAAGTGCATCCAAAAGAACATTTTCACCCTCTGAGCAATAGAAAGAAGATTAGCATTTCATTCTGTAACATCTCCGTGAGGAATAAGCGAGACTGTCCGACATACTTTCATCACCCGCATTCTCAATATCGGTCATGAACAGCGGGGTTTGGTTCATCATCTTCATCAAGTCTTCTTTGGTATTTGATTTGACCGATGCCATGACGGGCGGCATTTTGGGCGCGTTCGGGTCATTTTGGACCTCCTTCAGCCTCTCTTCGTTGATTGGAAAAGGCGCATCGTTGGACGCGGCGAAGGCGTCGAAACCAGGTTGCGGCAGGTCTTGAGCGACCTGGGAAGGTGGCTCATGAAGATTGAGTGCCTCGTCAAAATCATCTGGGAGCTCCTCAATCCGCGACATTGTGACAAAGAGAGGGAGAGTCGTGTAAAGAAACTCTGTTGGTCATGGACTTTTTTGCGGGGAGTAGAAATCGCCGACAGACAAACAGTGCAAACATGAGGGGAATGTGATGTAAGCTCGGGCGATGTTCGAGTGGATTCCGCGGGGATCCTCATTTCGGCACGTATACTTTTTAGTCTTCACAGTTCAAGTGAATTGTAAATCTTGCGTTGAGAATATAAGCAAAAACCATGCTGATCACCAGCGAACCAAACAACGTTACTCCGCTACCAACTATGATCACATCGCCGAGCCATAACGTGTGGTTTTCCAGCCCCAGATCTCCCTCTGGCTAACGAGTTAGTTATTTGACGCCTAGTTGCTGGCCCAGGAAAGACGATTGCTTGAACCAGCTCTCCAAGATAACAGCATCTTTTCGCGATCTTATGTTGTGTAGTTATGTCACGTAGTTATGGGCGTGCCTACTCATAGAAGCCAAAGATTTTCCCATGACTTCAATCGCCCTCCGCATATCGGAACACCATCACACCGGAGAATGCCCGAGACCCCTCAACCCCGCAATTGCTCGGTTGAAAGACCGAGCCGCCAATATAGGAGTGCTCTTGTGCTTGGAATGAGAATCGGAACCCGAATTCATGGACTAATCCCAGATTGTGACTTCTATCCATTTCGATCAAAGACGGACAGTGAAGAAAGGGCAGAGGCCAACAAAAAAAATTATGGCACAGACTCACAGCATCCTCGTTCTCCCCGGCGACGGCATTGGCCCTGAGGTCATGACCGAAGCCATCAAAGTCCTTAAAGCATTCGAAGGCCCAGAACACAATTTCCAACTACGCCAGGAACTGATTGGGGGTTGCAGCATTGATGCGACGGGCAAATCGGTCACCGAGGAAGTCAAGCAGGCCGCTCTTGAGTCGGACGCCGTTCTTTTCGCTGCGGTTGGTGGTCCGAAATGGGACAATGCTCGCCGTGGACTAGATGGACCGGAGGGAGGGCTGTTGCAATTACGCAAGGCAATGGATATCTATGCAAATCTGCGACCGTGCTCATCTAGCTCACCCAGCGCATCGATTGCGAAGGAATTCAGCCCTTTTCGGCATGAGGTTCTTTTCGGCTCCGAGCAAGACCCCTCTGGCGAAGGCGTGGATTTTGTAGTGGTCAGGGAAAATTGTGGAGGGGCTTACTTTGGAAGAAAGGTGGAGGATCCGACTTACGGTAAGTGGACTACTCTCTTGCCTGGAGGGCTCTATATTTCCAGCTAACGATATACCGGCTCAGCAATGGATGAATGGGGCTATTCCGAAGCTGAGGTCGAGCGGGTCACTCGCCTTGCCGCAGAGGTTGCACTGCGACATGATCCCCCGTGGCCGGTAATCTCTCTGGACAAGGCAAATGTGTTGGCCTCGTCTCGTCTTTGGCGCCGTGTTGTTGAGAAGACTATGACAACTGAGTATCCACAGCTGAAGCTAATTCACCAGCTAGCTGATTCAGCCTCATTGATCATGGCAACCAACCCAAGATCTTTAAATGGTGTGATCCTTGCCGATAATACCTTTGGTGACATGATTTCCGACCAGGCGGGGTCTATTGTTGGGACCTTGGGAGTCCTACCAAGTGCCAGTCTGAACGGGCTTCCGGGTGACAAGACATTGAAGACCCGACCATACGGTTTGTATGAGCCTACGCATGGCTCGGCCCCAACGTAAGTTTGGCCGCATATAAAGATGACAGATACTGGCATATGGCATACTAATTTTGTATAGCATTGCCGGAAAAAACATCGCTAACCCAGTTGCGATGATCTTGTGTGTTGCCTTGATGTTCCGCTACTCGCTCAACATGGAAACCGAGGCGAGGCGTGTGGAGGATGCAGTGCGAAAAGTGTTGGACAAGGGCTTGCGCACACCCGACCTGGGAGGCAAGATGGGCACAAAGGAACTGGGAGATGCAATTGTGGCTGAGTTATAGACTTACAAAGCCAAATCAATTATATTCAGAATTAGATTTTGAATTCTTAGTGATAGGCCATCATCTTCCATACCCGGACCCGAAGGAGCCCTGTCCAGAAACCATAACATTATGCGCCAATGAAGCCACAGTTGTGTACGCAGGTTCTTAGATAGTTGAATACCACAGATACTCCCATTCAACTTCATTTGAAATGACAGGACCCATGATTTCCTCTTCGATATTTGCACCGCATTTTGGGAAAGGCGTTACGTAGACTGGCCTGAATATGCTTTAATGTGATCCTTGAAGGAGAGGCATAAATTATGTTTAAAACAAGATCTGACGTTCGCTCGGCCTAGGCTTGAACAAGGAGCAAAGGGGGCAGTAGTCAAAGAATCCTGAAAAACATAGGCCCTGTTTGCTTGCCATTTTGGACGCACCTGCCATGTTTGATGGACACAGTGGCCCAAAACGCGTCTATGACAACCTCAAAGCCCGCTCTTCTTTCCTTATAAGGCTACCTTCCCTCTTGTTCTCCCCCACGCGTCCTCCTCCATTGACTCAGCTGGTCTTGATACCCATAACATCATTGCTCCCAGTCCGTACCCCTCTCAGCCGGCCAACATGCCAAATGGCAATGATTCTCCTGACCGACAGGGTCTGAAGAGGCCCCTTTCGCGAACCACGCCTCCCGAATTGGCCCATGGATCTCTATTCCAGGCTCCAAGCCCTCCTGGCCCAAGTCCCCAGCCGGGGTTCAACATCATGCGCCTAGAAGGCATCGAGCAACATTCCGATGAGGGCAAAACACGTATCATGAACTCAATCGCCGACGACATGTCCGCAACCTTCAGGTGCATCGCACATCATATGAGAGAGGGCAACCTGGACGATCGCCACGTGGACGGAATGAATTCGACACTCGAGAACATTTGCGATGCTAATGTCAAATACCGATTGAAGCTGGAACACCAGGTAGAGCGACTGCGCACGCAGAGGCGCCTAATGCGACAAGAATACCGGGGCTTTGCACGGGAGATCGATACAATGGGACAGAGATATCGAGGGAAAGTGCAAAGTTTGGCGAGCCAAGTGAAGGATTTACAGAAGGAGGTTGCTTTGTTGACGGGGGAGAAGGGGCTCCTGCGCCAGTTCTGGGAGGAGCAGAGTCAACGGGAGAAGATGGCGATCGGCCGTTGTGTCTCGGAGGAGCGGGCGACGGATGAGGGCTACAACGCCCAGGGTCCCGAGGGTGATGCTGATGAAGCATGGGAGGAAGAGAGCGACCACCAGGAATAGGTGGTGGAGTGAACAGGGGCAATGGTGATTTCTTGTGTTTTCTATGGAGTTAGAGGCGAGTTGCAGGTGGTCGTTTGCAAATCAGTCATGTTTCACAAGATGGCCAGTTGTGGCCGTCGACGTCCGATTATCTGACACCTTTTCGGTGGTGAATGAAAACATCCTACTAGTCCCATGGCAAAATAGCGATGGTCCAAGTTCTGCATCAATTTGATTGAAGCAATCAGCTTGCAAATTAAAAACATGTAGTCTCCGACCCGAGAACACGATCGCGTGCTATGCCGCAGCTGGCATGGGTAGGGCCAGTCGCACGGGTTGGCGATAACGTCGGCTTCCAAAGTTCCGAGGCATTCAGATCTACCGCCGCCGGCTTATTCGGGCAACGATGACTTCACCCGCTTATCGCGAACACGTTTGATCCAGCCCCAGACCTCCCAGAATGCTTTGGAGAGTGACCGCGAGAACGGCCGACCGTCGGAACATTTCGCACTCGTCGAAGCGGCCGGACCGCGCTGTCTGGTTGTGGCAAACGAGGCCATCGCTGAAAAGCTCGACACTGATAGAGGGTTATCGTCGACCGACGAAAAGGGACCTCGGCATTTTCGCCGTCGAATGCGCGCAGGCTGATTCGACCCGCGGATCCACTTGCTGTCGTTCATGTGGGAATACTCCAGACTCTTGACCCTTTCCATTTCCCCGATTTGCCTTTTTTTCTCTTCTGTTCTCATATCCTTCAGCTCTTCATCATCTCTCTTGAAGACCAGACCATAATCGCCACTGAAGTGAATTTGCGTTCCTGACCCGGACTTTCTTTTGCCTTCCACGAAACTTTACCCCAACACTATCGGCCGAAAATGAGTCGCCACGGGGACTATGAGGCGGTCCGCAAGGATATCGCTGCTCAACTGCAGAAGCCTGGATACGACGATGGTAGTGCAGGCCCAGTCTTTGTCCGGTTGGCATGGTATGTTTTCTGCAATCTTCTTCTTCTAGCCGGGCCGGCCGGAGGGGGGGAGATTTGGGTCGGCTCGGTCGGCAATAGACACGATCTCGACGGTCGGCATGCCGGTCATCACAAAGAAACAAGATTTGCTGACAGCACTTCACACGCACAGGCACTCCTCGGGTACCTATGACCTCGAATCCGACACCGGCGGCTCGAACGGCGCCGGCATGCGCTATGAAGCAGAGGGTGGCGACCCGGCCAACGCTGGTCTGCAACACGGCCGGGCATTCCTAGAGCCGATTAAGGAGAAGCACCCGTGGATCACATATTCGGACCTCTGGACACTGGCAGGTGTCGTCGCGATCAAGGAGTTGGGTGGACCTGACATCCCGTGGCAGGGCGGGCGGACAGACCTGGTGGATGACTCCAAGGTACCGCCCCGGGGCCGGTTGCCCGACGGGGCCCTGGGCGCCGATCACCTGCGATTCATATTCAACCGTATGGGCTTCAACGACCAGGAGATCGTTGCATTGACCGGTGGCCACAACCTCGGCCGGTGCCACGGCGACCGCAGTGGCTTCGAGGGACCGTGGGTGACGAACCCAACCCGGTTCTCCAACTCGTTCTTCAAATTGCTGCTGCAGCTGGACTGGAAGCCCCGTAAGCTGGCGACGGGCATGACCCAGTTCGTGTATGAAGACCCTGATGCCGAGGAGGATGATGAGCCGCTCATGATGCTGCCAACCGACATGGCGCTGAAGACAGACCCGGCTTTTGCGCCCTGGGTGCAGCGCTATGCCGAAGACAAGGAGTTGTTCTTCGATCACTTTGCCAAGGTTTTTGCGAAACTGGTTGAGTTGGGTATCCAGCGTGACGCGCAGGGTAATGTGCTCAACTCTGACAACCAGTTGGGGGGTTATGTGTCCGCCCCCAAGAAGAGCAACGTGGCCACGGGCCCAAGCAAGGCCAAGCGTGAGCCTCGTGCTCGTCTGTAAGCCGGCATTATCTCTTATGCCTTGTTTTGTGAATACTCCCTCTTCCTGTTTTGTGTGATTGCGTTGGATGAACTCCCCCTTTGTGTTGATAGATCTGGCCTGTAGCTATAGCGGCTTGGTTCCAGACATGTAAATAAATCATAGACCATGAATGAACTATACCTACCAATCAACTCCTTTTAGCAGCAACGATGTATCGTGGGAAGGATTCTTATTAGTCGTCTGCTTCATTAGTGACCAGGAAACATGCCCCATGCCTAAGGGTTTTTGCATCATAAACTCGGTGTGTTAACTGAGTATATTTTTAAGCAGGATTGGGAGATAAATCCACGCTGCAAGGGTGGAAGAGTAGATGGAGAAGGGGAGGAGTCAAGAGGGGGAGAGTGAAGAGAGGAAGGAGGAAGGGAAAAGAAGGGGAAGAGTCCGGGGTATGCGGGGATACTGGCGGGCGACGACACCGGCCGCCTCCACTTAGGTGATATTTTGGTGTGTGTCGCCGGAGTGTAGTTGGTTTCCATACAAAATGCATCCCCCGGATGGTTAATAGCGGGGCCGTGATTGGCACAGCCCGCCCGCCCCTAGTATCGGCCTTGTTTTCTCTCGCTCAAATACTACACAGTACTAAGTTTCTACCTTGCAACAGGGCCAATGCTCATCGAGAACAGATTCTGCACAGGCAGCAAAAGCCGGAAGAGCTATTTACATGAACAAATAGCCCAAGGCTATCAAATATTATCGAACTAGATCCCCAATGCCTAAATTAAACATACATCGCTTTCGCAATCAGTTATACCGCTACAATGGAGATAATTTAGAATGTGCAAATGATCAATACCTCCGACCGCCAGACTGCTTCCTACTGTACGTGGATTAGTCTTTTTTTTTGCGATACGATTGTGGGACATCGAATAATGCATGGTACAAGAAACCGCTATCGTGAGAGTATAAGCCGAGTATCATGAAACACAGGGGAGGCGGGGCCCCCACCCCGGTCGGTGACACTCTTGAGGTAGGCCTTAAGTGCACTGCGAGCGGTTCCTTGTAATCAACATCTTGACAGTCTTGTCTAATGCCGAAATACCCTAGCTGGCTAAACCTAATTTGGAAGATTACCTCCAGGGATAGTCATTGCTCTTGAAACATGAGAGACCAACTTCCCATACTAGTTAGTTGGTTTCATATTCGTGGACCCTTTTCATCTACGTATAGGTACGGATGTAACTGCAATTGCCACTTGATCAGAATCTGAAACGAGATTAATAATTACACAGGAACCATGGCAAGTGTACTCCGGATAACATGGCAAGCTCTCATCCAGAGATATTATGATGCATGCATGGTCGTATCCTCGTCCTTTCTGTATAAGTATCAGTAGTTACCTACTTGGATTCACTAGTTGCTCTCAATTTCATTCTCTTCCAACAATAACCCACACTTCTTCGCTCCTGCGATTCTCCCAAGAACTCTGCCTCATTAATCATGTTGCACCCCTTTATATTCCTAGCACTGAGTGCCGTTGCTCAAGCACACACAGTTGCTTGGATCAAAGGCATGCACTGCCTAGGAGGTCCGGACCTTTCGACAGACAACGCGAATACAAACACAGCTGTGGGACCCCTCTATAATCTCACCCATGAAGAATGGTGGTTCCAACACGATCGTGGCTGTGACGCAGCACCTCCAGCGGATGGCGATATCCTGCAACTCCCAGCTGGCGGAAAGTTTACGGTGGAACTTGCACACAACCGCGTGCAGACTACGCTTTCGTACGATGGGAAATATACCTCTGAATGGCCGGACGGGAAAGAGCACCCCGAGGACTGGGCCGGTCCTGGAAGCCCGCCCGACTGCATTCAGGACGATGGAGCAATGCATACCAACAACCAATCCATGGCCGCTGGCACTGCTTTTGCCATCAGCTATCAGTCTAACCTGGCTGCGGTAACGATGGAGAACTTGGCTGTGTTTACGGTTTTGGAGCAGTAAGTTCTTTTCTGAAGCTGCTAGCACAATAGCTGCCTGGTTTCCTAATATCCGTGTAAAGTACCCCATGGAAGCGGATCGCTACCTATAAAGTACCTCAGGATCTTCCTGCTTGTCCTCCTGGGGGATGCACCTGTGCTTGGCTCTGGGTAAGTGTATGAATATTTAGTTAGGCTTTACTTGGCTGATACCAGATAGGTCCCGAACGGTTGTGGGCAGCCCAACATGTAAGTGTCCCTAATCTAGTTCGACTCCGTTCACTGACAAGAGAATCAGGTATATGGCTGGTTATAAATGCAATGTTACCGGCTCTACCTCCTCCAAAACGGTCGCCAGCGCTCAGGTCCCTGCTTATTGTGCGGATGATGCCAGCCAGTGCGTTAAGGGTGCTAAGCAAATGATTGCCTTCAACCGTGAGTTAGTCAGTCTCCTGGACGATATGGCCAGAAGTAACTTGAGATTATAGAGCAAACTGGGAACAACGTTCAAGTCCCCAATGGCAACACACCGATGTACAATAAGGCCTGGGGTTGGGAAAATGGTATGTCTTCATCTACTATAACCCTACAATAAGAATTGATTTGCTAATAACAATTCGCTCGCCAAAGGTGCGCAAAATGATATTTTTGTTTAAACGAGGCCTGCGTTCGAACAAATTGCTGTAATCGAGCAGATGGAATGTACAGTATATCTGATTTGGAAAACTACTGTACAATATCAAAACAAGCCGCCTGAATGTCGAGATCAGGCTCAATAGAAAATAGGAGACCAAAATAAAAGAACCGGAAAGATGGCCGCCGTATAAAACCCTCCAGTCAGTTCACTTCTACTTCTGAGACTTTCTCTGCTTCTTCGCGCTCGGAAGCTCCTCGTCCTTGAGTTCCTGCACCCGCGACTTCCTCTTCTTCAGTGGGCTCTGACTCTCCTGCTCTTTATCCGTAATCCGCCGTATCGCTGCCTTGATGGACCTGACAGGGACACGGTATAATCGGTACGGGGATGGGCCGGAGCGGCAGTCGTGGCGGATGTTCACGACGCTCACCGTTTCTTCCATCGGCGCGTCTCCGTCTTTGTCCACCTCCGCCTCCGCCTCCACCTTGTCGTTCTTAGCCGGTGATAAGTTCAGCCACTTCCAGAACGGGCTGCTTTGGTTGCTGCTGCCCCTCCAGCTCGGTGTCTTCGGGAGGTTAGGGAAGACTGTCGCACCGCCGGATTGGGGTGGTCCACCCTGGGGCCACATCTCTACGTGATCGATGAGATCAACAGGGCTGTTGAGCAACGAATCGAACAGGTTTGCACCATCCATAATTCGCTTGTACGCGCCTGGGTCCATTTGGGACGAGTCGACCTGCGATAGGTCATTGACGAGTTCCATTGGGTCCACGATTTCCATATCCCGAAGCATCCCCTCAGATGAGGGGGCGTCTGGTGCCGATCCCATTCTCCAGTGGGCCAGTGCTTCGGCCACTTTATTGGTTTTGGGGGACTCGAAGAGACTCGATTCTTCTTGCATATCGGTGTCAGAGGCAAGGTTCTTTTCGTAGAAACGTTCGCCAGTGTCCGCTAGGATCCGCTCCAGAGGCAGATAAGGCGACTGGTGTTGTAAGTGTGGTGGGAACCAAGGGTAATGCTGCACGAGGAATGGCTGCTTCCGGTCTACGATCTGGGACATCTCGGTGACGGTTTGGTTTGCGGCCTGCATTATGTCTGGGGATGGATTAATCAGTAGCTCGTATATCGCAATTGGAATGCCATCCCGGATCCAATCGGGATCCACTCGTTCATCGAGATCGTATGGCGCGACGTCGCCAATGATGCATCCCCCCGCATCCTGACCGTCATACTTGCGAAGATTGCCCATGTCATATTCGCCCCGTTCGGTATCAGTCCAATAGACTCGCGTATGGTTGTTTTGGTAATAGGCGCCACCAAGCCAGCGATACGTCGCTGTCTGTTCTAGTCCGTTGGAATCTCTGTAATGAAAATCGAAGTGGTTGGTGTGGTTGAGTACTTTGTACCCCGCGGTGGTCGACACCACCATGCGAAGGGGGAGACTATGTACGAGTCTGGTCCTCTGCGGCCCCTTCACCACAGCACAGCTTGCACAGCTGTACTGAACAGGATCAATAGACCAAGTCCGTTCGATCAGCTCCGACATCTGAACACCGTTCTCATCGCCGTCTTTGGTGTAGGGAAGGAAGCAAGTACCAGTGCAATCATTTGTCCCCGTTTCCGTATACCCACAGTCGGGACATGGAGCTGCCGGGTGTTCAGTATATCGGATGTGAAATTGTCCAAAGTTTCTCGTAGACTCGGCCCAGGTCGCCCAGATGGGGACGGGGACACCGCGGTTGATGTCGGCAACATGGTCACATAGCAGGTTGTAAAACGAATGGCGAAGTGCAATCGAGACCTGGTCCTCAAAGGCTTCCCAATTCATGTTCGTGACTTGAATGAAAGCCTTTTCGATTTCACTGAATTTTTCTTCCGCGCCATTCCTCCGGTCCGCAATGGTACAGCCTGCATCGGTCAATATCCCCAGGACGATGGCTACATCAATGGAACAGGAGCCATCAGCCCAAACGGGACCACGGCCACGACATGGATATGGAAAGCCCGCGGGGTCAAAGCTGTGAGTGATCGGGTTCAGCAGCAACTCCGCCACAGTGGCGTGTGTTCCGACCTGAACAATACCCAGATCACGCTCAGAACTGGCAATTCTGGTTGTAACTGGATGTCGATTCGGTGCATGAGGATGCCGCTCTAGATCGGCGTAGGCCAGTTTCATCAATGTCCTTTCAATCGCCTCTCGGATGGGGTTCGGGTTGAATGCAGCGCTATAGACAGGCTGAGGCTGCGGCTGAGGCTGCGGCTGCGGCTGCTGTAGCTGCAATTGTTGTAGCGGAGCTGTCTCAACAACGCTATTTTCTGGCGTTGATCTGGTCTTTCGCTTTTTGGGCTTTGGAGCCTCAACGGTCCCTTCTATGTCTAATATGCGCCTCTTCCTCCGATCTGGTCCAGGCTGACCTGCCTCGTTAGGGGAAAGTGCCTTGTTGGGCAAGCTACATTGAATGATGTAGTTGTCAGGGACGTCGGCCGGTGCATCTACTGGGCGGGTGTAATTTGCACCCCCTAGCGGTAGCAGTTCATCGACCGAAAGAATACAGGGGTAGTGACGACTAATGGGTGGTGGTGTAGGCGTGAGCGAGTATTTCAATAGTCGAGGTCCACCGTCCCGTTGGCTGTCGAAAAGATCCTGCTCGTCATACAGTCGGTGCTCCTCTGATGCATAGTAGTGGACCTTCCAAAGGGCTCGCAAGATGGGCAACCTTGTGCGTCTGCCGTAGTCAATGCCCCACAGATGGTATGTAGCCAACACCTTCAGGTTCGCACTCGTGTAAAGCCGATGGCCATTTAATTTGCCGAAATGACGCCCAAGAAATTCGAAATCCTTCGGAGGATCGGGAAGCTTCCACAATGGATATAGTTGGTCTGGCTCTGGCGGCACTTGGACCTGGTCTACCTCCGTAGGAAAAGAAGCCATAGTTGCTGTATAGGAATATAGGAATCCCCACTGATTCGACGGGAAAGAGGAGAGAATATTTCACAGTCAAAGCATGCGGGCCCTCAAAACTCTTCCAGTTCACTAATTGCTCTCTGAGTGACAAAACCATCCACAAGCTAAAAGACTATAGGGAAATTGATGTCCTTTTTATCTTTCCGAGGTCGAGAAACCTACAAGGGCAGTCTCTCAGGCGAGTTCATCTTCGAAAATAAAGAAACAATCTACATCCTCGAGATCTGTTGAAAGAGACTGGGTTTGAACAAAGACCATGCGTCTGCCCAACCCTTGATCCTTGGATAAGGACACCCTTGATTGAGGGTACTACCTTTGAATTCGACTCTATTGAGTGTCCGTTACTATTATTGGCAAGAGGCGTTCCCTTGAAGTGTCTCGAAGTATAGAACAAAAGTGAAAAGAGAAATCATCCACTGGGAAGTCAGAGACCTCCGGTGGCGTCGACTGATTCGGAGGAGTGGGCCGTTTAACTTGCCAGGAGTGGGTTCAATCGGGCAACGAAAAGAACCCGATCGAGTTTGTACGGTTGGTAGGGCTGGAGACCCGACGAGACTTGTGCCACATGCATTGTGGTGGAGGTGCTACAACATACTCGACAGGCTTGACTGCGTACATGATTGATGATGGCAGTGGGTGTTTTCACGGGCAGGGTTCTTGAGGCAGCTCTTGTCGTAGAAATGCAGGGCTTAGGGTCAGATCATTCACAGTCAAAGAAAGTATTTAAGGATACTCAGGTGGTGCTCCCATCTCCAAACATAGCACAAAGACGTGGCTAAAAATTCCCATGTATCTGAGGAACTTGATCAAGTCCAAATTATTAAAATTGAGACATGTATATCAATCAAATAGGCAAAGGAGATGTATACAAGCACCACGAAAGAATGTGGACGAGACCGAGGATATTTTTGAAAGATACAGGTAATCACCGCCATTGATTTTAGTTAGTGTGTACCAATATTACATACAGATCAGATGACCAGATGCCTTGTGGTGCACATGACTGCACATGACTGTGATCACCCAAAAGGGGCTAGCGCCTCCATCAAGCGAGCCCTTTCCTCGCACTTTCCCCTATTGGGCTAGCGCACCAATTACCCGATCCCACAACGGAAGCAAAGTCACTCGAGACTTCTCCTCTCCATTCCTCTTGTCGACAATCAATCGCGAGCCAGCGCGCCCATCGCCCATTATGTGTACGTTCATTCTTCCACGCCAGCTTCGATCCTGAAATGCAACGAGAGCATCACTCAACCCGCCTGTTGCCTGAAGTTGGCCCCTCGATGAAGAAATTGCCAGGCTAACGTGTCGCCTTTTGTGATTTACAGCGCTCGTGTCCGGCGAGAAGACGAACTTCCAGTACATTCTGCGTCTCCTTAACACCAATGTTGAGGGTAAGCAGAAGATCATGTACGCCCTGACCCAGATCAAGGGTGTCGGTCGCCGCTACTCCAACCTGGTCTGCAAGAAGGCCGATGTCGACCTCAGCAAGCGGTACGTTCATCGAACACTATCAAGCGACTCTCTGCAATGTTTCCGGGTGTTTTTGGCGGTCGGCAATATGGGGAGAATGATGGGTCTTCGATTTGTGGGCTACAATATTGTCAGCCTGGATTGCACCAAAAATCATGTGTGGATTGTGTGACAACCCGGAAGGGGGAACCCCCAAAATACTTCGGGGACATTGCAGAGTTTTCGCCAACTGATAGAACTCTTGAAAAATTAAAGCGAAAATACTGACGGACTTTTTGAACAGTGCTGGTGAACTCACCACCGAAGAGCTTGAGCGCATCGTCACCATCCTCCAGACCCCCACCCAGTACAAGATCCCCGCGTGGTTCCTGAACAGACAGCGCGACATCACCGATGGCAAGGACTCCCAGGTTGTTTCCAACGGTCTTGACAGCAAGCTGCGTGAGGACCTCGAGCGTCTGAAGAAGATCCGCTCCCACCGCGGTCTCCGTCACTACTGGGGCCTGCGTGTCCGTGGTCAGCACACCAAGACCACTGGCCGCCGCGGTCGCACCGTCGGTGTCAGCAAGAAGAAGGGCTAAACTATTGTGCTGTCGATTTTCCGGGGGTTTATGGAGGAATGCCTTTATTGTTGGTGTGTTTCTATGGGCATCCGAGGGATCTTTTCCCCGCTGGACTGGGTGTCATGCCAGTCCTAAAAATTGAAAATGAATCATACCAATATGAAATGAACCTGTTTCCTTTTTATCCATGGCCTGGACTTGATCCGGCCTAGTGAGAGTAGCTCTGTATCATAAATCGGCTGCCCCAGGTGGTCCCCACCCCTCTCGTCCCTGGCCTCGTAGGAGCTCTTCGAGATGTGTGCAGTAGTATAGTAGAGTAGTCTTTTACCTGTATATTCGTGGTGCATCTTCTCAGCCCATCCCGGAATGCCGGTCCAGACCAGATCATCTTTTCGATCAATAGGTAGTCTCATAGTACAAAACCTCGATGCCAGCCGGTCCCTATTATCCCCAATAAGTCAAATCTCACCCAGTCATCGAAATGATGCTACGATCCCACTACACAACATGCTAGGTCTGATCTCAAAATGTTTCCATTCAAAATAACATCGCATATATATACTTGTCAACGTTGAGCAAAGCAGCCCTTGGTCTAAAGGCAAGCAAGATAACGATTAATTGTTGATCTGCATCCAAATTTCTAAGTGCAGGCAAATGCATGCAGCCCAAACTTGTCAATCACAAATTGGTCAGGTAAAGATAGAAGTATCGATGCAGTAATCACAGCGATAGTGAGATGTTCTTAGAACCACTCACCACCCAGCCAGCGGTTGAAGAACTCCAGGCTGGACTCGGGTTGGTCCATGGGGACCATGTGACCACCACCGTAAATGCGCATGAAGGTGAAGTTGCCGTGGGACTTAACCTGGCCGATCTTCTTGCCAACGTGCTCGTTCTGCTCGATGACGAGGTCCTCCAGCTCCTTGCCGGCGAATTTCTTCTGGCCGGGCCACTCGAGGGCCTCAGTCCAGGCCTTGTTGCCGAGCCAGTTGCAGATGAAGTCAGCGTCACCAGCGTAGATGAGCACAGGGATCTGCTCAATCAGACCCGGCACCAGGCGGTGGTAGGGCTTCATCCAGTCACCGTGGAAGAGGAAATTACGGTTGATGTCGAAGTTGCACGAATCATAGCCATCGACCTCAGCGCCAAGAGCCTCACGCACACTTTCCTTATTGAGGTACTCAGACACGTAGCCCATGCCCTTGTAGCACAGGTTGGACGAATCCTCGCACTTGCTGCGAACATCATAGACATTCTGGCCGGTCTGCTGGTAAGGAGCAAGAAGGGCGTTGTTGCAGTAAATGGAGGCAGGAACACAGACCCAGGAGCTCTCGCTGTCGTAGCAGGCCTTGATCATCGACAAACAGCGGGGAAGGGCGTTATCCATGGACTGGCAGGAGCCCTCATCAAGGACAGCGGGGTAGCCACCATCACCGCAAGCCATAGGGCGGTAGTACTCATACTGAGTCAGACCATCAGTTAGACCGTTGCCGATAAGCACAGACTTCAGGTTGATGTTGCGGTTCTTGTGAGACAGAATCTCAGAGGCGAAGACGGGGATATAGTGGCCAGCGTAGGACTCGCCAGCAATGTGGAAGTCTTGCTTGGCATACTCAGGGAATTGCTTGAAGAACAGGGACAGCAGAGCATAGATGTCCTTGCCAGCAGCGACCGTATCGCTGACGCTGCTGCCGCTGTAGGAGTAGCCGACGTTGACGGGCTGATCCAGGAAGATCACCGAGGCATTAGAATTCCAGGAGAAGTCATTGTGGACGATCTTGATCTTGCTGTTGATGGAGCTGGGGCCGAGCTCCATGAAGAGACCGGTCAAAGAAGAGCAGCCGGGCCCACCGTTCAGCCAGAGGACGACGGGGTCGTTCTCGGGGTCGTTGCGGGACTCGAAGAACCCTTTCAGAGGTCAGCATTGTCAAAATCGGCCGCTAGGCAAGGCCCAACTTACAGTAGAACAGGTGCTTGTCGTTCTCGTTGTCATCGAGGTAACCACTGTACTGCTTGACGTTGGGATCCACACCAAGGGAGCTGGGGTCCACCTTCTTGACGCGGAGGTCGTACGCCTCAAGCTTGCCGTCAATCTCGCGCTGCTTGGTGCCGTCGGTACCAGAGACCCAGAGACTCTGCACGTCGGCTCCGCGGATAATACTGTCCCAGTGGGAGTCAGGACGGCGGGTGTGCTTCTTGGGGAGGGACAGCATGGGAGCATGATCCATTGTGTTGGGGAAGTGGTTAGCAACCTCTTCCCAGAGCCCACGGGCCTCATCCGAGAGGGTGCTGAAGTCATCCTTAAGCTTCTGGAGAGGCTTCGAGATGGCATCAGAGCCCTTCTTAGTCCAGTCTTCGATGATGTTAGAACCCTGCTGGGCCAAGTCCTCAATCTGATCCCGATGGGTCCCCATGACCTGCTGCAGGGGAGGGACCACCGCCGAGGCGGCTCCCACCAGCAGAGTGGCGGACAGAAGTCTCATGGTGACTGGTCTTTACAGGACGATGAAAGAGGATGACAATGAAAGGTTGTTGATGAGGAGCGGGCACCTGGGGCCTGGACGGCAACTCTTATCAGTAACCGCTCGGCCAGCTCCTCAATATAGGAGGCGAGTAGCAAGAAAGAAGGAGCATAACTTACACAACCACGCTACCGGATGTTTAGGAATCAAAGGTCGGAAGCGATGCAAGACAGGGGCCTGCAATCGTAGGTAGGGAGGAGAGGTTGCGGAAGAAGAGGGAACCCTGGAGACGATGACGCCGGATGAGGAGTCTCCGCGATAAGCGGCAGCCAATCACACCCCGGGTGGTCTTGTGATCGGCTGAGTCAAGCGGGGCTTGTGACCCAAAGTGGAATGTGCTGACTCATCTCACCCTGCGCAAGGCTTGGATAGTGGGAGGGTGCGGCCAGTGGGGAAAGTTGCAAATAACTTTAGACGGCCACTTTTCGCGCTGAAATACCCTCGTTCCCGTTGGATTCTGTGAAGCTACGCAAAGCTTCGCAAGTACTCTCTTTGGTGTTCTCTTACCGATTTCGACGCCGCCCTTAAGTGGCTTCTACTCAGCATGCCGATCAACCAACCCTCCAACCAGATTAAATTCACGAATGTGTCGGTTGTTCGACTAAAGAAAGGTATAAACAACGCCGGAAAACCCCTTCGGGGCCTGCAACTGGGCTGACTCCCATAATTCTGCCATAGGCAAAAAGCGATTTGAGCTCGCCTGCTACAAGAACAAATTGCTCGAATACCGATCCGGGGCCGAGAAAGATCTCGATAACGTCCTCCAAGTCCCCACAGTCTTCCTATCAGTATCAAAGGCACAGACAGCTCCATCTGCCGAGCTCGCAAAGGCCTTCGGTCCCGATACCCCCAGGGATGAAGTGCTGCAGGAGATTCTTCGCAAGGGCGAGGTGCAGGTCGGCGAACGCGAGCGCAAGGACATTCTTGAACGAGTAGAGAAGGAAGTGCTGGATATTGTGTCTGGACGGCTCGTCGATCCAAATACGAAGCGGGTATACACGTCGGGCATGATCTCCAAAGCACTGGACCAGCTGAGCTCGGCCAGTGGTCAGGTGCAACAAGGAGATGCGAATGCAACCGGAGAGGAGCAGCCGAAGAAGCCTCTGTGGACTGGTGTTTCTTCCAACCGATCGGCGAAGAGTCAGGCACTTGATGCTATGAAGGCCCTCATTGCGTGGCAGCCTATTCCTGTGATGCGAGCGCGAATGCGCCTTCGCGTTACTTGTCCTGTGTCATTGCTGAAGCAATCTGTTAAGGCGGCTCCGAGTTCTGCACCTGCCAAGGAAGAAAAGGTGCCGTCCAAAGGCAACAAGAAGGGAAACAAGGGAACCAAGAAGTCCAAGCGGAATGAATCCGATGATGAGGCTAGCGGGTCCGGCCCCGAAGCTGCGACCAAGGCCCCTGGCACGGTGAAGGACAAGATTTTGAACTACATCGAAGCGATTGAGTCACAGGAAATTAGCGGTGATGAGTGGGAAGTGGTGGGCTTTGCTGAGCCGGGGGCGTTCAAGGGACTGAACGATTTCATCGGTAACGAGACTCGCGGGCGAGGACGAGTGGAGGTGTTGGACATGTCGGTGACCCACGAGGATTGAAGGAGTGAAAGCCCACAAGCTTATGCCTCCACGGAGCGTAATTCTGCATATACCCTGAGCACGATGTTCATGACGACTCTACCAATGACTGATAATATGGCTAGAAGACCAAATAGAAAAAAGAAAAAGTGCTTATGTTGAAATAAGTTCTAATAGCAGCAGGCTGGACTACACTGGATCTTGTAGCCGTGAAACTGATTGGCTGCTGATGAAGCCCTAAGTGTAGTACAAATAAGACCCTGAAGGCGCCAGGAGTGGCTGTCTTGACGCGCACACAAAGGTGAAAGTCACGTCGCACTGCATTTGCCGATGCTATGCTTCTTGGATTTCGAGTCTCGCTATAGGGTGAAAGCCAGTAGGCGCCACTCTCGGGCAGAGGCGAGAAGGAAGGGAGTATGATACAAACACCAACCACAAAGGCAACAACAAAGGAAACTATCTTGAAAGCAACGCGATTTAACGCCATGATGAGCCAGTATCCCCGGGGTATTATAAATAGCATCTAACGTGAAATGTCAGGTAGAAGAACTACCGTGAAAAAGCAGGGGGACCTGTGGCCCGGCAATTCCTCCCGCCGCTAGTCACCTCCAAACGCACGTTCCCAATCTCCGCTCGCTTTCTCCCCCCGCAAACCTTGGGAGAAAAACCAGACTCATAAACTTCCAACCCACGCATGCCAATAGCATCACAGCCGGTCACCAACAAAACAAGATTCTTGCCCGGGCCCAGTTCCCTTGCTAGGTCAATGGCTCTGCCTACCGCGTGACTCGAGTCCAGGCCAGGCAGGATACACTCATGGCACTGCAGAGTTTTGAATCCGTCCAGGGCATCCGCGTCCGTGGCAGTTGAGATTTCAACTCGACCAGAGGTCTTCCAATGGGCCACTTCGGGCCCCACGGTAGAGAGGTTCATGTCTGGCGAGATCGAGTGCGAGTCGAGTATCTGCCCGTCACGATTCTGGAGCATCAAAGTCCGCGCACCCTGAAGAACGCCCACCGAGCCCTCGGTCAGCGCGGCAGCCCGTGCGCTCTCGACGCCAACCAGTCGAATTGATGAGTTGTGAAGAAAAGGTCGGAAGAGACCGACTGCCCCTGTCCCGCTGCCAACGGCGGTGACAACAGCGTCCGGCTGACAGCCCGCCGCCTCATGCATCTGGGCCGCGACCTCCTCGCCTAGGAGTGCCTGGAACGTGCGGGTCAAAGTCGGCAGGGGGTCGGGGCCCACCGGACCGCCAATTAGGTAGTATGCGGTCTCATAATTGCAGACTGAATAGCGAAGCGCTTCAGTGATTGCAGCGCGCAGCGTGCCCATGCCAGACGGGGTTCGTGCAGTCAGGACCTTGGCCCCGAGCATCTTCATCTCCAGCACATCTTCTTCCTGTGCCCGTGCGTCGTCTGCACCCATGACCACCACACACCGCAGGTTGAGCCGTGCGCACATTGCCGCTGTGAAGTTGCCATGCTTGGCCGAGGCACAATCGGTGACCACCTCTGCACGGCCCATACGCCGTGCCAACAGGAGCTGGCCGATGATGTTACGAGTTTTGTGGCTGCCGTAATCGGTTTGGTCCTCGCGCTTCAGCCAGATATTTGCACCACCGGCCAGGTCCGTGAGCTTGCTGGCCATCTGGAGAGGCGTGTTCATATGGCGCTGAAAAGTGGCATATTCCGCCCAGAAGGATGGATCCGAGATGACAACCTCGAAGACCGAGGTCAGCTCGTGCAGGAAACCCATGATCGATTCGGGAACAAACCGGCCCCCGAAGGAACCATAGCCACCGAATGAGATCGGTGGCGGTCTCAACGTGCCATCCAGTTGCATGATCGGGAAATACGGTGTGCCATTGTCCTGGGGTGGTATGATGGCCAGCTTGGCGAGCGCGCCGGACGTCAAGGAAGGGCCATCACTGGTCGCCGACGTCGCGGTGACTATGGATTCTTCAAGCGAGACCCCGCAGGTGGATATACAAGTACTCTGAGTACTTTGTATGCCAGGTGACGTTGAGATGGACAGCGCCCTGGTGGCGACCCGGGTGGTCCCAGTATTTCTCACCCGCGAGGCAGGGAGAGGGGCTGTGACAGCTGCCTCGCCGATGGTCCTCAAGCGAATGACATTGTTCGACGTACTCGAAGTTGAGTCCGTATTTGTGATAGTCTGCTGGTGGGAAAAGCAAAGAAACCCTCGCATCGACCGGAACATGGTGGACAGTCAAACAATGAATGGGGGAGTGAGGGAAGCGATTAGGACCTTCAGTATGCTATAAGGATCTCAAAATGCATGTAGATTAGCAGATGGGGGGAATAAAGGAGCCAATTGAGAAGGTAATAAGTGTCTTTGCCAATTCAAAGTATACAACTGACGCGCGATGGGGTGTGGCCCACGTGGGAGGTGAGCGTATGGCAAGAAGGGTGATACGGATCGGCCGGCGAAGGGACTGAGGGCACTGTTGGGCTTAAATAACGGTGTGCATAGTTACAGCCTGTCAATGGGATGCGGTATCCAGGTGCCCCATTCGCACGAGGCTTTCCAAATGATGCTTATGGTCATCGCACCCCCGGGCGATCTCGGGCCTCCCATTCCGTCGCCATCCCACTCACCTCAGGTCAACCCTCTCTTCCAGTGGGGAAGACCCGGGAAGAAAATACATGATATCGGGTACTGTGCTCCTTTTTTGCTTCCCATGGTCTACTTGGTCATATGAAGTAGCTAACTTTGTCATGTCTTTCGAGGTCCCAAACTGTGAGAAACTACGCCGCTATGCCTCCCATCAGCTATAACACGCCGAGAACCTTCGATGTGACGTTCCTACACTGTGGGGCCGAATACATCGCCAAGGGACTGGCTCGCGGCAAATGCAGGTTATCTTGCGATTAGTTGCCCGTCGTCGATACTGATACTGTCTGTGCTGATATTAACCCAATAGACCCATGCAGATTTGGTTTGGTTGCGACGCTGCCGTCCCAGGCTTAAACGGAGCACTGCCTCGCCTTCCACAGTTGAGATATCTCCCTTAGCTTCGCTCAGTCAAGTCGTGTCACAATGATCACTCATGCGCTGAGCTCGGCATTTGAATTTGCAGTACACCAGAAGTCGGCTATCCTTACTCACCGAGACTAAGCAGGTGTCCGGCATGAGACGAATGGATGAAACACATTCTTGGGCGTGAAGTTACCTCTCGGATTTTCAATTTTTGCTTCGTGCCGATCTTCATCACGAACACCTGTTTGTCCCGGTTTATAATGGTTATGTAGGATTCCTCTTCCGCATAGATTGGAGATGGAAATTTGATTACTTCATATCACAGAAGCCGGAGCTTCGAAAACTAGGGCAGTAATTGGTCATGTGACTTGGACGAGCTGACCCGGAAAGGACGAGTGAAATTTGCCAACACTTACATCTAGCCATCGACAGGAGTAAGATCAATAGCAATCCTGGCTTGAAAGTCCTTCTCCACCCTTTTCATTTATGGGGCTTTGTAAAGTTTGAACTGGGCGGCCACCTATGTTCGGGAATAGGTTCACAAGGCGGGTGGTCTTCTGTCGGGTACCAGGGTTACTAGACTGATGGTCGGGTACTACATCCAACAAAATATTTCCTAGAATTAGGCATTTTCGTGCCATCACAAACTTGCTTGTACCTCACTAGCCCAAATGACCGCTCTATATACACTTGTCTGCATGGTGTTCCGACCGGACTGGACAATATATATTTCGCACTTCAACCTTACGAGCTCACTACTTAGCCAAGACTCAAAGAGTCAACCACGAAAAGACCTCGAAAGGGTAAACCATGGGTCCTCGCAACAGATATCACCCACCTACTCCAATTGGTCAAGCTGGAGACTTGCCAACCTACCGCCAGACCGGTTCACTGGTCCACGACCCCTGTCCCGAGTACATAGCGGAGTGCAGGGTCGCAGCGAGAGACCGGGGTTTCTCCCACCCATGCGGCCAATCCCAGCAACCAGCGGCGGAGAATTTACGCCAGTACCAGGTGGGTGTGCTGCCGTACATATATGAAGCATGTGAAGATGTAGATGTCCACGGGGCACTGGAATGAGATACCACAGTGTCCGCACGGGCTGCAGGACGCCTGAGCTGAGCTGGGCATATATACAAGGACGACCTGCCCACCAACCCCTCAATCTTTCCTTCGAGCTGTGAGTGTATTTCATCCCGACTGAACTGACGGATCTTTCCACGTGGCTCACACGGTCCACTTCACAATGCATCACACGAGGGCGATGACGGGGGACTATGCGTCTGCTGATGGCGCGGATTGGAAATTCGTCCTCTGGCTATCGTACAAGATCATGATGAAGCTTGCGCAGGATGCAGTGACGTCCTTGACGTGAGAAAACGATGTGGTGAGGGAGATGAAGCGTTGAGATAATCCAGTGCTCGATGGCTAATTCCGTGTCGCAGGGGCTAGCGACATGTAGCGTTCCATTGTGGACGCCCAATACAAACCCGCCTCCACATCTCTTGCAGAATACCTCATGCACTGGAATGACCCCAGTGGCGGGCGATAGGACGAATCCAACAGACGCAATAGTACTTGCCGATATCGTCTTGAATGCATAATCCGGCAGAGACTCGGGGCGAAGCGTGCGCCAAACCGCCATACCCAAGCCGGGGTGCACCAGCATCCAATCACCAACCAAGCCTGCCAGCACCCTGTTGTAACGCATCGCACACCATCTCACCTCGGACCTCCATATTCCGTATATGCACCTCACATCAACCCTGGTTGCGTCTCACCCATGCCAAGAAAACACTTCCCGGACCACCCATCTCACACAGCATGCCGCAAAGTTATCTCACCTCCCGGCGGCATGCAAGTCCCCCGTTCGCAAGGTCGCCCACTCAAGCCCCGCGCAACAGGGGGTTGACAGGTGACACAGCTGACCTTGAAGCATCATTACCTAGATCGTCGATGCCGAGAGATGATGTGCAGCGGTAGTGCGGGGAGGTGGGCTTGGCTTTGCGGGGTTGAAGGCAGAAGAGGGTTTCTGGTTCGGATAACGTTGGTCTTGGCTCTATTTTGAGTCTTTTGGTTTTGGTTAGTTTATTTTTATTTCGACTCCATCTATCTCTTCCTCGGTTCTATTTCGTCTCTATTCTGCGTGTGCTCGTTTGATTCTGTAGCGACTCTCGTATTTCTCGTCTAGTCCTGTTTATTTTATCCAGTAGAGTACACTCTAGACCGGCCAGCGTCGCAGCGACACAGGATACAAAGGTTCCCGCAAGCGGCAAAGCCCAAAAAAAGAGAAACGCCAGCAACGGGTATACGCTCAAATGCAATATGGGTGACAGGGGGCAGACCGAGGGGAGACTTGTGTGTCAGTCTTCCTCGGTCCGCAAGCCAAGAAAGTCCCTAGCTAGAGCCAAGGACGGACGTAACCCGATGGAAAGAAACTCTCATGTTCTCCCATCGTGAGTCGTGGCCAGGGTAAGGGGAGGGGAAGGCGTCGGGGCTTCGGTGTCCAGCGGTCCGAAACCCATCCGGCCAAAAAGAAAGGGGGTGAAAAGCGAGGTGACATCAAAATCACGTCCAGAAGGGTGGAAGTTACAAAAAGGACCCATCTCCGGGATGTGGGGACGAAGGTAGGAAGTGGTGGTTGAGTGAAGGTGGTACAAGGGTGGATGGGAGTACGCCTTACGCGCAGACCTGCACGGCATTCAGCGCGCGGGTCAGGTCCTCGGGCGCAAAGGGTAGACTCTTGGTCTTGCCCCAGCCTCGGGGCGACTTGGGGTACGGCGAGGTGGGCGACATGGCACGGACGATGGGCGAGGTGTACCGGATGGACTCCTTCAGCAGGGCGATAGGATCATCGTGGATCGCGTAGACCCTGACGTCGTGCTCTTCGGGCAGCAGCGTCATCATGGAGCCGGAGTAGCTCTCCGAGTTGGAGTTGACGACGGTGGAGGACTGGGAGCCCGTGGGGCGGAAAGAGTCGGCCAGGCCGGGCACGGAGGAGCCGGAGTCGGGACCGAAGTCGGTTAGAGCTGAGGGGCGTCAGGACGGGACTTCGGATAAATCGGCGAGCAATGGAGAATTGATTCGAGCCGAGGTGGGGAATTTCCCAAGGCTCTTATCGGTGTTTTTTTTTTTTTTAGTACATACCTGGATCGATCGGCACGCCGTCGTGGTCGGGTGAGACCTCGGTGTTGTTGCTGCTGAGGGGTTCGAGAGGGCCGGGCAAGTCGTACGTGGCGCAAGGGGACAGCGACAAGTCGAGAGAGCGCGGGCGGTCCTCCATTGCGCGTTCAAAGGACCACGCCGCTAGGCGCTTTTGGTGCGCTTTATCGAAGGGACCTCGGAACTTGGAGGGGGGCACCTCATTGCGGCGATAGTACTCCACGTTGGGTTTGCCATTGCCCTTGCTGGGCGACGAACGTTGGAAGACCCGTCTGACTTTCTCGCGGAACGTCATATTGGGAGAGGAATGTCGGGGTTGCACCCTTCACCAATTGAAGGTACAAGAGTTCCTGACGGCCTCACAGGTGCAGACCACTCCCAGGGTGGGAACGGACGCGGAGGTTGTGCAAGCACGAAAAGCGGGTGGAACGGGCCAGACAGTGTATGCTCATTCTATCGTCATGGAGTGGAGAGGGTGGAAGGAAAAAGGGAAGAGGAAGAGGGAAAGGAAAGGGTGTTTAGAAAAGGAAGAAAAGAACGAAACGAAGCGAGGCCAGGGCGGGCGAAGGCGATAGTAATACTACGGAGTAGAAGATTCGAAGTATGGGATGAACCAAAAGAGAGGGTCCTGAAATGGAGTAGGTGGATGCAACAGGAAAGCGGGCGCGATAAGCCCCAGGAACCGTGGGATTTGCTGGACGGGAATTGCTTCTTCCCCAAGGAGCGCACGAAGTTCGGGGGTTCGATGGGAAATTACCGCCACGGCAGGCCGACTCCGGTGAAGGCGATGGGAATAGGATCCAGAATGGGGCCCGGGGCATTCCCGCGTCATTGGCGACGCCCATCGGGCACGGTCTGTGCGCCCCCAACCTGATATGACACGACTGAACGCTGATTGCTCCATTTGGGCTGCCCATCGAGACTAATGCGGGCAAGATCCGGAACGAGGTAAGGGCGGTTAGACGGTTAACCGGAGGGGTAGAAGGATTTTCTGCGGAGACGCACTGATACTCTCCGGGGCATGGGGCAAGAGGCGGCAAGAGACCAGGGTACGAGTAAAAGTAAGAGTAAAGAGTAATAGTAATAGTCATGTTAACTGTAACAGTAACACCACAATCGAGCTAGTGTGAGGTCAGTGGCAGATTATCGACCATCGACCAGACCAAACCCGATCCAACCCGACCCTAATGAGTCGTGCAGGCGCTGGTTGGGGGGACCACCCGTGGATGGTCCACGCCGCGTGCCTTGCACACCCAAACGGAGAGGCCCCTCGCATCGCCAGAGTTTGCCAGCCAGATGTTGGGCCGAGGCGCTGCACCGATGTTTCCAGAAGACGCTACCGCCCCCAAGGCGAGAGCCTCACGGTTGCATCATTGCCACTATCGGACGAGGCCAAGCAGCGCAGGACTGGGCGTGCCTCATCGACGTAGATCAGTGGTGGAGGGGAATCGAGATGGAATGCATCCACCTCAGCACACCAACGAGAGGGAAGATGGAGGCGAGACACACGAGAAACAGCCGGAAGCGGCCGCGGGGGGCCCCAAAAGGGCCCCGCTTGCCTGCTGTTTTGGTTGGCGGTGAGTGAGAAGGAGCGGGGGCTGAGTGGGGGTCACGGCACGCTTTACCCGAGAGTTCTGCCGCTTTTCTTTCCCTCCAAGGTGGTCTTTTGGATGTCTTCCGGTTGTCTTTTGGCTAATAGAGCCAATTTGGGGGTCAGGTCTCAACAACGGCCGGCTGGCCCAATGGCAAGGCGCTTGACTACGAATCAAGAGATTGCAGGTTCGACCCCTGCGTCGGTCAGATTTTTGGTTTTTCATTTTTGCGTCTGTCCCTCCTATCCCTTCATCTGGTCTTGATGGAGTAAGTAGTACGGAATACTGTTATGGCACTCGACATCGTATAGAGATATACACACATATTGTGGTCAAGTCCCCGGTGGCTGGACTTGGTTTTCACTGGCTATGTCGCCCCGGTTGGTCCGGAGTGCACATCCTCATCCCATCGTGATGCAGGATCTCCCTCCCAAAATTAGTTCTGATGACGATCGTCGGCGCCTTTACTACTCTGATCATACTCATTAAACGGACCACTCATCTCCGGCGCGTGGATCTGACACACGGACCGGGGATGACATAATCGGCCCAGCCACGTTGAAGAATGCCCCAAGTAGAGCGAAGATCATGGTGTGCGGCTGCGAGGGAGGCTGTATACCCTCTGGGGCCGACTACTACTCCTATGCCCGGGCAGGGATGCAGGTACAGGGCTTAGCCAGGAGCTACTCCGTAACGGTCGCGTCCCCCTCTCGATCGACTCCCTTCGGGCCCCTCAAAGTACTCTAGCGCGGCGCACTCTTGCAGCAGCCCTATTACCCAATCGGGCATTAGGGCTGTCCGTCTGCAGCAAAGAGTCTTGGCCGCAGGCACACGACACACCCTGGAAGCGGAACTATGAAAGGAGATGCACACCACCCTGCGCGATCGCTTTGCTTGCGGGGAAAATCTGAAGATCCAGGGACGTACGAGCATGCCCGAGCAAGACAGGGCAAATCATTCCGTTCATCCCATAGAGACATGCTGCGAGCGGCGAGGGAATGCGCTCCCGTCGCCGTAGAAGCAAAACACAGGCAAAAGCAAAAGATGCCAATTGTCCTCTCCCGGCCCCGGACGTAGTCGACGTGTAGAGTCTCCTCATGTCGAGCAATTTTTAGCAATTCTCTCCATCATCCGCGTTCCAGAACCATCTGCGTTCGACGAACCACGGGTCCCGCAGTTGCTCAGCATACCGGACGCCATCCATCCCTTACTGTAGGGGATCTTGGCCCACTCCCGTCAACTCATCTTCCCATCTTCAAACTCGTCCGCTCTTCACCTCATCCACCCACATTCACCTACTGTAAGTCGTCCTCAATCACTTCGCTAGCCGTGCGCCGGCCAGCAACGCACCCTCTCGTCTACCCTCCGCATTCCTCTCGCCGGGCGCCGCACTCCTGTCGTCATCCCGGCGTGGTAATTCTGACCGCATCCCAATCCAGACACACGAATCGTCACGACCATCATGCCCAAGAAGGGAGGAAAGAAGAAGAGCAAGGGCGGCGCAAAGCCCGCGGCCGTCGCTGCCATCGACAAGGTCGCCGATACTGCGAAGAGCGTCGTGTAAGTGTCAATGTCCATGCCACAAAGAAAAAAAAAAAAGACCAAAATGAGAAGAACATAGTGGTGGTCGCGTGCCATCGGCTTTTCTCGGGTCGCAACCAATTTGTTGACGCAGCGCTGACCCTCACACTCCCAGTCATCCCAACCAGGAGGTCGAGGATAACACTGTTCATGAGAATGGCCAGACCGAGGCCGCCGAGGCCGCCGAGACGCCAGAGGCTCCCGCCGCCGAGTCACAGGTGGCCGATAGCACTGCACCCGCCGTGACCGAGACCAAGGAGGCTGAGAAGCCCGTGGAGACGGTCGCGGAGCCCACGGCAGCTGCAGAGCCCGTCGTAGAGGCGAAGGAGGAGGGCAGCGTGCAGGACGTCGTGGACAAGGCGCAGGCCTCCAAGGCCGGCCAGGTTGCTGAGGTGGAGAGCGAGAGCAAGGGCAAGGGTAAGCAGCAACACAGTGAAGCACCGGAACAAGCGATGACAAGAAGCTAACATGGCCCCTCATCCAGCCGTCCTCCCCACGACCGCCACCACGGAGTCTACCACCGCCGCCGACCTCTATCCCTCCACCACCGAGACTGCCGCCGAAGAGTCCGCCACGTCGACTGCTGCGACCACCGGCGCCGCCGCGCCCACCTCCTCCCTGCCCGAGCGCCCCAAGACCGGCGAGTCGCCCACCGCCGCGGCTGTCGTGCCGGCCGCGACCCCGGGCGAAACCGATGTCTCCCACTCCAAGCGTCCCTACGAGAAGCCCATCTTCTCCAACGACGAGGTGAAGCCGCACAAGATGGCCAAGACCGAGGAGGAGCAGGTGGCCGACCAGATGGCTCTGGCCGGTGCTGGCCCGGCCTCGACCGCCGCGTACACGGCTCCCGAGCCCGAGCCCGTGCCCGAGCCCAAGACGCTCGAGGAACAGAAGACCGAGGAGAAGAAGCAGCCCGCTGCCGCCGAGGCGCCTAAGGCCTCGCCCGACGCCGTCGCTGCTGCTGCGGCCGCCATCGGCTCGTCCAAGACCAACAAGGCCGCCACCGCCCCCACCGCCCCTATTCCGGTCACCGAGGAGCCCAAGAAGCCCGAGCCCGCGGCGAAGCGTGGCGAGGCGCCCAAGGCCAAGGCTGACGTGCCCAAGGAGGCTCCCAAGGAGGCACCCAAGGATACTGTATCTCCTGCAGGCGAGGCGGCGAAGAAGAGCGACGAGGCCAAGGCCGAGCCGTCAGCAGAGGCACAGGCCGAAAAGAAGAAGGGCGGATTCTTCGCTAAGCTCAAGCGCATGTTCAAGTAAAGAAGCAAGTCTTCTTTTCTGGCCATGAGTAGCTTAGTGCAGGAGTAAGAAGGAGAGAAGAGAGAAAGAGAGGAGAGAAGGAAAGAAAGAAAGAGTGGGTGTACGATATGCAGCGCCGATGAGGGCTGTGGTAGTTGCTGCATGCTTGGAGACGTGTTTGATTTTCCCTGTTTCCTTTTTCTCTCTCCTTTTTTTTTTTTTTTTTTGTGCAAGTCCGGTTTTTTTGAATGATACACCAATCGAAATTTATATAACATCTAACATACCCGAGTGTTGATTGACTAAGATTTTTCCCTGGAGGAATTTGGAACGCCTTCCCCTTTTCTCTACGTAGTCGAGACCCGACCTTACCGGAGTTGTCTGTGCTCCGTTGAGGGACTCCACGATATACACCGCTAGTCCTCCTGGTCCTGGCCCTGGTCCATGCGGTGGCTCCCTTGTGGGGGGACTGCAGGGCCCAACAACCTGGTATCTTGGTTGTAGCTGTAGGATGGAACTAGCGATGATCACGCCGTCATAGCTTAGCTTCTCTGGGGCATACGGGGCTGCAGTGGAGTCGTGGATGACGAGGCTGTGACGGGCTGGAGCTGGAGAGCGTTGGGATCGCATCTCCACTTACGCCAGCACACGATAGTTGAACGTGGAGGGGCCTGGTAGACAGGTGGGGAGCTGATCTAATTTGTTTTCTCAACTCATCGAGTCGGTCCGACTTCTCTCAGTGTACACCAATCCTCGGCTGTTACACCTACAGTAGTTGCTACTCTGGGCTACTTTATGGCCATGAGAATAAATTCTGCGTCTGCTCCACCAGCACCCAAAGCGTCAACGCCAAACCCAACCCTAAACCGCTCCATTTCAGTGGTCGGCATTATGTTTCCGACAGTTTGGTGACCGACGCAGAGACTGCTCAGGGAGTTTGCCCTTGGCCTGCATCCTTCTTTGCAAGTGTTCCTGAGACGTGCCAGAAGCCCGAGAGCTGAGGACGAAGAGAACTCGAGAACAGCTTGAGGGGGTCTCACTGGATGGAATCGACCGGCTTGCGAGCATCAAAGATTCCCATTCTGACCCAATCTGACCGCAATCAGGAGAATCAATCTCCATCACGCCGACATCAAGACCTCAACCACAACGGCATCGCACAATGACTGCGCTACTCCAGTGAGGCGGAGTTGCTCTTCCCAGTTTTGCAGAAGCCAACGACTCTCGTGCCATCTCAACTGCAACCAGTTCAGCCCTTTTGATGAAGATCTCCCATATATTTAGGACTTTTCTCCGTGGTAGCCATACTGCAAGGGCCGTGGTGGCTACTCATTGCAAGTTTGGGCTGGTCCCGGCTATCGATAGATTGCATCTATCTTTATATTGATGATGACGATACAACAAGCCTTGGTGCTTTGCTTGCCTCTCAAGAAGAGCCTATGGGTATCATGAAGGTACATTTTCCCCACGCAATGGATTGTATCTCAAAGACCCAGCAATTCCTGGAACCATCAGGTTCAAACGAGTTGGAACTCAGCGAAAGACGGTGCCTGCTTCGAAGAAATCCCCTACCACGTGCTTCTCAAGAACATGGTCATATTTCTCATGGCCAGTCTATCTGTCTTATGGGCCAGGTATCAGAAGGCTCGGTTGGCGTGTTTTTATCACTTTCCGGCGTTGAACAGACGATTTATGCCCTGGCTGCATATCATGTTCTGCCATTCAAGACAGTCAACGAGCTCAGCAAACCTATGTCTTTCCGAGACTCACAATGAGAGAAGAAGAAAACCTCGTCGGAGAGTCGAAAGGAGCGAACATCACCGCAAGAGAGCATCGAGTCGTCGCTTGAAAACATTCCTCCTGCATCTTCAATAGGCAATGGATCGTTTCTGCAAACTGGGCTTCGGTGCCCCCTCTGACCGCACTTCCAGCATGTGATGAATGCGTCCATATCCTGCGTGGATGATGAGGTGAGGGTGTTTGATGGAGGATTTGCAGATCGCTTGGTCGCCAAGATGACCAAGATGTGTCATATCCAAAGACAGAGAAGAAAAAATGTCGAGGCACTTGAGGATCTTAGTTACAGTCAGGACAGCAGTTAGAGGAGGGGGCGCGGCTAATCCACTCAGCAAATTCATGATCTAGAACAGACTCCCCGTCGCCAGCCTGCGCGGCTGCAACCCACCAATCTGCTCCAGGAACATGCCTACATATCTGGTCGCGGTGCCAGGCGGGCGTATGCCAATACCCGCTCTTCCGCACAGCCACCGGTGCGCAATTCGCCCGGTCGCGCTGTGCGACTCCCGCCCACACCCGCGGGGCTACGACGAGACGCTGCTGTGGAAGAGTGTTGGCGCCAAGCGGTACGTGATTCTGCGATTCGACCGGTTTGTCTTTGTGGCTTGCGAGGACAAGACAGAGCTTGAGAAGGCGGTTGCCACCTCAACGCGTTATTCGAATCGTAGTGGGAGTCGGACAAGTACAGCTGTCCCGATGGTACCTCCCCACCAATCCCAGCAAGATATGCAATAGACGCAGCCCGATCCGATAAGCCCTAGATGTTCTATCACTTTTGTAGCCGCATAGAAATTGGAAGCAAGCGCCATCTGGGAAAAATGCCGGATAGGTCCCGCATACCCCGGGCCCGGCGGGGCTTACCGTCCAGACCCCGCGGAGTTCAAGCGGGCTGGGGAAGCTTGGCGCGTCGGCCCTCGGTTAGTGGCTGGGTAATGAGGGACAATGAGTGATAAAAGGCACCGTAATCCCATCACAAATCACCCCTCGACTACCTAGACTTTGTTTTTTTATTTTAATTCGAGACTGATAGAAATGACGGCACCTCTCCCCCGCAAGCTCTGGGAGCATCCTGACCCGGGATCGACGCAGATGGCTCAGTTCCGGGGGAGCTGGAGCGGTCCGTGGGGAGGAAGTTCGACGTGAGTACCCCGAATGAGGCATACATGAATCCGGCTGATGATGTGTTTACTAGACATTCCACGATATGTATCTCTACTCGGTCCAGCACCGCTCCGCGTTCTGGGATTTCTGTTGGAAGTTCTTCCCGATCATCCACGAGGGCGCTTACGCCCGCGTCGTGGACGAGTCGGCGCGCATGGACAGCGTGCCATCCTGGTTTGCCGGGGTGAAGCTCAACTTTGCCGAGAACCTGCTCTTCTCGCGGAGCGCAGGAGAGACGGTGGGTAAGGAGGATGATAAGGTTGCCGTCACCGAAGTCCGCGAGGGCGGTTCCTCGAGTGCGGTCCATCTAACCTGGGGTCAATTGAGGCAACGAACTGGCGCCCTTGTGCAGGCAATGAAAGCCAATGGGGTGCTTCGGGGCGATCGCGTTAGCGTCTGTTCGGCGAACAGCATTGATACGCTGCTGGTGATGCTGGCGACGACCGCTCTCGGCGCGATCTTCTCTTCAAGCTCGACCGATATGGGCGTGAAGGGCGTGCTGGATCGATTATTGCAGATTAAGCCTCGGTGGCTGTTCATGGATGATTTTGCGGTATATAACGGGAAGAAGATCGACTTGCGAGGCAAGATGAGGGACATTTCTCACGGGATGGACGCAGTATCGGAGTTCCAGGGCGTCGTCTCGCTACCCCGATTCCCCTCGGAGCCGGCTGATATCAACAGCATTCCTCGGGGCTGGACGTTGTCAAGCTTTCTCTCCAAGGCCGGTGGTCGGGATCGCTTGGAGTTTGAGCGAATCCATTTCCGGGACCCCTTTCTCGTGGTGTACTCGTCCGGCACGACGGGCCAGCCCAAGTGCATTGTCCATTCGGTGGGAGGGGTGTTGCTGAATGCCTTCAAGGAGGGCAGTTTGCATACCGAATTCGGACCGCAGAGTGTCGCCCTACAGTACACGACGACGGGGTGGATCATGTACCTAAGCGCCATCCAGACCCTGCTCTTTGGAGCCCGAGCGGTCCTCTACGACGGCAGCCCATTCCTGCCCGACGTGACCTCGTTGGTGACTCTAGCGGCTCAAGAAAGGTAATTATCGTTCCGTTCTAGCCTCCTCTCCGAGACGGGATCTATCTGATTGACCATGCAGGGTGACCCATCTGGGTATTTCCCCGCGGTGGCTGCAGGAGCTGCAGCGAGCGAAGATCAGGCCCCGCGAGATGGTCGACCTCAGCGCTCTGAAGGTTGTCACCAGCACCGGCATGGTCCTGCGGGATGCTCTTTTCGAGTGGTTCTACGACGAAGGATTCCCGTCTCACACCCGCCTGAACAACATCTCGGGTGGCACTGATATCGCCGGTTGTTTTGGGATCGGCAATCCGCTGACCCCCGTGTATGTAGGCGGATGTGCGGGATGCAGTTTGGGTGTGCCAGTCGAAGTCTACGACTCGACGATCGAAGGAGGCACCGGCGTCCCAGGCGCTGCCATCGAAGAGGGCATGCCGGGAGAACTGGTGGCTACTTCAGCCTTCCCTAACATGCCCACGCAGTTCTGGGGCGATGCGGATGGCAAGAAGTACTTCAATGCGTATTTCGCCCGGTTCGATAGTATGTCCCACCCCTCCCCCCTGGCAACTCGTCTACGCTGGAGTCATTGCTCACTTCTACAGATGTCTGGACCCACGGTGACTTCGTAGCCATCCATCCCACCACCAGACAGCTTGTTTTCCACGGCCGCGCCGACGGGGTCCTCAATCCGTCGGGAGTTCGCTTCGGCTCAACAGAAATCTACCGCGTCATCGAGGGCCAATTCTCACAGGAGATCGCCGATTCCATCTGTGTGGGCCAGCGCCGCCCGTCGGATCCGGACGAGCGCGTCATGCTCTTCCTGCTAATGAAGCCTGGGGCCGCCTTCACAGCTGACCTGAGGACGCGCGTAAAGAGCGCGATCCGGACCGAACTTAGCGCGCGCCATGTGCCCATGTTCATCTTTGAGACGCCCGAGATCCCCGTAAGTGGCCCTGGCGCTCGACCCCTCTCTTCTCGCCGACAGGCGGGACTAACCCGGGACATATTTCACTAGACAACGGTCAACCTGAAGAAAGTGGAGCTCCCAGTAAAGCAGATTGTGTGCGGCAAACGGATCCAGCCCTCGGGGACGCTGCTCAACCCGGACAGCCTGGAGTTTTACTACCGATTCGCCGAGGTGGAGAGGCTTGAGCGCGAGAGTAAGCTCTAAGCGAAAACGCGTGTTTGGAGAGTTTGGGAAGTTTGGAATAGGCAGCGTGAAATCGACCAGCATCCACTTCCAGATAGAACGTGTCCGGATAGGAATGAATGATTCGTGTCTCACACTATCGCTGTATCATGGAAACCATTATCACCGACCGATTATTGAATGTGCCAGTATCGGGCGCACCCACACCGCTAGCGCTGGCTCGACGTGGCGCCAGTGAGGGTCGGCCAGCCCAGCGCCAGTGGCTGTCGCGGGGAGGGGCATGGGAGGGGCAGATCGGATGTACCGGGAGGGCCGATCGTCACTCTGCCAAGCTTTCACCAAGCTTTGTTGTTGAAAGGAGTATCGACAGAGCCGGGTTGAGTGGGGTGGTCCCAGACATGGAAGGGAAAAGGTTGAGGCACGCGAAATAGCAGGGCGATCGGATGAAACAGGAGGTCAAGCAAGACGGGCCAATGGAAATGCCGGAAAGTACGAGCTGCGCTGGTCGAGCTGCAAGCTGGTTAGCTGTCGGCCACGGCGGCAACGTCATCCCCCGCACGGCTTGTTTTGTCCTGCGTAGCGGTTGTGCTCCCCTCTTTAGCGCTCCTCTTCCTCTTTCCCTTTTCCCTTCTTCCTTTCCTCCATCTCTATCCCTCTCCCTCATTGCAATCATGGTTCATCTCGCCTCTGTGAAGAATGACGACGAGGTCTTTGACCCCAAGTCCCGCACCTTCGACTCCATCGTGGCCACTCCGCCTGACGAGAATGACTTCTACACCAACGTCTACGGCAGCCATTTTGCCGCCGACCACATGCCCCTGCATGAGATGCCCGAGCGTGAAATGCCCCGGCAGATTGCCGCCCGTATGATCAAGGATGAGCTGAGCCTGGATGGCAACCCCAAGCTCAAGTATGTCGTTGCCAATGGCATGCCCAACACCGAAGACACCGAACGATGGGCTGACTCGTCTCTTGCAGTTTGGCCAGTTTTGTCACCACCTATATGGTATGATCGCATCTGAGAACGGTCAGGAGGACCAATGGTATTTCAGATCACCGCTAATGCGAACGCTCCCATGTTTTGTAGGAAGAGGAGATCGAGGACATCATGACTGAGGCCTTCAGCAAGAACTTCATCGACTACGAGGAGTACCCGCACTCCGCTGAGATCCAGAACCGCTGCGTCAACATGATTGCCCGCCTGTACAACTGCCCGACCGACCCCGATAGTGAGAATGCCATGGGCACTTCAACCATTGGCTCGTCCGAGGCCATCATGCTGGGCACCCTGGCCATGAAGAAGCGTTGGCAGAACAAGCGCAAGGCCGAGGGTAAGGACTACTCGCGCCCCAACATCGTCATGAACAGCGCGGTCCAGGTCTGCTGGGAGAAGGCTGCCCGCTACTTTGACGTCGAGGAGAAGTATGTCTACTGCACCGACACCCGCTATGTCATCGACCCCCAGCAGGCCGTCGACCTCGTTGATGAGAACACCATTGGAATCTGTGCCATTATCGGTACCACCTATACTGGAGAGTACGAGGACGTCAAGGCGATTAACGACCTCCTCGTGGAGCGCGGCATCGACTGCCCGATCCACGTCGACGCCGCCAGCGGTGGCTTTGTCGCCCCCTTCACCAAGCCCGATCTCGAGTGGGACTTCCGTCTCGAGAAGGTGGTCTCCATAAACGTCTCCGGACACAAGTATGGTCTCGTCTACCCCGGTGTGGGCTGGGTGATCTGGCGATCGCCCGAGTTCCTGCCGCAGGAGCTGGTCTTCAACATCAACTACCTGGGCGCCGACCAGGCCAGTTTCACCCTGAACTTCTCCAAGGGTGCTTCGCAGGTGATTGGACAGTACTACCAGCTGATCCGCCTCGGCAAGCACGGCTACCGCTCGATCATGGTCAACCTGACCCGCATTGCGGACTACATGGCCGCACAGCTGACGCAGATGGGTATGATTATCATGAGCCAGGGTCAGGGCAACGGCCTGCCTCTGGTGGCGTTCCGCCTGTCGCCGAACCCGGACCGCGTATTCGACGAATTCACACTGGCGCACCAGTTGCGCGAGCGCGGCTGGATCGTTCCCGCATACACCATGGCTCCGAACAGTGGTAAGCTGCAGCTCATGCGCATCGTTGTCCGCGAGGACTTCAGCATGAACCGCTGCGATAGCCTGATTACCGACATCAAGCTGGCGCTACAGACCCTCGAGGCCATGGACCTGGCCATGATGGACAAGTACAAGGCGTATGTTCTTCCCACCCTGTCCGGTGCTGTCATAACTATTTCTCAACTAACTTTCAAATCCAGGCACATAGTCAGCCACCGCGCCCACCCGCGCCACAAGAAGCACACCCACAATCACTACCATGACGAGAAGCACTCGCTGCAGGGCAAGACTGGCAAGTCGCACGGGGTGTGCTAATTGGGTCGATGATCGATGCCGGGCATCGCAGATCCCGGAACGAACCATCCCCTGTCCGTGTCCATGATTGTTTTCGAGTTGCCCAGAGGGAATCCCGGGAGGATTTGTGGCTGGGCCCGATCTTGCCTTACTGTTGATGCCGCGGGGGCGAGGGGGGAGTCCCCTCTTATCTGTCCGCCATTTGTATGTATGTTCTTTTTCACATAGCAGACGCCTGTTCCGATGGGTTGATTACAATTTGATATTGGCTATGGTTATGGCTTAGAGACTTAATTGGTTTGATCCGTGACGTCACGTCGACGCGGTCTTTGATGTCTCCTGTGGTTGTAGACAGAGTAGGTAACGTGCTCAGCGGCATTTCTTTCGTCTGATTCTCCAAGATCATCAGGATCTCTGCACGGAATGTGAATCCCCAGCACCATGCAGCATATCTTCATCAACCCGGACGCGGACCGGCCCCCAACCCGCGATCTTCCTCGGGCAGTTGTCATGCCAGATCGACTGCCACCGGCAAAGGAGACAAAGCATCATCCCTCTGATGGCGGTAACGAGAACGCCTCGTTGTTCTTTGTCGGGACGGCGACGACCATCATGTTCGTGGTGCTGGACTATACTTGGGATCCCGGGCTAACAGGGACAGCGAATGGGCCGGAATCCGAATCATGACCGATGCAAGTGCTCCTCTTCGCGCTTCCCTCTTACCTTCGCACTGACTCTTCCAGCCCAACTTTCTCCCTGCCGGCGATGAGGCTGCCTTCGGTGCCGGTGTGTCGAGTGAACGACGCACCCATCCCGCCGTCGAATTACATGATCTGCCGCGCATTGACCTCGTCCTCCTTTCCCATTACCACAAGTAGGTCCTCTCTTCTCCAAGTGGACCCCCAAAGGGCTCTCACTCGGGAGGCAGCTAATGGTCGAAGGGACCATTTCGACCAGAAGGTCGAAGCCTCGCTCCGCCGGGATCTTTCCATCATCACCACGCCGCACGCCCGGGTCCAGCTCACCAACAAAGACGATTCATTCACCAATGTCTTTGCGCTCGCCCCCTTCGAGACGGGGATGGTCGAGGTGGCCGGCACCGGGGGACCGAAACGACCGCTCGTTCGCGTGACGGGGATGCCCGGGAAACACGTACCCTGCAATGCGGTGGTGGAGCGGCTCAATAAACTGGCCCATGCAGTGCGTCGTCCGACACCCCCAAAGTTCTCCCCAAGTTCCTGCGGGGCAGGTCCGAAATCCGATATCAGATGTTGTAGCTCACCGTCGGCTCTTCCGCTCTACTAGATTCCCCCCACCAACGGCTGGATGCTGGAACTCGGCACGGGCGCCGACACCAGTGACCCCACCGACTTCACCTGCGGCTACCGCATCTACATCGCCGGCGACACGCTGGTCTCCGAGGAACTCTACGCAATCCCAGAGCGCTTCGCCGACCAGCCGATCGACCTGATGCTAGCGCACCTGGGCGGCACGCTGATCCCGTCTCCGGCACTGGCGCCGCTCGCGTTTATGGTGAGCATGGACGCGACGCAGGGCGTGCAGATGATGCGGCTGATCGGGGCGGACGTCACCATCCCGATCCATTATGATGATTATGCGGTGTTTGCGAGCCCCGTGGAGGACTTCGCGAGGGAGGTGGAGAGGGCTGGGTTGGGCGGGAAGATGGTGCTTTTGGAGCGGATGGAGAGTTATGCGTTTCGGGTGCGGGAGGAGGTTGGCCGGGCGAGGGAGGAGGAGACGTATTTTGGGGGTGGGGGGCATTACTTCTAGTTCGAGCGCGAGACAGTTGTAGCCGCTATTGCCATTGCCATTGCCCATCACGATAGCCGCTCTCGTTATCGTTGGCGGTTGGAGCGTGGGTGGTGAGCCGATCTGACGGCTTATCATGCATACTGCATGTCCATCTCCTGCACGACTGGCACAATCCGAATGCGATACATCCCATAGGCGACGCATGGATCGGGCATGGCAGCGCCGTGGTTTCAGGTGAAGCAGGGTCTTGTTTAAGGCGGGGTTCCTGGAAGCCCCGAACCTATTAGCGCCCGCACCCAAGGAATCAACCTACGCAACCCCAGTGGCGCGGCGGGTGAGCCTCTGGCCCCCTAAACATGCGTCCGCGCATACGAGGCCTGCTCCGGGACTGCTCCTGGACTGCTCCTGCTGTTCTCCTGGACCTTGGATCGCCTGGGAACTCTGCTCGAACCCTCGAGGCAACCGGTCTCGGCGCCGCCAGCGGTCCATTGCGCATGGTTCACTGTCATGTTGTTGCTCCCATCTCCTTGATCCTCCTCGTCTTCCACATTCCTCCCCTGGACGAGGAGAGGGCGACATATTTAAATATAGAACAGCCGCCCAATGACTGCTGACCCCCGCCGATCGCACCTCCACCTCAGCCTTCCCTCGTCTTCGTGTTGTCCTCTTTGCGAACCCCCCCCCCCCTCCCCCTTGGATCTTGGATCTGGGATCTGATCTTGGAAAGTCATGCCCCTCTTTAAGAAGTCCAAGTCGCCGTCCAATCCATCCACCCCTGCTCGTTATCCTGCCCGCTCGGCTGAGCAACTGGTCCACCCCGCGTTTGTGGCTCCACCAGGCCCCAACACCGCCAACGCCAGCAACCACAACCACAACCATAACCACAACAGCCACCGTGACGACTACACGGACCACCGCATTTCCGACTACCGTATCGGTAACGACGGGTCGGGCTCGAACCCACCAACGTGGCCTCCGCCACCCCATCAGCATCCGCATCAGCATCCACATCAGCATCCACATCAGCATTCGCATCAGCGTTCACCTCCGCTTCAAGAACCCACGCAATCCTCCTTGCACCGTTCCCAGAGCCAGCGTCAGCCCCACCTGCAACAACGCGACCGACCGACCGTCGCCCCCGAGGATCCGCAGCCTCGTCGCACCAGAAAGGGCTTATTTGTGCGGCCGTCGTCCGGCTTCCTCGATCGCAGTCACTCCGTCAAGGGGAAGACCGTCTCCCATCCAATCTCTCAACCGACCTCACCGCAGCACCCGCCTCCCCACCACTCCCTGGCCGACACCACCGAGGAGGATCAGTACACCCCGCACAGCTACTCGGACGACCCGGCTCCAGTGTCGAACAGTCACTCCTATGAGCCGCGGTCTGCCTCAATAGCCTACCAGGAACAACATCACCCGCAGCCGCAGCCGCAGATCCAGCGTTCTTCACGCGACAACCTCGAGTGGCCCCCCCCGCAGCCACCGCAGCAGCAACCGCAGCGCCTCCCCCATCATCAGCAGTTCCAACGCCCCCTACCATCCCCTCTCGAGCGCTCCAGCGCCGAGCCAAGCCTGTTCGAGCAAAACAGCAGCCGACCATCGCCCACCGACGCGCCGCCCGAGTCACCTCGCTACACTCCAGATCAACAGGGCCACCGGGGCCAGCCCCAACCGCGCATCCAGCAGGATCTGGTATTCATTTCCCGGCCCCCTTCCCGGCAGACTATCGAGCCACTTTCCCCAGTCCGTCAGCAGACCCATCCTGACGCCATGCAGCAGGCTTCCGCACCGGTGCCACCGCCTCAGGGTCAACAACAACAACAACAACAACAACAACAACAACAACAACAACAACAACAACAACAACAACAACAACAGCAGCAGCAGCAGCAGCAGCAGCAACCACAGCAACTACCTCCTTCGAACGACCGGCCCCCGGGCGATTCCAGCCGACGGGGCAGTACGGTTCAGACCATGCCGGAACCGGGACGGGCCACTCCAACCGGAACTCGGATACGCGATGACGCTGGCGAAATTGATGTGCGAGCATTGCTGCAGAAACATGAAGAGTTGCGTGAGTTGCAAGAATGGAAAAGCGGGACCCATTGGAGCGCAGGATTCTAACTGAGGAGCAGAGACCAAATATTCCAAGGTGAAGCGCTACTACTTTGACAAGGAAGCCCAGGTGCAGCATCTCCAGAACACGGTGGCGCATCAGCGTATGGCCGTGTCCCGTACCGTGCTCGACGATAACGAATATGCAAATCGGTTTCAACGATTGGACGGGGCGATCAAGGACTTGGCATTCTCCGTTCGCAAGGACTGGCGCGCCATTCCGTCATGGCTACAGGGCCTGGTGACGGATGATGCGACGGCGGTGGGGACCAAGGAGATGACGGCGGTGGGCCGGGCTGTGATCAGTCGGTGGTTGGTGGAAGAGGTCTTCCAGCGACACTTCCATCCGGGCCTGGATCCCGCTCTAAGTATTCAGCTGAAGAGCATTGAGATGAACTTGCGACGACAGCAGACGCGACCGGCCACGGACGAAGACCGCGAGAACGCGGTGGTGCGGCTCTCGAACTGGCGCCGGACGACCTTTGATGGGCTTGGTGACACCCTTTCCACACCCGCCGCCCAAGAGCATCGCGCAGAACTGGTCGAGCACTCCATTGCGGAGCTTGCCTCCTTCCTGAGCGGCCAATTGCATGACAATGCCCTCCCGGGCTTGGAGGCGGGCGTGCGGATGATTATTGAGAACACCATCAACATCACCGAGAAAATCCCGCTCGAAGCCCGCGACGTTCATGTGGAGTACTTCCCACCCAACATCTCCTTTGTCGAGAGATACATGAAGGTGGAAGGCGGCCTGCCCCCTCTCACACACCAGCCCCCACCACCAGCAGACCACGCACCCGACGAGTCCGCCGCAGTGGAGGATGACTCCTCCCCTGGCTCCAACTCCACGGGGGCTGGAGATATCGGTTCTCCGCCCACATACAAGCCGCCCAAGAAATCGGTTTTCGGCGCCCTGATGGGCCGCAAACCCGAACCCACCCGTCCCCCGGCCGGGCCTCAACACGAGGAGAAACCCGCAACCGCCGAGGAACGCGAGACCCCGACACGCATCCGCTTCGCATCGTTCCTAACCGTCGAGGTGCGCGGCAAGGGTTCGCCGATGGTCCTGGTCAAAGCGCCCGTGTGGATGATAGAGTGAAGCGAATGCATCTCAAAACACAAAGGCCGAGCAGGAGAGCGCTGTTGTATATAGGACGCAGGAGTGGCACATGATGGCATGGCAATGACGACCACGATTGATAGCATTGATATCCCCATTCGTTTTGTTGGGTTCCAGTGGCCCGAGGATCTGGGTGTTGACATATAGGAGGATTAGGATTTCTTATCTTCACATTCTCTCCCTCTTTCCCTCTCATCTTCCCTAGTATGTATGGCGGCCGTATAAACCCCACTTACTGTACTAGCCAGGGTCTCTTATGATGCACATAAACGAAGGTCTTTCTTTTCTCGATCATTCCTCCACTGCCTCCCTCGGCCGGTTGGTATTATCGTATATCTAGACTGGTCGTCGATCAATCCCTCAACTCTCGCCATATATCTAATGATGGCAACCAACGAATGTATCTGGGGATAACGACCAAATTTTATACACCGAGATGCCCGAGCGAGGGTACGACGAAAGGGCAGGAGAAGGAAAAGCGCCATGGAAGAAGTGATTCAAATAACCTTTTTATAGGAACCAGAGGTAAAGGCTCACTCGATGGGATTCTCCAGTGAACGATAAACGCTCTGGACGACAAGAAGATGATGGTCAGCTATTACTGTGCCTGAAATTGAAATTGAACTTATTTTCGCAAGGCGAGCTCGATATTTGCTAAAGCACTACCACCCTAGAAGATGGGCCGGGATTCAAGGTATAGCAGGTCGACCTCGAATCATGCCATACCATACGGGCCGAACTTTGACATGAGCGCAATAGCGGGCCCTTCATACCGGCGGTGGACTCAATTCGAGGCCCTCCACAGTGAGCTTAAACGCATCACTTCGAGAATAACTCCCCGCCACATCCAAATCCAGCCGCCCGCGCTCACAGTCATCCAGATCGATTTGCGCAATGGCCAGCCCATTCCCAGCAGCGACGTCCTGCACGCCGCCATCAGCGGTCGATGTGCCCAGTGGCGCACTACGAACGGCCGCGTCCTCGCTGTCTGGTGCGTCGTCGGTGCAGACTTCCCACAGAGGCCCGGCGAGGACATCGCCGAGCGGCGAGATGATGCAGCTTCCGCCGCGGCAGATGTACTCGGATTCAGAGCTGCAGATGTTGAAGTCTGATGCAAAAGTGGCGGTGTCAGTGTCAGCCTGCGCCGCAGGCTGATCCGGTGTTTGGGTATGGCACTGCGGCCAGACAATCTCGTGCGGACCCTCCGCCGTAATAGACAATTTCCTCCCGCTAGGAGTCGTCTGTATCTGCGGTGGTATCTGCGGTGGTGGGACTGGGACATTACTTTTCAACGGTGACGGGGCTTCGGCTTCTTTTTCGACACCCTTAGTCTGGCCCGTAATCCAGGCAGGCAACTCGTTTCCCCGGACACACTGATTTGCCGATAGTACGAAGCACCGCCCCTCGGCGCCAACGGTGCGCATGAGTGCTAGCCAGGTATCTCGGGCATCGGCGGTGGGAGCGAGGTAGATGTTGACGTTTTGAGCGTACAAGCTCTGCCGGAGGAGCGGCATGTAATTCTCCCAGCAGATAGCCGAGCCCAAGGTCAGGGGGATACCGTTGAGGGTTGTCGTTACGGCGCGGAGAGTCGCTGGAGAGCCTTGGGCCCAGATGAGACGCTCTGAGCCGGTCTATACAATACATAGCAAATGAGCGCACGTCAAACTGAGGTACGTGAGAGATCACCAGAAGAGTACGGTCTATTCCGACTGGTGTCCGTTGACGATATGATCAGAAAAAGGGAAGGGGGAGGGAACGGGGAAGGAGGAACATACCGGCATCACCTTCCTCCTCTTGCCCAACACGCCCCTCACCGGATCCACATACACCACCGCGCAATACAAACTGCCCCCAGCCCTCTCGACTACCCCCACCACCAAAAACACCTGCGTCTGCTTCGCAATTCTCTCCAACACCTCTCTCGTCCCATCGCCGCGCTGCGCCTTACCCGCCGCAACCTCCAGCCTCCGCTCTACCCAGTCGTCCCCGCCGCCAGCCGGGGTATCCCCCAGATCGACCGCGGCCTTGAAGTACGCGAGGAACTGGTCGCGCCCTCGCGGGTCGCGGCTCCCCACGGCTGCGCCGAAGCCACAAGTGCGCGGGTATCCGCCCAGGTAGGCTTCGGGGAAGAGGAGGAGGTGCACGCCGCGGCGAGCGGCGAGGTGGGCTGTTCGTTCGAGGGCGGCGAGGGTGAGCGGGGTGGTGAGGAGAGTACGGGATTGGGAGACTGCGACAGTGAGGGAGGGCATGGTTGTAGAGCAGGAGGAAAAGAAACTCAATAAGGTGGGGGGCGGATATACAATTAGGACAGTCAATACCAATGAGAATGAAAAGGTGAGAACTGGATGAAAGAGGGAAGTATACTGGGGTTGGTGAGGAGACGACTGGAGCTCGCCCGAGGGTCCCCGCGTGTGGGGGTGGACCGAATTAAAGTACGTACTTTTATACTTCCCGCCGGTGGTGACATCATGCATTGTTCATCTCCAGCAGAATACGTCGCTAGCGCAGAGTATAATATACTCCAAAACTATATCTCTTGTTTATACCGACCCCCGCCGCAACACCGTAAGCGTAACTGACTGCATTCAATATCGCACACTATATACCCAGTCTGAAGATCTACCTACCCCATGGCACTTCCCCTCCCAACTTCAAGGGCGAGCGAGCATGCCCAACCCGGGATGAGAAAACAATGTATGGAACAAAAGTACCCGTAATTTGTAGTTCTGCAACACATCATTCTGATATGCAGATTGGTAGAGAAAATGCGACGAAATGAATATTGACACGAGGAAAGAAGGATTCCCGGGTATAGCGCCTCGCTGATGATGTAAAAAGCGCACAAAAAATGTCTCGAAAGAACCCAAACATAAAACGAAAGAAAGATATGGAAATGCCATGCGGTATGCTCAAAACGCCATGAGAAATCAGGTCAAAAGGGGTCATCCATACGCAGAAAGGAATTTTTTATACAGTCTTGTCTCGGATCAGATCGGATCGGATCAGATCAGATCAAACTGTGCGGTGCGTCTCCGTGGGAAAATGTTCCAGTTCAAGGGGAGATGCCGTTCGCAGTGGCAGCCTGTTGCAACACGCGCGGCCAGCGCGAGATCATCTCGACGTCGTCGAGCACGCCTTTGCCCCGGTTGCGCACGTACTGGGTGCTGGGGTCAACGCGCGGCTCGTAGTCCCACAGCGCGGGGGTGCCCTGGATCAGGGCCGAGTACACCAGGCGCCGGCGGCGCTGCGACCGCAGCACGTCCTGCCGGATCGCTTCGAGGTCCCAACGTTTGTGGGTCTCCTCGACAAAGTAGGCCAGCAACTCGGCAGGGTCGGTGGTGTTAGGCAGCGCGTGGAACGTGGCGGGGCTGGGGGATCGCGGCGGGGTGGGCGAGGGGAACGGGTACTGGGCCGAGGCGTCGATGGCACGCTGCGGGATGGGCGAGACACGCGGGGTGTCGATGGGAGTGGGCAAGCTGGCCGGCACGGACAGAGGGTTGGCGAACTTGACGGGGGCGGCCTTGGGCGTCGCGGGGATGGGCAGGCCCGCGACCAGGTTGGTCTTCTCCTCTGGGTCATTAACCAGATCATAGAGCATCGGCGGGTCGATGGTCGAATAGATGAACTTCCAGCGGCCGCGGCGGATCATGACCAAGGGAGCCTGGGTACCCTCGCCCATGTACTCGCCGTACACGGTGTCGGTGCGAGGACCATCCTCGCCGGTCAAGTAGGGCACCAGGGAGACACCATCGAGCGGGAGCCCCGGCACAATAGGCGCCCCAACCAGACCGGCGAACGTGGGCAGCAGATCCATCGTCGAGACGTTCTCGGACACCCGCTTCGCCGCAAACCTCTTGGGAGCGTGGAAGACCATCGGCACGCGAGCCGAATTCTCGAACCAGGTCATCTTGTACCACAGACCGCGCTCGCCGAGCATGTCACCGTGGTCACCCGTGAAGACGATAATCGTATCCTCGTCCAGACCGGTATCCTTCAGCACCTTGAGCAGCTTGCCGATGTTGGTATCGACATAAGTGCACGCGGCATAGTAGGCGCGACGGGCGGCGCGGATGCGCTCATCAGAAATCTCCTTGCCGAACAGATCAATGCACTTCAGCACACGCTGCGAGTGCGCATCCTGCTGGTCGTGCGGGATGGCCCCGTTCGTGGGCAACGGGATGTCGACATCCTCGTACAGATCCCAGAATTCCTTGGTCATGGCGTAGGGGTCGTGCGGGTGCGTCATGGAGACGGTCAAGCAGAAGGGCTGTTCGGTGCGGTGACGCACGTGGTCGTACAAGTACTGCGTGGACTTGTAGATGACCTCCTCGTCAAAGTCAAGCTGGTTGGTGCGCACCACGGGACCGGCTTCCAGGACAGAAGACATGTTGTGGTAGTAGTCGAGGCGGATTTCCTGGCGGGTCGGAATGTCAGCCTGGCGGGTCCAATTGCGGACAATGGAGTCAATTGGATGCAGGGGAACTCACCGGCTCATCCCAGTTGACCGACCAGCCGTAGTCGCCGGGGTAGATGTCGCTGGTCAAACGCTGCTCATAGCCGTGTAGCTGGTCGGGCCCACAGAAGTGCATCTTGCCGGCTAGAGCCGTGTGGTAGCCCTCGCGGCGGAGATAGTGGGCGTAGGTCGGTGTGTCGGCGGGCAGATCTGCCGCATTGTCGTAAGCGCCGATCTTGGAGGGCAGCTGGCCGCTGACCATGACGAAGCGCGAGGGCGCACACAGTGGGGCGTTGCAGTAGGCCGAGTCGAAGACCACACCCTCGCTGCCCAGACGGTCCAGGTTGGGGGTCTTGATGGGCGAGTCCTTGTCATGCAGAGACAACAAGGGCGCGGCCATCTGGTCGGCCATAATGTAGAGGATGTTAGGCTTCTTGGTCGCCATGATGAATTGCGTTGCCAATATTCAGAGGACGGCCAGGAGGGACGGAAAAGAAACCACGAGGATGCTATGTGAAGAAAAAGGAGGAAGAAGATGGAACCAGACTTGGGGGGAGGGCGGGTAGATATATGAAGCTGAGCGGATGGCGTATGTGGGGAACGGAAGCAAAAGGAAAAAGAAAAGAAAAAAAGATAGCCAGAGAGGCCCGGGCTCGACCCAAGAAATGAAAGGAGTTCCTACAGTTGGTGAGCTACCCACTGGATCGTGATCAGAAAGATTGTAGGCAGGACGATTATCAGCCAAGCCCTGTGAATGGAAAAAAAAAAGGTGGTAATGGGTGGTATGGCGCTTGTACGGAACAATTGCCGGGGTAGTCGCACTCGGTACGGCATCGTTACAGGAGTATAACTGTACTCCAGACCAAGCCTAGCCAAATGCCAGGCTGAAGGGCATGGGGCAGTGGGCCAATACCATGAACACTCCGGGTGCTTAGCCTCCTGCATGGGAGATCAGGGGGCGGCTGATTCGGCACACTGACGTACGCTCCCGCAAAGATGCAAGATGGGCTCATTTTCGAGTGCGATGGTGTGATTGAAGGCGAGCAACGGTGGAGTAATCCGTTTCAACCGGGATGAGTCAGCCGGCAATGGTATTGGATGGCGTATTGGATTGCGTATCTGGATCGTAATCTATCAGGTATGGTCAGGGATGCATACGGAAGATACGGAAGTATAGACCTGGTCGCCAGCACGATGAATAATGGGAATCCCGGTCAAATCCGCCGAATCAGCGGAACTGCAGATCAATGATCATGGTCATGTGGTCGCTGACAACGGCAGGAATGGACTCGGTCACCAGCTCGAGGCACTCGATCCTGTCCATTCAGAATGCTGGGGTCGTTGCTAGCGAGCCTTTGGTCGCGCAGTGGTGTGCCGAGTTGCCACTTGCAGCGAGAGTGGGAACAACTGACGGTCATTTATACCGGGTAATACAGACGTGATACACGGCCGCGCGCGTAACAATGGGCAGCCATCCCGCCCCCTCGCCGCACCACCCAGGGGAGAAAGGCATAATGTGCACTCCGCATTGGCAAGGTACACTTCCCACGAGCAGTTTTCTTGCGATATTCACTCGACCGCGGAGTGGTGTGCGTCTACTACGGCAGCCAACGGCGCTCGCGACAGACCCTTGTACCGAAGCCGATCCCCCCGTCGCTCCGGGCAAACTCTAGTCTCCACCGGATCGTGTCATTGCACGCAGATCCAATCAGCAGCCGGCGGAGTTGCCCCTGGGTTTCCCATTCCCAGCACTAGTCGCTCCCGAGGCCTCCTGACTGTGATGGGGCCCAGCCCGTACCACTGGCTAGTCGCTCCCAAGGAGGCTTAGCGGGGTCTCGCTCCACTTGCTTATCTGCATGGCGAATCAGGAGCTGCAGGCACCACATCCGAACCGCATGAAGAGAAGAGAGAAAAAAAAAAATAACAAAGGTCCCGGACCGAGCGAGCTAGCAGGACGGAGGTGTGCGGAGGTACGGATGTCAGGCAAGTGGGACAGGCGGTGTATGGGATACTCATCCTCGTTGCCTGTTTGATCGATCAAATCAACTAACTGGACAAGGGTCCCGGGATGCTCCAGTTTCACTATGGATGAGCAATCCCCCCTGCGCAAGCACGCCATGAGGTCCTTCAGCCGCCTCCCCGGATCTCCACAGAAGGGCGACGGACCGCCCTGTTCTCCTTGGCATTCTAAATGCCAAGCGGCGTCACCGCTGTTTCGCGCTCCTGGTTGTGCGCAGGCTGGACGTCCACAGAAGTGTTCGGGGGAAGGTCTCCACACCAGCCGGCTGCCGCACGGCATCATCGCTCGTGGCGGGACTATTTCACCCGATCCAGAATGGCGCAACCACAGCCGATCAGATGAATCCTGGCCGGGGTGGCGGCCCAGCGCCAAGTTGCGAGTCACTCCGTAGCTATGTAGTTGGTCTTGCAGGAATACTACTCCACCTATCGGTACGAGGAACTCCGTATACCTTGTGCGGTCGGCCGTCCATGTATACGTATCTACGTGGAGGTACTACGGGAAGTGCGAGGCATGATACCCCCGACTGGATCACCCGCGAATGAAGGACCAAGCACTGCCCCGATCACAGTCCGCTGGCCACGAGTCCATCATGACTGGATTGGTATCTCCTCCCGAGGAGGTTCACTTAGTGGCTGCACGATATAGGGGGATGTGTTGCTGTTTCGTTTTGTCGTGCCCGCCGGAGATAAACCTGCAGGCCCCCATAGGACGGGACGGCTGCGCTTGTATGGGTCATTCCTGCAGTGTGGTGATTGCTGATTGATATGGATAGATGGTTTGCATAGATAGGTCAATATGCAACGAACTCAGGTTTCAACGAGGTGATGGCGAGGCAGAATAATGCCTGAAGACGGTCATCGGGTGTCAGGTGGCGTTATCGGTTCATCGATAGGTGAATTATCTACGAAATCAATGCTATGGCAAGCAAGAAGGAGAGATGAGGATTGCTGGTCCATACGTGTTGTATCTTTGGGTTTTGGGTTTCTGGTGTAGAAAGCTTCCGCGTGAAACGAGTCACCTGCCGGCCCCAGCCCTCGCAAACTCCACCTCGTCCCCCTCCCGGTTCTGGCTCTGGCTCATATTATGCAGCAATTCCATTTGAGGAACCTCTCATCAGGTGTTGGACTAATCACGACGGGTTCCACTCGATCCCCGTGCTTGGAACCCCCTTTGCCACAATATCCTCCCAGCTCACGTGGACATAGACCGGGGGCACCACCTTCACCTTCATTTTGGCAGGCAAATTCTGGACGTACCAATGAAGCAAGTCACGGCAGGCTCGAGCATCCTCCAGGCTGTCATGTCCCCGACCTGTGCGCTGAATCTCGCGGCCCAGGTGGACTTTGGCTAGATTCTTCAAAGTGCGAGGGTGCTCCGGGTCAAATCGTCGGTCCTCACACTCCAAAGTGTCGATCACATTGGGGTGGAGCCAGCGCAAGGCAAGGAAGTCTTCACGGCCACCATGGGTGATGACAATGGTCTCAGGTCCCACGAAATTCCACAGCAGTTGGCGGGCCACGTCGCGCCCAGCAATGGTGTTGTCCTTTAGGTGGGCGTCGTAAAGCATCGGCCAGCTCACACCCGAGTACTGAGTGTTGAGATGCCACATCTTGACCTTGGGGAATACGAGCGCGTCTAGCAGCGTCTCGCCACTGAAATAGTCGACCGCACTGACGCGAATGAGCTCGGGCTCTCCCATATCAGTCAGACCCATTTCGCAGTCCAGAGCAATGCAACGGCGTGCGTGCTTGCAATCCTGGGGAGTTTCATGAAGCTGGAAGTCCTCCTGGAGCTCCCACACGGCTTGGGTCGCGCCGTGACGAGGACTTTGGTGGCAGCCAAAGTTACCGATACCTTTACCGCAGCAGGTGTATCGCTATGATGAATTAGAGTATTAGGTGATAAGACCGAAATATAAAGAATGGGGCATAACCTACCCCGAGACGAAGATGACCAGGGTGGCCGTGGCAGAAAGCTTGCTTCTGCTGGTGTTGCTTCTGTTGCTTCTTCAGATGGCGCTGGTATTCTTCCTCGGTAATGGGGACTTCATGATAGGTGGTAACATTTGTCGCCTCGTTCCACGCAATCAAAGTTCGGTAGTGCAGGATTGTGCCATCCGGTCCCGGCTTGTGGTGATTCCCGGTATCTGCAGTGCTGAATTCGGAATAATCCACCGCAGCGTCCGGCTTGGGAGTAGCTGAAGACGACGGTGAGAGAATTGAAAGCCCATCAGGAAGCACCACTCCGTTCAAACCGGGAGCCTCCTCAACTTTCGTGTCGGCGGTGAAGACGTCTCGCTGTGCAACCAGAAGGGCAAACTCCTGGTCTTCCATCATTTTCTTTTCCAAGGCGTTCTTCATCCGAGCGAGGTACTCGTCATCGCGCTTGCTCTGGGCTTGCATAAGCTGCATCTCACGTTCTTCCTCCTTGCGGTGCGCGGCGGTCTTGCGGCGCTTGTGCGCTTTGTATGAAAGGCGAACTGTATATGTCAGTCAGAAAAGCCGGCACAACAACCAACGGAAAAAGCAAATGTCAAACCCATAGGAACATACTGCGACAGATCTTACAGCGCCGCATCTTGACCAGCTCGTGATATGCAAAATCAGTCACCCGAATGCCCTGCTGTCTCATTTGAAATTCGGAGAGAACCAGACCCTGCATGTCTGCCCATTCTTCGGGAGTGTCCACGATGGTAATCAGCCCCATGTCAGCTTGAATGGCCGTGGGATCCATAGTGAGGAGTTGTAAGAGAGATCAAGGAATACGAAAGGGGTCGAGGTTGGTAGGGGAGAGATGAAAGGGTTGAGAAGGGAGCGAAGTGTAACGCGGGATATGTGACAAGATAGTTCGGGGTCCGAGCTTTGTAAATGGGAAAGATGAGAAGGAAAGTAGCAGATAGGTTGGGAAACTCCTGGAAGTCTATTGATATAGGACTCCAGGTCTGAATCGTGGCTGTTGGATGGGAGATAAGGAATGAATGAAGGGCGAGGAAAGAAGGTTGATAGAATCGCGGGGGAGGATGGATTGGGGGGAATGCGGGCAATTTTCACGGGGCGCGGAAGCTGGATGGCAAGTTCTGGAGGGGGTTATCGTATAAGGCTACGGAAGTTGGGAGTACCTACGCACCGGGGAATTTGGGCCTGGGACCGCAACTGGGATCGAGGGTAGGCATATACTCTTCAATGCAGATTTTCACGGACGTCCCCTCAGGTGCCAATCGTGGCCGTGAGAGAAGCCTACGTAATCAGAAGGGAACTCCAGGACCGTGAAATGCTGAGAGGACGTCGTGAATATCGTGAATACGATTGAAGGCCGCCGTATGTTCTACAGGACAGATATGTACGGACGCACCGGCGCCCACGATGCAAATACTGGAAGGGCACGAGAAGGCTCGGGTTCAATAAGGATAAATTGACGCTCAACGCAGTAAACACTGGCTAGCGCCAGCACCCAGATCCAACGGGGTGGGCCAGCCAACCGTGAATGCAGCATCGCCTGCCTAGGTTGCAGGATGACTCTGGTCAGATGGACACAAGAACGAGAGAAGTATGAAATGACAGATGGGAACAAGATCAGAAGGGAGGCGTGTAGTTGAGAATGGAAGGTGCTTAGACATTTAGAGTCAAGGCATGCAATTCAGGACAGGACGCCGTGGTGGTGAACAACACCATCAATGCTTATCGGACAGATTAGATCATAAGATATGTAGGGAGATAGAGACGGAATGAATCGAATGGTGGTCGAGAAATGGCCAGGACGTTTGACCCCGGAAATATTGAAGAAGGGGGTTAACAAGAGTGTTGCCAGGCTTAGTCGACCTTGATAGCGCTGCGGTAATCACCATATTAGTATGAATACCAGTCAAGTGTTGGTGGTATATGGTTACGTACCTATAGACACGCCGGACAAAGGTGTATGCGGCCAAGAAGCCGACGGTACCGGTCAGCAGACCGTAGACGGCGCAGGCGAGCAAACTGTAGCTGAAGAAGAGCAGTGTGGAGACAAAGCCGGTAATGTGCAGCTTGAACATGTAATACCAGATACAGTAGGCAAAGATCCAGAAGGCGCTGCTTCCACCAGTCAGGAAACTCTGCCACCACCAGTGATAATTCTGGAAGCATAGAGGTGAGTAAAACGCGGAAACATGTGACATAAAGAAAGAACTAACCTCAGAGCAGAGCTGGCTGTAGGTAGCAATTACCGTCACTTCGATGATCGTAACGATGAGCACGGTAGAGACGACGCTCAGGAAGCCAAACACATAGTAGTAGCCACTTTTATCTTGCCACAAGTTCTTGAACACAAAGAGCAGCTCAATGAAGAGAACTGCAAAGGGGATTAAGCCGGTCAGCAGGGGGCCAGCAGGGCTACGCAGGTACCACGGCTGCGGTGGAATTTGGCGAGCAATAGCGTTGGTCTTCAAAGGATGTTCCCAAGGGATCGCCCGCACATAGCCGAACCAGCTGCCGATGTACACAAGCGGAACCTGAATGAGGAGCCAAAGGGCGAGAAGGCCAATCAGAGTGCCGAATGGGATTGCGGTGCTGGATGCCTGGGCCCAAACAAATAAGTTCAAGATCAAGACGAGGCAGAAAGTCAGGCCAGGGAAAAGAAGAGCCGTCTAGAGTTCATATTAGCCTCGAGAATTCAACTTCATCCGTTTTGGCTGGGAAAACCTACAATCAAGGTGTTCTTTCGCCAGCCTGTCCCGCCAAAGGTCTTGTAGAGGCGGCCAGAGAAGTAGCCGGAGAAAACTCCAGCAAACACAAACAGACCCATGCCAACGCTGACAAACCCACCTCGGAAGCTGGGGTTCAAAATACCCAGGCAAGACAGCACAAGCAGACCCGTGGCCATAAACAAGAGCTGCATACCGGATCCCACGAGCGGGGCCAGAAGCCCGCTATAGGCTGGGACACGGAAAACATCACCGTGGAGAAGCTTCCAGCCGCTGGTGTCTTCGAAAGCCTCATCGTCCGAGGACATGTCTGCATCATGCTCGACATCTGCGTTATCCAAAAGGCCCTCACTTTTCTTCTCGCCAGAACGCTTCCGTCGAGACTGCACCTTCAGCTTACGGTCTTCCATAGCACCATCACCGCGGCCTTTGATGTCACCTTGCACAGTGCGGCTCCATATGACAAACACAGTCACCCCCAGCACCGTGGAAATAGTCAGGGAGTTGATAATCGCCAGCCAGTGGGTCATCGAGCCCTCCCCCTGGTTAGTGAAATACAGGTCCCAGCGATTGGCCCAATCGACCTTGTTCTCCTCCCGGAAGTAAACGGAGTATGTGTAAGGGATTTTCAGTGTGGCACCATCGTCATCGTCATCGTCCTCCGGGATATACGACAGCCCGCCATACTTCTCCCGCAGCCGAGACATGTTCGGCGCGATGTACAGGCCAAGGCCCTCGTTGTCCTTGTGCACAGCCTTGGGGCAGCCGTCCTCCTTGCGGTCATCTGCGGTGACACTCTTAGGATACACCTCGAACCCGACAATGACTTTGCCGCCCTCCGGTGCGCTCCGCCAGCGGATGACAATGGTGAAATGGTTGTTAATGAAGTAACGCGGTTGGCCAGTAGCTGGGGAGATATCGCGGTAGCCCAACTTGAACCCGGAGGCATAGTATTTGCGGCTGCGGTCGACGGTCACAAAGCTCGTTGCTCCGGGCAGGTTGTCGACGATCCACTCGATCACATAGTTTTCCTTGATAAGTTCGCGTGCCCACTTCACATTTGAGCGACTCACTTCCGCGGTGCAGAGGGACTGGCATTCCACGTCTTTGCCCATGGTGAGCTCAAAATCAGAGGTCATGATGCGATCGCCGCGCAGAACTTCGCCCAGGTTAAGCGAGATGCTCTGGCCAGATCCGAATGGTGACCCGCCATGGGTCCGGCCGCTCGGGGGACAAACGAAGGGGAGGTCAAAGTAGGCATATTGAAGCTGAGTGTGGTCGGAAAAGATCTTGTTTACGAGCAGGGGAATTGGCTGATCGTCATTGTACCGGGACACCGAGTAACCTGGGTTAGAAGAGATCTAGGTCAGAGTTGCATGAGCAGAGTAGGCCATGTTTTGGAGGCTCACCAGGGATGTAGAATGCCCAAGTAGTGGACACGAAAAAGAGAAGCCACAAAGCCCAATTATGAGCCCGAAGTGGCGCAGAAGCCATTGTGTTCATTGCAAAGGGGATCTCGGTTCGCCGCTCTACTCGGAGAAAAGGCAGTTTCTAGATACCCATGCACGTAGGTCGTGGTCGAGTGATCGGAGATGTGTGGGTAAAGAAGCGCAGATCAAAACGCCCTTGATCTTCGTCCAGGGAGATAGACTCGGGACCCGGGGAGGTTATATAGGTGATCGACAAGGGAGGTAGGTGAGCGGCGGATGCGCGGGCGATGCTGGTGATCGTTCGGCGGATTATTGATCACTAGAGTTCGGCTGCACAGGGCACGATGGGCGATAGCGGATCGGAGATGGCCGAGGGTAACGAGCGCAATCGGCACTGAATGCCGCAGTGCCAGCAATGGGTAATCCGATGCACGAGCAAAGGGTTGAGAGGGGTGAGGGTGTCGGCTTCTCCAGCGTGTCAATACAGATTACCTAATGGGCGGCATGCGGAAGGCAAATTGCTGGGATCGCCAATCACAGGAGGATTCCTTACTCCGCGCATGCAATGCTACTGAAAGCATACATCGCTGAAATCGCTCGTTCGGTGTGAGATTGAATTGGTTTCGATCAGGGAAAGGACGTTGAATGCTGAGTACTCAACACCAATCCCGAACCCACCAAAATATAGCCCCAAAGCCTAAGGCGAGTAAAGATATCTTTCTGCCTTGGCACCTGTTGAATCTCTGTGGAAACGCTACTACACAGGATCGAGATGCCTTCCATGCAGAGTCTAATTAAAATATGAAATCTAATATACCCCCGAATTTCTACCTGATGTGGCTGCAACAAGGATGATTATCGAGGAGCTCCAAAGTGAGAGCACCGAGTACCAAAGGAAATATGACAATGAAGATGGTTAACCACCGCAAGAAGAGACGCTAGTGGCAAGGCTAGTCCAAACTGCATACATAAAGACACAATTCATATCCAGGAAATTATATGCGAAAAGGGGAATGGAAAAATGATCGACATTCAAAAGGCCAGTCGTAACGACGCATCATAAAATCAAGGGCCATGAAATACATATGGTTTGAAAAAGGACATAACAAGAAGGTCATCGTCCAGAAACCAGAAAAAAAGCCAAAAAGCATCTCATGAGTCGTGGGTCAGCAGGTACTCGACAGCTCCCTGGACACTGCCACCCGACCGACGCAGAGCCTCAATATTTCGCTCGAATTCAAAAAAACCCATGTCGTTCAATTGACGAAGCTGATCGGCATATCTATCCTCTGGTGGTCTGTTATCCGGAGGTTGTGGAGAGCCAAAGCCACCACCCCCAAACAGAGCTGCTAGGGGATTGGCACCAGTGGCACCACCCTCAGCACCCGGTCCTCCCATTCCCTGCATCATCTGGCTAAGGAGGGCCGGATCACGTAGGAATGGGTTCTGTTGTGGGTCGAACGGGTTGATGCCTCCTTGGCCGCCATTGCCGCCATTGCCAAACAAAGCGGGGTTAAGAAGAGAGGCGAATGGATTCTGAGCAGTCTCGGGATTCGGAGCCTGTCCATCTCCAGTCGCGGATCGGTCTGTAGTGCTCTGAGCATCTTGGACACCCTCAGTTTGGTTGTTTCCCGGGGTGGCAGTGCTGGCCGGAGGCTGACCGAAGCCCTGGCCGCCAAAGAGAGCGGCGAATGGATTTCCTCCCATCATTGGGTTCTGAGGCATTTGGCCGAATGGATTGGCTGGTGTATTATTCTGGTTTCCCTCGGTCGTGTTGGTCACGCCAGGGGCCGGGAAAGCACTATCACCACCACCCATGCCGCCACCTCCCATCCCCATTGCCCGCTGCATCTGCATCATTTGGCGGAGAGACGCAGGATCGGTAAGCATACGGCGGAATGCAGGCCGTTGCATCAGCTCTCGTGCCATGGGTCCCATGTCGCGAAGCATAGGGTTCTGTTGGATCATCATGTCGATCATCGCAGGATTCTGCAGGGCCTCGTTGATCTGGGACTGGATTTGGGGATTTTCAAGCATGTTCAGCATCGCTTCGCTGTCCGGGGAGGGCCCATCTAATGCAGCCGCACGAAAGTTAGTAAACTGCAGACAGAAACAAGAAAGGCCGACGCAGTTGAGGGACCTTGAGTAGTATATGATATGGGTGATAAAACGTACCCCACCGTCAGGGCCAAAAAGACCTGCCCCAGGAAGCTGGGCAAAACCAGCATATCGGGCGCCTGTCAGACCAGCAAGAGGGTTGTTACCGGTACCAGCAGCGAGATTAGTGGGAACACCGGGAGCGGGCTGGCTTGGGGTGGTGCCGGCACCGGCTGTTGTAGCGCTGGATTGGGTGGATGTATTCGAGCGTTGTTGGTTGCTGGCGGCACTCTTTACCAGGTGAATGGTATGGCCATCCTTGATCTTATAAGTCTCCAGCGTCTCGCTATCTTTCAGTACTCGACCGGAGTAGATCAGACGCTGGCGATCGGAGGGGGTATCGGCATATTCAGGGCTCGAGAGCTTCTCCTTGAGTTCCGAGACAAGGGTTGAAAGAGGGAGAGTAAGAGTAAACTTGGCATCGGTAGAGGACTTGACGGTGAAGGTGATGGGAGTTTCCTCCGTAGCTGTGGTGTCGTCGGCCATGGTTGGTAGGTAGGTAGGCAGCCGCTGCCAAGTGGGGTGGAGAGGGGAGGATAGGGGAGCACCGAGATTCACGTAATTCGGGAGTGATAATGATTGTGAAAAGCAGTGAAATGAGCTACAGCCTGGTAAGCTGAGAAAGCAATGCCGGGAGAAGATCAGAGACAGTGGTAGGAGGGGTCAGATATGCGGAAGAGATGATGCTTTCTTTGATTTAGTCCAACAGGCATTACATAAGGTAAGGGCGGTGATGGCGGAAGGCGGTCGAATCCGATCGTGCGGCAACCCACGTGATTTTCCCAAACAGCTTTCGGCGCACTTGGAATTTTGCACCTTCTCCCAGCCGTCCGAGCTCCAACACAAACCCTCATTTTCCACCTCTCTCGAGGCCCCCAGGATTCAGGAGTATTTCTTTCTCTTGACTCCACTCGGCAGCTATGGGATTGGTGTGATCATCGCATCCTCTGGACTGCAATTGCGTGTGATACCTCCAGTCTTTCTGCTTCGTGTGCCGGGGTGCAAAAGACCTGGCGTCGAGCTTCAGTTGCCCACCATGGCCACCACCTCGCACATGTTTATGTACTCCCTGACGATCCAGCCTCCTACTGCGATCACACAGGCCATTCTTGGTCAGTTTGCGGGAACCAAGGAGCAGCAGATCGTCACTGCCTCTGGTTCCAAGCTGACCATCCATCGTCCGGACCCAACTCAGGGAAAGGTCACGCCGATCTATTCGCAAGATGTATTCGGCATCATCCGCTCCTTGGCAGCGTTCCGGCTGGCTGGGAGTAATAAAGGTATGTCTCTATTGTGGCCCGATTCTGAATTTACGAGTTCAACTTAGTGATTCTTCAAGCTTCCCGGGTAGCACGGTCTTGGTTTTCCGATCCGGCCCCTTGACGGGCGAGGGACCTGCCCCGGCCAGCAACGTTGACGCTGTATAAAAGCTTTATATAATGCGCGAACTGTGCTGAGTCTATTTTTTTTTACTTCAGATTACATTATCATCGGGTCTGATTCGGGTCGCATCACGATCATTGAATATGTCCCCTCCGAGAACCGCTTTAACCGGATTCACTTGGAGACATTCGGCAAGTCTGGAGTACGCCGGGTAGTTCCGGGCCAGTATCTGGCCGTGGATCCCAAAGGACGTGCATGTTTGATTGCCTCGGTGGAGAAGAACAAGCTGGTCTATGTTCTGAACCGCAACTCCCAGGCGGAACTCACCATCTCGTCTCCGCTTGAAGCACACAAGCCACAGACACTGGTCTTTGCCATGACAGCGCTTGATATCGGCTATGACAACCCGGTCTTTGCTGCTCTCGAAGTGGATTACTCGGAAGCTGATCAGGATCCCACGGGCCAGGCATACGAGGAGATTGAGAAAGTTCTCGTCTACTATGAGCTTGACTTGGGTCTCAACCATGTTGTTCGTAAGTGGTCTGATCCTGTAGACCGGACGGCGAACATGCTGTTCCAGGTTCCTGGAGGAGCAGATGGCCCAAGTGGTGTACTGGTGTGTGCCGAGGACAACATCACCTACCGCCACTCAAATCAGGACGCCTTCCGCGTACCCATCCCTCGTCGGAGCGGTCCCACCGAGAACCCTGAGCGGAAACGGACTATTGTCTCGGGTGTGATGCACAAGATGAGAGGCGCCTTCTTTTTCCTCCTTCAGACAGAGGACGGTGACATGTTCAAGCTGACTCTTGACATGATTGAGGATGACAATGGCCAACTGACGGGCGAGGTCAAGAGGTTGAAGATCAAATACTTTGACACTGTTCCTGTGGCGTCAAGCCTGTTAATTCTGAAGAGTGGTTTCCTCTACGTTGCCAGTGAATCAGGCAACCACAACTTCTACCAATTTGAAAAACTTGGTGATGATGATGAGGAGACAGAATTCACTAGTGATGACTTTTCCGCCAATCCCTCTGTTCCTTACGACCCGATCTTCTTCCGCCCTCGCCCTGCGGAGAACTTGAACCTCATGGAAAGCTTGAACTCACTCAACCCATTGATCGACAGCAAGATTGCCAATCTCACAGAGGATGATGCTCCACAAATTTACTCGGTATGCGGCACTGGTGCTCGCAGCTCATTCCGAACACTCAAGCATGGGCTGGAAGTCTCTGAGATTGTCGAGTCGGAACTTCGAACAGTACCGTCCGCGGTCTGGACAACGAAACTGACTCGCGGAGATGAGTATGATGCTTACATCGTCCTCTCCTTTGCCAACGGTACTCTCGTCCTGAGTATCGGTGAGGTTGTGGAAGAGGTCTCCGATACGGGATTCCTCTCTACAGCACCGACGCTGGCCGTACAACAGCTAGGCGAGGATTCTTTGATTCAAGTTCATCCTCGTGGTATTCGCCATTTACTCGCCGATCGCCGGGTCAACGAGTGGCCTGCTCCGCAGCACCGTTCCATAGTGGCCGCCGCTACAAACGAACGCCAGGTGGCAGTGGCTCTCAGCTCCGGTGAGATTGTCTATTTCGAAATGGATGCCGATGGATCTCTAGCCGAGTACGACGAGCGCCGACAGATGTCTGGCACAGTTACCTGCCTGAGCTTGGGCGAGGTTCCAGAGGGCCGTATGCGCAGCTCGTTCCTAGCCGTTGGCTGCGATGATTCCACCGTCCGAATCCTTAGTCTGGATCCTGATTCTACCCTTGAAAACAAGTCTGTTCAGGCTTTGACTTCGGCCCCTTCGGCTCTGAACATCATTGCCATGGCCGATTCGAGCTCAGGTGGCACAACACTGTACCTGCATATCGGTCTTTACTCAGGCGTTTACCTCCGTACTGTTCTGGATGAAGTGACCGGTGAGCTTTCCGATACTCGCACGCGTTTCCTGGGAGCAAAGCCTGTCAAGCTGTCCCAGGTTTCCGTCAAGGGTCAAACGGCCGTTCTGGCGCTCAGTTCGCGCCCATGGCTTGGGTACTCTGATATCCAAACAAAGAGCTTCATGCTCACTCCTCTTGACTGTGCCGGCATCGAATGGGGATGGAACTTCTCCAGCGAGCAATGTGAAGAGGGTATGATTGGTATTCAAGGCAAAAACCTTCGGTATGTTTCCCCTTTGTATTCCTCCTTTCCTTCTACAACTCCACCCGCCTCATACCTCCTTGATCATATGATGAAGAAAAGGATCCGAATTTCTATGTGGATGAAAATATTTTATATATATATCCAATTGTTCCTACTGAGATCAACAACACACGTTCCCTTTCGTCACAACCATTCATAGCCGTTTTTGAGCGTCGCAACTGACGAATATCAGGATTTTCTCTGTTGATAAGTTGGACAACAACATGCTACAGGAGTCCATTCCCTTGGCTTATACCCCTCGTCGCTTTGTTAAGCACCCCGAGCAGCCTCTCTTCTACGTGATCGAATCCGATAACAACATCTTGTCTCCAGCAACGCGTCAGAGCCTTATCGAGGACTCCAAGACTCGCAATGGAGAGTTCAATATTCTCCCACCTGAAGACTTTGGTTACCCTCGCGGTACCGGTCATTGGGCATCCTGCATTCAAATTGTGGACCCCATTTCTTCTAAACAGGTGGTCTTTACCCTTGACCTTGAAGAAAATGAGGCTGCAGTTAGTATTGCTGCCGTACCGTTCTCGAGCCAAGATGACGAGACCTTCCTGGTTGTTGGAACTGCCAAGGATATGACAGTCAGCCCTCCTTCGTCTTCCGGCGGCTTCATCCACATTTACCGTTTCCAGGAGGAGGGGCGCGAGCTAGAGTTTATCCACAAGACAAAAGTTGACGAGCCTCCTCTGGCTCTGCTACCCTTCCAGGGCCGAGTTCTTGTCGGTATCGGTTCACTCCTTCGTTTATACGATCTGGGTATGAAACAGCTGCTCCGCAAATGCCAGGCCCATGTTGTCCCTCGGACCATCGTCGGTCTCCAGACACAGGGCAGCCGCATTGTGGTTAGCGATGTCCGCGAAAGTGTTACCTATGTTGCGTACAAGTACCAGGAGAACATTTTGATTCCTTTTGTGGATGACTCCATCGCTCGTTGGACGACCTCTACCGCCATGGTCGACTACGAGACTACTGCCGGTGGTGACAAGTTCGGTAACCTCTGGCTACTTCGGTGCCCCAGCAAGGTTTCGGAGGAGGCTGATGAGGATGGATCTGGTGCTCACCTTGTCCACGAGCGTGGCTATCTGCAGGGCACCCCCCACCGTCTTGAGCTGATGATGCACTACTACGTCCAGGATATCCCCACCAGCCTGCACAAGGCGCAGCTGGTGGCAGGTGGCCGTGACATTATCGTATGGACCGGCTTCCAAGGCACGATCGGCATGTTTATTCCATTCGCCAGCCGGGAAGATGTCGATTTCTTCCAGAGTCTGGAGATGCAGCTGGCCTCCCAGCACCCTCCCTTAGCTGGTCGTGACCACCTAATCTATCGGGGCTACTACGCCCCCTCCAAGGGTGTCATCGACGGCGACCTGTGCGAGATGTACTTCCTGTTGCCGAATGACACGAAAATGATGATTGCCGGTGAGCTCGATCGCTCTGTGCGCGAGATTGAGCGTAAGATCTCGGTATGTTCAGTCGACTTGATACCTCTCTACAAGATTCATAACTGACCTGCCCATAGGATATGCGAACGAGGGTGGCATACTAATTTCATAACGGTACTTATGGCGTCTAATGCGGCGTTTGCACTCTCTGGCTGGTGTACTTCAGATACCTAGTTATTTGCTAATGGATATCCCGATGCGCGGTTTTTGCACCGCCTACCTTTCCTTCCCAATCTTCACACTTAAGACTCCTCCCATTGAAAGGTCGTCTCTTGCCTCGCTCGGTCTGCCGTCTTCACTCGGCTAATCTTGAGCTGGATGCAGTCCAGTCACTTTCGTGTCTGGTCTGTATGAGACAAGAATGGGCGTGGATTTCCATGCGTCGACGTTTTTTGAGTACGGTTCTATCCGCATTGCACCACGGATCTGCACCGTAATTTATCTGTCGGGACAACCCTTGTAAGCATTGATAGTGTATTAGGTCAGATTGAATGTCATGAAATCTTTCTCAACCAGAGTTCAATAGCGTAACCCAGGTCGATCAGAAACCTTCGAAAGTGAGGGGCATGTACTCTGTCTACCTTGTCGAGAGGCTCGACCACCTGACGGCGATCTCGGACCATCGTCAGGGTTCAACGCCGATGGTCGCCTCGTAACCCCGAGATGGACGGACAGCTTTGCCGCCAGCTAAACAATTTTCCTGATCCGGTCGCCGATCCGAAAGTGCATCCACCCGACATGGCCAGATGCAGGCTCGGTTACGGGTGGAAAATTCTGGAGCCTGCCGAGAATCGGCTCTGTTTCTCCTCGGGGAAGTCCTTCACCGGGCCGCATGTTGTCATGGCAGGGTCGACAACAGACCATCTTCGATAGGCTCGTAGAAAGTGCGCAAAAAGTTGATGTTAGCGCCTGGCTGACATGATACGAGGACAGCCAAGTTCCCCATGCTTTGAAATCCCCCGGCATAACGTCAGTTAGCCAGCTCTGCTCCAATCAGTTCCCGCGATAGCGCCAGGGAAGTGATTGGTTCCTTCTACTGTCAACGACCGATGTTCAGCGCGAGGCTGACATGATACGAGGACGGCCAAGTTCCCCATGCTTTGAAATCCCCCGGCATAACGTTTCAGTTGGCCGGCACTGCGCCAATCAGTCCCCACGATTGGCGCCAGGGAAGTGAATGTGGTCCTTCTATTGTCAACGACCGAGCGTCTGCCACGGGACAATGTGAGTGGATCAAGCCGGCTTTCGTAAGCCGCAAGTGGAGACATGAAGGACGCGCATTTGTCAGCGTAAGGCCTCCACCGACTGTCCCGGCCTTGCTCGACCCACTGCTGCTTCGAGTCAGAGCTTGGTGTGCTTCGCGATCAGATCGGATTGCAGTGGACGAAGTATTCCCATCAAGGACGCCGCTCAAGGCGTGGCTGTCAAGGTCACAAATTCCTTGGTGTCACTCTTCCTCTTCAGCTCGTCATGTCTGCGGGATACAGCTTTGATCCCTAGCCGAGCTAGCCAATGGTTTTTTTCCTCCGGACAATGCCCTTTGACGACCATGGGAATGTCGATCCAAGGGCGTGAACATGTCTCCATTAGGGAGCGAGGAAGGCGCCACCTACCAATCACTCCGCACCCTGCACGACACATTCGCTAGCTTGACACGTCCGCTTTCCCATTCACTACATTTTCTACGATCGCTTGGCCTGTCCGTCCACGCCCTGTGCACCCCGCTATCCATCCCGAGGACTTGGACTCCGGAAAGGAAGCCACAAAGATTAGCTTTAGGTGAGAGTGATGCAGATGACTCACGGCCTGCACCTCCCTCTAAGGCTCCCATGGATTTGTAAACCATCTCTGACGCGATCGAGGATCATCTGTTGGTGCAGTGATGTCGGTTCTATAAAACGAGGTGGCCCCTCCGCAACTTGCGCATCCACCAGACCCATCGTGTTCCTCCCTGCGTAATCGCACTGTATACAACAAGCCCCGGTGCGGTTGTCGACGGCTCCACTTTCTACTACTTTTTCTTCTTTAGCATCTACTTGCCGCATAAAATAAACGACCAGCTTACACACCCGATTTCTGCTGCCTTTTATTCTGTGAATCCATTGCGAACTTAGAATCGCCCGCGATAGTGCAGGGGTTCCAATCCAAGTCGCGTGCCTGTTGTTCCCCGCCCCGCAAACTGCAAGAAGCTCCTCGCTCGCATTCCACACTCCCACACTTCCACACTTCCTATCCCATCGCTGCCAGGCCCGAGGACCTGAATTTCAACACGATGGCCGCAAGATCAATTATGAGCCATGGCTCCGAAACGCTAGACCTATTCACGTGCCGGTCGCAGCCCAAAATCGAGATTGAGCTGGTCGGCCAGGTCCCGGGTCTCGTCAACTCATATACCACCGGCGACCTGATCGAGGGCACAGCGAAAATCACTGTGGACCACGAAACACGCTTTGACAAAGTTGAAATCATGTTCCAAGGTAATTAGTCTCCCCTGGAACATTTTGGTATCACCACGAGGGGCGTTTGGTTAACCCGACGCAGGCACATCGCACACGGCCGTCGAGCGGGCATCGTGCCCCGGCCGTACAGGGTCACAGCATATGTTCCTCAAGCTCCGCCAGCCAATCGAGGAGTCTGAATATCCCTTCCCCCGGATTCTGGAGGCAGGCCGCTCATACGACTTTCCGTTCACATTCGTCGTGCCAGATCGTCTCCTGCCGCAGGTCTGCACCCACGCACGAACCAATGTTCACATTCACCATGCGCACACCATGCTTCCACCGACACTAGGGGATCCTATGATTGCAGGCAATGGGAAAACCCTGCTGGATGATATGGTGCCCGATATGAGTCAAATCTCATATATTGTTCGGGCGGCTGTTCTAAAGAGATCTCGAACGGACTCGCACAACCTTAAGACCCTGGCGAACCTTGCAAAGAAGGTTCGCATTATCCCGACTGTGGAGGAGGAGCCTCCGATCAATGTTGTCGACCACCCCGTCTACTGCACGCGAAAGGAGAAGAATGTTAAGCGCGGGTTCCTGCGAGGCAAGCTCGGCCGACTGCTTGCTTCTGCGCCGCAGCCGAAGCCAATTCGCTTGCTTCCCCCGAGCTGCGAGTCCAGCGATACAGTCAGCACTATGACAACGGTACAGCTCCGGTTCGACCCTGTTGATGACGAGCAGCCACCCCGGCTCGGCTCGATGACTAGCAAGATCAAGGCTAGCACCTTCTACAGCGCAGGCCCCTGGGATGATTTCCCTTCGCAGTCTAGCACCGCGGCCTTCTCCCAGACTGGCCGGGGCCTCTTTACCGAGTCTGTTCCACTCTCCAACATGTGCGTCGGCTCCGCGAAATGGGTCAAGCACTCTGCATCGACCGAGTGTGAGCGCCGCGACTCCCTGCAGTCCACTACCTCGGATGATTCAACCGTCTCATCGGCTTCCTTCTCGGGCGACACCTACTACACAGCATCAGTAGTGGTGCCTATCAGCCTCCCGAGCAATAAAACCTTCGTCCCGACCTTCCACTCCTGCCTGATGTCTCGCACCTACTCGCTCGAGCTATCGTTGACCTACCACACCCCGAGCACAAACGTCCTCACGCCTACCATCTCTCTCCGTTTGCCCATTCAGGTCATTACTCCAAAGTACGTCGAATCGTTCAAGTCTGATTTAGGCATGAGTGTGACACAGGAAGAACTGGACGAATTCTTCCAGCCGCACTCGGGGGCTCCCCGCAGCGAACCGGTTGTCGATGTCAGCCTTGGGCCTCCTGGGTACTCGGAGACGGTCCTCAGCTCGCGTTTTAGAGGCGTGCGGGCTACACATTGAGCGTGGAGATGCAATTCTTACTTTCCTGTTTGTCTATTTCACCCTTTTTTATACCCTAATGCCCGGTGGCTTACAAAAAGTTTCTTCGTTTTCCTGTTGTCGTTGCCTGGCTTTGCATGGCAATCATTTACATTCAGAGTTTGAGCCTTCTATTTGTTTAGCACGATGGATATACCCTTTACCTATTCCGTTTTGATTTTGATATTTTCTTTTTCAGTCTTTAACCGTGCGCAATAGTGTACTCTCTCCCATATTCTTCTTATTAATATGGATGTTGTCAAATAGCTTCTTTTTCAGACTTGTAGAATCCGCCCAGGTGTCGATGTATCGAAGGAAGACCCTCACTTGCGTCTGCTCTTCTGGCGACCACACTCCCCCTCCCATCTTGAATCTTCGCCTTTCCCTCACCATCGCTGTACTCCTCTGCTCATCATCCATGCTACTTTTCTACCTTCGGGAGTCTCACGCTTTGAAGGCTAGACGACACTGTGGGGCGCCACTAGCTTGTCAGCCGTTTAGTGAGTAGTCTCAACGAATGAGCTGGGTCCGGGAGGTGGCTGGCAGTTGCCATCGGTAACACTAGAGCACTCCTTTGAAACATATCGTGGACTCCGCCAGACAATTTCCCCTCATCCTTCTCTTGGCTGATGGCAAACAACCGTACACACTGCTCGCCTCAGAGCGCACGCGCCGTTGTTACATCCGCTGTTCATTGGCCGAGGTCAGAGTCAAGGATTCGGGTAGATGATCTATGGACGCCAGAAGCCGGCGCCTATTTATGAAATATATTCCCGTCCGATGTAATCCATATTTAGGCTTCTTCAGGGAGCATCAAATTGATTAGTCATGGGTATTCTCGAGGGTATTTCAACCCCCTCTGAAGTCTGATAGTTCAGTGCATCACAATCAAAACTCTTTTCATCTCATCTCTGCATTACCCGTTTTTGATTCCGTTGCTCTCAATGGGTAGTAAATCCTTAGTAATCCATATCTTATAAAGGATAATTCTGTTACAAACAAGCGGCAAAGCAGGATAATTAAGTCAAATAATGTCACTGGATCCCCACTACAATATGTACGTTACGGAGGTTTGACGATACCCGATTATGCACCTTAAATACGAGCGCCGTGCAGTAAGATGAATTTGATGGAAGCACTTGGGGTCCTATTTAGCTATCCGTCCGAAGACGCGGCATTATCAAGAGGCGATAACTTGCCAAAGATATAGAGTGTATGTTGGCAGCCTCCCGTGGTCCTCGGGAGGATGGCACATAGGATTTATAAATTGCTATGCTCACTGAAGTTCACGACAAATATAAAATTGGCGGCTTGATCCTTGCTTTAAGTCATTTTCCAAGCTGAATTGCTGATTGTTTAGTCGGGGACGAGGGGAGCAGGGGAGGCTGAATGTAGACCAACTGGCTCTTCTTAATTCATCCTTCGTCGCTCTCTACATTGGCCGATCGCTTTCCCTATGCCAAAATGTGCAAGTGTTCCTTTTGCCTGCGTGCCTACACCTTTAACGGTTTTTGGGTGCAGAATACTCAGGTGGTTAAACTGCCGCCTGGAGGCGCCTGACGTGTGTCTGAATAAAGCTGCGAGTCGCCCACGACCGAAACGTGGGCGCTGGGCGACGCCGGCCATACTTTTGGTTACTGTATGTTTTTTACTGTATAAGCGCGCGTGTAAATTGTTCGCTTGCGGCTACTACCTATCACACGAGCCTGTCTAGTAGAATCTTCAGCCCTTTTTTCAGATTATAGCTTCTTCAAGGATCTGTTGATTCTTTGATCCTCTCTTTCTTTCTTATAAATGTAGTGTTTAGGCAAGCTGAGTGGCCCATGAGACGAACATTGTTCGTGTAGCATATTAATACAGCTCGACAAGGTTGATCACATGACTTTGTAGCAGTACTCTGGTCAATTCCGTCACCTATACGAGTAAGTGTCAAGCTCGTGACGAAGCTCGGAATTGGATGCAGGCAACTCTTGAGGAGCGGTATAGAGTTCTTGTGGGAGGTCCGTGTAGATTTGCTCTTGTGACTTTTCAGACTCCGTCTCCTTTTGCTTTCGCCGAAACATGAACCACGCAAGACCTGCAATTACAGCTACGCCTGCAACAGGTCCAACAACAGCGCCTGCAATCCAAGCCTTGCTCGAGTTTGACTCTGACGTGCTGGTAGTCGAAGCACTGGTCTGGGAAGGGATAGATGAGCTTGTTCGTGTTTGGGACTGGGTTGATGAGACCGTGGAAGCCGTGGATGAACCTACGAAGTATTATCAGTAAGTTGTTCAACTTTAACCTAGTCCTGAGGTGTAGGGAATGCTCGTACTTGAGCTGGAAGAGCTAGTTGTCGAAACCGGCAGTTCGCGATAAAGGGAGAATGCACTCCAAACCTCCGCACAGAAGATATTAGTGGCGGTTGGTGTTCCGTATGGTGATGTTTGGAATATCGTCATAGTGCGACAAGCTGCACCTCCACTACAAACAGCGGAGACGAAACATTTCGACTTAGCCTCCTATTTCAAGGTTTTAAAATCTTCATCATGTTCCAAGACTCACCAGTCATCTGTGACCCCATTATCATAGGTAATCTGGTTCGAAAAGCAGGCTGTGGCGTATGCACAAACACTTGTTCCTGAAGTTGCACACCCACGCGCATACGTCCCAGAAGTTGTCCAGGGAAGAGGGTCCGTCATTGCTTCGGCTACGCCGGGTGGGGTCAATATAAGTATGACAAAAACACACAATTCTCAGGAAGGATTCTCACTGGTCGATGGGCCAATATACCACCCAATAAAGTGAGGATCATCTTGCATTGTGATATTGACAGTTGTAGTCTGCGCCATGCTCCGATAAGAACCAAGGATGTTGAGGAGAAGCACCAGCCATGTTGACAATGGCACGGTAGAAGATGGAGTCATTGAAGGGAATGGCGGTTTTGCTTTTCTTCCCTAGGAATGGTCTCGTGAAGTTGGAATAACCGCACGCCCTCCTAAAGAGTCTCAATCTAATCAAGGCTGGCCGAGGTCGGAGTTGATGTGTTGCAACTTGGTCCGTTATGAGTCGTCTAGGCTGATCTCTAGCTTTGGATCATCTGCTAGAAAAGCTTTCCATTCAGACATATGTTTGGATATAGCAAGAAAATTTAGGATATGTGCGTACACTTTCAAGAGTGAGAATTAGTGCGGAATCAGGGGGCGGACGGAAAACTTGCGAGGCAGACTCCCTCCATGACTTGTGATAATAATACCGGCCATGGGGCTATGCTCTAGTGTCTTTAGTTGCCGCCCCATTGCTGAAGGATGCAGAGGGCTAGCAAAAGCGTCCAATTGACTATGGGTCTCCATCGACCATTTTAGGGCTTACCATTTAGTGCCCGGCCTAACGCGCCTTGGTGTTCGAGCCACGTACTCGTAGCGCTTAAGCCATTTTGGGCTGAGCCTCAACCAATGGGTAGCAGCTAGGCGGATCCCCATGTGGCTCCCTAGCCGCCTGTTTAACCGATTAAGGCAAAGATCTGTCAAGCTTTGTGAGACGGCCCCTAACTGATAAGCCTCCCAGACGTCCCGTAAGCCATCATGATAAATCATCGTATAGCGTCTTTCGCCCCGCTCCCATCTCCCCGGATATTTTGCGCTTTTCCATGTCCGACATTCTTCGCCAAAGCTTTCATTCCACACAAATTGACTCGAGTCCCCTCTGAGGACCGCTATCCGATGTTATCGGTCTCCACACTGATGACGGCGCGCTCTTTTCGCCTAGTCCTTGCTGCCATCATTTCTTTGTTTTTCTTTCACGCCCTCTATGTATGGGACCCCCTAGACTGGGCACTCCATGATGTGAGCACTGGGCGGGCTCAGTCTTTCGAAACAACTACAAACAGCGATGCTGGTGCAGCTTCCAAAATACCTTTGAAGACTGTCGGAACTAGCGAGCTGAAAACTCATTCCCTTATCCCCGACACTGCGATCCGTCATATCCCAGACAAGGTGTGGCACTCGGCCAAAGATAACCATGTCACGGATACTCAGCGGACATGGATCGATAGCTGGACAGACAAGAATCCCTCTCACCGCGAAGAATTGTTGACCGATAGTTCGGGTGAGGCATTTGTCCAGGCTTATTACCAGCAGACGCGACCAGACATTGTCGAGGTCTACAAAGCGATTCCGATCCCGATCTTGCGTGCAGATCTCCTTCGCTACTTGATCGTTCTCGCCGAGGGCGGGATATGGAGCGATTTGGATGTTACCTGTGAGAACCCAGTTGTCAACTGGGTACCTCCGGAGTACAAAGATCAGGATATTGATATGATCGTCGGATTAGAATTCGACTTTGACTGGCGAGGACCTGGGACCGAAGTTGCATCCCAATTTTGCAATTGGGCCTTTGCAGCACGACCTTCTTCGCGCAATTTGCAAGTTGTTGTCGACTCCGTCATCAAGGTATTGACAGATATCGCTCGCACCAATGGTGTTCAAATTTCAGGGATTACCCTGGAAATGCTCTCGGACGTTGTGAATGTCACGGGGCCCAAAATAATGACTATTGCACTTCTGGAGAGTCTTGGTCAATTGCTGGGCAGGGAAGTGGACGATCGCGATTTTTCAGGTATCAAACACCCAAAGTTAGTGGGCGATCTTCTGATTATGCCCGGAGTGTCCTTCGCTGCTGGACAGAACAGATATCCAAAGGACCAAGGAGATGCTCTCGTGACCCATCATTACGAAGGCTCCTGGAAGCAAGCAGATGCGGAAGCCAAAGAGAGAAAAAAGCAGAACCAGCACCCATGAGCGCATGTAAAGAGACGTTATGAAGCATGCTATCACCGGCAACATTAGATTAAGCAGTCAAGTTATGGGTTGCGTACAAGGGAGGTGGTGATGGCTGTCGGTGTGCCTGAAATCCCTAGAGTACAGTGTATTAGTATCGACAACGAGGGCGTATCGAGTGGATCGTCACTCGAGCCATGATTGTATTCAATAAGCGATGATTTCAATGAAGGATAGAACATGCCATGAAGTACGTAGATTTGCAAATACGATTTGTCTGAGACATTGTGGACTGCCTTACCTTACGGCGAAGTCACTGCCGGTGCACGAACAAGGCGACGAGGTGCCTACGTACAAACAGATCCTGGGCGCTCGATGAGGCCGGTTACGACTTTCGAATGTTGCGCGCTTTTGTCTGTTAAATCCATAACCTTGGCTTTGCCGTCCAGGTCTATCTCGGCGACATGAGATGCTCTTGTTGATTTCGGGTATATGCAAATGCATAGGTATGGTTGCTCTTTCAAGCGCCTACTACTCCGTACGGTTGCGGGCATCGGAATTATATATATTCCGGTGGTGGAAATGCTTCCACAATGAACGCACTGAGACTAACCGCTGATCAGAGCGGAAGGATCCGAGCGTGACCTACGAACAGGCATTGTCTATGGCCCCTACCTAGTCTAGGCCAAGTTGGCAGTGCCGTCGGGAGCAATGTGAACGTAGACAAAGGCAAGATCCAGCAATGCTCCGGTAATGATGACAGAAGCGTTGAATACCATGGTGGAGCTTCCAGGGACGTTGGTGGAATGGCAAAGGCTCGGGTCTATGGACTGCGGATTATATGAAGATCGCATTCCGATGGACTGTACTATCCCTATTGAGGCCAAAGAATTCAAATATAACGAAGGGTAGATATTGATGAAAGTGCTGATGTCTTATTTTTGGGATATTACAGGTCTTGTTCATGTGATGTCCGCAACCTTCCCTTCTCTTCTGTTCTCCTTTTCTGTTCCCCTTCTCTCCTATTTTTGTTTACACTGTAGAGATATACAGCCTGCTTAATCCACAGAGGTTCCGTCTACAGCTTCTTATGATCAATATTTGGGTCCCAGATCTTCCTTTTGAAATTAATGGTGAAAGGCATCAGGTGGACCAATGTGATAAATCTGCGGTCAAGGCGTCTCGAATGCTTATAATAAAGATCTGGTAGCATTCGTGGAAACAGTTATCCCAGGCTTCTATATTGGGAGTCGCATATACGAGCCGATAGTTGGCCCGCTCTCCATATCATTGGGTTGTTGCAAGTCGATGAACACCCCAGAGAAAGCTGTCAACGCGGGGGTAAGCAGTCACGGCCGAGACATTGTCTGACACGACCTCGAGTCCAGAAGCCAAGATGCGGGGCTGTGTGCTATCCATGAACAAAGCTCGTAACGGAAAGACTTAATCTGGGGTCAAGGTTTCATGAGCCAGGGAATTGCATCCTTGTCCGGGTGTGCTCCGGAAGATCGCCCGTTTTCCACAAGGTTGAGGTTTAGTCTCATCATGGGATCAAATGACATGTTTCGAAGGATATTGACTTGTCCTCTTTGAACATCCGTGTAGCATAGATAGCCTGAAAGGGTTGTTGTCATACTTGCGTTCACGCAGACCAGCCGACAAGCTGCTGGCTTACCGGGGGCAAGACCTCGTACGCTGATCACGCCATTGAACTACTGAATGCCTTGGGTTCTACACTTCGCGATATCAACCGCAACTGAAGACAAAATTCCTCGCTGTGGCCGTGTACGGATACCAATATGCCAACACGGCTGAGATGCTCAGCGTCAATCCTGGCTGGGGAAAGGAAGATCAGACTGGCTTTGGCAACATGTTTACCAGTCTCGTTGCAAAGTACAACCGCGATATCCTCGAGAATTATAGCTACACAACGAATTTCTATGCGAATTGGGATTTGTGTAATATTGCACCTTGGATGGCGATTGGGTTCCTCCTTGAGGCTCGTACTATGTTCAACTATGATAGCTATCTAGAGGCTCTACTCCCCAGGAAGGCCATTCTCTTGCAAATTTATTGATGTTAGAGTACTTTGAACGATTCGACTTAAAAAATTCAAATGACGATAGTGCTCAGACTGGGCGAATGAGTGCAATTTCCAACTGTAGTTTCTGAGAGTGGGGAGATATATCTGTTCTGAGATACCTCAGCCCGAAGAAGAACTTTAAGAAAGGCGATACACGAGGGTGCCAAAGCCAAGGCTATCAAACCCTCCCGAGGTAGTGGCATAGTTGCCCCCACCACCTTCCACGCCACTGGTGGAGTTGGCGTTCACCATATCACGATAAGCGTCAGACCACGAGGAGTTGAGTCTTTTCAGCTGACCGTAGTGAGCTGAGATAAGTTCAAATCCTGGGCGTATATTTCCCCGGGAGGTAGCGGAAATAACAGTCTGGTCTCCTTCGTAGCTTTCGTATGGAGTGTAGGGAACACTGTAGCCGACATTGTACTTTCCTACATACTCCGCCCTTTAAAAGCAGGTTAGTTAAGTGGGCACACATTTCAAGTAGATCGTGACTTACGCATTTAAGATTTCGTTTTTATATGTCGCGAATAGGTCGATGCCCTGGTTGTATGCCTGCTGAGCAATCACTCCTAATAGCATTATGTCTAAGGTAGCATGGCCTTGATCCCGACCAGCCTCCTGACCCTGTGTCAAGGTCTTCCCGGAGCCAGCCTCTGCGTAGTTGGCAATATCAAACACAGGCAAAGCTCCGTTAGCGGGCCCTGATCGCGCGTAATCGATAGCGTAATCGAACATGGTTTGGTTGTCGGTAAAAATCCCAATGGCGAGGAGGGACGCTATATTGCACTGGTCCCAATTGGCGTAGAAGATGTAGTCACCCTTCCCGTCATGGTCTTCCAGAAAAACAGTGTTCATTGGTGCAAAGATGTTAGTCAACATCTTCGTCGTTGCAGTCTTATTGCTACTGGCCCAGCCAGAATAGCTTCGCATCAGTTCCGCCGCATTGGCCATTTGGTATCCATATAGCCCAGATGCTAGGTACCTGTCGCTAGTACCGCTGATAGCCGTCAAGGTTACTGCCCATGAACTGAGAATATTGACGGCAGCATCTGCGTAGCTTGTATCACCGGAGATCAACCAGCGTAAGGCGAGCTGATACGCAGCTGCGGCATCCCTGTAAAGATATTGATAATTCTCTGCATTTACTCCATTGTATCCACGGTAGACTGTCTTCTGCGGAGTAGGTACATAGGCTGCCCGCGCAAAGGAACTGGAGGTTAGGAGGGTCCAAGTGGTACTCCACGGCTCATCCTCGTTGACAACGTGGCTTTTGATGCGCACGAGATCTTTAGTGGTATGCAGCGCACCTGGGTGAACAAAGGCAGCTATTGCAGGCAATGAAAAAGCTAGCAGAGAGAAAAGTGAAATCATTTCGAAGATTGAATGGCTGTGGATCTGCTAAGCATGTAGTTTGATATGTGCTTTCAAGCGCTTTCACGAAGCACTCGTCACGGCTTTTATACGTAAGATCCTGACTACCTTCAAGCGATACCTTCAAGCGACCCCTCCCAGTTTCAAAACTTGTTTACATTCTTTCTTGCAACAATGCCTTTACCAGACAGGCATTTGATCAGCAGGTTCGGCTAGAGAGAAGTCGTTAATGGGACAGGGAGGTTAGGTGCAACGGTCGGATTTCGCCAGCAGCGGTTAGATCCATTGCGGAAAATAAAAACTCCGAGATCAGCAATTTGGGGAGAAATAGGATATACATTGACCTTGAGTTTTTCCGTGTACTGTCCGTGCTGATGAATTATCGGCCGGCGATCTCTCCGGTATATCCTCCGAACAAAAAGTTTCGAGGCTCTTACTGAGGTGCCAGCTAAATCGCATTCCTTTCATCACCCGGCATTCCTTTCCTCACCTGGCATTCCTTTCATCACCCTTATTACTCTATGTTAGACAACTCTAGCACTAACGCGATACTATCACCAGAAAAAAAATTTGTTGTGGAAATCTTATCGTATGACTATCAATCACGGGACCATTCATAACTTCTTTGAAGATATGTACATATTTAATTCTGAAACTTACAGTAAAGAATTCCCCACCCATACGGGAGATATACCGGCGAATTCCCCGGTTATGTCTGTTTCCTAAGGACTTCACTTGACGAGCGGGCCAAATATTCGGATTATTAAATGTGGTAGAGCTCCTTTTAGGTCAATAATTTTCTGATATAGTTTTGAACACTATTTCCTTTGACGGACAGTTCCTACAGCCATACTAACGCGATGTTACTAGACGAATTTGCTATGGTATTTCTCCCATCCAATCACTGATTCAGTACTTGTTATGCCAACGGTTAAACTAGGAACCACAATCAAATGGAGTCAAAGCGCATGACCAGCACGACACAGGTATTTCTCATGATGTGAGCAGCACCCAAGGCTCTCCAAATGCTCTATCAGCGCGGGTAATGGAGGCGTTGTACTCCGAATCTGTGATGGCAAAGGTGTGGAGGATTGCAGCCAAGGCAATGGGAAACGTAAGTTCAGTTTCATGTTTCTTTCTCAAGACAAAACCATTGAATATAGCACAGACCAACCCCCCAGTGCTCTACCCCGAGTACACTGGCAAAGATGGCGCTACCTACGTCTACCGTTCCCTCGACTTCTGGACATCTGGCTTCTTTCCAGGATCTCTATATCTCCTACTCGAGCGCATAATTCGATACCCACATATATCTCTATCGAAATCAGCCGACGACGACCCGCCAACACGCCCTCATAAGCTTCAACTCGAGTACCTGTGTCGCTGGTGGACAGTCAACCTTCACCAGAATGCTCTGAAACGCGATACCCACGACTTGGGCTTCATGATCGCACCGTGGGCTATGAAGTCCTGGGACCTACACCGTGACCCAGCGGCATATAGCAGTCTGATTATGGCAGCGCATTCGCTCGCCAGCCGGTTTAGTTCTACTACGCAATGTCTGCGTAGCTGGGATACTTGTATCACAAAGCGATACTCCTTCACGGATCCCTCAATGGATTTTCTCTTTATCATCGACAACATGCTGAATCTGGATCTGCTCTTTTGGGCTGCAAAAGAGACGGAAAACCCGGAACTGTATCGTATTGCGCTGGCACATGCGCGCACGTCGCGGATACATCACATTCGCGAGGACAATAGTACATTCCATGTTGTGAATCTTGATCCGGAGACAGGTGATGTTAAGGCTAAATTCACAAATCAGGGTTACAGTGATGAAAGCTGCTGGGCACGTGGCCAAGCATGGGGGATTTTGGGCTTCATGCAAACCTTTCAGTGGACGGGCAAGATTGAATTCCTCGACACGGCAAAGGCTTTGGCTGATTACTTCATTGCGCACTTGCCAGCTGACGGCGTGCCATATTGGGATCTTACTGCTCCAATCATCGAGACCAGTCCACGAGATACCTCTGCGGCGATGATCGCTGCTTGTGGTATGTTGCTGCTCTATAAAGCGCTGAAACCCAGTTGTGAGGCGGACCGATTTTTGCGCGAGGCAATGAACCTGGTTGATGCAACAGTTGGCAAGTTTGTGGATGTGCCAACATTGCATTTCCAATCTACTCGGCCTCAGTCACAGTGCGACGTTTTTAGGGATGGTTGTGTTGAGTATTCTGATGATGCATTCGATACCCTGACGGTTGTGGATCGCATCGACTTGAAACTACGCGATACAATCGTGCATGGAGCTACAATTAACAATTATGAGTTTGCTCCAAGGAGATGGGCAAATCATGGGTTGGTTTACGCAGATTACTACTTCCTGCTGTTTGGCAACATGCTTCTCGAGTTGGGCTTGGTCGGTGTAGCTGATTGCAATATCGGTCGTCTATAGATCCCCTAGGGCATTTTGCAAACGTCTTCGTGTTTAGATAGCTGGGAATACTTCGAGATAGACTCTCTTCTGTTCAATCCATACATTGTGAAGAATAGGTTACATCAACTTCTACTACCTATTCTAGTACGAATAAGCTATTATACAAAAGACGCAACTAATCCAGAAGTATCTAAGTAGGAATAGTAACCTCGAACTCATTATTGATATCAACAATCCGTCCCTACAGACAAACATAGTCTCATCCTAACGCAAAACTGCATCCGGCTTATAAAAAGCCGCTTCAAGCTGCCGCACCAGGTGAGGTGGATGTGTTTTCTGTCACAAACAGGGCATTATTATTATGCTGGTGAATGCTGTTGGTGCTATCTGCCATTGCCTGGTATATTTGACCCTTGCGGTGATAGAATGGGTACATGGCTATCAGCATGTGTTCCATCATAGCGACTTATCCTCTGGCCTGGACTGGGTGTGAAGTTGAAAACGTAGGACAATTCATCTTGAGCCCCAGTTACAAACGGCAGACTAGCAGCTTGCCACTGGTTCATCTGCTGGGTGTGAAATGATTGGAGTCCCAATGGCGATGGGGCCTGGCCGTCAATAGCTTGTGTAAAGTTTGATAAGCCATCAGACGCCGGGAACCCAGGTTGGAAAGCTAGGGGGAGAGGTGGGTAAGCGAGACTCAAAGGGTCATCGTTGTATGAATCTTGCATGTATGCTCTGCTCATATATCCAGCCGGAGAGAGAGCTTCTTTCGACCTCGATGGGAACGTGTCCACTTCGCAACGTGAAGTGCTTGTGAAAGATGGTTGCAACTGCTCTTTAGACTCGTCTGAGTATGCGGTTTGTCTGATATCCAGACTGGGAACAGGGGCAGCTGGTACGTTGTTTTGCGCTTCGATCAATCGTTTTGCGAAGCTCGCGGCGAGATTGTCATTTTGTATGTCATAGCTCCCACTTCGACCTTTCCACCGCTCTGAAATTTCAAGTAGGCTTGCAGTCAAAGTACCAAGCGCGGATGGCATAGCAACTTGGTAGTATTTTGCATGAGCTAGCAGCATCCGTCCAGCAATAAAGAGGCAGAAAGAGAATTGGGGGTTAGTGAAAATGTGCGAGTGTGATAAGAACTGCTGGCCTATTCTTGCAATCTCCGAAGCTGCCTCTAGGCATGTCTCCGCCGATGAGGCTGACGGGGGTTTGACTGCGCAGATCTTCCAGTGTGGGGGTGGATAAGCGATGCCTTGATGCAATAGAATCACAGCCGTATTATGTGTAATATGGGCCAGTGTTAAATTGGGGTCCATAACTCCGTCGCCGTTAAGTACGGACGCCTCACGCCATTTTGGGGGCAGGTATAACTTCCATCTAGGGAGAATTATAGCGTTATTAATAGATCTTAAAGATAGCCAGAATATTTAGGTACTCACTGTATAAGTCGTAAATCCAACTCCTTGAATTTCATCATCCACATTTGGGCCTTTTCAGTATCATCAACAATAAATGCATGACGAAGGAAGAAGTTTGTCACTAAAGCAAGTGACTCGGTTGCCTCAATGTTATACGCTAAACCGCCGATAGAGTCCTGATCCTCGGGGTTTGCCGAATCTCGATTTTCCGAGAGTATAGAGCTAGTGGAGGTCGTATCCTTGAAGTCCGGGATCCCGAAGTATGGTGTGCAGACCTCTCTCTCTTTCTCCCAGTGAGCACCTTCACATGGAAGTCGGCGCTTCATATCAGCACTATTCAGACTCGTTTTCCAACCCGTGGACACGCTACAGAAGCGGTCCATCAAGAAAACCGCCCAAAATACCCGTCGACGCTCTTCTGCTTCATGCCACGATTTTGATGGTGTTAAAAACACCATACGTCGAATAAGTATCTCTCCTGTATTGGATACGCGGTAGAGATCATCTTCCTCCACACTCAGCTGTAATTGCTCCACGACGCCGACCATACTTCCGATTATAGACCATGATGAAGGACCGCGCCCCCGACCGATCTGCATATTGAATCTGTTAATTTGGGTATCTTTCAACATTTAGAAGCAACGACTTACGGTCTCAAATGCAACGATGACCAAGGCCTGTAGATTCTCGACCGAGAATGACTCCGTACTGTCCAATATCACTTTCTGCCGACTCCTTTCTGCAATTCGGGACTTCGTCTCTTCGTCCGGTAGTCTCTCGTGTTGACAGAAGCGGACACACACAGCAATAATCGCATGAAGAATGCACGTGATACGCGGAAGCTCGGTTTCTGACTTCATGCGCTCTCGGAATTTTGTTACATGGAGAATGGGAATCCAATGATGAATATTCACATAATAGAAATCAACCAGCTCAGTCATAATCTCGGGAGGCAAAAGCCCGCTCGGATCACTAGCAAGATCGTGCGTGATGTTCGGGGAATCGGGATCCGGCTTGTCAAGTCGTCGTCTCTTTGTGACCCGTGAAGCTGGCTCCAGGCCCTCTGTATCCTTGTCCGAGAAGTTCTGTTCAACACTGGACTTCGAACCCGATGCAGATTGGAGTAAGGATTCTCTCATCTGCTCTCGGCGTTGATCTAGCTCCGCGATGGTGGTTGATTGTCCAGTCGACTCTGGAAAGGTTTTATTGGGATGAAGGACCTGCCACATTTGCTGCCAGAGCATTTCTTGGCCAAGAAACATGTTCTCGAGTGTTTCAATGCGGCGATAGAGTTGATCGACCGCACCCGCGCGGAGGCCCGGCTTCATGCGTCGATCATCGTAGACGCAGGAGATGTTGTACCGAGTACATTGGTCACAGGGCTGTGAGCGGCTGCAGCGGGCCTTTTTCCTTCGGCACGACTGGCAAGCGGGCCCATCGTCCTCCGGCTTCGAATTCTCCTGCGCCTGCTCGCGGCTGGGATCACCGTCGGAGTTGTGGTTGGATTTGGGTGGCATTGGAGACGTTCGCGAGACAGATCTTCTGCATGAAATATGGCGCAAGGCACATCGCTCTTTTTAGGCGAGGCGAGGATCTGGTTTCTGAGGATGATAGGGGAATTATAGACGTCACCCTGCAAGAATCATGGGATGTGCGAACGAGGGCCCCTTTCTAGCCTTGGGTGTTCAATTTTCCACGGCGGTACCTGTGTCTGCAAATCAGGGGAAATGCAGAGGAGCGGGGAGGTGCTGACGGGGGAAGGCCGGAGAGTGTTTGGGGCCCCAGACTATTTCCCCGCATTAGCGTAATCATGTGCACTCTGCTGCTTTACACTAGTCCAACCCGAGGATGTCCGAAAAATTCTGATCGGTCGGATTAATCATACACCACCTCTGCTATGTAGAACCATGTGGTATCTAGTATCAAAACAAGCAAGAGCCTAGTATGCTTTCATGACGACTAGAATCAAGCGGAGTCTAAATCAGGAAGAAAAGCTTGATTGGGTTGAAGGAAGGAGACCCAGGGGGGTTGTGAGCGTACCCGTGGTACGGCGCGCTGATACCCGTACAACCGATACTTGGCGGTTACAAAGCTCGAGTCATTATAATTTAGAATTACACTTTTAGCTTACGACAACGTAGAACTCCGTTGTGAGCTATCACTTGCTAGCGGTTCTTTGAAGCAATAAGACTGGCTTAGTATAGCTTATTAATGCATACCGGATTTTCCTCCAACCAAGAGCCAAGCCCGCTGCTCCTCGCCAAATTATTGCTTCCTACCTATCTTCAATAAAATCAACCATGGAGTGTCTTTGAGATTTTAAGAGTCGAACTAATGACCGGGAGCGGTAACTTACCACTAGCAACTAATGGGTCGCATACAGTAGGAGACCACGTTTCCTACGCTTTTGTATGTAATTCTAGGTTCTTTTGTAACTCTGGTGGTAATCAACAAGCATCGCTGCATTCAACGCATTTGACACTCGGATATTCCGGCCCCTGATCGCATGTTTTCTCTCCATTTAATCAACCTTGTCATCCTAATATTAATTCCGGTTGATATTAGTCCTCCTGCATGCACACTAGACCATAAACTATTAGCCTGCTTTGATATCGAAGTATTCCCTCCAAGCTGGTGACCGGCCTCGTCAAATCTGCGATGGCGATGATACGCCCATCTAATTTCAGCTTCCTAGCTACACTGCGTCAACTCCGCCCTACCCCGGAAAACCTCCCCGAGCGGTCATTATGCTGATACGATTTCGGTCAGTAGTGTAAGCAACAGGCATATCTTTCTACGGCGTATCCAAAGATCTGCGTTCTCGGGCGGGTGGCCAGAATTCAACATGAGGTCTCTGTGAACGTTGCCTCCGATAACCTGTATCCGGATAAATAGGGTGAAAAGGATATCTCTAAGGGGAATTTCAATTATTGAGATCATAAAAGCCAGCCCAGTAAGCTCCCCGGCCCATTAAACTCACTTTACTGTGTCGGGTTGTTTCCGAGAGGAAAATTCGCCGTCCCGATCACATCGCGTGGACAGAGCAAGCTTAGCTGAGGACTGGATATCGGAAGGGCGGTCAACCAGCTCCACAATTTGGAGTGGATCCTCTGCGATGCCCGGAGGCGTGGATCTCCCCAGATTAACAGAGTTGACGATGCGGGAAGAACCACTCAAGACTCGACTGGTCGTCAGGGTAACCTTGAAGTGGAGTTTTTGGAGTCGTGACGCCCGACTACCCGTTCAATACTGGCAATTCAGGATCAAATATGTCAACCATCTTTCGATTGCTCATGCAATAATGTCGTATATACAATGATCAGGCATGTTATCGCGATGTAGTCCGTGGAGAGATAACCGAAGAAGGACCAAATTAGCGAAATGAATGTGTCTACCCAACATTCAGCAATTTCTCTCGTAAACGGACATTATGAACAGGTTAGATGGCTAGAAACTGCCGCCCTCATGATGTAGACGTTACCTCTGACTTCGCGTTTTGTCTCTGATAGTATCTTCAAAGTCTATTTTGGACTAGACTTCTCGGACTGTATAGAACGGGTGTCGTGGGTTTGATCATTCGCTATTCGTACCTCACGTGGGTTGCCCGGTTGCAGTGCCACCTTCAAATTCAATCTGACGGATCCGGACAGCCTTCATAATTACCCTCGCCGTCGGAGTTGAGGACCGCCCCTCAGCAGCAGCACAGACCGTGGTTTGGGCTTCGGACAATAGCATTGTGGCTAGTCCAAGCTTTGCCAGTGCTACTGCTACGGTGTCCTCGATTGTTTTCGCGTCTGCGGGGACCCCGCCCATCTACTCCATAGTACTATACCAGATCATTATTTGCATGCTAGTCAGTGGTAACGTTGGATTACCGCGCGATCGGATGCGCGCTATGCTCCCTATACTACTATTGCGGCTCTTACGTTGCTTCAACTGCTTTTGTTTCGGCCGTCTGACCGCCGAAGAAGATCAGCTACGGGTTCGCACTGCCCAGTCTGATTGCCAGCACGATGCTAGTTATTGATGTATCTTTATCCGGCCGACCATCTTATCTTTATCCGGCCGACCATCTTATTGCCTTACACCCGTCTAACAAGCTGTACTTGCCGGCCAAGTACATCTTTATCCAGGTCTTACCAGGCCCCAGACATCTCACTGCCGACACCGCTGTCTCATCTTTCATGACTGTGCGTGGCTATACGATGGCTGGAGCCAAACCACAGTGGATCGATTGCGGAAGTGGACGGTGATGGTCTGTTGGAGCCGCTGGGTGGTCGTTTCCGGGCCATTCCTGATGGTAGCGGGAATGGACGGGTGTTGACCAGCTACGGTCGGGGGGAGGAGAAGGAGGAGGTCCTGCGCCGACCACTCCAGGTCGACCCAGACCGGCTGAGTGGGCAATTTGGAATGACGGTGTTTTGACTTCTGGAGAGAGAATGTCATTTGATCGCACTTCCCAGTTAAAAAGAAAAGTAGCAAAGTAAAAAAGGTAAAAGAAAGAAAAAGCAAAACCGCAATGCTGGTCGAGAGTGCGTGACTCGTTAGCGAAATTAAGCTCAGAGAGATGCGGGTACGGAAGCCGATAGCGGCCACACGAAGAAAGTGTATAATATGCATATTCTAAGACCGGCAGAAAGTTTAGATACCTGAATTACTATTACAGCGCCCATATTAAATCATGTATGTCTCTCTCAGAGGCTATTCACCTCGCTGTCGCGATATTGAGGCTATTTTTGTAGTGCATCTTGGTCATCTCCGCTAATTTCAGGCGGTGCGCCCATATTAAATCATGTGCATCTCTCTCGAAGGCCATTTATATCGCTGTCGCTATATTGAAGCTATTTTTATAGTGCATCTTGGTCATTCCCGCTGATTTTAGGTGGTGCGCCGTCTAATTGAAGCTCTCTATACAATTTGAACTACCACCGCCGCCGGCGAAGCCGCTGGCTTCGGCGCATCGGCGAAGCTGCTCGCTTCTTCGATATAGCACCCTCTGGTACGACTGTAGTAGCAGCATTATCTGTTGCTACTGCAGTAGTAGCATCATCTATTACTACTATAGAAGTAGCATCCTCCGCTGCTACTATAGAAGTAGCACCGCTAGTATCACCGCCAGTATCACCACTAATAATCCATGGATCATCAAAATCAAACTCCCCCTGCTCTGTCTCCGCTGTCGTCATCCGCTCTGTCTCTACCTCCGAGGGCCGTATAATCACGACGTGCATATAATACTCTCCCTTCACCTTCCGTAACCGCTGGCAAAGTTCACCAAGGGTCTTGGATACGAAAGAATATTGCTGCGAGAGGAACTGCGCGATCAACGGCCCTTTACCCTGCCGGGTAATATCCTTGGCTATAAGGAACCGATCTTGTGGCCTCCTCTGGTATCCTCCTGAATATTGGATAGTGCACCAATCGAGTAGCGAGACGAGGTCTCCGGCGAAGAATGGTATATTAACGATGGTCTTGGAGGAGGGAAAAACGTGTGAAAGCGATACTAACCGATGAATGAGAGGTTAGCTAGCTGCTTCTATAGTAGTGGTCGTACTCACTTAGTAGCCGCTCTATCTCTCTTAGGCTCTCCCAGAGATAGAAGGACGCAGAGATATGAACCTCCTACGGCGCTGCCGGCGCTACCGGCGCTGCTAGCGGCGGCGGTGGTAGTGGTAGGAGAGGACGTCTCTCTCGCTGACGCATATAAGATCTCCGGGCTGCGCTTACCGTGCCAGAAAGAGAAGAGAGAGAATCAAAACGTAGGATTAGCTACGCTGGTGCTAGCGAAGATGCGGCCACAGGTGTCGAAGGTGTAGGCGTCGATATAGGCGTTAATAAAGCTACCGTAGTTAAAGATATTGCTGCCGTAATAGCAGTAGCTATAGCTTCCTATAGGGAGGACTGTAGAGACGCCATTTCGATAAGGGTTGAATCGATTAACGGAGGGAGGACCTTTCAGCTTAATATAGATGAAATTCTGATTTGAACTAGGCCTCAGCCGTAGCTATCGGAGCTATCACGGCCGTCTCGGCTGCTGGCGACCATGAATATGCACCACGCGGCTTCATACATACGCCAAGGATAGGCTCTTCCCCTGATTCGTGGTAGTGTAATGCACGAAGCCGAAGTGCTTCATATACTACTCGGTATAGCTAGTCTCTTTCCCCCTTGAGCAGAAGCAGTGGATCTTCAGGGTCAAAGCTAACGCCCACAAGCTGCTACCCAATTTGCTGAAGCTACGAGAGACACCATGCCAAGGTCGCTGGTGGAAGATATTCCATAGAATCCCACCCTTCCACGTCTTGCTGTAGTCTTCGAAGGAGGTCTTGATCAAAAGATTGCTGGTAATCTTGAACGTCGGCGTCGGGATGGTAGTAGTTTATAACTGGCTTCCCTAGGATAGTGTCTGGCCTATTAGACTGTGGCCGAATTAAGTGTATATTCCAAATATTCGTGTATGAGTGTATACGAGCTCGGAGGATAGGCATATAGATAGCAAGAAGCGACACCTGCTCTGGAAGAGACTCTTTTAAAAAGATCCCATCGCGGTGTAGTATATAGAAATATTTGTAGTAGAGGAAGACGCTCGAGCTAGCGAGCTGTCCCCACCAGGATTCAATCCGTTGATTCTCAGTGCTTCGGCCGTAGAAGAAGCAGTCTTCTAGCTGAAGATATAACGCTAACGGTGACGCTTCGTGTGAGGCTTCGGCTGATAGTGAGGCTTCGGCTGATGGTAACGCTTCGGCTGATAGTAAGGCTGATGGTAAGGCTGATGGTGACGCTGACCGGCGAAGGGCGAGATGCGCATCACCAATCATCGTTGTTTCTGAGCCTAGATCAGCCCGTATAACGCGCGGTAGAAAGCCCGTCGAAGCTACGCAGTCAAGATACTGACGTAGTACGCTTATTGCTGTTCGTGTAGAGATTCCTACGTAGATCCATATGATATATCGAGAGTATCCATCGATAGCAGCATATATCTCGAATCCGAAGGGTTCCAGCTTCATATAACCATCAATATGCCATATCCAGTTTGGCCTAGGGCAAGTATAAGCTCCTCTCCGGCGTTGGAGGTCTGACCGACGACGTTCGATAGCTTCCGGGTTGATTCTACGGTAGACCTCGTAGATTCTATCTCTAGATGAGTATTAGTAGTCTGCTCACTAAGGACGAGGATAGACCTTGACTCACCGAGGATAGAAATGACCTTGGTTGCGAAGGAAGATATATTGTAGCCGAGAACCATAGCCTTTAATATCTCCAATCTGGTCCTCTATGCCCAGAATAGCTTTAATCTCAGCTTCCTGCCGCTCACGTTCTTCAGGATCGTCGACCCGAAGCTTTATTCTAAGCCGCTTACGAGCTCTGCGAAGACTACGCTCAGATGAGGGCATACCCTGTCTTTTGAGTACTTGGAGAATCTCTTCAGTGCTTAGAGAGAGACAGAGAAGCTCATAAACACGCTTATCCAGAGCTTCGGTAGACTTCGCTGGGTAGCTGATATTCTATAACTATAGGCGGTTATTGATTATGCGTATTGTAACGCTAACGCCATAGTCGTTAAGCAGCATAATGCGAATAGCTTCAGTAGAGCGCCCAAGTTAGATATAATCCTCGATCTCCTGCCTATACGGGTCAAGAGGGATACGAGGTGTCATAGTAGAGAGCAATACACAACGAGGGCAACAGCGAGGCCGACAGCGAGGGCCACAGCGAGGGTATTCAGCGACGGCCACAGCGAGGGTATTCAGCGACGGCCACAGCGAGGGTATTCAGCGACGGCCACAGCGACGGAAATAGCGACGGCCACAGCGAGGATATTCAGCGAGGGTATTCAGCGACGGCCACAGCGACGGTCACAGCGAGGATATTCAGCGAGGATATTCAGCGACGGCCACAGCGAGGATATTCAGCGAGGGTATTCAGCGACGGCCACAGCGACGGTCACAGCGAGGATATTCAGCGAGGATATTCAGCGACGGCCACAGCGAGGATATTCAGCGAGGGTATTCAGCGACGGCCACAGCGAGGATATTCAGCGAGGGTATTCAGCGACGGCCACAGCGACGGTCACAGCGAGGATATTCAGCGAGGATATTCAGCGACGGCCACAGCGACGGTCACAGCGAGGATATTCAGCGAGGATATTCAGCGACGGCCACAGCGAGGATATTCAGCGAGGGTATTCAGCGACGGCCACAGCGACGGCCACAGCGAGGATATTCAGCGAGGGTATTCAGCGACGGCCACAGCGACGGTCACAGCGAGGATATTCAGCGAGGATATTCAGCGAGGATATTCAGCGACGGAAACAGCGACGGAAACAGCGACGGCCACAGCGAGGATATTCAGCGACGGCGACAGCGACGGAAATAGCGAGGGCGACAGCGAGGGCGACAGCGAGGGCGACAGCGAGGGTATTCAACGCCTAGGGATATCGAAAGTTAGCAGATTGTATAGTATGAATAGCTTCATCTTACCACCTGGGATAGCGGCAAGAAATGGCGTCAAGATGGGGGGGTCAGTAGAAAATGGAGAATCTATTTTTGTATGGGAAAGATAGTATAAAATACGATTCCTGCGTTACAGAGCGGTCCCTAGGGCGGTCTAGAATATGCATATTATACACTTTCTTCGGGTGGCCGCTATCAGCTTCCGTAATGCGGGGACCAAGCGCAGCCGTGCAACAATCCGACGGGCTCGGTTCCTGTTCACACCACGCCAAGCAGCCGTGGTTTCACCTTGTTCTCCGCAGCTTTGGCGTGCAGCTGTCTGAGATCAGATCTGAGACATTTATTCCGCAACCATACACTGGCTACCATGGCCCTGTTACGAAAAAAGAGCGATGAGGCTCTCTGCCGGGCTCCGAGTCGGGACACCCTGTCAGCCCCCTTCTTCATGCCCCGACAAATCTACTTCTGCAGAATGACGCGAATAATCGCGCATGCGCTCACCACCTCCCTCTCGTCGTCTTCTGAACAGCCAGATGTTAGGCCGCTCCGTCTTGGGTGGTATGGCACATGCCCCGGTCGCATGGTATGAGTGTTACATTGGCTTATCGTGCGGGTGATGCGTTCCTGCAGCTTGCGGGCGCCGAGGAGGAGGACCCTGCCTGATCTGATTCGCCCGTCGCGAACCCTGGTCGGCGGCCCTAGACGGCTTGTCCGCGTCCATCAGGGCTATCAAGCCTTCCATCAGGAGGTGGATGATACTGTGATCCGAGTTACATCCTTCACTGCAAGACCACCCTACGCCGGGCCTAGCGGGATAGCGCGATAGTGGGATGTGTACGGAGGATGCAACATCTTCAACCATGCTCGGGGCCCCGAGGTCAACTAGGACCCCAAGATACACCCCGAAGCATCAGGGGCAATCGGGGCAGTTGCTGCAAATGACAATGTTACCCCTTCCGGTGACTTGGCGCCCCCCTGATTGGATGCCGACATCAACTATGCCGATTGTCGGGAGCGGTACAGGATCCGACAACGAGGCCGCAGGGGTTCCGGATGAGCACGTTGTTCCATGCTCTCCTGTTACATATTTGAATGCAGCGATGGTTGCCAGAATCGGCTTGGCTTGGTTATCGGATGCCTCCGAATGGGCTCCTCGCGCTCCTGGGACACCCCCAGGAATGTGGCGTTCTCTCCGTTGGCTGCTGGAACTGCTATGGTGACCACGTTGGCCATGTGCGAGCACCGAAACCTCCGATCTTCCCTTTATTGTCCATTTTGATCAAACGGCATGGCAGTCGGGGCGAGTAAAAAGCGGAGATGAGATTACGGGGTTTCCTGCGTGCAGTCACTCTGCGGGCACCGTGCCGTTCGGTCTGGCGGACCATGAGGCGATCGGTTGAGGAATTCCTGTGGTCCGGCTGGGAGATGGTTAGGAGAAGAAGTGTGTTAGAGTTCTGTGCGAATACAAATAGTGACGTTGGCCTCTCAGACGTTACGTTCGATATTCTCCCAATTCAGTGTCGCTGGCTCGACGAGACCTCCTCTTAAGATACACCTCGAACTTCCCTTCACTATGCGATCTGTCCTTCCTTTCCTCCTCAGCCTGGGATGGCTCGCTACTGCGGCCGTCATTCCCTCCTATGATAAGCACACGGCCGAGCTGGATGCTCGCGATGCAACTGGATATCGCTCCGTTGCCTATTTTGTCAACTGGGTGAGTGCCATGACGTAACTGGATCATCTAGCATGAGCCGCGACTGGGGCTAAACATCTTATCCTAGGCGATCTATGGACGCAATTTTAACCCTCAAGACCTCCCGGCCGAGAGACTAACACATGTATTGTACGCATTTGCCAATGTGCACCCGGACACCGGAGAGGTGTACTTGTCAGATTCCTATGCCGACATTGAGAAACATTATACGGGAGATTCCTGGAGCGACACTGGAACCAACGTTTACGGATGCATCAAGCAGCTTTTCTTACTCAAACAAAGGAACCGAAAACTGAAGGTTCTTCTGTCGATTGGTGGGTGGACTTACTCCAGCAACTTTGCCAGCCCTCTGAGCACTGCCGCTGGCCAAGCGACCTTCGCTTCATCTGCAACAACCCTGGTGAAAAACCTAGGTTTCGATGGTGTTGATATTGATTGGGAGGTACCTTTTGCACTGCCTCCTTCTTAAACAATCCATCTCACTGACGGAACTAGTACCCTACCAACAGTGCTCAGGCTGACAACTTTGTTTCTACGCTCCAACAATTACGCTCGGTAAGGTTATCCGGTGTGAAATATCAATGTATTGGAGACTGATCATGGTTTAGTCGCTGGACTCGTACAGTGCAGCTAATGCGAATAATTACCATTTCTTGATCACTGTTGCCTGTCCTGCGGGTACGTTCTATTCCTCGGAACCATTACTATGCTGGGCTCTATATTAATGAAGGACCTAGGCCCATCAAACTATCAGGCGCTCCATCTATCACAAATGGACCAGTACTTGGACTTCTGGAATCTCATGGCATATGATTATTCAGGAAGCTGGGACACCATCGCTGGCCACGATGCTAATATCTACGCGTCAACCAGCAACCCGGCTAGCACACCCTTCAACACAGACCAGGCCATCAGCTACTATACTTCTAACGGCGTACCAGCAAACAAGATTGTCCTGGGTATGCCGCTCTATGGTCGCTCGTTCATGAACACGGATGGACCTGGCACGAGCTACAATGGGGTTGGCGGCGGCAGCTGGGAGAACGGCGTGTGGGACTACAAGGCACTACCCATGACTGGCGCATCTGTGAACTACCTGAGCCAGCCTGTTGCAAGCTACAGCTATGATTCCTCGCAGCGGATGATGGTTAGCTATGACACACCCCAGGTTGCGCAGCTGAAGGCGCAGTACATTCAGTCCAAGGGTCTCGGTGGTGGCATGTGGTGGGAGAGTAGCAGCGACAAGAATGGCTCGGATAGCTTGATCACTACGGTTTGTCTCCTAAGGAATCCCTCATTCGAAACATGCATTGACTGACCGTCCGATCCTGCTAGGTTGTCACCGCGTTTGGCGGCACCGGTGCTCTGGACCAAAGCCAGAACGAACTGAGCTACCCCGCGTCCGCGTATGATAACCTGAAGGCTGGGTTTCCAGCCACATAGCCAGATTCAAAGGACTGAGGATATCGCGGCGAATAACCAACTGATGAGCATCTCCTTTCGTTGGCTTTTTCTGTAAGACGTTATGGAAGAGATAGTTTGCTATGGGGGATATCTTTCGCTTGGTCCACGTTTATTCAATATCTGACAGTGATTGGGGTTGATCTTCCTTTTTTTTTTTTTTTTTTCTAAATTCCAGACGTATGGAGTCCGGAAAGCAAACGTATCTCCTCTCTATAACCTTCACGTAGGGTTGAGCCTCTTACGTAAATTGTGGGTCTCTGGCCAACCGAGCACCTCTCGAACCAAAATACTAGAGAGACTGGTTACGATCGGCAATTGTCCTGATTTTGTTTGGGCCTCATAATTAGCAGCGAGGCTCTCAGAGGGTGACATGGCAACATGGCAAATTGGTAAGCTAGAAACTCTCTACATGGCAACATAGGCATTAGTCCAGTACTCAAAGTCAGAACAACCCCCATAAACCCCAGTCGCAAGAAAGGGAGCCCGAGCCCCTACAAAAGGAATCACCAGAAGCTATTTCTTTCTGACTTGTTGTTCCTAATGTAAGTCCCGTCTCTTGAATTCAGTTATATAGTTTCGCTCTTGGACCCCTGACCCTGAGGACTTTCACTGATCGATCCTGCAGATGGCGAAGACGGGGATATGCTTGTGTCAACGTTCTGTTTAGTATCGACACTACCAGTCACAATTTCTGCTTTTCCTGTCATGCCTTTATAGACCTGCTGGACCTGTTGGATTCCACCATCGAGGAGAGGGTAGAAAATCGCAACGAGCATCGTGCCCCAAAGCCAAATGATAGCAACCACAACCCAAGCAATAAAGAACTGTTCAGAACCAGATGAGAATTTGATCAATTCCGAAGTGGCATGCCAAGAGAGCTCATTAAAAGAGCAGGAGCGGCAATGGAATGAAGCAGACGTACCTTCTTCTCAAAAACATAGCGAGATCCATACATCGGCAAGGGCCAAATCACCCAGTGACCCAAGAACGTTGCGGTAGACCAGACAGCCGCGATGCGACCCCATCGCTTCAGCTCTTTCGATTGTATGGCAGCAATATGGCCTCCATCCTCGGTGCTATTTTTTTCACTGCGACCGGGCGAATAGTGGACATGGGATGTGGTCAAGTCACTATCCAACTTCTCAAGCGCGAGCTTTTCTTTCCGGAAATCGGCCCAGTCATAGTTCTGCGGCCGGAGAAGCGTGATCAAAACTGAATAAAGAATTGGCGAGAAGCAAGATGCCACTGTGCCGTACATGCAAGGGAGTACTTCACCCGTACTTGCGACGGAGACCTCGCCTCCGAAGTGGGCAGCTGTTCCGAGCCAGACGGCGAGGCCGGTTGTTAGGCCCAGAATTGGGGACAGAATGGCTGCAGCCTTGCTCTGACGACGCCAGAGGACAGTGAATACCATTGGAAAGATCCCAGGGCAGGTAACCACTCCTGCAGAAGCTTTTAGTTCGGGGCTTTAGTGGAACGGGTCGAGTAAGTAGCTGACCTAGCATATACAAAGTCCAACCAAGGTCAATGCCAACATAGTGCAGCATGGTGCTAAATCCGGCGGAGAAAGCAGCAAAGAAGATGACGCCGAAGTGACTAGACCGAATTAAATCGCGGTCGGTCGCAAATTTGTTGAAATACTCGCGGTACACATCAAAGCTGAGAATTGAACTGACCGCAATGACTTGCGCCGAAAGGGTAGAGGTCACAGCCATGAAAGTCATAAGGAGGACAGCAGCTGCACCACCTTTACCTGCAATGGTGATCGCTGCATATGGAAGGACTAAGCCACCGCTGACCTCGGATGTCGTCATTCGCTATATGTTTATGTTAGTAAAGGCCTCCAAGCGAGCTATTGACGCGCTTACTCGAGGATATGTCGGAAAATTGGGCTGGTTTTCTAGACCGAGGGCAACAGAGCTCATCACCGTCCCCAGAGCCCAAGGAATAGCAAAGTAGGCAATTCCACCGATGGTGTAGCCGGGGACAACCGCCGCGGGAGATGCGGAGAAGGCCTTGATGAAATAGCTAGTATCCATCTAGACGCGTGGTCAGTAATACGTATCATTGTTATAAAGATATGAGGGGCATCACTTACAACGACCAGGCCAAAGTTGCCACAAGTATGCAAGATGCCGAATAGTATTGCCTATACGCGTCAGTAAATGGGAGTCATGCGCCAGAAATGGGACGCATCCTTACGCTCTTTGATGTCATGGTCAAGTATGTCCCGTTTTGGTTTCCGGAGACAGGGTGACGCTCGGCAGCAGCTTTGAGAAGCTCGAAGAGATTACCCACGGAGCCAACTTGGTCGGAAGAAAACGCTTTGACAGAAAAGTAGCATGCGATGATAAGGATGACCGCCGTGTGGAAGTAGTCCGTCAGGAACCTGCTAGATGTTAGGAGGCCTGGCCACATGACTGAGTCAATGGAACCCACGTTGCCTTGATCCCTCCGACAAAAGTGTACACCGTCACACCGACCGGAAGCAAGAAAGTTGCCGCAATGATATGCATACCGGATCTACATTGATTAGTGTGTGGTACGTATTTAGGACTCGGGATGCTCACATACACGGCAGAAATGACAGCAGCTGCGCCAAGAAGCATGTTCGCACAAGCGAAGATATTATTGATCAGGCATAAGATCATGAACACGATATGAGCCGTCCGGCCTTGGACCCGTTAGAAGAATATTATTAGCGAAGTCAGAGATACTCCGGGTATATGGAAATATGGAAACATACCGTAGCGAATCCGCACCACCTCCAGGGAGGTATGTGCTTCTGGAATCTTTCGCTTGCATGAAATCCCCAGGAGGGCAAAGAAAACGATCATAGGACTACACCCGGCAGCAAACCAGAACGGCCCGGCGACGCCGTAGTCATACCCGACGAAAGAGGAACCCAGTAGTGCAGTCGACCATAACCAAGACTATCGATTGCGTGTCAGCAAGGTTTAGAGTGTCCGCAAAGTGAAGGTCAACCGACAGAGATCACGGCCGATGCAGTAAGACCAGTTCGCACGGTGCGATTCGCTGTCATAAACCTGGAATATCGAATCAGGTCATGTTCATGAATAAAGATCCGTGGAAGAGTAGCGCTGGCGGTACATTTCAGTTTTCTTATTATCTTCGCCCGTAGTCTTCTTCAAGATCTTCGTGACAAGCATCATGACTATCATTTCATTAGTTTTGATTGAAGTAGAAGCAATCTTAATTACCATACCCAAAGCGATCATAATACCAATTAAGACAACGACAATATATCCCACCGCCTGTGGAAGCGGTGGTTGCACCGTAGAGATGCCATCGCGAACGTACAACGTGGACATAGTGGTAGATCCACGGGGCTGATGAAGGAAAGGGAGAGGAAGGCCCGAGGCAGTGTCTTGTGTGTACAAGTTGGCAGATACTGCACCGCAGAGACAAGGACAAAACGACCAGCTCAGTATATATTACTGAGACTATGGGAAGGCCAGGACTTATGCATATTTGTATGCCATCTGTCTTCAGCACTATGCAACCCGTCTCCCGGTACGGGGGCGCTCCTGATCTCCGGGGTGCAAGCCACGGCGTCGGCGTCGTCACAGCGAATGAGCACGATGTGACCCGCAATGATTTGATATATGCGATGAGGTGCTTTGGGGGATAGAAGGCGAGTGATAAAGGGCTGGATTTAACTTTGGAAGGGTCGACCTCCATGCAGCCGAAGAAATGATGTGCCGTGCCACCACAGGACAATGTTTCGACTTTGGGGATATCCGCAGCCGAATTAACTCTCTAGTTCAACTCCAATTCTCTCTCGATTTGGATTTACACGTGCGCTACTGTGGTATCTACGAAGAATGGATGAGTAGCTTCCCCTGGGACTTGAAAAGTCGGGTAAGCTCGCGCAAATAGTGATCACCAATAGCGCACATGATATAATCCCTGAGTTCACGCTGTGGACCATTCCCAAAGACCGATTGGTTCCTTGGGGTTCTCCAATGAGATTGAGGGAATTCAGGGCTGCTAACGAATGATCCCGGGCCCTTCGATGCATCCCAAGGTTTTGCGGCATCGCATTGACACAGTCTTTCGTCAGTATCCCTCTCGCCCGAGAGATCAAAAAGAGATCAGAAGCAAAAAATCAGCCAGTTAAGTCGTCGACTGAGCCAATTCTAATTACCTCTGAACCAGTCAGGTCGGGCGCAGGTACATTTGGGGCCCCTCAGGATCTCCCGCATCGCGCCATCCTGGCCCACTTTGATGCTATGTGCGCAAGCCGGCTCTGAGAATGAAGCGGAGGGTGTGATGCACGCGGGGATGAATGATGTGCTCGATCATCGCGGTACAAATTGTGAGCTACCCCTCCAGTTACGCTGGACTTTGCTAGTGAAAGTCTTTACAAGGTCATCTAACCGGTTACGCTGCTCGGTCTATAGAGCGTCTGACACCACCATTGAAATACATCAGCATTTGTCCAAAATGACCGAGAACAATAATGTTGCGCGGGCTGACAAACCCCGCAAGTCACTGATTCTTAATGCCTTCGTGGAGATGTGTGCGTCTCTGCTCGCGTCGTATCCCCTGATAGCCCTGCGTACCTAACTGGAATGCAGGTAGCGGACACCAGTCGCCGGGCCTCTGGCGCCACCCTGAAGACGAGTCGCACCGTTTCAACGATATAGACCACTGGGTGGAGCTAGCACAGCTTCTAGAGTCAGCCAAGTTCCATGGCATCTTTATTGCAGATGTTCTAGGTAAGCCGACTCGTGGTCGCGTGGACAAAAGGGCGATGTATGTCGGATGCTTATGCAAAGCCGCGTGAAGGCGGCTACGATGTGTACAAGGGACCCCAGAATCTCGACCCTGCAGTCATCTCCGGTGCACAATGGCCAGTAAATGAGCCCCTGGCTGTTGTCCCCGCCATGGCTGCAGCGACAAAGAATATCGGCTTTGGAGTGACCGTTACGACCACATACGAGCAGCCGTATCATCTGGCAAGGAGACTGTCTACGGTGGATCACCTCACAAAAGGCCGGTATGTGTATCATCCTATTTATTTCGTGAAAGATTGCTGAGCACTCAACTACCAGCGTTGGTTGGAATGTAAGAGTTCAATCCCACAGCACGCAAAACAGAATTGCTGGACAAGACAATTGACTACGCATTGTGTAGGTTGTGACAGGCTATCTGGACTCTGCGGCACGAAACATGGGTCAAGCTGAGCAGCCACATGTACATGGGCCCCTTCCCCCAATCATACGCATGCGTGAATTGACGATGATGCAGCACGATGACCGGTATGCCCTGGCAGAAGAGTACGTCAAAGTCACATATAAGCTCTGGGAATCTTCCTGGCGCCAAGATGCCGTGGTCCTCGATCGCGAGCGCGGTATCTACACAGATCCAACACGCGTGCGACAGATCAACCACGTCGGAAAATATTTCAACGTGCCCGGTCCTCATCTCTGCCAACCCAGCCCACAGCGCACTCCGGTCATCCTGCAAGCTGGTACTTCCAAGGCTGGAAAAACATTCGCGGCTCAACATGCGGAAGCCATCTTCGTGGCAGGTCATAGTCCGTCCGTAGTCGCCAAGAATGTGGCCGAGATTCGACAGCTCGCAAAGACGGAGTTTGGCCGTGATCCGCGGAGCATCAAGTTCCTGGCCCTGCTCTGCCCGGTGCTAGGGCACACGGAGGAGGAAGCCGTGGAGAAATTCAAGTACTACCGTAGCCTGGGCTCCATTGATGGTGCTCTCGCGCTCTTTGGAGGCTGGACCGGGATTGATCTGAACAAGTATGGCGATGACGAAGAGCTGCGACATGTTGAGAGCAATGCCATCAGGTGAGGTAATCACCGAATCAGGGCTGGATCACCGTCGATTAATGTCGTGAATAGGTCCGCCGTGGAAGGCTGGTCAAAGGCAACCCCCGAAGTCGCCAAGTGGACCAAGGCAACGGTCGGTCAGCATATCACTGTCGGTGGCCTTGGTGCGACTCCCGTGGGGACGGCTGCACAGGTTGCTGACAACATGGAACGCTGGGTGCAAGAGGCTGATGTAGATGGGTTCAACCTGGTAAGATCGTCATCCCGTCCAGAATTCCAGGCCAAGGCACTTCTGACAGAGTGTCGAATCAGGCCTATGCCATCAAGCCGGGGTCTTTCCTGGACATCATCGAACTGCTTATCCCTGAGTTGCGCCGACGGGGTCTCTTCTGGGACGACTACGCGGTACCGAAGGGAACATATCGCGAAAACCTGTATTCGCAAGCTGGCCAATCGGGCCCGCGAGATGACCACCCAGCGTCGAGGTACCGCTGGAAAGCAGGAGTCGCTTCTGCTGACCATCCAGTCCCGGAGAACTGAATCACGAAATGGTCTTTACGATGCGAGAACCGGGAGAAGAAATGGATGAGCCATAAAGGGTTACCGCAAACTGTATGAAGTGTAAATGAATAAGATTCTTTTTCGTAGGCTAATGCCTGCACGCCCTCCCAAAGGGGTCTATGTTACAAACGCCGAACAAATGCCGTTTTTCGTACAAGGGTCACCATGAACAACCCCTATGTCAACATATCATCAAGTCGCTCACCGAGCACACCTTCAATCTGCTTCACCCATTTCCGCACCTCTCTCTCAACGCTCTCGTCCTCGTCCTCCATCAGCTCGCTAATGTAGGGCAGCATCTCCGGAAGCAGAGCGAGCCATTCCTCACCAAGCTGCTCCGTAAGGGCCTGCTCGGCCTTCAAGGCAGCAAGACGGGTGAAGGGGTTGTCACCATCCGTAGACTTGGCATTCGGAGCAGACGAGGGACGAAGATACTTCATGAGAGCCATGTTGAGCTCCTTGTGGTTATCAGTCGAATCGGCAGCAACGGCCAGTTCGGTGATGGCGGGGACAACCTCCTCGGCGACAAGAGCCGCAGTCTTGGAGGTGGTTGCGTGGGCAAGCTGAGAAATGAGAGGTCCCGAGATGCTGGCGAGGTGCGAAGGAGATTGCCAGAATTCTGAATACAGGTAAGCGGAGTTTGTAGAAAGTATTTTCGACAAAAACATACCATCTTGATCATGTTCAAAGGAGTTGCGGAGCGTGCGGAGTGCTGCAAGCCAAAGGGCCTTGGTGGCCTTGGCGGGATCGACTGTGCCCAAGACCTCGACAACACTATCCAGGATATAGTTGGAATAACCAGTAACGATGGATTGTAGAGTACCGAAGAACACTTGTAGGAAGCTGTAGAAAGTGGTGAGACGCGAGACCCGACCCTGTTCATCCTTCTTCGACACGCCGGTGGTAGCCCATTCGACGAACTGGATGAAAAGCGGGCGGAAAGTGCTGTCATTGAGCTTGTAGATCATCTTGATCGTGATATCGTTCAATGCACTCTCAGCCTCGTCGAGGTCGGAGGAGTCAAAGTCGGTGGCGTCACCAAGGTTGGCTTGCTCGCGGCGCAGGTCGAAAGCGTCGAAAAGAATCTTTGACAGAACATTGACGTTCTTGACAACAGCAGATTTAGGATTCTTTTCAATAGCAAGGGCGAGGACTTCCAAGACTTCATTGACGGCAGTAGGGCCAGTTTCAACAGCATGCTGCCAGTTGCGGGCGATAGCACCAAGGGTGGCAGTGAGATCCATCTTGCGGGACGCCATGAGACGAAGAGTTTCCAGGCGCGTGTCATCAGAGCTTTCCCCAAGGTCCGCTTCGGTAGACTTGAACGAGAGCAGCAGAATCTTGTCAAGATGAGCAGCCGAGATCATGAATGGCAAATTGACCAAGAGGGCGGAGAACAGCGAGTACACAGCATCGTGGAGGCGCGAGTTCTCCTTCTCAGGGGTCAGGCTCAGCTCCAACAGCTTCAAAGACTGGCTCATCGCATCGGGAAGGGCGGGAATCATGGCTTGGCCCAAGACCTCAGCCATGGAGGCGAGGCACAGAACACCCATAATGCGAATGCGCTCATCATCGTGGCCAAGGCAGGATGTACTAGCGACGACCTTGGCGGCGGCAATAACCTTCGACGGATCCTTGCGACCATACTTCTCGGTGATGCGATCAATGCAGGCAATGGCAGCATGCTTGAGAAGCGAGTCGGGGGATGATTCGACAATGTTGACCAGAGTAGGCAGGAAGTCGAGAATACGAATCTGAGACTCGCTGTCACGCTCAGGGGTTTGGCGGAGACGGTTCTCCAGCAGCCGAAGTACCTTGCGTCGGAGGTCGTCATTAGGTCCCTGAAGCAGGACTTCAATGGTATCCAGGAAGTCGACGAGTGACAAGGTGCTGAACAAGGAGCCCAGAACCTCACCACACGCCTGGCTAACAGGCTTCATGCTCTGCACAGACTCACTAATGCCCAGGACCTGTTCGAGTACTCGAGAGAAGCAAGCCCGGACTTGGTCCGCAACCTCATTCTCGGTCTCGAATGCTGCCTCTAGCTTGGACTTGAGGGAGGAGTGCTTGAGCAAGTGAGCAAGATCGCGGAGCAGATCAACGGCAACCTTCTGGGGGTCGCGTCCATCGTCGCTACCAATTCCAAGGAGGACCTTGGAGATGCCAGGCTTGGGACGCAAGGCATCGATGACGAGGTTCAGATACTTGCTGTAGGTAGTGAGTTCCACCACAGGAGTGGTATCCGAGGCGACCCCAGTCATCAACATAAGTACATCCTTATCCATGGCATAGCGATTGGCAAGCATGGCCAGAACGGCAAACAGGAAGTCTTGGGTGCCAAGCTTAGTGATCAAAGCGTGGAAGAGGCGGAGACGGCGGTGCGACGGAATATGCTCAAAGGCAGCGGTGAAACTGAGCAAGAGCTCGGAAGTGCCTGATACAATATCCCGCTTCTGGTTTCGAAGGGACTGAATAAGAGCCGGAACAACCTGGTCGATAGTCTGGTCAATGACAGCAACGGAGTAGTCATCGTCCTTGCGGAGAACACTAGACCCCATGAATGTGAAGATGGGCATCACGCTGTGAAGGACAAGCTCAGGAGCAATGACAGACAGACCAGCCACGAGCAGGAGCGCGCCATTTTGCACCTGAGGGCTGTCCGTAGTTCGCACACAGTCCACGACGAGATCGGCGCGAATAACCGAGGTATCGAAAAGGGGCTTGGGGGATCCCTTGGATTGGTTCACAATAGCCAAGAGGCTTCCCAGAGTCAAGCTCAAAAGGTAGCTCATGCCAGACTGGATCTGAGATTTGAAATGGTGAAGGGCAGCAAGAGTCTGGAAGAGGCCGTCCGCCAGCTCGGGGTGCGAGCCGGGGCTCGAGCTATCAATGACCTCCAGAATGAAGGTCATCTTGTCCATGAGCTTGCTCAGCTCTGCCTCGTCCTTAACGGTCATGGCGACCATGTTGTTCTGACTTGTACGTCGGCGCTTGGGTGCGGGGCCGAGAGAGTCAATGTCTGTCAGAGAAACAGGAATTTTCTTAACAAAGTTCACAAGAATGGGACCGGACAGCTCCACGCTGCGGAGAACATCACGGCAGTAGTCTGCTACAGATGTGGTACCGGTAGACAAGCCAAGAGAAATGTCCAACAGTTTTTGAGCTGCGACCAATTGACCTTCCTCAGAAACCTTGGGCCAGATGTTCTTCATCCGATCAAACCCAGCTGCCACGAAGGAGGCCCTAGGAGACTTGGCGGGGTGAGCGATATTGGACAAAAGGACTTCGAATGCATCGCTCTCCTTGGCAGTAACAATAGCCACAATATGGCTGTCACTGTCAGCAAGGGACAGTCGCTCCTTGGCACAGATTTCATCAACATCTTTCTGGCTTAGATCACGCCAGTTCTCAAGTAACGGAAGAAGCTCCTTCGTGCGAGTAGTGCCCGAAACCTTCTTAACATTGTTGAGAATGCGCAGCAGAGTGAACTTGGGGGCGAAGACTGGCATTCGAATAACATGCGAGCAAAGGAAAGTGAAAAGGCTAGTCCGGATAGACTTCTTCAGCTCCTGGGCGCCCGGATCCTCGGACAGAACGCTGCCCCGCAGCGTAGCGTCAATAACCTTGCCAATATGATTGGGATCAAGAATGTACTCCTCCAATGCGGGGAGCAATGCACGTTCCAGCACCTTTTGCACATCAGAAGAAGACATCCACGAAATGCTAGTGGATTCCTTGCCCTTGCCATAGATGGCATCGGAGGCCCAAGCCTTCAGATTATCGGCCTTCTTGTTATTCCTATACAGAGAACCAACAATGGCCAGAACACCAGCCGCCTCGCGACGAATGCGCTCGGATGAGTCTGTAAGAGCAACAATGAGGAATGGCAGCAGGGCTTGAGGGTCCATGTCGCCCGAGATTGATGAGAGAACAGACGACAAAATGTTCAAAGCGGCAACTTTAGTGCCAATCGGGTATGGACCAGAAAGCACACGCACGAAGAATGAGATAAATTGGGGGCTCGTTGCGGCGTTACCTCTGCCCAGAATCGGTAGGCTGGCGAACTGTTCGATCTGAACGTCAGAATCCCCGGCCAGTGCGAAGACCTGCACGAGATTGTCAAACTCGGGAATAGATTGACTGCTGAGAAAAGATGTTGCGAAAAGTGATTCCTTGGTTAAGGACTCCAGGGCTGGCGTAAAGTTGTCCACCTCCTCATCGTCGACCTCCTTCATATCCACATCTTCAAGAGCTTGCGGTGGGACAGGTGCCTCCACCACAGTTTGCAGGTTGTGCTCCAGTGCCGGGATGTTGAGGGACGACTCGGTCAAGGCCATCTGGAAAATGGGCTGCAGCGAGCTATCTCGAGTGAAGCTTTGCACAAGCTCGGCAAGTTGGGATTGAGCATCCAGAGACATGCGACGCGTCTCATCAGTGGCGCTTGCAGCCTTAAGGACCAAAGTCATGGCCTGTTTCATGTCATTATCTTGTAGGACATTGGCTTCAAAAATAGATGAGAGAAGGGAAAGGCAAGTATTGTCCTTCTGCTTATCAAGATCGCTAACACACCCAGCAACAAGACCAAGCAACAGATTGGATGTCTGATACTGAGCAGTAACCTCGGACAATTGCTGCATGGGGTTCTCAAGCCGAATGATAGCTTTGAAAACCTTCTTAGGAAGAGTCCCTGCCGGTGTTTGTTGTGCCAAGACAGACAGACAGATCAGACCGGAGCTGAAAGTCTCTTCTGTCCAAGAGGTAACCACACTTTCCATCAAACCATTCAGCACATCATCGGTAAGCATGGCCTTCTGAGCGAGCACCACAGAGATCATATAGCAACTGATGATCAGCTCTGGAACCTTCTTCATAGCGAAGAAACCGCTCAGAAGCGGCAGAACGCGGATAAGAACATCCTCATGCTTCTGCTTCTCAGCTTCTCTCCGACCAGAACGAGCGCTATCCAACATGCCCGCTACTGCCTCTGTGATAATACCCGCCCAGAATGAAAGGAGAGTATGGCTTTGGGCCTGCTGCTGACAGGCCTTCAGAACGTAATCATTCAATGCGGCAAAAAACGCCTTGTTCGTGGTAGCGCTATGCACTATCGGATGCCGAGGTGGATTGATGAGACCGGTCTTATATGGGTAAAGCACTTTGAATGTAGGCGTCAAATCATTGGGCAAGATCGACAGCAGGTTGAGGAAGAGGGGTGTCGTGTGATAAGGAAGGAAAGTGAGTAGGATGCAAGCGGTATTGTATTCATGAATCCTAATTGTGATGGTTAGTTGTACTCTTCCTCTCCTAATCGTTAGATTGAAGTATGCGCACCTAAAACGTCTGACCAGCCAGTCCACAGCTTTGACTGCGGGGCTCAACTGCAATCGTCCTCCAACAAGAGCCAAGAAAGATTCAATTACACTGTCCAGCTCCTTGTTCTGGGCGCTGTTCAATTGCGTTCGGTCTTCGGCCTTGCTCTGCTCGCTGAAGATGGAGCGCGCAAACTCTTCGAATCGAGGATCCAGGGAGCAAAGCTCTCGGAACCCATCATAGCATATGTCGTAAATTGTATCAAAATCCTGCGCAGAGGCAACCTTCCGGTCGAAAATCAAGGACTGCGAATGGGAGACCCGCTGCTGTTTGAGGTCAAGCTCGTGCGTCGACTTGGCCGCAAGCTGCGACAGCTGCGCTGCGAGAGAAGAGGCCATCGTAGAAGTGGAGGTAATGCGAAAATTCTCAGAGTAAACCACCGTGACCCATCTCTGTAATCTTCGAATCGGTTGATTGCTTCCTCCCAGGTGAGCGCGCAAGTTTCTCGTCGGGCGGTTTACCAGCAACTTTTTTTTCTGTCCGGCCCGCTTTCACCGCCTTACTCACCCGGAACATCATTTCCCCGGTTTATCAGATCACTCCGCCCACGCGATAACAAAACCACCGGTCCACGACGATGGACTCGTCGAGTTCACAGGCAAGTTTATGATCTATCTTCAGGGTCAAATTGATATTCTGACTCTGAACTCAGGACAAAAAGTCCGTTCCCAGATTCTCTAGTTTCAAGCCCCCGCCAAAACCCTCGGACGCCGATCGCGTCACCGATAGCTCCCAATGGGAAACCTCGAAGCGCGACGATCGCGAATCTCGTCGTTCTAAGCATCTTCGCTATGAACGTCGATCCCGCTCTCCCAGGCGATCTGGTGAACGAGAGCGACGCCGCTCCCCTCGTCGTCGCTCTGACTCTAAGCTCCACCATCGTTCCCGCCCCCGAGATGATCGAGCTCCGGGGAGCACGAGGTGACACACGATGATCGCCCATCGCGTGGCAATTATGGCCGACTGGAGGTGGAATCGGGCCCTTCAACTGTGGCTTCAGCATCTTCTGTACAGCCTAGATCCGGGGACGCCGAGCTCTACGCCATCGACCTGAAAGGCGATCGGTTTATTATTACGTACGGAACATCGCATCGCTATGAAGTCCCTTCGTACCGCCGGGTTGGCTTTGGTCAGGTGCTGGGTGTAGCTACAAATCTGGTCATTGATCGAAATCAGCCAGATATCGATAGCGTCGTTCTACGCCCCAAAGGCACGGCAACTGCAAAGGATAAGGCTTCCCAACCGCTGTCCAAGCTTCTCAAGCAGCCAACACAGCTCTACCGTCTCCGAAAGAGTGATGACCCATCTTCTATTGAGGATTGGATGAATGACACTATTCAACTCAGCTCTTCTATCTCAGGGAAGCCTGGCACCACCGCCGATGACGGTGGCTCCGACGATGAGCGTCATGCCTACCGCTCTATCCTTGGCAAGGCAAAGGATGAAGACATGGTTCCAAGTGATATGGAACTTGTTAGTGGCCAAGAAAATCGGGATGATGACTTTCGTGTCAGTTTTGATGCGGAACGCCGAGCTCGTAATGCAGATCTATTACGTGCGGTTGATTCTAATCCAAAAGACGTTGCAGCATGGCTTCGGCTCATTGACCACCAAAATACTCTGGTCCTCGGTGCCGGGGAGGATTCCCGTCAATTGACGGCTGCAGAGCGCAGGAGCGTGGCCGATGTGAAGATGTCCCTTTATGACAAGGCTTTGAAAAAGTCTGGCGATGCTATACATAGAGACTTCCTGTTATTAGGACGCCTACAGGATGGCGGGCAGGTCTGGGACCGAAAGAAACTTTTGGCGGAGTGGAACACTACCTTGAAAAAAAACACTGAATCGATCAGTCTCCAGGTGAAGTATCTCGACTTCCGCCAGACGGACTTCCAAGATTTTTCCCTGGATGAGTGCAAGGAACTCTTTATCGATTGCATGAAATGCATTGACGCCAACCCTAACTATTCTCGCCACTCTCAAGTTCAATGCTACTTGCTTCTGCGTCTCACGCTCTTGCTTCGCGAAGCAGGGTATGCAGAACTTGCTGTTGGCTTCTGGCAGGCTGTGCTTGAGTTCAGTTGTTTTCGATCGCCTTCTCTCCTAGAGACGCAGCATCGGGAGGCCGTCCTCCAGTTCTCTGAATTTTGGGATTCAGAAGTGGCACGCATCGGAGAGGCTGGTGGAACAGGATGGCGGAGCGGCACAAGCCCCAAAGTTGATCCTGTGAATCATCACCTACGCGTCCACGTCGACCCTTCGACCCTTTTCCCATCATGGCGGGATGCCGAGAGAGCGCGGATACAATTGTTCCAGATGCCAGCCCGAAGTTTGGATGAATACGGAGCCGATGTGGATACGGCATACTCGGTGGTGCTCGGGTCAGACTTCCACGACATTTTGCCGTCATTTTGGGGTGATACTGTCTGCGAGTATATCATTGATGCTTTCCTGTACTTCTGCCATTTGCCACATTTGACTGTACCTTCAAATTTGAAGACAACTCGACTGTGGAGCGGTGATAATTTCCTACGAAACGAATTCGTGGCCAGTGTTAAGAGCAAACTCTCTGATTGGGTTCCTTCCGAGGTCGATGGCTCGCGAACTTCCGTATCACCTTTCTCATTCCCAGTCGCGAACTTCTTGCATACTACGGAGACCTTGTTCGCTCCAGAGAAGTGGTTTTATTCTCTTCAATCATGGAGCAAAGCCATTTTTGACACGCCGAGCTTCATCGACTTTGACTGGGCACGACGGACCCTGCGATCATTGGTTGACCGTTTCGATCAGGATTGCGAATTAGCTGAGTATGCTCTGGCGGTGGAATTCGCGTGCGACCGCGAAGCAGCAACAAAATTCGGAAAACGGTTGTTAAAAACCCGCTCATCCAAGTTAAGACTCTACAATGCCTTCGCTTTGATGCAGTGGCGGTCCGATAAACAAGATCTTGCTGTTGAAGTATGGTCCAAGGCTATCAATATGAGCAAAAGCTTCCGGGGGTGGAAAAGCTGAACTGCGGACTCCTCTGGAACACATGGGCCTGGGAAGTTCTTCAATCTGGAGACTTTCGGAGAGCATCGTATCTCCTGCATGCTATGTCCCTGGAAGAGGTCGACTTGACAGCATTCCATGCCGCCATCGCTCCCAATCAGTACAACCCCACTGAGAGGCTCAGAACGCAAAAGGTTAGTAGTCTATTCACTTTTTTTGGAAAATAAAGCAACGTGCTGATTTTCCCTAGTTCTTGCAAGAAACTTGCCACCGTGCCCTGGCCCACAGGGAGTCCCAGGTGTACGCGGCTTACACTGACTGCCTCGGCCTTCTTCTCTATATCTCAGACAGATCCCTCGGTGCAGCACTTGACGCTTACTCCGCGGCAGTCTTGGAACTGAGAAACTTGCCGCCTGATGAGGAAAACTACAAGGCGTTTACCGCCGAGCTTCTACATCAGGCGCGGGCCAGACTCATCTATTTTCACGTCAGCCAGAATAGGGAATTCAAGCCTCTTCAGATTCATACTTTCTTGAAGGAAAGTATATCACTCTTCCCCCACAACACTATGTTCCTATCCCTCTTCATGTGGAACGAGTTACGCTTTCCGATCTTTGATCGGGTCCGTGATCCCTTGGCTCTCATCAACGCTGACCCTGAGAGGCGGTATCAGCTGCATGAGCAATCTGCTCTGCCAATCATCATTCCCCAGAGGGTACCTGTGTCCACCCATCTGTTTTCCATCTACATGGAACTTTGTCGGCCAGTGTTCACGGGTGGGACCATACACTCTGTGCGGGCCGCATTTGAAAGAGCCATTGGCGAGCATTCAAACTCGGTGTCAAATGGAGCGGATGACAAGGTGGCAGGCAAGAGCTTCGATGGCGACAGCGCGCGGTCCAATCTCACCATCTGGAAGCTGTACATGCTCTTTGAGCTGGACCGTGCGCAGGATATCAAGGCCGCTAAGGCCGTCTTTTACCGCGCGATCCGTGCCTGTCCCTGGTCCAAGGAGTTACCCATGCTCGCCTTTGAGCGTCTTGGGGGGCAACAGCAAGGTCTGAGCTTCGATGACCTGCGTGAGCTGTACAATGTGCTGGATGAGAAGCAGCTGCGCATCCATGTGGACATTAGCAAGGAACTGAAGGAGGCGACTGTCCAAAGCTCGAAGGAGGATGCAGATATGGGTGCCAAGGGACAATCGGAGGACGGTGAGGGGGCGTAAGTAGCTGAGACGCCGAAAACGCCAATGCCACTGGGAGATTCCTATAGCACCTTTGTATACTACATGTGCGATCACCAGAATTATTGTTTTTTAAATGGATATTCGTCACTCGAAACAGTTCAGTATTCATCAACTATAGTACAGGGCATCAGACTATCCGACGTATATACGCTTCACTACAGGTACGTACTTGAACGCAGAACAAGAAAAGTCAGGGACAGATTCGTCACTCGTAATGTCGTAGGCGAGGCAATTGTGCAGCATCGTCAGAAGGTAAAATAAACCGCAAGAAAAAGACATGATAACTAGAAGTACTCCTTCCAGAACTTAAAACGCACTGCTTTCGTGGATGAGTTCTTGGCTGCGTCGCTAATCTGTCGGGCCGCTGTGTTCGGCCCACAGAAGTACACACCAATTTCGGTGGTAGACGCGCTTTGGAGGCCTTGCATGTAAGTCTGGTCGAGCAAGCCGATGCGCATGGCAGTGAAGAGACGGTTGAAATCCGGGCGACCAAAGTTCGTTTGAGCTTTCAATTCGGTCAGCGGGTCAAGAGCTTGACCCACGGAGTTGAGGTAGATATTTGCTGCGGTGTCGTCGTCCAGTTTCTGGGTCAGGTAGGTATGGATGCGCAAGAACTCGGTGCTGCCCTGGTGTGCGGCCGCGCTGGCAGATTGTGCTTCCAGTGAGGAAAGCAGGGCTTGAAACCATTCAAAGGATGTGGTATCCTTGCAGATCCAGATGAACTCCACACGCCTGAGTCGGCGAGGCGGGTTGGGGCTCGAGCGCAGGTGCCAGATATTCTTCAAAATAGAAGCCCACGGCGTGACCCCAATGCCAGTCCCAATGAGGACGGCGATTTCGTTTTCAAAGACATCTTCTGCCGGTGCACCGTAGGGCCCGTCAATCCGCAGCTTCGGCATCATCTGGCCGTTCTGCAAGGCGACTTCGTACATGCCGAGAGGGTCCAGGCCTTCCAGGTCCTTGGCCTGGGCGGGACCACATCCAAGAGCATCTCCGAGGGCCCGCGTGAAGTCGCCAACTTGGCGTACATGGACACTGATGTACGGATCAAAAGGGCAGGAAGTGATTGTGAAGGGATGCCACTGAGTACTGGACACGTCGGGCACCTGCAGAAAAAGCCATTGGCCGGGTTTGTACTTCATGCTTGGTTTGAGGAATTGGATCTCCATGGCATCTATTCCAGAATGTCAGCAAACAGTGTTTCAGGAGAAGACATGTGGAATCCCCACATACCATACGGATGGCGGATCACTTTGGTGATCACGGTCTCCCGACGAGATCGGATCTCACGATAAAGCCGTTCAGAGAGATAAAAGGCGCCTGCAACAAGCTCCCACCTCCATCCTTCATACCAGAGACAGTGGTTCCAAAATTGCTTGCCTGCAAATGGGGAGAACGGGTCGGCTGTGTCGCGAACAAAACATCCGGTGGTATGGGTATATAGAGCCAGCAAGAATGGAATGAACAGGTGGTGTGTGTACCAGAAGGTTTCATACGCCTGCTGTCGAATGCGGTGGTGTGCCGTCGTGTACATCAGCATCATGCACAGCAGCATGACGTGGCCTGTGATTCCAGCTGCCTGTGTGTAATGGATCTGTACCGCCAACTCGGGACGGATCTGACTCTTTTCGATATTATAGAAGCTGTGCAGGGATTAGCATGTTGTCTCGGCTGATAGGGGTAGATATCATGAAACCTACTTGACGTAGTGAGCTCCAGTATGAACCGCAGCAAAGACCACCAGGGCATAAGCTGTTTGGCGATGGAACCATACGGACTCGTCGAGCGGTAGCCATCGGACCTGGGGTCGAAGCCATCGGATCACATTCCGGCACATGGGAAAAAGGATCAAGGTTCCGTCCACGGAGAGCACAAGACCTGCACCTCTGGAAATCCAGACTGAGTAACTGAGGACATTCAAGCCCGCTAGTTGGGTGTTGATTGCTTGAAGATACCTGCATTGGAGTCAGTTGCTATACCAGCCACGTCGAGGGGGGGGGTTTCGTACCATCCAAGGGCAAAAAGGCCCCACTGTATCACCCAAAACACGGCGCAGAACAGTAACTTGGAGGGGGTGAGATCAGCTCGTCTGAGCCAAGATTCATTAGATGCGACCATGTTGCCGTCTTGAATTTGGAGGAATGTCGACCAGCGACAGCTTTCGTCCGGCTGTGATTAAAAGAATGACGAGCAGAGGTTGGCCAGCAACCGGAACTTTTGAATAGGAGCTGTCGATCTGTGGCGGACCACCGATCTGCTCGGACGCGATACTAGGTCAAGATGCCCTGACGCGCAATAGATGGTTATGTCGTCGGCGTCTTTGCTTCTCCATGAACCTAGTCCCAGAACACCTACCCCGACCGGGGAATTGTGAGGCCAACTTCGGCCTGACCGACAATCCACAGATGCAACGGAAGAAACTCTGCCTAGACCTTCAGAGTACGCGATCGGCCCGCAGCTCTCGCAAGGATAATTTTGCTAGGCGCACGAAACGGCGTGTTGGGTGGATGCTCTATGCGAAACACCCTCAGTGCAGAAGGGAAGAACACAAGCTCATGTGCGGTGAACGTCCTAGAATCACGGTGGTCGCAGTTAATATCCCGCGGGAAGGATGGCTAGAGACAAGAGGTTGGAGGGAGGTTCAAGATTCCCAGCGGTGTGGTTTTAGCTGCCGGACAGGGGGGAAGAGGGGGGCCGATCTATAATTACCTTCGACGCATGAGGGGGCACTTCAACCGAGCGCGAACCAGTGGATGCCCGAACTCAACCCTAAGTCAGTGCGTCTCCCTCTCAGCGCAAGGCCTACGGTGTGATCCATTGGGGAACCTTGCCCAGCACGCGGTGGCTGGATCCCTCTTCGACTACACCGTCTTCTCTTATCCAACCGCTCTCGCTCGTCATTGCCTCGCTTTCTCGAGGCTTCCTTGGCTGTGGCCCTATTGGAACCGATTGTTGCCGGAGCTGTTGCCGGACCTTGGCAGGGTCGAGATACAGATGGTCGCATGATGGTAGCATGTCTCCATGGTGCTATCAATCACAGAGGCTTTGGGCTATGAGCCACCTCGATTGTGATTATGGTGATTATGGTGATTCTTGTGCTCTCGAGGTCGCAAGGCTGCCAAGGTACAAGCGAATCCAGATAGACGAGGAAGAAGCGTGTTCGTCTCGAGTCAGTTTGCCTCGCACCTCGCACATGGCCGACTGATGGTGGCATGGGTGGAGCAACGCCTTCAGGGCCTAGAAACCGAAGGCTGCTGAGTGGCTCGCGGCAAGGGAAGCCACGGCAGGAGGTTACTCGGGGGCGGGCCTATAGAAGGCATTCTGCAAGCGCTCGCGGTCGTCACAGCCGTCACACGGGTCCTCCGGCGCTAGCAGTTCGAGTAGTGGGTATGGCACTGGGCTCAGACCTCCCCAGGCTTAGTGTGCAAGGGTAGCAAAAATAGCACCGCAAAGAGCATGGATGGACTGGAGGACGCTTGTGGGTGTGACTTCGTCCCCGCTTCGGGGGATCGGGCTTGGCACTGCATATCACATCTGCCATCACAATTCTCTCCTCTCTCACTGTTTCCGCATTGAGCTTCGCAGATCGGACGGGCTGGATGTGCAGACGCTGGACAGTAACGTCCAGTGTACGCCATACGACAAGGGCTGGCACGATGATCGGACCTGGTTGTAAACGTAAACATTGTCAACATTCCCTTGTCTCAGGCACAATAGCGGCCTAGACGGAGGACAGAATCAACCTCCCAGCCACTCGCCACAACAATTCCAGTGTGTGTGAAACGGGCCAACATCCCAGAACCGAAAGCCCCGGAGACGCGTGCCACCGGGTGCATCTCTGTATCTCGTCACACCAAGTCCATGCGCTGCGGGCTGTGATTTGCTCGCGCCCGCATCACGATCCGCTCCGTCACATCACCCGTCCGCCAATCAGCCCACGGACGTGCCCTCTTGAAGAAGCTCGATCAGAACAGCTAGCACACATCAAGCCATGGGACAAAGAGGGGATGTCCAGGACTCGTCCCCCGCCAGGAGAACTTATTGGCCCGCGGCGCTTAAGTGCATCCGTGCGGATCACAGCCAACAGCCATGCCCTGAGATGCAGCCGAAGTTCGGATCAACCCATGCACCCCGTCACCTTTTCTGGGCTTTTGGCGCCCAAGCGGCACAATCCTGCCTCGATTCTCGTAGGTCGGCTCCAGTTGCTGGGAGCTGGTCTGTCTAAGTATAGAATTCTTATACTCGACCCCTCCCGCGCCAGCTGCGGGAGTCGCCTCAACGCATCCTACCAGCTTTTTTCCCCAGGCCGCTACAATCATGCTCCTACGATAAGACGTGGGTGCTGGAAATTTCCCCTCTCTCTTTGAAGGATTGCCGTACTCCTCTCGGGAACTGGGTGGAATTTTCACTGGATGGACTGGTCGCAGAGCCTGTCGCAAAGCCTGTCGCAAAGCTCGTCGCAAAGTCCCATTTCCCTCCCACTTATATCGCCATAATCACCATCATATACGTTGTGCAGCGAAAAATCCCCGCTTCTACCCAAGCGGCTGCCATAAGAGACGTTGAATCTGTCGCCGGTCGAGAGATTGACTGCGCTATACGCTATTTCCTCAGAAACCTATAATCCAACCAGATGGGCAGGCTCATCAAGAACCACTGGGGGCGACTCATCATCCTCACAGCCTCCGCATGTATGTTTTCCTCAGCCGTCGGTATCATTTTCATCATAAACGCAGCTCTGACTGATTGTACCACAGTCCAAATCGCGAGCGCCATCGAGGGCTTCTTCTGGCCGAAAGTCTTCTGGGACTTCATCTCAAAGAACCTGGACGCGGCCGTCGCCCCGATCCCCATCCTCCAAACCCTCAACTTAGTGATGGGCCTCATTGGTTTGGCCTGGGAGTGGCCCTTACGACCTTTGGCTGGGTCATTTCCGCATCGCAGCATTGAGTTCCGACTGGTCGTATACCCTCTGAGTGCTACTCTGGCGGCCCTGCTCTACCAAGGGACCGATCCTGCACTATATTATTTGATTGGTATCGGAGTTTATTTTTGGGCCTATAGTGAAGGCGAGGTAAGTGGATTCTATGGGTTTGAGATTCGCACGGCACCTGCTAATCGGGGGCACAGATTGTTTGTCCGGAACCTTGGACATTACCCAAACGATCGAATTCACTGAAAGCATAGCATCTTGGGTCGGTCTGGTGTATTGGACGCATTGGACGCAGATCATGTACATATTTAATGGAACATATTACACATGGCATATCAGTCATTCTTCCCGAGTAGTAAACTGTATGCCTACTACCCAGGTATGAGGTTGTCTGCAGGATAATCTTACCGGTTTGCAGCGGGAGCCTGGATTCCATGGAAACCTAGGTACTCCCCCAGGTTTAGTTCCAATCAAGCATGTCCATAAGGCCCAGACTTATCTATATCTTACAGGTCGTAGATTCTAATCACGTAGGCCCTGTAGTCTCGAGTCGTTTGCTGCCGTCCATCCCAACGTGGACCATGTGACGCCTGATAAATAAGGCATACACTCTATACACGTGATCACTCAATCCGTTTGCCTCGAATCTGGAGAGTACAAGCCACTTCCGTCAAAACAGCAAGAGCTAATTGCCTCGATCGCCTCACGATTCGGTATTGATCGCAGGCGGGCAGCATCATTTGGTGGCACCGAACGAATCAGACTAATGACCACCCCTGAACCTAGCACATATACACACTGACAAGGCCAAGATGGCATCATCTACCATCTCGCGGGAGGACTCCTCGAAAGTGCATGAAAGCTCTCCAGAGCCCATGGCAGGGGACTTACCTGTCGACAGGATCACTACCTTCAATGGCAAACTGAATCGATTCCTCCTCTCAAGCAGCACAGCCACACGGTCGACCAGCAGGCCGACTCGTCCATCCAAGATAGAACGGGGTGCTCCAGAAGTTAAACGAGAATTACCAACCAGTGACCTCGACCATGCGGCCCTCAATGGGCATAGAGCTCGCAGTGTTACTGCCAGTCCCAAGAGGCAAAAAGTGGACGGCACTATCTCCGCGAGTATCGCCCAACCGCCGCGCCTTACTCGCAGCCGCTCCTCAACATCCATATCCCAGTCCTCATCATCAACAACAAGAACAACAACAACAACATCCTCTCCCAAAAAGTCACCTCGCCGGCGAAAATCTCCGCCAACCCACACGCCCACCGCTTCAGACTCCCTGCTCCGTGACACCATCCCCCCAAACCTCACGCTCCTTCTAGTAGGCGTAAACCCAGGCCTCCTAACCGGCACAACGGGCTTCGCCTATGCCCACCCATCGAACCTCTTCTGGAAACTCCTCTACTCCTCCGGCATCACCTCCATCCGACACCCACCGTCGGACACATACAAGCTGCCCGCCCTCTACAGCGTGGGCAACACCAATATCGTGGAGCGGCCTTCACGGGACGCCAGCATGCTCAGCAAAGCCGAGATGGACGCGGGCGTGCCCGTCCTCGAAGCCAAGGTCGCCGCACAGCGGCCGGAGGCCGTGTGCCTTGTGGGGAAGAGCATTTGGGAGGCTGTGTGGCGGGTGCGGCATGGGCGGGCAATTCGCAAGGAAGAGTTCCGGTATGGATGGCAGGACGAGGCGGAGAATATGGGGTGTACGGCGGAGAGTGATTGGGGCGGGGCACCGGTGTTTGTGGCAACGACGACAAGTGGGCTTGCGGCAGGGATGAGTATTGCAGAAAAGGAGGCTGTTTGGGCGGAGTTGGGAGCTTGGGTCATCAAGAGGAGGGCGGAGAGGGGATTCGTTGCTTCTGGCGGATAAATTATAGGACTATCTGGCGATGTACTGGTTTGCGCCATGTCAGTGTTTTTTTATTTATTGCTATATACTTTATATACCCGTGGTCAGGGCTGATATCTGGAGGGCTAGACCTCTCCCTACCATGCTGCAATATGAGCACACTTTGCTACGTGATGCTTCAACTGCTAAGGGGTAACTGCTCACGGACATTGCATAAATATTGTGATTGTATGACGAGTTCAATGACTCGTTCATCTCGTTCTCTCATGATATCAGGTATGGAATCGTGTCACTGCTAATGCAATACAACCCAGATAAGAACACCCCTCAGAGCACTCCTCCCAGAGGATCGGCAGCTGTTCAAGGTGCCGTAGATCAATAAATGGATTTCCTTTCAAGCGATGAACCCTGAACCAGCTGCGCCAAGGTCATACAAGCGAGACGGCAGGGATGAACAATATCGTAGATTGGACGGATGGCGACGATGGCATAGTCAAGAGCACTCGCGCGGGTGGCCGCGCTTCGTGTCTTCATCCACTTCAGATGCGTCAATTTACCGGGTAATTCCCAGGGAGCCCTTAGAGTCGTTCTTGCTGCCTTCACGCTCGCGTGTCTATATGGAGGAGAATCAGTATATCAATGGACCTGGGAGAGGTAGAACGGCAGACAGGGGGACGAACCGTGCTGGACTGGTACTCGCCGCCTTCCAGGATCTTGACCATACAGTCGTCCTCGTTGGAGGTGCCGAACTCGTTCTCCAAAGCGGCCTTGCTAGCGCCGTCCAGGACGCCCTGGGCTCCGTGACTGGTGACAACATGTGAGTATACATCGGACGAGAAACATGAGGGGCCAGAGGTAACTCACCCGTGAGTCAGGAAGATCTTCCAGCCGTTGAGCACGTCAGTCAATGGGATGCTATGGTCGCTCCTCCACTTCTTCAGGCTATCCTGGTCGTCCACGAAGACAATGAAGTCGTCGGAGCGACCCTTGTAGAAGATCTTGGAGGTGGGTTCGTTGGCACGAGGCATTTTGAGTTTCTGAAAGATTTGAAGATTCCAATTGGTGTGGAATAAGTGGTAGCAAAGATGGCGGGGGAAGGTTGGAGGCTTTAAAGTGATGAAGATGATGGATGACGTCACGTCCCCGTGTCTTTGACCAAATGCTCGTGTGTCATGGAAAGCTCCCTTCTCCCTGCTTTACGACGTCATCTACCAGCTCGGCTGGCCCTTCTGGTTGGTCGCGGATCCACTGGTGGAGAAGTCTCCATGCTTGGCTCTTCGTGATCATTCCACGCGCATTATGTTCCAGCCACAGCTAACCTCCTATTGTCTACGGTCACGATGCCTGGACTGCACTCCACAGTTGCGTCAGGCTCGACATCTTGCGGGGCGTATTTGTTGTGATTAATTCCCCACCAGCTCTCCACCCCTGGCTTCAGTTGGATAGCTTCAATTGGATAGCTTCAGTTGGATAGCTTCACTTGTTTGAGGTCTCTTACTGCACCAGCAGAAGCAGCCCCCTCGTCATCAGCTCCATATACTTTTTTGTAGTCAAGCTTTCTGATGATGAGTACCTTACAGCGCTAACGATCTCAAAGCCACGTCCGCCTAAGAATGCCCCACCTTACTACCCTAGAGTGTTTTTGCATCGGATGAGAGCGTGCGATGGTGTCAAATTAGCCGCTGATGGAAGCAGTGCTTTGAACTAGGAGCCTCTGAACATAGAGTATGCCCTTAGAGCAATTTGACTGTAAAAATATCCTGTCCTTCCATGCTTGCCATACCCACATCCCGCCTGTCTCCGACACCATATCGAGCTATAATAGCTGACGATCTTCTTCACCTTCCTGCCCGTTCCCCTGCCCCATGTTGGGTCGCGGCCGCATCAAATTCTTCGGTGAGAGCGCACTCAGCAGGCTGATGGGAGATGTCCATTTCTTCCGTAATGGAGACGTTCCAGAACTGCTTTCCTGGCTGAGGCGTTTCTCACTGCGTGGCGAAGATGCCGATTCTGAAGCCCGCTTGGGGGTGTTCTGAAATCGAAGGGTTCTCGAGCGTCCAAGTGTGGACATGGGTGTTTTCGGTGACTCACGGTCCGGCTCTGTCGAGGAGCGATGGTCGGCGCACCCATCATGAGTAGGCACCAATTCTCTCCCCTCCCTGCTGTGACGGTCTATGGAGTGTGCATCGGTGAGCACCGGCCCAGAATGAACCGTACTGACGGACCTGGATCGTTTGGTAAAGGTAGCATGGAGGCTGAGGCGTTGCATGATCGAACCACGCCGGAAGAGATCCCCTCGGCCGAGCACCATTCCCGGCAGAGGAAGTACATCGCGGGTGTAAACATCCGAGATCAGTCGCTCGAGTCGGATTCGGTCCACCCGTCTCGCAGTCACCGTCAGGGACCCTCGTGCAGCCGTTGTCTTTGGTCGTTCGATCTCCCCCTCGGGTGACGGACTGGTGGTTTCCTCCAAGGTGTGTGGGAAATGCGTCTTTTTGATGACCACATGCTGGACCTTAGCCTTCCGTGTGACCGCCGTGGAGTCCATTGATGAACGTCGGGCCAAGGAAGCCACCGCATACTGCACGCGGCCCAATGGTACCAGCGGGAGCTTCAGGATCGTATACTTTCTGGGGTCCCAGGACCCGCCTGGCTTGGCCATCCCAGCGAGCGCTGCAGAGCATTTCAAGGTCTCTGTCTTCCATAGTCTCTCCTCAGTTGCGCATGATGCACTGAGCACGAACTCGTAGTTCTCTTCTTGTCGTTGGAACTGGAATTTCCAGGAAAACGGGCACCCATAGCAGAAAAGTCCTGGAAGAATCAGAAGACTTACACAGATGCAGATGACGAACTGAGGGTTGCGTACCGTGTCCGTTTTGAAGAGTTTCCTCTTTCAAGTCATCCAAGTAGATACAAGCCATGACCTCCAACCGACGAAAATCGTCTAGTTCTCTGGCAAGAACTATATAGCAGTTGAAAAGAACACACGCCATGAATTCTCCAGTCGTGTGGCCTGGTGTCTGGTAGGTGACATGGAGAACGCCGCACAGAGTCAATGGGCCCAGATCTTGATATACATCCTGCAATGTGTACTTCCAAGTCTCAAAGAGTCAGTGTTTCTTCTCCCAGCCATCAGGTTCAAAATGCATACCGAATCAGAAAACTCAATTCTCCCTTGGAGGAGGATGGTCTTTTGAATGCGATCCTTTTTGACGGGATTCCCAGTCGCCGAATTGATTCGGACCACCAAAATGCGCAGGCTTTCCAAAATCTGCCGAATTCCATCATGGGAGGAAGGACAATCACCAACAGGGGTATGTCGGAGCAGGTCTTGAAGAAGGAGTGGATACTTGCACAGTCGCTGGATGGGCTACCTCGTTATCAGCTCTTGAAGCATATGAAAGAAAGGAGTTGCAGGGCTGACCTTGATCATCAGGTCGCTCATAGTCATAGACTTGTTGTCTTCATGTTTTCTACTCTCCACGGAGGCAACTGACTTGGACAGCGCTTCAATACCCTGGTCATACGTTGCCCAGTTTGGAACGGAACGCCGCAAAATCGCCAAATCTTGGGTGAACAGGTCATAGTTACTACAAAATTCCTCGTATGCAAAAAAAGACAGCGACTGGGGCGGGACATCTAATTAGCGCTCTTACAACACTCAACAGACAGAAACAGCTTACCAATTTCTCCACTGCGCATGCAACTTTGAGGGCCTCCAACGGCTCTGCTTGTATAGCCTTGAGTCGCTGGTTCATGGTCGCTTTCAAGTTTCGGGCTCTCAGGGACCGATTCTGCATACCTTTCAGTCCAGGTAGGTCAATACCCCCCAGGCGCATTGAGAGCCCGCGAGACACGTCGGACACGCCAATTGGGACTTGTGGAGAGGACATAGGGGATATAGTTTGAAGTTGGATCAGGAAGTGCTCATGAATCTTCCGAATATTCTGGATGTTGTGATATATCTGAGGTCTGGTGTTGAACATTGAGAGAACCTTGCAAGCATTGATTAGTTTGGTTTCTCCAGAATATAGAGCAGGTGCTATTCGACCTACCTCTGTGAGAGCCTTGAGTCCTAGAACATAATCGGCCTCAGTCGCGAGCATTTCCCGCAGCACTTGACGCCTCTTGTTTGCACGCATGTCTGCCTGCTCATCAGCGTGTTGGCTCGATGTCGGGCGAGAGCTATCGCCAGAGTCTCGAGTATCCGAAACGCTACTCTTGCCAGTGGTACTCTGGGTCGCCCCTCTCGATCTTCCGAAGCTGCGGCTAGTGATACTAACGGTGGTGGTCTTGACAGTCCCTAACTGTGATGAATGTCCCGACCGCAACGAGTCTCGACGAGCAGCCAAGTTGTGTTGTGAAAAGTTGGGTGGGGAGGAATCTGACCAGCTCTCGACATATCGCTCTGGGGTTGTCGAAGGCACCCGTGTGCGTACTCGGAAACTGTCCATCCATTTTTGAAACGGATGGGAGGTAGTCTGTCTCAGTGGTAGCAGCTCTTCCTCTTTCTCTGCTAGCAGCTGTTCAGTTTCGCTTTCCATAGGGGGTTCATCTGTCTTATCGTTGAACGCATCGACATCCGTGTGGTCCATCATGCCCACAAAGCGGCAGGCCCGCTGTTTGGATGTCGGACTCCTGATGCTGGAGTCATGAAGGTTGTGGACAGGGGGGTAATGTCGACACGGCCATAACAGAAGCTGCTACATCCGATGCTAAAGCACTCATCGTTCGGCAGTCACGACAGAGGATGCGCCGACCGGGGAAAGTGGTGCGCGCAGCCTGGTCTTCTCTTTCTCCTTCCTGTGCTTGCTCGCTTTCTCTCCGGGCTTCACAAGGTTAATTAATTCACCCGCTCCGAGCCTCCAAGGGAAGAACGACGTGTTTGGCGACATGGCCACAGCCGGGCTAGCTCCAGGCAGCTGTAAAGACCGCTGAGGAACCGATGATTTGAATCTGATCCGTGTACGCTATGACGTGAGGCAGCTCAACAGGTGGGATTTAAATCCTGCTTCCAGGTCCAGAGCGCAGGTGTACGCTCTGAAGAGGTGTTCTTTCCCTCCTTTGTGGGGATTTGATAGCATACTGCAGAGAGCGCGAGCCAGTTACGGACATGACGGAACATAAGCCAGGGCTAGGGTGTGGAGTATAGAGGTGTGTAGGTCTGCTGGAAGCCCCAGGGTAGATCGCTGTATAACTTAGTTGTGGCGCCAAGTCGCGCTTAGATAAAAGGCGAGCCACGCCCGAGACCCACCGCCCTTCACGCCGCGATGCTGCCAATTTCCCCACCTTCAGACTATGGGCATCCCCATGGACGACAATATCCACGCTCCTACGGTGGCCTCCGGACCGACGTCCGGAGGCACGCCTCTCGACTTTTCCAAGCTGTCGATGGCCGACCTCATGCAGGAGAAGGAGCGGATCGAGGCGGAGCTCTCAGCGCTCAGCAGTGTGCTCAACTCGGTGATTACCCTCTCTCTTTCGTCTGAATTTTGTGCTGACCCGTATTGATCCCTCTAGCATGGAGTCAGAATGAGCTCATCCCTCACGACATTTGACGGCTTTCCCCGCGACGATATCGACATTGCTCAAGGTGTGTGAAGATACTGGGAGAGGGCCGTGAACTACGACATGCTAAGACGAAGGAAGTTCGAACAACGCGGGTGCGGATTATCCACCTACGAAATGACCACAAGGAAGTCATGGCGCACCTCGAGAAGGGTCTCCATGCCCATTTCGCCCAACTACAAAATGCACAAGGCGCGATGGCGACTACCAATGGCACCAGTGTTCCCTCGGTCGCACCGGCGTCGGTGACAGATAACAGCATTGGGGATGCTGGCACACAAAGCACGCCGTTCGCGAAAGTCAATAGCGTGGAGCCAAGGAGTCCGGCTGCTGAGGCAGGCCTGAAGGCAGGCGATACTATTCGAGGTTTTGGAGGGGTTCATTGGCTGAACCACGAGCGCCTGTCCAAGGTTGCCGAGACTGTGCAGCAGAACGAAGGGGTACGTATTATTGTGCACCTCATTGCCTGGCTTATACTAATTCCCTATACAGCGCTCGCTTACGGTCAAGGTAACAAGGAAGAACGAGGATGGACCAGGGACAACGGAGTTGGACTTGCAGCTAACCCCACGGCGCAATTGGGGTGGTCGAGGACTTCTGGGGTGTCATCTCGTACCTTTGTAGTTACTAGTCCGAAACTGGTCTCCTTGCTGTTGCCGCGGCTACGGGGGTCGTCCTTGCTGCGTTTCCCTTATCTGTATACATTGATGATGCGCTTTGAGAATGAATCACGAGACACGAGCCTATTCTGTGGTTATTTTGTTCAGATGTTGTATTCGTATATGCCTGTAGAAAGGGTACAGTATGCAGTGCGCCTGGATGAAAGGATGTTCTTTCATGCATCGGGCTCCTTTGTAAATTTTGGGGGGTTCATAAAAAGGAAATCATATTTTGTCGACATTAGAGATTGTCTTCCAACAACCCTGTGGAGTAGTTATATCAATTGCCAACTGCTCACTAATCAAAGTCCACTAAAATCTCAATGACCAGCCCACTTACTTACATCGTACTAGTTCGTTATCACTTCGCACCACGCAGTGCGGTGCAAGTAAGGCGGTGTTGACACTACGTCAGGCCAATTGGCACCACACAGCACGTGACCTGCCCGCGCCCGGGGCAAAAATTCCATCGCGCATTATTCAGACCTTCCCCTTCTTTCTCCCCATCCCCTTAACAATCCACCCCCGTTCCATTCCTCATCCGCAGATTCCCCGTTCGGCGAATCCTATCTTCCTCAGACATCGTCTTTGCGAAAAAATATCCATCATGACTGAGCAGGCCCCACCTACCTTCAAGCTCGTTCTGGTCGGTGACGGTGGTACTGGCAAGGTAAGCCGCTCTCTTGGAGCTCTTGGGTTTCGATCGCCGGTCAAGGAGGAGGGTATCGAAGTTGCGGCCATCATTGATGCCTGATGGTCGCTATGACGGCCCTGTTGTTGGCAACGACCCCTCCCCTCCTCCCTTGCCCCGCGATTGCCAACTAGAATGAAAAATATCTGCCCAACGCTCCCCTCGTCGTCAGAAGGGCTTTCGCTAACGCAATCAATACAACAGACCACCTTCGTCAAGCGCCATCTGACTGGAGAATTCGAGAAGAAGTACATTGCCACCCTCGGTGTCGAGGTTCACCCTCTCGCCTTCACTACCGTATGCTATGCCCCGCCGAGCCCCGCTCCGAAACCGTTGCTCGCCCCCTCTCGTATGACGACCGACTAACTCGAGCACGATAGAACTTGGGAAACATCCAGTTCGATGTCTGGGATACCGCCGGTCAGGAGAAGTTCGGTGGTCTCCGTGATGGTTACTACATCAACGGCCAGGCCGGTATCATCATGTTCGATGTCACTTCCCGTATCACCTACAAGAACGTTCCCAACTGGCACCGTGCGTATCTTCCGTATCAATGCGACGACTAGTATGGTTTCATGTCGACTAACTGGTTTTCAGGCGATCTCGTCCGTGTTTGCGAGAACATCCCCATTGTGCTGTGCGGTAACAAGGTCGATGTGAAGGAGCGCAAGGTCAAGGCCAAGACCATCACCTTCCACCGCAAGAAGAACCTGCAGTACTACGATATCTCCGCCAAGTCCAACTACAACTTCGAGAAGCCCTTCCTCTGGCTCGCCCGTAAACTGGTTGGCAACCCCCAGCTGGTGCGTATACCCTGTCTCCATTCTACACCGCCACAACTAGCCTACTAACTACCAACACAGGAGTTCGTCGCTGCCCCTGCCCTCGCTCCCCCCGAGGTCACTGTCGACCACGCGGCGCTGGAGAGGTACCGCCAGGAGATGGAGGACGCGGCGGCAAAGCCCCTGCCCGACGAGGACGATGCCGACCTGTAAAGTGGTGCACCTACCAAACTGGCCCCCGATGGTTACCTTCCATTCCGACCCCCGGGAGCCCTCGCAGCCACTTGCCCTTTTGCCTCTGTTATTGACAGCGACATGAAAAAGGGGCGGCACATTCCACGACCGAAAGTTTGGGCTTGACCCAAACCAGTTCTGAGAATCACGATACAATGAAAGCGGTTGGGGCAGTGGCTGTTTGAAGAAAGGGACGGCACGATAATGCATTTCTTTTTTTGTTTTCCCCCCAAACCACACAGTAGCTTAGACTTTTTACCTACCATCTCAATGCCCTTTTTTTCTCTCCCCTGAAATGAGCTCACCTGCATGAAAAATAGCAAGTCCTCTTTCAACAAGGTCTAAAAAGCCGACGATCTTCTTTGCTTCTACCTATCTCAATGAAAACAAAAGGCATTTTTTCGCCAAGCAAAGCATAAATTGGTTGCGAGATTCTCATCTTGAAGAAAAACAACTGAGATAACAATCATAACGCTAAGCGACGAACTGGGAAGTAAAGCTTCACAAGGAGATGACAGGGTATATGGGGTACCAGGAGTAGAACCAAAAAAGTGGCCGCTGCGCCTCAAGCACCCGGAAATTAAAATTGCGCAAAATGAGATCTTCTAGATGATGGGCAAAACCCTAGGGCAGTCGTGGTGCTCTGGATTTGTCACTCAGGTACGAACTCCCTGTGTAGCAGAGCATGGTGAGCAAAAGGTTCTGAGCAAAAGATTTTGATAATCAAGAGCCATCAGTAGAGAAGTAGGAAACTTACAAAGAGATATGCTAGCTCCCGGATATCCAGTCGCGAAACATTCATAGAGCCGCCCTCATCGAGGGCGCCGCTGATAAGTTCTCGCTTCTGCTCCTGGAGATCGATAATACGGTCTTCAACCGTACCCTCGATAAGCAATCGGTGCACGAAAACATCTTTGGTCTGACCGATGCGGTGGGCGCGGTCAATGGCCTGGTCCTCGACATACGGATTCCAGAAGGGGTCGAACAAGATGACATGAGAAGCAGCCACGAGGTTGAGGCCGGCGTTGCCGGCTTTGAGAGAGACGAGCATGATCTTGACATCAGGGTCATCGGTGAAAGTAGTAACAGAGTCATTGCGCTCGTTGATATTCATGCTGCCGTCGAAGCGGACATATTTCCAGCCTTGGCGATTGATGGGGACCTCCAGGAGATCCAGGAGTGAGGTAAACTGGCTGAAGATGATGGTCTTCTCGCCCTTGCCACGCTCCTCATTCTCTTTGAGGATCTGCATGGATTTCTCGATCTTGGCGCTGGGGATCCAAGACTTCTCAAGGCGGCGGAGGTACCTGCGCTTCGCGCGCTTATTCTTCTGGGCCGCCTGGCGGAGCTCCGCCAGTGATTTCTTTTTGGGTCTCGCGGAGGATCCGTCGGTCTCTGTATCTGAGTCCGAATCATCGGAGTTGGATTCATTCGACTGGTCATCCTCTTCATCCGCTTTTGCAGATGGATCGGATGCAGTGTCTGAATCGTGAGCTTTCTTGAACGACTGGGCGTCAGTAATTTTGAGGGGGTCAACAGGGCCACGGCAGTTCTGGCATTTGAAACTGCCAGTGTCGTCAATACGGGCCAGGACCTGTGGGTCGGAAATCCGGGCGAAGCATTCACAGCAGACAGAGTGGCCGCAAGGGATGTAGATAACGGCATTCTCAACGCTGTCCATGCAGATGGGACATGTGCCATCGTCCTCGCCGCCTTCGTTGTTTTTGATACGGTCCACGACAGCAGCGCTCAATAACTTCGCGTTTGCAACCATATCCACACCCTGGGCAGACGGTGTTTCAACGCTGAATCCCTGCATGAGATGTGGGTGGCAGCATGCCTGCCGTAGGCGGAGCAGAAGAACCAAGACATGACTATAGTTCTTACCCAGAATACCGGCGTTAAGGAATTTCCGAATTTGCTCTTGCGTCCGGGAATTTAGTGCTTCATAAACCTCCTTCTCTTTCTCGTCGAAGACTACATGAATCTTTTCAATGACCTTCGGGGGAAGCTGTAGGATTGGCTGGCCGTCAATCTTGGACAACTTCGTGCGACGGAAGCAGACGGATTTGACAAGGATACGCAGCTGCTGCATCACAGGCTCAGGTACAAAACCTCCCTTCACGCGGAAGTCCTGAATGTAATTGTTAGCTTTATTCTTTTATGCAAGTGAAAGTGTTGGCTTACCCGTTTAAACTTCTCCTTGTTGTTGTAGGGTCGAATCCGAAGGAAACACAGTAGAGACTGGAAGTCTTCAAGCCGATTCATCATCGGTGTTCCGGTAAGGCACCAGCGGTATGTGGCATTCAGTCTGCAGCATGCCTTGGTCGATTTGGCCGATGGGTTCTTGATATTCTGCGCCTCATCAACGATGACGCGATGCCACTTGCTAGCCGGCGTGAACAGTGCTGCCGTGTCTTTGACCTTCTTAACAGTGCTAGCGTCCTTGCCTTCCTCCTCCATATTTTCCGCTCGCAGCAATATTTTGTGATTAGCAGTCAGAGTGCCAAAGGTTGTGATAACGACATCATAGGACTTGAGGTCTCTCCAACCCGCACGATTGAGCCCATGAAAGATGAAAACCGACAGCTGATGCTTTCCAGGTTGGACATGTCTCTGGATCTCCCGTTTCCATTGATCCATCAGAGCCTTGGGCGCAACAATTAAGGAGGGATGTCGTTCAGGATCGGTTGGGGGCCTGGCCATCATGAGAGCAATGGCCTGGATAGTTTTCCCGAGACCCATGTCGTCAGCGAGAATACCTCCTTTGTGGTTACTCTCCTCTTTGGCCTTCATCCATGCTACACCAATCTTTTGGTGCTTCATCAATGTTACTTTCAGACCCTTTGGCGTGTCATCCTTTTCGGCTTTGGTGGCCTCGCGAATGTCTTTAATACCGGTAATCAAATTCTTGATATCCTCAGGGAAGTTTTGCTCCTCATATCGTCTATAAGCACGCGAGTCAGTAGCCGTAATTAACAGAGCCGTGCAGGAGCTACTTACTCAAGGTCATCATCATCTTCTAAACCAAGTGGATTGTCTCGAAGGAGGTCCAAAGCCGCCATCTCGGGTGCGGGACCGCGCATCCACGGAAGGGACCGACCGCCCAGGGCAGCAGAACCCGATGCGCCGCCAAACATGGGAGTGAAGCGCGGTGGGCCAAAACCAAATGGTTCCGGATAGCGCGAATGAAAGTATTCCGCTGGTATCTCCCGAAGATCATCATCCTGGTCTAAATATGAACCAGGTGGAGCTGGGTTAAAGTCGAACTGCGTGGGAACAGGATAAGGATATAGACGTTGTGGCGGAGGGCTAATCAGTGAAGAACTGGCGTAAGGTCGTGGCGAATGGTAGGTTAAAGTGCGGTCAGGAATATCGAATATTGGCAGCGGACTCGGCGTGGGGCCATAATCGCTTTCGCTGCGTGCCTCCTCTGCCTGCATCATGCGAGCCATTTGTTCGTCAATGTCAATTTGGAATTCAGCGCGAATCGCATCCTCATCTTCCGCCTGCTCTTTTTCGATTTTTTCCAAGACCTCCTCAATTGAGATACCCTCCGCCATTGCCCTGGTTTGAACAAACTGAAAATCCTTTGCCTCCTCATGCATTTCCCGATTCTCATCCAGTCGGCGTTCCATCTCTGCCTTCACTTCCTCATATTCGGACTTGGTCTGGTCCACGACCGCCCTTTTGGAAGACTGGGGCCGGACTGCCGAGCTTGAGGAGTCTTGACGTGGTCGTTTGCGAGATGCATCAGGTTGGAACGATAGTGAAGGCTCGGGAGAGCGGCTGGGATAGGCAGCAAATGGAGAAGGTGCTGCAGATGGGTAATACTGTGCTGAGGAAGGGTCCACAGGCATGGTATGCAAATAAGAAGATTGCATGGTGGGATGCGGAGGTGGACGAGGGGAGACCACATTCTGGGAAACCTGGGGGGTATCCGAGGGGCCAGCCTGGACACCACCTATTAGGTTGGCAATCTGCTCCTCATACCTTTTGATGGTCTCATGAAGTTCTGAAATTCCAGCGGCATCACCGGGACTTTTCTCGATAAGATCTTCGAGGAGAAATCTATAGGTCTCCTGGTCTTCCAGGAGACTGTTGATTTGGCTTTCTTTTGAGGAATCCATGATTGCAGCTAGGAGTCGGGAGATCACAGGGTAATGGACAAGTTCGTCAAAATGAACAGGTAAGTAGAGCCGCGCGGTTAAAGATGATTAGAGGTGAGTGGTAAGCCAAAGAAAAGCGAATATCAATGGAGACCGATCCGTGTTGAGTAGCGGCAAATAATTTAGTAGCAGCGAATGATGGCCTCAGATAGATGAACGCTGGTCATGGGAAGGTAGAGTTGATCAATGAAAGGATGTTGAGCAGTGTATGCCAACAGAAGCCGGGTATCAACCGAGAACCAGCGATCGACAGCAGTATGGAACAATTATCTGAACAGAACGGATCAGCCAACGATAAATCCCCACAGAACAGCGAAAAGTAAGCGCCAGAGCCAGAGACAGCTGGAGATGGGGCGGATCTGGCAGGTGTATCAACCTTAGAAGCCCGGAGTCGCGAAGCGCAAACAGAGCAGTGGCACCCGGGCGGAGAACAGAATGCCAAAAAAGCAAATACGACGCACGTAGCGTCATCCGCCGATCACCAAAGGAGGGGTTGTGATCGCTGCACTGTCGAAGAACGCTATGAGAAGACTCACCTTCGTCCGCACGATCCGGCCCTGGCAGATGGAGGCAGTCGCGGAGAGTGGGGAACACGGGGAGGGGGCGGCCGTGCGGCAGGAGATAACGGGAACTGGGAGGTCGGATTAGGTGTCGGTGGTTGCACTAAGAACCACTCATATGGTAACCTCACTGAGGCTCGACGGTCTCCTTGGCCTCGTTGATCGCGCGGAAAATTTGACAGGCGATGTCATCCTAAGTATTGCCATTGCCAAGGCTTATCGCTAGCATGTCTGGGTTGTCATGCTATGCGGCTCCGCGGGGCTTACTCGACAACTCATGTCTTTACTATCAGGCCCCGGTACGAGACTATGGAACTATAAATTCTGACTCCTTAATCTATTTCTTTCTTTGGTGGAATCCGTCTATCGCTCCCTGGTTATCCCTGACCAGACTCAAGGCGCCTTATCTGTCCTTATCAGCACGTGCAGATAAGGCGCGCCCACGCGTTCGTGGGGGCAAACACAGCAAACAGAAGGGCTTCTTAACTCCAGCCCTAACTTCCAGTTAGGGAAGTACATCTCTATCTGGACTCTCAGAGGCGCTTAGCCGCTGCATTGCATCCATGACCATCGCCCCGTGAGCCATGTTCTGAAATGCAATTAAAACTGGTGAATATCCGGGTACATGGCAAGGACAGGAACTCCATGTCTCCATCAACTAGGCGACATGATATCAGGGCGGTTTCAAGCTTCCCGTATTCCTTCTTTTCTTCAAAGTCGAGGCAGTATAGATTCCAACGCCATCATTACCGAAGTAGAAGTTCAATTTGGAGATGCAAAATGCTTCAGCAGACAAACGCTATTGACTTTGTCCAAGCGCTTATTGTATCCCACTTCCCTTTTTTGTCTCTGTCCTTGGGGGGGGGCCCATCACGATCTGGCAGTTGTCCTGCCTCATCTTCCGTCTTCCCAACCTGTAGATTCCGACGTGGCTGTGAGGCAACTTGCAGCACTTCGGCTTAGTTACGGCCCGTTCTCTTTTCCAAGATAACAGTTCTATCCCATTGTCGTTCGCTGAGCCAACCATCAAGAGTATCTCTCTGTTCTTGAGCACATCGGGCAACTTATAGAGAAGGTGATATTTGTGATTACACAGGATACAGAGACCTCTCTTCTACCATTCATTGATCCGGATACGGAAAGAGAGCAGACATTGATTTTACATTCCTCAGCACGAGAAGACAGCGCCTAGAAACCCAAGTACGGGACCAGAGAAATGACGGATCTGCTAATCAGGCAATATCCATCCCTATTCCAGGCCGCCACTGATGTTCCCTCATTTATGCGAATATTATCTCTGATGAGGAACTTGCGCCACATGAGTGTTAGCTGCGAGAGCGAACTGCGTGGCTATTGGTACCGGTGGAGCGTGGTGGACTACGCGCTGATTTCGCTGTGAAGAGCGATTGAGCAGGCACCGCTAAAGTTTACGAATAGTCTTCCGTTTCTGTTAGTCTGCCCCGTAGCTTTAATCTGCCTTCAGCCAAATCAGGGGTTCGGTGCATCGCCTGTCTCTCATAAACGCCGGTCTCAACTCCGACACTTGATCGTTCATATGAAGAGCCGACCCCCCCATGCAGGCATGCCCAAGGATGATCTTAAGCTTCTTCATGCGCATCCCCAAATCTTACCCAATCTTTGGGCATTAATATTCCACTGGAAATGCGAAAGGGGCCTATCGCCATCACTGCTGGCCAAGTGAGCCATGTCTCCAAGAGTTAGTCAACACAGCTCAGTGGCTTCAGCGAGTGAGTGTGCCATTCCTGGAGCAGACGGAGCTGGTCAATGTGAGGATGAATGCATCGCAGGTAGCAGCCTTCATCTTCGATCACCGACACTCTTTGCATGGACTCAGCTTTCAAGACATCGACATTCGTACGTACCGGCACTTGGGACGACGGGCTTGTACCCGGGACTGGTAGTGACCCAGTGGAAACAAAATCAGGGATGAATGTGAAGGCACTCTAAACGCGCCGATGGTGGTTGAGTCCTCCAAATTTCAAAAAACAGCAAATGCAGCGGGTCATCTTTGCGGTGCAGCGACAGAAAGAAGAACTGCGCAGTTTGGCGGAAGCGCGGGTGCACGAGCGATTCTGGGGAAAGACCAATCATATGAAGCGGCGGCTGCCATCGTTGGGCTGGCGGTGACGTCGCGCCCACGCGAGCAGAGGCTTCCTCGGAGAAAAAGGGGGAAAGGATTGTCGGAAATTAGCGTCGCGATGAATACCGGATTTGTTAGAAGGGTCCATCAAAGTCGGAAACGGAATAATAGCTCCGGTTCAGGTGGAGTCCAAGGCAGAGGGGCATTTCCATGTGGGATTTGTTCCAGGTTTGTTGGTGAAGACAAGGCGCGTACCAGCACTGCCAGTCCGGGGAGACTATGAAGAATTAGTGGAGATCATCTCAGCCATAGGAGAGCAGTTATAAATGGGTGGATGGATCAAGGCTGTGTGCATACATCATAGGAGGCTAGCGCGAAGCTGCACGGAGCTCTCCTGGGTTGCAGTACGGAGTAGGCGTGTGGGGTGGAGAACGGGCGGATTCACGGGGAACGGGGGTCACGGGTCACGGGGGCCTCGGCACGGGTAAGGCGCCAGTTCACATGTTGAGCTGTCCCGGCGATTCTCTCATCTTTCGTCATATATAATTGCACCCGCTGAACCCTTCTTTATTCACTAGTCCCCTAGCCTATTTACCCGCTCTATCCTATCAACTCATTCACAATGTCTCTCAAGAAGGGTATGTCTCATCATATATCTGCCTCCCTTCACATCAGCGACCCTGGTCGCCAGGGAACACAAATCCACGAAGCTCTGCTAACCCACTTTCCTACCCAGATTCTTTCCCCTCGTCTGCCGCTTTCGATGCGATCAATCAGACGCTGCAGGCCGATGCTGCCGAGCGCAAGGATGCCATCGAGAAGGCCAAGGCCATCGTCGCCTTCAACTTGAAGAACGACAAGGGCGAGGAGCAGAGCTGGTACCTCGACCTGAAGAACAAGGGCGAGGTTGGGCAGGGTGCCGCCCCCGCTGGCGGCAAGGCTGATGGTGAGTGCGATCCTAGTTAGGCATATTAAGAACCCTACGTTCTTTAATTTCGGTCAAGACTAATGTCTACTCTCGCATAGTCACCCTCTCGCTCTCCGACGCAGACTTCACCTCCCTCGTGACCGGCAAGGCCAACGCCCAGCGCCTGTTTATGGGCGGCAAGCTCAAGATCAAGGGCAACATTATGAAGGCCACCAAGATGGAACCCATCCTCAAGAAGGCTCAGGGCAAGGCCAAGCTGTAAAGATCTAGATACCCTATGTTTTTTGACTCCGAAATATGTACATGAATACGCTCCCCTTGGGTAACGCTTGGACTTTCCGGTTCATCTTGCGCTCATCCGTAATGTTCCTGCTACTAGTGCCACCCTGCAGAGACATGAAGCTTCTTTGGTTTTGGAAGGAGCCTCACTAGTATACTGACTGGTCACTAGGATGACTTGGGAGGTGTGTTAGCAATAAAGGAGGGAATGAAATGGCGGGCTTCCTCGTTGATGTTGATAATTTCTGGCCGGAAAGGCATTTCAGTATTTCGTTGTATCTATATACGTAACATGCTCCCTATAGCGAAGGCACCACTTTAGGAGAATGAGCGTTAACGCGCATATCGAATTGCTTTAGAAGAAGATATACTATACGCCTGCTACTATTTCCTAGCTACTGTGGTCGGGGAGGTCCAGATTGATATAGTCGGCTTCTACCAAGATCCCGACGGGCTCTTGTGTTCACGGTATCCACTATATAGTATACAGCGGAGCGTCCTTGGCGGTCCTAGCATATTTCTATTAATTTAGGTACCGGAAAGCAAGAATCAATAATAAATGGAGGTTTGATTTCTGATCAGTAGTGATGAACATACTACCCATTCTCATAGCTCCAAATAGCCATCGACCCCTGAAGAGAATGATTCGGAACAAGAAGACCTCGAGCAGGAAGACCAACATCCTGCTAGAGATTATTCTCCTTCTGTGTACTCTGGGAGAAGGAGAATTAGCGTGTGAGAAGACAGAGACAGTGAGACACAACGCTGGTTCGAAGAAAACTTAATCCAGGCAATCCAGGAACGAGAGAGACTTAATGAGGACTATGGAACGAGAACGGCTTGAGCAAGAATGTGGACCGCTACCATTGGATACTTGACAGGATGAACCAGTGTATTCACGAGACAGTAAGGAGGTGCTATCTCATGCCGATACCACTCTCATCTTTGGAGAGGCACCACAGATAGCTTGGGAAACTGGGCAACTTCCGAGGTGTGGATGGCAGTGACCGCGTACACTCTTGGAGTATGTTCCATACAGCCCCTGTACGGCAGACTGAGCGACGTTTTTGACGAGAACAAATGTTCCTCTTAGCCTATTCTATTCTATCTATTGGATGCGTTCTGTGCAGCTTGAGCAGGTCGAGTATACATATGATGACTCCACGGGCTGTCAGTGGACTTGGTGGAGCCGGGTGCTGACCGTGGCATCAATAATCATAACTGACTCCGTGCCGAATGGATACGGAAAGTGTCGATCCTATATCGATTTAGCAACCACACTCCGAAGAAGCATTGGTGGTAAGTTCGGAGGTCTTGTGTTTGACACAACGGGCTGGCGGTGGCCTTTCTGTAGTTGACTTCTATCCTCTAGATTCTCGGTGTTGCTAATTGTTTTCTGCGAGTGAAGACTGTCGTGGCCACGTATGTGGTTTGGATGGCACCTTTGGCGGCACGACCGTTGGGCCGCCACTTCTGAACTAGCTGACTTACTTCCTGGGCTTCTTGCTGGGCCTGGTGCTCATTCGCAAAGGTTTTCCAGGCGCTTGAAACGGCGTCAAAGTCGCCGTCTTTAGCGCACAATTTACCTTCACACAGCGTTGTGGTGCACTACGAGATTATCGAAATGAAATGAAAGAAAGTATTTGTTGGCAGGGAGCTGCAAGAGACCTCGAGATCATGAAACGTGCAGTTCTCAATTAAAAACGGCTATTCGGCTACAAGTCTCGGGTGGTCCCCTGTCGAGAGACCTTTCCTTGGTCTAGTACCACAAAGTAGTCTGCATCCTTCACAGCTTCGATTCGATGCGCAATTGTGATCACAGTTGAGAGTTGTAACTCCTCTCGAATAATCTGCTGGATTTCAAGCGAGGTGTCATGATCAATGGAAGCAGTGGCCTCGTCGAGAATAACAACCGGGCTGCGTCGAAGAACAGCACGTGTGAGAGCAATGAGTTGTCGTTGGCCTTGGCTCAGGTTTTTTCCACCTGCTTCTATGTGCATATCGAGAGTCCAGCCATGGCGGCCGCAAAGGCGCTCCAAAACGTCCGCGCACTGTTGGTCGGAGAACTCTTCAGTGGGGTCAAGGTTGAGACGGATACTACCGGGGAAAAGAACAGGGTCTTGGGCGACGAAGGTGACCCGAGTTCGAAGCGCTTGCGTGTTGACATCGGCAATGTTGATGCCATCAAGCATTATGCGACCAGTCTCTGGTCGAATGACACTAAGAAGCGATACGGCCAAGGTGGACTTGCCACTCCCGGTACGACCAGTGAGCGCGGTGGTAGATCCACCAGGAATTTGAAGAGATACATCGGTCAAGGAAGGATCGAGGTGTGGGGCGTATCGAATGGTGACATTTTCGAATATGATATCGCTTCCGTAGGTTGGCCAGGCGGCCGGTGGGTCGATGGTACCCGGTGTTTCCTCTTCGATATGAAGTAATTCATCAACTCTTTCCACTGATACAAAATCCATTTGCAGTTGGCCATATTGCTTGCACAGGGCATGAGTAGAGTCGACAAAGTTGTTGGCAGCGATGAGCACGAACGCCACTAGCCCAGGGGCTGTATTCGTATATAGAGCCAAGGCAGTAAGGCAAAACGTTGAGAAAGCGGAAAGGCTCTCGAAGCGATACATAAGCCATGCCTGCAATGACCAGTAGAAGTGGTCCATCCCCTGGAACTTATCAACCACCGAGATGACGCGGCTTTGGAAGCGCTCTTCCGCAAGGAAGGCACGGACAGTAGTCAGCCCATGCAACAGTTCTCCAAAATTGGATAATAATGGGGTCAATGAGACCATCTCGAGTCGCCGGAGACTTTGAGACGTTGGCAGGAAGCGTAAGAAGATGAGAACGAAGGCTATGGTGAGGATCAACGAGAAGACGAGGAAGACCGGGGTGGCCGTAGCAATCACCAGTACCGAAGAGATCCAAGTGATTGCATAGAATGCAATCGCCTGGAATTGTTCACTAATGTTGCCATCCACCACGCCAATATCCGACGTCAAGCGGTTCATCAACCGACCCACGGGAGTGACGTCGAAAAAGCGGAAGTTGGCATGACTGACCCGGACCATTACCTGCTGGAAGAGCGTCCTGCCAGCGCAGTAGACAATGACCAGCATCAGCAGCTGGGAGACAAGGAGCGCGATTGCCTGAAAAGAAATGATACCAAAGAACGCCCATAACCAAGGGCGAACATCCTCGTGTGGGGGCGGGAGCTGGTCGACAGAAATTTGTGGCATCAAGTATGTGTCCACGCTCGTCACGGAGACCAGCGGAATGTCTCTAGAGGGCTTAAGCCAGGCTGAGAGGTGATTGAGAGTCCAAGGTACATGGCTATAAGCTTCACCCCATTCCTTAAGGAACCACGATTGTCCAACGGCCGTGAGCCGGTAAATTGCCAGAACCAGGACCAGGATAACCCACCATCGATACTTTCCGGCCTTAATGTAGTTCCAGTATACACGGGCCTTCACACCCCATTCTGCGCGGTGCTCTTCCTCAATGAACTTATCCGGTATTGCAACCGCTTCTTCCTCCATGCTGATTTCTTCATTCTCAGTTTCAGAGTCATTCAAATCCATCACAATCTCAAGTCCATTTCGAGTGAACGCAGAGATCTCAGCCTTGTTGTAAACAGTCGCGCGGCTTTCCTCGAGTTCAACAATCTGATCAGCGATTTCACGTACTAATGCAGTACGATGTGTCACCAAGACAACTGTGCGATCCTGCATCAAGGGCCCGGACAGGCATTTGCGCACTACCAACTCTGCGGTGTTGTGGTCCAATGCGGATAGTGGGTCATCTAGAAGCAACACTCGAGAAGCACTGTATACCGCTCGAGCAAGTGCCACTCGTGCCTTCTGCCCTCCTGAGAGGCCAATGCCATTTTCGCCAATGAAGGTCAAGTCGCCATGCTTGAACTGCGATAGATCTGGAAGTAGAGCACAGGCGTCCAAGGTACGCTTATAGCGTTGCTCTTCATAAGGAGCAGAGAACAGGATATTGTCGCGGATGCTCATGCTCTGAAGCCATGGTGTTTGCGCACAGTATCCCACCATTTCGCTCGGCAGGTGTGAGGTCCCACTAAGTTGGTCCAGTTCTCCTAGCAGAGATTGAAGGAGGGCAGTCTTGCCGGCGCCAACTTTTCCAATGATGACAGTGAGGCCTTTCGAAATAGTCACGTTGATGTCTCTGAGCACTGGAGATACTTGGCCGGGCCAGGCAAAAGAGCAGGAATCGAGGGTAAAAGGCATGTTCTCCAAAGGGTGGCTAGAGTCGGTTTTTTCCTTGTCCGGCTCCGCCATGAAATCCTCGATACGCCCAAGTGCGATGGATGCGTTGATCAGTGCGGTGATCAGGCCTGGGATGTCACGCAAGCGGGTCTCAAGCATTGTAAATAGCTGCAATGCAGGAAAAATGATATCAATGCGGAGCTCATGGCCGGCTAACATGGTGTAGGCATATAAAGCCACTACGGGAAATACACCGCTTGCGAAAGCATTGATGAAACGGATCAAGGTACTCCATAGGCGGGTGATGATTCGCAGGTTTAACTCGTGTTGTCGGGCTTCCATGACTTGTCGAAGCCAGTGATCTTGCCAGCCATACCAACGAAGATGGCGGATTGCTTCCACGAATTGCGATGTTCTTTGCAATCGAACATCTGTGGCTGCTCGTGTGATGCGTTCCCGCCTAAGAAGAGTCCGAGTGATGACAGCGTTAACGGCTTGTGCAACCAATACTGCCAGTATACCAAGGATACAGGATGGCCCGAAAAGGGTCCATACCAGGGCAACAGCGATGACCAAGCCCAAGGGCTTGTCGATGAGAATGTCAATCTCCCAGAATCGCTGTGCCACATCATACACATCGCCTCTGAGAAGATTAAAAATCTTGCCCAACGAAGCAGCCTCTTTAGCTTTCTTTGGCTGGGATTTCCGTTTCCTGAAAAATAGACAGTTCCATAGATTCTGCCTGGCCGGGGAAGGCTCAACCTCGTGTGTTGTGGCATCCTCACTGATGATTCCCTCCTCTTCATTTGCTTGCTTTCGCTCGCCCTCAACATGCAAGCCTATGATATTTTTGCGCGAGAGGGCCTTGCCGTAAACCATCATCACCATCTCCCCTCTAGATCTCTCATAGCAGCGTCTCCCATACCACAAGTTCAGGACCTGAGACTGCACACCAACTAGGCGAAGCACAAGTGACAAAAGTGCATAAGTCAGTGGCACACGTTTCGGTCTAGTTGGATCTTGCATGGCCTGCAAAAGTTGCTGTAGAAGGATTGGTGTAGAGAAGTCGCAAAACATCTGCACGGTGGCAATCCCAGAAATGATGAGAACATCAAGTCCATTCGCCTTCAGTACTCGGCGAAGGACGGATCCACGGATACGACGAAACTTCTCATGCAGCCGACTGTGTTGGAACTCAAATCCTAGTTGCCACACATCTTGCTCGTTAAGCTGTCTTTTCCGCCCGAGGGAGATCAGCGGTGCCATCCATGAGACAGTCAGAAATTGCCACAGTCGGAGATTGTCTTCTGGGCTGCGGAAGTCGCTGCATGGTGGTTGGCCTACGGCACTAATATCCATCGACGAAAGCGACGGTTTTCGAAAAGGCATCAACAGAATTGTGAAGCAAGCCACAAGCGCAGCGCAGGCAGCAATGCACCGAGAAACTGTCTTAAATCCTGGGTCGTTGCTATTATATGCAATGCTCAGAAGGATCTCAACAATCGATACTGAAAAAAAGAAGGCCAGCATCAATATCGAACAGGACCTCGGTCGTTTGGCCGCAATCAGCACGGCCGCTATGCCCTGAGCCTCTGTTAATCATAATCTGCCCTCGTTCGTGAATACTAACATACCCATGATGCGACAAGCACAATTGCAGAGAAATCGAAGTTTTGAGGGAAACAGTGCACGATTTCAGCAGAGAATCCAATGCTTGTGAGCGTAAGAAGAGCAAGAGTCCATCCAAGAGGTTGTTTTGCGCTGTCCAGCGGGGGGTCCCGATGTTCATCTTGCTCAGATATAAATGGGAAGGTCCAATTGGGTCGCCATCTCCGAAACAATGGACCTGTTAAATGGAAAGCGGCAACAAGCAAAACCACACTGGCCGGGGCGATCACAAGGTAAGGCAATGCACAGAGTGACAACCATGCATTATCCGAGTCCTGGATTGGTCAGCTCGGGAGCAGCGGTGCGGGATGCAAGGAGGTCACAAACCCAGAATTGTCGACAACTCTGCCTAGCAGCATCTTGAAGGAGAGGAATCTGATTCATCGTTCATCTCATCAAGAGCTAGACCAATCCCCGGCGTTCATGAACTCACGTTCGAGTTAGTGCCGAGGTGGTTCCGCTGCGTGCTCTCGCTGCTTTCATATCGCGGGGGTTGGTGGAACAATATTCCTCCGGTAGGAGACAGATCTCTATTTACTTCAAGAGCGAGTATTCCGTAGATTCACGATCTATTAGTTGATTTAGATTGAGGCTATTAGTGGCTATATCATTCATCCTGGTCCATGAGCTGGTGAGAGGACGTTACTATATAGTCCTCAATAATCAGAATAGCCTCGTGATGGGAAATTGACCAAATGTTGCTGCATGTGTTCCGCTGAAGGCAAATCGATCATGTACTCAGCTCGCCAAAAACAGACATTCAAAAAATTGCAAATGCATTTGGTGGACTAGCCACTCCACCGATTACCTGTTGCCAGAATTTGCATAAGTGCTTTCAGGATACGATGTACTAGGAGGAAGACATACCTTGATTGGCATACTGGACAAGAAGAAGCTATATCTTCTAGTCGCCTTGCAGTGCCGAGACAATTTCTCCAAGTCAAACATCTCTCCGATCGGCGTGCCCCATCCTGCCAATATCCATTCATGCAGGTTGAAATCTGGGTCTGCGTGACTGCCGCGGATCGGGGCGCGCTCGAAGCTCGGAGCATCCCCAGCCACAGCCGCAAATTGGTGATCCCACAACCACCGCACCATCCCTTCGGTCGCTTCCACGCCGTTGAAATCCGGCGACGGGCGATGTGCAAGATCCTTTCGCTGTTGGTCGTTCAATTGCTTATATGCATCGGTAAAGCCGCTGCGGATGAATAGAATATCACCCTTTCGGAACTCAAGTTTGTGGTCCTTGACCACCTGTTTGATACTCTCGAGCGTGATGGCCTGCGACTCGAGAGCCGAGACTGATACTGCATTGGATGCTGCCCAATCGGCGAAATCCAGTAGAATGCCGCGACCGGTCATGCCGCCATGTTCGGCAACGGCTACCATGAAAAAATGAGTGAGTGTGGAGCAGAAGTGGGAGTGAGTCGCGTTCTTCATACTGTGAAGCCCTATTACATCAGAACTCTCGATCTCCTCCGTCGTGTGTCCATTATAGAAGCGTCGCATTTTCTGGTTAGCTAGAAGATTCATTCAAAGTTAGTCTTGTCCACCTGAGCGCTCAAGGGTGGGTTTTTTGACCATAGTGTCTAAAACCGTCCCACTGTGTCGACCCCTGGCTGTTAAACGTTAAGATGTCATCATAAACACAATTCGGGCTTCGAAGAACCAGCTGTTGCTGGAATGGATTGCGATCGAAGCTGGGATAGGTCGGCATGCTGAGCGGCAAGTCGAGCGATATGCGTACTCCAGTCCGAATCTCCTTCGCAGCCTCGACGATGACCTCAGGGGTGAGGAGGTTCAAGGTACCGAGCTCGTCGTTCGGTCCGAATCTACCCCAGGCATTTCCGCGGGGACCAGTAGGGTCCAACGGGAGAGCCTCAAATGGTATCACTTTATCCTCGGAGGTTGCTGACATGTTGAGCAAGTCCCAAGCTTGTATAGGCCAGATTGGGAAGGGACACCCAAAATCAGTCGTGGGAATGGCACTCTAAATATACCGACGGCTTAGCCAACAAGCTGTCCTCGGGATATCTTTGCCTTCTCCGCCCAAGCTGTGGCCCCTCATCGCACCAACTTCTCCCCCACACCCCCCACCACCCCGGATCTCCACGCCCGGATTCATATCCGGCGGCTTGGGCACCTCTTCTGTCTCATGAAATAACCCTTGTAGGGCTAGTTGCTTACGAATGACGCTGCGCGACTCCTTTGAACCCTCCGTACGGTTTTCGATTTGTTGACATGTTCCATAAACAAGATATTTAATGTGAAGGACCAAGTTTTTGTTGAAAATCCTGTGCCAAACCCCCGATATCTTGTCTTTGGCGTAGAATTCGGAAGATATCAGGAAAATAAGTAGAAACGTCATTCAATAACTATCCACAAATCTGCTGACACATCTTGAATGCAAACCCCAAAATAGAATAGAATAAACATAGAAGAAAGAGAGTAAGGATGATCGAAGTATGTACTGAACATAAGAACATAAACCGAAAGATGGCCTAAAGAGTGAAATACGCAATGGTAGCAGCAAAAGTCGCCAGGTTATCACTGACAACTGCCAGTGAGCTGCCATCTTTGACAATCATGTTCGTTGTTCCCACAGTGCTAAGCGAATAAACCACCAGGGAGCTTGTGGTACCTTCGATACTGAAGATCTCGCTCTGGCAATTCTCGGGGGTAGGGAACGTAGAGCAGGCAGTGCTATAATTGTTGAAGAAGCTGTACAGGCCGGCTCCGTATACAATGATGTTCTGGCTGTTAAGAACCCGGAGTCCAAGTGCGTCGCAGTTTCCAGAAAGACATTTGCTGTAGTCGGGATCATTCAAGGTCGAGTTCGTTGGGTAGGGTCCATTAGCTGCGTTAGGGTTGGGTTGGTAGTACCTGAACAATGTATGTTAATTTCAAGCGACGAAGAAATGATTTCATCTGTCTCAACTTACGGCGTCTCTGTTTGGATGAATCCTGCCACCACTGAGCTAGCACCAGAGAATTGGTATTGATACAACGAGTGGTGCTCTACTGCGGTTCCGTACCTAAGATGGATGTGAGCGATACTTATCGTGGGTAATCGGGGCAGGACACGACTTACAGCCAAACATTCTTTCCCTCGATCAGCATACCACGGCCACTATAGACAGAGATCCGAGTATTATCGGCACTATCAAGGTCATGATCGGCTGTCCAAAGCCACACATTCTCCAAATACACGCCACTTGCGGTGCTAGTGATATGCATAGACATATATGCAACCTCGCAAGCAGCAGCGACAGCCGCCGAAGTGGGACACTGGGCAACCTGTTGTTGCGAGCCGGTGAATCCTCCAATCCTGGTGTGAACATCCCACATGCCGGAGCCAGATCCTGCAGCCAGGTTCCACTCAATAAGAACGGCCCCTGGCGTGGATCCTTGGGTGCTTACGATCATGTCTGACCATTCGACTGATCCAGACTCGCCGGATTTGCCCACCTGGATGACAGGAACAGGCTTAGAGATACTTGCAAATGTACTCCCACTGGCCATGATCACCGGGTAGGCCTCACCAACAATCCGAGAACCAGAGGGGATGTAGATAGTACCTGTGACTTTGTAGGTTCCTTGGTCGAAGAAGACTATCTTACCAGACGATGCCGCCGAGGTGATTGCAGACTGGATGGCTGACGTGTCATCAGTCGAGCCATCCCCGGTAGCACCTGCACCGCGAATGCTAACAAAGGAAGATGTAGGCGAAGCTTCATACTGAGGCTTGGTCTTGGTGTAATACCTAGACGAGCCACTCGCAAGTAGAGCACCCGGACGAGTTGGCGGAGTGAAGGTGCCTTGGAAGTTGGTGGGGCCACTAGGAGTGTATTTATGACCCTGGCCCCAGGCACTGATGGTAGTAGTTCCAGATGACCCGGCGAGAACAGTGCCACTGGTTCCTTTGACTGCAACAGGAACATTGTCCAGAGCAATGTTCTCCAGGATGAGACTACCGTTGGTGGAGGTCGAGCTCGCCCAAGCAGTAGTCACGAAAGTCGAGCAGTCCTGGATGGTACTGTCGAGAACGTTGACCGAGCCAACTAACTGGTTACCAGCGCCTCCGTTGCTAATGGAGAGGGCAGTGGAGCAATTGGTCAGAGTGAGACCCTGATAGGTCCAGCCCCAATCCCAAATCTGGGAAATGCAAGTCACCGCATCTGAAATACGCAGATTGCTCATAGTAAACTGCTGGTTACCGATATTGGCTCCATAGAGTCCACCAGTAATGGTCAGGTTGGTCAAGAAGCCTCCAGAGCCTTTGCAAAATATCAGTAAATATTCAATGTATATTGCACTTGGTCTTACCATTCTCGATAAAAATGCCTTGGTGCTGGGTGCCCGCCGCAGAACTCAACTGAATTTGAACATTCTGGATACTAGTAGCCTGGCCGGTTGGCCAGTGGATACCAGTAGCAGCAGAGCTGGCTGGGATTGAAGTCAAGTCCAGCTTCAAGTTCCGGATCTGCCTAAAGAACACATTTGTCGAGGTCCAGCCCTGGTTGCCATCGCTTTGGTATTGGTCCCCATCAATCAGCCCAAGGCCTGTGAATCCAGCAGTGGCCTTGATCACCGGCAGCGAATTTGGGTTTCCAATCAATTGGGTGAAGTAATAATCAATGATCGAAGACGAGATTAGGTAAGTACCGGCTGGGAAATACACTATGGCCGGACTTGTTGTGGTAGACTCGCGGCTTGCTGGGCTATAATGGCCACCATCGCTGATAGCATTATTGATAGCAGCTGTATCATCGGTCACGCCATCACCTATGTCGCGCGTTAGACGCGTCTTCCTATCAGTCTTTTACCGGTACACATTACCTGCAGCACCATAGTCCTTCACATTGCGGAAGACTTTATACCCGGATGGGTTAGAATTAAACGCGGCACGGCCTTGATGAGGAATGTCTGCCAGCCAATAAGAAGGATCACTGATGGCTTCAGACACAACATGCACGCTGGCGGCCACGGTTTGCACGTTCAAGGCAGAGGAGACACTCTCAGTGGGGCCATCATAGTCTGTATACTGGGTCAGGGGCTTCAGCGCCTCGCTGACCAGCTCCTCAACCTGCGGGAGATGCAATAGCTGCGCATGCGCACACGCGATCAAGGAGAGACAGGAGACCAGCGGCGCGTAATGCATGTTGACTTCAACCTCTGAGCAAAGCAAGTGTGGGCCACACTGTCAGAGCACAGGGCACACGGTCGTTCTTATACGCACCCTCCTTGCGGTGCTCAGGAGCTGAGATCAACTAGGCTCAATATGCTGCATGAAATGTACATGGCCATTAAAAAGGGGTGGAGCCCGCGTCCTCCACGCGCACTTTAGGGCATCGCAGATGCTAGCTCGAAAGCAATGCCACCCCCGAATACCACTCAAGGCGGGGAAATAAATGGCGCGAATGACCCTATATCCCGGGCTAGCTCGCAAAGGTGGTATTGAAGTCCATGGCTGAAGCAAGCCATCATCATCAGTCCGGCCTGTGAGGTTGTCACGCCGGCTTTTTTGCCTCATGATCGGGGGAGCCTAAGATTAAGAATGGGCATCAACCATGCCGATCGGGCCCCACGGGAGTCGAGAACGGGTGTCGGGCCAATCGGGGCACCGAGAGCTGCAACATTATGGAGTACATTGTGCGAAAAGAGGTCAGGAACACCAGCCCGGCGGACCGCAGCGAAAAGGGGAATAGAATGTGACTAGCTGCAGAGTTTATCGCCGCCACCTCCATGTAGGAAATGTGACTCAGGGGTCATGCTTGGTGGAACAACTACGGATCTTGGACGCGACTGGAGAATGGAAGGAGCCTTCGCATGGCTTAGCCTTCGCATGGCTTTGCCTTCGAATACCTAGGTAGGCAGGGGCTGGAAGTTATCATCAATGAGCGTTAATGAGAAGCGCGCCTTCGGATTTGCTGGTATATTCAAGAGCTACTGTAGGTATGTGGCAGGTGTAATGTCAATAAACACGGATCCACGTCCACAGTAGAACACTAGATTATATATTTTTGAGTCGTGGAAATACATGCACACCCGCCCGGAGGGATTGAGAACCATACTACATAACTAAAGAGAGGATCGAAATCTTCTGCTGTGACAAGTGCTGTACGAAGTAACCGGTCTAAAGCGAGGTGGGCGCTCGCTCGAGTCGTTCTAAACAAACCCACGCAGCGCGCGATCGCGATTGTGCCTGATCTGATCGGCGCTCAAGGCCCCCCCGTGCAAGCACCCATGCTCTCTCGAAAAAACAAATCAATGTGGGCTGTTCATGTTTAGAGAAGAAGAGATCAGACTGAGGAGCAAACCCGGGTACACATAATGTGCTGCAATACTGATTGACGCGATGAGAAACACCATTGCCGGCACCAGGATCCTTAGCGAATGACCATCTGCCACTCATCACTTGAACACGGCCTTGAGTGCACCGTGCACGGATGCTGGCAGCGCGCTGCCTCTGTCCAGCTAGACGGGTTTAAGACGGACTTTTCCCTCCAAGCTCGCGACGTCATGTTCGGGACCCTTTTCGAGAGCAAGAAAGCGAGCTTCCCCTTCATAGATCCCTAAGCGGGATTCTCCGGTCAAAAATTTCCCTTGAAACTGCGCATATGACAGCGCTCTGGCCGCAGCAGCATGATTCCTCCGTAAGACGAGCAGCTGGTACGCTGACGCTGTTTCCGCTCAGCGTAGCCGTCGTGCCAAGAACCACGTGACCTCATTTTTCTGCTGTGATGTTCTTGCCTCCGCGAGAGCCTCCGCGACCAAAAAAAATAACCAGGGTCGTCCTCACTCCTCCTCCCTCCCGCTATCCCGCCCAGACTGTTTCTCCATCAAGAGAACCAGATCTCCTCTACCCTTCTTCCATCGAAATTGACCCTGGTCACCCCCGTTGGAGCCAGCTCGCACGACCGATCGCGAACGAGGTCGTGTCCCGGAACGAGACACCGCCGACCACCAACGAGTCCAACAGGGACAAATTGGCGTTTAGTCTCTGCGCGACTGAGAATCCGCCCGCGGCGTGTATATACCCATCATCTTCATCCTAGTTGAGCTGCGCGTGGAATCCGAGCTCCGCCTGCGACCAGGTCCTCCCACACGCGGTTGGGACTCGAGTGCATCCGAGGTTCGATCGCCATCGCGAGACGAGAACGAACGTCCGTCCATCAGGGCCCATTCAATACTCGTGGAGTCGCGTCGTACATGAACGAGCGCTCGGATTGAGGATCGCCGTCGATCTGAGGAAGGAAGTCTTACTCGAGGTCCGCGAACGTTGAGCTTCGAGCCTTGTGCGAGCACGGGTGATCTCAGTCAGCCGTAGCATGTCCAAACGCACGGCGCAAGGTCCTCAAGGGTCCAAAGAGAGTGAACAGGAGTTCGCCATGTCGAGCACACCTGATGATAAGCCCCACCGGGCGACGGCCGCCCAGATGGCCAACAGAAAGTAAGTGATTTCTTCGCTTTTGGATCGTTCGTTGTATTTTCAAGTTTCGATGTACAAGTAACTATCGCGGACTGGAGAGGTCGAAGAGCTCGCATTACATGAGATGCTTTTGAAAGACAGCCTTGGCAGGTCGTGCAGGCCGGGTGCGCGGGAATGCTCTTTTACTTTTCGCCTGGTTGGGATTTGTCGTGACGGTGTTGAACCCATGTTGATACTGAGCTCAACTATGCTCCTCGGGCTTTTCTCTGTCGTTTCTTACCCACCACTTGCCTCTCTAGTTTATCTTTTCTTTGTCTTTTGTGCTACACCATCCTCCGCTTTTCATCATGTCCAAGCGAAGTGGGCAAGGTATACTGACTTCTGGCCCCGCCGCTTCCCCCAGGATTAAGGACATTCGCAAACGTCCTCGTGGTACAACCCCTACCGGCGGGACTGGTGCTTCTGAATCGTCGGGGACTTTCTCTCAGCTGTCTTCTACCCCAGCCTTCTCTGCTTCTACATTTTCAGCGCCCTCAAACCAGTCGGGTGGCTTCAATTTTGGTCAGAGCCAGAGTCAGAGCTTCCCAGGAGCTAGTGCAGCACCTAGCCAGCCCAGTCAGGCCGGCGCCGCGCCATTCTCTTTTGGCGGCAGTGGCTCGACGTCTTTCAACTTCGGTGGTGGATTTGGGTCTGCCCCGAGCAATCCTTTTGCGAACAATCCCTTTAGTGCAGCCAATTCTGCCCCTGCGCAGCCTGCTCCCGCCACCGGATCTACAAGCTTTGGCGGATTTGGAAATCAATCTAACCCCCGTCCTGCTTTCTCGTTCGGTGCCCCGCAAAATGGAAGCAGCTCAGTAGGCACCGGCCTGTTTGGGCAACCGGCGGCTACAAGTGCCACTGGAAACCCTGCTGCTGATTCCATGCAGACTTCTCCGGACTCCAAACCAAAAGGGCCCTTTGCGCTGTCTCCATCCTTCCCGACCAAGAATCTCTTCAGTGACTCGGGTGCCTCAAACCTATTTTCTCCAAAGCCTGCTACTCCGGCCAGCAACCCGTTCGGTGGCCTCAGCATCCCCCCTGCTTCGGAGAAGCCCTCAAGTGACAAGGCAGAAAGCTTAGCGGCCAAGCCTGCATTTGGCAGCCAGACTTCCACCGCTAGCTCTCAGGCACAGCCGTTTGGGACCATTTTTGGATCGCCAGCTACCACCACGCCATCGGAGCCTGAGAAAGCTGCAACGAACAATATTTTTGCACCGAAGGCAGCAACGCCAGGGTCTGTCTCCAGTAACCCCTTCATGCCTAAGCCGCCATCCTCCGAGCCTGAGAAAGTGAATACGACTCAACCGGCAAACAACAATATCTTCTCTCCAAAGCCCGCTGCTGTGCAATCTACTACAAGTAATTTGTTCGCTCCCAAGCCAGCAGAGCAGACCTCTACCTCCAACCTGTTTACCTCCAAAACTTCTTCGGGCGATACATCGTCTAACCTTACCAATCCGCAACCGTTCAAGAATCTCTTCGGAGCAACTACCGAAGCGCAGTTATCTCCAGCTAAGCCTGCTGCTGAACAAGCTTCATCGAACAATCTATTCGCGCCGAAGTTTACCACAGGTCATGGCCCCGAAAAGCCTGCAGAGAATCAACCCTTCACATCTATGTTCGGAACGACGACCAAGCCTGCAGCTGACCAGAGTTTGAGCAAGCCTGCAGAGGCTCAGCCTTTCAAAAATCTCTTCGGTGCCGCTTCTCCGACTCCGAAGCCAGCTGAGCCGGCGACGACATCGAGCCTATTCGCATCCAAGCCAGCGGCGGAGCTGCCTTCCGACAAGCCTTCAGACGGTCAACCCTTCAAATCCCACTTTGGGGCGACAACATCGACCCCCACGACCTCCGAGCCTGCAAATTCTTCGTCTATCTTAGCTGGGACTCCGAATCTCTTCGCGCCGAAGTCTGCTACAGAGCAGCCTGCAGCGAGCCCCGCGAAGCCATTTGCCAACCTGTTCGGTGGCAATAATGCAGCTCCCCAGATAAACCCAGTGAAGGCATCCCCAACAGCATCTTCTAGTTTCACTAGCGCCCAAAAAGCCCAAGGCGCTGCAGCAATGCCGTCGCCCAGTCTTCCGGCCGGATCAAGCAAGGAGGTGACTGAGAATGCGGAGTTGCTGTGGAAGATCCGGGCATTGGATACACATTTCAAGCAAGAATTTATGAAGTACGAACCTGGGACTAACAGTTTCGATGATTTGATTCTGTTCTACATCAACATTCGTCATGGCATGGGCGCCCCACTCAAAGGCGCTCCCGAATTGCGGGCTAAAAAGTTGTCCGAGAAACCTGTGAACGCCGATGGCCCCAACGGTTCTGTCACATCCAATGTATTTGCAAAGTCTTTCTCTTCGCCTAGTCCCAGCCCGGCTAAGCCAGTTGCCGCCCCCAACCAGACGAAGAGCTCTGCGGAGAATCTCTTCGCCAAGTCGCTCACAGATGGCAATGCTAATTCCTCGGCGCCCGCAGCTTCGCCTGCCGCCAAGTTGGCAGGCAACATGTTCGCACAGGCGACTTCGAGCAATGCTCAGAGTGGCTCTGCTTCTCCTGCAATTCCCAAGTTCGGAAATGGTACTGGTGCTGTGGATTTCATGGCGCAGTTTAAGCAGCAGGCGGAGAAGACCATGGCTGAAGAGAAAGCCAAGCGGAAGGCGGAAGATTTTGATTCTGATGAGGATGATGAAGCAGAATGGGACCGCCGTGATGCTGAAGAGCAGCGCGAGAAACGTGCCAAGCTCGAAGCTGGCAATCAAAAGAAGCCCGTTTTCAAGAATGGGAAGTTCGAGTGGGTTGATGTTGATGAGCCAACGCCATCGGCACCTGCAGGAAACACTTTCAAGCCTGTAGAGAAGGCTGCAGCTAGCCCTCTGTTCGTGCCCACCGACAATTCCGCTGCGAATGCTCTTTCCCCCGCCTCGTCCACTGGCTCCATCTTCGAATCCGCCAGCCGTCCTCTTCCCGCATCCGAGAACATTTTTGGTAGTCTTACTCCGAAGCACAATGACGCCGACAAGGACAGTGACGGGTCTGATGATGAGGGCAAGGCGGAGTCTTCTAAGCGTCAGGCCGAAGAGGATGGCAGCACCGACGATGACTTTGCCTCTGCCCTGCGCAAGTCCAAGCGGACTAAGCCATCTGAGACCAAATCTAGCCTAAATACACCTCTCCCGGCACCGACTGCTACTGCTGGTCGCAGTCTGTTCGATCGAATTGGATCTCCTACACCTACACCCCAAAAGGAGACCTCGACTTCTACTTCGAGTCTATTCTCGGCTAGCTTCGGCCAGTCTACTTCTTTCGGCCAGTCCAACTCTGCTCCAGCTGACAACACCTGGAAGCCCGACAGCCCAATCAAGTTCTCTAGTGACTCTACGCCGGCTGCTACTCCTGCTCCTGCATCAACACTGGCTCCTTCAACTCTGCCTTCGAGCGGCATTAACTCCGGAGAGGCCACTCCTGAGGAGGAAGCCCCCCCTGGTGCCATCTTTGACATGTCCCAGGCTAATGCGGGTGAGGAGGAGGAGACGCTTATCTTCGAATGCCGTGCTCGTGCTTTCAAGTTGGCCACCGGCTGGACCTCAAAGGGTACCGGTATCGTTCGCCTGCTGAAGCACCCCGAGACTGGCCGTGCCCGTATCGTGCTCCGTGCCGACCCCGGTGGTAACGTCATTCTGAACACGTTCCTTAAGAAGGAATTTGACTATGCTCGTCAGAGCAATAGCGTTCAGTTTATGGTTCCGCAGCCCGGCGAGCAGCAGCCGGAACACTGGGCCATCCGCGTCAATGCGAAGTCAATTGAGGATCTCTATAACAAGATCCAAGAAATCAAGAACTAGAACACACGGGGTTCGTAGTTTCGAGATGATGATCGCAAGGTTGCGAAAAGGGAAATCTTCCTGGTCAAAGCAGCGGATCTTTTCCATTTATTGATTGTACGATATCAAATTCGGTCGGAGTTTCCATGTTTGTGTTCTTAATTGCATTTCTTATTGACATACTACATCCGCCAAGAACATGCATCCTAGCTCTGTTTCTGAAAGAAGAGTTTCCGCACCGAGGACTTCATCTAGTCAAATATTCAGTAAAGACTTTCGTAGATACCAAGGGCATTACGGAGATAAAATCAGGTGACCAGGAGGAGATCTCGAGCCTGAGATGAACCTTCCGACTACGAAGAGACAACTACGAGAAGAAGCCATAAGATAACGATGGTGCAACAAGGTATTTTTAATTTTGAAAGCCCCGACCGAACCCCAGTTGTAACATGGAATCATAGAAGCAAAGACACCGATAGGATTAAACCTCCCATTTATGCGTCATCAACGGTAGCGGTGTGGAGACCCTTGGGGTTCTTGACGTTCACAGCCTGGACGTGGGAGTACAGACGCTCCTTAGCACCCTCCTCGTCGTTACGCTTGCGGGAGATGCGGATACGGAGGCGGAAAGGAACGCCCTTGATGCCAGCCTCCCAGACCTTCTTGTTCAGGGCGGGGTCGACACGAACATCCTTGGTGCCCTACAATGCACAGGCGGGTTAGGGATTAAGCCCAAAGGAGTTGACGGAATGGGAGTTCAGTCACTTACCATAGCCTGCTCGGCAAAGGCGCGGATCTCCTTGATGGCACGGGGAGCACGCTTCTTGAAGCTGACACCGTGGCACTATAACCAAAAAGAAGGATGCAATTAGTCTTCCGTCCGAATGCCATCTCGTAGAGATCGAGTCCCTGCGTCGTTCTGGTTCGGCCATAGAGGTGGACTTCATCAAACTAATTCTTCTTTTTGTCTGCCATGCCAACCGGGAGGGTTCCCTCCTCTCCTGAGGAAAATTCGGGAAAGTCGAGCTCCCTCCCAATTGTCAGACTGTCGTTCCGAGGGCGGTTGTGTGGTGTGGTTGGAGGTGGTTAAGGGAACATTTTTCAGTCGATCCCTTTTCGCACCCATGTGCGCACACACACTAATTTCCTCGTAGAAGAACTCCGTATTTCAGGAGAGTGTGTTCTCTGTCCATTGTACCTCCACAGATTCTCGCAGAATCGATTCTCGCGGGTAAGGGGGATCTCGAGGGGGTGAATTTTTTATTTTTCAACATACCCGCTTGTGGAGGTTGATGGTGTACTCGCGCGACACCACGTCGGAGATAGCCGAGCGGGTCTTCTTGCCGGTGTTGACGTTGGACATCTCTGGGGGATGTTAACAGAATTCTGAGAGGACTGGGATGCTGGGGGACTGACTGATGGGGGTGGTCGGCGACTGTGGGCGGATGTTGTCGATGGGGGAGAAATTCAGATTTGTGGCCGGCGGGTGAAAGTGGAGTGGGCCGAGTCGAGTGTGGCTCGCTTATCGGTGGGCGCGGATGTGATTGGTCTACAGTCATGTGATACGGCCCGAAGACGATACTTGCCTCAGGAATTAGGCATTAGTTTATGCCTGAGGTGGACATATACGCAGTCGACCCGGCCCCTTCAAAGAGACAGTGCATGGTCTTGCCGTGAGATGTCCAGATAATCAGTGATACAAAAGCTGACAGTGGTTGTGAATACATCATTCTAGGGATATATTCTGACACTTTGGTCTCGTGGGATTGATCTTGACTACCTCCACCTGTCTATTTTGCCCCCTCGCCGCTCACATCAGGGTACACATCAAATCGTCGCTGGGTGTAGATCGGAATGCCCTTGCGAATATTCACAATGGTATCATTATCCAAATCAGCATATATGATAGTCTCTTTTTCCTCCGCTTCTGCCAAAATGTGCGCGCTAGGGTCAGCAATCAAGCTGTGGCCGTAGGCATGATAGGTGGCCTGTAAATCGCGCGAGGGACTGCACAGCGCCACATATGTCTGGTTATCCACCGCACGAGCGCGTCCCAAAAGTGACCAGTGCAAGGGCCCCGTCGTGGTGTTGAACGCGCCCGGGTAGACAAGCAGGAACGCACCCTTGCGGGCCGCAATCATGGCTGACTCCGGGAATCGAATATCATAGCAGATGGCGAGGGCAATCTTGCCATATTCGGGGAGATCAATCACTGTCAGCTCATTCCCCGGCGACAGCACCTCACTCTCCTTGAACTTGATCTTTCCCGGGATATCGATATCAAACAGATGCGTCTTGCGGTGGGAGCCGATCAAGGAACCCGTAGGCGAGAAAACCAGCGAGGTATTGTAGTATCTCTTGGTTTCCGGTTCCAACTCTGGGATACTGCCACCGACAAGGTATGCGTTTGCCTCGGCGGCGATCGCCGACAGGGCGTGGAACGAGGGTGACTGCTCCTTCGTTGGCGGGGAAGGGTGGAGCGTCTCAGCATATGTAGGGAAATACTGTGTGCCATAGGGAGAGTTGAAGCACTCGGGGAGGACGATCAGTCGTGCGCCAGCTTGCGCAGCCTCGAGGACCTTGCTTCGGGCGTGGGAGAGATTGACGGCCTTGTCCGCGCCTAGACAGCTGTGTCAGTGGAGAGAGCCAGACAGGGCAAAGACGGGCCAATTACCGGATGCAAGTTGCACCAGGGCCAGCTTCAGGGGCTTCTTCAGAAAGGCAGCCATAAGTGGTTGTTTTGGTGGGATTGAGTCGAGGAAGAAGAGGAGTTGAGCAGTCCTGAGGCGATAGTCGGGGCCGCTCCGAGTTCCGATTAGAAGTGCGGGGAGTGTGGCCGCTGATAAGCCTGCGCCTCCAATATGCCTATACCGTTGGGGTCAAGTTGCTCTAATTCGCTGGCGATGGTTGGAGAAGATATGATAACACGAAGGTAAGACTAAATTGTTGTTGGAGTAGGGTAATACAATTGAGAGGATGGAGTACAGGATACTAGATATGTATAATAGCACCCATTGACGCGTAGCATAGTACATGACATAGTTCACTTGCGCAACTGATCAGTGCCAATCTCACCGGTGACAAACCGACACCAGGGCTCCCGTGTAAAGCCTGAAATACAGTGCTAGCGCAATATGAACATGAGCATATGCGTCTGATCCGCCGTTGGGTAATGATTGGTGAATATAAGGGGATAGGGATTTCCCTAAAGACAGTTCTGCCCTGACATTCCATCCCATATACTTTCTTTCAGGAATGCCCAGCTGCTCCGTACCAACTTGCCAGAAATTTACGACCATTGAAAAACTCAACCACCTTGGATTATTATGTTGAATTTGGGACTAGCACACTAATTGGCCGTGCTAAATAGGTCATGTGACTTGTCGTGGATGTTGTTGGTGCTGATCGATCGATATCAATTGACTACCTGTCGAGCGTGGTGTCGGTGCTCGAGGCTGGCGGCAAAGAGCCTCTCATCCTGGATGACTTGTCCCCGAAGAAGCACTCTATTCGCTCCGCAATTGCGCCAAGCATGCTATTACTATAACATCCCTGTCCATGGAGCACCTAGCCTGTGCGGACCCGGCGACGTCGTTTGTGCATGCCTACCCAAGGTTGGTGGAGACGGGCCTGATGCGCGAGTTCGGGGTAATCACTCGCACTGCCGTGAGTGCACTACTCGTTCTGGGCCGGCCCTGGATGGTGCCGCTGGATGAGAGTGGCAAGCGGCATCTATACGCCGCCACTAGCCCATGGTTTCCCCATGACCCTCCAGCGATGTGGAGGATGCGGCACCGGGTTCCGATGCCACTAAGGGCAGTGGTGCATATCTGGTCCGACAATGGGAAACGAAAGCCCCTACAAGAGCTGCGCCAGAATGATGCAGGGAAGTTGGTGTGGCAGCATACTATGGGTGTGCTGGAGTCGATTTGTGGCAAAAGAAGTGGGTACTAAATGGGGTTGAATTGAGTGTCTGTCTTTGTTTTGACCCTGCAATGTCACTGTTTCCAATGTAATAATCTCGATAATTCCACTCTAAACCACAGAGATACCGAAAACAAAAAGTTTTCCCGAGTCAATCTGAAACAAATGAAGCCAGCCCGAAGAAAGGCATTGAGACTGGGACACGATCACGTGGTCTTGCCTCCCTCCAACCGCCGGTTGACCAAATAGATTTTTCGTCCTGGGGCAAATCACAGATCGCCCGTTTTCCCGCGGTTACTATATCTCCATGCGCCCTGCCTCGCAAAGCGCTGGTAGACTTTGTTTCACCGCGGAATCGGGCGCAGATTGACAATTCGAACGACCACCTCCCGACCCCCTCAAGGCTACACCCGCCTCAACTCCCGCCTACGGTCACATACGGTCATGTTCGAGGACTTCTCCTTCTCGTCTCCCTCATCACGACCCAGTCACTTGGCAGTGGATGCAGATGACCGGCTTATGGTCGACTGCGATGGCGCTCTGATTTCGCCCTTGTCGTCGCGATGCCCCTCGCCGCAGTCGCACCGGTTCCGCACTCTGTCCCGCCCCCGATCCTCCTACTTTCGCTCCCAGCAGCCGCCTCCGACCTCCGTGCCTTTCCCATACGATCAAAAGCGTCTGTCAATTTCGACTCTCACCCAGAAATTGCATGAGCACACCCTGCAGACCCCCAGCCGCGGAGAGATTCCCGATCCTGGGTGGTTACGGAACAATGAGGCCAGACTGTCCAACCGGTATTCAGGCTATGTCCTGACGCCACCGGATACTGATCACGATGAAGACGGACCCTGGAACTCCTCGCCTTCACTATGTTCTAACCCCAGTCCAACGTCCATTCCGCCGGAGTTTCCCCTTCTAGACAGACCAGAAGCTCAGAACCAGACCTCGAATCTACCAGACCACCTGGACGTCCGGATGCAACGACAGCATATCTCACAACTGCAATGTAATGAAGGCGATATCGATGCAATCCGCCGAACTATCATGACGGAGGACTCCTTCCCTCCGGACACGCGCGAAGATGACTGCCACCCTAGTTCGTTGCCACCGCGGTCCTCCCCACGGCGCAGGGCACCCACATTGCACCGCAGCCGTTTTGGGCCAGCGGATTCTTCGGCGGGTGAGTCCCGCGGGCGAAGAAGAAGCAGCTCAGCCGCCATGCAGCCGCACCGGATAGAGAAAAGCCACTACAATTCCCACACGGGGCGGGATGCTTCCAAACGAGGCGATCACCATGGTCTCCGCAGGAAGAGCATGGTGAGTGCGGCTCTAGCATCAGTGGTGGAACAGCCTTGATCCTTGCTGATTTCGGCTTATACTTTTATCTTCGCTGTACATAGTTGAAGTTGATACCCAATTTTCCCCCGAGATACCTTTTCCAACCGGAGAGCACATGTAAACTCCCTTGGTAGTTTTCATATATGTAACAATGCGGAAACGAAATTCTATCTGCCTACACTTATCGACTATCAACCAAAGCGAGCTGCGCGGAGCCCGGAGGCTCCAGCCGCTAAGTTCGGAAAGTTGGCGGGGAGGCCTGACCGCGGCTTTCTCCGATATATTTCCGGGGATGAGACTTCCCTGGCTGCCAGTCCCAAGTTCTACAGCGATAATAAAGAACAATGTCCCCCAAACGAAGCAAGTCGGGAACAAAGCCATTCCATCTGGCCCCATATATCTTTGGCATCCAAACTGTTCCTCTCCTAGCCAGCGGGGTCTACAGCCTGTTATTTCCTGCAGCTGCAGCCGGTCTTCCAGACTCACCTTTGCAGGGTGTAAGCAACGGCACCATCCAGGCAATTAGGTATATCTCGCTCTGAGTATAGGTGAGTTTAATGCTGACGAGTGAGATTAGCCTTACATCCTTATCCTTAGGGACATTTTACGCCATCGCGTCATACCAGAACAATGTCCCTATGATGATTGCCGCCGTTCCTGGTCGGCTGTTGGCTATGTTTGTCTTTCATCGCAGTGGTGGTGGATGGAAGACGGTTGCACCATTCGAAGGGTTCATGAGCCTACTAACTGCTCTAGGGCTTTGGTGGGACTGGCATACGGCCAGTTTGACAGATGAGAAGCCAAAGTGAACCTATAAACCGGGTATTTGTGCCCTTGTATACTGTGTCTCTCTCCTCAATGCGAAGGTGATAAAAACAATATCCACCGTAACGATTGACTACTATACTTGCGTAAAACAGGGTAGTATAATCTTTGGAGAATGTTTGGATGGGACCGTCACAATCCGAGTATAGCCCAGCGGCTCCAGTGCACGGCATGTCCAATTGTGTACCGGAAGCCTGGGAGTTCCTCAATCAAGACCAGAGCTTAATCAGCTTGCCAGTTCTGGAAACGAACTCTAACTACAAAACAGTCGAGAGCGCGAGAATAACACCCTTCGCCCTTAATCTAATCGGTAACCCTCTACCCACCATAGCCCATGATCGAAAAGCTTAAATTAGACAGGCAAAAATTTCAGGTAGATCTTTCAGTGGCGCTCTGCCTCAGAAATACTTACATTTCAACTTTGTCGGAGGCCAATGGCTGCGACTTTTTTCCTAAAGATATGCCAACCCAGGGTAGCTAGCTGATTCAGTGGCTAATCGAAGTAGCCTGACCGGGTGCTGACGTATAGGAAGCGCATGCACTTATAGATGAAGAAGAGAAGGATTCTACTGTCTTTATATCAAACCCATCATACCCGCCTCGAGTCCCGGACCCAAAAAAGAGAGATATATGTATATAAAAATAAAGAATATACAAGGTATAAAAAAGACAAGATAGAAGAAGAAGAGAGAAAAAAGAAAAGAAAAAAAGGGAGACGGCAATACGCCACCAAATCGTAACCGTATCCATATCCATCATCATATCATATTCGGCCTTCGTGTCTGCTTCATAGACAATCCAGGCCCTCAATGTCCAGACCTCCAGCTGAAAAGCTTCTTGAGCCCTTTTTTCTGCGAGAAGGATTGCTTTCTGTCTCCCTTACGGAGCAGTCCATCACCAGATCCGGTCCCACCTAATGAGACAGAGCTACCAAACCTGCGCTGCAGATCATCCAGGGCACGTGCCGGGTGCCCGCGCAGACCCATGGTCTCCGCGTTCGCAGCTGCTAGCACGGATTGGACGTGCGGGTCAAAGTAAACGGGGTCGTAGGGATCGTAGTGCTGAGCATAGGATGGATTTGATGGCAAGGGAGTGGACATGGTGTTTGTGCAGTAGATGTCATAGGGAGAAGGCGGCTCGGACATCCCGGATGATGTAGCTGAATGAGGTGGGAGCTCGAGGAAGATACCGCGGTCGCGCTCGTCGACTTGGGCCCATTCGCCATTGGCGTAGACAGGCGAGCCCGGCTCGCCGATGTCGCTTTCTTCGGAGAAGAGAGTTGGTTGGGAGGAGGGGGATTGGGGTTCTGAGGGGTGGAGCTTAAGCTCCGGCTCGGAAGCTCCTAGGCGCTCGGAAATCGAAGCCATGCGTGTTTTCCGCGGGCCACTGACTAGTTCCTGGTACATTTGGTCATCTTGGGGGCAAGCATTGCCGTCGCGTTGGCGGTTTGGTGTCCAGTAGTCATGGTCGTGGAGGGAATAGTAGGAGGGCGATCGAACTCGGTCATGCACACCAGGTGACGACGAAGGCATATCAGCTGCCTGCCACTTGGGTGTGGAGAATCCCACTGAAGGTGAAGTAGTGCACAGAGATGGGGAAGAGTAATGCGATGGCAAAGAGGCATCTGTAAATTGCGAAAGGGAGACTCTGTCAAAGCCTTGGTCGACATAATATGGGTTGGAGGAGACTATAGACTCTCCGGGGGGATCCAACGACAAAATCGAGCAGCCATCGACATCCTCAATAAAGGAGACAATCCGAGCCACATCAAGAGACTTGCGTGGGTTCAGGATCTCAAAGGAGGTGCCACCGTGCGAGATGGTGGCGACGGCTGGCGTGTTGTCCAGCATCGGATTAGATGCTCGAGCACGGGAGAGAGGCGAATGTTGCTGAGCCTGACCCCGAGCCTGGCCGTTCTTCTCAAGCTTCTCGCGGAAGGTATTCTAAAAAGAGGAATGAATCAGAAGGGGGAGGGAAGAAGACGCTTATGAGTGTTTCAGGAACTCACCAATCGCTTCCTGTTTGGTCTAGGGCGTGTCGCCTTTTCCGAGACAAGATGCACTCGTGGGCCCTGGGGTGGTGGAAGGACAACTGCAACGGGGTCAGTGCTTAATTCTCTTGCATAAAAACACCGTACAAATCGGGATGTGGCTGCAACATACCAGACGCTGCCTCTGAAACCTCGGGCTCCTGCTCGCTCTGATAGGAGATGATGCTGTGCGAATACGACGGTGATAGTGGCGGAGGACTAGATGCCGTCGAGGATACCGACACCGCACAGGAAGAAAGCGACATGAGCGGTGATGGACGGTTTAGATTCAATGTCGCGGTCTTGCGCTTGAGAGTCTTCTCAGACCGATCGACAGGATCGTTAACACACTCTGCGGACTGCGACAAATACTTGCGATAGTCGTGCAGGGACAGCGCACCCGTGATGCCAGACTTGATTGACCGAGGAGGAAGTGACACCGCATCTGCAGGAAGGGGCTTGAGGGGCGTGCATGGTGCATGAACGCCATGAAGCTCCAGGCACTTGCAGCACAGCGAGCTGTCCGGCAGCTCGCCGTTGCGCCAGGCCCCCGACGGGTTGGGGTAGTCCAGATCTTCATACATCTGGTTTTCTTTCTCTTTGATAGTTTCCCCAGTTCCTCTTTCTCTCGAATTTACACCTGGATCGATTCACGAGTTTTGAGAAGAGGGGTTCGTCTCCAATTGCTTTTAGCGCGTTGACATATCTCTTGCAGGGCGAAGATCGGAAGATCGATCCAAAACAGCCGCTATACATCTGATTCGTCAGAGCGCGGGAACTGCAAGGGACAACGAGCCCATCGGCATACCAGTACACAGTCAATGCAAGGTACAATAACATCCACCAAGGACAGGACTGGGTGGCCAGGGCCAAGAGCGACAATAATGATTATAAGTAAAAAAGCGGCTCAACGGTAGCCTCCGTCCGGAGCCGAATGGAAATGTCTGGACTCCTCTTTTTCTTTTCTCTTTACCCACATCTCCACATGGGAGGACGACGCGGTCTGGAACCCGCCTGGTCGCCAGGAACACTGGGTCGCAAGAGCAGCGAACCGTTGGTTCGACCGGTCATGCTGGGCTCATAACCGGGCGGTAGCCGGAGATTATGTAGGATGGACGACGTCACAATGCCCCTTTCGGCGAGGAGGAGTAAAAAGGGCGAAAAGTCGGTCTGACAAAGTGTGTTGTATATGCAGCAAGTCTCCTGGTGGTGTGTGGGTGAGCGACCAAGTGCTGTGTCCTCTGGTGCCCCAGAGGCGTCCCTCCGACTGACCACGGACCAGTCACCGGCCGCGGAAACCACCCAGCAGACTGGATGTATCGCAGCTCCAGAAGATGACATGCAGATGAAGTGTCCACCCACCTTGGCTCGCGATCGCCCGCTGGGAATCTCCTTCCTGATCCTCTGATCTTCTCCGTCGTGATCTTAGTGATCTTAGCGCCTCGTTAGTCGCACACCCTCCCGTCCCACCACCCGCCAATCACCCGCCCCGGGCGCGCTTTTGACATGAACCCCGATCCACCACCGTGGCTTGCGACGGGCCAGTCAGTGCGCAGGGCCAGCCTGTGGGGTTTGGTGCGACTTCGCTCAGGGCTGAACGAAAAGCGCGATGCCTGTTGGGCAGAAATTAGAAACCGGGCCACTGGGCATTCGTTGGTTCCTAGTCATTCCGAGGGGCGCCGCCAGGTGGCAAGGCCCAAAGACCCAGAGTTAAAGAGCCCAGAAGGAGAGACTCAACGCGTAGCGGGGATCGTAAAAGGTCGTCAGCCTAGTCGAGTGGATGATGCATGGCGGAGCCGGTGCTCCACAGGGGCCTCCACAATCTCTGACCTTGATGAACTGAAGAGACTCCGGACAATGACACAATGCAACGGAATCAAGGGACAAGTCGGCATGGCCCTGGTGAGGAACTTTCCAACACTTGCTCGTTGGGGATTTCTCGCGAATTCTTTTCGGACGACCCATGGTTCACGCTGGCCAATCCAAGGTTGGGGGTCGTACCTGGCAATGCATGATTCATGAGTGCATCAAAAGGGTTATGGAGAGCGAGGGGAACAAAAGCATGGCCATGCCATCCACCAACAGTTGATCGTCTTCTTCATCTGGCTCATCTGGCTCATCTGGTTCATCTGGTTCGTGGTTGGTCCAGGCGATCGATACGTCGGGCAACTCGCAAAGGCCCAAGTCACCACCACTGCCACCTCACCCTTCAGGCAAACCACTCGTGCCTCTCAGCCCGAGCGGCGTGGCGGATTCGATCTGGAACGGTTTGACATTGAACTCGGGCCAGGCTGATGCCCCAATGACACTCCTACCCATCATTACCACCCAACAATACGGTTATGGTTTAAGTTCAGTGCCCAAGTTTCACATATTTTCGGCTGATGCCCCTGGATATGATGACGATTCGCTGGAGATTCAATCTACTTGGCGCTTGGATGATAGATGGGTAATCACAGGCATAATCCCAAAATAAAGCAAACCCAACCCATGCGCCCGAACAAATCAGATCAAGTAGAGTAAGGAACTACGGCAAAAGACGCCCAGATCATGCGTTGCAGAGCAGCAATTTTCAATGCAGTCGTCATCCGTCATGTCCCGGCAGGGAGGGTGGTATCATCGCAGCAAAAGCAGGCAGGAAGTGTATCTACGGGCTCATGTAAAACGACAAAGGGGCCAAATCACGAAAACACAAATACCAGAAACAAAACAAAAAGCAAAATAGGCGAAGGCCGTATCGCCTCGGTCGGCAGGGACGCCCCTGGATCAGGGTCGAGATCAGTGACGTTTATATTTCTAGAAATAGAGTCAGTTCTTGCATGTGCATATGCCTCCACTGAAAGACAAAGAATATGGTCCACTTACATCTTCCATTCGGCGCCGATTACTCGGGTCCAACGTGTTCCCGGCCCCCAAAAGCGTCTGTCCGACGGCCTTAGAGACTCCAATTGCTGGCCGAAGAATGACCGTCGGTGCGCGCCTCAACACTGCTTTGGCCGCATCCCTTGCGCTGCCGCTTTCAACGACCTCGCCAGGCACCGCGACGATCGCATCGCGTGCAAGGAGGAGATCACGCTCGAGGCCACTGAAGGCGCCCCGCAGACCCTGGACGACGCCGATCGGCTGATCGGCATAGAGTGAAATTTTCTTGGTTTCCTCCTCGTCGCCGCGGTCTTCCTCGAAAGCGGTGGATGGGCCATTCGGAGAGGTTAGCAGGTCTTCCGCGCCCTGCAGGACGGTTTGTGTGCCGATGGCCAGTTTGGCACCCAGTCTAACAAGCTCGTTGGATGTCGTCTTGGCAAATGCTGCCGCGCCCTTCTGGATGCTACGCACGATCCGGCCATCTTTCTTGTACTCGCGCATCGGAACGACAAATAGCTGTCGTACACCACCACCTACATTGACCAAAGAGCGGATAGGCGCAAGGCCGGCCAGCACGCCAGGAAGCTGGTTGCTCTTGACATCCGGCATCCAGATGTCATTCAGGGTGTTACCCAGCCGGTCAAACCCGGACACGCCGTAGATGATGACATGCCGTAGCACCATGTCAGACCCATCCAGAACGAAGAAATTCATAAACTCGGTTGTGCGACCGGATCGGAGCCCGGCATAGTCCACTCGCTTGGGTTTGAAGTCTAGCTTGACTTGTACGGCATTGACTTCGACACGCTGCAGGAACGGGACATCTCCGGGGGTGCTGGAGGCCTCGACAGATGCATCTCGGAACTCGAAGAATCGACTCATGAAGTCCAGTGCATCCTGGTCAACATGTAGTCGAAGGGGTAGAACGGTGGCCTGGAAAATATTAGTTCCAGCTCTAAAATGAACCCCCTAGAATCGCATTCTTACCTTCAAAACAATTTCAGATGCCGCAAGCTCCGGTATGGGCTTCACGGTCAAAATCTCCAGATGAATCATGCTCGTTCCACTCTCTCGCTCTCCCGCCTCATGCAGATATGTCGCAAATTTCTTCCATGTCGACGTAGGCACATGGTCATAGATTTCTAAATCCTTCACCCGAACATCCAAGGAGCTTTGGGTCTCTCCCGAGCCCGACGGGAACACAACCAAGTCCGCACAAACACCGGATAACTCGAATGTCATCTTGTGGTGTTTGCTGCGATGTAGGCGAAGCCTCTTCTCCCTTCCCGATGCAGGTCGACCCTGTCGATTGGTAGCGCCAGTAACGGTAGTTGACGTGGCATAACTACCCGTCTCGCTTGCAAGGTCATTGATGTCGCGATTGATGTCGCGGTGGAGCTCCCGCGGGTCTTTATTGGCAGGGATCCCGATATAGATCGAGTTAAAGAGAAAATCGCCAATGACAGATTCCTCTTCATCCTCGGCTGCGGGAGACATGCGGGAGGTTCGGGCACGCCGCTCAGTAGCCTTGACTTCGACGTCTTCGACTGCTTTAGAGATGGTGTCTCGGGTTCCCTGCCAGTCGTAGCCATCGAACAAATTCCAGATCACATGCACATCCCGCACTCTTACACGGAGAGGGCTCTTCTGGAGCTTTGCATCGTTCGAGAGGCCGTAGGTGTTGTACGACGAGTCCCACCGATGTGCAGTGCCCCCGACAGCAGACTGTTTCGCAAAATGGTCATCTTGGAAGTCGAGCTCAGTGAGGCTTGACGAGACATGAGAATGGAAACTGTCCAGAAGACCCTGATTACCACCCACAGCTGTTGGCTCAATATTCTCATAGCCGATGGGCCCTTCCTGCTGCTTGGGGTAGAAATCGCTGACATACTCAAGCTCGTCATCCTCATGCTCCTCCTCTTCGGGAATTCCGCCAAGATTGATTACAGGGTCAACTTTCTCGCCCAAAGAAGGATCAGCATTAAAGGCATCCCCAGAAAACGAGGCAAGCATATCCTGAATTGGCGTGACCTCGGTGCGGTACTTGGCAGTGACACTGGGAGGCGTTGGGGGTTGAAGGCCATTGAGAATACCGATGAGCGTCTGGGTTGAGTCTGCACACGTCTCCAGTATCAGGAGACGGTTCTTCAATTCAACGTCTAGGGATTTGGCCCCATCCTCGGCGAGACGCATCATTTTGACTACTACCGTCGCAGTAGATATGGAAGAGACAGGGACGTATCCCTTTTCGATGTACTCTTGAACCTGATCGCTCTGGGTGACTGCAGAAGTACGTTGATGGAGGTTATCAGTGTTACCCACATTTGCCACGTTGTCAATGATCATGATTGACGCTTTTCTGATGTCCAGTGTGGCTTCCGTGGACTCATCACCATGTAAAGTGCCATTGAATTTGGAGTTCGTGAGTACCACGAGTCCCTTGGAAGGAGAGTTGCGCGGGTTGAGCCCAAGCACGCAGTCTCTAAATACGACGGCTAACTTCGTTGGCTTGCTTGATGCTCCTGAAGCATCTGATCGGGACGGAGAGAAAGCCGAGACCCCAGTAGCTCGATCAGAGTGATCCGCGAGATTAGCGATGGAGTTTGCCATCTTGCCTGCCAACTCCCCGCCTGTTGTGTCCTGACCGAGCCCTAGGAATGCCATGACCGATGGAATCGTATATTCGACACGCAAGTGGTGTAATTTAATCTTGAAGGTGGGGTCCATTTCATCAGGGATGTAGCGAGCCATGAGGACAGGCGGGTGTGGTGCAATAGGGATTTTCTCTTTGCTTGACACTAAGGCCTCTCCAGCCAGCTCTTCCTTGTGGTTCCGGGTGATGGTTACCGTCCCAATCTGCGTAGCAGTGAGCGAGGGCATGCTAATCCAGGCTACCTCGACATTTGTGAAATGTCCATTGATATCGCCAGCCTCTCCTCCAAGATGTACTTGAGTTTCAAATTCCCGTACAAGCGTCAGAGTGAGAATTCCAGGGCGATCATCTTCTGGCAAGTATTTCGTCACATTTGACAAGCGGCCTAACTCAGATCCAAGGGAAGACAGAGGAGCCAGCCCAACGGTGTTGGAAATGACAGTCTTCATCCCCGCTACTGTAACGCGAAGAACAGATCCCTGTCTGCGCTGTCGCAGCAGAGTGTCGAGCATGATATCATCGTCATCGTCATATTTGTCCTTGGACGGTGTGATCAAGGTCAAAAGGCGATCAAGATCCACTTCTTTGGGCGAGAACAGGAATTCCACTCTGATATTGGTCAACGTCACCTTTGCAGGCGCATCAGATAACTCGTCGAGTGGGTGTGGTCCACTCAGTCTCGCCTTGTCAATCTGAACACCAATGCCCTCGAATCTGCTGACAATCTTGATTGCGGTCGTACTGAGCTTGAGGTAATGTGTCTCGCCAGTGACATCGAGTACGAAACCGCCCATCCGAGCATTCACTTTCCATGGGACAGAGGCTTTCTGGTCTTTACCAGCAGCTGGAGGTGGTGTCTCGAAGTGTACACCCCGTGGGCGCTTCTTGGGCGGCCGTTGTGCCCCTTTCATAGCCGAGGTAGAGGAAATAGAATTTCCAAGCTCTAGAATTGTACTCAAGCCGCCCATCCATCCCAGGACCTCCTCCAGACGTTGGATATGGAGATTGACATGAAGAGGGAGAGTAGATATATCAAGCTTGGCAGACTCGACCGATTTCGTCAATGAGAACGAGATGTCACCTTGAGAAGGTGTCATAATGTCCCGAGAAGATTCGCGCATTCTCAAAGACTCATTGAATGAGATGAGATCCTCGGAAGCAAATCCAAATGTGAGTTTCGAAATGTCGAGGTGAAGATTAGTGCGCTTTTCATTTGCGGAGAGATAAGTTCGGAGACCAGAGGCAGTAACCTGAAGAATGATGTCTTCCATAGAAGTGAAGGGTGGTGGCGGAGGGGGTGGGGAGTCCACTTGGGGGTAAGAATGCCCCACTACATGCTCTATGAACTTGACAGAAAGGTTGTGTACATCAAGCTTGAGAGCTGTTTGCTGGGAAGGTTGGTTAGGTAAGGTCTGCTTTTGGGTTTGAGCTTTCTCAGGTCCCTTGAACATCTGCGATATTCTTTGACCTGTTTTGACCAGAAGCCATCCAGTTGCTATGTCAAAGCGAGCTGTCACCGCACATAGCTCCACCTCCAGTTCATGAGATTTATTCTCCGTGTGCCCCTGTTGGTGGTCCAGATGGCTCCGTTCAGGCGACACTCGGTATTCGGCCGAGCCCTTCGAAGACCGTGTAGGTACATAGGCTTTCGAGGCAAACATGCTTTCTTCGGCGGTGGAATCGCGTAGACCAGACAAAAAGTCCTTGGGGTCACTCTCTGTCCGTTCTATAGGCATTCTAGACGATGCGAAGTCTGATTCTGCGTCGTCGATAGTTGATGGCAGCCAGATCAGGATCTTATCAATATTGAGAACAGGCTTTCTCGTCTCATTCATCCTGTGCAAAATCGGAGAGGGTGTGGACGCCCTGTCTGTGCTTGCAGATTGGGACTGAGCTTGACTTTCCTTTCGTTGCTCGCCGAAGTAGGACTCCGATGGAACCGTCAACTTCGGAGTCGACCCTGCGACTTCATCTTGCTCTTCTTGGCTGGTATGTATATCATGGATCGGTTCAGTTCCCACTTTGTGGTTCTCAGAATGATTCCCTGCATCTTCGCCAGGAATAAATGAGTCCCATGCACCAGGCATGTTTGGAATGAAGCTCCTACCAGTACCATGGCTCATAGCACTCATATACAAGCTTTGTGCCTCGTCATGTGAGAAGTACTTGGACTCCATCAGATCAGCTTCAGGAGTGGCCGCTTCAGAAGTCGCACTCTCAGGCTCAGATGGCGGAGCAGATGTTTGGGAGGGGAAATGTGGAAAGCTTTGCCGAGAGGTGGAAATGTCTTCATAGCCATGAGACTGTTTCGTAGATCGCGGTGCTATGTCTGACTCAAGATCAAACTGGCTTCCCCTCTGTGAACCATAAGCTTGTGGCGCACGAAAACTTTCAGCTTGCGACGAAACTATTTCAGAGTGCCCCAAATCGGTGGACCCTCCAAGTCTGGGGTTAGAACGCAATGCAAGACCGAGATGGTACGAACTGTCACCGCTCTCTTCCATGGGCTGCATTTGAAGCTGCGTTGCTGCGGATGGTTCATCATCAAAATCGTCAAATTGGGTATCGATCACTGAATCCAAATACCCGGGGTTGTCGTGGAACGGATCATCGTCTATGGTCTGAGAATCATCGGGGTATCTGTCATGCCGATGCTCCGCTTCTGAGTCTGCATCTGAGAAACGACCATCATGGGAGAATGTCTCATGGGAGAAAATCGACGTATCCATGCCATCGTCTGCGGCGCTTCCAAAGCCAGACCCAAGAGAAGGCTCAAAGATGGTTGACCTTGTCATAGCCAGCCCTGGATCGGAATCAGAAGGCGCCAAGGGTGGAGGCGAAAATGCTCGGCTTGAAGATTGACTTTCTTTCGAATGCATCGTAGTCGTGGGAGATGCAGGTGCGGTAAAACGCGCATAATTAGAAAACACAACGGAATCCGATACGAGGCCCAGATTGATATCAACGAGCGAAACCAGCCGTTTTCCTTCGCGCATCGGCAGGGATTCGCCGGAGCCCGCAGTGAACCCCGACACGCCATGAACATCAATCTCGCCTACACTCAACAACCCCGCGACGAGATCCGGCTTAGCCTCAGGCTGTCGCTTGGAAGGACCGTCTTGCTTCAGTTCCATGTCCAGTCGCACGACCACATTCTTTATCTTCAGCTGTAACCGATCCGCCACGCCTTTGAAGAAACCCGCCACAAAGCTCGGTAGCGATAAGGTCTCACTCCCCAACCCAAGTTCATCGTCTTCCTCGTCTGTAAAGGACGAACTCTTTTGCAAAATATGGGACTGTGATGATATTGCCGCCTGCAGCTCCTCCTTTTCTTCTTTTGGCTCCGCTTCGAGAAATGATTCCGCCAGATTGGACGGTGTCGGCAGGACTTGTCCATCCCCCGACCCGTGCACCCCCGCGGCGGATGGAGGTGGGTATTTTGTAGCTCCATACTTCCCCTGGCATGCTTCATCTGATAATAACTGAATATGCACGTTGATACCGCTGGCTTCGCAGATGATTCCGCTGCTGTAAATATCGGCAGGGACGGTGATTCTGAGCAACTGGACTCGGGCACTGAGGAGCTTGCATGTCGCAGGCAGGTTGAGAAGTGTCGCTAGTTTCTATTACAACCAATGCCAGACGTCAGCAGATACCTCCAAACACCTCGACCAGAGAGCAACGAAACGACCCCCCTGCGGGGTTCCCGCCTCACACTCACCTCCAACCTTAGTCCGATATCTCGCAGTTCCACCGTACTCCGCTGGCCCCAGCAAATACCCAGGTTGTCTAGGTCCAGCGCCTCCGTGTCCACAACGCCCAGCCGCGACAAGGCATATTTCAGCAGCCGCTTCTGGAGGAATGAAGGCAGAAAATATGCCATCTTGAAAGAGCCGCCACGAAGGCTCGGTCATGCAAGGGCAAGATTCATGGAAGGACAAACATCATCACAGGTCATATAACGAAGGAAGCGCGCACAACCTGCGGCGAAAGGAGCAGTAGGAGTGGATGGAAGGTGATGGTGAGGGTTGACGATGACGTGCGGAGCATCTGGTGGGCACCTGATAAAGCCGATAAGGGATCGGCCCAAGTCAGGCGGGCCAGGGGCCGTCTGTAGACACTCCACTCTGTCGCCGGTACCACTCAACTCTGTTACGACTCAATTTGGGTGGCAGAGGACTTCGCTGCGAGCTAACTATGATTCATGCAGAGATGATTTACAATTTACATCGCCCAATTCCTAGTCTTCCCCAGCCATGTCTCGTGATGTTCCGTCGGAGAAGCCCGCGAAAGCGATCACTTTTTTAATCGTCCTCATCAAACTCCGCAAACTCCAATACGACCCATTCACAAAACTTCTCAAACTCCGTGTGCCATTCTCGTAGGCGAGCCGCCTTCAAACCTTCGCCCAAGATCCCTTCCCCAATTTCATGCTTCCATTCGGCGGTCGACTGGTCCTCATAGCAGCTCCATCGGATAGAATTCTGAACCATCATAGCCAGACCGGCCAAGTCAACATTCTGCAGACCCTGCAGTGCCTGCCAAAAGTCGTGTGTCAACCCGTTCTTCCCGTGGCCAAGAATGGCTGGGTCATCGTTGCAGAGTGAGACGGGCACGCCGCGGGATAATAGCGCAGGTAATGGGTGCGACTTGATGGAACTTGCAAGGCGGAGGATCTCGTTCGAGATAGGGCAACATTCGACCATGATCTTCTTCTCCTTGATCAAGTCGATGAGTAGTGGGTGTTTGTACAGGGAGAAGCCGTGGCCGATTCTCCTGGTTCCCAATAAGATAGCATCGAAGAGGTTATGGTCTGTCTCGTCCCCGTCGCCCAGGCACTCGCCAGCATGGAAGAAAAAAGGGATATCGACCTCTTCCTCCGCGCAGCGTTTTCGGAACCAGAATAGCACTGGCACAAGATCCTTGAGAGGTCTTCCCAGGTCTTCCTGTCCGACCAGATCAAAGCCACAGATGAGATCGGGGAAGGCATGCTTGGTGGCAATACAATGCTTCATGCTGTCAACAATTTCCTTATTAGGGAAGCGCCGCAAGGTAGTCCAGATGATCCGCGCTTCGTAGAATGTTTTTCCTTCTTCCGTCCCCTTGAAATGTTCCACCTCTTCCTCAACTACTCGGCACCACTCCTCATAGCCGTCTTCGGGCTGGTCGCTCCCCTCTTTTCTCCACCGGAAGACAAACGCAATGCGGAATTCCACATAGCGAACCCCATCCGCGGTCAGCTGTCCTAGCATTCGGCGGAAGCATGCACGGAAAATTGGCTCATACATCAGGATAGAGTTGATCACTGGGAAGGTCGTCGTGAAGATGGCCCAGATCGCATCGACTCCGTGATAGTGGTTATACGAATGTTCCGGCATGAGCATGCACCGACTTTGTAGCCACTCACGGAAGCCAGTCTCGCCACCATTAGGAAATGATGCAGCAGCTGTCTTGATAGGGATCAATGAGGAGGACTCGTAGCCCTCTGTCCAGATGCTAGCCTTCTTCTCACCCTCTGCCGCGGGCTGCGACGAAAATTGGAAGAACACCGGTGCAACCTCATAATCCTTCTGCGACAGTAACGGCTTCGGCGCCAACATATGAATACCAGGCGTCGAAAATGCCTGATCGATCAGGAAGTCGATGTCGAACATGGCATCCATGTGGGCATGCAGGAGCGATCCCTTGGGCATTCTCTCGACAATTTTCCAGAGGTTCGTCTTCTCCATGCGGCCCTTCGCATGATGGAACATAACCCCGGGATAGAGGATCTCATCGACCTGGTGTGCCGTAGCCGCATCCAAGCCGGTACTCCACACCTCCTTCTGCTCGCGGGCCCGGATTTGCGAGACGATTTTGCAGGCCCGGGCGGCGATGGGCGACAAAGACACGCGATAGGTGGCATCTACAGAGATATTAGCATATATCTTCAGATATAAGGGGGCGTTTGTGGTTCATTTCACCGTGACGTCTCTTTTGTTCCTCCGCGATCAGCGCATCGCGGCCTTTGAGGTATTGTTGGATGAACGGGTCCTCGACCTGAGGAAGACCCTCCTCCAGCTCCCAGTCGGGGTTATCGCTCCCCATATTTTCGTGCTTGAACGGTCAGGCGTCAATAGAGAAGTGGTGAATAGTACGTGTCGAGCAAGCTTCTCAACCAAGGAACCTGATTTGGTGCGGGAGGGGTACCCCGCCTGCGGCCTGCAGACCGCGTCCGGCCATCGCCCTGGAATGCTGACCGATGCTAAACGCGTTTAGCAGCTCCTATCAACAAGAAGGATGGTCACAGTATGTATTCAATTTAGTTCTGTGGATCAGCCCATCCTATCCTGTTAGGTCGACGCTCTTTTTTTTTTTTTTTTTTTTTTTTTTTTTTTTTTTTTTCCCCCCCTCTTAATAGTCAATTTCTGATGTTATGCTATCTACCTACGGGTTTTCCCGAATATATCCGTGGTAACGACCAAAAGAGGCCTAGTCTGCTCCACTGGATCTATCACTCACCGAGGTAAATATGCGCATTCGCCGCCCGCTAGGTAAACGGTTAGAAATATGGGCTTTTCCATGTCCAGCCACTAGGGACGTGCGCCCCTTAGGCCCCCGGAGATCGTACGGTCAACCCTGGGCGATAGCAGCGCCATAAGCACTATGTTTGCCAAGATCAGCGGGCTAGCGTGGCGGAGGTCGCCTATGGGTGTTGGTGGACAAGGATTACTTCATAGGTAGGGTGGTATGGAATTCAAGAGCCAAGACCTGAAATTGTAGAAGTTGAATCTTGGCTGAAGCGCCTATCTATGTTCTTGAGCACGGTAAGACTGGGTGGAGAGATAGGCAAATTAGCTTCGCAAGTGGTAGGCCACCACATCCACAACTAAGTACGGTGTATACCACATATCCAAGACTACGGAGTATACACTGATGCTGTCCATCGCGCAGAAATCCCTAACACGGCTATTTTCCGCTATTTCCCCAGTCTTGGCTTGTTTTCTAGAAGGACAACAGGTAGGGCACACGACCTCCTGAACCCAAACCCAAAAACCCAAACACCACACGCTCCCCCACTTGCCGTTCGGTGCGGAGCTTCCACCCTTCTGAGCAGGGTGGATCGTCCACGCAACAAACCACACGCCGCCAGTGGCAAGATAGCAGCACCAGCGAGGCCAAAAAGGTGCGCGGCCCCCGAGATAGCGGGCGCTGGTGCCCAGCGTAGCGCTATCATTTGCCCGCGTCTCCTTGCGCAAAGACGTTACATGCGCCTCTCAGGTGGGACGGGGTCGTCCGTCGGCGAACCCGCCCTAGAGATATGGCCCGAAGAACCCCACCCCTGTCCATTGCTTCACTTATCTTGCGCTGAGTTCTTTCCCCGCACAAAAGAAAAAAGGCCTGCTGCTAGCGCGCTTGATAAACGAAAATTCGCCCCCCAATGGCACGCCCGGAATGCGCTCGCCCAAGCCAGCCACAATGAAACCTCCCTCCCACCTTTGATAACCTAGTCTTCTCCCGGACGCTCCCTGGGTCGGTGATAAATTGGCTGGCCTGCGCGTTCCATAGCAGATCTTTCCTGCGCTGGTTGATCTTGCACTTTTGCACCGTCCGAAGTTAAGCTTATTTCTGGCCTACGTGCTCGAAGGGAGGGCTGTTCACGCGGTAGATTCCAGAGCAAGTCAATAAGGCTCGATCACCACAGAGGACTTGGATTAAGCGTTCAATCCCCACCGACGACGCTATGGCCGAGAACCCCCCTGCGGCCAACACCGCGTCTACGGACACCGGGCCCTCGAGCTCGCCGCGCGTAGATCCGGTGCTGCAGCCCGACAATCAGCACCACCATGCGCACCACCACCACACAGCCTTCGCAGAGAAAGGCCGGGAGGACGAGATGATCTTTTCAACAGACACCTCGTTCGAGAAGGGCATCGTCTCCGAACCTACGCCCCTTGACCACGGCAGTCAAAGCCACAGCCAGGCCGAGAAGGATGAAGAAAACGGAGCGAACGATCCCGCACCGCGTCCGTGGCACCGACGCATGCTCAAGCACTGGAGGCACGCAATGCACGCCGTGATCTGGCTCCTGTTTACCGGGTGAGTAAATAACTGACACCATCCATCTCCAAGGTTACCCGGAAACCCAGAGAACTTATGCTGTCTTTTCTAGCTGGTGGATTGCCGGCCTCATCCTGCACCGGTATGATCTGGGCTGGCTGATCCCCTTCCTGCTGTACCTGGCCATTACCCTGCGGATTCTCTTCTTCTACATCCCGATCACCATCGTCACCAGACCCGCGTATTTCATCTGGAATAAGACCGCCACCCCATTCGTGAACATTATTCCCCAGAAGCTACGCACTCCCCTTGGAGCTCTCCTCTGCATCGCTGTGATCATCATCGGCTCCTTCGCCTCCCCCGAGTCTGCGGACAATACGCGTGCAAACCGCGCAGTCAGCCTATTCGGCCTACTCGTGTTCCTCTTCGTGCTGTGGTTGTCGTCGCGAGACCGCAAGAAGATCGTGTGGCAGACGGTGATCGTAGGCATGCTGGTGCAGTTTATCATTGCGCTGTTTGTACTGCGCACGAAGGCCGGATATGATATCTTTAATTTCATTTCTTACCTTGCGCGCGCACTGCTCGGCTTTGCATCGGACGGTGTGATCTTCCTTACCGCTGAGAACTTCTACACCATGAAAACGCCATTTTCCCCGGCGACATGGTTCCTTATTGGAGTGTGTCCAGCAATTATCTTCTTCGTGTCGTTTGTCCAGCTGCTGTACTACACGGGCGTATTGCAATGGTTCATCCAGAAATTCGCCGTGTTCTTCTTCTGGTCCATGCGGGTTTCGGGTGCCGAGGCGGTTGTGGCTGCTGCGTCGCCCTTCATTGGACAAGGCGAGTCGGCAATGCTGATTCGGCCGTTCGTGGCGCATCTCACCATGGCCGAGCTGCACCAGGTGATGTGCTCGGGTTTCGCGACTATCGCCGGGAGTGTGTTGATCGCTTATATCCAGATGGGCCTCAATGCTCAAGCCCTGGTGTCTTCGTGCGTCATGAGTATTCCTGCATCGCTGGCGTGCTCGAAGCTGCGCTGGCCGGAGAAGGAAGAGAGTTTAACAGCTGGTCGTGTTGTCGTTCCTGATAATGAGGAGCACCGCGCTACTAATGCTCTGCATGCCTTCGCCACCGGTGCTTGGCTTGGTCTCAAGATCGCCGCCATGATCACTTGCACTCTGCTTTGCATTATTTCGCTGATCGGTCTGGCAAACGGCCTGCTTACCTGGTGGGGCCATTACTTGAATATCAATGACCCACCCTTGACTCTCGAGCTCATTGTCGGCTACATCTGCTACCCGATTGCGTTTTTGCTCGGCGTCTCGCGCGACGGAGATCTACTCAAGGTTGGCCAGCTGATTGGTCTCAAATTGGTCGCGGTAGGCTTGAAACCCCCCTCCCCTGTCAAGACATGCTCTGACTAACTTCATTTCCACAGAACGAATTTGTGGCCTACGATGCCCTCCAGAACAACGAGGCTTATGCCGGCCTTTCCGACCGCTCGCGCCTGATTGCCACTTATGCTCTCTGTGGGTTTGCCAACATCGGGTCGCTGGGTAACCAGATCGGTGTCCTGGCTCAGATCTCGCCTGGTCGTAGTGCCGACGTTTCCCGTGTTGCCGTCAGCGCGATGCTCACGGGTGCGATCAGTACCTTCACCAGTGCGACGATTGCGGGTCTACTCATTACGAACGAGAAGCAATATTTCGGCTCATCCTAAGTGGCGATGTGTGCCTTACTTTTGTAATGCACAAAGAATATGGACGATATGTTTTACCTAGGTACATCGAGCGACGATGTGAAGTACAAAGCCAAATAAACAGTCCCAGGAGCAAAACTTAGGGCCGACACGCCTGTACTCGTATGCGTGTAGGAAAGATAATAAGAGACACATAAACAACCATAAAGAACAAGAACCAATAACTCCTAGCCCAATAATAACCAGGCCATTATGCATGTGCACCACGCCGTCCGCAGCCCGAAAGAAACGGCCGCGCCAGGGAGCATCCGGGGGGGCGACTTGACGCCAATACGGAATCTCTAAACCATGCAGAAAGGAGGGTCTACTCGTCGTCGAGATCGCGGTGACGGGCCAGGACATGCTTCTTGAACTCTTCTTGGTCAGAGTCCCAGAGCTCGGCTGCTTGGGCGTTCAGTGGACTCGCGCTGTAGTTACATGTTAGCAATTGGACCAGCTGGGAGAGTGACAAGGTAACTCGGAGAGTGCCGGCTTACTTGTTAGGCTCGCCCAAGAGACTTTGCAGACTCAAGAGCACGCTCTGCACGTTATACACAGCGCTCCATTTGTCCTTCAGGATATCCAGACAGATCCGGCCAGAGAAGTCGAAGTTGGGGTGGTAGATGGGGGTTTTGAAGAGGACGGTCGGAGGCGAGTAGGGGTAGTTGTTAGGGAAAGTGAATGAGAGCTTCAGCGTCAACCCCTCATAGGGCGTCTCCGTTGGGCCGGTAATGGTCGCAGTCCATGAGAGGAGGTTGCCGTCGGCGTCTGGGAAGGCGGAGATCCCAGGCGAAGGCGACAGCATGAGCTGCATCAGCTCTGCCTGCAGGCTATTCACAGAATCAGGACAAGTCAGCACTCCGCACCAAATCCCCACAATAGTGGTTACGAGCCGCTAGAACAACGAACCGCTTGGTCACGCTCTGCGTGTCATTCCGCTGGGCGGCGGAATTCAGCTTTGTAGCTTCCAGCGCATCGGGCGCCGAGTTCTGGGTATCCTCCATCGTGTAGTCCATAGCGAAGAGAGTCTAGAGAGCACGACAATTCAAAAAAGAGGTGATCTCGAAGGCCACAGATTCCCGGGCCGTCCGTGGAATGCGAGTCACTGTAGCACGAGGGTTGCTGTCTGGAATGACGACGGATCCGAACAACAGCGGACCCACAACGACCAAAAGCGACGGGGGGTAGATCGAGGCGAAGCGGGAGTGGAAGGAGAGTGGGAAACCTGTGGTTGAGAGGTAAATGGGAGAATGAGGGAATGGGATGACAGTAGTAGACACAAAGAAAGAGGAGAGGGCGAAGAAAGAGACGGGCGCTAGCAGAAACCAACGACCGTTTTGTTTACTCGGCGCCCCCCGGCAACGAAATGGGCCCCCGCTCTGCGAACGGCGAGCAGCAAAGAGACACCAGCTACCACAGGCTGTATGATGGGATAGACCAATTCTGTGCCACTCTGATATCCTAGGAAGGAAAATGGTATCCAAGGTGAGGAAATAAAATATTATAAAGTATATGTGCAAGGAGAAATACCTGCGAACAGTCCCAAGCACAGACCGATCTGCGGAGAATTTAGTGCGATCGAGGGGTCACCTGCGGGTCACGCTGCCCACGCTGGGTAGAATGATCTAGTGGTTGAGTGGTCGAGTAGTGATACTTAGAGCCAATACAAACCCAATGAGACCTATTGGAACTGTATTTCATCCTAGTATGCTATATGCTGGAAAGTCTTCTTCCCACGCTGTTATTGCCCCCCTAGTGACGCTATCAACACATTACCCAAACAGGATAAAGTGGCCCGCGTCTCGTCCCGCGTTTTGTCGCCTGCGCACTTCGGCCCTTGCTGCCGTCGCGCATCTCACTTGTCCATCGCCCATCTCTCATTTCACATCACGCAATGTATATTTAATTCTAGCGGCCGTCAGCCAGATTATCTGCCTGTACCCTATCCCCAGGTTCTCTCCCTACCCACACAGAGCCTACGATGCAGCACTCGCAGCTGGCCCCACTGCCAAGCGACGTGCCTTTTCGCATCGTCTCCAAGACAATCGGCCAGGGCGCGTATGCCTGGTAAGTACAGGCCCCAGTCGGGATCTAAAGAGATGTTCTAACCCGACGGCCATGATTCCAGTATTAAAAAAGCCTGTCCCCTCAACTCGGATAATCCCGTCTTCGCAGTCAAGTACATCCACAAGGACTACGCCGCGCGCCATGGCAAGATCAGTGCCAGACAACTGCAACTGGAGGTGACAGTACACCGGCACGTTACGGGTCACAATAATATCATCAGTTTCTTCCAGACCGGTGAGGACGAGATATGGCGGTGGATTGCGATGGAACTGGCCGAGGGTGGGGATCTGTTCGACAAGATTGAGGCGGATGAGGGCGTGGGCGAGGATATCGCACACGTCTACTTCTCGCAACTGATTAGTGCCGTGAGCTTCATGCATTCCAAGGGCGTGGGCCATCGCGATATCAAGCCAGAGAACATGCTCCTCACAGGAGATGGGAATTTGAAGATTGCGGACTTTGGCCTGGCAGCGCTGTTCGAGTATAAGGGGACCCGCAAGCTCTCGACTACGTTCTGCGGCAGTCCCCCGTACATTGCTCCCGAGGTGATCTCCTGCAGCACTCGTGGTCAAAACAAAGGATCAGGGTATCATCCAGACTTGGTCGATATCTGGTCCTGTGGCATTGTGCTGTTCGTCCTCCTCGCGGGCAATACGCCATGGGACAGCCCGACAGATGATAGTTACGAATTTCATGAATACCTCACGACGAATGCGCGAACCACCGATGAGCTGTGGCAGAAGCTGCCGCCCGCCACACTATCACTCCTACGTGGTATGTTGACGATCGACCCCAAGGGTCGCTTCTCGCTGGAAGATGTGAGAAGGCACCCTTGGTATACTCGATCGAACAAATACCTTTCATCCGAAGGTAAATTAAGAGACCCTATCAACCTCGCCACATCTATGTTCGAATCGCTGCATATCGACTTCAGTCAAGACCCTCTCTCCCAGAAGAGGAAGGGCGCCAGTCGAAGCTTCGACCCGATGGACATGGATATGGATGACAACGGTGACGCTACCTCTGGAGGTATGTCATCCACGCAGCCGGAGATGTTAGGGGGTGGCATGGTCATGGACTGGGACACCCCACACCTGGCTGGAGAGTTTTCTTCCACGCAGCCCGCCGAAAAGCCATTTGCATCGCAGGACATTGCAATAGCAACGCACCTTGAAGACGAGCCTTCGTTGTCACAATTCTCCCAGCAGCCTTCTGTGCCCTTGAGTCGAACTCAGAATGCCCAAAAGTTCCAGGACATTATCCCCTCGCGCTCAATGACGCGCTTCTATTCTGCATGGGAGCTGAAGCTACTGGTCCCATTGATCTGTGAAGGCCTACACCGTCTGGGAGTACCTGTTCCCTCAGTCCCTGCCGTGAGTGCTGGTGACACTGCTGCTATGATTCGGGTGATTGCCAAGGATGGTAGAATGTGCTCACTCCAGGGCAAGGTCCTCATTGAGTGTGTTTCCGAGGGACTCTTTGAGGTGGAGTTTGTCAAGATCAAGGGGGATCCCTTGGAGTGGCGCCGATTCTTCAAAAAAGTGGCTATCCTCTGCAAGGATGCGGTTTTCAAGCCAGACGAATAAACCAGTGTGGTTCCCCCTTGCTCGTCTTTCGTCTTTTTTTTTTTTTTTTTTTTTTGGTTCCCCCTGCTTATGTCGGCTTCGGATGTATGAGTAACGACGGGATGGAACATCTTGGGTTGAGCCGGCGTTTGGCTGTGGAGAACCCAAACCTTACTTCGCCCGCAACTTCCTCACTGTCCATATAGCGTAATGTCTATACACCTTTCACGTTCTTCGAATAGATTGCAATCTCATTCCGCTTGTGTGCCGTGGTGGACCTTCGGTGGGCCTGCTCCATGTAAATTGGGCCCCAGGGATTCTAGATCGAACCCCATGCACCAGAGAAGCGCCACGAGTGGTATCTGATTTTTGTATTTACCTCAATTCAATATAAACTCGAATGACATGCAATTCCCGATTCTCAATTCTCAATATCATAATCCAAGTAAACAAGGAAGACGCTTCTTTCCCTGAACCACGTGACGGCGTCGGCGCAGATCGCAGGGACAAGAGGCTTCTGGAACTTTTTTCAAGGCACAACATTACAGGCTACCTCGCCCTCGGTCCCCGTCCATCATCTTCTCCTTCATCTGCCCCTGATGCTGCAGTCACCCCGGCCTCCCTCATGGACAAGCTGCCGGTAGAGATCCTAACCAAAATCATCAACCGTAAGCGCCGCCGCAAACCCCTCCACTCCCGCGTGTTCCCCGCACCACTTCCTACTCCTCAACGCAAAAGAACGCCCACCGCTGACAACTCCGGGATACCCCAGTTCTCACCCCTCGTGAGAAGGTGCAGCTGCAACTGGTTTGCAAAAAGTTCTTCGACCTTGCACGCGATAACAACCTTTGGAAATTACATTGCTATGAGCAGTCATGGGCTGCGCTACAATCCGCCGGTCCGGCTGGCCGGACTTCCGAGAGTCTTCTTTCAAACCCAACGGCACCATTGAGTACACTAGGGCAGAGCTCGCTGCGTGATCTGATTCAACCTCTGGCTCCGCAGCCGGGAAATGGTGGATTAGAGGAGCGGGACTTTTCGCCGAGCGAGATAGCGAGGGCGGCCGCAGATTGGGATTCTTCGGCGGAGGGAGAACACGTGGATTGGTATTCAGAATATATTGCCCGCCATGGGCCTATGTCTCTATCATGGGCGGAGCAGCCTATGCTACAAAATGGTGAGGGTCGGAGGAAACATCCACATGAAGTCAAGGGCATGGGTTTGCTGAAGGACTGGAGCTCTGCGAGGGAGAACAAGATTGTGGCGCCTCTTGAGGATGGTACCGTCTGCATTTGGGATCTAAATCATTCCCACCGCGCGGATTCACAATCGACTAAAGGCAAAATTCTTGGCATGAGTGAGCCAGGCGTTCTCATGGCCAATCTTTCTAGACGGAGAGAGCATTCGCCTTCGAAATCTTCGTTGGAATTCATCAACCTTGGAGAAGGTGTCAGTATAGATTCGTTCCGGCGACGAGCCTATCTTGCTGTTGGCAACGTCCTCAATGAGGTTGATCTGGAGACGTTGAGGGTTGTTTCGCAGCAGCGATACCCTTGGTCGATCTTTGCACTGTCGCAAGAGACCGATTATTCAGTGCCGCTGACACTAGCTACTACACTCAGTCTTCAGATTCATGATGCCCGATTATCCGCAGTAGAAGAAGAGGAGGCTATCAGCTTGCGGTGCGAGAAGAACTCCGCGCTATTAGTGCCAGAGTTGGACATATTTGCTCGCGCAGACTCGCCATTACTACAACTGCAACCAAATGGACAGCCTCCCACTCGCATTCGCAGCCCTGAACCTACGGCCAGGGAGAACTATGCCCCTCTCTTCCAGCCTGGGCCACTTTCGATTCTACACCCCCCAGCCCCCCATGTTAACTCCATTCTTCTTGCGGGCCGTTTCCCCAGCATCCTCTGCTATGACCGGCGCTTCTTCCCTCGATTGCAAAGTACTGTGCATTCTGGCGGTCGGCTATGCAGTCTTGCCTCTGCTCCAGAGCCTCGGTTCCCCGTCTTCTCAGATTCGACATACCCACAATCCCATGCCATTGTGGCCTGTGGCGAGTACAATGGCAGAGGCTCGCTAGAATTATACCGCCTGGAGTCTTCATCACAAGACTGCAATGGCAGCCCATCCCATCATACATCGCTATTGACGCCAGAATATAGGAATCGACAAAGCGCAGCTAGTTCCAAGCTGCTCTCTGTGGCGTCACATGGGAACCGCCTCGTCTACTCCGACTCCGAGGGGAACATCAAATGGGTTGAACGAAATGGCCGGTCAGAAGTCCGCCGCTGGAACATTAACACCTCTCAACCACAAATTTCGTGCTCTCGACGCAGTCAACCACCGTCATTTGCACAACCAGAGGAAGCCTCCATGCCTCGTGGACTATGGCCGAGCTCAAACCCGCAGAACAATAGCAGCGAGGTAGCGCGTAAAATCCTACCCACCGGTGGAAACCTCTCAGGCGACGAACTGTTAATATGGACTGGAGAGCGCATTGGCCGTCTCAAGTTCTCCATACCGGCCGATCTTGATCGTGGCATGGGGGACAATGAGGATGATTTGTTCATGCATGCAGAGGTGGACGAAGACACCCGCACAGCAATGCGAAAAAAGCACCGTGACGAGTGGGAGAAGGAACAAAGGTATGCGAATATGATGCGTCGGGCACTTGAGCGGCAGGCCGATGAAGTTCGATGGATGGGGACCGATGGGATGAGTTGATTCCGCTCCATCTGCGCATCTTTTCGGCCGATACCTGTGCTATCTGTCTCGTTCTCCGGTAGTTATTTCACCACTTTAGTTCTTGTCTATACACTGTTACCTGTCTTTGCATAGTCCTAGTTGTTTTTTGAGCGATTCATGAACCTGAGAACAATTGTTTTGAACTTTAACGAAATATATATAATATATCGCAATCTTGGGAGCTTGGACTGAGAAGCCTCACTATTTGTCTCCAAAGGCACTGCGGTAGTTATACCTGTAAACTGCAAAAATACCTAGCCGGATCCATGATCTATAGCCTTTTGATACATAGCCCCATCCGGCTCTAGTATCTTCCACCCACTCACCGCCCGGCTCCCCGGGCTGATTGTAGCGTCACGAGCATTTCTAATGCACTGTCAGCGATTACGGACACTAGCAAGAGGCAACTTTTCTGGAACAATCCAAACTTCTCCTGGTTGTGTGATTTCTCGAGAACATAGTCCCGCACATACTTCGTTCAGGGGTCCCCAATTCCCCTCTTTTCTTTCACGTCTTGGAATTGCGCACTGAGGGGCAAAAATAACGGCGCCGATAACCCACACCCATTGCCCGAAGATGCCTTCCACCACAGAGGTTGCTCAGCGATTCGACTCGATCGAGGATACAATTGCCGCCTTTAGTGAGTAGCTATGCGACGATTGCTTTTCCTCCCGACTTGGCCTGATCTCGCGCCTCGGCGGCCTTCCGAGTGACTTCGTGACTGACGGTGACTCACCACAGAGAATGGCGAATTCATCATTGTGCTCGACTCGCAAGACCGTGAGAATGAAGGAGATCTTATAATTGCGGCCGAGTCAATTACCACTGCACAGATGGCATTCCTCGTGCGCTACACAAGGTGAGCACGCCACCCAATGCCGCCATTCGCGGAGAACACGGCTCCCCGCAGACACGACGGCTGCCACCGCAGCGAGCGGCCACGTGAATACAGTAGTCTAACCAGGCCCTACTTGACAGTGGATTAATATGCGCTCCCATACTTCCGGACCTGGCAGCCCGCCTCGCGCTCCCACAAATGGTTGCCGAAAACGCCGACCCGAAAGGTACCGCGTACACCGTCACCATTGACGCCAGTGACGCCTCCGTGACAACCGGCATATCCGCTGAAGATCGCGCGCTGACCTGCCGCACGCTCGCCTCCCCCAATGCCCAGATCGACTCCTTCCGCCGCCCCGGCCATATCATCCCGCTCCAGGCGCGCCCCGGCGGCGTGCGCGAGCGCAAAGGCCACACCGAGGCTGCGGTCGAGTTCTGCCGGCTGGCGGGCAAGGCGCCGGCGGGCGTGATTGCGGAGCTGGTGGAGGGTGGAGAGGTTGTTGAGGGTCTGGCCGAGATCCGAGGGAATAATGGGATGATGCGGCGGGATGGATGTTTGTCGTTTGGCAAGAAGTGGGGTATTAAGGTGTGCACCATTGAGGATTTGCTGGAGTATTTGGAGCGCACAGAGGGGGGGGAAGAATGGGCATTGATTGGCTGATTGATTGATATTGGTCTTAATATTGATTGGGAGTGTTATGCTTCTTTTTTGTGTATAAAGGGGTTCTTTTTCTTTTTGTGCCTTGTACATCACGGCGGCTTTGAGTGCATACCTTTAGATGAATGGACAAAAGCATTAAGGATTTGAACCTGAGTACAAAGAGGCAGATGTTGATACTGTTCAGGACAAGGATACTGGGTAGAATAGCCTTGGAAAGGCTTGGCCGTGCGCATCAATGGAAAGACGAGAGGACGTGAGATAGCAAGCGGTTTCACTGCTTTTTAGGAAGGCCACCAACTGACTTTCAAGAGTTTGTGAGTAAATTTTGTAGAAGTTTATCTGGGTATCTATCATTGTCATAATTTACAATCTGGGCAAATCGCATTGCCGAACTTGTGCAAGAAAAAGGCCACTCGAAGGAGGGCACCATGAGAACATACTAGCCGCCCATAACACCAATGCAATGCAGATAAATAGTAAAAGCCCCCTCGGACCAAGCATCCCCACCGAACGTCCCTACTTTTCAGATGAACTGTGAAAAGCCGATCACCGCTTAAGGTGAGAGTAGTCCCTCAGAATACCCTGCATGTGGGTGTTGGTCGTTTTGCCACTGCGTCGGGGCTTCTTGGTCTTTTTCTGCTCCACCTTCACCCGCGGCTTGATGACCTTGTTCTTGTTCGTGGGAATAATGCCCGCCTTATCCAGCGCCTCCTTGACAGCCTGCGGATCCGGGATCTTGATCTTGTCCCAGATTTGCTTGAACTCAGCGTCGAAGTGCTCGATCAGCGATGGGTCATTCGCCCAGACCATCTTGGCGTGATCGTCCTTCTTGTTCCGAGTCACGAGCAGTTTGCCTTCCTTCTCCAACTGGTTGATAGCTTCTTCGACATTCGGCCAGCCCTCTCGGAGTTCACGAACACTCATTCCGGTGGCAGTAGTTTGCGACTGTAGCTTTTGTAGAAGCTGCTCAGAGTTGCGGACATTGTGAGGGGGTCGGAATCTGAAGGTGCCTTCGCCACCAGCACCGGCCGGATCATAGTCCACCTTCTCGTGCCTCTGGAGGATGCTGCGGAGCGCCTGAACGTAGGCTGGTTCATGTGCACGGTGCTGGAGTGACAGGTAGGAGATGATATCCGCAAACCTGAGAGGCACGCCCTTGGTTTTCATGTGTTCGATCGCAAAAAGCACCTGAGTCATGATATCTTTGCCTGTGCCCGTATTGGCCGGCTGCGAGTAGACAATGTCGGCATCGTGTCGCTTCTTCTTCGGATCGCCGGTCGAGGAGGGTGTCGGCGCAGAAGACGGTATCTGTGAACTGCTGCCAGAAGCTGGAGGGTTGTTGGTCACCATCCGTCGCTGCTGGGGCAGGCGGTTCGCCGACTCCACAACGCTAGCGTTGAAGCTCTTGAGCTGCTGCTGAAGATACGACATGACTGTGACAAGGTATCCAGAATCACTAGATTTCGGACTCGAGAGACGTATAGATGGAAGGAAGCTGAGATGGACTCCAGTACGAGGTGCTGACAAGCAGTTGAGCTGGGAGAAGCTCAAAGAGTTCACTGGATCAGAACATATGAGAAACGGCGGCTCAAAGGAGTGCGAGGCAGTCCGTTGAACAGGATGAAGGAATGAGGAGGATAGAAGGTCGCCGCCCTGTCCGAGTCAAAGAGATCAAAGCTGAAGTGTAGGCTGCAATGGGCAGTCAAAGGAAGGATCACGTGATACGCGCGCCGCTAGCCGCCTTTGACGGAAGCAACCCCAAAGCGCGCGTAAGGCACCCTCACTCTTTGATTCTCGGCCTCACCTCATCGATCGATTGCCCTCCGACATCCCCTCAGTCAAGTCTTGCCTTTTCGATCTCTATAACTTTACCTTCCTTCGTTGGATCGCCATGTCCTAAGGTTCCCCCAACGGCGCTGTGTGTACTTGGCTCTGAGCAGTGCACACCGCGCGTTGAAACCTCGAAAGCTTCTCATACAGCTCTAGGACTGCGCTGCAACTCTCTCTTTCCCCCAACATAGCGGCCACATACTCTCACTATCGGTGAGCTTCATCTCACAATGGCGGATGCGGCAATTGAACTGCCGTATCTGTCTTCGCATTATGCGATCCCAGAAGCTACCCTCTCCACGTTGACTGAGGCCCCGACCGTCGACCTGGTTAACCAACTTCTACAATCGATCACAAAGAAGGCGCATGAATACGATGAGCTCAAATCTGACAAGCTTCGCTTGGAGGTTGAGCTTGAGAATGCCGTGCGCTCCAATGAGTCGAGGGTGAAGGTGTTGAAAACAAATGTGGAAAAGGAACAAGCGGAGGTCCAAGATCTAAGGAAGAAACTGCACGAATCTGGTAGGTATATGGTTGGAAATTTCTACAATTGGAGTTTTTCTGACCTCTTGCAGAAAACACGCGCTCAACCTTGGAGTCCGAGATTTCGCTGCTCAAATCGTCATCCACCTCAAATGAGACCGAGTTCAACTCACTCAAATCACGCATCTCGACCCTCGAATCTGAAAATCGTGAAAGCCTTGCGTTACTTGAATCCAAGTCTTCCGCGCACGACAAGCTAGCTGAGGAGCTCTCAGCCCAACACAAGAAGACTATTGAGCTGCGCCGTGAACTCTCCACTGCCGAGCAGAACCTTCAGGCCGCCAACTCGGCCTCAGCAAGTGCACGATTCCGCGAACAAAATCTCCAGCAAGAATTGGATCTTACCAAGAAGAACAATGAATGGTTCGAGACCGAGCTGAAGACCAAGAGTGCAGAATACACCAAGTTCCGCAAGGAGAAGACTGCGCGAATCTCCGACCTCCAACGTGAAAATGAGGAGGCGGTAACCACCATCGACTCTCTGCGACGTAGCGAGAACTCTCTCAAGGCTCGTCTCGACGAAACCGAGCAGCGCTACGAAGAGTCCCTCGTCAGCATCAACCAGCTGAAGGAAAATGCGATACAAGCCGAAGAGACATTCCGAATTGAGCTTGAGACTGCCAACCGACTTGCTAATCTGCAAGAATCATCCGCCAATTCTGCGAAGCAACGTGCGCAAGAGTGCCAGATCGCGCTGGAGAATGCCAAGCATGAAGCTGCGGAGGAAATTTCTCGCCTGCGTGTCGAGATGGAGGCGGAGCATTCTGACAAGGAGGCTGCTGAGGCTCATGTGACAGAGCTCGAAAGGACAGTCGCTCAACTTGAATCTCAAGGCTCCCGAAATCGGTCTGCTAGCCCTGCTCCTTCTCTTAATGGAGCGGGACCAAGCACACCTATGCGTCCAGGAACTCCTGGTAGTACTTTCTCACCAAGAACTTCTCGTACTAAGGGTGGCCTGTCACTCACTCAGATGTACACCGAATACGACAAGATGCGGACTCAGCTGTCCGCTGAGCAAAGGACGAATCAAGAACTCCGTTCTACTCTGGACGAGATGCTCCAAGAGCTCGAGTCTACCAAACCAGAAATCGACGACCTTCGGAGTGATCACAAACGCCTCGAAGATGCAGTCATGGATTTGTCGGGCCTTTTGGAAACATCTGGGAAGGAACGTGATGATGCCATCAAGGAGGCAAGGAAATGGCAGGGTCAGGTTGAGGGTCTTACTCGCGAGGGGGGTATTCTTCGCCAACAACTCCGGGATCTTAGCGCTGAGGTTAAGGTTCTTGTCCTGGAAGTGGCTATTGCCAAGCAAGGCGAGAACTACGATCGTGCAGAGCTCGAGAAGATTGCTCGCAACGAAATCGAAGAATCTGCGGCAGAGCTGAACGAAACTGGTCGTTTCATTAGCCGCAACCTGGTCACTTTCAAGGATCTCCATGAACTCCAAGAGCAAAACCTTACGCTCCGACGTATGCTGCGGGACCTCGGGGATAAGATGGAAGGCGAGGAAGCCCAAGCCAAGGATGCTATTCGTCAACAGGAAGCGGAGGAATTGAAAGAATTGAGAATCCGAGTCCAGACCTATCGCGACGAGATTGCCAATCTTGTTGCACAGACGAAGAGCTACGTGAAGGAACGCGATACGTTCCGAAGCTTGCTCACCCACCGTCGCCAGACCGTTGGAGGGGATACCTCTTTCTCTCAATCTGTCCCTCCGGGTGCTGCTCCCCCAGGTGCTTTTGATAGCCAAGTCAAGGACACCACGGACTACGCCGACCTCCTCCGCAAGTTGCAAGCTCATTACGACACTTTCCGCAACGAGACACTCACAGACCACTCCTCCCTGCGCCAACAGGTCAACGAGCTCTCGCGGAAGAACAGTGAGCTTATGAGTGAGATCAGCCGTTCTAACAGTCAGCTTGCTGCGGCGTCACAACGTGCCGAACTTCTGCAAACTAACTTTAATATGCTGAAAAATGATAATAGCGAGATTCAAAAGCGCTATTCTACCCTGTTCGAGAATTCCAGCAGACAGGAACTTCGAGCTCAGCAAGCTGCTGAGGATCTTGTCGAGGCTAAGGGTCTTGTCGATAGTCTGCAGCGAGAAAACTCCAACCTCAAGGCCGAGAAGGACCTTTGGAAAAGTATCGAAAAGCGCTTGATTGACGACGTTGAGAGCCTGCGGAATGAGCGCGGCCGCCTTGACTCCTTGAACGCAAATCTGCAGACAATTCTCAACGAGCGTGAGCATGCCGAATCCGAGAGCCGTCGCCGACTCCAGTCAAGTGTGGAAGCACTCGAATCCGAGCTTCAATCCACAAAACGGAAGCTCAACGACGAAACTGAAAGCTCCAAGCAAGCTGCCCTGCGTCGAGACTACGATAAGGAACAGTCTCAGAAGCGGATTAATGATCTGGTTACCAGCCTGAGCTCAGTTCGCGAGGAATTGGTCGCGACCAAGACTACGAGAGACCACCTTCAATCGCGCGTGGACGAGCTTACTGTCGAGCTGAAGAGTGCAGAAGAGCGTCTTCAGGTTATTCAATCACGACCGAGCATTTCTGCAGCCCCGACAGAGACCCCGGCCGTTACGGACGAAGCTGGAGATGGCAGTGGCCTCAGTCGCGAACAGGAGCTGCTTATGGAAATTTCCGAACTCAAGCGTGATCTGGATCTTGCGAAGGGTGAACTTGCTCATTCCAAGGAACAAGTCGAAGAATACCAGGCTATCAGCCAGTCGACCGAGGAACGCATGGAGTCAGAAGCTGAAACTCACGCGCAATACCGCGAGGAGACTGACCGGCTTATCGAGGAGAAGGATAAGAAGATCCAAAATCTTGAGGGCCGGATTGAAGAGATATCTACTGAGCTGTCCGCCACCAACACGGAGATTTCGAAGCTTCGTGATGAACAGGGTGAAGCGACACGTCATCTGGAAGAGCAGAAGGCGAATTTGGAATCGGAAATTACCCGTCTGAAGGATGACAACGAAAGACACGTCGCCACAGCTCAGTTCCACCAAGAGGACCTAAAGGCACAGGCTGAGATTGCGCAAAATGCGCAGCAAAACTATGAAAGAGAACTTGTCAAGCATGCTGAGGCTGCGAAGAACGTCCAAACTGTCCGCGCCGAAGCCAACCAATTGAAGCTTGACGTAACTGAGTTGCGCACTCAAGTTGAGACTTACAAGAAGGACCTTACCCAGAAAGAAGAGAGCTGGGCTGAGCAGAGGGCAAGATATGACGGCGAACTCGCTGAGCTGCACAAACGCCGGGAGGAGGTCAATCATCAAAACTCTGTCCTCCACATCCAGCTTGAGAATATCAGCACCCAGATTGCTGCTCTTCAGCGTGATCGTGCCGGCATCGCTGATATTGATGGGCAAGACGGCGAGCAGTCGGCTCCTAACCTGGAGGGTCTGCAAGAGGTTATCAAATTCCTTCGACGTGAGAAAGAGATCGTCGAAGTCCAATATCACCTCTCTACCCAAGAAGGCAAGCGGCTCCGCCAGCAGTTCGAGTATACTCAAGCCCAACTTGACGAGACTCGACTCAAGCTCGAACAGCAACGTCGCGCCGCTGCAGATAACGAGCACAATGCTCTCAACCACAACAAACTCATGGAAACTCTCAACGAGCTCAATCTGTTCCGCGAAAGCAGCGTCACTCTTCGTAACCAGGTCAAGGAGACCGAAGCTGCTCTTGCAGAAAAGTCCGCTCGCCTCGATGAGCTTACTCAACAAATCGAGCCTCTGGAGACCAAGATCCATGAATTGGAGGGTGTTGTTGAGGCCAAGGATGGTGAGATACGGTTGTTGCAAGCAGACCGCGACCACTACCAGAAACGTGTGCAGAACATTCTGCAGAAGTATGACCGCGTCGACCCGCAGGAAATGGAGGCATTGAATGAGAAACTGGCCACCCTCCAGAAAGAGCGCGACGAGGCCATCTCTGCACGCGACGAGGCTATCTCTGCTCGCGATACCCTCCAATCCGCGGCTGAATCAGTCCCAGAACAACTCAAAGCCGCGGAGCAGACGACGGAAACTCGCCTCGCTGATCTGCGGAAGCGACTTGGCGAGCAATTCAAGAGCCGTTCTAGGGAGCTTACTGCACGGATCAAGGCCATTACGGAGGAGAAGGAGGTTCTGCAGGGAGAGTTGGCTACTACGAAGGCAGAGCTAGAGACAGCCAAGACCAAGGCTTCGGAAGCCGCGGTCGAACCAGCGACTACATCGCCGGCGCCAGTTGCTGACGAGGCTGCACCGGTGAACGCAACCCCCGCCTCTCAATTCCCGACGGCAACCACCACTGTCATAACATCTGGCGACGATCAGAAGATCAAGGAGCTGGAAGCGAAGATCCAACGCTTGGAAGCGGCTCTGGCTGAGAAGAATGCCCTTCTGGCTGCCAAAGATACCGAGCTGGATGCCAAGGTCAAGGAACGTGCGGACAAGCTCAAAGACTCTTACAACACCAAGTTGGCCGAAATCAAAGCCAACCACCGCCAAGAACTCGAAAAGCTATCCTCCGGAGAGCTCACCACCCCTGCCACCCCTGGTGCAGGCGCAGAACCAACACCCGCTACGCCGTCCAAGAGTGGTGTTAATCTTCCCACCCTTACTGATACCCAGGCCCGTGAGCTTGTTGCGAGTAATGAAACTATTCGCACCATTGTCAAGAACAATATCCGTACGATGGTCAGCAAGAATGAAGATAAGGCGAAGCAGGAAGCCCAGGCAGCTGCAAAGACCCATGAAGAGACTCTGGTCACGCTAAAGAAGACCCACGAGGAGGAACTGAGTGAGAAGGTCAAGTCTGCTGTGCAGCTTTCTGACAAGAAATCAGCGGCTCGGATTAGCATGCTCGATACTCGCCTCAAGACCTCACTTGCGAAGATTGAGGTCGTTTCGAAGGCTGCTGAGGAAACTCCGCAAAAGCCTGTTGTCGAAGTCTGGGAGGTAGCCAAGACAGCGCGACCTCCGCCTCAAGCTCCCAAGCCTGTAGCGGCAGCATCGCCGGCCCCGCCTGCCTCTCCTGCCCCGGCCGCTCCTTCCACAGCACCGGCTGTGGCAATCAGCCCGGCACCTGCAGCTCCTGCTCCTGCAGCAGCTCCCACTCCTGCAGCCGAGCCAGCTGCCGTGCCCGCGACGGACGCTACTGTCCCCGAGGCCACTGCACCTGACGGACAGCAAGTCCAGTCAGGGGGTGCTGATACAACAGCTGCAGCACCTTCCAATCCATTCGGCCAAATCCAACAGAATGCCCAGCAAAACAAGCAGCCTCCCTCGCTGCCGACCAAACCACCCGCAGGCACGGCTCCGGGTATGCTGAGAGCATTGCAGTCAGGACTTCCTGTTGCTCGTGGAGGCCGTGGTGGTCGTGGCGGTGGCCAACAGAATCCCTTTGGACATGCCCAGCAGCAAGGCCAGCAGCAGCAACAAGGCGATCAACCACAAGCTCAGGGCCCAGCCCAGAGCCAACGTGGTGCTGGTGTCCCTAGAGGCCGCGGTGGTCGCGGAGGCCAGGGTCGTGGCGGAAACCAGAACCAGAATCAGAACCAGCCTAGCCCCACAGCCAACCGCGGAGCTCTGAACGTTCAAGCCCGCCAGTTCATCCCTCAGGGCAACAAGCGTTCACGCGAAGATGGATCTGACGCAACCAATGAAACAAGCGGTGGCAAGCGTATGAGGGGCGGCGGTGCATCATCCTAGAGCGATTTATTTCCTGTATCTTTCCATCGATGTATTCTTTCCCACTCATGAGGCGGCCAATAGGGTGCCACGGATGCTTTAGTCTGCCTTGAGGGCAATTCGGTTTCAGGTCGCAGTGCCAAATTTTCTTTTGTCTGTCTGTATCTACTTAATGTACGATGGAGTTTCTGGGAGTTCAATCGTTTCGCCAACTTGGCCCTGGAATGATCTTGATTTCGTAGCTGCCGGATCTCCATGTGGAGTATCAACCTTTATGCTGTGGGGGAATGGTATTTATGTCAGACCATTGTACGTAACTAACGCCTTGCACTCCTTTCGCAAATTGGTCGGGCCTGGATCAGCTAGAGGGTCTATTGGGAGGCGCCACGCCTTACACTACGGGCTTATTTAGCAACGACGTGGACTTGACCAAGGCATGTGGGAATTCATTGGATGGTACATAAAGGGTATTCAACAAGACCGAACTCCTTCGACGAGAACATGACAACGCCGCCCATAACCACCGATCAATCTCAACCCCCGGCCCAAACTTATTTCTTCTTTGTAGCCCCAGCCGGCACAATCATTCGCTCGAGTACCTCCCTCTCTTTCTGAAGCACCATCAGCCTCGCATCCTCAATGACCTTCCCTTCCGGCGCAGGCGGCGGCACAGGTATCTGCGCAACCTGCGCCGCAACCACGACCGCCGGCGCAGGCTCTTTCGCGCCGCGCGCTCTTTTCCGCCGCTGTCCAACCCCGGAGCCCCAGACTACCGTCCACTCGGGGACGCATCCATTCGCGGGGATCTGGCACCCAGAGCAGATCTTGGAGTGCGCGCCGATGTCCGCATATCGGTTTATAGTTACCAGGGACTCGACCGTGGCGGACGAGTGTACGGTTGCGCCGGGGAGAACGGTGGAATGCGGGCCGATGGTGACAAAGTAGGAGATGCGGGTGGCTGTTTTGTGTCCTTGGACTTGCGACGCGGGGGATGTGACATTGGTGGATGAGGATGTGGGGGACGGCCCTGTTGACGCGGACGGTGATGGACCGGTCGACCGTGATGTGCCGGGTGCCGCTCCAATTATGGCTTTTTCACTGACGATGCATCCGTCGCCTACGGAAATTGGGCCCTCGAAGGCATAGAATCGGGCGCGCGGGTGGATGACGGTCCCTGCGCCGATGGTGATGGGGTATGTTCCCTGAAAGACTGCGGTGTCTGCGATTGTGGCCGAGGCATCGGCCTTCAGGGGGGCTTTCGGTGGACCAGCGGGAGGATGTGAGGATGACGAGCGGCGCTGTGCTGAAGGCGGTTTGAGGGTGGCCATCGCGGTGTTGTGTTTCTTTGAGCGTTGAGCGGTGGTCGGTGGTGTTTTGGGGTCGGCGATTGCGGAGTTTGGGTGGCTCCGGTGGGTCGAGTCGGGGCCTGCGCACGCACTTCGAGGGCGGTCTTTACTACGGAGTAGCATACCTGGAAAGAAGCAATGCATATTGGCAGAACAATATACTCATATACTCATTCGAAGGGTCGTGGATAATCCGCAAATGCAAAGTTCCATAGGGTATCTAACATCGAGCGTCTAACATGTACAAACCAACGCCCCCATTATTCTAGTCCACGCAATCATCTCCCCGCAACCGTCCACGGAGCTCATCAGAAGCTCAAGCATCCTCCCCTGCAGTCTTCTGCTTAATGCCATTGCGCTTTCTCCATGCCCAAACACCACGATCGACCTCTTCCCGGGTCATACCATCCCGCACAAGGTAAAATGTCACGCCCAGCTCGGTCTCCACATTGCGGTTCCGCGCCTCATCATCGAAGAACAGCATCTCTTCGTACGCAACCCCGCTCGTCTGGTGGATACGTGAGAAATGCTGTGTCTTGTTGGCAGGGAAGATCTGGATGAAGTCAAAGTAGTCCAGGGCACGGATGGACTTTGCGTTGTTGGCCGCGAGATTGTCTGAGAAGGAAGGGATGATATGGAGGGCTTTGAGCATGTCGCGGGCCAAATCGGGCGCGTGGGTGCGCGAGGCAAGAGCCATGGGAATCGATCGACTCTTGCAGGCGTAGATGATAGAGGAGACGGCCGGGTAGAAGGCGAAGGATTCGCCCCAACTGCAGGAAGACATGAATTAGAAAGAAAACCCGAAGGTGCATGGGTGTTGGGAACATGCCGGTCCACAGCGCGCGAGTTGTTGTCGCGGGCCTTGACAGGCGCACTGACGTGCGTGTCGACCCAGAAGGGCCACAGCGTATAGTCCAGGTCGAAAGCAATCAGCTTGGGAAGCGGCAGGCCGTCGGTGAAGGTCGCGGGGGCCACCGAGGCATCCTCCAGGGGCTGTGTGTTCTGGCGCTTGGCGCGTACCATTGTGAGGGAATATAGAATGGAAAAGGAAGAAATGCAATTAAGAGAACACGGCTAAACCAAATGCGATGCAGGCGACGGCTGAAGAACAGAAGAACGGAAGGAATCCAGAAGCAGCCACCGCGGGGAGAACCCCGGAACCCAGGCACGTGCCCGTGGATCCATCCCCTCTATACATCTCTGTCGTCCAATGAAACGCGCCGAGGTTCAGACTAAGATCTAGCGTTGCTGGTCCATTGCATACTCACAGACACATGGTTGAATCATATTTTCGGTGGCCACTACTGGCATGGCCGAGCGAGTGGTTCCTGATTGAACATGAACCCACGAAACCGACATGTAGAGCCGTTCTACGAAGAAGAGCGAATCAATCTTGATAATGACTAGATTCAGTGTGCACGTTTCTTTCCAGGTTGACCGCGTAATGTTTTTAATTCAAGCAAACTCGAAACTACTCAGTCACAATTTGGGACAGATATTAATCAGAGCAGAAATCAAGGGACCGATAAGGAGCGACATAAAAGCGAGTAACGGCAAGGCAAAGAAAGGCTCGCAGCATCTTTGTCATCCCAACCTCTCTCAAACGGCAATCTAGCAAAGGATCCAAGTGGTTAGTATTGAAGCTTCAACCCCTACCAAGCATTCTGACACCTTATATTAGGACTGGTTGTCCTGATGAAGATGGGGCATCTTATCAAAGACAAGGCTGTCCCTATTCGGAGCCTTGAATTCAAGGGGATCTTGTTTACGCAAGACGGGGCGGGATTCTCTCTCTTCAAGGGGGAGTGGCCGCGGCACGGGACTAACCTTCAAGCCTTTCGCAGGGATTTGAACGAACCCGCCGGATCCGTTGAGTGCGGCTGCATCAATTTCCGCGAAGGAAAGGGATTTCTTCTTGGAAACACCGTTCGATGATCCATTCATTGGGGCGGATTCGGATGAGCCAGCCAGCTTCTTCTGCAGAACGTTGACGGCAATGGGAACAAGAGTGCTGATTACCTTGGGCGCAGCCTTCACAACGGCGCTACCAATGCTCTGCACTGCCCCCTTGATGCTGTCAAAGAAACCCTCGGCGCCGGTGCCAGAATCCCCCGAAGAGGAGGAGGCCTTCGCCAGATCGTCCGCGTTGAGTTTCATCACGGCGCGCAGTGCCGCCTCGGCCATGACAGCTCGCTTCGTGACGAGAGTGGCTGCGTCCAGATCTGCCTGGTCATCGGGCGAGAGAGATTCGGTGCTTTCGGTGCCAGATGGAGCCAGGGCATTATTCAGCATCTGCAATCCAATCTTTGCACCCGTGATTGCGAAAGGCTTGGCCACCGACACGGCCTTGCTGAGGAAAGATCCCAACCCGCCGAAGAAGCCTTCTTCGCCATCTACCGCCTTGGTAGGAGCCAACAGACCATCCACAAATGGCGAGCGAGCAATAGCCGACTCGGTACCTTCCACAATGTTTTGACGCTGGTTGAGCAAGATCGGCTTCTTGCGCAGATAGTCCTGGTTGACGGCCAGACGAAGAGCAGAGTCCTTCAACAGAGGGACTAGCTTGGGCGCCAGGTTGGTGACATGGGGTGACAGCTGGGAATAGGTGGCCTGCATGTCTTTCATAATCTTGCCGGACAGGTCGGGATCGTTGATCTTCAGGACCGACTGCAGAGTTGCTTCGGCGAGAACGGCTCGCTCGGTGGCTCCCTGAGAAGCCTTGGGGACATCGACAAAGGCCGACTCGGTAGCAGTGGCATTAGCGACTGCGCCCAGAGCAGCGCCCGCGATAGCAGAGACCGGGCCGCCCAGTGGACCCAGCAATGGGGATGCCAGGGGCAGCACTGTTTGGCCCACTTTGGAAACCACGTTGATCACAGATTTGAGACTATCGAAGAAGCCTTCGCTGTCTGGGGTACCGAAAAAGTCTTCAGTTCCAGGCGCAGCCTTAGGGTCCGAGGCAACCGGGACGGTTACAGTCGAGCCAGTGGAAGAAGAGGTTGGCTTGACAAACTTGATCCCGCCCACAGCCTTGACACTTGGGTAGGAAGTATTAAACACCGACAGGTACGCATTATAGTCGTTGCCAAAGTCGGGGCCAATGGGACTCGCCGAGTTTGTGTCTGCTCCGCCATAACAGTGAGCTCCAATGGATACCTGTCCCGCCTTCTTGCGGATCACAGGCGAGCCGGACTGGCCTGGGACCGAAACGCCTTCGTTAGACCGAGTCCTATGCAGGAATGACAAGGGGAAGAAGGATGATGGAACGGACCTCCGAAAGTGGATATTCTGTATTGCAGCATCTTCAACGCGTTGTCGTTGCGGTCGTACTTGATTTCGGAGAAGAGCTCATACATTTGAGCCCCCGGCTCGTCGACGCCATCGCTATCGTTGATTCGCATATCACCGGGGTATCCGACGACGCCAATCATCTCTGTGCTCTTCATTGGAGTGGAGACAAACGAGAAGAGACGGAGATTGCCTTTGAATGGGGTCGCCAGCTGAATAAAGGCAACATCACGATGGCGATTGTCTCGGCTATCCACCCACTCGCCCGTGGTGACCACTTTCTTTGCGAATCTGGATTGCACTGAGCCGTCCTTCAAGCCCGTGGTCAGGGAGTCCCGGCCATTATAACCAATGTAGCATTGCATGATCCGCAGCTTGCCATAGCCGTTGCCATCGTTGCCGGAGTGATCGTACACCACATGTCCTGCAGTGACCAGAAGATCCGGCTTGATGAGCCATCCAGTCCCCATGGCTCCCATGTCACTCCCAGCGGGCATCCCATCGTATGCCATCTGGAGCTTGACGATTGCTAGATATGGTCAGCTTGGAGAAGTCTCCCTTCGCGATGGGCAGAGGGCTCACATCGATACTTTCCGCCATCCCGGTAGTCATTGGAATCGACCAGACTGCGGTTATCAGGCTGATACACAGCTTCCGTGGATCCCGCGTCCAGCTGGATGAAATTCTCGGTAGGCGGGGCCTCTCCAACCTTGAGGTTCCATGTGGCGGCCAAGCCGGCGTATTGAGAAGGAGCAGCAGCCATGATGCAAAGATGCAGAAAAAGGTCACGAGTTAAGGGCCAGAGGAGGTATGTAGGAGATTGAGACTGGAGTGAAGGCTGATGGAGTTCATTCCCGGGAATTGGGCTAGTATTTATAGCTTTCTCTTTGTAGGTCAATTCTATCTCGGCTCAATTGTCTCATGCCTCTTTACCTTTTCCCGTTTTGTCAAGCAGGATGCCGAGCACCCCGCTGCGCCTTGATTTTCAGCTCATCCTGTCAAGCCAGTTCCATTGTGGCTGCACAGTCACTGCCTGCCGACGGCGAGACCGTGACCTGTGATTCTGACTGCATGAGTAGACGCTCTTGTATACACTACCCTCACTACTCCTGGGATGAGCTTCACGAATCTTTCCAATGGTGTTCTATATCGTTATCGGGCTCGATGCGAGTCCTGATACAGGTTTCGTCGCTATAAGACCAGCGTGACAGAGAGTATAGTTGATTCAGAGCCGATAGATCATTGAGCGGTGGTGCGTACTCTCCTATTTGATTATTGGATGGGAGCAATGAATTGGATCTATCTCATGGACGTGGGGCTCAGGAGACTGCCAAGTTCGTCACGTATACTTCTGAAACTGTATAGTTCGAATGGAACCAATCTTTCGGTACCGATGACGTCTGCCAGGGACAAAAACCGCCCAAAAAGGGTGGGGTAAAGTGAGAGTGACTGGAGTTTAGACCCTCCGTCAGCTCTCCGGTTCGTCCATGCTCGGCGGGTCAAACGGGACGACAAGTCATGATGTGGGGATTCGTCGAGACGTGCTTCTGCAGTTGGCCGACGCAGAGGCTAGATGTGCCCATGCCGCCACTACGCACCACGTCCTCGTGTTCGCCTGGAGTTCCCAGCCTTACGGGCATTAAGTTTACCAAGCCAGCTTGACGAACTCCGCGCCAAGAAACTGAGATGTGCGGAGATGCATCCTGCAGCAGACGCGCTCTCCTCGGATCGGCCCGGTCAGAGTTCGGACCATATGCTCTCCGACTGGCATCGGCAATTATCACCCGCCTTCACAGCTGGTCTCATCGCCCACCAAAAGGGTACACGCCACACTTTTCAGCTGTGGAATTGCGGGTGGCCTGGATTAAGGCTATACGAGGATCACGGTTCATTTCTCCGCAGGGCACGGTGGAAACGTCTGGGGTCGTTGGAAGAATGAATTTTGTGGGGGGAAGAAAGAAGAAAGACCAGTATCAATTGGCGATTTGAGGGGCTTTCCAGGGAGAAAATGGGCAATCGCAATCGAGCCGCATGCCATCCCATCGACCAGTCGTTAAATTACCTAATTTACCGCGGATTGTTGCCTGCAGCACAGCCAACAAAGCCGTCACATGAGATGAGACTCGGGGTTTGCCCCCCGATATTGAGGCTGCAGGGGATTTTGGGACATTGGCTGCTTATTCCCCGTTCGCGAGGACACGGCCACGCTGATATAGTGCTGGGGAAAATACTTATATACAGCACCAGACTCTAGACTCTACGTGCACGGTTCACTCATTTTATCTCCATCTGGATTCGGAGAAGCAAGCGAACAACTGGGTGGACTCTACTCTACACGTTGAAAAAGATGTCGCCCCAGCCCTCGTTGAAAGCAGTCCAGGGTCTCCCAAACTTGCCTTATGGAGACACGGCTGATTCCTCTTCTCCTTCAAACGGCAACTATGTAGTCAAGTCGGACCCTTGCAAAAATGAGCATAAGCCGCTTGTTTCAGGCGATTCAGACGCTATCGAAACTCGCATTTGGTTCAAAACGAACGTGGGTATCCCCCCATCAAAGCCGATGTTGATGCTTTCTTTCACTAACGAGCCATTAGGCACTGAATGCTGCGACCATCAAGAGTTTCCAAACCATCCAGCTCTTTGCAGAAACACACGATCAAGGTCATGCAGATGATTCCTCCATGGGGAACTGGACTTGGCTAGAGTTGGCCATCTTTGAGGATGAGTCGTCGGATAAGCCTCGCGTGAAGGACGGCGTGGAGCTTGTATGGTTGAGTCACAAGAACCGCTTCCTCACAGACGAATATGGCTGGGTAAGCTGCCTTCTTTTCACAAACCGAAAAATGGGGACATTCCTGACAATCCTGGAGGGTACAGATGGCTGGCCAGATTTTTGATCGCCATCACGATCTGTTGAGGCTGCTAGAGGTCAGAATGCTCATCATCCCCCCATTGTGTTGTGACTGACCGACGTAGCCGAGTAATGTTCTGGCCATTCGCGCCTGTGCTCGTTTCCCGGGCTGGGAGCTATACGGACGAGACGCATATCTGATCTTCGATATCGGTGACGAGAAAGGTGGGAAAAATCCAAATCTTCACATAGTTCGCCAGCCATTAACGAACAGGAAACAGACATTGACCCGCCACCCGCTTATTCCAATATTATGGAGCAGATGATGAGTGTGCAGCAAACACTCGATGAAGTCAATGAGCTTAAGCTCAAAATTAACGATAAAGAGATCGACCGGCAAAATGACGCGTTCAAGCCCCAGATCCCTCTTGACTTGACGCGCGCAGATGCGTATGCGGGTAGAGATGAGCGCCCTCTGCGCGTGCTTTCACTGGGTTGGTTCAATATTCTACTTCAAAATTCAAGCCGATTCCCCCAAGGCTGACTGAACGGTTTGCTCCAGATGGTGGCGGGGTTCGTGGAATTGCGAGCCTTCTGATTTTGCAAGCCGTTCTCGACAAAGCGGCTCCCGGCAAGAAGCCGTGTGAGATCTTTGACATGATCGGTGGCACTAGTACTGGAGGGTAAGTGTCCGTATTTTCCTTTTTGTTGATGTGCCCGGCAATTCCATCCATCTGCCGTGGTTCCCTTGCTGAACGGTGCATTAGTCTGATCGCCATCATGTTGGGCCGCCTCCAAATGAGCGTCGCCGAATGCATTACCCAGTATGATAACGTCATGAAGGAGGTCTTTCCAGAGACGGGCGATATCAAGAAAGCTTTTAATCTTGCTACGCAAGGCGAATTTTACGATTCCAGCAATTTGGAAAGTATTATCAAGAAGCTGATCAAGGACAAGCTCGGCGATTCTGAGGTAGACTTGCTGGACGAGAAGGGTGCTTGCAAGATGTATGTATACCATACCGTACAGCGGGCCCTGATCCACGGCAGTAGACTAACCCTCTTTCCAAATGTGCACAGTTTCCTCATGGCGACTAATTCCCAGGCTGCGAACAACCGTGCTCCTATCTTCCTGCGCTCATACACGAACCCCAATAACGTAGAAGACAGCGCACTGGTGAATATGAAATTGTGGCAGGCGGCTCGCGCCACCTCGGCTGCTCCGGCATATTTCAAGCCACTGCAGGTGAACGGATATACATTGGTCGATGGCGGCCTGGGTGCAAATAACCCATTGGGATGGTATGTGAAAATCTCTCAGGTTGGCAGACCCATAAAAGCCGGAAGCTAAAACTATAACTCTCCTATAAAGGCTCTGGACCGAAGTCCTCGGGGTCTTCGGCCCCACCCGAGCCACCGACTGCTTCCTTAGCATCGGCACCGGTATGGCTGCCAATGCCCCGGTCCTCCAGCCGGGCATCATCCCGTCTCACGCGGTCGAGGAAAGTTACGTCTCCGTCGCCACGAACAGTGAGCTTATCAATATCATGTTCCGGACTCTGATGGATGCATTTGCCCCGCTGGTTCGCCAGAGTAAGTACTGGCGGATGAATGTACACAAGGATATTGTGAATGAGAAGAAGGTTGTTGAAGGGGGATGGTTGAACTGGAAAAAGGATGCTGTGACCGGGATTAATAACTATGAGAACCCGGGAGCGTTGGATGATGTCAAAGCGGCATTGGGCAAGTTGACTGATTGGACGAAGGAGTATATCGTGCAGGAGCAGACAATGATTGGGGAGTGTGCGGCTGCTATTGGAAGGAATATCCGTGGTGAGAAATGAGGGGATCCATTGCTGATGTGTTGATTAATTTGGAGTTCACGTATTCGCTAAGGATGTATCAAGTACACAAAGAGACTCCGTCCATTCCCTGGTTATCATCACTTAATCCATGCTGCATAGAGGAGCGAATTCCTTCCCCTTGGCGCACAATGGCATGCCGTGTCCGTCATAACAAATATCACCCATTCTCGCCATATTGCAGTGAATAATTAGTATCAGAATTTCAAGAAAAGGCCACCTGGAACAGCTTATCCTAATAATGATGGATGATATCTTGGAACTCTTCCAGCAAAAGCCGATCGACATCGTCCCATCCGGATGAACTATCCGTGGACGGGAGGTGCTCGTCGTCTACGAACGCCTGATCAACAGCAGCCATAGTCTTCAGTTGATGCATGGTGCGTCCTGTATTCAATTCAGGAAGATGATATTCTGGAGACGGAGATTGTTGAGCTCGTTGCAAAAACAACTCTTCGTAGGCTTGGCAAAAACTGCCCGACTTTCGAACTGGGGGGTGGATAACGTGCCCGCTTGATGCAGCAAAAGGGGCGGTGGTGATGGGGCTCTCGGGAGCATCGAGACTGGTGAAGACGTGTTTTCCAGATTCAGGTGTAGAGGTGTCGGGAATTTCAATAATGTCGTGGGGTTGGGGGATTTGGAGGGGTTGAAGCTCCTGGGTTTGGTTTCTTGTCGATGTGGGCTCGATGTCTGGGAATGGACTAATAACAATACTATCTCCTCTCTGGGGTGAATGTTCGGTCACAGCCAAATCAACTTTAGTAAGACCTGATCCTGGGTTTTCCATAATCCAGGAGAGCGGTGGCAAATCATTGAGGCTATCGTCATCGAAGTCACTAGAGAAGATCTTTGGTGGGTCTCTTGACTTGCACTTCACCTTCCTTGAGGCGGATCGCACCGTTTTACTTTGGGTCCTGTTTCGTGCTTGATTGGAGGCTTTCCTTGTGGCCGGCAATCTCGGAAATCGCGACTGAGAAAGATTGCTTGCGTTTCTTTTTGCCGTCAGCTTGGGAACCTGGTTTGCCGGCTGCTTTCCCTTGCTGGAATTATCTGGATTGTCTCGCTTTGCAATCACAGCAGATAGTGTCAACTGATTGAGATTCCCTGCTTTGTGGTTTGAAGCAGCTCGCCTCCTGGGCCTTCGTGGTTTCTCCAACCCCTCCCGACAGCATAAGTGTTTGCAACTATTGCTGTCAAAAGCGATTTCGACCTTTCATAGGAAGTGTCATACCTTGTCTTGTCCTTGCATTTGTGGCTGCAGGCCCAGTTTCCGTTCGGAAGATGAATAGGCTCGAACTCATCCTCATCTTGCTGTCCCATGTCTGTGGTCCACTCTTTCTCCTTGCTTAGCGCCTTCTCTGGCTCCCGTTGCGGACTTGAAGAACTGTTGTGAATTGAAAACCAGTCAAGCTCATCTGGCTGAGCCTTTGAGACACCGATTGGTTTCCTTTGCATTTCGCAGCGACGAGACACTGCCATGAAATCATCCACTTGTAAGTCTTCCCCATCGAAAGAATCCGACCCGGCACAAGGTCTGTGAGGGCTTTTGGGTGAATCCCGATTCCTTTCGCGCGACCTGTTCGGGGAAAATCGCTGTGAAGTTTTTGGACTGCCCTTTTCGAGTCCATTGCTTGGGAAGAGAGACCTCAGCAAATCGGGTTTGATTTCAGCTTGTCTTGCAGTTCCAGCTTAGGGAATATTAGCATAGGGTAGTATAATTGGACGTCCAAACCCACCAATGTCATCACACATTACATGACAGAGGATATACTGGTCTTTCTCTCTCAGATATGCAACCAGGGTGACCTCCATGCCGTCTTGAAGCTTGCTGGCACTGTTGTTTGTCAGTTGGGAAAAACAGAACGATCCGCGAGGCACTGACTTCATGCGCCGGAAATCGATCAATCGGCCGTCAGATGTCTCTGTCAAGCAGCAAACATAGACTGGCCTTCGTTGAAAGAAACTCGGAACCTTATCATTCATGAATGCAAGTTCAATCTTGAAACGATTTCTGACACTGCCACTCATCGATTCCTAGGAGATAAAGTTAGTAGCGCTCATAATATAATCTGAGATAGTCACTCGCCTTGCCTAGCAACTTCACAGCTACCCTCAACTTCGGGAATTCTTTCAACCTCGCCAACAACTTCGACCCAAAAGGCGGATTCTTACTCAGGATCATATCAATCTGTGGCGCTTCAGTAGCTTCAAGCTCCTCGAGGTTTTTAATACCCGCAGTAACCAGTTTTCTGACTGCTACTACCCCAATCTGTTCAATCTGCTTCATCTGGAGCGGCGAATGATCCCAAACCCTAGCGCCGAAACTGCGGGCCAGCTCAAGTGCATTCCGAGTGGCCACTGAATCTTCGCGGATAATCAGACAGTCGATCACACAGCGAATCAGTCGGTTCACATGGGCAAAGACGAGGCTTTTTTCCTGGTGGAATGTGAACCTGTGCTTCTGGAGTTGGTCGCTGGTGGGGAAGTCGATTGCACCGAGTTCGGACTGGAGAAGTAGCGATATTTTGTGAGATGGAAGAGCTATGTCAACCTTGATCGGATAGCGTATGCCCGGATCCTTGTTTATTTCTCGATAGAGCGACTTCTCGCCGACTTTGAGACGTACTTCGCGAAATTCTTCGGCTTGAGTAATTAGATCATGCTATTTTTGTCAGATTGACACAATAAATGGATCAAAATGGACGCACGATCTGAGGTAGTGTTGCCTGGGCTTCCACGGACAACAGTATCTTCATGGTCTCGAATCGGACATAATATCGAGCCATGGCATCGCCGAATCGAGTCGAGCAAAGCTTTTCAGCGTCCACAAGACCACACTCCCGAAGAAGTTTGATATCCTTCTCGCAGATCTGACGAAGCAACTCATCCTCATCTTTCTGACTGGCTCCCTCCTTGAGCTTATAGTAAGTTGGATTTCGACGGAGTCGCACAAAAAGAAAGGTACCTGCGAGCCACCTGGTCGCTGATTGAACATCAGTCACGCTCCCCAGACCAATTTCCGCATTCAAGTGGTCGATGAGATTTAAATGCAGACAGCTTTCAAGACTCTCAGAGCCTGAGACTAGTCGTTCATAGTGAGATACACGCTCTTTTCGGGTGAATATAACTGCTGTTGCGCTGTCGTCGAACTGAGGCCGTCCTGCGCGACCGAGCATTTGCATCATCTCGAGGTCAGAGTACTCTTTGCAACCACCACCCTGCCAGCCAACCGTATTCTTGATAATCACCAGCTGACAAGGTAGGTTGACGCCTATGGCGAGAGTTGAAGTGCAGCAAATGACGTTTATTTCCCCTTCCAGGAAGCCCTTTTCGACCAAGTGCCTGTCACTTGCACCGAGGCCAGCGTGGTGGAATGCAACTCCGGCAGTGATCGTTGCTGTGTTTGGTCAGTGTCATTCACTTCATTTTATTGGAGCGACTGACCTTTCAGATCGTCATTGTTCATTTCAATGCGCTTGCCAGGGCCGTTCCAGAGTCGAGCAGGAGGATTTGTCTGGGTCCACAACCGGGCAAGCTCTTTGGCAGTTGCGACTGATGAATTCCTGGTACAACAGAAAATCATTATAGGCTTTTGACAAGAGTGCTTCCCAATAATCTCAGGCAGACTGTCAGAACTATGGTTAGCAGCACGGTATTTTCACATAAAACAAACTTGAGGATAACTAACTGCGATGCGCAGACTTTATCGAAAGCAAAATCATTCCCAGTCGACCGATACCCATACACGAACTTTTGCAGCTTGACAGGACGAAATTCCTCCCCAAAATGCTCCCGGTGCGCAGGAACATGTTGAGTTGTTGCATCCTTGCCGAGCCATGTCGCAATGTCTTCGGAATTTGGAACAGTCGCACTCAACGCCACGAAGCGGACATTCGATCCAATATTCTTCATACGCGATACAACAGCTTCAAGAGTGGCTCCACGGGACTCTTTGAGGATGTGAACCTCGTCGATGAGGAATAGTTTCACGAGTTGCATCAGCCGCATGTGGTCCTTCCACTTACGCGTCATACTGTCCCATTTCTCAGGCGTCGTGATGATGATCTGGCAGGTTTGGATACTGCGCAACTGGATATGATCTGTATCACTAGTCAACTCTGCACATTTCAGATCCAGAGCTGCGAACTTGGTATTCCAGTCTCGGAATCGTTCGGAGCAGAGGGATTTTGTCGGTGCTTGGTAGACCACTCGGAAGCGCTCGTCTTTCAAGACGTTAAAAAGTCTGCATATAGCAAGCTCCATGACGACAGTCTTTCCGCTTCCCGTTGGTGCTGAGAGGACAATATTGTCATTGGTATTGTATACAGGGTGGAAGCATTTGGACTGGATTGCGTTGAAAAGTGGGAATGAGTACATGGAGCGATATCGTTCGGGTAACTCGTCCACGGAGACCAAAATAATGCCTTGTACCGACGGCAGGATGTGGCAGAATGGAAGGTTTCCTTGACTTCGCTGGCCACTTGCGGATATGTTGAGACTGGGATGAGAAGAGGGGGATGGCTGGGATGAGTATTGATTCGAGTCAAACTGCTGCGAATCAACCTGGGGTTCCAGGTGTCCTCTTCCCAGCCATGGTTTTTCTTTGTTTTGATGCATCACCATCAATGGGTTCGAGAATGGACCAGAGTTACTTTCGGAGGGGCTGGACCCTACATTACGAACAGGCGTGGCCCTATGGAAGGCTACTAACCGTTAGCATCAAAGTATATCGTACTAATCAGTAACAATGAACTATTGGATGAGCACTGACGGTCAAAGAAGCGGGACTTCCGCAGTGGAGCGTTCTCATGCTCGAGGCCCGCGGAGTATATTGTTTGCTGTGCACAGTGGGCAACATCTATATTTGGTGGTTGGTAGATGCCAGGGTGATGCTCCTGTGCTAGTAACTCGAGATCTAGAACCACCTTAGCTGATCGCATCGGAATTCGTAGGGCGAAACGCACCAAATGCATCCAACTGTGCATCCTCTTCATGAAAGAACGGAATGAGCTCTTGGGTTGGTGAAGGCTGTCGGGCAATCGAACTGGAATAATCCTGCCGCTGTGAGCCCTCTATCAACTTCTGGTCGATGACACTGAGCCTCCTGGCCTGACGAGAGCCGGCAAGCGTAGTGTCAACTCGGCGCCGCTTGGGCGAGCACTGGAAGGAATTGGGTCGAGGATAGAAACCCCGCTTCATGATGAAGGATGGAGATCAAAGGAGATGGGATGGGGGAGGAATCTCAAGAGGAAGTGGGATGAGGTGCATGGGCGCTGGGTATGAAGAACAATGGCACGTGGATGTAAGTCCCGTGCCGACAGCACCGTTGCTGGATCTTGAGTCGGAATATATGGAAGTGTTTCATTGCTTCGTATATATGCATACATGACCAAAAGTCCCAACCAGTTCTCAACGTTATACAACCCACCGCACATCGACCGGTCCCAGCCCACAGACAGCTAGATAGAATGCTACAGATGCCTCATCTCAGGTTGGCTTGCAGCAAAGCGGTCTTGCCGCCTCTATCAGCTATCCAAGATTCGTATCTCCATTAACACATCAAAATGAGAGCACAGCAAGTTTAGCCAAGGTGTCTTCGTTGGATCACTATTCCTTTTCGAAGAAGTTTCCTCCACTGGCGTTCCGGCTGGAGCTTACCCGCGTCTGGCCGGGGTTCGGGGATGTGGGGCGGGAGGATGACACGCCGTCTGAGAGGAAGGGAGTGGTCGGAAGCTTGATAGAGAAGTCATTCGGGGCACCTGCAACAGAGGGGCTGTTGTCATGGCCGGAGTCCTTTTCGAAATTGTCGACCCGGATGGGTGGCGGACGCATTCCGCCCGCTTTGGCTGCAGTGGGGCTGAAACTTGGATTGCCGTAGTAGTGGGTGGCTACCAGGACCGTAGCAGAGCCAAGGAGGAACTAGAAGTTGCTGCGTCAGTATGTGGTCGAGATCTTGAGAGAATAGTGGACTTGGACCTACGCTTGTGGTGAGCTCAAAGTCAAACAGCCAAACGCTACCAATGATGCTCAGAACGATGCTGACGGTTATGGCCAAGCACCCGGGATCGCGTTGCGTATTGCTGATCGAGAATGTGGAAACGATACCACCCAGAGCCTGGATCAGGATCGTGGCCCAGACAGCCCAGTTGTATCCCTGGAAGAAGCCATCATTGGCGATCCGATCACCATCCCGGAATACCACACCGATGAAGAGCGCCGGAAAAATAGAGTATATCGCCAATTGTACATTACGCACCCACATGGAGGTATGGCTGGAGCTATCCTTCTGAACTTTCTCAAAGTAGACACCTCCAAGGCCAGAGGCAAGGGCTGCGCCAATGATCGCAAGGAGGCCCACGGCGGGGTTCAGCCGTGGCTCTGCTGTTAGAATGTCCTCTTCGATACCCTCGTATGTAGCAGAGCGCTTGTGCAGGTTTGCAGCAGCACCACCGCCCTTCATGGCCTTCCACTCCTGCAATGATCGGGGGAAGTGATGGGGTGACGCCTCGTCGTGGAGCGACATCTGCTCAGCATTGGCATCAGGGAACTGGATCAAGGTCACGCCGAGCAACAGGAGCAGTAGCAGACCCCACTTGCGGGGGGCAATGCTCCGCCGGAGAGCTATCAGGCCAAAGATCGCTGTCGCTACGAACTGCAGCTGGAATGTAACCTGGAAAGTTGCCGCGCGCATATTCGAGAGCGCAATATATTGGAGAGAGTTCGAGAGAACACCGAGGCCCGCGGGGATCGCCAATTTCCAGCTGTCACCTGAAAGCACGGCGCTTGAGAGTGAAAAGAAGAGGGAGGTTGCGGGCATGGATGGTGGCGCAGTTTTTGAGACATCGTAGAGCGCCATTGTGAGGGCGATCGCTAACTTAACGACTTCGTTCAGGAAGACGGCGGTAGAGGTAAGGTATCGCTTACCACCCGCCGGTGGCATGATTCGGGAATAGTGAGATAGCTTAGTGCGCGAAAGATGTGTTTGTTAGTCCGCTGAAGCTCAATAATATCATCGTGAATGGTGAGGCGACTCACCAGCACAAACCCAGTGGACTGCGCAGCGAGCTGCAATAACGAAACGAAGTCAGCGGTTGATCTCACTTAGCCAACTCCAACATAATCACAATATCGATTCATACCAGTACCCACGGCACATTCTTCGTTGTACCTCGCAGCCACGAGGGCTGGCGTTGTGTGCGGTCCCCCATGGTGACAAATGTGTCGAAATAGTTGTTCGCGCCTTTTGGGGGGGGGATTCTCCGCGGAACAAAGACGGGAGCCTCCTAGCTAAACAGTGCCAGCGCAGCGCAACGGGCGCACGAAATGAGGTTGGAATAGGGAGCGACAGAGGCCTGGAGGGAAGACGACAAAAAGGGAAAACAGATTCCCACAAGCCAGCACAGGGGGAAATCGAGGATCACCCGTCTAGGGCCCAGCGTCAGGGCTTCGGATGATGATCACAGTAGGGCTCCGTGCGAGGGTGGCTGGGATGCTGCAGAAAGGAGAGGCACAGTGGATCGGCCTTTCTCGAAGCGTCATAAAACGGTCGCGTCGTAGGACTGACGGGGTCAAGTAAAGGAATGGACAGGGCACAGGCGAGGAGCAGAGAAGGAGTCGAGCGCTTGAAACCAGAACCAGGATCCGGGGTAGCGATGGGCTTGGGTCAGGCGAATCGGCGGTGTGGATCACGGGGTTGCTTGTTGTCACGGGCCCAGAACTCGACGGCTTGGCTGTCAACGTTAAGGTTTGCTGTCCTGTGGGCATCCCAAGTTACAAATGCAAATTACATCCAGACGAATCTACGTCCCAATGACGGATTGACGGCCTCAGCGCGGTAATTGGGAGGCGTGTTTTGGGAGCCCAACCTCCAGGGGCTTATCGACTGACGTCAAACCCACCCACCGCGTCGCCTCGTTAACCCCCCTCATTCCGATGCCATCATTCGCCCTTCTTGTCCCTCAATACTCAAACTGTCGTGGAATGCATGCGTAGTGAGGCAATATCAATCCACCAGGCACCTGCGGCCTCAGATCGATTGTACCAGTCGGCACCACCCCAGCCAGCCACGGTCTGATTGGGCTGGGGCCCATATGCAAGTCAGCCACACGGGCTAGGGTTTGCCGCGACCGCCTTTTCTGGAAGGGAGAGAACGAGGTCTACGTGCGGCGCAGAGAGATATTCGCATCATGTAAATGCTGCAGTGGATTTGGCGGGTTGCTTGCTAGCTAGTGAGACTGGTAACGAGGGCCGGGCAATGAATGAATCCCCTTGTAAAAGCCGAAGGCTACCAAATGCCTAAGTCTAAAAAGAAAATGAAGAAGAGAAAATGAAAATGAAAACATAGGAGCGGGTATATAAGAAGCCTATGAGGGGGAGGAGATAATTGGCAAGGAAAAGGGTGACGTAAGAGAAAGGTGAATAGACAGAAAAGGTCCATCAGACAAGGTTTGAGAAGACAGAGCTCGGTGGTTCCAATTGGCCAAGACAGGACAAAGAAGAACCACATGCAACAATGATGCAAGGTACGAAATCAAATATCGGCGGTGAAGGATGTTGAGTGGCTGAGGAATGTCCATTCCGGACGAAAAAACAATGCTTATACAAAAGGTCGAAAGGTAGGTAAGATGTTGAGTAAATGAATGTGTGGCGCATCGAAAGGCCATGCATCTTCGTGCAACTCTAATGCACAGGGCCCACGCTAGCCCGGTCGTGGTTCCAATCGAAGTCGAACGACCAGAGCGGAAGATCGTGCTTTAGTTGTGGCTCACCATGGTCGTTCAGCATGATAGCCTCGCTACTATCGGTGCGACGGCGGGTATGCTGCTTTTGATCCTCGGGGATAGCCGGCGGAGGGCCGCGTGGAGGGGGCTTCGGCGAGGGCAGCGGCGAGAAACGGTAGATGGGGAGGGTCGGCGTAAGGGGAGAAGCACTGCTCGTGGCAGGGGATGGAAGGCTTTCGGAGTAGCCCATACTGAACTTGGGCGAGGCAATCGAATTACCAGTTTTCTGTTCAGTATCAGAACCTGAACTCTGCGCGGGGGAACCGTCTTTGTCCATGTGAGTTGCACCTTGGTCTGTCCGCCCGTGAAATGGCGGGAACGCAGCGCTGAGGCGCAAGAAAGACGTGTCGGAGCCGCAGAACGAGTCCCGCGACGGGCCTGAGGCCATTGAGTTACGGTCGGTTTCCGGCGCGCTGGTGTTGTACTGGAAGATGCTGGGTGTGATCTTGCCTTTCCGCTGTCGCATCGCCTCAAGGAGATCCTGCTCTTGCCGGGTCACCGCGATGACTCGGCTTCGTCGGTTCATCTCCTTCAATTCCTGGGGGGTACGCAGCGGCTGTTGCGGGAACTGCTTCAAAATATCCGGTTCGGCGATAATGGGAACATGGCTTGACCGCTTGGAATTAGCGGTGCGACGAGTGGTGGTCGAGGACTTGCCGGTAGAGGCAATGGAGCTATGTCTGCGGTTTGATTGGCTCCGTGCATTCGGATGAGATCCCCGGCTGCTAACTGATGGTACTCGCTCAACCTTTTTAACGGTGGCAGCCTGGGCAGCCTGAGCCGTGTAGATCTCAGGCTCGAATTCACCGTAGGTGGTCACGCTATCTCGGAAGATCTTGTGGGTGTTCTTGCCATTCACATTGGTGGGTGTCTCCCGATCTTCCTCGTCCTCATCCTCCGATGAAGAGAGACAGAGGACGCTGGAGTTCTGCAAGTCCTGGTTCCTCAAGGTGCTCTTGCTGCTTTTCTTGCTCACAGCACTCTTCCCGCCTCGCGAGGTGCTTGATTCAGTGGTCAACGCGCGGTGACGAGTTGGCCCCTGCTGTGCAGTAGGATTCAAGTACAAATCCTTGTGTTGAATGTTAGCAGGGCTGTGACCTCTCCGAGCAGCAAGTCCGCTTTCCGTGGGACGCTGAATATCGGCCCTTAACTGTTCCCGACTAGCCGCTGTGTAGAGACTGGACCGGCTTAAAAGCGAGCGTCGACCGGCGTATTGGTCCAGGGCGAGGTCAATTTCGCTTGTCCCCACCGTCCGCTCAAGCGGGTGATCATGCCACTCGCCGCCCTTTGACTCGGGAATCGAAAGCAAATCGGAGCGATCAGCAGTGTGCTTGGGCCATTCATTCTGAATGACGGATGCCTGCGACGGCAAGGGCTCTCCAAACTTCTTCGCAGAGGAGGCGCTTTTAACTTTGTCAATTCGGCTAGATGGATAGTCTGAAACAACAGTGGAGACAGATGAGGGAGAATGGGTCATGCGTTGGGGTGACAATAACGGAGGGGCGGGATTTCGAGGTTTCGGGAAGAGAATGGACAGATCAATGCGGTGAGGGCGCAACCTCCGCTTGGGTTCTTTTTCCTTTTCCTTCTCCTTCTCCTTCTCCTTCTCCTTTGCTGCACTGCGAGATTGTTTGTAGGTCACTTGAGGGTCCATGCCCAGTTCATGACGGATATGCGGCTGGAGGCTCGGGTGCTTGGGCGTGGTCGGGCTGGATTTTGAAGCCGATTTTGTCGACTCCTTGGAGCTGAAATATGAGAAAAGAGTGGACGAAGATCCGGTGTGATGGATCTTCTTGGAGGATTTGGGCAACGGTGGTGCTGGTTCCTGAGAATGATAGTTGTGGCCGAGCAGAGGCGACGAGGCGCGAACGCGCAGGTTCGGAGGCGGCGCCATATGCACTCTTGACGAAGGAAATGCGGCGAAGCCCGAGTGCTGACTCTGTTGTGTCGAATTGTTATCGGGTGTCCGCAGGCTCTCTCGACGAGACTTTTGCGGCTTGTCCCATCCAGCCTGGCGGTTGGGGAGGGGCAAGTCGGTGCCCAAGATGCGCTGCGCCTTAGAGGCTTTCCGCTCGACATAACCAACGTCCTCGTGGCTGTTCATTGCACCGGGTTTGCGAGGGTTCCGGCTCGAGGTTCGAAGGGGCACATGCACCGGGGAGGGATCCCGATGCGCCATTGGATTATTGCAGAGCGGACGAAAGCTGGTCGCTTAGCATGAACCCCAGCGAGATCATACAATGGTCGTTCCCTGGGGGTTTGAGTTCGTCGAATTCAGGGTTTGCGGCGTCCGATGGGGTTCAGGTGAAATTGGGTCCCTCTTCGCTTCCAGCTCGATTTGATCTCTGCCACTGTCGGAACGGTTAGTGATTCTCTTGTTAGGTATTCAGCTCCCGTCGGAGCCGATAGAAGAGTGGGCTTTCTCACGTGGGCCTCCACAGCGTACCGTGTTCGAGTTGAAATGATTTGTGGTTCGAGATGAGAGGGCAACGGAGACCAGGTCGATCGGGAGGTAGGGCAGAGTAACCGAGGGGGACGGGAGAGGAGAAAAAGGAAAAAGGGAAACAAAGAAGATACAGTAGGATAGGAGATCAGGCTGAGCCAGGGCCAGGGATCTTTTTTGTAGAAACGACGGGGATTGATCGGAGGAGAGCACGATCGATTGGCTCGGCCCTCTCAGTTCTCGTCCGCCCATTCCTCCCGCATGCTCAGTGTCCATTGCCTGCCAGTGTTCAGTCCACAACCCCATCCACCCTGATTCAATACCCACTAGCCGCTCACTTAGTCGCGAACTCACGACCAGCATCGTCAATAGGGGCGACCCACCCTGGGCTGTCGCTGCGGCATTGACCAACCCTCCCATCCAATGAATATAGACTCCTCCTAGGCTGCGACTAAGGCCATCCTGCCTCATGGGTGTGTTTCATTTCAACCGGTGGAGCACGGCATCAACGACGGGGTCTGCCATTGGAACACCAACTCAGCCGGTTCCTGGCTTTCTCCCCAAGGATCCGTCTGTGATGGGCCGCGATGGGCCGTGATGGGCCGGAATCAAGATGCGATCGACACCACAGCGGCTGGATCCCTTCGCCTCGACCAGAACAGCAAGTATCGACAGGCACCCACCCTAGCACTGGGCCGATATCACAGCGCGAGTCCGAGTTTTGTGTCTGATTTGTGTTCGGCGGGCTGCAACTCCGGTTCCTGGCGCACGGAGACCCATGGGGTTCCATGGGTGCGCAGCTGTGCGAAGATGCACGCGGGAATTGGACTTCTCACCTGCCCACTTGCGTACTCCGTATGACAGACGCAATGATTGCGGAGTACTACTAGCGACGAAGAGATTTTGCTGCTTTACACGAGGTCAGCACGAATTCTTCGGCCCTCGTGCGCCTCCGACGCCCCTTACTGCGGTTGACTGCGCTTCGGCGGTAACCACACCTTAAAAATACACGTGTTGCTATGCACAAAAATAACAGCAATTATAGCCATGCCCATGCCCATGCCCAAGACCCGGACCAGGGTCGACGGGGGATCAAATGAACAACTTCGACGTTTGACCAAGATCCACTAACATGGCGCTCACGTGGGTACCACTGGATCTGCTCCTAGAAAGTCCCCGTGGAGCGCGTGGCAGACTAGGAAGTCTATCGAGGAGTCTCTTCCCAGTGTCGTGGCCATTGCGGCTTGGTCTCTGCAGCCCCATGGCGTGCCTCCCAATTTCCACCCGAGCTTCTTCTGCTTCGTCTGTTCATCTGCATCCCCATCGCTTACAGAATGCTCTAAATTTACCAGCACACTAGTGCGTCACCCCCCTTTCCATGCTCCATCCATATTTAGGGTCAAGCGGGGTGTTTGACGTTCCGCGCCATCAGCACGGTTAGAACGGCCGAGGGTGGATTATGCCTGGCCGAATAGGGGAACTATGGAGCCTGCGACCGCCATAGTGTCTGTTTCGCTCATCGCAGGCCTCTCACACATATGATCGACAGTTCGATCGTTTATCGACCCAGTCCGCCGGCGCGTCCACCGAGATCGTAAGCAAACTGCCTTGCCCCGTGGAGCCAGTCCTCCACTCGATGTGGCGCGTTGACAAATACTTGGGCTGTTGCGTCCGTCGCATGCCCAGATAGAAAGGTAATGATCGCCATATCTGCTCCCGGGGGTTCTGGTGATGATCATGGCTATGCTGCCCACGCTGGGGCGGATTTCCGTGGCAACTCGACAAAATACTCAACCCCTCCTGGTAATAGTCCTCTCCGCTCAATGGATGGCTGAAACATTGCTCACCCATGGACCTCGACCCTGTAACAGATTTGACAGGTTGACACCCGCCTTAGCCGGCGGAGCTGTCTCGGCAGTATCCTGTCAAGAGTGTCGAGCCCAAAGCATCGAGGATCGAGGAATCGGTGAAACCCTCAGCATGACGGCTGTTTGACGGGCAGACCAGTGCAGGCCAGCGACAGGGACTGGTCCTGTCGCGTTCTAGTTCGTGCAGCTTTGATCCTGGTCCGAGCAAATCAACTGCGATCTCAAGGAGATCATCGTGCCGGGCTGCTCTGTTCTAGCCGTGTCTGAGACCCACCAATGACGGAGCAAGATGCGGTGACACTCCGGGGCAATTCCGTTCACTTGTGAGATTGTGAGATCGAAGAGTGTTCCGAGTACAGCGACCGTGTCATTGGCTCACAGCCGATCAGGCTAACCCCTCTGGTGCAAGTACAGCAAAGTAGTACCCACCATGCCGTTTCGGTCGGCTTGGGGTATCTCAATCTGCATGAAATAGGGGTAATGGCAAATTTAGAAGATCAAAGCAGCGAACACGAATAGGAGCACAACCGCACCCATTTTGCAGCCCTTGCGAATTCCCCGAGACAAAGAATGGCCAGAACGTTGAGTCTGGAGAAATGCCCACCAAACACTATTGAACCCACACGGGCGGTTTGACAGGTGGAAGGCCACTTCATTTCCCATATGCCAATGGCTGGGCAAGCTAGCGTCTAATGGTTCCCCAATAGTCCATCTCAATATTCGCCAGACACAATAGTCGACTGTTGGCCCATGAATCTGGGTTCGTTCCAGAGTCCTGAATATTGTGCCACCCTTGAGGTTGCAGATCATGGGTACATCATTGCCTTCAAAGGCAAACTACACGGGAGGTCTGAACGCCGCTGACCACGGGGTCGAACTGGGTGGTCGGCTATCCCCCATCAGCAAATCATCGAGGCCCCAAAAATGGCTTTCCGGGAAACCCCCATGCAATTGCCTGATTAAAGTTTCATTTAAGTTCTATACAGTCGGATCAATTTCGAGGGTTTTTTCGGATGAACCCCAATTTCCCAGGTGCATTTTTGTATCTCTACGCTCGTTCAACTTGCGGGTGGTGTAGTATGTAGCTCTATTCGAAATGTTGCACTCAAATTGGCGTGAAAAGAATATGTAGTAATATTGTCTGACGAAGAGCTCAAACGCATTTCCCATCGTGCAACTAATCATACATTCCCTCCTTCTGGTCGTTACCTGCTATAGTCATGCGGAAGGCGCCCATCAAAGAAACCCGAGATCAACAAATCGACTTCTGCGGTCGTCACATCTCTGCGCAGTCGATTCAGGCATAGCCACAGAATCAACGCCCAATGGGATAGGAGGTGTGAGGTATGTCACTTTCAGAGTAGCACTTTTGATCATTAGCCAAGCCAGTCAGAATGAGATGCACGACATAGCTAATTTACGTGTAGGATCCAGTGTCAATGCCACCACAGGTGACAGTTGTTCTCGTCCAACTGGGAAGTCGGGGGTAGCTGATTCGCTCATCGTAAGTCTCCGCGAAGCCGTGAGATTGATAAACTTCTGGACAATCAGGGGTATAGAGGAGGTGGAAGCCGAGGGTTCGTTCATCTGCTACATCGTCAGTTCATGAGAGTCGATGCGTACGGAAGGAGACTAGGCTGTAGTACTGGGCACAGTGCTAAGCCTGGTACCTAGCACGGTGATCTTGTGAAGCATGCGCATGATGCCCTTCCTGGCCTCTAGAGATGACTGCCAACTCTCCTTGCCGGCGAGCTTTCGATCTGGGGGTCCGCGATTTCCATTGTAGTCCAGTGAGATAGTGTATGTCTCGAAGACATTCGTTCGACCGTCCTGGCTCTTGCAGATCGCGATTTGGACGCCCTGGAGTCTACGCGTCATCAGCGCTTCGAAGATCCCATGCTCCTGCTCCGATGTCAGCGATGATCGATCGTGGATTTCATGTAATACCGCTTACTAGGAGGTTAAGAATTGCGTTCATCCGCTCATCCTTGTCTCGCTCCATCACCATGATTCGATCCATGTGCACGCATTGCGGAGAATAGTTGGGGTCTGGCGTGAAGCTGCCTTTGAGAAAATGCTCTTGGTAGCAGAACTTCTCATCGGTCAAGTCGGTTGGGAAATTTCGAGCACCGAAGCAATCAGCTGGTAGAAGTTCCCTGTCGATTTGAGTTAGAAAGGTTACTAAAGTGTACCTGTTTCAGCCGTGGAAAGCAAACCGAATATAGAACAAAAATGAGATCTGAGGTACAGGAAGTCAGCACCATTTGTGCCATCGATCAAGGAGAACCCCAATAGAGCACTTTCCATACCGTCGCGTGCAGCACCACCTTCAGCAACTCCACACTGGTCGCCTGTTGCATGTTAGTATGATCAGGAAACCTTTCGACAGGGCCCCTTCACGCCGGATCACTATTGACCACGCATGATAACGGAGTATCGGTATGGACTCGCCTCCAGTGGAGATGGGACCTGAGATACAAGTGGCAGTTGCCCCCGATGGGATGTAGCAAGCGCCTGCGTTCTTCTTCCATTCTGCCTCTTTCTCTTTCTCTTCTCGCTCCTCTCCTTCCTCTTCGCACCTCCGTCAACCGTTCTCGCAATATCAACCATGACAGCTTCTCCAGAAAAGCTGTTTGAGAATGGTTGTATATGGTGAAGGTGGTCGACTGCCTTGGGGCTTGGTTCACTGTAGACCGATTGGCCCTTTTTTCTCACCGCGCCAGCCACCGCAGCATATGCCAGTCGGCACGTGTCTTCCTACACCATCTCCTCCATTGTCATATGTTCCCATTTAAGCTGTACCCAGGCTCTGTGTGAGTAGGCTCGATCTCACTTTGTGTCTGGATAAGGCAGCTGTTCCGGGGAGGCCATTTGAATCGCCTCGGGTTATCAGCCTCTTGATGAGCACATTGCACCAGATGTTATTTGTGGTATGAACGCTATTTAGCATTCCTCCGATAGTTCTGCCAAATGCGGTGTCGCAGGATGCTTTGAGTCTTCTTAGATTACCTGTCAATTGGACCTGCGAAAGACGACCGGGAAACTGTCATAAGCCATATACGTTAAGTTAGGAACTTCAAAGGCTCTGGAATTGGGGCCGCGCAAGGAAAACATGAGGAAAGCTAGAGCGCTCGCAAGGACCAATGACCTGGACAATTGAGCGTGGAAAGCCCCCAAGGACGGTAGCGATCTAAACATTACCATTCACTATCCTGAAAAGCATGATCTGTGCTATGCTACCGACGAGGTTGCTTCTGGTACCAGGCTTCACCTGGATCTCAACTTGTCACGCTATATTGACACTCTATATTGACACGCTACATGAAGTTTGAGCCCTGCTGGGCGCTTGTCGAAAAAGTCCCTGATTCTATCTGTGGCTGTTTGTTGGAAATGAAACCTGTGCGGGATAGAATGCTCGAGGAGGTATTCGACCATGAACTGGGAATTCCTTGGGAACCAAAAGACCAAGCGCTAGCTAATCAACAGCATCACAAATGATGCAGCCTCTCCACTACCGCGAGTATCATAGTTATCTATAGTTTCCAGTGAATATCCGAACATATCTGATCTTCAAAGCACATGTGGATTGTTCAATTCTGGAAACTAACACTTGCTCTGGCGCAATACGTGGGTGATAGTTCTAGACAGATCCTACCAGTTCTATCTTTTTTGTACAGGTTTGTGTATTACCTGGAAACCCCATATTTGGTCTCGGTTCCTCTTGAGCTGTGTTACACCTCCAGTATTCCGTGCTTGTGAATACCAAATTCTCAGTTCTGGTTAATCCATCCTCGTGGGTTGGAGAATAGTAGACTTATGTGTATGTCAAGAGGAGCAGGGGCTGGGTACCTGCAGGTGACGCACAGGGTACCGACGAGTCTAGGGGTAGTGGAGACCTAGTACGAACCGGTATCCCTTTGATCAGATCATGTGGGGACTGATTTTATTACCCCTGGAGGGAGCTATTCCTTTGTCACCTTACTGGAGACTTGTGGGATAAACAAACACTGACGCGTGGAATACCTGTTGATTCCGCTGAGAGCGTCTCCAAGAGCTATCGGATTCATGTATCATCCACAACCGGAAACCCCCTGTCCATTTTTCCAGATTCCAAGTTCAAGCCCAGTCAATATTTCTCGGTTTAGTCCTCGGTCTTACCAACAGGGGTTGCCACGTTGATAGAAGATGTGTTCATAGAGTGGACTCCGGGCCACAGCGCCCCAAGCTAACCAAAAAGAACGGGGCTCCCCCGCCCCACGTGACTGGGAAGTGGCAAGCGTCTGGAACCCCCCGGCTGCTCTCCACAATGCCCCGACGAGTCGTAAACAGGTTTGCTCTGCATCCGCCCGAGATGGTATCGATCCCGGAGGCCTGAAGATTTCAACTAGCTGCATATCAGGCAGGATTCTGTCACCTAAGGCTCTCTCAATATTTGAAGAAAATTATTGTGAGTGGCAAGTCGAAGACAAAAGCCGTAGAACCAAAAAATCGGCAGGGTTCAAAGTTTTTCACGCCGCAGAAAGCACCCGGTGAATTTCTCGGTCGCGCTAGAAGGTCAGGAGAATGGTGAAAACTCATATAGAGGGTGCATTCAGGTATTGAAATGCAGAAAAAAGAGTGCTGTCCTCTAAATATCAGGCTGAAGAGAGCGAAATCCCACTACAAAGATGAGGCGCACGTTCGGCCAGCCATGACATCGTCCATTGTAACTGAGGTGTAGCGTACTTACTGCCGGCCCTCGGATTAATTGTTGTTCTCCGCCCCAACTCGGCCCTTGTCAGCCGCCACTGTCTCTTTCCTCCCCTTTGAACCTTCCTTGCTTCCATCCTCCTCTCCTCGTCCTTTGATCTTCTTGTCCGCAATGTTCTAACCTCTCGCTGCTCCCCGTAAATGGTTCTGCAGCCCTACGTTGACGGGGTGTTGTGCTAACACCCCCCCCCCCCCCCCCCCTCTCCATCGAGGAACCTGATTCTGGTGGAATCGGACCGTTCGATCAACAACGCCTCACCAACAACCCCACCTGAACTTGTTCAAGTGTGAAATGTCTTCACTCCCTCCCACATCGCTTCACGCCACCGACCCCGACTCAACGGCCGACCTGAACGCGTCTTCATCGTATTCCCATGTCACTCGCCACGCGGATTCCCGCTTAGTTCAGTCTCGAAGACGAGATATGGATGACCACGAAGAACGCGAGGTTGGGCAGGGTCCCTCCAATAACAACGACTCGTTTGGCCGGTTTTCCTTCGCACCCACAACCCGGACAACAGTGGTCACAACCACTACTACCACTACCACGTCTTTCCCGCCTCTCATTATCAAACCCCCGCGCGCCACAAGCCAACTGGACGCGAGACTCTATCCCCTCGCCTCTGCCCCGACCCCGGCCGCCTTGAGAAGTCTTCGGTTCCGACTTGGGGACAAGTCGATTGTCTTCAATGAACCAAATGATACGACGGCGGCTATCACTGAGGTGCGCTCCTTCCCCCCTCGGTTGGTCAGGCCCGACATGCTCACATCATTTTAGCTGAACGAGACGAACGACGCGCTCAAATCTTCAAATGGTTTGATCCGGTCTATGAATTCGTTTACCACCGAGGATGATAGCTCTTCCCGACGACTGGCGCCCCCGCGGTCGTTCACTCGCATCAGCCATCCCACCCCTCAGCACCGACCCGTCTCCCCTGTCTCCATCCCTGATCCTCGCCCAGCCATCCTCCCTCGGACACGAGCAACTCGAGTTCCTTCCGAGCCTGTAGCACGTCGCACCCGCCATTGTGCCTCGACTTCCACGCATTTGTCGGCTGCCGGCCTAGCCACTCCGGAGACCGAGCACAATGTTGAGAGTCTGGGTGAGGGCCCCGCCTCGAAGCAGAGGTATCATAGCGCAACATTTCCTCGCAGAGAAACCCTGTTGCGGTCCCCGCTATCCTCCGAAGTTGGCCCGGCCGATTCTGCTGCCCAGAAATCCTTGGAAGACTTAGCGAAACAACGGGAGCTGCAAAACACTAAACCAGACGCAAATGCGGCGGCTACGTCCGACCCAACCTCCTTCAGCCAAACAGCATCCTTTAGCGCTACTGAGCAAGCCTTTCAGCAGAGGCCGGACTTGAGTGCTCAGCTTTCAGCTATTGACAATGCCATGGCGCAAGATATGTGCCTGCCGAGCCCTAGTCTGTCTCCGGTTGCCGCCATGAATGCATTGCACGGAGAATCCTCTTTCGATTCCGAGGGGCCGGACGTTGACACGGATTCCAGCTTGGATCACAATGTTTCGCGACATTCGAAAGCCGTGCGCCTTATCGATCCGGATGCCTCTCGGGTGAAGAGCCTTGCCACATCCAATACGTCACGACCTCCGCCGTCTCTGATGGATATGCCCAAAGTGCTCGAGTTCTTTGACTCTGTACCGGAAGAACTGAAAACTTACCTAATGTACCAGTTTCTCAGGCGCTGCCCTAAGCCCACCCTGCACTTCGTGGCCGATGTCGTCAACCCCACACTGAAATGCGATTTCTTGGCATTGCTCCCTCTCGAACTCAGTCTGAATATTGTGAAATATTTCGATGTTCAAACCATGTGCCGCGCGTCGCGGGTTTCCAAGAAATGGCGCCACATTGTCAGCTCTGACGAGAAGACGTGGAAGGAGTTACTTGACCGCGATGGTTATGCCCTGTCTGAGGGCGAGCTGGAGCGAGCGATCCGAGAGGGCTGGGGCTGGCAGTGTAGCAGCATTGATGATTTTGAGAAGGATCTTAGCACACCTTTCTCGTCCAAGGCTGAGAAGGATGCCTCACCAGTTCCTTCCTCCTCTCATGGTAATGAGAGAGCTCCTCTAGCCTCTTTGGCTCTGAACAGACGCCCCAAACGGAAAGCAAACACCCGTGCTTCGAGTCGCAAGCTAGCCAAGCGGAAGATCTCATCCAGTGGCACCGACCACTCAGAGCCCGATTGGAGGAAGGACATCGCTGCATCAGAGGCTCCTTATGCCGCGGCCAACGCGGCAGCTGCAGCTGTTCCCTACCCTGATGTTGGTATGCCCTCTCTCCGTGGCTTATACCTCTACAAGGCTCTCTACCGCCGGCATCATGCCATCCGCAGAGGATGGATGAAACCCGAGGTCAAGCCCCAACACATCGCCTTCCGTGCTCATGATCGCCACGTAGTCACTTGTCTGCAGTTCGACACGGACAAGATTCTGACTGGAAGCGATGACACAAACATCAACGTCTATGACACAAAGACCGGTGCTTTGAAGGCCACCCTAGAGGGTCATGAGGGTGGCGTCTGGGCCCTCGAATACCATGGAAACACGCTAGTGTCCGGCTCTACCGATCGATCCGTTCGCGTATGGGATATTGAGCGCGCTAGGTGCACCCAGGTCTTCAACGGTCACACATCTACTGTTCGTTGCTTGCAGATTGTCTTGCCTACTGAGGTGGGTAAGGATGCAAATGGCCGTGTGGAGATCATGCCCAAGGTTCCTCTCATCATCACTGGGTCTCGTGATTCCAATCTGCGCGTGTGGAAGCTCCCCAAATTGGGCGACCCCACGTATTACCCCGACGGACCTCTAGCGGACGATACGGACTGCCCTTACTTTGTCCGTGTATTATCTGGCCACGCCCACTCTGTGCGTGCAATTGCAGCCCATGGCGACACCCTGGTGAGTGGCAGTTATGATTGTACTGTGAGGGTTTGGAAGATCTCCACCGGTCAGGTGCTGCATACACTACAAGGCCACTCTTTGAAGGTTTATAGTGTTGTGCTGGACCACAAACGCAACCGCTGCATCAGCGGTGCAATGGACCACATGGTCAAGGTGTGGTCGCTGGAGGATGGATCTCTCCTGCACAATCTGGAAGGTCACACCTCCCTGGTTGGTCTGCTTTCCTTGCAAAGTGAGTACCTTGTCTCGGCGGCGGCAGATTCCACCCTCCGTATCTGGGATCCCGAGCACGGTCACTGCAAGAACATGTTGAGTGCACACACTGGCGCCATAACTTGCTTCCAGCATGATGGTCAAAAGGTGATCTCCGGATCGGATCGGACCTTGAAGATGTGGGACGTGGGCACTGGTGCATGCGTCCGAGACCTTCTCACCGACCTCAGCGGCGTGTGGCAAGTCAAATTTAATGACCGTCGATGTGTTGCTGCTGTTCAGCGCGACAGTCTAACCTATATCGAAGTAAGTTACTTCCCTACCGACATACATGACTATTTGATTCTAGCCTAATAATCCAGGTTCTCGATTTCGGTGCTGCGCGAGACGGCGTTCCCGAGAACAAACTCGGCAAACGTGTAGTTGTCAACCGTCGCGGACGAGAGATTGCTCCCAGCAATGTCGACTCGGACTCTGACTCGGACTGAGCCTGATGCTATTTGAATCAGCTCCCACAATTATTTCCAGACGTCAGGCAACCCTCCTTTCTCTGCTCGTCTTGCGCTGTTAGTCCTTTTGCTCTTTCCCATCTCCCTATTTCCCAACGAGCCACCTATTCTTCGTTACACTCTATTCACGATACCCTATCCTTATGGCTCTTGTCTCTTCCCTTGAAAAACCCTTTGCATAGCGCGGTCGGCATTCTTTGGGTCATCCAGCATTACGACGGGGGGACAGGCGTTAGACGTTTCCTGATTCTCATTTTCATTCTCATTCTCGATTCTCGTTCTCAATCTTCGCAAGGGGTTTCCTATGTCCGTCATCTCAATATTCCCACTGTCGGTCCTCGCATCCCTTTCCTATCCTGCATTCATCCTATCATGTTATGTCTCTTTTTTTCTGTTATATTTTCTTTGTCATTGTACTGCCTTCTATGTTATTACCATTCCTTGTATTTGAGCCCTTTATCGATGGTAACTGGCTTCTGCGGTGTTCTGAGGCTGGTGCGACTTTTCCTCAGGTTTTACAAATCTTATCTCCCGTTTTATGCTTGTTAGGTAGTAATAGATGCATTGCATTACAATTTGACTACCGACATAAGTTCTTGCATGTTTTGAGCTAGAAGAGTCTGGATCCTGCTGGCTACCAGCCAATCCCCAGGGCTATCTTGCGCAAGGGTGAGTGAATAAACGACCACCGGGGATAGTTCCATGCGTTGATTTGAGGACTGGTGGGCGGGGCTTGATCTTGACCAATCTAGCTAACAAGCAGGGGGGGATTCATCACTGAAGAGGGCGTTTAGCACTGGCGTATGGCACCATCATGACATGGTGTTCGCGGGGTCCTCGTTAGTGGATGACCAGAGTAGGTTGGTATGCAACCCACTTCCAGCATGGGTGTATGAAGTGCCTTGTCTCGGTGATCTATCCTATCTTCCAAGGTGGACCGGAGGAACTATATCGAAGTCTCCACAGGGATACTTCAGGCGAATCAAGTTGAAACAGCCGACGGAGGCTGTACACCCTCTAAACTCCCATCAATGCCCGCCGCCGACAAAATAGCCCACCGCACTGCGTCAACACCCAATACCCGGCCAGGTCCTATGGGCGTATCTGCACTGCACGTCAAAATCTCACCAAGAGCACCAGGCCCCTCCGAGGCACTCGGGTCCGGCTGGACCTTTGGCTTTAATTTGTGCAGCAAATCATGGAGGCGCTGGATACCAATGGCCGACGCGCCAGTTTTCATTTGCTTCTTATTCTTCACAAGGACTTTGTCAACCTTGGAAAGAATGATTTGGTGGGGAATCGCATAGCGCCGGAAGAGGTTTAGAATGTTGGCGTCGTTCTGTTTGATCCCGTGTTCGCTGTCGATGAGGATGAAGGCTCGGCGGAGTCTGCAACACGAGCAATCAGTCAGAGTAATCATAAAAATGGCTCGGCAGTATTAAGGCTTACTGTTTCCGCCCCTGGAGATATTTCATAATCTCCATCCCCCACTCCGCGCGACTCGCCTTGCCATATCCAGGCATATCCAGCAGTACAACCTTATGCTCCCCACCCTTCGTGCCTCCAATCCCAAACGCATTCATTTCCCGTGTTCGACCCGGCTTCGAGGATGTCCAGCATATATCCTGGCCCATAATCGCGTTTAGCAGCGAGCTCTTGCCAACATTTGAGCGACCGAGGAATGCGACTTCGGGCTCGACTGAGGAGAGTGGCGTTGTGCGGAACTTGCTGGCGGACCATAGCTTGAGGGGCGAGTGGCGAGAGGGTGTAAATATTTTGTCGGCGAAGGCTAATTGGGATGGGTTTGGGGGTTTGGTGTCCCAGTAGTAGCAGAGGTCGGAGGGCGTCAGGTCTTTGAGGTTGCGCTTGTTTGGATTTGGTGGGGATGGGGGTTTTGAAACAGTTGGGGAGTGTATTGAAGTCCTTGGTATGGATTCCAAGGCCCTTGTGGGCGCAGAGGCCCGGACAGCACGTATCCTCATCTTCAAATTGCTGTTGGCAGTGTTGTTGAAGCAGGCCCATTGCGATCTCCAGAAAATTGACCGCACGGGCCAGGCCGCGCCGCAGCTATCAGTGCCGATAAGCGCATCGTCATTCAAGACCAGGGCTCGACTCGACGTCCACTGCTCTGCTTTGCTTGACTTTGCTTTGCCGCCAGGCCTCAGTCTACAAGATGATCAACGCAGTACTCGTCTTCAATAACAATGGCCAGCCTCGGCTGACCAAGTTCTATACAACGCTGGTATGTCCCCCGCGCATCCACCATCCACGCTCGACAGACCCGCTAACGCAGCCTTCAGGACACCCAAACCCAGCAATCGCTCATCGCGCAAATATACCACCTGGTGGCTCAGCGCCCATCTAGCGCCTGCAACTTCCTGCCCCTCCCACCCCTCCTCTCCCAGGGCGCCGCCAGCTCGACCGGGCCCTCCGATGCGCCGACGCAAATCACCTACCGCACCTACGCTACGCTCTCCTTCATCATGATCTCCACATCGACAGAGTCCCCGCTCGCACTGATTGATCTGATTCAAGTTTTTGTGGAGGCACTGGACCGCATGTTCGAGAACGTTTGCGAGCTGGACCTGATCTTCGGGTATGAGACGATGCACGCGGTGCTGAGCGAGATGATTGTTGGTGGCGTGGTCGTTGAGACGAACATTGAAAGGATTATCGCTGGCGTGCGCAGCCAGGAAGGTACGTCTGGGAAGAGGAAGGCCGTTCAGGCCGCCAGTGCAAGTTTGGGACGTGGAGCGATGCCAGGGTTGGGGGCCTGGCGGTGATGCTGGAGCAGTGGCTCTCTGAGTAGTCTTTTCTCGCTTACTCCGATGCATCTGGTGATGGTACTTGCATTGGATTTCTTTCTACGGCGTCTTGATTGCATATAGACTCTTTCTTGCTACCCGCCGGTATGTGATATGATAATGAGCCATGGTTTTCGGTATACCAAATAGCTTCGGGCGGTCAAGCAAACAATCCAAATCTACCTGTTCGAAGCCAATAGAAAAACCCGCAAACTGAATCAAATTAAGGCTCGGGCACCAATGACAGTTGGTACTGCCGCACCCATTCACTACGAAACACTGTCACGTGATCACTATATCGAGGTCCTTACATGGTTAGCCCTAAGCCCTAGTCACATGCCCACGCTAGCGCGACCCACGAGAAATTCATAAGATCGTCCACCGACCAGCGAACTTTTTCTCTCTTCTTCTCCCTGTCAACCGTCAACCAGCGCACCCATCTCCAGTCGACAAAATGGTAAGCATTTGAACACTCTTGTTCAGGCTTCGCCCGTTGCAGCGATGCCTTAAGACAATTCTGTCTCGCTTCCGATTTTTTCAAATCGAAGCACAATTCCGTTGATTGCCCACGGCCTCGAAAGAGACGTGGACAATCGGCGATGATTTGGCTGGAGTCAGTCATGCATTGAAAGCCCGTAACACGGCTTTCAATTGCATGGCGCTCCTTAGAGTTTAAAGAAGATGCAGCCCGTAGTGGACCCGATCGCTGATCTTCTTTTCTCAATGATAGCCTCCCAAGTCCGGAAAGAAGGCCGCCGCCATGCCCTACCCCCAGGGCAAGGCTGGCTCGTCCAAGAAGGCCGCTAAGGTTCGTACTTCTTCTTTCCCTGGGAGCGCGAGAAAAGAAGGTATCGTACTAACGGGATTTTGCAGAGCCCTCTCATCGAGAAGCGTACCCGCAACTTCGGTATCGGCCAGGACATCCAGCCCAAGCGCAACCTGTCCCGCTTCGTCAAGTGGCCCGAATATGTTCGCCTGCAGCGCCAGAAGAAGATTCTGAACATGCGTCTGAAGGTTCCTCCTTCAATCGCTCAGTTCCAGAACACCCTGGACCGCAACACCGCTGCCCAGACCTTCAAGCTCCTCGCCAAGTACCGCCCTGAGACCAAGGCCGAGAAGAAGGAGCGTCTCGTCCAGGAGGCCACCGCTGTCTCCGAGGGCAAGAAGAAGGAGGATGTCTCCAAGAAGCCCTACCACGTCAAGTACGGTCTGAACCACGTCGTCGGCCTGGTTGAGAACAAGAAGGCTTCTCTCGTCCTCATTGCCCACGATGTCGACCCCATTGAGCTGGTTGTCTTCCTGCCCGCTCTCTGCCGCAAGATGGGTGTCCCCTACGCCATCGTCAAGGGCAAGGCCCGTCTCGGTACCGTCGTCCACAAGAAGGTATGTTTCATGCTCTCCCACTGCATACTCCAAGAACCACACTAACCTCTTCTTTCCAGACCTCCGCTGTTCTGGCTCTGACCGAGACCCGCGCTGAGGACAAGGCTGAATTCTCCAAGCTGCTGTCTGCCATCAAGGAGGGTTACACCGACAAGTACGATGAGTCCCGCCGCCACTGGGGTGGTGGTATCATGGGTGCCAAGGCCAACGCCCGCCAGGAGAAGAAGCGCAAGGCTGTTGAGACCGCCATCAAGGTCTAAGCTCGCCCTTTCCAGGATGACTTATTTTGTTTGACCGGATCGGCTGCTTGGCAAAGCGCTCCCAAAAAGTTCCAATGGGAAAAATCAAAAGGTGTTCCAAGGCTCCGGATGACTTGTTGACGGCCAAAAATTCTTTAGCTTTAGATGGGTGGGACAGAGCCCTGCAGCCCTTGGAATCCCATTCTAACCAAAAAGAAAAAATATTTCTCACGAACCTCCTCGACGGCCTTATGTACCACTTTTCCTGCAGATACCCATGAATGCATTTCTCAAACTGTTCAATATGCCCCTGTCGCATTCCCGTGACGCTTATGGCCAGTGTAGTAAATGTTTAGAATGGCATTCATGCAGTCTGCTTGTACTCTTTTTAATTATCCATCTTTATTTTCGTACTATTCTTCCCTTCCGACCTCCGTCTGCTCGTCCATACCTACCTCCGCGAAGACTTAAGGACCAACACAATTCGTAAAGTCACGTGATTGGGTGTATATTCTGAATCGAGTGAAGTGCCCAGGATCCCATTTTGTACTGTACCTAGATAAGCAGTTAAGACGATAGTCTAGTAATAAGGTTCTTTACCTAGGTAGTTCTGATATTTCGTATTTATGTTCTGAGACGAGGATTCTTATCAATGTCCAGGACCAGAGCTCAGTTCCCCGGGCAGGAGATATATTTGACCTCACCTACTGCCTTTCCCTCGATAGATCACTCTACCATCAGCTGGAGAGGATATACAAACCGTGATGTTTCAATCACGTGCCTGCTATTCATCATACTAGTCAGTGGCTGGACAAAGCATCGTCTTTCCGAGTCATATTTAGCGTACTTAGGGGGAGTAACATCCGGAATGGCGAGGAGGGTGCCTGCGAAGGTGCGGCTTGAAATCCCTCCGTCGGTTACATCCATGCCGGTAATCCTCTCTCCTCGTCCACTTCTTCACATACGAGTGGCATATTCCGTCGATCTAGTTCTTCTGGCAATTTTTTGGTGAATAATTCGCCTATCACATACACAACCAATATGAGCGGTGGGAGGCCTAACCTCATCTCTACTGGGGATTATCCTATATTAATTTGAACTTACTGCAGAGAATCACAACAACAGGGAAGCTCTCCACATCGGGGTGGTCCTGTATCCTGGCTTCCAGGCTCTAGACGCCTTCGGCCCCCTTGATTGCATCAACGTCCTCTCTTGGACCGAGAACATTTCTCTAAGCCTCCTCTCCACGACCCTGGACCCCGTATCAACGAAACCACCCACATCGCCAGGCGCCACTGGCCAGTCCATCTTGCCAACCCACACATTTGCAACAGCTCCGCCGCTGGACGTCCTGCTCATCCCGGGTGGTCGAGGCTCACGCGGCTCCAGCCCGCCGGTGCAAGAAGCTATCGCTTTCATCACGAATACTTATCCAAGCTTGAAGTATTTGATCACCGTATGCACTGGCTCGGGGCTTGCGGCACGCGCCAGGGTGTTGGATCGCAGACGCGCTACTACGAATAAGTCCTCGTGGCAGGAAATCACGGCTATGGGGCCAGATGTGGATTGGATTCCTCGAGCGCGCTGGGTGACTGATGGAAACATCTGGACATCTTCGGGTGTGAGTGCAGGAATTGATGTGACGCTTGCATGGATAGAGGAGGTTTTTGGGAAGCAGAAGGCGCGGAATATCGCTGAGGAGATTGAGTATAGCCGACATGAAGATCCGAATTTGGATCCTTTTGCTGAGCTTTATGGCCTGTAAGTGTGTTTGCTACCTTGGTATGTACCCTTGAAACCAGCAAAGTCTACGCTTGATCATAGAAAGCAAGCTTCAAGATAGAGAGTACTGGCCATGAGACATGGAAGGCCGCTTTATAATAGTTATTACGAATTCGTTCTGTAATTGCGAATCGCTAGATGTTCCAAAAATCAAGTGAGGTTAAAGAAACCTAGAGAGAGCATTGGGAGAACCTAAAAGAGTTACTCATAAGGAGTCAATTTGTATTGAAGGACAACATGAAAGAGATGAAGAATGCAAAGTAATCCAGTTATCTAAAAAAAAGGGTATACCCCAAACACGACCCCTATGATACAAAAGGACGACCTTGAGCACAAAGCATCGAGAGAAGAAAAACAGCAAGAGGGTTGGTATGGAGAAATTACACGAAAATAGAAAGCTCCAGCGCAAAAAAAGTACAAACCCCAAGAGATCCAGCCCAAGCCCAGCGCGCCTAAAAGACCAGATATGTCCCCTCGAAAGGTCATGAATCGTGTTGTATTCACGAATGAAGCCTAGTCTAAGACACGCGCAGAATAGAAAAAGTAGTTAGGTAAGTAGGTAGAGGCGTAATCATGATCAAAGTCATCCTGATTGGTCATTAACGTGGTGCAGGGGGTCGTGAGAGTCCTTGTCGAGCCTATTTTCAAATGTCAGCAGTGGATTCAGAAGATGACAGAGAGGTGGAGGTGAAAACTCACTTTCATCTGTTCGATTCTCGCCTTCAGCTGGCTGGTCACTTCCGCAGCACGCTTCCAGTTTTCGGCAGGCTCTGCGGACCGAGGCGCTGCCTCATCCTCAGTTGCGTGCAACGAACCCCGAGATGAGCGTGTTGGGCTTCCAATACCAGAAAGTCCGTAGGTAGGGCTCAGCTTGCGTCGGCCCAGGCCCAGGCCACCCTCCCGTCCTCCTGGTGACTCTAGCCCATTGTTTTCCTTCTCCTCACTTGGGCTGGCCGAGGCATAGCTCCGTGGGCGCGTACTTTCAAAGCGAGATCCCATATGGAGACCCGATCGGGCAGCGTGTCCATTGCCGGCAGATTCTTGGTAGATAGAGGTGGTCTCTGGAATGCCCAGGCTGCCGGCTTCGGATCCCGCGTTGGGCGGGCTCATCGCGGATGCGCGGAGAGCTCGTGCTAACTCGCGCTTCAACCGTTCGATCTCACGCTGTTGCTTTTGAACATTTTGCTCGGCAGCTTCAGCGTCACTTCGCGCCCGGACCAACTGTGTCTCCTTAGCCTTGATGCTCAAAACGTCTCTGGTATGATCCTCAATCAACTGTGCGTTCTGGTTCTGTAGCTCTGTAATCTGCGAGTTGAACCTGGAGCGTTCAGATTTCATCTCTTCGCTTATCCGAGTGAACCTGTCTTTCTCCGCTCGAAGCTCCTCCAACTCGGCACGGTCTGCTGCAGACATCGCATTCATAGCTGGAGGAGCCGGAACCGGAGCTGGCTCGACAGGTGCTGCAGGCTTCGCAATGGGACGGCCAGCAAGACCGCGTCCAAGGCCAAATTTGGGTGCAGGTGCTGCTTCTTCTGACGGCGGAGAGGCGATTCTTCGCTGCGGCGAACTCGTGCCTCCAGGACCGGCGAGCTTGCGCTGAAGCTTAAGCCCCGCCCCCGGAGGAGCAAGGCCGGGTTTTCCAAGCTTGGAGGGAATTGCCTTGGGAGCTGCCTTGACTGGAGCTTCTGCGGCGGCTGGGGCTGGTTTCTTCAACCCCGGTGCGGGCTTTTTCCCGGGAACAACCTTCCTGCCAGCGGGAGCAGCGGGCTTGGGGGGAGCCATGATCGGCTTTGGTCGTTCCTTGGCCTTCACCTCCGCTGTCTCAAAGTACTCCTTGATTTTGGTCTTTCGAATCTCGTCCAGTCCATCAAGGTAAGGGTTCATGGCCCGTTCGCCCAAGATCTTCATCAGTGTACCCAAAATCTCAGCACCGCCTGATCGGATAGCTTCCGTGGATTCTGTCAGCAATTTTGTGCCTGCATCGGCGATTGACTTGATCTCCGGCTTGGCTGGTACAGTGCGAGTCGTGCGAAGGCAGCGAATCAGGAACTTGACAGTCTCCTGCTTCACCTGCGGGTTCTTGTGCTTGAGATATTCTAGAATTTCCTCCAGACAGTCTGAGAGGTTTGTTGACAAGAACACCGCATCCAGTGCCTGACCCAGCGCATCTGCCACAGACTGCTTCTTCTCCTTCAGACGCTCCAGCATAGGTACCAGAATCGTAGATCGATACTTCATGAAGCCATTGCGCAAGCCCTTTGCTAACAGATCGACACAGTTGGCGGCCACCGTAACGACTGCAATGTTGGCATCTTTCATGCACTTAGCTAGACCTCTCACAATGTCATCGTATGGACCATCCTTGATCCGAGGCACGTTAATGGCATTATAGAGAGCGTCCAATGCTTCCTTTCTGTCTTTCCATTTCGATGAACCGAGCTGGTCTTGGAGGTCCTTGGGAACTTTAGGCATGACGTCGACGGGCTCGGCCAGATCAAACACTTCCACCTCTTCTGTTTCCTCCTCGGCGAATTCATCACCACCATGGTCGTCTGCTCCATCGCCGCCTCCCGGGGCGGCACTGGCTGCAGCCATAGCATCCTGCTGGGCTCGGGTGAACCGTTCTTGCTTGGGCGAGGGCTCTTGCTGGACGACCTCGAAAAGCTTCTCCAGATCCTGCTGTTGTACCGGCTTTAGGTCGGCCCAGAAGAGAGGCTTAATCGCCTCCCGCAGCCATCGATATAATTCCACCGTCAAGTTCTGTGCTTCGGCTCGGACGTTCTTGTCTGCGTGGCCGAATACCTTCGTGAGCGCCTTCAGTGTCGGTTTCGGGTCCACAATCTTGCATCCAAAGTTATGGTAGATGGTAGTTAACGCCGCGAGAGCACCAGCAACGACTTTGGGGACTTTGTGGCTCAGGGTAGGCAATATATCCTCGAGTACGTGGTCGGCTCTATCGAGTTCGATGCATAATAGGAGGGCTTCCTGGGCACTGGCCTTGCCAGCTGGTCTGGCGCAGGGAAGACCCTTTTCCGCGATCGGGCCAACGGTCATGGATCGGGTCCTAGGACATTGTCAATACCATAACCAAGCATGATCACCGGTAAATAGAGGATAAGACATACCTTGTGCATGCCTGGACTCCACCAAACTTCAAGAACGCGCAGTATGACCCCATACCCTCCACTTGCGCGGCGACATTGGAGTCTGCGACTGCTCCCTTCCACAACCCGGGATCTTGCAGGAATGGCGCAAATACCGGGTCTGATTCATCGGGAGACTTTTCGAACTGTGCTTTGGCGTCCTCATAGCCCTCCTTGCGCACTTTCCAGTTCTATGGAGTTGCAATGTCAGTTCTCTGTCCACGGACGGCTGCACCGCAACATATTCAACAATGCACAAAGGAGATCGAACCTTGTGGGTGAACCGGTCGGTTAGCGGCAGAGAGGAGAAGTCCTCTTCCCCGTCAGCCATGGTGACGAGCTAGATTATCAAAGGAAGGGTCTGAGACCGAGCGAGGGCTGGGTATGCCTTCTAGTTAGCACACCTTGCCATCCGTTACGCAGCGCATACAGCCACGACAAAGCAGCGAAGAAATCAGGGATCTCTGAGCTGGTGGGGATCATATTCTCGTACCGGGAGGCGTTTGATGCCCAAAGAATTGGACGGGGGAGAATGCCGGACAGTCTCAGTTGGCGATCAGGGATGTCGATCAACTAAAGGAGGGAGCACCGGGTGGCATTCAAGACACAAGAGGCGACCCCAAGGAAAATAGCCCGACGATAAATAAGAATGGGCGGGTCTGGCAAGGGTCTGGATTCTGGAGAAAATGGAAATAAACAGCGGGCGGCGCTGGAGATCGGAGAGTAAACAAGCGGGCTTGGCGGTGTCGAGGGTTGTTTTTGTTGTGACCCCGCGGTGGATCAACGCTGGCCTCTGCGATCCCGACTTTCCACTTTCTTACGCAATTCCGATCAATCCTGAGGCCTGGTTCGATTTCCCTTCAAGTTCTCCCGGCGCACTTTTATCAAAATTCCCTTGTCGACGTGGGCCTGCGAGCGACAGCCTCCGGTGCACGCGGAGGTGCATTGAAGGACTGCCGGGGAAACACACAAATCCGCCGGCACCATGAGCCAGCTACTCACGGCGCGACAGGCGGAGGAGCTGTATGTGCCCTGATCGGGATCTTCATGGCTACAGAACTGACAGAGGGGTCTTTCTGCTGCAGACACAAGTCAATAATCGCCTACCTGGCCTCTGCGAACCTACCCCAGAGTTCCACAGCGCTACGTCAAGAGCTCGGCGAGTCCATTTCCGTTGATGACAGCACACTGAAGAAATATGAGGGGCTGCTAGAGAAGAAATGGACGAGCGTAGTCCGACTACAGAAGAAGGTGGGGGAGTCATCTGCGGCACACCGCATACGCGGGGACTAGAAAAAGGGGACTAATGAGCTGTGGGCATAGATTATGGACTTGGAGTCCCGATGCGCCTCCCTCCAGACCGAACTGGACACTGCCACCCCGACGTCGCTCTCCCGAAGAAACCAGGATCCGGCATCCTGGCTGCCTCGAGCTCCGGCTCGCCACGACCTGGAGTCGCACCGGCAACCGGTCACCTGTGTTGCCTTTCACCCTATATTCTCCTCACTCGCCTCCGGGTCCGAAGACACAACAATCAAAATCTGGGACTGGGAACTGGGTGAACTGGAGCGGACAATCAAAGGCCACACGAGAGCGGTGCTTGACGTGGATTACGGCGGACCGCGAGGGGGAACTCTCCTTGCGTCATGCTCCTCTGATCTGACTATCAAACTGTGGGATCCTGCCGATGAATACAAAAATATTCGCACCTTACCCGGGCATGATCACAGTGTGTCAGCCGTTCGCTTCATCCCATCAGGGGCCGCGGGATCCCCAACGTCCGGCAACCTGTTAGTGTCGGCTTCCCGTGACATGACACTACGGATATGGGATGTGACGACTGGGTATTGTGTGAAGACATTGCAAGGACACTCGGCTTGGGTACGAGATGTAGCACCATCCCCAGACGGGCGTTTTCTGTTCTCTGCTGGAGATGATCAAGTCCCTCGTCTCTGGGATATCACTTCAGGGGAACCCAAGGCCACTTTCCTAGGGCACGAACATGTCATCGAGTGTGTTACCTTTGCGCCCACGACAAGTTATCCATATCTGGCGACTCTGGCAGGGCAGAAAAAACCACCCCCTGCGTCATCATCAGCCGAGTTTGTTGCTACGGGTGCTCGTGACAAGACCATTCGTCTGTGGGACGCCCGGGGCAATCTGATCAAGACATTGGTTGGGCATGACAATTGGGTACGTGCCCTTGTTTTCCATCCTGGTGGGAAGTATCTGCTCTCGGTGGCGGATGATAAGACACTACGATGCTGGGATCTCACACAGGAGTGCAAATGTGTGCGCACCATTTTTGCTCATGATCACTTCATCAGCTCGATCCGCTGGGCACCTCCTCTGATCAAGGACAGCAATGCCAATGCAGATTCTGGAGCCAACGGTTCAGCAGAGCCTGCAGCATCAAACGGGGCGAAGGAAGACTCCAACGCGGCGAGCAAGATGTCCATTCGGTGCGTGCTCGCCACTGGCAGTGTCGACCTCAAGGTGCGCGTCTTCGCCTCATGAGAGCCGCTATATGCTGTCAGGGACAACGCTCATAGCAGGATCTTGACGAGACCTGATTCAGCACAGCCTGGGAAGCCACGAAGGGCCATCCAGACCATTTCGTCTACGAAGATACGGTACGTCGGGGTTGACTCCCGACACTGGAGGATTTGGGATTTAGAAGCATCGCCGTTCGTCGTTTCTGGGCAAAGGAGTTGGTTTCTCTTCCGTGATACCAGTGACTTACTTTCCATTCACAAGTGATCAGATCAAGGGATTGGGGATGATCAGCCACGACCGGGCACCAGAGAAAAAGACCTAGGAAGTCTTTTTGTTGCGGTGTACACACTTGTTTACTTTCCTCCGGCCGGGCGGATGGGGCTCTATTCTCGTACATACTCCTCTAATGCCGCTACGTTCAATTATTTGCTTTCTGTGCCCTCATAAATATTTATTTGACAGAAAGAGGAACATTTCTGGACACCACAAGGAGTCTTCAGTGATGGAGAAGAGATAGAAACCCTCGAAGAAAATGGTGAATCAGTAAATAAATGCTGTATATAGTATAGTACAAATGATCCGATATGCAACCCCAGCGCGGATATCAAAAATGACAAGCCAACAGGCCTGATAAGCTCAATGGCTAGTGTCCAAAGTTCCTTGAAATTTGATCCTACCACAAATCTAGACCTGGACCTCGGCAGTCCGCTCCTGCACCAGCTTCTTCACCTTTCCAATACGCTCCTGTCCTAGGAAAATCCGGTGAATCAATGCTGCCGTAGAAAGTGTTTCACCCTCCTGCACAAGTCCCTCCTCTTGGGCGATAGCCTGGAGATCAATCTCCTCACCCAATCGCCTCGACTCCCTGCGCACGTACTTTGCAGCCCAGCGCTTTTCGCGCTCCTGCTCGCGCTCCTGGCGCGTCAGAACGGCCGGACGATCCTCAATGGGCACAGCGAAAGGGGTAATGATGCGCTCGACGACGTGGTGGACGTGGCGGCTCTTGGGGGCACCGGACGAGAACTCAATCACGTCGCCGGTGCGGAGGGAGTTCTGCGGGTCCGATACCAGCTTCTTGTTTTCCTTCTGGTAGTATTTCCGGATGTGCTTGTCCCACTCGTTAGAGCGGTAGACTACGGTGACGGTGCGGTCCATGCGGCCGACGGAGACGACGGTTCCGGTCTTGATCGAGGAGGCATAATCACGGAGCAGAGTGGGCGGCTTGAGGGTTTGGGATTTTGGGAGAGTCGGAATCGATGTGGTGTTGGAGGTGGGGGGTGTGGTGATGTGTTCAGGCGTCACTTTGGTAGTTGTTGTCGAGTTGTATCGAATGGTCTGAGTCAAAAAAAAGGTTGAAGGAACAATCATTGATCGCGTCAGGCTCATCGGCGATGCAATTGAGCGGAGAGGCATTGTCGCCCGGAGGAGGTGGCTCGGCGCCATGGTTGAAGGCTCCTGTCGCGCACAGTCCTTGATCAGGGTGTGGGAAGATCGTGAAGGCAGTCCCCGAAAGGCGTCGAGCAGGGGCAAATTGGCAAATTGGAGGAGCGCCAAACACTGAAGTTGCGGAGTCGCGGAGTTCATTCTGAGAATTTCTCGGGGCATGTTTGCAGTGTTTGCACCAGCTCTCCAACCAAGCCAACACCGTCTGCACGCCCATACATACTGTCCCATCTATTGCACTCCGATGAATTGCATGGGGCCTGCTCTACGTTGCAGTATGTTAAATCGAGTGTGATAATTAGAGATTGAAAAAGTATGGGAATAGTGGTATCCGACGAGTCCCTCACAAGAAGCTGTTCTGATGCCACCCTATCCAACTCCTGGAAGAAGAAGGTAGGTTCTCACTCCGAAACTGATCCTGACCTTGCTCTGAACACATCAGAGAGAGTGTTTCGCCACGCGGGATCTGATGTTCCATGCCAAATGTTTTTGGCCTTTTCCTAAGCATCTAAGCTCAACCATGTGGCCCGCAGACTGTTGCTTGGACGGAGAGATATACTTCAGCCTCAGAACATCTGTATAGAGATAGGAAGAATGATTAACCAGTGATTACGTCTTTTGTTGGGTGTCTTCGGCTGCGATTGATGCCTCTTCTGGCTATAATCACCCCCCTGCTTCCGAAACAACAAATTCTGAGCCCATGACGCCTCGGATGGAGAAGGCGAGAAATATCAAGAGTGGCAAACCCGCTGGTGGAATGAGAGAATTGAGGAGAGATTCGGCGCGCTGATGACAAACACCCGGCTAGACTGCGTTGCTGCCTTTGCTTCTGGAATTTGGAAGCCTACCAAAAGCGGGGGACAGGTTGAAGTCTTCCAAGTGACTGATATCAGGAAAGAAAGAGATGAAAGGAACTCTGTGTACTGCCATGTAATAAAGATGGGATTCATCGGATCCCAAGAGTTCCTCAACTGGGGCACAAAATCAAGTACTTGGGCAGCGATAGATGCTCGATCTTTGCATACCGAGGCCGAAACAATACGCTCTCTGCCGCAGAAGACAAAATTTCCACTATTCGAGCTAGTGGCACATGCGACAATAAACTCAACCGTCCGTTTGTTCTCGTGAGCTACGTACAAGGACAGCTTGCCGAAGGTCTGGTTTGGCGGATATACCGGAAGACGTTCGCTGAGAACAACGAACTCGGTCACTACGAGATATTGCAGGCGCCATGAGCTAACCGGATGTATTCTCATTATGTAGGGAGAAATTACTGATCATCCGGAAAGGATGATCAACTAGAGGGAATTGGTTTCAAAAGATATCGTTAGACAGCTCCTTAGAGTCTACGTACGTGCAAATGATATTCAAGGTCGTGAAATATCCATTTTGAACCTGGAACCCTGAACCCCAACCGGGAATGTCGCTGAATTTCACCTCAGAGGCTGGTTTATCAGATGAAGGCTTTTCCACGACCGCGACGAAGTGTTCATGTTTCAGATTTTGAAACTCCATATTAGAGAACTGCTTCTTCGTGACAAATTTCTCCCTTAACATATTTATACGTCCAAGCCTTTGAAGTCAGCGTTGACAATTATGATCTTATTTGATAGCTTTTCGATATTGCGTATTACTCGAGGCAAGCTTTGCGCGTTCTATCGCAACTTGGAACTATTCTATATATCCTGTTAGCTCTCTGGTAATATTTTATGTAAGGTCGAGATTGTTTCACACCCTTATCCATTATGGCACGGGGGCCGACTCTTGGCTCCTGCACAGTTCGATAGGCTTGAACTTTAACTGGCCTTGAGAGGATTAGAGCTTGGTACATCGGACCAAAACAACATAGAACTTACTGCTGAGGGCTACAATAGTCTCGATAAGAAGGAATCCAAGAATAATCGGATCAAAAAGGTCGAAAAATGAGTTAGAGAAGGAATTTAACGAGGAGTCTGGGGAGTTTGAGGTATGCAGATGTTTGATAAGGTAATTTCGTACGAGAAAGCTGGTAAGAAAGATACATTGAAAATGTTTATAAAGTTAGAGCCGATTGAATAAACGAGACATCGTGATATGGCTCCCTTGAATACCCGCAGAAAGCTGAAGACTAGCCTTGAGAACGGCGAACTGACGTTTCTGCAGCGGCTGTTTGACTGTATATAGAGCCGCGTAGCTGACGAAAGCCATTTGCTTTGATTCATCCAGATCTTTCAATATTTAAAATCACGCTCTCCGAGGATGGCCTACTGCAAAGAATCATCAACTGGAGTGACATCAGTGTTGATTTTGGGACCCTAGGGTACGAGCCCGCATACTTCTGATGCGATTGGGAGAAGGTCAAGATATTGACAAGCGCCACCTACAAGTATTGTGATACCACATTCTTAGCGAAATTCTTGCGGTTGTAGGGCGCCCTAACAGTGATGTCCTCGTCTGGGTTAAGCGTTATGTTATCGATTAATGTCCGTGAGAACTCCTCCGTCCTAGCAGAAATATCAACATTGAGAATCCAAGGAGTTTATGTGATTAAGTCTGTGGCTATTAGGTCTGAAATTCCAGATAGGGGAAAGATTGTGGAGCAAGACGAGTGTCGAATGGCGATATCAATGTTCTCCGATGTACTTTTGGTGAGAACCTTTATAGGTTCAAATTCATAACTGAGGACTTCTCGGTGACTAGCGTTCTCATTATAGTGCCTAAGGACACGGACTCAGGAGAACATCCATCTTTGGAATAGATGCCGCTCAATTGATCTATCTGATATGTGTGGCTTAGGATCCACGGCAAGGTGACGTGGAAGGCTGAACGCCTCATCTGGGAACCACAAAATCATCGATATCTCGAAGCTAGCCAATCCGTCAACACTTCCCATTATTGAGTCGCTCTCCACTCCAGCCGGACGATCTTCGACATGGCCCCTGCGCTGCCGATCGCCAAAGATTTCAGCTTGTACCATCCTGGGCGATCGGTTTCGCGGCTGGCGGTTCCGTGGTGGAGCCAAACTGTCGTGCGTGGGTCTCGCGGCCCGCACACGTCTGCTGCCGGCGATATGCCCGAACCCCAGCGTAGACGGATCCCATAGTCCGCACAGTCGAGATTACGGTTCTAGCAGTTCTAGCAGGCGAGTCATTCGCTGTCACATTTTCTTCGCAGGGCTAGCGGTCCGCATGAGACCGTTTGAGTGGCAGGGCTCGACCTACTGGATTTGGGATCATGGGATAGAAAGGGCTGAGATGGCGGAGAGAGGGGATACGCGGTGAAGAGCATACGATGCGCAGTGGCTCAGCCTGCCCATTGTGGGACGGTGTGAAGGCGCGCAAACCTTGAGGCCGCGTGGAGGGATGCGTGAGGGTTGAATCTCATTCATTATTATAACTAATACTAGTCCAGACGCTTATATAGCACCCAGTATATGCAACCATAACCACGTAAAGACAAAGATCATATAGATAGGATTATATACATAAGATTATATAGATAAGATTATATAGATATCAAACATGCCGCGCTGGGTCGTCCGAGATCACTGAAATCTCGACCTGCTTGGTGATGCCGGGATGCTCCCGCTCCAGCGAATCGGGGCGCCCTCCAATTGTGGTGCTGGTATGCGTGCTTTGATCGAGAATCCGCTCGATGCTGTCATTGTCCGCCTGGTGAGACTTGGTGAGACGCCGCGACCGCCCCAGCCGTGAGTGGCTCGTGTCGTTCCCTCCAGTCCGGTGGCCGCTGAAGGGTCCGCTGAGTTCGTAGGAGCGGGTGACACTCGAGAACTTGCGCACCGAGGAGATGACCAGGGGGCGGATGCAGGGGATGGAAGAGGTGATGATAATAATCGTATTTTCAACGTAGCCCCAACGGATCAGCTCGAGGCCGCCCGTGGCACCGAGGTTGGTGACGCCGGGTACCTGGTCGAGTTTGGTGGTCTTGATGATGGAGGCGATCATTGCGCTAATGGAATTGTTAGCTTCGGTCTCCGAACAGGTGGTGATTTGAGGGGAGACGAACACACTGCCCAGGCTCAACAGACCGATCAAACTGATCTTGATGCCCAGCTTGAGGTTAAGGTTCCAGAATACCAGAGTCGGGAAGATCGCCAGGAACAGGTCGGTGGCGGAGTTGAAAGCTGCAGAGATGTCAGCCTATGCGGAACGAGACGAGTAGTTCCAAACCACATACTATTGGAATAATAGGCGAATTTAATGACGTCCCCCGTATTGCCACAGTGAACATTCACGAAGGCCGCTGGATCCCATAGTACGGCGACATTGCTACAGATGGTCAGCGGTAGCACCGCCGAAGCAATATTCCCCGCTGCCTGGATAAACAGAAGAATCCATAACACAATCACGTATGCCTTGTTGGTACTGAGGACGCCGAGGAGGTATATCATAAAGGCCGAGCGGGCAATAGTGGTGCTGAAGGTCACGATGGGCACTTGAATGGCGATATACTTCAAGACCATCATCTGGTCGTAAGGGGCCAGCTTGGTCAGATCACCACCAAACCCATGCTTCACGCTCAGCGTCAGGAATACCGTTGACACTATAATGAGAATCTAGACGTGGTCAGTGCACTGCGCATCCAGAACCAAGCAGATGAACTACGGAGTAGTTCCGGGCGCATACCTCCGCAAGGATCATTAAGACATCGTCGACCTGGAACCGTTTGATTTTGATCTTCGCAAAGACCCTCAAAATTAGGATCACTAGGGCGACCATCACCCCGGCCCAGATGCCCCTTTCGAGGGATTCGCCCTTACCATTCGACATGGTGACAACCCGCGGGAGAGAAGGAGACGAATCGAATCTCTAGAACTCCCGCATAGCCATCGGAACCGCGCAGCAGAGCAGCGTTCCTTAATAAATCAGTTGCAGCAGCGCTGCCGCAAGAGCCTGGTGCTGGAAATTGCGGATTATACTTTCCAGCTACAAAGTTACCAGCATCGTTGAACGTTGTTCCTGAGCGTGTGTGCGCCACCCAGGGCCCGTGTGTACGCGACTTCCACGGTACGCTGTGGTTATAAATTGCTTGCGGCCCATGATGAGCTTCCACATTAGCAGCACTGGTGTGGTGAAGCCCTAAAGAGAAGCCTTGGTCCGTCGCTTCCGGCGCATACGAGGATGGCGTTGGCTCACCAAACTCTGGTAGAGTGGGAGTGCCCCATTGCATTTCCACCAAATCTCCACCGTTTCCACTCAACACCTGCGGGATTTCCCTCTTCAGGCTTGACGGCTCCAACCCGTGGACAGCACTCCACTTTCCCTCCCAAGACTGGAGCCATCCCGGCCATTGATTGGCCCTGAACCTCCCCTGCCTGAGACATGCGATCGATCGGATCTCAGGTTTGTGTTTGATTTCCCGGCACACAGTTGCTCGTCTTTTTGCAGAATCCGGCTATGCTCCCGTCGCTTCCGCTCCAGCGGATCCCAAGGTTGCACTGACCTGCCCGTGGTGGACATTTTAAGCTTCCTGCAATCTGTCTGGCTTTCCCTTCTGGAAGGACGTTCTGTTCCAATGGCAGCTATCCATCTGGCGTGAACGTTGTGGCAAAGGATGTACCCTGCCACTTGGCGTCTGCAGGTTGATGGACCCGCATATCCCTCCACCTCCCCCTGGGAGTTGCTAGTTGCATAAAGCTGCACAATCCCGGTTGTAGGGTTCGTCCCGCAAGACCCAGCTGTCACTGGGGTCAATACCGGCAAAAACATTTGCGCGGTTACGGTGGAAGCCTATGAACTGGGATCCCTCGAATGCCACAACCCACCCGGTGCCAGCCACCATCCGTCCACGTTCTGATGAACTATTGTCTAAGCTAGACGCTCTGGGGAACATCTCCGAGCGGCTGGGAAATCCTGTAGCGGCCCGGCCGAGGTGTTGTTGCCAACAGACACTCCATAAGTCAAGCCATGTGGCCGCCCCCATGTGGCCGCCCCCCTGGGGATAATTTAAACTCGCGATCGGCAAACTCACCCTCCAGTTTTGTCTGCCATCTCCAGTCCTCTTCCACCTCACTCCACCATGAAGATCTGGTCGGCAACCATTGTGGCCCTTGCCTCAACGGCAATTGCCCACTCGCCTTTGCGCGGTTCGCACGGTTCGCGCGATTCGAGCTATTCGAGCTATTCGAGCTCTCAGTGCCGCTGCTTGCCCGGGGATGCCTGCTGGCCGGCCCCGTCGGCCTGGGCGTCGCTCAACAGCACCGTCGGTGGCCGTCTCATTGCGACCGTGCCAATTGGCAGCCCTTGCCACGATCCCAACTATGATGCCGTTGCCTGCGCCGCTCTGCAGGCGGGCTGGACGGAACCGCAGACCCAGTATGTAGAAGAATCCCCTCAATCTCGGTTCCATCAAGGGGATATTAACCAGTCTCCAGCCTCGCCTCCTCCTCGTCCGTGATGCAGGTGTACTTTGCCAACCAAACTTGCGATCCCTTTACCGCAGAGAGCCAGCCGTGTCAGCTCGGCAACTTCCCTGACTACTCGGTCAACGTCTCCTCCAGTGCCGATATTGTGGCCGCAGTTCAGTTTGCTCAGGCCAAGAACATCCGCTTCGTGATCAAGAACACTGGCCATGAGTAAGTTTTGCCCCCCCCCCCTCCCCCTTTCGGCGGCATCTCCGGCCCTGAGGAACTCTAGACTGATCCGATTGATGCAGCTACCTGGGCCGCTCGACTGGTGCTGGTGCGCTCTCCGTCTGGACCCACAACCTCAATGACATCGAATACCTCGATTGGTCGGACTCGACCTACCAGGGCCCCGCATTCAAGGTCGCTGCCGGTGTGATGGGCTACCAGATCCTCGAGGCCGCTACGGCGAAGGGTCTGGTCGTCGTCACGGGTGAATGCCCCACGGTTGGCCTCGCGGGTGGTTACACCCAGGGTGGTGGCCACTCCGCTCTCAGCACCGCCTTCGGTCTCGGTGCCGATCAGACTTTGGAGTTCGAGGTGGTCACTGCTGCGGGTGAGGTAGTGACCGCGTCGCGTTCCCAGAACTCCGATCTCTACTGGGCCCTCAGCGGTGGCGGTGCTGGTAACTACGGCGTTGTCGTGTCGATGACCGTCAAGGCTTACCCGGATGCCATCATCTCTGGTGCTGCCCTCGAGTTCACGGCGGCCGGCATCACCACCGACACCTTCTACGAGGCTGTCGCTCAGTTCCACAAGCTGCTGCCCGCGATGACCGACCAGGGTACGACCGTCATCTACCAGATGACCAGCAGCGTCTTCATCATCTACCCTGTGACTGCCTACAACCAGACCCAGGCCCAAGTGCAGGCCATTCTGACTCCCTTCACCGACGCCCTCACCGCGCTTGGCATCACCTATGCGATGGGTCTCACCCAGTTTGACTCGTACTATGATCACTACAACCATTACATGGGTCCTCTGCCTTGGGGTAACCTGGCCGTGGCCACGTACCAATATGGCGGCCGTCTGATTCCCCGCGATACTCTGGACAACAACTATGAGGGCATGGCCTCCGCCCTGCGCAACATCACCCAGTCCGGCGTGGTCGCCGTTGGTGTCGGCATGAACGTCACCAACCCCGGCAACGTCTCGAACGCCGTCTTCCCGGCCCTGCGCAACGCCGCCGTGACCATGCAGATTGGCACCCCGTGGAACGAGACTGCCCCGTGGTCGGACATGGTCGCTGATCAGTGGAAGCTGACCGACGAGTACGTTCCCCAGCTGGAGGCTGTCACCCCTAACAGCGGCTGCTACCAGAACGAGGCCAACTTCCGCCAGCCCAACTGGCGAGAGACCTTCTTCGGGGGCAACTTTAGAGCCCTCCTCTCGGTGAAGAACAAGTGGGATCCCCAGCACTTCTTCTATGCCCTCAAGGCTGTGGGCAGTGATGCTTGGAACGTGTCCGATTCGGGCCGCATGTGCCGTATTTAAGTGGCGCAGATTCATGGCGTGGGTGGTACAGTGTCGCGGGACGTGACTTGATTTCTGTATAGAGATGCATTTTAGATGCGCTTGTTTGGGGAGTTTTGATCCCATCTTGTATAAATGAATAGACTTATATACTAATTTACTTCTACAATCTTTTTTTTTTCTTCTTCTTCCTTGTTACATTAGCCTATCCTCGCAATTCGTGCATATTTGTAGCCGGTTCTAACGTGAGGTGGTCTATCATCCATAACTGCCTTGGCTGCGAGATCCATATATCACTACACTAAGTGCACACTAAGTGCACAACATTTGACTTTTTCAAAGCACCAACCTTGATCCACCTGCCACATTTGACATCTTGAATCTGGCTAGGAACAAGGGGCCCGGTGGGGGCTGGCTCCGCAGGGCTTTGTCACAAGAAGCTTTGTGTATTCGGAGCACACTAGCGGTGACGCTCTACAAAGGCTTGTCTCCTCTTCCCGTTTATGGAACCATGGTCTGCACACGCGGCTATCGTCAGGGGCGACATTGGGTCGTGGTGCCGAACTTCCGAGCCGGAGCAATCTTCTCGGTGGGCTCATCAGGTTACCGGCTTTGCGCCGTCCTGCTCTAAATGCGGATCAGAGGAATTTGGCATGTAGTGCTAACATTGGACTTATTGCCCTCTCAAGTGTACGGCTGATGGAAAGGGGGCCCCTAGCAGGACGAGATTCTCCAAAATAACAAAATAAAATGAGATGAATCTCTTCAGTCCGTGCGGAGAACAGAATGTCACACTGTGGACTCGATGCAGTGGGGTGGTGCCTTTCAGAATCCTCCCGCCGGCCGGGTGTGCCCGAATCTACAAGGAAGCTAGTAGAGGAAGCTGAATGGAACGGTCTGAATGAGGAGATGGTATTCGCCTTTTTGGATACCAGGACCGAATCCACTTATGCTATCTTGACGAATCCCTTGAGAAGTAGCCCGTACAAGGAAGAGAGAGAGGATTCAAAGGCATCGAAGCCATCCATAATACCCACAACTCACCACATTCTCCTATTTCTCCGGCACCCCACAATCCTGTGTTTCTCCAAGTCCCGTTGGGTCATAACTGCCGAGCATTTGGGGCACAGGGCCTGGGCCATTGGGCTCCCGGCACGGCCGCCGCGTGGCATCTTGTGCGCGATTTCTAACTTAGCGCTCCATTCTCTGGCAATTTGCAGCATTCCCTCTCCGAGGCCATGTTCGAAGAACCCCGGTAGCATTTCCGTCTCATCCCCCCAGCTCCCCCGCGACAGCTCCGGGCGTATCTCCCAGGGAGTGGTGATTTGCACAATAGCCTTCCAATGTTGGAGGAAGTTGAAGCGGGCCCGATTGAAGTTGTATAGTGCCCTGAGCCCGCCGCCGGTCCCCTTTTCCCGTCGGGCGACGTCGAGAGCCGAGAGAATATTTTCCTGCAGTTGCTGGAAATTGCCCGCGTAATTAATGATGGTAGCTGTTTCAAACCACCGGAGACATCTGTCGGTGCTCAAAAAGTGGGTCAGGACGTCCAACATCTTCTCTGCTTCTTGAAACAAGGGCTCCGACAGACACAGCAGATAGTTATGCCGTGCCTTCAGCGCGTCCCACAGGCAGTAGGTCATGGGGAAATAGGAGTCGGGCCACTCCGTCGCGAGAAGGCTCGAATCATTGCTTCGCAAAGCCTCGAGATGCAGCATCGAATCTGGACAGTCCGTAAAGTACCACACGGCCATGGCACCGCGGTACAGATCTCTGGCTTGCCGCGTTTGTACCAATTCCGGCAAATCTCCCGCCTTTGCATATCTGCTTGGGTCTGCGAGATATTGATAGACGGAGAGGTGCACGAATCGCAACTCATATGTTAGCGGCGTCGGGCGCAGGACTTCGATTAAGGGCGCACCAAGCTTTTCCGCCAGACCCGGCGCATCAAATGGCATATTGCCCCCATTGACGAAGCGAAAGACAAGGTCCAACATGCCTCGCTGAATGCTATCCATGGCTTGCGCCAGAAAGTCGGGCATATAGTTGCTGATATCTGCGCACAGAAACAAGTACCGTGCGAATTCCTTCTCCGGACGGGTCATCTTGGCCTCACTGGTCCACAGAATATGATTGTAGAGTTCCTCCAACCCATTTGGGAGAGAATCCAGGCACGCTTGAACCACCTCGCGGCTCGGTGCACGCTCCATCTCATCCAGAAGCAGCCGTGCATATAACCACAGCCCATCGGCTTGCTCGACCGTCTTTCTCACGGCTTGCGTACCCAGATCCGTATTGGCGAGGTGAGTCATTTCCTGGATGCGAGCTTCGGCATACGCTCGAATGTGCTCCACAGCTTTGCTCGGCTGCATGGTGATCGCAAGAGGATGGGGGGAAACAGGATCTGGGGAGGAGAAGGTGGGTGATACTCGTCCCAGCAGGACAATCTTGACGGGAGCTTCCGGCGGCAAGCTGGTTCGAAAGTGATACTGAGAGCTGGACCAGTCCTTACATTCGTCGATCCCATCAAACACAATGTAGTAAGATGGGCTACCGGGTTGACGTGGCAGTTGAGAAAACACCTGCCCGAGCATGCTCATCACCTCGACCAGAGAATCCGCGACGACACGCCCGCTGTTCTTGTACGCGAGCAGGATGTTCTCCGTCAGCTCGGGGTGGACGTGGATCAGTTGCGCAAGAATGGTTCTCGACGCATGGAGCATGCTGTGTCTTTCCGAGTCCTGTTTGTTGAACAGGAAATATAAAGTCGTTCCACACTGCGACAGGTAGCGGATCAAGTAAGCGGCCATCATACTCTTTCCACTGCCGGGTCGCCCGATGACCTGAAGGGCCGTGTTGAGCGGTCCTCCAAGTGACGAGATGTCCGCCGCACCATGTTCATCGCTCGAGGGGCCGTACCACTGCCTAAACTCATCAGCCTGCAAGATCCAGGCACAAGAGCCGTCGCGGTAGCCGGAGAGGCGCTGGAGATCGTCCTCGACCCGTGCTGGAGCTAGCCAGCACTGTAAACGGCGGATATTCTGCTCTATACGCAACAGTCAGCCATGATCACACCGTCCGAACGGCCTCGGCTCACCTCGCGTCTCGGCCAGCAATCGGTCCCTGGCCGCCTTCGATTCCTGAAAGTGAGCCGCTTGGGCGGCACGGTCAATCTCGATTGCACGTTGATCGATTGCAGTCCCGACAGTGGCAAACTCTTTACCAAACGGGTTCATGATGTACCGGATCCGGCTCGTTTCATACGTCGAGATGCAAGCACAAAGCCGGAGGAGCTCGCAATAAAGTCGCCCCATCGCATCTCGCACCCCCTCATGGTCAGCGAACAACGTCTTCAAATTCTCGTAACGCTGAGTCGACTGGGCGATCTTGTCGAGAATAACCACCAGTTGTTCCAAGGTCGCCAGATGCTGGCTAGCTATCTTAGCGGCCGTCAGCGAGATCCCACCCGGGCCTTGGCCTTTTCACCGTGAAGACCAACCGTGATTGCCACTCGAAGAGGACCCCAAATCGGAGAAGCGATTCCCGCGCTGACCTGTACGACCACATCGATCGCGCCTTCGAATCGTCGCAAAGGATCGATGAGGGGTCGCAAGAATTCGAGAATCCGAGTGAAGGCTCGTCTTCGCCCGCCATTCAGCACGACGGTTTGCAAGCATTCATCGACGGTTGCGGGTGCTTGAAACTGCTGTCGCTTCGATGGGCCCAGTCCGTTGACATAGAGTGCAAGAGCCTGCTCCCACGGGTCTGTAGACGCTGGTTGCGCGGGCAATCTGCTGGCTGCGTAGCTGCGCGTCCCGAACCATATAGACGACCGGGAATTCATATTGCGAGGCACGCCTAGCTCAGGTGAAATGAAACGTTTCTCCAGGATGAAGCCCGTTTATGATGCTCACTGGCAGCCTCATCTTCGATCCATTGACGCCAATCGCTTCCGCTGCCCCGCCGCCAATACGAGGGCACGCGGCGCAGTCGCCATGGCGTTTTCTACGCAGACTACAGAGATACTGCGGCCGATTCTGGAGATGTTTCAAAAGAGCATTTTAGCCGATAGAAAGTCCACACCCTTTAACCGATCTTGCCAATCATGTATAACTATGCTGTATAACCTACCGTCTCTATGAAACGCCGGGCTCGAGATCAAAAGCCTGCCCTAAGTGAATAGAACATGTCAAGAGTAAGACCACCATATCCCAAAAATAGTTCATCCATACTCTGACAGAAACTTCACCAAACAAAGGAATCGATCACGGTGAGTTGGAGGGCGTCATACCCGTCATCGTCTCCTTGTATACTTCATGCCTGGCTTCCTCCGCTCCTCTGATCAGGCAATGGGAGAGGCAGTGGGGGTTTGATCTTCCAGAACAGGCGTCTGGCAAAGCTTCTCGCTGTCTGTCGTTCGCGTTGCAAAGATTCTTGAATACGGTTTCTAGATTTCTGAACCACGCTTGAGCGCTCCCTGTAACCATTCACGCGACGACTTCACCCAGTTGCAGCCTTACTCTTGGTAGCTAAACCTAGTTGACATCTTACCCTGCCTCGGACCCATGATGGCTCGTGAACAGGGGCATTACTCAACCCAAAATATCCCTCTGAAAGAGGCCACTAGTCTTATAGTGATACTTGAATATATAGTTCAAGATCGCCCGTTGGTTATCATTTGCCTAGATAAGGAGTATAGCCTCCAGCATAGTCTACTATACCGGATCAAAGTCGGACTCCCACTCAAAGAGGACACTAGCTGGACCTGCCGTTTGTTGTACGAGAGGGAGAGGCGGCAGTGCGACTCGGCATGGGCTACCCGGGTCTGTTAGGAAATAGAAAGGTTGGCGATTCGGGAGAACAAGGCCAATCAATGGCGGCCGACTTCTTCGCGTCTGGCAACGCGCCTTGTTCTCAGACAACTACCCGGCTACCATACGGTAGATCCAGCATAGGCGAAATCCCGAACAGAGAGAGAGAGGATGAGCGCGCAACGGATGGTTTTGTATATAGAGCCAGATGATTATTCCTTAGCCCAACTGTCGGCAAGAACGAAACAGACACAAAAGTGAACAAGTAAACCCATGCAACCCCAAAGCAAGAGAAGAAAGTCAAAAACATTTCGCCACATCCATGTCGTAAGACCATCTATGGTAATTTCATTGGAACGCGCCCTCGATGAACCAAGGGCCGATTACGCAAGCTGCTCCGGAGTCACGTTTCCGTCAGCCGAATTAGAAGCACCCACGGCTAACTTCTTCGCCTGGAACTTGTCGGCGGACTGCGCGGATATGCGGGTGAGTTCGGTGACGAAGGATTGGCCCCAGAAGGCACTGTTGGGGGAGGCAGGGTCAGCGCAAGTGATGGAATGGTAGTCGGGGCAAGAAAAAATTACCTGGTATATTTGGAAACGTATTTGTCAAGCTTGGCGAAGTTCAGCGCGCGTTGTTCGTCACTCATGGTCACAGCTTCTTGGTAGGCACCCGCCAGCTCTTCCGTATTCCAGGGGTTCACAATAATACTGCCGTTCAAACTCTGGGCCGCGCCGGCAAATTCGGAGAGGACGAGGACACCGTGTCGCTTCTGCTGGGTGGCGATGTACTCATAGGCGACCAGGTTCATGCCGTCACGAGTCGACGAGACGATGCAAGCATCCGATACGGCGTAGAGAGCAATAAGTTCGTCAAAGTTGACGGACTTGTGGAGGAAATGAATGGGCATAAACTCGACCGTGCCAAACTTGCCGTTGATTCGGCCCACCAACTCGTTGACGACAGCTCGCAGGTTCTGGTATTCCTCCACATCCTGTCGACTGGGGACGGCAACTTGTACCAGAACGACCTTGCCCACCCATTCGGGATGGTCGCTGAGGAAGACCTCGAGCGCATGTAACTTCTGCGGCACACCCTTGATATAGTCAAGGCGGTCGACGCCCACCATGAGCTTGACACCCTGGAACTTCTGCTCGAGCATGGCAATGCGCTTCTGCACCTTCTCCTTCTTGAGACCTTCCGTGAACTTCTCGGGGTCAATACCAATCGGGAAAGCGCCGCAAGTGATGATCTTGCCCTGGAATTCGATGCCATTCGGGGTCGTCGCCAGTCCACTGCCTTCATTAGCAAACCGCCCAGGCGGAACTGATGACATTCTCCACTTACAGTAAGCGCGAGCAACTGCTCAGGAAATGCCGAGTGTAGTCATAAGTGTGGAAACCAATCAGGTCGCAGTGCAGGACTCCCAGGAGGAGCTCATTGCGGACGGGGAGAATCCGGTAGATCTCGCTACTCGGGAACGGAGTGTGCAGGAAGAAGCCGATCTTGACGTTCTGCTTGTCGTTGCCGATCTCTTCGCGCAGCATCTCTGGGAGCAGCATGAGATGGTAGTCATGGACCCAGATCAGGTCCCCGTCCTTCACTTCTTTGGCAATGGCTTTGGCGAAGAGCCGGTTGGCCTCCTTGTAGGCATCCCATGCGGACTCGTCAAAGGTAATCTCACCGGGGTGATAGTGGAACAGCGGCCAGAGGATGGAGTCTATCCGCCAGAACGGCCAAAGGTTAGTATATGCCCCCGCTTCGTCCCCGTCGATATCTATAAGAGCAACTGACTGGAGAATCCATTGTAGTGGCGATCCGCCAGATCATCGTCGATGAACACCGGCACGGCACCATATTCTTCCTTCAACCGCTGCTTGACCACGGGAATCTCGGCCTCGGGCACTTCCAAGCCCGGCCAGCCGTACCACTGGAAGGTGGTCGACTTGGACAGTCCACTCAGGCCACTCACCAAGCCCCCGGAGGACATAGAGAAATCGTATTTGCCATCTTCCGACCGCTTGATGGTAATTGGGAGACGGTTCGACACGAGCAGCAGACGCGCCTCATTCTGCTCGGGTTCTTCCAGCGACGGCATGACGGCGGACAGCGCGGGGGTTCAGCGCGCAACGTTGGTGATGGGAACGAGGATCAGGAATCAAAAAGAAGAGTCCAGCGTCTTGGGACGAGAAAGAATAAAAGGTAAACAGACGAGGAGCACTCCCTACAGCGTGGAACAGGTCGCAATTAGCACGGCTTTTCTTCCGAGTGGTGGGTTCGCGGGGAAAGACCAGCTCAGACTCACCGAACAAGCACGATGGACCAGGCACAGATGACCGCCAATCAAGCCAGCACACTCGATTGGGCACTTGAATGGCAACCGATACTTGGAATGACGACTGACACTTCAGGGCACGGGCAGCGCAAAAGCAAAAGGCGGTGGTGACAAAAAAGGCGGGAGCAGCAAGGCGGGGAGGGGGGGGGAAAGGAAGGGTGAGGTCAGCGTTCCGAATCTTGGAACAAAGCTACAGTGGAGCTCCTCAATAGCGCTCACATCAGGGCTGGACCACAAGAAAAGCCAGCCGGCGGGGGGAGGGTGGAAGCCTCTAGAGTCACTGATAAACTGGGAATTTTGGAAGAGGTGGTAACTATGATCTTATACATGGGTCGTTGATTTGGTTCCAGCTGCACGCCGATCCCGTCGGGTTAGCGTTGTCCGTTTCCCCTCCTCCTCGGGTGTGACAGTTCGACAGACTTCGGAGATTCACTGACGATGCCACTCCGATGACATCTGTGATTGGGTCTTCCATCCTCCAGCCAGACAGCAGGTGGCGGGCTCTAGGGTTCTCTCTGCAGCGACTTATGACCTTGGTACTGGCCTGGCCCCGTGGGATGACCGCTCACTGACGTCGACGAGACCGGCCATCTTACGTAACAAGGCCCGGGCAAGGACAACTGAACTCGTTCACTAGTTACTGATGCTGATAACTGATGCTGATAACTGATGCTGATAACTGATGCTAAAAGAGCATCAGAACAACCGCTTCATCGCGGGAATAGCTTGCTGGGGGACCTGCCGGTCCCCACCGAGAATCTACCAATCCAACAAGCGATTGTGGAATGTTATTGTTCTCCAGACAAGTAGATACTTCTAGAACAACCAGCTCATAACGCACTCCTCTTCTCGGCCAACTTCCACGCCCCCGAATCCGCCTGCACCGTTCTCCCCTCCCCTTCCAACTTAGCCAAAACCAGCGACACCCCATGCGACGCCGGCAGATGCAGATTCTCCGGCACGCCAACATAGATCTGCCGAACCAGCTCAAGCGGCGTCCATGCCTGCCGCTGCTCCGGCTCAGGTTCACCAGCCGCAACATCCAGCTTGCCATACCGCAGGACCCGCAGCACCTCGTCCTCGCGCTGCTGCCGGTGCTGGATGTACTCGGTAATGCGGGCAGTGGCGCTTTCCACTACCGCGCCGTGGCCGGGGTACCCGCGGCCCTGGACGCGGTCGCGCATGCGGTGCAGGCTGGCCAGGTAGGTCGTCAGGTCTTCAAAGACGGCGGTGCCGTGGCCGAGGACGTCTGGTCAAACCCCCCGTTAACACCTGGTATACTCGACATACAGTATACATGGGACGTAAGAGAGAAGAGGAAGAAATGGGGGCTCACGCACTATCGCCCGTAAACATAGCATCCTCCTCCTCCAGCACGAACACCATATGGTCCTCCGTATGCCCCGGGGTGTACAGGGCCCTCAGCGTAGCCCCCTCCACGCGAAACACCTGCCCATCCTGGATATCCGTATACTTGTCCTCAGGCTCACGGTGGTGCTTGAAGACCTGGGCACCCGGGCAGAGCCGCTGCAGGTCGGGTAGCCCGCCGACATGGTCGCCGTGCCAGTGGGTGAGCAGGGCCTGGTGCACGGTGGCTTGCTCGACGGAAAGCACGGATTGCAAGTGCTTGGCCCACGTGGGCTCGCCCTGGCCGGTGTCAATCAGGATGCGCTGGCGGCCGCGGCCGATGAGGTATGTGTTTGTTCCTGGTGGTGTGTCAGAGGATAGACCACGGTAGGGGAGTGCGTGTGGGTAACGTACCTTGTAGAGTGAACTATGTAAGGCGCCGTGCAGTGCGGTCAGCCACTTCGTGCCCAAGATCCTCTTCGAGACATCTCCGCTGCTCACCTTGCCGGGATTCCCGCCCAGAATCCTGATCACCGACGCGCTGAGGCGCTCGACTTCCGGAAGCGGGACGAGCTGCGTCCCCATGGCTGGGAGATGCTGTATCGATGCCCGCCCACGGACAACCCACTGTCACTGGATGGGCACGGTCCAGAGATGATATTGATCCACCCTTGGTCGGCCCGTCTCAATACTTAAGTAATAACCGGCCTGATGGCGGGGAAGTAGGAGCTATTCGGGGTATATCTCAGCACAGTCGCGTGTTGAGGAGTTGGCCGGAGTGAAGTCGCCGTCCGCATCCTGGGCCAATGGTCGATAGGGCTGATATGGCTAATATGACTTATACACCAATCACGAAATCCCTTGATCCGATTGCGCCGCAGCCTCCCACAAGTTTGGAGTCAATTCCACTCTTCCCTTCCTGCGGGGCAGAGACGGGCCTCGGCAGATTAGCTCCGCTCAGTAGGTCCTCGGGAGCTCTTTTCTGAAGACTAGCTGGTAGACTGCATTTACTTCCCCCCACCTCTACGCAAGAAACCTACCAGGGTCAGTGACAGAGTACGAGAACGGATAGAGGTAACACAATGAAATAGTGTATGCATGCTATCCTGAAAGACATACGAAAACATTGTAGCGAGAAAATCAGATAGTTATATCCATTGAGCCCACCCAAAACATAATCGGGAATCCAACGCAAGGCCGAGGCCTAAAAGACAAAGATCATAAAATTTTCCCAGAGCGCAACTCCTCGTACCCGGCTCAAAAAGGGTCAGGCACGCATACACACAATTGAGCGATAGACCTTCCCCGCCCAAATCACCCCCAGGCGGAAATGGAAGGGGGGGGAGGCGACCACTCTGCACTCTTTCTTAGGCCGCTAAACACATCGAGAGAACGTAGTTTACACGGGACATGCCAGCTCAGCCGAAGTGATCGACTGCATGGCAGGCCCCTGGAGAACTTCCGAGACCAAAACACAAATTAACCACTCTATCTGGAAGGATAACTTCCATTTAGTTGCCCGCCTTGCGAGCCATGGTGTTCAGGGCGGAACCGTCGCGGAACCACTCGATCTGGGACTCGTTGAAGGTGTGGCTGAGGGAAATGTCGAAGGGCTCGCTGCCATCAGCGGGGTGGACACGCAGGGTCATGGGCTTGCCCACGGCGAGCTCAGTGCACATCAGGTCGACCTTGTCATCGGGACGGATCTTGTCGTAGTCGGCGGGGTCGGTGAAGGTCAGGGGCAGCATACCCTGCTTCTTCAGGTTGGTCTCGTGGATACGAGCGAAGGAGCGGGTGATGACGGCCAGACCACCGAGGTGACGGGGCTCCAGAGCGGCGTGCTCACGGGAAGAACCCTCACCGTAGTTCCAGTCACCAATGACAACCCACTTGACGCCACGGGCCTTGTAGTCACGGGCAGTGGCGGGGACGGCGTCGTACTCGCCGGTGAAGGCGTTCTTGACCTTGTTGGCCTCGCCGTTCTCCTCGTTAATGGCACCGATCAGCATGTTGTTGGAGATGTTGTCCAAGTGGCCACGGTACTTCAACCAAGGGCCGGCCATGGAGATGTGGTCAGTGGTGGTCTTGCCCTGGCACTTGATCAGGATAGGGATGTTCTCGGCGTTCTTGCCGTCCCAGGCGGGGAAACCGGCAAGGACCTGCAGACGGTCACTGGTGGGGGAGACGGCGACGGAGACAGATTCACGGTCGGCGGGGGGAGCCTGGTAGGTGTTCTGGCCGGGGTCGTAGCCACGCTCGGGCAGACCATCACCGGTGGGAGCCTTCAGCATGAACTCGTTGCCGTTGGCATCCTTCAGCTTGTCGGTCAGGGGGTTGAAGTTGAGGGTACCGGCAACGGTCATGGCGACGACGAGGTCGGGAGAGGCAACGAAGGCGTGAGTGGCAGGGTTGGCATCGTTACGGCCAGTGAAGTTACGGTTGTAGGAAGAGATGATCGAGTTGGCCTCGCCCTTCTTCACGTCCTTGCGGTCCCACTGACCAATGCAAGGACCGCAGGCGTTGGCGAGGATCACACCACCGTACTCCTCCATGGTGGCCATCTGGCCATCACGCTCGATGGTGGCACGAATCTGCTCGGAACCAGGGGTGATGGTGAACAGAGACTTGGACTTCAGACCATGGTCAAGAGCATCCTGGGCAATCGAGGCGGCACGGGACATGTCCTCGTAGGAGGAGTTGGTGCAAGAGCCGATCAGACCGACCTTGAGCTCCTCAGGCCACTTGTTGGCCTTGACGGCCTCCTTGAACTGGGAGATGGGGGTGGCAAGATCGGGGGTGAAGGGACCGTTGATGTGGGGCTCGAGCTCGTCCAGGTTGATCTCGACGAGCTGGTCGTACTCGGCACCCTCGTCCTCACGGAGCTGAGCGGCGTACTCGCGGGAGAAGTCACCGATGTGCTGACGCTTGGTGGCCTTCAGGTAGTCGTACATGCGGTCATTGAAGGGGAACATGGAGGTGGTAGCACCGATCTCCGCACCCATGTTACAGATAGTACCCATGCCAGTGCAGGACAGGGAGTTGACACCGGGACCGTGGTACTCAATGATAGCACCAGTACCACCCTTGACGGTCAGGAGACCAGCAACCTTCAGGATGATATCCTTGGGGGTGGTCCAGCCAGACATCTGGCCAGTGAGGCGAACACCAATGACCTTGGGGGCCTTCAGCTCCCAGGGCAGACCAGCCATGACGTCGACAGCATCAGCACCACCGACACCAATGGCAGCCATACCGAGACCACCAGCGTTAGGGGTGTGAGAGTCAGTACCGATCATCAGACCACCGGGGAAGGCGTAGTTCTCCAGAACGATCTGGTGAATGATACCGGAACCGGGCTTCCAGAAACCGATGTTGTACTTAGCGGTAGCGGAGGCAAGGAAGTCGTAAACCTCCTTGTTGATATCGTTGGCACGGGCCAGATCCTTCTCGCCACCAACCTGGGCCTCAATCAAGTGGTCACAGTGGACGGTGGTGGGGGTCTGGACGGAAGGCAGGCCAGCGGACATGAACTGGAGAATAGCCATCTGGGCAGTGGCGTCCTGGCAAGCGACGCGGTCGGGGCGAAGCTTGAGGTAAGAGGTACCACGCTCGATCTCCTGGCCATGGGGATCGTCAAGGTGAGAGTACAGAACCTTCTCGGCGTAGGTGAGAGGGCGCTGCAGACGAGCACGAACGATGTCGAGGTTCTCGGACATCTTCTTGTAGTTGATGTAGTTACCCTTCTCGTGGTTGGTCATCTCGACCTTCTTGTCCAGAGGGTCATTGCCAATGGTAGCGAAGGCCCGAGTTCCGCTGAGCTAAACAAAGAAGATTGCCATGTTAGCCGCCATCACGTATGTCTTTCGTCATGCCACGGTTGTCTCCGTGAGCCAGAGCCGCGGGCGGGCGATTGCTTTGATGCTATGGGTTGTTGCTTACGAGACGGAACTTGGGAGCCTAAAGAGGGAGGTCCGGTTAGCTTTGATATGAACTTTGTAGAGGGAATCAATCCCAGGTTTGCAGATGAGCGATACTCTGCGCATCGCCCACCGGCAACCCAAGGACGCAGGGCTGAGAGCTTACCAGCGCACCGGCACGCGCAAGCCGAGTGGAGATCATGATGGACAGCTCTCTCTATGAAGAGGCAGCACAACGCAAATAAAGAAAGCAACCACCTTCACCTGTGGAAGCAACAAAGAGTGGAGAATGGGAAGAGAAGAGAAGGAGAAGAAAAAAGGAAAGCTTGGAGGTTTTGAGTGGGCGAGAGAATTCGACTGGGACGGAAGAGCCGTGACCGCTGTTACCATGGCGATACACCCATACCGTATCGGTACTGGCCGTGTGGCCTCCGCATGCAACGGAACTGGGAAGAGGCTGGGGAGGTGGAGCGACTGCTAGTCCATGCCCTTGACCATGCAGCTAGCATTCGAGAATTTTTGACTATACCATGCGAACATCAAGCAAGCTCTCTGCTGATATCTCTCATGCTATTGAAGAAAGTAGAGGCTATACCTCCTTGCGACTTCCATGTGAGAGCAGCTGGACAACCCGAGCGCGACCGTAATGACAATACGTGGCATGTGACGAGGTGACGGCGGCCACCAATCATGGAGATGGCAATTACAGGCATGGGGAGGGGAACTACCAGGAAAGGCAACCCTCGGGCCAAAGGGCAAATGGAGCAGTCAATGCGGGTTTGGGGGTCTCAGACACTCGGCCTGTACCCCGTTCATCCGCAAGAAGTCCTACAGTCCACTCCCCGGATACCTCGACGTGGATGTGGCTGGGCCATACCCCCTCGCCCTCGAGGAATCAGTGGATACCGTCCTCACTCCCATAGAAACTATTGAGACATCATATACACAGACCCATGTCAGACATATCATTCTTCTTGCCTCCATGCAATTAGGGAGTCTACGGGCATCAACCCGTGGCCGCAACGAGACCCCAGAACTACGTGCCGCGATGCAAACGTCATAGAATACCAACATTACTGACGATACCAGCAATACGGACCCCCGTAAACCGGTGACGAAACCGAGCGAGCCGAGGCGAGCCGACTGCTTCTCCCGCCCGCTACGAGCTGATGGCCGACCGCCAATCAGACCCGAGGTGTTTCGAACGCTCTTGCGGCCCACAAACCGGCCGAAATTTCAATCCAAAACTTCGCCCATCGTTTCTTCCTAGCTCGTCTCCGTGCTCCACTCCGCCCGAGTATCACTCCGGAATCGGCGATAACGCTTTTTTTCTTTCGTCTTCATTTTTTAATACTAGCAGCGCGGAAAGCCAGCCGGGTCTAACACAAGATGGGTGCTCTCAGAAAGGTCAAGAACAAGCGTCGCACCAGGTACATACGATCGACTATACTTTTAGATGCATTAGAGGTGTGCTGACCATCTGTGCAGAGACTATGACCAGGTCCGCGCCGACATTGATTCTCCTCGCCATCTCGCGCAGTACCAGGCGACCAAGGATGCGGAGGATCTCCCGGGCCTTGGACGGCATTACTGTACCGAATGCTCGAAATGGTTTGAGAGCGAGTACAACATGAAGGCACACACGAAAGGCAAGAACCACAAGCGCAGGTGAGTGTCCAACCAGATCCGTATAGCCTCTCTCGCGACATCGCTGACCGACCGACCTATCCTTCCAGACTCCGCCTTCTGCGCGAAGAGCCGCACAGCCAGAGGATTGCCGAAGCTGCAGTTGGACAGGGAGCACCAGATAACGGCAAGCGATCGGAGGACGGCAACGTGGAAATGCAAGACTGAGCTGGACTCCGGGTCGCGATAACCAAAAACCATCGGGAAAAACACACACACCACCCTTGCGGCTGTCATCCAGCTCGGTCTGGACACGACTGGCTCACAAAACCCCCAAAAGTATGCACGTCGAACACGATTCTCATGTCCAAAACACGCGACTCTGGTCTACTGCAAAGTTCGGTGGAGACTCACGTGAGGCATTTTTATATGCCGATATTCGGCGGGTTTCCGTTCTGCCGGTTCACGGTCCCACGGGTAGAAACCGCCGGTGCTCGGCAACCCCGACGGGCTGCGAGATCTGGCCGAAATTTACCCCCTTACTAGCAGTACTCCGAAGTAATTCCAATAGAAATCCCTCAATACCAAAGATTAGAGTCTAACCACAATCGGGTGCTCGGTCTACATTCATTGCTTGGCTCATCCCTCTCCTCTGTATGAATCTGTACACATCTATAGACGGTCCGCGCCTGACAAAGGTGTGCTCGCATCGTTAAAGCTCCTCATCAACCATTCGTAAGCCGCCCACTGGACTCATGTTAGCCTTGAGGCCCTAAAGCATGGCAGACTTCTGGAAAGAAAACCCACCTGGACAGCGTTCACGATAAACGCTCTGATACTACAGATCCCGAGGCCCCGATAGAAGGCCGCCATGCCCTCGGTCTGGTAGACTCCTCGGGCCACCTGAAAGGAATTTAATGTTCCTCGGGACTGCCGCAAAAGGTTCTGGTTTTCAGTTGTTCCAGTCTGCGTAAAGGAAGTATCATGCATTGTCTGCGCCTGCAGTCTTGTCTTAACCATATCCAGCGGGAAGACTGAGCCCCAGGTGACAATGCCTGCAATGCCACCACAGAGAAGAATCTTCAGTGTAGCTTGGTGAGAAGTTTCATTCTCATTTGTCATAAAACGCTTGCAAATTTCATAAGACCAGAAACTACAGTGGTGGGTTAGTAAATATTTCATAGGTGCGAGTATTCTGCGAGGGAAGGGGCTGTCTTCGTACTAGAATCCATAACCAATTGAATCTCGAGCACTCGTAATCCCTCCTCCAAAGTACAGGCCTCTCCAGCCGCGGTTGCGATATATATCCTTGGCAACGCTCCAGGACGAGACCTCTGGGCGTGAATCTAGCTGCGCTCTGCACTTGATGAACTCTGTCGGAGACGAAATAGTCCAGCTGGCTAGGCCACCTATGGCACCAGCAAGCCAAATTTTGTACAATGGCACACCAGCGGGGTTGGTAGGATCTGCAATGGTGCTGTCCATGGCCATTAGCGACCGATTGTAGGCCACAAAGAGCAGCGCATTGAGAGCTCCGTATCCCAGAATTGGGGCGGCCGCACCTATGGCTGGAATCAATACACATCTTCATGGATTTAAGAACAAAAATATGACATCAAGGTCACAAACGCACCTCGTACAAGCGAGCTGGCCCTCTCAAAGCGGCTCAATTGTGATTGGGTAGATACATCTCTTGAATGCCCTGCTTGCAGCTGAACCTTGATCACATCCAGGGGGTTGCCGATAATAATCCCAAGGGCACCGCTGAGGTAGCCAGCCCAGAAGTCCGATGACATTGAGCTTCGATATATGACGAACGTGCAGTCCCACTTGCGAGACCCTCCAGCTTTCCATGGCGGGGAGACCCGGGGTCACGTGGGGCCGCGGCACTTTGGTGTTGCAGGCAGACGCGAGGCAAGCACGCGTCGGTGGCAACCACCTCAGCAACGCCCAGCGCCTTTTGCATTGGGGAATTTGTACAGTTAGATCTGATAAAGGATTGGTATTTGATTTGATATTGCACTGATCTATGTTCGTTTCTCATTATCAAGTCTCATGGAGCCTTTGCTTACGGCTAAACAGGTATCGCCCTCGGCCAGACGCGGCAGACGGCGGTGTCAAGACGCCGTTACAGCCAAAATCTGTGAACGCCCTCGATCGCCTCGCCAAACCATTCAAATGTCCAGGCACTGCAACGCCCACTCGAGCATCCGTCAAACCAGCAAGGAAAAGGCGCAAGGTTAACTATGCAGACGCGGACGGTAGCGTGGAGGATGGAGCAGAGAAGGCGTACACAAATGATGATCGACTCGCATTGGCGACCCGAGAAGTGAATAAGTTTCCCGTGTTCAAGCCCAAGGACAAAGACGCAGCCTTCAGGCAGAGATTCCGAATCCCGTTGCTCAACAAGGACACGGGCGAATACGACCCCGGCCGAGCTGCTCCCACCTTGGGCATGCGACAAGGCGCGACATTTGTCGCCAAACCACTGCATGACCCGAGCGGAGAATTTGCGATTGTGCTATACGACCCGACTGTCGACGATATCCCCGAAGAGCCCAAACCCACGGACTCGGAAGCACCCAAGGAAGAGGCCGAACAGAAATTGGATGAGCCTCTGGTACATAAAAGCCTGGCAGATATTCTTGGTATAAAAAAGAAGGTGGAAGGGAGACCAAAGGTGCCCGTTGTTATCGATCCGAGGCTGGCCAAGGTCCTTCGGCCACATCAAGTAGAGGGAGTTAAAGTACTATTTCCTCCGAACACCCCTTCCCTCTTCCTTTTCGCGGAATCAAATGCTGACGTTACTGGCTTGGAAAGTTTCTGTATCGATGCACGACAGGCTTGATTGATAAGAACGCAAATGGCTGCATCATGGCAGATGGGATGGGGTTGGGAAAAACTGTAAGCAAAAGGATACGAACTACGTACATGGTCCTGGCTGCTGACTTCTCCAGCTTCAATGTATCTCATTGATGTGGTCATTGCTTAAACAAGACCCAGAGGCTGGGAGAACAACTATTCAGAAATGTGTGATTGCATGCCCATCCAGTTTGGTCGGCAACTGGGCGAATGAATTGACTAAATGGTTGGGGAAGGATGCTACTACTCCTTTTGCCATTGACGGAAAAGCCTCCAAGGCCGAACTCACTCTTCAAATCAAGCAGTGGGCAATTGCATCGGGGCGAAGTGTTGTGAGACCTGTTCTCATCGTTTCCTATGAAACACTTCGCATGTATGTGGAGGCACTAAAGGATACGCCTATTGGGCTGCTTTTGTGTGACGAGGGCCATCGACTCAAAAATAAGGAAAGCTTGACGTGGACGGCTTTGAATAGTCTTAACGTCAGTCGTCGCGTCATTCTCTCCGGAACGCCTATCCAGAACGATTTGTCGGAGTATTTTGCTCTACTTCACTTTGCCAACCCCAACTTGCTGGGTTCCCAGAATGACTTTCGCAAAAGATTTGAGCTCCCGATTCTTCGAGGACGAGACGCAGCCGGTACAGAAGAAGACCGCAAGTTGGGCGACGAACGTCTCCTGGAACTGTCTGGCATTGTCAACAAATTCATCATCCGCCGAACTAACGACATTCTATCTAAGTACTTGCCTGTCAAGTATGAGCATGTCGTTTTCTGCAACATGTCTAAGTTCCAACTCGATCTATACAATCACTTCATTCAGAGTCCTGAAATCCGGAGCCTGCTCCGAGGAAAGGGAAGTCAGCCTTTGAAGGCGATTGGTCTTTTGAAGAAGCTTTGCAATCACCCAGATCTCCTCAATTTGGCAGTAGATCTTCCAGGATGCGAGTACACGTACCCCGAAGACTTCACACCTCCAGATGCGCGAGGCCGCGACAGAGATGTCAAAAGCTGGTACTCTGGAAAGATGATGGTGCTCGATCGCATGCTTGCACGCATTCGCCAGGATACTAATGACAAGATCGTTCTCATCAGTAACTACACCCAGACCCTTGATCTATTTGAGAGGCTTTGCCGATCGCGTGCCTATGGCTGTCTGCGGCTGGATGGATCGATGAGCATCAAGAAGCGATCAAAACTGGTTGACAAGTTCAACGACCCCGATGGGGAGGAATTTGTCTTCCTCCTCAGCAGCAAGGCCGGTGGATGCGGTCTCAATCTAATCGGCGCCAACCGACTCGTCCTCTTCGATCCAGACTGGAACCCAGCCGCTGACCAACAGGCGCTGGCTCGGGTTTGGCGAGACGGACAGAAGAAAGACTGCTTCGTCTACCGATTCATCGCCACCGGATCAATTGAGGAGAAGATCTTCCAGCGCCAGTCACATAAGCAATCTCTCTCATCCTGCGTCGTAGACTCAGCCGAAGACGTGGAGCGTCACTTTTCCCTGGAGTCGTTACGAGAGTTGTTCCAGTTTAAACCCGAGACTCGCAGCGATACACACGACACATTCAAGTGCAAGCGCTGCCGCGAGGATGGCACACAATTCGTCAAGGCACCCGCCATGCTCTACGGTGACACGAGCTCTTGGAACCATTTTGTCAATAACGGAGACCAGGGCCCGCTTTCTAAGATTCAGGATCTGCTCATACGGCAGGAAACCAGCGAAAGGGATGTCTCAGCTGTTTTCCAGTATATCAGTCATTGATAAATTCTAATGGTCGGGATCATGGTTTGTGCAGGGCGTGGTTTGTTAAGGGGGGATTTTGTCTTCTGTAGCGATTATTGGATAGAAGGTTTCAGTTCATAAAGCCATTTTGTCACTTATTCTTAACAAACCCGACCTTGCTGATTTGGCTACGATGGAGTACGCTAGCGAATTTTCGAATCGTAGGAAGAGGGAGGAAGTGTTTTGCAGACTGGGGTTTTGCTATAGAAGGAAACATTATACAGATGAGCATACCACCCTAGACCCGTAGTTTCATCTGATTCTCAAAATTGAATACCGATAACTGCCACGAGTTTTGTTCAGCCACGCTCTGATTTCCAACCGCTAGCTTGAGGAGAAGAATAAACGCGGGGGTTCCTGGCCGATGAGATAGGGCTAAGCAAGTTGTGGGTTCCAGATCTACTGGTAGAGTTAGTATCAATAGTGGTAAGCTAGCGATCTGGAAACCCTACCTTGCTTAGCCCTATCTCGTCGACCAGAAACCCCCGGCCTTTATTCCTCTCCTCCAATAGTAGGGTATACACAGTCCACGCCTGGTATGGCTTGAGTCCCGGACCGATACCAGGTATGTGCACAAGGGTCTAGCGGAAGACAGGATTGGACTCTTCATCATGCCGACGATCGGATTCTCGCAGGATGAACTTGAAGAAAAAGAGATACCGCTGCTATCGGGCCTTGTCGGACCTGGAGATTCGGTCCATGTTGGCGATCAGGGTGCGGCTCCTAGTAGGTATTAAGTAAGTCTAGATAGAGCATGTCACTTAGGTAGGGACAGACTTACGCTTCAGCAATATCATAATCCACGGCAGTACTGATAAGGCTATCAATCACCCTATCCTGCCCAGGGATTTCTGCACTTGAGGGGGACGACTAGGGTCGGAGAGGTCAGGAAGGTAGGTTATAGCAAATTGTCACGGCTGCGATGGCAAGATGCATGGTCATCCCTTAGGACATGCATCTTGCCACCGCAGCCGTGACAATCTGCCATAACCTATGTAGGGATCAGAGCAGAGAGCCTGTGGTATGAGTAGCATGGTTAGCCTCTGATCTTGATCGGAGCCTCACTGACCATAGTCAGGCTTGAGATATGTCTCCGTCATGTGGGTACTGACCGGCTCACTTTCCACTGGCCGTGGCACTGCAGGAAAGGGCGAGGGACCTAGTAGCATACAAAGACAGTCTGAGATGCTGATGATAAGAGTGATAATAATGAGAATGATGGTGATGAGAGTGATGAATGCGATAATGAAAGTAGATCAAAGTGGTGATGGAAGGGGATGAAGGTGGTGGTGGAGGAAGGATGTAGGATGGAGAGAGATGGAAGAGGAGGAAAGTAATGGAGGCAGATACTTGAAATGGAAGCGATGTAGGGAGCAGGACAGTAGTTGACGGAATTTGCCTGGAGCTCGCATCATGTTCGGAGAGATGGATGAACATCGTAAATCTTCCAACGCTACAAACCCAGATTGTTGGGTCACAATATCGGAGGTATTTGGCTTCAAGGTATTGCTCGGTTTTTAATATTAAGGGGCAGCTCCGCCCTCCACGTTTGTCTAAAGAATATATATCCCAGAGCCAGAGACTTCTGCTGCGCAATTTTCCAAAACAGTAACATGCCACCAAGCCCCATGCCTCATTTCCGCGTCAAAGGCTGGAGTCTGCTACCCCGGGTCTTCATGGAAGATGCCGTCGCATTTTATGACCCTGCACACAAGCAAAGCATGAGGCTGTCGGAGAGGGTATGTGCCTCCAAGTTAGGGTTTTAAATAAATAACATCATTTCAATCACGATGTATGCTTGACTGTGCTTCAAGGCAAATTTCCTGCCTCACCTTGCACTTGTCGGTCCAAGGAGCTGCTGCATGGATGCCCGACACGGAGGGCTCTTCACTTTTGACCAAGGTATAAACATCTTTGAAAGTGCTCTTGACGAGGTACCCCATGAATTTAAAAACAAAGGAAAAGAGTACTTTTAAATAAGCTTAAGCCTTCCGCATTTCCCTTGTTGGCTCAGGCAGGGTAAAAGGAGAACGAACGTGCATGTTATCGGGCCGAGCCCAGCCCGTTGCTGACATACGTCACACCGCGCTTGGACTCCCATCTCCGCGTTGACAACGCATCTTCCTTCCCCCACTATCGAGCTTGTGCGTGTAATTAACGAGGCTCTGCCTAGTCGAAACACTCGAGGCCAGCGATATTCACCGATCTACGTTCCCTGCGAAGTGGTCTCGGCCCGCGAGCTTGTGACCCGACCCCGACCGACGCGAACCTCTACACCATGACCATTGCCTAGCCGAAGCTCGGAACAGCTATCTCTACCTGCTGGAGCGATGGACCACTCAATCCAGCGGTTGCTCAACGATAAGCTCTACGACAAGAGGAAACAGGGGGCTCTCGAGTAGGTTGTTTTGGAACGGGGAGGGTCGTGCGGTGACCGCTGCTAACACGCGACACTACTTCAGGCTAGAGAAAATCGTCCGAGATGCTGTTTTCAAAGGAGAACACGAGAAGATTGCGAAGATTGTTGAACAGCTCTGCCACGATTATGCCTACGCTGTACACCAACCGCACGCCCGCAATGGTGGCCTGATCGGGTTGGCGGCCGCCTCGATCGCGCTAGGATCTGTGAGTCACTGGAGACAAAAGTAAGCTTTGGAGAGCTCGGGCTGATACGCTGGGTCTATAGGAAGGGGTTGCGCCGTACTTGAAAGAGATCGTTCCTCCGGTCTTAGCTTGCTTTACCGACCAAGATGCACGAGTTCGATACTATGCCTGCGAGAGCATGTATAACATTGCCAAGGTGGCCAAGGGAGAGGTTTTGCTCTTCTTCAATGAAATATTCGATGCGTTGGCTAAGGTGAGGATGGCTTGGTATTGTGGTCACTACCTGGAGCTATGCTAATGCGCATCATAGCTTGCGTCTGATTCGGAGCTCTCCGTCAAGAATGGCGCGGAGCTTCTCGATCGACTGGTCAAGGACATTGTGGCTGAGTCCGCGGCATCATATGTCTCAGTGCTGCAATTGACGGGAAAGGAGACAGACGATCCAAACGATGTGGATGAGACGGAAATTCCCACCGCATTCTCTCTCGCGAAGTTTATACCTTTGCTCAAGGACCGAATCCATGTGATTGGGCCGTACACTCGCAATTTCCTAGTCTCCTGGTTGACTTTGCTGGATACCATTCCTGATTTGGAACTGGTCACCTTCTTACCTGAATTTCTAGAGGGATTAATCAAGTTTTTAGGCGGGCCTCACAAAGATGTCAACGTTGCTACACAGGGACTTCTAGACCGATTCCTGGTGGAGATAAAAAGGATAACCCGTCTGAAGAAAGGAATTGAAGAAAGTCGAAAAGGACAAGAGAGTCGCAGACGCTCCGCTGCTAGTGACACCGTGAGCGCCAAGACTGAGCAGACAAGTGAGACTACCGGTGCGGATGGCGGTGAGAGGGATGACATCGCTATTGATGATTCGGCTTCGGGATCAATGTTCGATGACGAAGTGGTCCAAGCTGATGGTGACTGGATTCCGGGGCAAGATGTCCACATCGACAACCCGAAGATTCTGGATATTCTGGTTAGCTTTGTTGACACCTCATACGGTAAAACCAACTCATCTTTGTGCTTGCGGGGTGCGGTACTAACAAGTACATAGAGGAGGAAATGCAGCTGACTGCACTTCGCTGGATTGATGCATTCTTTGAGATCAGCCCCGAGGACATCCTTCCGTTTGTCCCACGCCTGTTGACTCAGGTACTGCCGGCTATGTCCAGTGGTTCAGATTCAGTGCGACAGGCAGCAAATCGAGTCAATAAGTCCTTGCTTGAGTACATCTACTCCCTTTCAGATGATGCGCCTGAAGAACTCGTCCAGTCCTCATACAAAGTTCCATCGACGGCCCCTAGTAAGGAGAGTATGGACAGGAAATCATCAGAAATCACCAGCGTCGATGCCAGGAAAGCAACACAGGAGTCTTCTAGGGCTGCGACACCGCTGAGCAGTATCATTTCAACACCATTGCAGCCAGCCGATCTCGATTACGCCGCAGCGGTGAGCTCGCTCACTTTGCAATTCTTAAATGAGAACGAAGCCACTCGAGTAGCTGCACTCTCTTGGCTGATCATGTTACACCGGAAGGCCCCGCGAAAGGTGGTTGCATTCAATGACGGGACCTTCCCAGCTCTGTTGAAAACTCTCTCGGACCCTGCAGAAGCGGTTGTGACCAAGGATTTGCAACTGTTGTCGCAAATCTCAAGAAACAGCGAGGATAGCTATTTCACATCGTTTATGGTGAACCTGCTTCAGCTATTTTCCACCGATCGTCACTTGCTGGAGGTTCGTGGCAATCTGATCATTAGACAGCTTTGTCTGAATCTGAGTCCGGAACGTATCTACCGGACTCTGGCAGATTGCCTCGAAAAGGAGGAGGTAAGTCATTCGGCTCCAGTCGGGTGAGATTTTACTGATGCCTTGCCAGGACATCGAATTCGCTAGTATCATGGTGCAGAACCTGAACAACAATCTTATCACCGCGCCTGAGCTGTCGGACATGAGGAAGCGGTTGAGAAACCTGGACACCAGGGTATGCTTCCGATGTTGTTCCGGTGTTTTTGACGTGGAAACTAACAGGTTCTTAGGAGGGACAAATGTTTTTCGTGGCCCTATTCCGGTCCTGGTGCCACAATGCTGTGTCTACCTTCTCTCTCTGTCTTCTTGCACAGGCTTATGAGCAGGCCTACAATCTTCTCCAAATTTTGTAAGATTTCCGCCACCCAGGGTCTTGCATAATCTTTTCTAACCTATCTAGTGCTGAGCTTGAAATGACGGTCAACATGCTAATCCAGATTGACAAATTGGTGCAACTCCTTGAGTCTCCCGTATTCACATGTACAATATCTTCCCTTCCTCATCCAGAAAGAGCCTCATGCTAATCGCGTCTTCAGACCTCCGCCTCCAACTCCTCGAACCCGAAAAATACCCCTACCTGTACAAATGCCTCTACGGCGTCCTCATGCTCCTTCCCCAGAGCTCCGCCTTTGCCGCCCTCAAAAACCGGCTGAACAGCGTCAGCAACATCGGTTTCCTCCACGGTGGTCCCCGCAGGTACGCAAATGGAATCCCGCCTGCCAAGACACCAGGCAGTCCTCCCTTTGAAAGGACGCACATGCTCATGACTCCCACTAGCACGGCCCAAACTGCACCGTCATACGATCGTTCCTCCAGCGCGCGTGGCAAGACCCGCGATGACATTCGCTGGACCGAGCTTCTCGATAAATTCAAGGCTGTTCAGGAACGGGCGCGCCGCGCGCAGGCTGCGCAGCGACACTCGCTCGATCCGACAGACATTCTGCACAATCCCTCGCTGACTGCTGCACTATCTGCGGCTACCACTGACCGAGCGCGAGACCGAATGGGCTTATCTGAGCCGCCGCGAGCGGGTATTGTGACTGTGGGCGGCGTCCCTGGGGTCCCCGTGCCTGGTACGGCGAGCATGGGTGGTGCCGGGAACCGTGGATCGCTGGATTCCAAAGGCCCCAGCCCCACGTCTCTGCTGGGCGCTGCACATAAACACAAGTCAAGTCTGCCGAATCTAGGGCGGCTGGGAATTGGCGGGCGCAAGTCAAAGAGATGATGTGACGAGGGTGGTTGTCGTGTTCGCATACTTAGTTTAGCTCGGTTGGCGGTAGGATGACGAAGATACCCCACGTCCGTTCTTACTGCAGATCTGGAGCAGGGACACTTGATTTTGAAGTCCGTCTACATGCGTGCTGTGCGGTCGATCTCAAGGGATAAAGTCAGTTCTCAGGTATTTGTACTTTAGCTAGTACTTGATCATAGATCAAATGTCGAGCAATTAATATCTACACCGTACTGCCCAAAACAGCCCGAGGGAGCAGGACCGGAGCCAGAACCAAACCATTGAATTTAGTGCTACAGTATGGACAAAGACGACAAGCATCAAATGCAAGCTGGATAACAGAGAAAAGTGAAAAGAACATGAAAATACCATATGCTCACACAGCAGATGCAAAGAGAGAAGGAGAGAAATTCACAAGCATGAAGGAAACATATCCCAAAAAGCGGAGTATCAAATGCCAAAATCAACAGAGACCCCAACTTTTTGGCGTTGGCATCACCGAAACAAAATCATGAGCTGCTGCTTTGTGCAGCGCCGAGGTAGGGTAGGGTGAGGTATACATTTCAAAGGAACAGGCATGGCGACTATGTACGAGGTCGTCAAGAAATGAGTCGGTCTTCGCAGGTACATCACGCGAAGAGCGATAGCCGAACAAAAGCAATGCTAAGAAGAGCAGAGCCGCAAGGGGCCCGAACGGAGGGGAAGGGAGGTGTAAAAGGAACGGCGCTAGTATATCGGGTCGCACCGAGGTCAAGAATGCAAGAGTGGAGCGATCATGTATCACCTCCCGCGCAAGTCGTGCGATCCGCGCAATCCAGAGGGGCGCCAGCTGCCGGTGGACTGCTTGGAGACGGTGCTGGTGGGCGAGTTCGAGCCGGTGTTGAAGACGTACTCGCCGTCGACATACTGGGCGCCCGTGGAGAAGGTGCTGCGGTGCTTGCGGCGGGCGTAGCGCTGCTCGAGGCGGTACAGCTCGAGTTCTATTGATCCCACCGTTAGCTTTCCTGTGTTCATGGCGGGGGTTTCCGTGACCGCGTGCGACGTACTTGCTTGTAGCTTCTCAATCAGACCCATAGTAGCGATGTAGATGCAGAAGCCCAATTATGGCGATTATTCCGATCGTGTCAGTTCAACGGTGCGATAGGCCGTAGATAGGGCAGACAGCTGATGCGCCGATGGGGGCTCTCGTGTCTGTGCCTGGCGGGGACGTTTATATGAGGAAGCGCGCTGTCAATCCTCCCCACGTGCAGCGAGCGGAACGGAATGTGAGCGGTTGACAGTGTTGTCGCCGGCAACGGACGGAAGTTTGGATTCACGTTACTATCGTTCCAGGTCAGCCCAGTCACATTCAACCATATAGACAGCTCAATGGGCGGGGGTATTGCTCACCAATGTACGCAATAATTCAGCTTCGACACTGAAAAAGGGGACTGTGGAGGGCGGAGGGGGAGGAGGGGAGGAGCAGGAACGCAATCGCGGAGGAGGGGGACACGAGTTGGGGCGCACGAGGGCGAGTGGAACTGGTGCCACAAGGGGTTTGCAGGTGGCACGTTTCCCGCTAAATGTGGGATTGGCTTTCAAGGACGCAAGGAATGTTCCTCTTCCTGGCCGGTTGCGGGAAAGGAACGCGAGGGTGAAGTTGAAAGAGCGTGGTGGCTGGAATGTGCCCTGGGAATGAGTGGCTGCAGGAGTGCGATAAGAGGAAGCGGAAGAATAGAAGGCGTGGAAGGCCACAGGAACGAAGGAACGAAAGGAAAGGAGATGAGTGGGGAAATGGCGTGGGCATTAGCGCCGAGTCTCGAGTAGTCCAAAGTAGTTAGTTGGGGAGTTAGTACCTGGTGGACGACGTCCATGCGCGTGTTTACCAGCCCCGGCGGGTCCTGATTGGTCCATTTCGGGTCTAGCCAGGGGAAAATGACCGGAGAAGACTCCAAATCAAACCCGACGACGCTAACCTCCCACTAGCGACAAATGGCCCGCCGTCTGGACACCAGTCGGCTCCCATTGACAAGGTTTACAATGCAGCGGGGGACCTAGACCGTGCGGCGTGTTTCATCAGTATTGATTTGGCTAGATTGTGTGGTCGGGATGCAAGTATGGCTTGAATTTGCTGTTCATCTGCTTCCCACATGGCTAAATAGGACTCTGTATAACGGGATATTACTGGAAATGGCTGCTTCACTCAGGTGTCTTCGTCTGCTCCTGCCGCGTCTCGTCCTCCTCGTGCGCCAGCGACAGTTCCTGGGCTATGGGGCACGTCAGCAACTGCATATCATTGAACCCACTCGGCCCCCCACAGGAGACCGCGTGGTTCCTAATCAAGGGATCAAAGCACTTACCGTTCCAGAGCTCCGCATAAACGCCCTCCAGATCCAAGAGCTCCCGGTGGGACCCCATCTCCACCACCTGCCCATCCTTCAGCACCAGGATCTGGTCGCTGTCATAGATCGTCCGCAATCGGTGCGCAACAAACACGCTCGTGCGGCTCTTCTCCTTGAGAATGCCGTTGATGTTCTGCAGGAGCGCCTGCTCCGTGTAGGTGTCCAGTGCGGAGGTCTACCTCATTTCCGGGGGAGTCAGCCACATTACGCACGCATTGCAAAGCATTAAAACCTTGATCTCGCACTTACCGCCTCGTCAAAGAATAAAAGCTGCGGGTCCTTTAGCAGCAGCCGCGAAATCGCCAGCCGTTGCTTCTCGCCGCCCGAGATCATCATGCCGCGCTCGCCAACTGCCGTCTCATATCCGTCGGGCAGCCGCTCGACCAGCTCGTGGATGCGGGCGCGCTCAGCGGCCTGACGCACCTCTGCATCTGATGCATCGATCCGACCGTAGCGGATGTTGTGGCCGATCGTGTCGTTGAAGAGCGGGGTATCCTGCGGCACCACGCCGATGGCCCGCCGAAGGCTATCGATACTCACGTCGCGCACGTCCTGGCCATCAATCAAGATGCGGCCCGACTGGGTGTCGTAGAAGCGGAACAGCAGGCGCAGGATCGTCGACTTGCCGCAGCCACTAGGGCCCACGATGGCAAACTTCGAGCCAGCCGGAATCGTGAACGTCGCGTGCTTCAGGATTGGACGGTCCGGGTGGTAGCCGAACGTGACATTTTCGAAGCGAATCTCGCCGCCGCGCGTCAGTTCGAGCGGCTTGGCATTGGGCTTTTCCTGGATGGTCACGTTGACCTTCTGCAGGTTGAACAGCGTCTCCATGTCCAGCAGAGACTGACGCAGTTCGCGGTACACGGAGCCGAGGAAGTTGAGCGGCACGGAGAGTTGGAAGACAAGCTGGTTGACCATGACCAGATCGCCGACGGTCAGGGCGCCAGTAGCGACGCCGTCGGCTGCCAGATACATCATTGCGGCCAGCGCAGTCGAGAAGATCATGTTCTGGCCGGAGTTCAGGAAGGCCAGGGAGGTAGTGACTTTAATCGAGGCATCTTCGTAGCTCTTCAGCGCCTTGTCGTAGCGGGCGACCTCGAACTTCTCGTTATTGAAGTACTTGACGGCCTCGTAGTTGATCAGCGAGTCGACGGCGACAGTAGCGCCACGGTTGTCAGCTGCATTGGCCTGTCGGCGGAACTTGGTGCGCCAGGCTGTAGTGGTAATGGTGAATGCCGTGTACGCAAGCATCGTAGTAGCGGTGATGGCAGCGAATTGGAAACCATACTGATAGGTCTGCACGAAGAAATTAGGAGAGGTTCATAGCAGAATACAAGCAGGGGGCCCTCACAAGAATACCGCACACGAGCGAGATCTCGAGGGCAGTCGGTACGACATGGAAAACCATAGAGGTGAGCAAGAAGCTGATACCCTTGGTTCCGCGATCGATGGCACGGGTGAGGCCGCCCGTCTGACGCGAGAGGTGGAAGTTGAGATCCAGTCTGAGAAGATGATCGAACACATTTCGGGCCACTTTGCGTATGGCCTTTTGCGCGACACTCGCGAAGACTGCGTTACGTAGTTCCTGGAAGATGGTCGCCCCGATGCGCGTTGCGCCATCTGTAAATGATGGTTAATGACAGTTCTCGGAATCGAAATGAAACTTCGCTTACAAGCTATGATCATTGAGCCTGCCACGGTGTAGGCCGTGCCTCCGAGGGTCGCAAAGTCGACGTTCATGGAATCGACAATGTTCTTAAAATAGAATGGTACCTCGACATTAAGGATCTAGAAGCACTTTCTGTCAGCAACCCAGACGGCATGAACGTAGACATCAGACAAATACATGCCTTTGCACCAATGAGCAGTGACAATGCTGTGCCAACCCGGAGCTTGGTTCCCCAATCATCCTATCATACCCGGTCAGTGCTTCTGAGGCCGAATATACTTCGGTCGTAGGAGCATTACCTTTGGCCACAGGTATTTGGCCATCTCCCGCATGATAGCCCAGTCTGCCTTGCGCTGTTCCTTGCTTGCAATAGATGACTCACTCAGCAAGTCTTTCTTCGGAGTGCTCTTTGCCTCGCTACCCGGTGGCTTCTCGACAATACTGGCATTTGCAAATTCGGCCGCGGTCGCAACGGGTGTGGAGTCATTCTTCAGGAAGTTCGGGTCTCTGCCTTCCGGTGTATGCTTTCGCCATGGACTGCCCGAGGTGAACACGCGCAGCTGGATGCCATTCGGAGTCATCCACCGTGCCCGGCCGGCGAAGCTCGGATGTGCGTACCGCGTCGTGCGCCAGCATGGAGATCGGGCAGCTCTGAGCAGCATGGCTGCTGGTTGGAAAAAAGGTTGACCGCTAGAGGTTTGTTGCTGTACCAATTGGATTCACAGGAGCATAATGTAGCACTCGCGAGGAGAACGACGTATGCAGGTGCGCTTTGCGATAGCTCGTGGGGGGATCCTGGGGCGTCGCCGGCTTCGGAAAGAGTCGTGTTGCGCGAATGGACACGAATAGGCTCGAGATAACGGAGAATATTCAAGAGAAAGGTATAGAAAAGAAAAAAGAACCAGACCTGCCCCGACAGAATGAGGTCTTCTCTTATGTGTGGCGGTACAAGACAATGTCGCAATCCAATGCGGGCGTGGTGTACCTCCGCTCGCCGCCCGCCACCAAACCGCGACCTTCGGCGCCACGATTTCCCGGCTTGATTTCCCTCGCGAGCTCCAAAACTGACGTAAAGTCTTCCAGCACCACGCGGTCTCCGGTCTTTTTCCAAGCACCATGAGTCCAGCCCTCCAGCGAGGTGTCCGGACTCTGTCATGGACACGAGTTGTTCCTCGCGCCCACCGACAGACCAGATGCATCCAGATTCGCGCGGCGTCCTCGGAAGAGCCCTCCGCCAACGGGGACCATCTGCCCCTCGCCAGCACGCCTAGTTCCGCGGAGTCGCGAGGTAGGTTCTCTCGGCGGTGTTTGATACTCAATTCCATTAGTGTGGCTTTGGGCTGACCATGATTACCTGCAGATGCGCGGTTCGAGGTCATCGGCGCCCCATATTCGCTCCTCTCGGTATCGCTCTCGGCTTCGCAGAACCTGTACACGCGCCGGGGAACCTTGGTGGGGTTGAGCGGCAAAGCGGATAATGTATGCAACTTGATTGCAATGGAGACTACAGACTCATGTCACGCTGACATTCCGTGATCGCAACAGGTGGTTTCAACGCTGAGCGTCCTCGAACCTTTCCGCAGAGCTCCTCTTGGTGTGCCCTTCCTCTATCAGAAGGTATGGCATGTGGAATTGGTTGGTAAGGAACTGTAAAGCAGCAGCTAACGATAACTCAGGTCTCCTCCGCGAGCCCAGTCACAGCCCTTGTCTCTGTTCGGTCGCCGACGACCTCCTTCGCGGTCGTGAATCTTAATGGCTCTGTTGATTGGATGGTGGCCCAGCGGCGCGCTCTGCTGGCATGGACGGGCCGGTCTTTGTCCATCAAGCCAACCATCAATAGCAATCTGGTTTGTGGCGCTTCTCGATTGCAGTGATAGGATAAACGGCTGATTTTTGTGCAGAGCTTGGCTCATTGGGGGAGCTCCGAAGTCACTGGCAGAGGACTGGTGGCGTTGGTCGGCAACGGTCAGGTATACTCCGTGGAGTTGAAAGACGGCGAGCAGTACATCGCTCATCCCAGGTACGTCGCACGCCGACCCAGCGTCGAGTCACATTTTGATAGAGCACTAACCCAAATATTGCAGCAACGTCGTCGCCTACACCATGTCCTCCAACCCCCCTCATCCCTACCGCTTCAAATCCACCACTCTCAACTTCCAGGTCCCCGGTCTGAAAACACTACCCCGATTGCTGCAGAGCAACAAGTTCATCCGGAACATGTCCGACACCAAGACTTGGAAGACTACCATGAGTTTCCTGCACAAGGTGCGAACATGGTCTCGGATGACCATCTGGGGTGATAGAGTACGTCATTGATCACGATCATTCTTTCCGGAAATAGCACGGGCTAACGATGCTTTCTTTTTTAGCTGTTCCTGCAATTTGACGGACCCGCAACGATCCTCATACAATCGCGCGGCCCTCGTGTGAACGATATCCTCTCCGAACGTCAAGTCAACGAGATCGCCGACGCTCCCCGCGGAGTCACCTCCCCCGCCTCTCAAGAGGCTGAGAAAGCCGTCCTCTCCGAAGCCGATATCTCTCGCTCCGTCGAGGATCTTAACCAGGAGCTCCGAGGAATCAGCCAGAGTGTTGCGCAGATTCGGAAGGATGGCACGGTCGAGGTCAAGGAGGTTGGCCGGACAAACCCTAAGGATCTGTAAGGGCGGGTCTTCTTCTCTACCTCTTTCTGCACTAGAGGCGGGTTTCTTTTCGAATGGTTCACTTTGCATCTTGTACAATATCCTGGGCCTCTCGACATCTAGCTATAGGCCCTTCGAATCAATCTCTAATTTTCTTTGCCTGGCTCCTTCCTTCATGATTCTCATCGGCATAAATCGATGGCACCAGGTATTTCACTCAGTCTGAAGAATAAGCTCCAAGTTCATGGACTGGACAGTGGCAAATACACCATTCGATAGGCGCATATTTCGCCTCCCCCAGCCTCTAACTCAGCACCAGATGGAACGCATCATCCTATGATCTCTTGTGTTTCTCAACGGCCTTCTGCAAGATCTCTAACAACCAATAGATCCCGCAACATCTAACTTCCTACCGGAGATATTGCACCGCGCGGGATTTAAAACCCAGTAGTGGTCTGCGGTCCTCCGATATGGTTGGCTAATGTTACTCCATCCGCCTGTGGGTAGATGCGTTGGACTACTGCAGACCATCATGCAGAACTGTAGCCGTTTCTCATGCCGTAGGACCCACTTGAGAGCCCCTTTTCCGATATCTCCGGACTGCGCGGGTTAAGCCGCCTCCCGACCCAAGCACAACCCTACCAAGCACAAACAATCCCCCTGGAACTTTGAATTCGGCCTTCGGCCTTCGGCGTATTGCAGTCGATATCCGAGAGCGTTTGCCAACTTGCGCCTACTCTGCACCAATGGTCCAAAAGAAGTCTGCTTTTGGGGGTGATCCTTAGTCGACCACGAGGTCGAAGTGGAGAAGAAGCTATGCCTTCCAATGGCACGGGCCGTCGACTTCCTCCGTTCGTGGTTAGTGGCACCGTCAACACATTGGTAATGAGCCCGGAGAATCTTTAACTCGGAGTTTAGCCTGGCGCAATGTCCGAGTCCGCGAGGACTTTTCCTCCTCGGTGCAGTCGCCGGCGACTTCTCTTTTCCTGTTTGTACGTCGGATATCTACATCTTCGCCATACTCGCGCCCTGAGATCATCCCGCTTGGATACACAGAGTCTATAGGAGGACGGCGTATACCCAACCCCCAAAACCCAGATCTTCCAACCCGAGGTTGGGACTGCAGCTGGTTTTAGGTTTTCTCGTTTGTTGCCGAACGTTATCCGTCAAGGCAAGTCGCATCGCATGTCAGCTTCAGCGGGGGGTTTCCGGTCAAATGGACTCTTATACTCCTGCTAGCATCGTGCCTCCTCATCGGAGCCCCCTGGTCGGCAATGCGCCTCTAGAAATCCTCCCTCAGTGACACGCCGGGTATCCAAGCATACAAGCTTCTAATACATCTACTGTCGGACAGACTACCATTGAACCGACGAGAAAGGCACATGTATACTGCCTGTGCGCGGCCGCGAACGAATCGACCATGGGCGCTACCAATGACCACCCCGCTCCCTCCATCGACAGTGCCACAACACACACTGCGACGTCGGATCATTCCACTCCAGCCATGAGCGATCAAGTGAACGATGACCCCGAGAAGGGGATGCGCACAACCGACCTCGTCGAACCAGCGACAACGGATGCCAATGCGGAGCCCGTATCGGAGAAAAAGGAGGGTTTTGCTGCAGCTCCTGCAGGTCCTCCGGGTCCAGGTCCTCCCCCGGATGGAGGAGCTGAGGCGTGGATGTCTGTGCTAGGAGCGTTTTGCGGGCTGTTTGTCAGTTTCGGATGGATCAACTGTGCGTGTGACAGGGCCTGGTCAATTCCACGTAACGCTGATCATGTTTAGGCATCGGGGTCTTCCAGACGTACTACGAGAGCCATCAACTAAGCGACATGTCCACCAGTACTGTGACATGGATCACGTCAATTGAAACATTCGTGATGTTCTTTGCGGTGAGTTGGCTTCTTTATAGCTCGGAGCGAATAACCAGTCTAGTCAAATGCTAACATCAATATCGTGTAGGGCCCGATATTCGGCACCCTCTTCGATAGCTATGGCCCCCGATATATCCTGCTGGGCGGTACCTTCCTCCACGTCTTTGGCCTTATGATGACTTCGCTTTCAACTGAATACTACCAATTCATCCTCGCGCAAGGAATCTGCAGCCCGCTCGGCGCCAGCGCCGTGTTCAACGCCAGCGTGAACTCGGTTAGCACCTGGTTTGCGAAACGCCGTGGGTTCGCGCTGGGGGTCACGGCTTCCGGGTCGAGTCTTGGAGGCGTGATCTTCCCCATCATGGTGACAAAACTGATTCCCCAGGTCGGATTCCCGTGGGCGATGCGCATCTGCGCCTTCTTGATTCTGGCCTTGCTGGCCGTTTCCAATCTGACCCTGAAGTCGAGGTTGACGCACACAAAGAAGCCTTTCGACATCATGAATTTTGTTCGGCCGTTGAAGGATCTTAAGTTTGTCGTCACGGTTGCAGCGTGTTTCTGTTTCTTCTGGGGCATGTTCTTGCCGTTCACGTTTGTGATTACTCAGGCTCAGCGATATGGCATGTCGCAGAACTTGTCGCAGTATCTCATTCCGATCCTGAATGCGGCTAGGTAAGCTTCTCTCTTGCTTGTCATAAGTGACGATGTCAATGGCTCATATGTTCATGCAGTATCCTTGGCCGTACGATTCCCGGTTACCTGGCAGACCGCGTTGGCCGATACAACGTGATGATCATCTTCAGCTATCTCTCCAGCATCCTCGTACTGGCCCTGTGGCTCCCATCACGCGGCAACGCGCCCGCAATCGTGTTCAGCGTCCTATACGGCTTTGGATCAGGAGCGTTTGTGTCCCTCACCCCAGCTCTTATTGCGCAAATCTCTGATATGCGAGAGGTGGGTGTCCGCAATGGTACTTGCTTCTCTATCATCTCCTTCGCCGCTCTCACTGGTACCCCGATCGGTGGTGCCCTGATTCCCGATGTACTCCACGGCTCGTACACAAGGCTACAGATTTTCTGCGGCGTGGTCATGCTGGCGGGTGCGACTTTATTCATTGTCGCCCGAATTATTCTTGGCGGACTGAAGTGGGCCAAGGTATAAATGAAAACTGGTGCTGATCAACTAGAGCTGGCTGGGGAGGCTGAGCCCGTCGCGTCTTAGCGGATTTGCATCAAAAACGGTATTAATTGAGCATTAATTATAGACGGGGCATTATAGATTTCAATCAAAGAATAATTGACTCATCACCTTGTAGACCTTATCGAGACTGTACCGGATCATGTGCATCCTCGGGTGAAGAGATATAAACCAAATGGGGAAAACTTCGTTGTTCTAAATAGAGACAAGTCTCAATCTGCCAGAGCTAGACCTGAACGCCCAAGCACCATCGCTGAAGGAAGATGAATGAAAAGTAGACCAACAAAAAGCCCGAGTAAATGCTCAAGACAGCGAAAATGCAAATGCAGGTCAGACCAAAACTCCATTTCGCATGTTCTCCACCGTGCGAACGCCCACCCCCTTCAACGTACTCAGTTCGGCCAGGCTACTCACTTGGAACTGAGGATGGTCCGAGATCATTTCGTCGGCTGTGGTCAATGACGCCTGGTCCATCTCACAAAGGCAGTCGACAATGGCCTCAGCCTTTTTGGCCCCAACGCCCTTCAACAGCTTGATTTGGCTCACATCTCGTGAGTTGATGATAGAGAGGAGGTGGATAGTTCGTGGAGAGACGGACGGGTCCTTGTAGTCATCCAGGGCACTCCGATCACCCAACCTATGACGAAGAGCTTTGACCGTAGCGCGCTTCTTTGACACGGGGAGGATACTCTCCTCGCCGCTAGAAAATCCGCCGCCACCAACCCGGTCCACATCGTCATCGTCCATGTCCCCCACCTGACGCTTGCCGAGAGTAAGAGTCGGCTCCTTCTTGAGAGACAGCATGCTTCCGAATCTGCCTTTGGGCGGAGATACAGGGGCAATGGACTGACGAGCCTTGGAATTTCCGTGCAGGCTTTCCTTCAGAGCAGCAATCTTAGATGCCAGCTTCTCATTGTGCGGGAAGTGTGGAAGAGCCAGTTGGTACATCCTCAAGGCGGAGCTGTTCTCGCCGCGGGCGTGGTGCTGCTTGGCCATGAGCAGATAGGACAGACCCTCGGCACGAGCATCCTCGGTGCCCTCAATACGCTGCTCTAGCTGTTCCAGGCGCCGCTGAAGTTGTTCGTTGAGTTCATGGACTTGGGTCTGTCTTGACTGTTCGCTCACAGCCCGCACGGCCAAGATCTCCTCAACTTTCTTCTCTACCATCTCCTCGATTCTAGCAGCGGAAATATCACCATAGCTTAAGGGAGCCTGAGAGGGAGCAAAGGTCGGGCGAGGGGGCTTCAATGTGCGAATAGGATGCGCCTCTGAGGAGAGAGACGTTCTCTTTGGCATCTCAGCCTTTCGAATTTGGGTCACAGGCTTGGGCTGTGATCGATCAGAATAAACGCTGAAGGCTTTCAATGGCTTGTCATCGTCCTTCTGGGTCGGGTCCTTTGCAACAGCAGCGGGCATATTGACATTGACCGACGCCGTGAGAGGCTGCAGCGGCTTCCGGCTTGCTGCCATGGAGGGCCGAGCTGAGGGCCGGGCAGGGCCCTTGAAGATTGGATCGTTCTCAACTTCCCGCACCTCAATCTTCCTGGTGCGGTTGGCGACATTCAGCGAGCTGATTGTGTCCAGGTGATATGATCGGACAGGTGCAAGGTTGAGAATCATCACCGTCAGGCCGTTGTTCTGTCCTAATGACAAGATTCGGGTCATCTTCGACTCGCGGTACGGGATGCGGTGTTGCTTCTTGGTGATTGCCTCCACACACTGTGCCAGGACGAAGAGACTCTTGTTGATGCTGGCCGACTCCACCATGCGCTCCTTATCATTCTCTGTTCGCCGATTGTCTTCCGATCCTGCAAGATCAATTGCAGAGGCGGTGCTGATGCGGGTTTTCTCCGGTGTCGTGATCGTGACCTTCACTCCAAGGATTGCATGGGAACGAGATGAATGGGCGTTCAACTAGTAATCTATCGTCAGCCACTACGTAAACCCAAGATATAGTCCGAGTACGGTGACTAACCTTCGTGGCAGAAGTTGAGCGATTAGTGTTTGCTTGATCATAAAGCCCTTCAAACTCCTTCAAACTTGTGCATGTCTTCTCCGTCAGACCACAGACCACTGTCTTGCCCCCGTTATCCCGAAGAGGAAGCCCGGCCAGAGTGCGCTTCTCCGGCGGCTCAAACAGATCATACACCTTATCGTTGTAGATTTCGTAGTAGCTCAGAGATACTTGGACAGTAGTCTCTCCATTGCTGTCCTTTTCCATCTTCCGGCTCCGTCTGTAGATGCCACTCAGGAGTCGTGGGATGACACCTCGATCCGCGAGACTCTTACCGCCGCGCATGGTGTGTGTCTTGCCGGTTCCGGTCACACCATAGGCAAACAGAGTGATATCAAATCCATTGAAAAGATGCTTGATCGTCGGAGCGACTAGTGTAACAACAATTGATGAGCGTCGACCATTGACAACGCGGAGCCTGCATCAAACTCCGACTCGAGATGGCACTCACCCTCGGCATCAAACAACTCCTGTTGCGCCACATCCGCATCGTAGACGGCATTGAATTGAAAGGTATACTCCTCCCCCTCGTTCTTGGGGTTGGGGATGCGAACCACGTTATCCCTATCCCTCAACGCCGCCAGCTTTCGGTCGCCATTCAGTGACTGCTGCGACTTGGTCTCGGCGGCACCAGCAGACGCACCCGTGCGAAGAATAACATCGAGCTCCCGTTCGGACTTGAGAAGGGGTCGAACCCGCGCGACGACCCGGACGCTCATTGTGACCGTTCACACATCCACCGTTGCTGACCAATTGTGCTGAATATCCAGGGGGGATTGGACCAATCCGAATTTCACCTCGCTGAACGGACCGCAGGAAAGGAAAAGAGAAAATATAAATAAAATCCCCCCAAAAGAAAGAAAAAGAAAAAGAAAAAAGCTACCTACAGTGGCGGACGTTGGATGCAGAACCGGAGATTGAAGGTGTGGAGGTGTTCGCACGCAGTGGAAGACATTGTGGTTGGGCCGTTGGCAGGGCAACGGGTCTGCCCTACCTGGCCACATTCTTTCTCATGGCCATGACTCTCACACTGCGCGATTGAGATAAGGGACTGAATGCGGTGTGTGAAGGCATCGTGGTTACTACGAAGAGAACCCAAGTGCGCTAATCGACTCAGCGAACATCAGTCTATAGGTTGATGGGTCAGTGCCTTCATGCATAGACTCGTGCTACATAGATTATTCGATTTTCAGATGCTCCCGCTGGGTACGAGGATATATATCCAATGGTCGTATTTCATATATGCTCTTCATCTTATGTGTCCCCTAGGTTCCGATCACAAATCTGGACCGCCTTCCTCGCCCATCGCCTGTAGTTGGACTGTAGTACATCTCGTAGTTTGGTATCACTTTTCCCTGTTGGTCGTGGCCGAGCTCCCATGTGCCCGCGACCCCGTGATTGGCTGGCCTGCCGCAACCTAAAGGCCACCTTCGCCATCACCGCCTCCTCTGCTTCTCTCCCCCTCCGGTGTTTTGTGTCCTCGGTACGATCTGAACCCCCTCCTGTGCTTTTGTGCTTCTGTGCTATTTTGGGCCGTGCAGCTGTGATCGCTGGTCCCATCTTGACACCCTCCTGGCTGATGGTAAAGCTGATTGTGGGGTTCTAGCGAAGCTGTCACCCGCGACCCCATATCAATCCAAATTCCCCCTCCCCCCGAATTCGTTGCCCTCGCCCAACCCGACTCCCCATTCCCGTGGAGGTATTTGTTTCTGCATACTACGACCGCTAGCAGTCCTTCATGGCAGCTCCACAAGGGGGTTATCCTCCCCAGGAAGGGTACGCCCAGCCCGGCTATGGCTCCCCGGATCTCACACAACAGCAAGAGTCTGCAGTCCCCGCGCAGGGAGCGCCGCCCGCTGGGGCCGCAGCAAAGAAGAAGAGAGCATACGCAGGCGAGGCTTTTGAGTTCGGTTCCGGTGCCAATGCTGCGCTTGGAGGACAGCCCACCGCGGGAGGCGCCTACGGTGCCTACCCCCAGCAGCCGCAAGCTGCGGGATATCAGCAGCCGGCGTACGGCGCCGACCCAAGTCAACTGCAGCCGGCGTACGGCGCCGACCCGAGTCAACTGCAGCCCTCCACCGCAGGCTATGCTCCCACTTCATCAGGCGTCGCGCAAATGACGCAGCAATTTGGTGGAATGGGCATGAGCGAGCCGCACCATATGCCCCCTCCGCAACCACAGCCCGCGGTGCAGCCCCAGCGCCAGATCCAACTCAACCAGCTCTACCCGACAGATCTCATCTCTCAGCCCTTTAATGTCGCGGAGCTGGACTACCCCCTCCCCCCATTATTCTGCCCCCGCAGGTATGCCCTGGAGCTTCTCTCCCCCCACTTAATGAGTTTGCGGGCGAGATGCTGATATCCCACAGACCAGTGTTTTCGAGTCTCCTACCGCCAATTGCCCTCCTAAATATATGCGGTCCACATTGAACGCAGTGCCCACGAACAATTCACTCCTCAAGAAGTCCAAGTTGCCATTTGCCCTTGTCATTCAGCCTTATGGCGCTCTCCACGACGCGGAGGACCCGATTCCTGTGATTCCGGACCAAGTGATTTCACGATGCCGACGCTGCCGTTCCTATATCAACCCCTTCGTCACCTTCCTCGACCACGGCCACCGATGGCGCTGTAACATGTGCAACCTGACCAATGATGTGCCCCAGGCCTTCGATTGGGACTCGACACACCAGAGGCCGGCCGACCGCTCGCTCCGCGCTGATCTGAACCATAGTATGGTCGAGTTCGTTGCGCCGCAGGAATACATGGTTCGGCCTCCACAGCCGCTGGTCTACCTCTTCTTGATCGACGTGAGCTATGCTTCCGTGACTAGCGGTCTTCTGGCCACTAGTGCACGCTGCATTAAGGAGAGCCTTGACCGTATCCCCAACGCAGACCGACGGACCCGCCTCGGCTTTATCGCGGTGGACTCTAGCCTGCACTACTTCAGCATCCCTCGGGATGGCTCAGACAGCTCAGACCCCCGGATGCTGGTTATCAGCGACCTGGACGAGCCCTTCCTGCCCATCCCTGGTGACCTTCTGGTGACGATGAGTGAATGCCGGGAGAACATTGAAACGTTCTTGGACAAGCTGCAGGAAATGTTCCAGAACACCCAGAACAACAGCTGCGCCATGGGCTCGGCTTTGCGTGCCGGCTACAAGCTTATCTCGGCCGTTGGAGGCAAGATGACTGTTCTGAGCGCATCCCTGCCCAACATTGGTCACGGTGCGCTTACGATGCGCGAGGATAAGAAGGTACTCGGCACCAGCAAGGAGTCCAGCCTTCTGCAAACCGCAAACTCCTTTTACAAGAGCTTCGCGGTGGAGTGCTCCAAGTCCCAGGTGTCCGTGGATATGTTCCTCTTCTCGTCCCAGTACCAGGATGTCGCGTCTCTCAGCTGCCTGCCCCGGTACACCGGTGGTCAGACCTACTTCTACCCCGGGTGGAACGCTGCTCGAAGTGAGGATGCTATCAAGTTTGCTCGCGAGTTCTCCGAGTATCTCTCTTCGGAGATCGGCCTGGAGGCCGTTCTCCGCGTACGTGCCACCACGGGCCTGCGCATGAGCACTTTCTACGGCAATTTCTTCAACCGCAGCTCCGATCTCTGCGCTTTCCCTGCCTTCCCTCGCGACCAGGCATACGTCGTCGAGGTCGCCATTGATGAGACCGTGGCCAAGCCTGTCGTGTGCTTGCAGGCCGCTGTGCTCCACACCACCTGCAACGGCGAGCGCCGGATTCGTGTCCTGACTCTGGCTCTCCCTACTACCACGAACCTGGCCGACATCTATGCTTCGGCTGACCAGCAGGCCGTGGCCACCTTCTTCAGCCACAAGGCCGTTGAGCGGACCCTGAGCAGCGGCCTGGAGCCCGCTCGTGAGGCTTTGCAGGCGAAGGTCATCGAGCTGCTGACCACCTACCGCAAGGAGCTTGCTGGTGGCAGCGTCAGCGGTAGTGGGCTTCAATTCCCAGCTAACCTGCGCGGTCTGCCTGTTCTGTTCCTTGCCATGATCAAAAACGTGAGTTCCCTCCCACTCCTTTGCCATGTCCCCTTGGTTGCTAATTGCCCGGTATAGCTTGGTCTTCGCAAGTCCGCCCAGATCCCGACGGATATGCGCTCTGCCGCGCTCTGCCTCCTGTCGACCCTGCCCCTGCCGCTCCTCATCCAATACATCTATCCCAGGATGTATTCCCTCCACGACATGCCCGACACCGCTGGTGTGCCTGACGAGCAGACCGGCGAGATCACCCTTCCGCCGACGGTCAACCTGTCGTCGAGCCGGATTGCCGCGTACGGCCTGTACCTCATCGACGATGGCCAGACGCAGTTCCTGTGGGTCGGTCGCGACGCCGTTCCCCAGCTGATTGAGGATGTGTTTGGGGTGCCGGACAAGAGCCAACTGCGGGTGGGCAAGCAGAAGCTGCCGGAAGTGGACAATGAGTTCAGCCAGCGGGTGCGAGCGGTCATTGACAAGAGCCGGGACCACCGCTCGAAGGGCGTGGGCAGCATGATCGTGCCGCATCTGTACGTGGTGCGCGAGGACGGCGAGCCTGGGCTGCGCCTTTGGGCCCAGACGATGTTGGTGGAGGACCGCGCGGACCAGAGCGTCAGCCTGGACCAATGGATGACGACGTTGCGGGAGAAGGTATGACCTGACAGATTCCTCTGCTTCTCTCCCCGGTCTCCCCACTGACTCCCTCGTTCAGGTTGTGCAGTAATTGCTCCTCTTGGTCCGCCGTTCCGTTTACCCCATTTCCCCAGCCCCATTCCCCATTTCCCCATCCTCAATGAAGTCCACGTCCCTCTTGTGTCCTGTTGCTCGATCTCGCCCGCCTGTACCATTACGGATAAAGGGCTCGGCTCTCTGTGCGGGCATCTCCCCCCCTTTCCCCATTGGAAGTAGACCAGGGTTCTCTCTTTCTTTTCTCTCTAGGGCACCTAGAAGCCCGCTGACCATCTATGCCGGCCACGAGTCGTTTCCCGAAAATCGATGTTATTTTTGTATCCCACGTTGCGCCTCAGCCTCAATAGTGTCATTAGTAGCCTTAGTTTCAGCCCCACGGCGGGTGCATGCGGTCTCTCCTCTGGGGATGCACCTCCGCCTCTCGGTCTCGACGTCGCTGGACAGCCCGACCCCGAGTCGCTGGCGCCTCGTTTGACGGTTTGATCATCACGCCAATCAGCAAGCATGCGACGCCGGCCCCTGGTGGTGAAACGGGGAGGAGGCCGGCGCTCCAATCACACGGCTCTCTGGCGGTGCACGGGTGGGGACGGCCAGTCACTGTGATTGTGACCAGTTCCGACAGTAGCGCCGTTCAGTCGGGCTCGCGAGAAGAGGAGCGTGGTCCATTTGGCGCTGGTGGCGGGAACTCTCTTCGCAATGGCTCGTGTGGGTGGTTGGTAGTGGAGGGTAGGAGGAATATCCCTCTGCGCGTGCAGTTGACTCTCATAAGGTGCAGCGTTCTGGCCGTGTGGAGAAAAGGGCCGGGCGAGAGCCACGGTTCAGCAGCAGATCCGATCAACAACTGGGCACCAAACCAAACCACGAGCATCACCAGGTTCGGGCCTAGAAGCGTCCCTGGGAGATCCAAGGACTAAACCCAGGAGAGCACCGTATTGCCTCATTGCATCAACGCATTGGAGTCCGGCAAGACGGGAAGACGGGCATACACCTGTAGAAGACCAAGACTAGAATCCGGGATCGCTGGATGACAGGATAGATCCCATCTTCCGCGATGAGTCTGCCAGAGCCCATACCAATCAACATAGCTGAGCGAGTCGTTACGGCGTAGCTCCTCCATAAAGGCGGTCCTTTCCCCTTCCGCCTTTCCTTCTTTTCCCAAACCCCCTGCTCGTCTGCCCCACCACCACTCTGCGGCCCGTGGCTGAGTTCCGCTGATTTCGTTCTCTCCCCCACCTTCGTCTCGCTCCCTCCTCCAGGGCCCCGACGGTACCAACAACCGAGAACAGAGACAAGTGACGGGTACGTCGTGTCCGTGGCTGTTGCCAGCCGATCGGCGCCAACCCCCGCCTCGGCAACGGCTTCACCACCACCGCCTTCACCTCCACCTTCACCTTCCTCCGCTAGCAGCTGGCGCGGCTAACCAGACACCTTTCAGCTTCCCGAAACTGTGCCCACTCCCCGCGGTCTTCCTTCTTTCCGATCCACGCCTCAAAGCTCGCTCGATCTACACCCTGTCGCGGACTCCATCTCCCTCTCCCTCCCCCTCCCCCCTGCCCCTGATCGCATCGTCGCCAGAGCTCGCCGTGCAACCCCTCTGCCCTCCTTTCCTGTCCCCGGACTCGCGACCCTGATTGTGTGACGAAGACCCAACAGACGCCAGGGACGGATATCAATATCGAAAAGGACACGCATTCAGACCCAGCGCACAACCGAATGTAAGCTTGTTTCCACCCCCTCCGTGGTCCTCCCAAAATCGGATACTCGCAGTCAGCTCGCTCGGGGCTCGTGTGTTTGCTGTTGCTTCCCAACTCCCTTCGGCGTAGTTGGGCCACTCTGTCTCGGAGTGTGTCAAGCCTCTTCGTGGGCCAGCTTTCCCGTCCTCTGGGGTCGGAATCTGCTCCCCCAGCATTATGGAATGCTTCTCTATCTCTCGCGCCCTATCCTGGGCTCTCGCACCTATGATTGGAGCTGACATTGCACCCCTGCTCCACAGAAACGGCGACATGGTTCAGCAGAACGCCTCGCAGGGAGGCTCGCGGAAGATCTCCTTCAACGTGTCCGACCAATACGAAATTCAGGATGTGATCGGCGAGGGCGCATACGGTGTGGTCTGGTAAGCACTGCTGGAGTGGGGTAGGATACCCCGGGCCATAGCATCCAGCTCATGATCATCTAGCTCCGCCATTCACAAGCCTTCCGGCCAGAAGGTCGCCATCAAAAAGATTACCCCGTTCGACCACTCCATGTTCTGCCTGCGGACGCTGCGTGAGATGAAGCTGCTGCGCTATTTTAACCACGAGAACATCATCTCCATTCTGGATATCCAACGACCCCGTAACTACGAGGGCTTCAACGAGGTGTACTTGATTCAGGTACGCTAGCTGCCGGAGAAGGTGGTATGCTGGGACCCTCCCCCCAACTGACTTCTTCCTCCAGGAGTTGATGGAAACCGACATGCACCGAGTCATCCGCACACAAGATCTGTCGGACGACCACTGCCAATACTTTATCTACCAGACACTGCGCGCACTCAAGGCCATGCACTCGGCCAACGTTCTGCACCGTGATCTCAAGCCCTCCAACCTCCTGCTCAACGCCAACTGCGATTTGAAAGTGTGTGACTTCGGTCTGGCCCGCTCCGCCGCCTCCACCGACGACAACTCTGGCTTCATGACGGAATATGTGGCCACTCGTTGGTACCGTGCGCCGGAGATCATGTTGACATTCAAGGAATACACCAAGGCCATCGACGTGTGGAGTGTAGGCTGCATATTGGCCGAGATGCTGAGCGGCAAGCCGCTGTTCCCCGGAAAGGATTGTATGCGACAGCCCCCCTTTCCCCCCTACCCCTGGGAGCTTTCTTTGAATCGCATTTCTCTAACTTGTTGTATCCAGACCACCACCAGCTCACCCTCATCCTGGATGTTCTCGGCACGCCAACAATGGAAGATTACTACGGCATCAAATCCCGACGAGCACGCGAGTACATCCGCTCCCTCCCATTTAAGAAGAAGATCCCCTTCCGCGCCCTCTTCCCAAAGAGCAACGAGCTGGCCTTGGATCTGCTCGAGAAGCTGCTGGCCTTCAACCCGGCCAAGCGCATTTCCGTCGAGGACGCCCTGCGCCACCCATACCTGGAGCCGTACCACGACCCCGATGACGAGCCGACAGCGCCGCCCATTCCGGAGGGCTTCTTTGATTTCGACAAGAACAAGGATGCGCTCAGTAAGGAGCAATTGAAGGGTGAGTTCCTGCATTTTACTCCCTTCGCCCCCGCTCTCTGGCGTGTGTGTGTTGTGTGGGTATTCGCTAACTGACATTTGGTTAGGCCTGATCTACGAGGAGATCATGCGGTAAAGGGCGCCGTACGAGGGATCATAGCAATTCCTTTCTATTTCTGTTTAAGCATGCAATCGATCAAACGACCCATTTCAATCCGTCCGCTTGGACGCGATTTCGCCGTGATTTAGATAGCAAGGGCAATCCTGGAAGTAGCAATCCACATGGTGTTTGCCAAAGTCAATATCAATCCACAATGAAACGAGCAGCCGTATCTAGCAGCCAGCATCCAGCATCCACTCCCATTTTCTTATTAACAAGCTTTGTATGGTATATACACTGTTCTATAAATATGTACAAAAGAAGGACCTCCCAGTAGCACGTGTAGATCTACTCCCCCCGTCGAGCCTCCATAAACCTGCGAATCCCCTCTCCCCACACCTTCAGGACTAGGCGTTTCCGCACAAACGTCCGCCTCAAATGCAAACGTCTTCCTCAGGAAATCCCTCGTCGTCGGCCCAATAGTCGCAACAAAGATCCTCCGCGTCCCTCGGTCAGCCGCACCAGCAGTTCCGAACGGACCGAGCCCAAGAACGCGGAGCATCGCCTCACAGCCCGTCGGCGAGAAAACAACGACCCAAAGCGCCTCGACGCCCTCGTATTTCTGCACCGCGGCCGCAAAGTCAGACTCGAACGAGTCCATTTCCCCAGTCTCGTAGACGACGATCTCGTTGACGGGGATTCGCTCGTGCGCGGGGCGGGCCGGGTCCATTAGCGTTTTGGGTATGATGTCGCGACGCTGTTCGCCGACGAGAAAGAGGAGGGCTGGGTTCGTGGACCCGCTGTGAATGCCATTGTAGTGGTCCAGCATGAGGTGCGCGAGGTTCTCGCCGTTGCCGGCGTCGGCGCCGTGAATCGTCGCGGTGGGGAGGTATTTGTCGCGCAAGGTAGTGAGGGAGCGGGCGGTGGCGGGGCCGACGGTGTAGAGGAGTAGTGGGGGTTTGGATGGCGTGGATGGGACTATAGACGGTTGGTGATGAGTTAGGTGAGCAATTTGGCCGTCGGTCCTCTGCTTGGAGTAGCTTGCAGAGCGCGCGGGACTCGAGTAGCCAAGGCTGCGATGGGATACGTACGGCCGTTCTCTTCGATCATCTTTGCAAATCCCTCCACTGCACGCTGACTGGTGAAGATCATGCCGCCATACTTCATGTCATGTCCATTGGGTTCGGGTCCATGTCTAGGTGGCGTATCGGCATCTGTGTCGAATGCGCCGGACGCGAAGAGCTTGCGTACGGTAGCTAGGTTCTCGGTGTGGAAGCGGTGCTCCAGAACGGGGATGAAGGCTGGCGTGTAGTCGGTCGCGGAGAAGAAGTCATCGTAGCCGTCGTGTGGGGAGGATTTGGTTTTGAGGAGGAGGATGGGGGGTTGAGGGGGCATTGTGGTTTTGATGGGTGCGGTTGGAGAATGGAAGGTGAGGAGGTGTAGATATGATGTTTCTCCGATTGCGGGGCGGAGCTTTTTCTGCATTCACCACGGCGCATTCATGCCGGAACGCTACGGGGGGGGGAGACCGAGAGGTAGAAAGGCTGTATGACGGAGACTATAGAGGGATTGAATTGAGAAAACAAACGAGAATCTCGTTTTGGGTGAATCCAGACAACACAAGAAAATCGGATTGAGTCTAGGAAGCAGCTTATGTACACATTAAAAACACAACTACTGGTCATCCAGCACATGCAGGTACTTCTTCTCCTCGCGGGCCTCGCGCTCGGTCGCCGGGGGAAGATCGTAGTAGGACGAGCTACGGTAGCCCTGCAGGTAGTGGAAGGTCAGGTCCGCCAGGTCGGCGGTCTCCTCCATGCCGAGATCCTTGAAGGTCTTGGCCGTCGGGTCGATTTCCTGGTCCATGAACTCGCGCTCGACCTCGTCGGCGGAAATGGTGTGCCACCACAAGTACTTGTTGAGGTAGTAAGCAAAGGGCTTAAGGAGAGCCTTGGGGACGTTAATGTGGGTGCGCTTCTTGACGATTTCGCGATCCACCAGCTCGGCGATCTCCGCAGTGGAGTAGTTCTTGGGACCATAGAGCTCGAAGGTCTGACCAACGGTGCTCTCGTCATGCAACATCTTCTCGAGGGCGGCGCCGACGTCAATGGCCTAGAAAAATGAAGTGTTAGGCTGGGAGTATCCGTCGGGATCTTGTGACAGGAAGCTTACGTGGACGGGCCAGTAGCGCTCCTGCATGTGGTTGGCAGTGAACAAGTTGGAGACGCCAGCAAGCTTGTGAAGGAGATTGTCCTCGAAACCGAACATTGGGGCAGGGCGGACAATGGTGGTCTCGGGGTAGATGGAGCGGACGACCTCCTCACCCCAGGCCTATTTGTCTTGTATCAGAATCCCTGTGCCGATCCACAACAGATCAAATATGACCAACCTTAGTAGCGAAGTACTCGGAGGGCGAGTCACGGCGGGCGTTATAGGAGGAAACGTGGATGAAGCGGTCCACATCGTACTTGGCGACAGCCTCGGCGATGCGCTCAGCACCGTCAACGTGGACGTCGGCGTAGGTGAAGTTCCTGGTTTACTGTCAATTGACTATCCTAGCAACCACAGGCTCCAAAATTGCGCTCACTTAGTAGGGTATTGGCGACCCGTCAAGTTGTAGACGACATCGGAGTGACGGACGCTCTCCTCGATCGACTGGGTGTTGCGGAGATCGTATTCCTGTGGGCGGGTCAGACAATCTGCCTCTCTCAACCACAATCTCGCCTCAATGGGCTCCATACCATGAAAGTGACACGGCCCAGATCACCAGTCACCTTTAAGTGACGCTTGGCCATTTCCTCGCGGTAGGGGATCACCACGTTGCATCCCTGGGTAGCTGCGGGATGTCAGTCCTCCACCCCTCTCAAGTGTATTCTGAAGGGGACGCTCAACCTACCGAGCCTGTTGACAATATAACGACCCAGGAAACCAGTGGCGCCGAAGACGGTCGCGGTGTGGCCTAAAATGAAGTGGTGAGCATATGCCGCACGTATAGGCAGTATCGAGTCAAGGGCTGGGCGGTACCTCCGAGAGACGAGCTGAGGGTCGAAGAGACATTAGCGACCAGGAAACTTCGTAATCAGCGCAATTGAGTGCTTACCGGCCACCCTGGAGCTTCAGAATAGGACGTCCGGTACGACTAATAGCGACATCCTGGAGGTTGCGGCGCTGGAACTGAACCTGAACCCGCGGGGCAGGGGCGAAGGCCCGCGACCCCAGGGCAGGATTGATGGACCGGCACTTTTGCATGGCCTCTGCGTGCGAATCGCGAGACCTGGTGGAGGGGAGTGGTAGCCGAATGGCGTGGTGAGGAGCAGTTGAATGGGCTTTCGCAGGTCGCTGCAATTCGGGAACACGGGACTCTGACGCTAGTCCCTATTCGGAAGTCAGTGACACTCTCCGTTTTCCCTCTTTGTGGGTGCTAGTTTTCTTCTTGTTTTCCCTTGGAACTGAAGGCGAAAAGCTTGAACCATATGTTAAAGTGATCTCATAAGGTCATAGTGCATGCATTGTGGTGTTGACAACAATTCGACCTCGATCACCCACAGCAGGTCTGACAATATGCCGAATGTGATTGGATGGGCACTAAGCCCCATCTCCAACCCAAGTCTTCCATCGGCGTCTAGATTGAATAGATTTATTTACTGTGTTATAATTATATATGAATCACCAGGGCTATCTGGTGCCATTTTACCGTCTTTTAAACCCCAACGGTGTTCTATGTTGCGGGTGTATATGGCATTTGAGATTCACAGGTTTTGAGGCACTCGAGTCCCGCCTATTTAGAAATTCTTGGCAATCTCGTAGCAAAGAACTATACCCATTGATAGTTATTCGGCAGAAGAAAGCCAGTCCTTCCATCATTGAGCTTCCTCTAAAGCCAACGGAAAGTGGTGAATGCACGCCGCCATGGAATCGCTCATCGTTCCCCCAATACGTCATGGCGTTAGTGTGTGCGGGAAAACCGGTCGGGGCCTGAGTCCCTCCGTATAGCAGTTGGTCTCACACCGCGTCTTCACCTCTGACACAACGAACGTGTTGGAAGTGAGACAGCTATATAAATGGCAGTCAGAGTTGCAGTTATAGGTGCAGGGTGAATATCTCTCTTTCGGCCCTCAATATCTACTCTAACCTTCTCTTCCCGACAGCCCTGGTGGCCTGGTGGCCCTCAAGACCTTACTAGAGGCATCGACGCCGGAAAAACAGATCGAGGCTTGTCTATTTGAAGCGTGTGTACCCGTGAACCTTTCCCCGTTGACATCGAATTCCCGAATTCACCACCCTAACAATATCACACAGCGAAGCAGATATTGGTGGTACATTCAACTATCGATCCTACCAGAATGCAGAACTGGTAAGCAGCAAGCAGTTGACGACCTTTTCGGATCACCGCCTGCCGCTAGATACTCCGGACCATATCTCACTGCCTGAATATGTGGATTACCTCCGGTCTTATGTTCGCAGATTTAAGTTGGGGAACCATATCAAGCTAAACAGCCCCGTTGTGCGTGTCGAGCGACTTCTAGACGGCTCCCAGTGGAAACATCGAGTGACCTATCTGGAGACAGACGCCGAAGAGAAGCAGGAAAGGGTTTATGATTGCTCCCATATCGCTATTTGCACCGGATTACATGTTGAACCCAATATTCCATCGATCCCCGGAATTGAGAATATCAACGGAGATGTGTTTCATTCAGCACTTTACAAAGATCGCTCTCAGGTGGCAGGTCGGAATATCTTAATCCTGGGATGTGGTGAAACGGCCATGGGTGAGTTCGTCTGGCGATTGGTTGCTTTTCCTCCCATTAATGCGTTTGGAAGATATTGCCTACGAATCCATCAAAGCCGATGCCAAATCCGTCACGATGTGCTTCCGGACTGGGTTTCTCTCTTTTCCCAAGTCACTCAGTCGCTTTCAGGTATTCGGCAAGACTTTCAGTGGAGGTCTTCCCATTGACGGCCTCATCACAAATCTATTCGAGACCGCATACGTGCACCGGGCGATCGCTCAGAGCAGGTTACGCTGGTTCGTCTCTGACTTTGTCATCAAGCGAGTTCTGTGGTTCCTGACTGGCACCCAAGCTGGTATGAACCAGCATATCGGTGGTCTTCCTCGTGAACGACTAGGCAGGGCTTTTGTGTTCCTCAACAAGAGTAATAAGGCGATGCCCTATCTCAACCGGCCCTACCAGCGACATAACCCTTTCTTAGCCTGTATTGGGAATCGCTATATTGACCCGCCAGAAGATGCAAACTCCGACCGAGTAGTCGATACTTGCACATGGCCGGAGTCCATCGATGAGACAGGAAGAGTTACTTTTCAGGAGATTCCCAACCGCAAGGATTGGCAGCGTCTGAAGAACAGGGTTATCAAGCCAGACTGTGTGGTCTACTGCACTGGGTCAGTGTTTATATAAGATATGAAATTTTGGTTGCTCGAGCTAACTTGCTAGCAGGTACAAACAAACATTCCCATACCTCGATAGGACATATCCCACGTCAGCAGATGCCAAAATTCGAAACATAATTCATCCATCCCACCAAGATATCGCCTTCATTGGCTTTGTCAGACCCGGCGTCGGTGCCATCCCCCCGATTGCTGAACAGCAAGCCATGTGGTGGACTGCCCTTATTACAGGCCAAATGACAATGCCGACGGACCCTCCACACTATCATCTTTTGGCGGCCAAGAGGTCTCGCATACAATATGGGGTCGACCACAGCGCCTACATGAGTACGCTCGCTCGCGACTTCGGCGGGGCTCCGGGGCTGATAGAGCTATATCGTCACCACGGATTGCGCATTCTACTTACCTATTGCTTCGGTGCGTCTTTTGTCACATTCTACCGATTACTCGGCCCCTTCAAGTCGCCTGTTGCGCCGGAGATTGCGGGAACAGAATTAGCGGAGACAATTCTTCGACGTGGAATCATTGGGAATATCTTCTTTGGGCTTATACCTATGTTGTTTTATGGGATGATCAATACAGTGGCCTTTTTACTCGAAAAGGTTGGGTTGATACCTGCGGAGAGCAAGGTGGGCTGTAACTGGGCCGAGGGAAATTATGAGTAGTACCAGGAGGGCTATATCGATTCAGTCAGAATAAATACTCATCTCGGGTTGTCCTTATGATATTTCTTCACTCAAACTAAGTCAGTACGCTGGTGGTTTCAGCCGCGTCGGAGCGCATCGTGTGTGCGCACGGCCAGCGGCCGTACTATATGCACGCACCCATATCGCCAAAACCCCCAACAAACCACCCCAGAGACCCGGAAAGTCACTAAAAGAAAAAGACAGGCCGAAAGCAGAGAGGATGAATATGGTGCAACTGTAAAAAAGTAAAAAATGAACGACGGCTATGTCGTAGCAGGTTGTGTCCAAAGATTGAGTAGAGGAGTATTGTGGGCAAACCACGGCCATCTCTGGTAAAAGGCAAGAAATGGGTTCTGTACTAGCCTGTCCCACTCCTCGGGGGAGAGACCCATTTTTGATACATAACCCCCCTCTTTCTCAAATTTGCTGACCCGCGTTCGAACCCGAGCCGCATCGCCTTGTTTTTTTTTTTTTTTTCGGCGACCGCCCACAGCTGCGGGAGCTGACCCCGCATATCGATGACTTCAGTCTGGTAGGTCGGTCCACGCTTTCTCGCGTCTACGAACCACCCTGTTCAATCTAGTCCTCCCGAATTCCTATTCCCACCGATAGAAAGGCAACAAAAATCCGCAGGAAACATGTCTTCTAGCGCCGCGTGTATCTTCTGCAAGATCATTAAGGGTGGGTGGTCGTCTCGACGCGCTTGTCGTGAAGCTCTTACGGTCCCATCCGAGGCTGGATGCAATCAGTCGCTAACACTCCATTCACGGCCCAGGTGATATCCCTTCCTTTAAGGTCTTTGAGAGCGACAAGGTCTTTGCCTTCCTCGATATTCAGCCGCTCAGCCGCGGCCATGCGGTATGTTGCGTCCCCTCTGTATACTTCCCCGCACCGGTCGTGGGTCACCTCGGTGCGGTTCGAATTCGCGTCTCGAGGCCATTCTTGTTGCTACCAGTCTTGTTGTTAGACACGATGGGGGACTGCTTGGATATGGATGGTCTCGAACTGCAAGGATAGACAGGAGGCTGATTTGCTTTCGAACAGCTCGTGATCCCCAAGTTTCACGGCGCCAAGCTGACCGACATCCCTGATGAGGACTTGCTCGAGGTTTTGGTAAGTCGATCAAACAAGTACTGTGGCGGACAGAGGTGAAGATGGAGAGAATAGGGAAGAGGGGGCCGACAGTCAATGCGGCAGGCCGGCAGTGAACCACGGGCCGCCAACCCCCCAGGGTCCTTGTCCAGATACACAACTAGACGAACATGATGCTAGTTTGAGAAGGCCACCCCGCTAACAAGATTCATCTTACCACAGCCCGTCGCAAAGAAGATTGCCAAGGCCAGTGGCGCTGAGGACTTCAACATCCTGCAGAACAACGGGCGCATTGCCCACCAGGTCGTTGACCACGTACGTTTACCGCTTCCTGATACTCATACGGGTGACAAAATGTTAATCTATGTCTCGTTAGGTTCACTTCCACATGGTATGACCCCTTCATCGACATTGTTTACCACCTTCTCTAGACCCTCTCCCAGTTTCTGTTACTTGGGTCTACCCAGAGGATATATACTTACCCCCTTCATATAGATCCCCAAGCCCAATGAGCAGGAAGGTTTGGGCATCAGCTGGCCCGCCAAAGAGTCCGACATGGACAAGCTGAAGGCCCTGCATGAGGAGATCAAGTCGAAGATGTAAACGGGGTTCCCATACATAACAGCAACAGACCGTAGCGGCTTGCCTGCCTACCTAGTCCGATGTGGCTGACGTCCTATCAATAGCATACTCTTTGAATGCCATCGAGTCCCCATTTTCTTATTAATCTATTCCATCATTGGTATGGCTTGACATGCACCAGCTGTGTAAAAAAAATCTTCTCTCCCAAATGCTCTCTGAATACATAGATCCTGTGTATAATCTCTAACTGGCGATTCAAGAGGACCAGTTCTGTTGGTATATACTACACAACCATGCAGCACGCACGATTCGAAACAGCCAATGTGGCAAGTCTAATCAAAACGGAAAATCAAACGAGGAACGCAGCCACCAACAATAATCTGGTGCCTTAAGCAGTCTAAGCAGCCCCTGTCGTCTCCGCAGCCGCATTGCTGCTGGCCTTCTTTTCGTCCTCCCGACTCTTCTCCGCCTCAGGATAGAACTCGATCTTGCCGTTACCCTTGAGAATGTTGAGGCGGTCGTACAGCGAGCGAGAGCGGATGTAGGGGTCCAGGATCCAGTACTGCTCACGCAACTTCTCAATCAGGCCGTTGCGTTTGTTCTTGGCGGCGGTCGCGGCATCAGTTTCCTTCATGTAGCTGGCACGGATCCACTCAATGGTGATGTCCTGAATCTCCTTCGCCAGAGCCTGGCGCTCGGCGATCAGCTTATCGCGGGTCTCCTTGTCTTCCATTTGGGTGTTCTCGCCCTCTTGGATCTCGGCGTACTCGTATTCCCAGTTCTCATCACCTTCAAGTTCCTTCATGATTTGGCTTGGGGGAATGAAAGCTTCGAGGTCTTCGCGGTTCTTAGTGAAGTGGATCTTGGAGGCAACGACGGGGTCGAGCCAGCCCTTGATGATACTCCAGATACCTATAGCTGGGTTAGCAATGATGTTGGGGGTGATAGCGATGGAAATAGACGAACTAGAGAAGATCCACGGCGCCTTGTGGATGAGAACGGTGCCCAGAGATTCAGGGTAGTTGGCTTCGAAGCACTTGATCATGAATTTGACAGGTGTATAGTCCTGAAGGGAAGAATCAGTATGTGATAACTACCAAAAGACAAGGGAGAGAAACCGACCATGTTCGCCACTGTGAAGTTAGTCATATCAAAAATGATAGTCTATGATCGTCAGATGGAGGTTTCAGATTAGATTTGCCAATGCTATCTTACCGCAGTCTCAACCGGAGGCGCCAATAGCAACCGGGCAGTCTCAATAGTATAGACCGTAAATCGCTCCAACGATTCTGCCTCCTGCTCGGCAGCCCGGTGCAGCCGCACACGGACAACACAGATCGGGCGGCCAAGCTTATCCACGCCGTGCAGGAAACTCTTACCCAGGCGCATCTGCTTCAGAAAGTCCTCGCCCTTCTTCTTCTCGGCCGCGTCGGAACTTGAGGCCTGCTTCAGGGCCTTGGCCTCACCGTTGGCCATGATATCGTCGTCCACGTGCACTTCCTGCAGGCGCCAGCGCATAGTCGAGATCAGCATGATGAGCGCTTTGTTGACGTCCCACTTGCGTGCGCGCAAGAACCGCAGCAGTAGCGCATCCGGGTTATCATGCTTCACCATGTTCCAGAAGGCCGTGCGGATCTCCTCTGGTTGCAGCTCGACGAGCGCCCGTTGGAACTCCTTGGACTGGCCGTGCTTGTCGTCGCCCTCGGTGATGCTGATCGAGGCCAGGCTCGAGGTGTTGCCGTTCGCCGAGGAGGCGCTCTTGGTGTCATCATCGTCCTCGTTGCTGCGGCCCCAGAGCCAACCCCGGCGTTTGCCGGACTTCTTCTTGTCTTGGGCCGAACTGGACGGGGCAGCGTCCGCATTGCCCTTGCCATTGGCCGGCTCGGTCTCGAGCGCATCGAGCGGCACGCCAAAGACTTTGAGGGTCAGCACCCAGAACTCCTGCAGCTTCGCCTCTTGTTCCGGGGTGAGGGTTCCGACGGTACCCGGAGCGGGCTCGGTAGGCATGGTGGTGAGGGTATCAATGACACCGAGGAAGGAGGGTATGTGCGGCGCGGCTGGGGAAGGATGCAATGGCGGGTGGTCAGTGGAATTGACGTATTTATCGTGGAGCCAGGCGCCTCCGCCAAGGGCGAGTAGGGTGAATGTGATAGTCCAGAGAGCGGATGCTTCCCTCGGTTGTTCCTGGGATCGCGGACGTGTGGAGAAGGGGCACGCGAGTGGGAAAGACCGGGGTCGACGAGCGTATTGGGAGGCGATCTGTGCGCCTCTTGCCGGGGAAGCAGAAGCAGAAGCAGACGTAGATGCAGGGCAATGCACAGGAAAGGGCTTGGCCGAGGGAGAGATGCGGCGCAGAATCGAACAGGCCAGCATGTGGCGGGCTAGAAGAGGGCTTGGGTATGTTTTCGTTACAGGAGGGCGAAGATAAGAGGAACTGGCCGGCGGATTGGGATTGGGGGCAGATTCCAAGGGTCTCGGGGCGAAGTTGAGACCGGCGGATGGCGAAAAGTGGATTCGCTCAAACCAGGACGATGGCGATCTGCCCGGCGATGCGGGGAACGCCAATTCCTTGCTGTAGACGTTATGGAATGGGGAATTACTTCTATGTGTCTTCTGATCCGTACGGAGAGCTCTAGCTCGAGTCGATGTACGGAGTATGTAATGCACTCCACGATTCTACCGGGCTGGGACGCTACCATATGTACAGTAGCCGTGCATGCTTGCAGCCGGGCCAGACCGGTGGAGTCATGGGCGCGTCAACTCGCACGGATCAACACCCAACCTTCCAGCAAATCGCATCGGTCGGAACCAAATACCCCGAATAAGCCCAATCGCCTGTGGTCTCAGCCCAATTTCCAACTACTGGCCGTTGCCAAAACGCTCACGTTAACCCACTCGGAACCTCTCCTTCCACCCCACCGATTGCCTCCTGGGCCTCGAAATCCCTCTCAAAACAATCAACACCGCCGCAGCCCCAACGATGGACGCAGTTGCACCACGATCCTCCTCGCGTCCGAGACCATCCTCTCGCCCCACGACGCCCTTGCGACCGAGTTCGCGCTCTTCGCTCCGGGAAGCCCATGGATATGGTCATAACATCAGCCATGTCGGGTACAACCAGCCCGCCATCAATGCCCTGGAGCCTCAATTCGCGGAACTCGCCGACTCCATGGCAGACCTGGAGGCCAACTTCATGCATCTGCAGCTGATGCACGAGAGCTTGACGCGCTTTAGCGAGAGTTTCGCTAGTTTCTTATACGGCATGAATATGAACGCGTTCTGTGTGGATTTCCCAGAGGTATGGCTGTCGGAGACGCCGTCCGGCGCGGACCTGCACGCTTAGATGCTGATGAGTTTCAGGCCCCGATGGCCGATTCCTTCAAAAGAGCAAAGCAAGCGGCGGCTCAGAAAGGTATGGAGCGCACCAGCTGCAGCATATGGTTGGGATTCTCCGATGGCGGCGGCTCACTAATAGCTCGCGCAGAAGCGGAAAACGAACCAGCCCGACCGGACGATGGCGAGATGACTTTCCTGTGAGTGATGGCAATTCGACATCACAGATGGCGCAATAGTCGCGCTCCTCTACCGGCGACCCTCCTTCTCCTTATTGACTTCCCGCCTAGGACGACGGACACATCCTTTGTCGAGCACCCGCCCAGCACCGTTTCCTCCAAGCCAACATCGAAGTACCCTGCGTCCACCCGGGGCACCACTCGAGGCGGCGCCACTCGAGGAGGTACGACACGAGGCTCGGCGACCAGCCGGTACACAACGAGAGGGTCCAACCGGGCGCGACCAAGTGCGCTACCTCGGGGTCGCGGCGTGCGGTGATCGGCTTCTGGCATTGTATTCTGCCCACTACACTTGCGATTTCCTGCGCGGGGCAAGGATCTGATATGATTTGGGAACACCGTAAATGGATCATACTCCGAAGATCCCTCTGGGCTTCCTCCATCCAAACTAGTCGGGACGACTCTTGTTGCGCGCGACTACGAGCCCGCACTGGGCCGCATGCGCGCGGCCCTCGGGGACGAATGATGAGCATCTCCTGTAATTGTGATGACTGTACATGAATAAAATTGCATAGAGCATTAAGAACCTCCGAATAGAAAATTATCCATCAATATAGTCATTCTTCTGTGTGTGGGCCGCATGGTGGTTGCATGGTCCTGTCCCAGTGGTCCCTTGGCAGAGGATCGCGGCACCTCCGAGATCGATCCGGCGGTAAATCGGTTCAGGCGAAAAAAAGGCCCGCCCGATGACAACCTCTCCGCCCCCGAGGACTAGCAGGACCGTCGCGGAAACCGGGGATCACCGTGTATTCTTTTCCCAACCAGTTCAAGCAGCTTCTCATCTGGTCTCTCGCTGCTTGTGGGATCGTTGCCTTCCATTGAACCAGGCGGGGCATGGTTGCGGCCTTGCAGGCGACGTGAGCTGCCGCGGCAACCCTTGGTGACAGAGCAGCCCTATAGCGCCTCTGTTCACGCATCCCCCCCTCCCCAACACGACAACGTTTATTCTCTGGCTCCTATTTTGTAAGTTTCGTCTTATCTGTGTGCTTGTGCCGTTGCTCAGTGATACTCATTGTTCGCCTGGCAGTGCAATGCTGGTCCTCCTCAGGGGGAGTCCTTGAGGCTGAACTGGATATCTCTGCGCATCCCACGGCTAGAAAGAACTTGAATCAGCCTAGGAGATTTCTGGGTATCATTGAATTTGTCGTTCTTCTCTTCGATCGTTGCCGCGAGGGCTGGGTCCTTCGATTAACCTGTTTCTCGCTCTGCCTCTTTGCATTATACCTCCCACTTCACATCTCCCCGACGTTTATCCCTTTTTCATCCTCTGCACCTGAACTGCATCATCGAGGGTTTCATCCAAAATGGCGAGCCTCGATTCTATCCATCTCCTTTCGGAGGCGGCGTTTGGCTGCGGTGCGTATATACTTCCTTTTGGTCCCCGGTCCTGGTCCAGATCATACTGACCCCAATTAGAACATCTTGCCACTGTCCTGCAGGATAAATCGGCTGCTGGGCAGTTCAAGAGTGGTTATCGCAAGCAGTTTGAGTCCCTTGCGCCGTACACCAAGCCCGAGACCGTCGCAGTGCCTGCTAGTGGTCTGCGGACGGTGGCAACTCTGAAACCAAAGTACCACTGTTTGACTTGTTCTGAATCCTGTCTCAACTCGGAGCGGCGGGCACACACAAAGAAGACTGGACATGTATTCTGTAAGTCTGAGAGCGGGCTCTGATTGGCTTGTTTTCGCCCTTAACACTGGCCTTCTAGACCTGGAGTCACGCAATCGCTTCATTTTCTGTGAGACTTGTAGGGATTTCGTCTACGACCATGGCCTGGAGAGGCTCTGTGGCCCTGCTGGCAAGTTTGAGGCCCAGGGTGAGTTTGGTAACACCTATCAGCCCTGCTTATAGTATGGCCCAGCAACTCACTATCTGCTAGATGGCAAGGGCCGATGGAATGATGACTCGGCTGCCGAGCTTTATGTCAAGACCAACGCCACCAAGAACCCCTGCTCCCGTCGTGGGGCTCGTGGTGTCTGGAACATGGGACAAACCTGTTATCAGGCTGTCATCCTCCAAGCGCTGTTGCACGACCCGATTCTCAATGCCTATTTCCTGGCTGGGGGTCATGATATCCACACTTGCAAGAGAAGCTTTTGCATGGCCTGCGCTACCACTGAAGTGTTCATGGAGTTCAACAGCGGCGAAAAGACCGAAGCGGTGTCGGCCGCTACCCTCCTCTACCATGGCTGGGATGCGTCTAGAGTACGAGAAAAGGCCCGGAGATGAGAATGCCAAGTAAAATTCGGCTAACCTTGCTTTACAGGAAATGGCAGGCTATCGCCAGCAGGATGCCCACGAGTACTTCCAGTTTCTAGTGAATGCCCTGCACGCCAGCACTCCCGGCCACTCCGAAAGCTACGACACCAAATGCGAATGCTTCTTCCACCGCACTTTCTATGGCGAACTCCGCAGCAGCGTGATGTGCCACAAGTGCGGCAAAACCACCCATACCTACGATCCCATGGCCGACCTGAGTCTTGACGTACAGCTGCAGAGCAAGAAGCGCAAGCTGGGACGGTCGAGTGCCGCGGGCACTGCGACCCTGATCAGCTGCCTGGAGAGTTTCACTGCCGTCGAGGACCTACAGCACCACACTGAGGCGGCATACCACTGCGAAAAATGCGGCAACACTCCACAGCGAGCCTCAAAGCGGCTGCAGATCAACAAGCTCCCTTCTATCCTGTGCATGCAACTGAAGGTCTGTATTTCGATTGCGCTTAGTGTCTGGCTAGATCTAATGTGATCCTTTAGCGATATGAGCACCACCAGGCATCTTCGGAGAAGATGGATGGCCACATTGACTTCCCTATTACTCTCAACATGCTCCCATACACCGTGAAGAAGGACAAGGAGCGCGTCGACACATCCAAATACCTCTATGATCTCTCGACCGTTGTGGTGCACCAGGGTTCTATGGACTCTGGTCACTACTACTCTTACACTCGCCTGGGAGGCGACAAGGTACGTCTAGCCCTGCTGCCGTTAACTCACTCCTGATAGTTGTGCTAATCATCCGTTCTATAGTGGGTGCTGATGGACGACAACAAAGTCACTGTCGCCAGCATCGCCGATGTTCTGAAGCAGAATGCTTACCTGCTATTTTATGGCATTCGCTCCATTGACCCGGAGAAGGGGCAATCTTGAACAATAGGCGGGAACAATATGCGTGAACAACTAACGTTAACAAAATGTCGTTTCTGTTTGATCATGGGGCTCGGGGTGTTTAGCATACGGTTCTTTTGGCTGATGTACATAGCGCGAAACGGGATTTGACCAACAATGGATTCTTCGTTCAACTAGATATATTCGTAAATGGAGACTCTGAAGAGGTATTCACAGTGGTTGGTGTTGACTACGACCACTAAAAGAGCAGGTGGGTGCAGGTTCCCCAGAGCCGCCATAAATCAGGATCTACAGCCATTTCTACCCGAATGCGTTGAATACCATGATAGCCGGGGTATGGACTGGATAGACATTCACGTCTCCGAGAAAAATAGGGCGAATTTTGAGGCGAAGGAGTGCCCAAGATGATAATTCGTCATCTCAGGCACCATCCACACTATTCCGGTAGGCAGTACCAATGTCCAAGTGAGAATCTCAGTAAAGAAAATCCGTCATTGATATTGGTTAAGGAAAAAAGGATGAGGATAAACATGACAACCTCGTTTTGCGAATTCTTCACACAACAACCCCAGTCCCCTTCGATCCATCCGAGACACCAAGCAGACGAATATGAAAAAAAATGTCCCCTCCATCAAGAGCCAACAACCATTTCTGGAGCCGCCATGCGAAAGAACGGAGCGCACGCGCAATGCATATTTTCCCGGACGCTTCGAAACATTCCCCACCCCTGGACACTATCGACACCGAGGAGCGCCAGGGTACGTTCACGAGTCAACGGATCGTAGACGTGAACGGATCGAGAAGGGTGTTAAAGGGTGGACATGGTTTTTGTTTTGCTTAGCGGTACTGTAGGTGAGAGCAGGTGAGTTAGTATTACTTTCTCTCTTCTGGTGGTCGACAAAACCCAGGGCAGTCCTTGAGAAACACTCCAATGACATTCATCTCTGATCTGGGCGCTCGTCTCGAGTCGGCAGAGGCGGGTGAAGGTACGAACCTTGGTGAAACCGATGTCGGTGGACTTCTCACGGAAGCACTGACGGCAGATGTTCATCTGTAACACCACCCGTGTTAGTGGACCAGTTCACTTCTGCACATATGGCACCCGGTGTGCGCTCTCAAAGAGATATCAGGGAAGATTCCACGTACGCCGTACTTGCGGATCAGACCGGCGCGGTGGGCGCAGACACGGCTGTAATCGACCAGGCACTAATTAGCATTCCGATCTCCCAAGCTCCCTGATTTCAATGTCTATTCCAGAATCCTCCAGCTGTCGTATCCAATTTGTCGTTCTCATCGGGGAATTGCAGATCTGAGGGGCGAACACACCATTCACGGGAACCCTTGCCGTACCTGTAAGGTGAGAGTAACGAGTCAGTCGCTTGGCGCCATTTTTGTGCTGCGGTCGCTCTCGAAGTTGACTTACTTGCGGGGCCGGGAGTACCAAACGGACTCGTGAGTCATCTTGAGATGTCGAAGGGGGAAGTTGACGGGGGGTTGTTGACGGGGGACGAGGGTCGTTGGCGCTGTTGAAGAAGGACGAAGGTCGAATCGAACTTAGGGTTGGAAAATCGTTGTGTGCTGCCCCAATGGGGAATAGGGCACGGGCCAACTCGCTTGATCTAACACTAGTCCGCTTTTAGTCGTCATGTGTAGCTGCTTATGTCATCGACTCTGGGCGGGGGTGGAACTGGCTGTACATTTACTGAGCCTCTTCACATTAATCAGGAAAAGCTTACATTACTCTGATCTCATGAGAATCACCTCTAAATGTTATTAGTTTGGGAATTCTATCAAATTGGCTACACAATTTCTAAATTGAATCGTAGAGTGCACCCGCATAAGTCCAGTTCCCAATAAAATCCTCCTACGTAGGAAGCAGTTACGAGGAAGAATGGCCGGATAAATGGCTGGAAAAGGATTTTGAAGAGGCAATAAGTGAGACATTTCAAAATGACCCCAGGAATAATCCTCTGGAGGAAATCACCTACTACAGACTGAACATCCCCTCTCACAATTCGAGCGTTATCTTCTTCCAATTTGGATGGATGATGCTAACATCACCGTTTTGACAGCTTAACAATGGTTTCAAGTAGGGTAGAAGTTATAACTATACACAACGGACTATAATGGTACATTTTGCCCATCTAGGATGACAAGTTCCTATGTTCGTGAAGAACACTGCAGCGGCAGGTTCTTCACATTCCCTTCAAGCTGCTCAGTCACCTCCCCAAATTCAGTTCCATGATCATTTGGATGAGCTTTTCCCTAGCAAGGTGACCCTGTAGAAATTGTTCGACAACTTCGAACGAAGTTCCCACCTAATCCACACGGCCTCTCGGAGTCATCGTCGACCGCATTTAGGGATGTGTCTCCTTGTTGGCTTTTTGATAGTATTGGTCAACGCGAAAAGCAGCCTCAAGTAGTGAAATAGGAGGTTACGACTGTCAGCAGTCTACCAAAATGTGAAAATATTGGCAGACTCTAGCTTCTTCAGCTTCATCAAGCTCCAGACGGAGGGTCATTCTGTTTTGCGATGCTTAATGGCAGTGAAATTGGGACCTAGTCCAGCTAGAAGATGAGATAATTATTTTCATTCAAGGGCTAATTTTGCATTATGCAAGCGCCGTCGTATAGGAAAGGCGCCTATACTGCTAAGGAGCCTCGTGCCAATCATGCGGGTACTCTTATGCATGATGCAACAGAATGTATCTTCATCAACTATTGTGAATAGCCAAGAGCTTTTGTCCCCGAAGCGCCTTTCACATGCCATATCAGGCCCTTCAGACCCTTGAAGTTCTTCCCACTGTCTCTGAACGCTCTATCTAACCATAGATGCTTCCACGGATCCCCGTAGCCGGCGTAATTCAGAACCCAGAGCTGTACATTCATTTTCCATGCTTTTCTATGAAAAGGCAGAGCCACAACCTTTCTATCTTACTCTCAGGTAAGATACGCGATTTTGATATTTCAGAATGTAGGGTAAAGACAATAGTGCTTCTATCTAAAGTACCTGGGGCGGGATTTACATCTCATTCTACCCAACAGGCACAAGAAATCAAGCAAAGATCCCAAACCTACCATTCTTATTATGACCTGGCCTACCGAGAAGGACGAAATGTAGAGATCTGATGAATCTTGTACCTGATGCGTGTCGCGACATGGCCTCCTCTGAGCTCTACCACAATATATTTTCGTAATAACTAGCTACGTTGGAAAGTAGATCAGGATGAAACCAGCTCGTCTAGAGTACCACAAAGTGAAAACTGGGTGGGAAAAGGCCTGGAGCAGGTTGACACGGAAACCCCCGATGGTGTACTTTCCTAAGTGACACCTCATTTCATTGATTTTATGCAAGTTATTCGTATTCATATCTCATCCAGACCAAAAATACGGTCCTTGCTGATCGCGCGGGATGAGAGACCAGGTTCTGGCGGCGCTGATTGGGCACCCGCGGTGTCTGGGGAACGCTTAGAGGGAAGTACGGCTTGTGGGCGGCGGTGGTGCCGAACATCCGATGCTCTGCAGGGCTGTCTTGCTGAAGATGGTAGTACCGCTCGAGTCCGCTTCATGCGGGTCGATCTGCTGATCGGCATGGAGGGGCTGGGTTAGGAGGTCACCCTGAGTACGGAGTCCAGCAGGGGGCATGAGGGAAGGGAGACAAGGGCCGAGAGTAAGGCCCACTGAAAGCTAATCAGAGAGCACAATAGTATCAGCCGAGCTATAGAGAAGGAACCATTGGCTATTGACTACGCTAACTGAAGAAAGCCCGGCTCACCACTCAGGCCTTTCACGAGCAAGCACGAAGTGGGCAGGTGCATGAGCCTGTCACACCACGTCTGATCTCAGCACCCGCAGCACGGATACCGAAGTACACGGGAACAGCAACTTTGGGTCGACGCGCCCATGCAATGCAGCAACAAAGGAGGGGAAAAGCAGGAAGGGAGCAAAAGAACTACTTCGAAGTGACTAGAAGGGGGACCCAGTCCCGATCAAACGTCACCAACAAGCCTGAAAGAGTGATTAACAAGCATATGTCATATGTCAGCTCTGATGGAGTCACCACGGATGCAGCGAATGTCCTCGGGCTTTGTATTCCGCAAGAGAAGAATTGAGCACTAAATGAGATCGGCCGGGCTTGGGAGTGCGTGGTGGGAGGTGCGTGTGCGTTGGCCCGCCCCCACGAAAGCGCAGCGGCGCCCGGAAGCTCGCGGATGTAGATTCAATCGCGTCCAATCGCGGCGCGGCGAGGATCGCCAGGTTAGCAGGTGACAACGGGCCCAAGCTGGACCTGTTCATTTTGGGTCTTGGCTAGTCGGATTTTTCTGTTCATTTCTAATTTATATCTTGCTTATTGCGCCTTTCTCGAATAGAGCACGCACGGTTTAGGACGTGTCGTTCGTGGGCAAGAACTATCCCCCTGCGTACTTACAATCTATATAGACAACTGGGAAAGCCCACCTACCAGACAGGTCAAACCCGCCTCCTAGTAGTTATGCACTAGTACTATGCTCTTCACGATCAAGGGGTCCGAGCCCCGAGAACCGAGTGGGTCCCGGAATTATGGCTTCAAAAGCCTGTTAACTGTGTCCCTTTTTCTACTGTCGCGAGGAACCAGGTGCCCGATTGCGAAGCGACATCTAGCTAGCCCGAATTAAAGCCGAATCCCAAATGCCGGTTCTTCCCATTTGCAGTGTTACACTTCGACCAAGATATGTCCATTGTGATGGGATGATCCAGCTGCATACGGTGACGAACAGATGACTGACGGCATTTCAATACAGTAATGAGTAAGGGGGTTTCCCACTCCGATCTCAAAAGTCAACTGTGGCCGTGACCCACTCATATCATTCATGGCTGCTCGTGCGTCGGCTTGAGCTGGCCCGGATTTTCGCCGTTGTTCGAGGATCAGCTCAAGTACCCCGCCTGGTGGAAGAAAGTATTCAAACCAACACTCCTATGGTGGCGTCTCATACAGTAGTACAGTAGGCTAGCAGCCACCACTACGTCCTGTACTGTTTGCTTCAGATCTGCAGATCTGCAGAACTATGCCTTTCCACAGCCTCGCATCCAGGACCCCCGCGATGGAGGGGTCAGCCCTTTCGAAGTAATACTTGAAGATCTGCTTTTCAGTCCGGCCATGGAGATTTGGAATCTAGTTTTGCTCTTTGTTCTTTGAGACTGTCGTGGTAATCGCGCAAGTGCTTTTTGATGGCGGCATGCGGGAGGAGTCGACGAAGTAAGGCTGTTCAGTGCTAGGCTACTGTCGACAGGAACGGGGTGGTCGACGCCTTTCTTTGACGAAGGTTCCGGATCCATTTTTGAAATAGATAGCATCCAGAATGACTCAAAATATCTAGGGCTAGTTAACTAACCATCGCAGCTTCGCATTAGTAAGCGGCGGTCGGATGAAGAACGGATCTGGCTTGGCTCAAGAAGCCGTTTGGGATAGTGCCAGAGCAGGCTTGGGCCTCTTTAGCTGAGGATGAGTACAGATCGTGACACAGGTTATGGTGTCTGCTCTGCTTGAGTGGTCTGTCAGTTGAGCTGCTGGCCCGGATCACAACAGGCGACTCTGCTCATCTTTAGTTTTATATTACTTGAATTTTATGGTCTCTCTAGTGCTATGCACTAGATTTGGGCCGGGGCCGGCACGGTGCTAGGAGAGTTATTTAGCCCGCGGATCACATCATTGTGCATCGAGGATGATTCATACTCCCATGCATGACTAGGCCCTACGTGCATGTGGACATGTCTCGACCAAGCCCTGGGCGCCGAGGGGCCATGCTCGAAGAGAGGGGCCCATTCTCCCTTCCGTGGAGCTCATGGCTGGCGACACTATACATGGCTTCCCAGCCACCAAGTGCGCGCTATCATGGTGTTTACGAGGTTCGAGGCTGGGCACGCCCGACCGGAGCTTCGGGGGTTGGCGCACCGCGCCGCACGACCCCACCGTAGCGGACAACTCAAAAGTGCGGCTCGGAGACGGAGGGCGTGCAAGGCCGAGACACGGATGGTCACAGGCCGCTGGAGATGCCGGGAAGGCTGCTGACCGAGGCGGGGACTGGAAAAGGCCAATGTCCAGGATCGGCCATATGCGTCCTAACAAACACTGTAACCGGCATAGTATGTATTTTCTTGAGGATACGAGGATTTTCTAGCCAGATGACTGGGTGGGGCCAATTGCAGACGCATCGTCTGATGTTCAAATCTGGTCGCTTTTCGGACGTGTTGGTGAAGCAGACCTATACTTCCAAGGCTGACTCGACCTCGACCTTGGAGCCAGTCATGATGGATAACGTAAGATGTGGAGTAAGCTGATGCAGTTGTTGTGTTCTGGCATGAACAACCAGAACTACGACTGATGTGATTCCGGCAGCCGTGTCCCAGAGTCCGCAAAGCCGAAGAATTCCTGGCGGTGTATGCAAATTCCCAACAGGGCAGCGATCGACTATGTCATGGGAAATACAAACAAACCCAAACAAAGTCCAGCAATAGCAGGATTTCTACAATATGCAAGCGGTTCTTGGCGTGCCATTAACTTCGTGCTTATTTCCTGCCCCGGCCAGCCAGTGCCGTGGACATGAGGTCACCGGGGCCCAGTCCGCTAGCCAAGATGGATCCTGCCCTGAGCCGTCTAGATCCCGGCCTATCCGAATAAGAGGGAAAATATTCCACCTAATGGCAATTATCGAAAAGCAGAAATAGGATATCGCCAAGACTTTTCCACTCTAGTCGAGCTATCCAAGATGGTGTTTCCTCTGTTGTCACCGTCAAGCGAGGATGCTTAGAGTTATAGAAGGGGTCTGGGAGGATGAGGCGGGTAAGGAATAGTCGAATAGGCTCCCAATAGTGTATATAATATACAGTTCATACCACCGATGTACTGTAGGCACAAGGTATGGCGGCCTTCAGTGAAGAGAACATTTTGACACATGCCGTATTCGTCCACGCGACGACAGGAAAGGCAACTCGGACGAAGCTCGTGAATCATCAGCACAGGAACGATCGGCTCTCGGAAGCGCAAGGAAGAGGGAGAGAGAGCTAACGCCGGAGCTCCTTGGTACTGCCACGCACCCTCGGTGCCCGCAATTCTTATCCCCGCCCAATACGAAGCATTGGAAATCAGCGCCGATGCGGAAAAAGAAAAAAAAAAGGTTGGAAATCAGAAAATACTCATTATTACTATTCCTTAATTTCTCGGGAATCCGTGACACAGCTCCCGGTGCTTCGTTCCTATTGCCTTATTTATTCCCTGCTGCCCCGCCACAGCACAGCTCTTTTAATACTTGCGCCCCCTCCCTGTTCAGAGAGCTGATCCGCCTATACTTCCCCTTCAGCCCTACCACCTAACTTGCCCCTACCACCACCTCCCAGTTCCCAAGTCTACCCCCAACCCAGGATACCCTTTTGAAGTTGTCCGTGGATTCACCGCTTCCTCGGTTGACGGCTTATTTTGACCCTGGAGTTAATCAGGAAACAGGCAGAAGCTTGACAGTCCCCTGGGTTTGGCAGCGTCGTTACGTCACGATTCGGTAGAGCTTCAATCTCGCGCTGATTGGAGCTCTACAGTCTCTTTTCCTTTCCCTCGTAACCATCGCACTGGTCATCCCTCGGAGTAGAACATAATTTTACCCCCCAGGGAGCTTTGCGAATGCCTCCTCTGAGCTCGATGCGGCTTCTAGCTACTCGCGCTGCCTTTGTGGCAGTTTTTGTCGCGTCGCTTGCGACGGCGATTCCGCATGGCGACGACGAGGAAATGAGCATGGATATGCATTCTGCTGCTGCGGCGACGCCGTCACCGACGGCGCATGCAAATAGCGAGGGGCCTATGAGCTACTTCGCCTATGGGAAGCACTCGGGCGCCATCATGGCGCACATTACGCTGATGATGCTGGGGTGGTGCCTTGTCCTGCCTGCAGGTAAGTTAACACGAATTTTATCCGCAGTTAAAAGAGCGCGTAGCAATTGACTCGTTTGCGATAGCCGTCATGCTCAGCATTGCACGCTCGCGCCTCGCACTGCCGTCGCAGTTTGTCTTCTTGCTGTTTAATGCCTTCGGTCTGCTCCTTGGTATTATCTATAACAGCCAGACCCCCGATCTCTACGAGAATAATGCCCACCACAAGATTGGCTGGATCGCGACCTGGGTGGTGAGCGCACAAGTCATTCTGGCTCTGATTTTCGCCTACGCTGGCCGCGGCGAGTTGGACTCGAGCTCGAACTCGAACTCGGTCTCCTATGAGCATGCTAGCTTCCTGCCCGTCGCGACGGACGAGCGGGAGCAGCGCACGTTCCCGACTGGCCCGATGCACGGGTACCGCTGGTCTAGAGACAGTGGCCAGGGTACCGAGCCGAACTCCCCTAACCGCAGCCCCGGATCGCCCTCCTTTGACTCTCCTTCTGAGTGCGATGGCTTTGAAAAACCCGATGAGGGGCTTCCGGTGCCATCGGCCGAGCCGCGCGGGTATTTTCACAGCACTTTTGTGGACCGATTCCTGTCGAACCGCGTGCCGGGTATGGTCTCTAACCGGGTGCTGCGCATCTTCAATGGGGTGTATAATGTGATCGATCGCATTATTCTGCCATTCGGATTCGCCGCTATTGCGACTGGTGCGGTGACCTACGGCGGGATCATGCGAGGCAATGAGATCTTCAATGGCCTGGCCCACTTCATCAAGGGTGGCATCTTCTTCTGGTATGGTGTGCTGACACTGGGCCGCTATGTTGGATGCTGGGCAGATCTGGGATGGGCCTGGAACAAGAAGCCTCCCGCGTCTGTTGTTGGCTGGAAGGCAAAGGTCCCATCGGGCGAGTTCACCGAGTCCTTCGTGATCTGGCTGTATGGGGTCACGAATGTGTTCCTGGAACACCTGTCCAGCCCAGCGGGGGAATGGTCTGCAACTGATCTGGAGCACGTCTCCATCTCTATCATGTTTTTTGGTGGTGGCTTGGTAAGAGACCCTGGTCGATCGGTCCACAGAATGACCATGACCATCCTGCTAACACCGATCTCCTAACAGGTCGGTATGCTCTTCGAGTCCTCGCGCATTCGCGACGCCCTCAACGATGCCATCCTCCGATCTCCTGCACAAAGCACTCGCGATGAGAATTGGCGAGCTCCCAAGTCTCAGGGCGTACCTCTCAACCCAATGCCGGCTCTGATCATCCTACTGCTGGGCATGATGATGGGATCGCACCATCAGACCAGCATGACCTCGACTATGGTGCACAAGCAGTGGGGCAACATGCTGGTGGGCTTCGCCCTGGCCCGCGCCATGACTTACGTCCTGCTGTTCCTGCGCCCGCCCCCCTCGTACCTGCCATCTCGCCCGCCCACCGAGGCGGTCGCGGCGTTCTGTCTTATGGCCGGTGGTCTGATCTTCATGCTGAGCACCCGCAACGTGATCGACGCTATGGAGTACTATGAGGTGGATGCGATGTTTACCTTCACGGTGGGCCTGGGTTTCACCGCGTTCATCATGGCGATGGAGATTCTCTTCATCGCCCTGAAGGCCTGGGCAGTGAAGCGCGAGCAGCGCCCGCAGCTGAGCTTCCGCTTCCCCTAATGGGCGCAGTTAGCCCTCTAATGATTTGTTTTCGTTTGATACCCCTTTACACTCGGTGACGTTGATTTTGATTTTGATGCGGATTTCTATGTGGGATTTCGGACATCTCGCCTTCTATGCATACGGGGGGAGGGGGACGACAGACACCGTTCCGATAATGATCGGAACGAATGCTTACGGAATTAATGATGCAGTAATAACTTGCGCAAATAACTGGTGGATGCATAGCTTGCTGGTCATCTACTGCATATGTTTAGTATAGATGTTGGCTCAAGATATTTGAAATGAATGGAGGGTTTTGTGAATATATACAATCTCCCCTCGACTTAGCCCATAGGACCTTCTTCCCTTCTGTTGATGCTTGATGCTTGATGCTCGTTGCTTATGGTGGCAGACGTAGAATTCGTCTCCGGCTTCGGAGCTAACGATGCTTAACGCCGGGCCGCGTGCCGAGTACCGAGTGGCGGCTTGAACGTACCTGTCGGAGTGCCCCTGGATTCTACCTGTCTGGGTGTCACGATATAGATATGGCCTGGAATAGCGGGAGCTGTGCTATGCTAGCACAATATCTCACATCTTACCAGGGCTCGGCAGAGCGCGCAGTCCGGCTGGTTACACATCCATGTACATTAATGATGCACAGTACCTTCCCGACCCGACCATGAGGGGCAGTGGGCCAAGTGGGTCAGTCCCAATATGGAGGGGGAAGCCCAATGCGCAAAAAGCTTTCCCGTTAGCAACAGCTGCGATTGGGTCACCAGAGAGCAAAGGTGGATGATTACCGAAGAAGAATGGGGGGTCCTGTCGTCCTCGCTGGAGGGGCAGTCGAGATTTAATAGCTGCTCCGGTTCTCCGACCTGATATCCGGACACTCTCTTTTCTGTCCACATTCACCACTTCACCAACTTCATCATGGCCTCCAACCCCCCTGCCGCCTGCTGTGCCACTGGCTTCAAGCACGAGGGCACCCCCGTCGGCGAGGTGAAGAACATTGATGGTGGTAAGTGACAAAGCTACTAGGCACCCTTTATGGCATCACCAGCCCGTCCGAAAGCCTGCAACCCCAACATTCATCGAGTTAATCATTGCCACTCTTCCCTGCACAGTCAACACCTACATCACCTACCCCAAGGACAACAAGACCCCCGAGAAGGCCATCGTCTTCCTGACCGACATCTTCGGCATCTTCCCCAATGCCCAGCTGCTCGCCGATGCGTTTGCTAAGAGTGGATATCTGACCGTCGTCCCGGACTTGTTCCAGGGCGACCAGATCAGCGTCGCCGACATGGAGTCTGGCAAGGCCGACCTGGGCGCATGGTTCCCCAACCACCAGCCCGCAAACGTGGACCCCGTCGTCGAGGCGTCTATCAAGTACGTTCGTGAGACTCTGGGCGTGAAGAAGGTTGGCGCTGTTGGTTACTGCTTTGGTGCCAAGGTATGTTGTGTTTCCTAAGTCCAGTGCAGCGTGCGATATCTGTAAGGACAGAGTTCTCTAACGCTTCCGCCTTTTTGATAGTACGTCACCCGCTTCCTGAAGAACGGCAAGGTCGACGTCGGCTTCGTCGCACACCCCTCATTCGTGACCCACGAGGAGCTCGGTGCTATTGAGGGCCCCTTCTCCATCGCTGCCGCCGGTAAGTTTCCCAAGTGAAAAACCAGCTTGAGTTCCATTATACAGAGCAATGCCACTAATATGCCCGCTCTCACAGAGACCGACTCCATCTTCACCACCCAGCTCCGTCACGAGTCCGAGGACACCCTCATCAAGACTGGCCAGCCCTGGCAGATCAACCTGTTCGGCGGTGTGAGCCACGGCTTCGCCGTCCGTGGCGACCTGAACGTCAAGGTCCAGAAGTGGGCCAAGGAGCAGGCTTTCGTCCAGGCCGTTGCCTGGTTCAACCAATACCTGTAAGGAATGCGCCGACTACCGATATATAAGGGCTGTTGAAGGGGCCTTGGTCGTGTATTGTATGGTTCTTTTCGGCTGGAGAATCAAGCCGGATGGTTCCGTAGAGATGTTGTCAGTGATATACGGACAGCAAAATTATGAGGAATGAAATGATATCCTTTTTCTGGTATATTAATTCACAGACGCTGTTATGTGAAGTTATAGAAACAATTGCAACATGTGCATACCATGAGGACCCCATTGATCGTGATTCTAGGTGGACAGGTGGATCCTCAGAGTGGTCAGCATAGCGAGCCTTTTATGCCCCGAGGATGCCTGCAAACCCAGTCACTTCCTCGGCAAAATAACCAGTAGACAAAAAATGCACTGTAGGAAATATTCTTAGTCTATACCGTCATTTAGTGCCATGACACTTGAGCTTGGTTTGTTTACAGCCGTATTGCGGTCTTCTGTAGCCCAACGTTTCCATATTCTCATGATTTCCATGAACATTCTACCGAATATTACTAAACTTTATCTCGGACTCACGGAATGACAAAAATTCAAGCAATATATGACGCAGGCCTATCTAGTAGCTGGTCATGGACAGATGCACTTTCGTTTTGAGAAAAGCCCGGTACGAATTACGGGTGATATTTAGGCAAAAAGGTTTTTGTTGAACTCATATTTCCCATGTCTGGCCCTAACTAACTAGTTCAGAACCGTCTTCACTGATGAAGCCGGCAAACAAGACGTACCCATGCGATCAGCCCCCAACATACAAGATTCCGGGTACAGAAACATGAGAGTAAACTGAACTGAAAATTCCCCGGTCTACCCTTTTCATCCAGGTCCTCTCCTCTGGCTCGCCTTACATAATGCAATGGTCAATATTACGCCAATATGAGATCTTTCCTGCATAGTGAGAAGGCTCTAGCCGAAGATTGATGTCCTTATCAAACCCCGTCTCCCAGGTCATACCCGGAAGTTCTGTTGATACGCCGTATTTCTTTTTCCTCTTTCCGCTAAGAAAGAAATCGAAGGATTCCAGATTCAGAGCATATCCTCAACCCAGAACTTCAACTCAAATGGCCATGGCAGAAAATCCCGATGGCTCCGTTGATTTTCTCTCCTCGAACGCCCCGGACTTGCCCAGCAAAAACCTAATTAAAAAGCTTTGCAGGGAGCAGCAACGAAAAGCGTCTGCGTTGAACAAGAATGACAACCATTTTACATATAATCACTACGGACAGGAGATTTTCATCAAATTCGGCATCTACAATAGCGAATGGCGGAACCAGCAATTTTTATTTCATCAAATTAACCAACGAGCTGATCTAACTATTCGAATTCCAGAGATATACGCCTGTTTTGGCAGCTAAAACTACTTGTATATCATCATGGAGTATATCGAGATTGATCACACTGCCTCTGATGCACAAAGGGCTAAAGCTCTTGCCGAAATCGTATCCATCAAGCCTCCATTCAATGCGACACCAGGCCCCATTGGCGGTGGTCGTATTTATATGCATACTTTTTGGCAACGAGGGGGTTCAGATATGGAGTATACTTCTGTCCAGGCTTTAGAGAGCCATATAAACCGCGTAAGTTCTCCTCAACTTAGATCAACACCAGTTCTAATACGGTATTTATATTAGGTTCTGGAAGTATTCAAAATGCCCCAACAGGAGCAGCACGAGGTCAATTTCAGACATGAGAGGATGTTATGTTGCTATACAGCAATTCATAAACCACATTTCCTAGTTGACGCAGATGATCAGCTCTGGGTCGTCGCGTTTTCCCAGTTCAACGTTCTTCCCGAGTCATTCATGGATCTTGCTCTCAGGATGGATGCAGTTGAAAGGAGATCCCCTCCCACCGCAGTATCATGGCTTGATTCCGATTGAGCACACCGATAATCTAAAAGGGATGTGTGCTGCAAGAAGGTGGTTCTTAAATGGCAGTAGCTTTTCTTGTGGGTCACATTCCCCGATACTTTCGGGTCTATGAGAATAGTGCTAACTGATTTGAGCCGGTAGACATTGATAAAACCAAGAGTTACCATATTATGCATCATCAGTAACCAGGATCAATCGAAAGTATTTATTCGGTAGGCGGGGAATTTCGGCCTACCTTAGCTCACTTGTCTGTCGTCCATTAGCTTAGCTTTTCCTCATGGACATATCGTACACACAGCGGGTCCAGCCACCTTCACACTGTATTGATGCAAGATTCGACAGTGCCGTGGCTTTATATAACTGAAATGAATTTCAAGCATGGCGTCTGCTTTACGGAATCCTGCTTCATTCTTAGTCGATCGAGGATCGGTGTCCGTCTGAAGGTTTCCCCTAGTTATCGACGTGGCGATGTATTCCTCCGCGGCCTCTTGGTAGGCCGCGGCTCTGGCGTTCTATATACCTAGCATCTTCACTCCCTATGCCGTTACTGGTTGGTTTATCGCCAGCAGGGGGCGCCGGTCCGATATCGATATGCCGGAACTGTCCCAGTAGGCCTATTCTCAGTATAAATTCGGCCACGTAGCGCGTGGCCTGCGAGTCCGACACGATCGCGCCATAGTCGGTTACGTTAACATCCGTCCGTGCCCAGATATTCTAGCATGTTCTTTCTCAGATCAGCGTACAATGGGCACTATAGCAAGATATATATCTCGGCGTTTAAGACCGTTCACCACAGTAGCACTCATCCAATTCGACCGCGTTGATCTTTGTAACGAAGTGTTATAATATTGTGCGCTACTATATATATCGGTCCTGAGCATGTTAGCCTTGACGGCTAACATAGTGGTCTTTTTGGCCTAGTTGTACGCTCATGTGACTCAGGCATGTTTCGTAACACTACAGCGAATATCGGGGTTTCTTATAGGGTATTTTAGCAGCCGGTATTTCCCCTATTGTTCTGTTCAATCAATCAATATTATTCATCCAAATTAGTTCCGCTTAGTCTCATTCGTTGTCTTTGCATACAAGGTTATACAGTATCAACTTACTATGATAATTTATTAAAGCTGGGTCGAGAGTTGGCGGGGAAGAAGAGGAGGAGGAAGACGGGGTAGAACTCATGCTTTGAAAGTGAAAGAGCATAAAATATGCAAAAAGCAGCAGAAGAAAGAGATAATATACGATGTAGAGATCCATTGTATGGAGGAAAAGAAAGCCTATAGCAGTCCTACTAAGTATCAGTGCCCTTCGGCGTTAGGGAGCCTTTTAAGCCTCGAGGATGCGTGACACTAATGTCGTGACCTGATAGAAGATTCCCTTTGCACCTTCTTTTCACAATAAATCTCTCGCGCATGTGGGGTAATCTTTCCTTCTTCCGTTCTCTTTTGTCCTCATTTTCTTAAACTAGCGTTCCCTCGATGTATCTCGTTTCTGCTTCCTCTGCGCGTCACAGCGTCCTTTCTGCTGCGCTCCCGAGTTTTACCTTCCCTTGCCCTCCTTGCGCCTGAAATCTTGACTTCTCGGCTGTATCATTGAATCAGCCTCCTTGATTGATATATCTAGAGGCCGACCGAATCCTGCTTCCTATACGTTCACACCTTCCCCTTTTGTAATCGTAAGCCCTGTGGTTTCGTCCCAGACTCGCACAAGAATGAAGGGGGGGGTTTCAAACCAATCTTGGCCGGATTCATGCGAACTGTCTAAAGGCGACCTGAAGAGATTTGTTACAAGGATGGGTCTGATAACTCTACAATAAAAGTCTACTTTCAATATTCCGTGATCGAGCACGCGACTTCAGCACCAAATGTTCCCAAATTTTACGGCTACGAAAATTCTGTCTCCGCCGGAATCTTGTCCCAAGATTGCGAGCGAGTAGCCCTGGGTTACGACTCAAACGCTACCAGCTACCATTGAGCGATTGTGTGCCCTCTGTATGAGTGGCAATATACAGAAATCTCGGGAGATTTTCGACTCTTGCACCCCGATCCTGTGCCACAAGACTTCGAGATATGCGGAAGAGATAACATCTGGGCTTCTTGTCTTTTGGTCATGGAGCTGATCCAAATCAACAATGTATTAAAAACTATTAAAACCTATTAAAACCTATTAAAACCTATTAAAACCTATTAAAACCTATTAAAACCTATTAAAACCTATTAAAACCTATTAAAACCTATTAAAACCTATAGGAAAACTACTAAACCCTATTAAAAACTATTAGAAAACTACTAAAAACTATTAAAACTTACTAAATACTATCTAAATTCCAAGATAATTTCTAGTCATGTTGGGTTGAAATAGCTAATGGTAGGCGAAGCGTCAAAATATGACGGTGAAATAGGGATAAGGGTAAAGCCGGGCGCACCCATAAGCGAACGCGGTGGGTGCGCGAAGGCACGGATAACACGATGAGATACTATCAAAGCGGGATAGTTTGGTGGGTCTACACGGATGGTAGTGGCTACGAAGGCCGCGTGGGCGCTAGTGTAGTGGGTAGTGGGGATGAGATCACCCGTGCCCGGTCGCAGATAGGCATGGAAGGAATCTCCATAGTCTACGCCGGCCCAATCCCCGATGTGTAGGAAAGCAGACGACGGCGTGCCGTGTACGGAGGTGCATTTCAAAAGTTCGGCGTCGCGCACCGACCACCACCTACTACACTAGGCGATTTTTAGCTAGATTATATTGTATTGTATTGTATTGCCTATAGCCTACCCTCTTTATATTCGTTGCTACCATCTAATTCGATAATCTTTTTGATATACGTAGGGATACGCTCAATCTAACGCTGGATCTTCTCCTGCGGTATCTCTCGCTATGTAGCTTGCTAAGCAATATAGGCCTCCTGCCTACTTTTTGGTACGCCTTTCTTAGTTATAATACGTTTCAACTAAGGCTAGGCAGGCTTAATTGGATTTACAGTCAGATTGCATTAGTATTTGCACTGTAGTACCTTGGCATGCCAAGGTACCCACTAATTCTTTCTGCGCTTCAAGTTCCTCCACATCAATTCCCGTAGGAAGTTCCCAATTAATAGGGTACTAGCTGTCGTATCAAATTCCCTAAGCTCTATATTATAAGGCGATACTAGGTAGAGGATAGAGAATAAAGGGGGAGGGGTGTAGGTTTATCTTATCAATAAAGGAAGGTATGATTAATAAAAGAAGGCGGTATATACGGGAAGTACTATAGTGTAAATACTAATGTAACGCTATTATAGATTAGGCGAATTACTACACCAAATTAGCCGATTAACCTTAGCTATATCAAAAATACGTTGTTAGATATAGTAGCTATATACCGGTACTTTATCCTCTTAAATAAGCGTATTCGGCTGTTAAATAGCGTATTCCTTTATAAAAGGTAATAGCTTTAGTATCAAAATCAGTTTTTGATATCGATACTAATCAATTCTACCTGTACGACTACGACCAAGCTTACTAGTTTTCTAGTTAAATTTCTATATAGGCCTTTTACTAGTAGGTTATCGTCGAAAATTTATATAACGTATCTACGTTTTAAGCTCCTAATCAGCTTTTAAAATAGGCTCAATCTCGCAATTTAATTACTCAATCTCTTACTCAGATTTACGTTTCTCTTACACAGTTTTAGGTTTCTAATAATAATAAGGGCCTTTTTTATTATAGGTAAAGCAGCCCTAAAATATAAATTTATAAGCGCCTTTCTAACGCTTACGAATATAAGATCGAATAAAAGCTTTATCCTTAGAACGCTAAACTCGATAGCTACTACGTCGATATAGTAGAATAACCGAAGTTTTATCGGACTATATTATATTCTTCTAATCATTAAGTGTCTAAGCTTAGTATTCAAGATACTAAATAAGCCGATTAGCTTTTATCTTCTTCGTTAACCTAGGCTTCCGAGTTAGCTTCATTTTACGTAGGCCGGCGTTCTTAAGGATACGCTAAATAGTAGTAGTAGAGATATTAATTCCTTCCTTACTAAGCTTACCAGCAAGATCAATATAAGATTTCTCTCGGCTATAACGATCTAGACGTACCTTAGATAGGATAGTCGTCGTTATTAGTTAGTCTTGCTTAGTTAGCCGGCCAGTACGTTAGGCGTCTTATACAAAAGTATCTTAAATATTATTATAGTTAACCTTAAAGCCTCGCTCGATTACGTATACGTAGATCTTGTTAACTAACAGCTAACGTAATTCCCGGCCGACCCGATTACCCGGCCGTCCCGATCAACCCCCCCATTAGAAAACTTTGAATCAAAATATATCAACCAAAACGCATCAATTTAGCTATATCTGACGATTTTTACATTGATTGATCTTATGGCCAATTTCCCTACACCCACTACACCTTGGTGGAGCCCTAGTTGCTGGCTGGGCTAGTTGAATAGCCTCATCGGCCTGCTCATGCGAAACGACCCGATTAGCTTTAACTGGCTGATTTAGCTGCGTAACTAGCTGTTGACCCTCTTCGACCGATAGGCCTCCTTCGTGAGCTATCTGCCGATTTGATCGTGTGCGTTTTTAGCGTATTTTCTTATTCCCTATGCGTAGATTAGCGTTTTCTTGCGCATATATCGCAAGGTTATGAAGCGATATATAGTAGCCTTTGATGATTTGATCTAGAACGGTTTTTGATGGGCTCGGAGGGCTATTTGACCGTTATTTTAATAGATCTTTGAGTAACGAAGCTGATTTTTCAAGTTGAACGACGGTTCTAGGTATTTTTAGGCTAAAATAGCTATCGCTGCTAGTGGTTAGCCGGCTATTCGGTAGTAACGGTGTTTTGAGTAAGATATTAAGCTTCGAAAGCACCCGTTCTGGGTTAATTAGAATAAGACCAGTAGCTGCGAAGGCGCTTTAAATAATATTTAGTTAAAAGGCCTCTGCGTACGCCCGAGGGTAATCAGCGAGGAAATCAAATTTGTCGATGTAGTTATATAATACGCGAGCCAGATCGCTT